ATTGGCCGACTTTGACAGATCAAAGTGGGCTTGGCCTCAGGGGACGGTAGGATGGCGGAAAGGTTATTAGTGGCTGGCTCGCGCAACTGTGGATTTCGAGGTTCCGGGGGTCCTTGGAGAGAGTTCCAGAGCCAGGCCATCAAACCGCAAGCGCAGGCACACGCACACGGGATACGGAGCCAGGCCTTTGCTTCACAGGCAAGCCTCGAGCCTCAAACTGCAAATCTCGTCGATGGAAATGGTCCCAGATAGGCCCCATCCGCGGTGAATTACTCGTACAAGTGGCCCGTTCCGGGTGTAGCACATAATCGGCAGCAGCCATCTTCATTACTCCATAGCGGCCCACTGGTGATCAGTTGGAGATTTACCTGCGTTCGGATAGAGAACCCAGCAGCTCTTATTTTTTTTTGTTTTTCCTCCTCCCCTTTGGCTTCCCTCCCCCCTGCCGCCAGCAAGCACTGCAGGAGTCTGGCCAAGGGGGCCTGCTCGCAGAAGCAGAGAACGGGCAATGGAAGAGTCAAAGACGCAGCCACGGCACAGATCCAGCAGGTAGTGCTGATCTTGCAACCCGTGCATCCTGGCCCTCGAAAAAGCCGCGGAGAATAAGCATCAGGTCCTCCATATTTCATCCGTCATGGCACTCGTACGAGTATGTGATGAAAGCTTGCACTCGCATTGTTCGTACTTGTACGAGTTACTGCGTAGTAGTAGCAGTGTGTTGCAACGGCAAGGTTTTGTGAGGATGCCTGTACTTTGCGGTCCCGGCATGCCTGTTTTGCAAAGTGAGAAATGAGAAAGGTCCAAACAGAAGCAGGGTCAGAGACCGCGCAGGGGCATGATGGAGTCGCCGTCAACATGCGAGGAGCTCTACCTTGCAGGGCAATCGTAGTGTCTGCACTCGTATGTACTTTTTGCTCCTCTTCCGCTAGCGGTCTGGCTGCCTTGCATCTTTGCTCCAAGTCAAACAAGATATTTCGTTGCCTGATGGATGCAGGTAGCTATAAACAGTGATCCTGTCTTCGGCGTTCCCCGGTCGGATGGCATTCATGAGCAGAGTACTGTAATGTACCAGTGGCTGCACAGGTACTTGTGCGCATCGCGTGACTTGAAGTAAGAGACATCTATACCTTGAACTTGCCTGTGGTGTATCAACAAATACACGAACAAGCAAGACCATATGGGCCTTTTTGGCCAAGGACCGGGCCTGGCCAGGCCACGCGACGAAAAGCAGGGGAGAAGCGAGACAGCATCGGAACAATAGGTGGTACGGACACGATAGACGAGAGGGGCCCTGAGATTTCGCCGCGCTTGCTGGAGCAGGGCGCGTAGGTACTTTGTCGCCTGTCTCGTCCCGGCGTCTCGTAGGTACCAGCCAGGTATTGTCGGCGCAGAGTGCTCATCGTATCGTGTCCATAATGTGTCACACGAACTACTGGGGAGGTACTCGTCGTACACGGCACGGCACGGCTCGGGCATGTAGCTTCCCGGAGCCGTACTTGAAAAGCTTCATTCAGCCTTGAACCAGCGCCTGCTCGATGCTGGCCCTGTGCCGCTGAATGCATGGGCCGAGATGCCCCGACAACAAACCCTTTTCCCTGCAAGATATCGCGAATTCTAGAAGGTCTCGGTGCTTATTCTTGTTGGGCTGCTTCAATTGCCATACCTGCTAGCACCTGGGTAAGGGGGGGGGCCTTGTCCTCGATTACTGGCGCTCAGTAATGGTAGGTAACATGTCATTTGCGTACCAAGTAGGTATGTGCGCGTATCCAGGAAGCGCTTCTCCATTGTCGTCGAGTGCTTCTTGCACCGCTAGAAGCAGCTCCCAGGAGTGCTGCGCAAAGGGTCCACGGCCTGGTCTCGGTTCAAGGTCCCCCTTTTTCACTGAGGAGCTGTTCCTGGCCCGCCGCGTCGTAGAAGACGCTGTTTGGATACCGAATTTGTCCCGCCGCTTTTTTCTTCTTCTTTCACCTTCTTTCGCTTTTGCCGGGATCTGCATTTAGATGTTGAGCAATGTTGTATCTGCTCTCTGGTAGCCTTGCTAATGTAGTAACGTGGTGGGGCGTTCCATGCTCAAGCTCCTTGGATCGTTTCTGAGGGTGCTCTGTAGACAATTGCGTCTTGAACAGTAAATGATGGGGTATGTCGTATCAAACACACAGCCGACAGATTTCCCAGCCTATCCCATTGCTTCTTTTTTTATTCTCTCTATTCTCTCTATTCTCTCCTTTTTCGTCTTATCGGCGACAAAAGTATGCATCCAATATGCGAGAATCGTTGCATCGCATGCTTCATCTCAACTCTCGTACATATACGACTGCTGTGTAATGTCAAATTAGTCTTTCAAGGCCAAGCCGCCCCGTTGGCGGCGATGATCTGCCGCCGTCGCCCCCCGTGGCGCGGACTACCCGCCAGCCGTGTCCAAAATAGCCAGCCACATGCTTCAGACAGCTCATCTCTGACGTCCAGCCTATAGGATATGGACCGTCCATTGCCATGGTCCGACAATGGAACAGCTTCCTACCTACCTACGTGTTCGTGCATTATCCACCGGGGTACACGCATATCGGTACGAGGAATATGGATGCGTGCCTGGTCAAAGGCTGGCATACTGCCGTCCGTTGATCTGGTTGAATCGACCGGCTCAACTACTCCGTACCTTTGTTCCGGCCTCACCAGCATCGGCTTGGCCCATTGTTTGTCATGGTGACATGGATATCGGCTTAGCCATTGCAGATGACACGGCCCATATTGGGCAGATCAAGGCACGATAATGTCCACCGCAAAGAGTACCTGCATTTCAGACGCCAGCTGTTAGACGCGCTTGGTCACCGCGGCTGCGAAATGGCTGGAGCCTGCAGACTTCTTGTTGCTTCTCTGACTCTCAATCTGCCTTCTAGACGATGTGTGCGACGTCGGAATGCGATGCAAGGCATCCTAAAGCGAATATCGTATGGACAGCGCAGGCACATCAACAACAAGGGTCTGGGCAGCCCCCAAAATGTGTCTTGGTCTTCATGGAGTGACCGGCGCCCTACCCACCGCTCAGATGTACTGTATGTAGGTACTTGTAAGATGTAAGATGCCGGAGGGGGCCAAAGGACGGTATTGCTGCGTCCATGTTACTTGAAAGATAGTGTGCGTGACGGGGCAGCTCGTAGCATAAAGGGATATACTGTGGTAGGCATAGGCAGATTTTTTGTGCTTAACCAACTGCCTATCCGCGAACAACTCGCAGCTTGCATTGCCATCGTGGATCTCAACACCAACTTTGTCTCGTCTCTGGCTGCGAATGGCGATGCCTCGCCCACCCTCGTCCACCCACCACTCCCACGCTCTCCTTGACATTTTCTAGCTCATAACTTACTAGTAATGCCATCCATCCATCCAATTCCTGCACTTGCAGGCTCGCGTACGCATCTGGCAGCCAGTTAAGCTCGAGTTCTAAGCTTTCCCAGAGCCCTACTAGCACAGGCTCGATGATAACAAAGTCGCAGCGCAGGCAGAGTGCAGAGTGCAGAGTGCAGAGTGCAGAGCACAAATAAGAGCAGGGCAATGCAACGCACAGCGCAGCGGGACCCACGGAGGGCTGGACGACCTCGCAACAAAGAGGCTCCATACCTGTACGAGGGTCGATGCGCCGAACCCTGTCTGGCCTCGTCGCCTTGTCTTTATCCGTTATTGCTTTTAATCTCCAAATCGCAGTCTGCTTGCTCGCCCTGGTCCTCGCCTCCCGCATTTACACACGACTAGCCTGCTGGCGCCATCGCCCCACGGCGATTTGACTGCTCGCAAACGCTCGCTTGGCCAGAGGACCCCTCCTCGGCCCCATTCCATCGACGGTTCTCGAGCCCGCTGGGCAACGACACGGCGTCTGCGAGTGGCCAGCTGGGCGGATGCTGAAGGCGAAAAAAAAAGCACCAATCTCCAGCCCTGAGAAGAGTCAGTCACAAAGTCACAGCTGACCGGCGCCAAGGGAGGACTGACTCCAGCAAGTAGCGAGCGTCGAGTGGCCAAACAAAGAGCTCACGCCACCAATGGTGCATGTATTATGGCCTCGCTAAACACTAGGCGAGCTCATACGAAGTAGTATTACAGAATATAGGCCGCCGTGCTAGCAGTATCTAGGCCGGAGAGCCTATCGCAGGCCGACTACTGCGACGAGCGCGCCGCCTGGATGCTCCTTTAGCGTGTCGTGCGGGCGACGATGAGAATGGAATGGTCTCATTTCCATGACTGCTCCTTGCACTTTGCACAGGCAGCGAGAACAACACTCGAGACGAGAGAGAGCAAGAAGAAGAAAGACCCGCCGGGGTCGGTGGTGGCTGTGGAGTTGCAAAGTTGCAAAGAAGTTGTTGACCTGTAGTATTTTTTGCAGCGAGCACTGGACAGCTGTGCTACAAAGTCGCCAGCTAGCCCCGAAACAAGGCGGTACAAGCAGCAACATGGCCGTGAATTGCAGGAATACAGCCACTCCCCTCCCCTCTTCCAGCGTCTCCTCCACCGCGAGCCGCCCCCTACTCCCTACCCCCCACCCCTCCGAGGCCCCCGCTAAAGACCACTGCAGCGTCCCACCCTTTGGCGCCGTCGATAGGTACTGGCAAATGCCCTGTATGGGAAATGGGCGATGGGGGGCTACCCAACAGCTACCTCGGGCTAGCAGCGCTGGCCTCGTCTGCGCGGCGGTACTTGGCGCGTACTTGTCCCTGCCATTGGTACAGTACTCGTACGTGGCTCTGAGCACAGAGGTTGCTAATTCCATCCTCATCTTGTTAGCATGCATCTACTATCTGGCTTCACAGGCACCTTGGCCAGACCCTCCTGGCTCCATCGTCTCCATGCTCATGCATGGCATTGGCCTGGGTTATATCGGAAGCTTGCTTGATGGCGCCGGGCCGGCCATGGCCGGGTTAGCATCGCATCGTCCTATCGTCTCTTGCTATATAACCTTCGTCAAGACGTTCCCCATCGTTCAACGTGGCTGCCATGCTGCTCTCTTCTCTCTCACGACCTCTCCCTCCTCCTCTCTCCTAATTAATATCACCCCTCCAGGCTGCTTGGACTCCGCCATGCTCGAGTCTGACTCCTAGAGCCCTCGTCCAGCGTCTCTTCCCCTTCGCTTGTCTTTGTGTTGTTTTGCTGCTCTTTTGTGCCCTCCTCTTGTCAGCCTTCTCCCACCTCTCGTACTTGCCTTGCAACAGGCAGGTTGTACATATACGCCATCTTTGGTTCCTTCCTTGTTCTTTTGCAGCGTATTCGGGGTCTAGATCTCGCCAATTGACCTCTTTGCTTTTTACTGCCTTGTCTTGAAAGGCCCGTTTTGGGTTAGAACACTCGCTCGCTTGTTCGTGGCTACAGAAGTTCGCCTCACACGCGCGGTGGAGGCAGACGGAAAGGAAATCCGGGGTCTCAGCTTCAATTGGAGCTATTCACCAGCTCGCTGCAAGAGGATCCCTTGTTCGATCCTGTTCCTCTTCATTCACTGCCTCGTGAGAGCTGCAGGTAGCCCGAGAGGTTTTTTCTGCCTAGTACTGGATAATCCAGGCCGGCTTCACCCTCTGCTTGTGATCGACCAATCTCTCGCCTCTACAACCTGCAATTGGGAAAGGGACGCCTCATGAAAGCATAAATATCCTTTTGGTCTACTTTGTGAAAGAGAAATCTTATCCCAGCAGCCCCAACAGCCCCACACCATGGACACCATGGACAAGTTTCTTAGTGAGCTGCCGGCCAAGATGTTGCCCCTGGTCCCCTTCAGATTACCTGTCGTCGAGCCTGGTTTTTGGCAGTCCGCCACATTCTGGACATGCGTCTTTTGGATTCTGTGGTAAGTTGCTTTGCCTCGCCTCTCGGATTGGGTCTGCGGCTCTTGATATCAAACTAACGTCTCATGCTAGGCTCCATCGATATGTCCGGCTGCTTGTTCACTGCGTCAGCCATTGGACCTACAAATCGAAGCCGATCCCTAGCCAGCCACGCTTTACCCACGACGACGTCACGGTCATTATTCCTACCATCCATAATGCGTTTGAGGAGCTTCGACCGTCGCTTCAGAGCATCCTGGCCTGCAAGCCGGCCGAGCTGATTCTGGTCACAACGCACGACAAGCGCAAGGCTCTTGACGAGCTGGCTGGGTCCCTCAACTACCCCCGGGTCCGTGTCATGCACACATCTATTGCCAACAAGCGCCTCCAAGTCTGCGAGGCTCTGCCTACCGTGGAGACTCCCATCACCATCATGGCTGACGACGATGTGGCCTGGCCCTCTACCTTGATGCCCTGGATTCTCGCCCCCTTTGAAGATCCCAAGATCGGCGGCGTCGGCACCTGCCAGCGAGTGAAGCGCGAGTGGACGGCGCCGTGGTCGGTTCGCATCTGGAACTGGCTGGGAGCGGCATACATTGAGCGCCGCAACTTTGAGATCTCGGCCACTCACAACATGGACGGCGGCACCTCGTGCATGTCTGGCCGCACTGGGGCGTACCGATCGGAAATCCTCAAGAGCCATGACTTCCTCGACGGCTTCAAAACCGAAAAGTGGAGAAAGTGGATCTTGAATGCTGACGACGATAACTTTGTCACGCGATGGTTGGTGAGCCACCAGTGGAAGACCTGGATCCAGTATGAGCGCGAATGCGAGATTGAAACCACTCTGGAGAATGGCCCCAAGTTCCTGTATCAGTGCTCCCGCTGGGCGCGTAGCAACTGGCGAAGCAACTGGACCAGCCTGGTCAAGGAGCGGCACGTGTGGAGGTGAGTTGCGCCTTAAAATCGGGGTTCATGGCCTAGTCGTGGTGTCTAAAATAGCGCGAGCGTACTAACGAAAATGACTTGGAACTGCAGACAACAGCCCTGGTGCACCTACGCCCTCCACTTCGCGACCTTTACCTCGTTGGCCTTTGTCGTCGACCCGCTTCTGCTTGCCTCGTGCTGGTGGGCGACGGCTGAGTGGCATGTCCAGTACCGACTCTACGCCTTCTGGGCCCAGTTCATCTTCATGTTTGGCTTCACCAAGTTTGTCAAGCTCATGGGACTTTTGTTGCGAAACCCGAGCGATATCATCTTTGTTCCCGTCTCCATTGTCTTTGGATATTTCCATGGCCTGATCAAGCTCTATGCCCTCATTACTCTTAACATGGTACGTTTTTTTCTTCTCTGTCTTTTCTCACTCCGGCCCTCAATCATCAAATGGTGCTAACAGGCTCGTTATGCAGACATCGTGGGGCAGCCGAGCTGACGGCGATGCAAATGATGCGCAGCGGCTCGCACCGGCGCCATCACCATCTAAGGTATTAACGACTCCTCGTGGTGCTAAGTCGCTCATCCGCTTTAACGTCCGTCAAAAGGGAGGACTGACGTCGACGCGGACCGAGCAAGATTCGGCATGGGAAAAGCGCGCATGCGCTGCCTACGAGTCGGGCACTTCATACCCCGAAAAACATGAAGCCGCTGGCATGCAGAATGGCCATGAACAACCACAATCGATGCACTTCAGTAACGCTTCTCAGTAATGGGTCATGATCAGTTATCCCCCCCCTTTTCCCCTCCTTTTTTGGGGGAGGATTTTTACATACAAAAAAAAAAAAGAGGCCAATCACCTACAGATATTCATCTAGCTGGGATTTGGTTTTACGTGAGCTACGAGAAATGATGTTTTTTTTTTTTCATGGAATACTGGGTTTAGTACCATTTCATGAATTTTAGGGCATGATAAAAAAAAGGTATGCCCGATTACGATTTTTATTGGGCCATTTAGGGCGGGGTGGAAACAACAAATTGCACTACGGCGGTATATTCCAGCAGAATAATGGGCTCTGCTGCACATGGACATATGGGACGGGATGGGATGGAATGGATGGAACGCATGGACTTTTGGTTGATTTCTAGGGCAATGTATCGGCGTTGATTTTGGGAATACAAGTCCCTGCTCAACAGTGCATTCCCGGGACTGTTACGGCTTTGACAACAGGTGGTGTTATATTTGACCCATCAGGCGTTGATTGCTTTAGACTGCCCTTTTTGCTTTTCTTTGTTTTTTGTTTTTTTCTAATTTGCCAATGGAACGGAACGGGAAGGGGACAGGACTGGATTTACAAAATTTAAAAGATGAAAATCACCCGGATTAGCACATCACTCAGAATGATATTAGGACGGCGAGTTTGTCGTCTACGGATTACCTAGGTAATAGAATTGGTAATTTCTTCTCAAAAACGTGGCCATGTCTCAGACAAAAAAAAATCTTGACTCACCCAGCGATTTCTGCTTTTGTGGCTGGACGTTAATTGGTCCGGTGATGTCAGGCGAAAGGCTGTGCCCGGGCAGACGGTGTACTGCCATTGGCTGCCACCACCTAAAGTGAGACATGACGGCTCTCCTCGGTAAAAGTGCTGATTATCTGATAAGTCATGCTCGTGATTTGGCACTCGAATACAGGGTACACGTTTGCTTCTCCCTTTCCCTTACTGCATTCATGCAGGCCACGCAATGTGGTTCAAGGCAAGGTGAGTTGGATGAAGCACTGCATACGAGCAATTGAGCAATGAGAGCAAGCCGCTGCAAGGGCATGCTCATCGAAAGAAGATATACATGTGATGAAAGAGCAGTCAAGATGATGTGTAATATGACAATTGAAAGGGGGGAAGGGCAGCATGCCACTTTACACGTTTTGATTCGAAGACGGGAAAAGTGTGAGAGTGAAAACAAGGCCAAGATATTATTGCGTCCGAACTATGAGGTGCAGTTTGCAGTGCAGACGGGCAAATGTCAAATGAGGTGTTACTACGTATGCAAATGTGGCTTGTGCTGCTGAGTTGCACGGCATATGTGACGGCAGGCAGAAAAGATGATGAACCAATGGGTGGTGATGGTAGCACAGGGCGGCAGATTTGATAGGGCGCCGGCCAAATAGGCAGTCATTATTAATAGTATGTACTACCTACCTAGCTATGAGCAAGGGGGAGGGGGGGGAATGGAGATGGAGGGGGAGATGCAACGCCATGTAGGGTAATGTAATTCTTGCATGATGCGGAGATCTCGATGATATGCATGGGATACACGCTGGGGGGGAGGGATACACACGCACGCCAGGCGGTTGAGGATAAGTCCGCTTCTGGCGAGAAGGCCAAGACTAGATATGGAAGGGATGGATGAGATGATGCAGGACAGAGAAGCCCGTGGAAGGGTGTGGTGTGGCGTATTGAATCTTGTTGAGCTCGTGATGGTAGTACTAGGTGGTAGTAGTAGTGCTCGAGGCAATCTAGCTGGAATAGCTGCTGATGTAGGAATAGAGCCGGAGGGGAAGTGGTGTACTTGTAAGTGAAAGACTACGCGAGGCTATATGGCGTCGATAAGAGAGCTGCTAGCTGGCGTCCATCTGGCACCCAAAGGAGAAAGGCTCGACGGCGGGTGGGACTCGAGTCGATGTGCCTGCTGGGCTAAAATGGCAGTTTTTGATCGACGCCCCTCCCTCCTAAAAGAAGGCCTGAGATAATAGCCGGGGTGGTTTGTGGGCTTTTCGCTGATTGAGCCTTTTCCCGATCACGATACAATACGGAGCACCATGATTTCCGGACCATCACTTTTGTAAAAGAAGACGAGAAATCAAAACGACAAGGAAGAGAAGAGGGGTCAATTGAGCAATTCACCGGGCGCTGCAAAAAGCCTCCAGGTGGCTTGCGTCAAGAGGTGCGTCTGCGGCGGCGCTTTGCCCGTTTGCTTGCGTGAGGTCCAAGTCGACGACTGGCAGGCAGAAAATGCGATCCAGTTGAATTGGGGAGGGGCGTGCGAGCAAGGAAAAGGCTGAGGTGGGAAGGTGGGGTGCGGAACGAGGCGTGCTGATCAATTGCGCAAGTACCCCAAGTAGCTGCAAGTCACTGCGTGCGGGCTTCACTTCTTCTTCCTCTTCCTCTACGCTCCGGCACAGCACGGGAGCCACCACAGAGGTCCTTTGTCGTCGCTGGCACGGAATCGACGCGAATTGGCATCTGATGGCCCGTACCTTGCATTGCATGGTTCTGGACCGCCTCTGGGATGCGCAATTCCCCGACGCTGGCCCTCCATTGGCCCTCTGACGGGGGGGTTTCTGATGTGTGTAATAGGGGAGAGGGGGCAGCGACCTCGAGCACGTATGTACGTGTGCGCTGGACGTGGATCCTGCCTATCAAGCCGTGCCATCCCATGCCATGCGGCTCGATGCGATGCGATGCGATGCGATGCGACCATCGCCGTCTCTTTTATTTCTCACGGCGACAGGCGCTATGCTGCTTTCTGCCGGACGTGCAGCCTGCAGACGCAGGTCCAAGCTAACGTGGTGGAGAAGAGCAGAGCAGAGCGTGGCGTGCATGGCCGTGGCCTGTTTTGCGTGTGGCCCCGTCGACCGAGCTGGCCCAATGAGCGATGGTGATGGCTTCTTGTCAGAAAATGCTGTCATATCACACTGACAACGGCACAGGTGCTGGATATATACTGCATCGCTATACGAGACTTCAAAGGATGCGAGTGACGGGTGCGCTGCGACGGCACCGACGTGACAGGAGAACATGACATGACCATTACCTACGACAATCATCCTTCCACCGTCCAGGTCGCCTCAGAACGGGCTGCTCTTTGCCAAAAACGAGAAATTGCCGTTTAGGGCCTCTGTCTTTAATGACAAGTCTAGGCGATAGCGTCAAGGCTTTCCAATTTCTCTCTAGGCGAACCATCACATCATGCACACAGCAAGCACCTACAGGCTACAGGCCAAGTGTCACCTGCCAGCCTTGTCCGATTCCCGGATGAAGGAAGCAGAGCAGCCAAAACAAGCCCAAAGAGGAATCGATACGACAAACACCCCTCCCTCTTGGCGGCCAAGTGGCGGCTAGCCACATGAACCTTTGGTCACTGGATTCGAAGGGATTCGAGCTTTTTGGGCTGATGGCCTCCTCTCTGCTGTCGTGGGAGTCGAATCAAGACAAATTGGCGTGAGGCTGTTCGAATACTAGAATGGAGGGAGGGGGGGGGAGGTAAGGAGGCTGTGTGATCCGGAGTCAAGGTCCATGTTGATCCGTCTGCCGACTAAGGGTTCCCGAATGGGGCTGATCTGAGGCCCTATGTCGAGCTATTTCGTGCCGAATGCAAGACCCATTGATGTGCCCGCTGGGGCCGAGCTCGCGCGCGTCGCTGATGATCATGATATGACGAGTACCGGCCGATACTGCCATGCGTAGGAAGGACCCCCTACCTCTACCTACCGCTAGCACCAGTAGTTGGATGACCACTGGGACTAGATGGCTAACCAAGCGAACGTATAGGGCAGAAGATGGAGACGAACGGTGAGATACGGCGAGCAAGCGCCTCCAGCGGCTCCGCAACCCCATACTGGCTTGTGCGCTGCTGGCGGCCGCTGGGGGTACGCCGTCGTTGCTTGGAGCTGAAACGCCTTGTGGTGAGGGGATTCTGGTCCTGGGATGTCTTACATTAGCCACGAACGACTCGACTACCAAGGATCATCCATGGAGGACGTGGTGCCAAGTACTTAGCAGCCATGCTACCTACTCGGTTGAGGATAGAGATTTCCTTGATTTTCCTTTGCCTTTGTCAGATCATATTGAGGCTGAGACGAGCGTCATCTGCGACTTTGATGTCCGATGAGGCTGGAGCGCCAGCTAGAGGATAGCTGCTCTCGGATATCCACAAGTCAAACAGGCACGGGACATTGCGTTTGCCAGCCAAGGCCTGGCCGTCTGCAAATTGCGTGAGGAAAAGCAGCGGCCGCTCGGAGCAATTGGGTTGCTTTGGGGGATCATGTCCGTGGCTCATGACGGCGCTCAGTCGCATTCAGCTTGGCTGAGCTGCCGAGTACCTTGACGGCCTCTGCATGTGCAAGTGGTGTTTTTGTTAAGCCTGCCATCGCCGCTACGTTCGACGTTGAGCCTGCGACGATTCTACTGGATGACATGGGTGCGCAGAGATTGGCCGTATGCAGGGCCCAGCCCTTTAGGTAATCCACTGCAATATCCGGAGAGACTTGAGTGGTCCGAAATCTATCGCGATGGAGTTCGGCCGGCAGCCGCAGCCGTTGCGGCAACGGCTGCCACGATAAGACATGAAAGACTCATCAATCAAGCACCATATTGGCCCCCCGCTCAAGAATCGAATTCTTTTCTTCATACTGCTCTTTCTCTCTTCGCCTTTCCCACCTTTTCTCTGCGGCTTGTCGGCGCGGGCGGAGCGGGCGGCAATAAAAGGCAAGCGAGAAGCCAGCAAGAAGCGCATGGAGACGAGGCCCCGTCTAATGCGGAGAAGAGGTGCGTGGCTGACTTTAGCGGCGCTCTTTCACCCATTTTGAGCCCGGACTTGCTTGCTCGTAGAGGCATGGCTTCTCCATCGTCGTCGAGCAATGTTTTCGATAGTACTGCTGAGGTACACAAAGAAGCGATAGCCAGGCCCCACGTCGAAATCCTTTCGGAGTCACAAATTAAGGGTCCAACGAGCATTTTCAACGAGGTGGCGTCTGTGAAAGGTGATTGTATACCTACTATAGTACATGAGTGCATGCTACTTTGGTTACACACCCACAATTTACATGGCCAAAGCTGGGAAGAAGACCATGGAGGAACTACTACTAGATGGATTTGCCATGTGGTGCTGCTATGACAAAATTTCAATCCAAATTGGCCACTACCAAACGGCAATGTCTGCCACTTATCGATATACCTACATCGGCGATTGGTCTTTGGTTTTCAAGCATTGTCACATTTGCTGATCAGGTCCAGCTTGTCGAGAGCATTCCTCCCCTCTTGATGCTTGAATCCATACATGCACATATACGAGCGCACGTTGCTGGCCCTGTCCATCATCATTTCCATGCTCTCTTTTCACCTGCAGAGCATGATGCGATGGTCAGATTTGGGGTGTACGGCTGGTTCCTAGCGGAACAACGCAGCACTCTGTGGAGATGTCTCGGGGACTGCTAGCCCAATTCTCTTTCTTTTGCTTCCTGAGAACCCCGCGAAAGGCCGACATCAGCGACCCAAGCTCCTCTCGGTATGTCGCTTCGTCGTTTGGAGGCCATGGTGGAGAGGAGACGAGGCCGTCAATGAATGGGCGTGGACTACGTGTACACATGTGCTGTCTCTCATCCAGTACATACACATGCTGAGGGCGCAAAGGTATCTCCGTGGTGGCTAGCTGGATGCATGTTGCATGCGATGCAATCTGTAGCCGACAGGTCAAAAGCTGGCATACCAAAAGGCTTGTTAGAGCTTAGCCGGTCCATCTGTAAACGAAAATTTCAACGTGTGCCATCGAGGCGCCCTGAGTGCGCGATTCCTTCGTTTTGCGCCACTCACACGCTCAGCAAATGCCCGCCTTACATGCACCCTGCATGACAGCCAACCACAGGCTCCTCTTGGCTCCTTTTTGCGGCGTTATTAATACTGTACGCTGTACCTACTGCTTGTTCTTCTCTTTACACGTCAAAATAGACAGGGTACTGGCTTGAAGTTTAAAATTCCAGCCACCGTACAGTTCAAAACTGTCAAACAGAAGCTTTCGGACGGTGGAAGAAACGGTCCTGGACGAGCCGGTCCGTCCGGAAGGCTAATAAAGCCTGTTTGGACAGCAATGACTCGTAGAGAAGGAGTTTTTGCTCAGCGGACGTCTTGCTCTGTTGGAATTACTCGAGAGCACACACACACATGCAAAAAAAAGTGCAATCTCTTTATCCGCCAACAATGAAGGATGTTGGCATCTGAAATCGCACCATGGCCGGCCCGTATGCGCACGTTGCACCGTCGACGGCCATCAGCGCCGGCACACTCCCTGATGTAGGAGCCCCTCCGAGCAACCTCAGAAGCGACATGGCCCCTCTCTGATTGTTTTTCGCGGTCCTCTTTCTTGCGGTAGCTGCCCCCCGGATGTGTTGCACGCAAAGCTACTGTAGATGGAATGATTGCGATCCATTCTGCATCCACTCGAAGAGAGAGGCCCATTGTATTGCGGCGGCGGTTTACCTCCGTAAGTCGAGCCACTGCGGGACGGATGATTGTGGCCTTGCTACCCTGATGCTTCTAAACGCGGGGGAACGAAAGAAATTAGGGTAGGCAGACAACACCGTTTGCACTGACTGACTGACTGATCTTCTTCTGCCCAACTTGCTTACGTATTAGGCCTGCCACTAACAGTACTCCTAGTAGCATTATACCACCTGCTTGGCTCTACTAAGCTGACAGACGGCCAGACGGACGGACTTGAAGCCTCGTCTAAGACGGAGGCCGCAGAGCAGGCATGTGCATGGTATGATGGACCTCACAGATTCACAGGTACCAAGCCCAAAACCTGCAGGTGGCATAGAAGGCGCGGCAATGATCGCTGTCCCGCGTACATGTACGCAAGATAGAGTGCCCTTGTAAGCTTTGACTTGGCATCAAATTGGCGTCGCATGGCTTGTGGCCCCCCTCAACTGCCAGGCTGTTTCCGCCTCGGCCGTATCCCCCACCATCTTCCTCCCCCTGTAGCCGTGCTTTTTCTTTTATCAACATGTTACATACGTCAATCACACTCTTCTCTCTCTCCTCGGTGGTTTCGACTCAACCTTGCATATTTTATACAAAGAGGACATTAGCCGGCATCAATGCTCTCAGCTGGCGGGCCAGTCATATCTCTTTGGTGACAACTCCTTGCTTGCGGTCGTGCATCTATCTCTGGATCCCAATTCTATCAGATATAATATATTTCCATATGTGTGTGCTGTGCTTGCTCTTTCCCTAATCAATGCCAGGGCCTCCAACCTGCAGGTAGGTCGGGGTGGTGGCCGAGCCAAGCGAACCAGCGACTGAGGCAATACACATCGCATTAGCTGAGTGGGAATTGAATCAAGGAAATCTCCACTCTACTCCTCTCTACGCCGTCCTCCCCCCGGCTAGCTAGTCAGTGGAAGCCCCAGGCAAAAGAATACGGGGGACGGGGGCTTATCGACTTTCAGGTGAGGCGTCGTTCGCTTGCCTTGCGGAAATGATGGATCGTGGGCATCATGATCGATGGGGGAAGGCGGATGAGCCGAGAGGGAGGGGAAGCTGCAGTGCTACTACAAGACAAGTATTAGCGACCTGCTGCTATTACTGCTCGTATGTCCCCAAAGAGGGAGTGTGCAGCGGAGAAGACTGGCAGACGAACAATTTTGTGCATATTTTCGGCCGAGCTAACCTTTTAGCTGTGGGGGCCATGATACCAAGATGAGGGAGTTGGAGGGGGGGGGCTGGAGATGGTAGCAGATGGAACGAGATGGAGATGGAGGGGGCGTGAGGGACGAAACGAAACGGCAGAGCAAAGAAGGGGAAAGAAACAAAAAACCTTGCCATTCGTGATGCCGAAATGTTGGAATTCGGCATCAAGCGTGCATCATGTACGCAAGTATGGAGACCAACGTCTAGACGTGCGCCGTTGCAATTTGCCAGTCTTTGGATTGCAAACAAGAAGAAGAAAACGTACGTGTCATCGTTCGTTTCATTGTTTGGAGGGATTTTTTTGCGAGAGTAGACGGTTGCAATGCTAATTATTATGGTACGATGCTGGTGTCTACTATCTCGTTGCCCCTCCTCCTTGTGATTTGATAAGTTGGATACCACATGTAACTTTGTGTCATGTTTGCGAACCTTTGGCTGCTTTCTACTTCCGCTGTACCTAGGTACCTGCGCGAGCCAACAGAACACCACATGTCAACCGGTTTTATTTTTTACTAAATTTTTTCTTCTCTTGGCTTGATGGTTCTAGATTTTGTTGGACATACCGAGGCAAAGAAAAGATTGGCTAAGAAAGAAGTCAAAATAAAAAAAAAGTTCCTCTTGGCAGTCGATGGCTGTGTTTCTTCTGCTTGAATTGAGCTACTAGTAGGTACCTAGGCAAAACGTCGTATCGACAGCGGATGACCAACGACAACAACAACAAACAGTCCTTTAATGTATATATGACTAATTTGCAAAAAGCCCGGCTCTCGTCGGTGCCTCTCTGTAGGTTATTTTTGGTATTGATCGGTACTCTTCTGCTATTCCATATTGTCCCTTACCAAGGCAAAAACGCCCGCTGAAGGGCATCTCCGACGTTTGCGTTGCTGTACATGTATTGGTATAATACGAACGAATTTGGTAAAAGAATTGATATTTCTGTACTGTGAATATGACGACGGGAGATTCGGCTATCGATGGGTGCGATCTATCAATTTCGAGAAAACCAACAGCCCAACTTACTAATTATCATTTTTTGGTAGTATGTCAACTCGTACTCCTACTCCCACATTCCGTGTTTCCGGCGAGAAATGGAAATTCGTTACAGGGTGGGAAAGGAGGGGGCACGCTATACGATTCGACGGCCGCACGATTTAGCCCCAGTCCAGCCAAGATTTCTGTAAGAGCTAAGGAGCGAATCGTCATTTTTGCCACTGTTCTCTTTCTGTTCAGCTGAGAAAATTGGAATGGATAGATGGGTGGTCTCGTATCGTATCGATTAGTTATGTAGCGGGCTGAGTGAGAGCCCCGGCTTAGGCCAGCCCTATGGCTTTTTTTTTTTTTTTAGTTGGGATGTTTACGGTAGGGGATGTTTGTTTAGTTGAGCTGAAGGTGAAGAAGAGGGTAGGGCGTGAATATGGGATTGGAGCGCTAAGCATTGGTGGTGGGTGGTGGTGGTAGTGATGATTTTTTTTTTTTTTTTTTGCTTGCTTCGCCTCTTTGGACGTAAAGTTGATACGTCAAGGTGAGAGTGTACAAAAGTAGCTACATCTTACAAAGTCCTGGGCCAAAGGATTTCGTGGTGAGATGGAGATGGAGGTGAGAGTGAAGTAGAAGGAAGGGTGGAATGAGTCACTAACTCGCGCTCGATTTATAATAATATGAGCATTCACGTGAATGTTACGTTATGTGTTTCTTTGAGCAATTACGCGGCCATATGGATATATACCTATTTGGTAGGATGGAATGTCTTGGTCCTGATGTTTGGCGATGCGTTGCGGCTAGTGTTGCTACGTCTGTTGTTTTGTTAAATCCATTTTTAATTCTCCATGGTGTAGTTGACAATAATGGGTGAGCTATACATGTTCAGTTCACTCCTAAGTTCTTTTGCAAGAGTAGTTCATGAAATGTGTTACTAGAATGAAGACTGGCAATGAAGCCAACAGCCATGGATAGGGGGCCGAGAGGAAATTAGATTCGGGGAGAGCAGCGCTTGGGCTTCATAAGAGACAATTCATCTCAGTATAGATTGTAAAATGTTATTGAATCATTCAGGTTGCAATTAGCTTTTTGTACATGGCAAAGATTTGGGCGCCTATATGTTGCTACTTGCTGTCACTGATCGTTTCATCCATTAGAATGAAGTTGAAGCAAAGGAACTCGAAAAAAATGTTGCTCAGTAATAGATTTATGCTTGGAGAGAAAAATCATGACAATGAAGACTGTTTTTTCTCGAGCTAAACATTAGTGATGAATTGTCCTATTAATATTCATTCTAATGTCTGGCGTATGAACCCAACTTTTAACCCAGTAAGATCGCGTCGCCGACTTCGTCTCACCGTTTGCTTGAGGAGCAAACACATCAAAGATGATTTTAAAGCTATTTAGCATGTTCAAGCTTCATTTTCCTGTGACTATATTATTTATATCAAGTGGCTAGTCTATAGTTTGTCCTATGGATGCCGTTTGAGAGAACCGATCTCATGATCTACCCAGGAGGTAGTGTTTTTAGCTGCCAGAGAAACCCCCCAATTGGCATCAAGGCGTCAACATAAATAAAGATTCATAATCAATTAAATGCTTAGTACTACGTGAGATACTATAGCACTTTCATTAACGCTGCATTGAGCTCAACTGGTAGAGATCTTAGCATGGCTATGACACAATGGGACGCTCCACGAAGTATAGTGTTACAAAGCAACTGACAATGTTCTTTGAAGCGATGGTGATTAATGAATTTTGTCAAAATATTTCATCGTCTGATGAAGAAATCTTGTAATCTCCGATTCACTATTCGTCACTTTAGTTAAATCGCTGTGCAGCTGCAGTTCTCTTTCACTGTCTGTCCTCCGTCGCCGGCAGTTTTTCGCATCCGTCTTCACTACACAATCGTACTTTGAAGATGTAGGGCATCTATTATATTGCTCACTCGTGTCAAATTTGTCACACCACGTTTGACCATTACGGCCCTTTGACCAGCTCACTCTGTCATCTCACTACCTCGTATTGATGGGATATTCAGGGCGCAGGTTGGGAGGAATGCAGAGCAATATATTACTGTAAATGGATTGACACTAGCTACTGCGATTCTACCTAGTAATAATATGATTAATAGTATAAATGTAGAGACTCGTGATTATGAAGAAAAATTATACTTTTCCATGTGTGCTTGTGACCTGCTAATTCTTTGGAGCACGTGTACATGTAATCAACAGTCATAAATACGAACACCTGAGATTGCCAGGGATGATGCGATAAGGGGGTGTACAGGCCGGATGATCAAGTATTCACCTACGTCCCTTTCAAAGAATTGTATGTATTTGGACATTGCTCCGATGAAAAGCGGAGAGGCGTATAGCTGGCCATTCTCTGCGCTCTAATACGACAGGCATGAGAGAGAAGTGAAAAAAAAAAAAAAAAGGGAGGGTAATAGTGTGGTTCTTTGTCAAATCATGCAGAAAAATAGATTAATTCTTTCATTTCGCGTACAATAAAAACAAAGATACGTAATCGTTTCGCTAGGCATTACGGCGTCTCTAAACTAAATAGCTTTTCAGTGTAAATCATAAGAAATCATCAAGTTCATCCAAATTCATCCAAATTCCTCGCGTCATATCATGTCGTTCATCATAATCATCCCTTACGCTTTGCCTCCAAGATACCAAATATTCTCCCTAACCTCCTCTGTGAGGAGCTCTCTCTCCCCAGTGTAGACGTAAGCTATTGTCGAGGACCACGCGGTTGGATGAGGCATTGCAAGTTCTACTACATCTCCTCGTCCAACTTCGCCCTTCAACATAACGGCAGCTAATGCTGGTAATTGTGATCGCACATATTGGAGGCCTGGATTTTGTGTGTTAGTTTTTGGTAATGTCAATAAAAGCTGCTACCGAAAAGAGGTCACTCACTCATTGGTACAGCCTTTGCCTTGAGCACGGGTTGCGAGTTCTTGAAATCCGGAGGCATTTCCGTTTTTTCCTTCTTTATCATGACCTCGTCATCACTATCATCGGCCATCTCTAAATCCACCGGAGATTGCGGCTCTAGATCTTCGTCGGACAGCTGTAGCCTGGATAGTAGTACCTGACGATTGAAGTTCTTCGACTGAGGACAAGGTAGAGGATCTAGTGCTGTAGCTCTCAGCTCTTCCAGCTTGAATTTACGCGTCAGGCCAAAGCGGCCGCGAGATTTTGAGTTGACAACGGCATGAACATGGACGCGCCGAGACAATGGCGACGCGGAAGACGACTCCTTTGACCACGACCTGATTTCTCTTAGTGGCAGATTGAGATGCAGTGGCTTGACAAGAACATCTGCTTCTCCTGGGCGGCCAAATATCCTATGACCTCGTTCCCACAGCGAAAGACGATGCTGTTGCTGCCGCTGAAGCCCCACGTCCATGGATCGATTGCGGGCTCTATAGCTATACATGGACTGTCTGCGACTCGCCGCTCGGGTAGCAGACACACGAAGGGCGCCGGCTGTGCTTTGTCGAAACACATCGCCATGCCCCATGGACATTTGCCGGGGCCGTCTTGCATGCGTCTCGAACACCGTAGGCCAGACCTTTGTGTGCGGCGAGATATCAGACACGGGAGTTGGGCAGAACTGCCTCGAAACCCAGACATACGGAGCCACCACGTCGGAAGCGTCGCTGAGATTGTGCCTCATGGGGCTGGGGCCGGAGTGCATGACATCTTGTGCGTAGCCGATTGAGTTGAGTCTTGAGCGACTTGTCCCGCTATAAGGAACAGATGGCCGACTTGAGTATCTGCGGGAGACATCTGGGAAGCTTGAAGTGTCGGTCTTGATAGGAGCGATGTTGGGGCGATGAGCTCGGCGGCTCCGTGCATGTATGGACGTGGACGACATGGCGAGAGTATGGAGTGGCTATCTGTGCGTTGAATTGCACGTAAATGAAGAGATGTATCGCAGTCAGATGCAGCTGAGAGGGGATTTGCTTCTGTGGGATTTTACCATGGGAAATCTCCAGAGTTATATCAGCAATACGGATGCGATATCAAGGCTGATATATATCAATGTTCAGATGCATGCATGTTCAATGTTTGTTGCCACATCACAGCTCTTTGATGCTGCAACGGCGTGGTTTAATTGCGCTGCGTTCACTCCTTCACCATTGCCCACTTCATTTTCCCCTATTTCTCCCTCATCTGTTCAAGATTTTCCTTTCTTTTTTTTAGGGGGCATGCCACAAAGGCCAACTGGTGGTTGGTGACGGCGATGCGGTCACTGGCGACAAAGACGTGCGCATTGTCAGTGGTCTGAGTTTGCTCCCTGCAACAAAGAAAGCGATTTCTGCAGGAGACAAGTGCCAACTTGATTGCGCACCATGAAAGCGCTTTCAAGAACCGACCTCTTCCTTTTTTTTTTTTCCCCTCCCTAGGTTGCCTGTTTTTTTACAGGTTGAAGCAAGACGTTGAGGGCACTCACTGCCTGAACAGGCTGCGGACGGCAAATGGACGCATATGCTTAATCCTGGGCCCGCGCACGTGATGGCCCATACTGAGCGAGAATTGTCCACGAAGCGCAAAATGATTGGCTTACACGACCGCGGCCTTTCAACATCGGGTTGACAACACAGCAAAAAAAAGCATCAAAGGAACAGCGTCAACGCTTGGACGTCGTTGGAAAAACACGCTCAGCACATTATTTCTCTTGTTTTCTTTTTCTTGAAGCTTGATTGTCATTTAGCTATCATGCGATAGGCTGTTGGATTCCACCCCCTGAACAACTAACTCGTAACATCACCGAGTCGCAACATGGCGAGCTACAAGCAGCGCAAAGAGGACTTTGTGTCCAATCTGACGGGCGGCTCCGTCTCTGAAATCAGCTTCGTCACAGCCGTAGCACCCGTGAGTTCAGCTCTTGTCCAGTGGCCATGGTTCTCAGGCCAAGTGCTAATCCGCGAGCATTAGGCGGCCATGCTGCTGTGGTCTGTTCTTCAGGCGCGGCAGTCCTTCTTCAGGCCCTACTCGGCCCTCGGCTTTGTCGTCGACTTCTCCCTCACTGTAGGCACTTTTTTGTTGGGCATCACTCTCTACGCGGACTCAGCCGCGTTGCTGAATCTGCTTCTGCTTGCGCCGGCTCTGTTGATCTGGTTCCTGCCCTCCACCGCCGGAGGCCCAAAGAGAAAGCCCAAGCTTCCCCCAAATGCCCAGTCCAAAGCCACCTCAGAGCCTCGTCCCGTGCTGAGCATCAAGCCTTTTCTCACGACGTATCGCGGATACATGATGATGACCACCTGCGTTGCCATCCTGGCGGTGGATTTCCGCCTCTTCCCGCGGCGATTCGCCAAGGTCGAGACCTGGGGCACGTCCCTGATGGACATGGGCGTTGGCTCTTTTGTCTTCTCCGCCGGCATTGTGGCAGCTCGTCCTGTCCTCAAAGAAAGAGCCACGGGCCGTCAGACTTCACTGGCTGTCCGGTTGCTGCAATCATTCCGCCATTCCATCCCGCTGCTGGTGCTGGGTTTCATCCGCCTTTTGAGTGTCAAAGGACTCGAGTATGCTGAACACGTGTCAGAGTACGGGGTTCATTGGAATTTTTTCTTCACTCTGGGCCTCCTTCCTCCCTTTGTGGCAATCTTCCAGACCATCTTCGATGTCATTCCGTCGCATGCAGCATTGGCTCTGCTCCTCGTGGGCACATACCAGGTCGTCCTTGAAAGCACGGATCTCAAAGCATTTGTTCTCACCGCCCCTAGGGTAGACCTCCTCTCCATGAACAGAGAGGGTGTCTTTAGCTTCATAGGCTATCTCTCCATCTTCCTGGCTGGACAGGACCTCGGCAAATTCGTTATACCTCGGAGCATCACATCAAGCAGCAATTCACCAGCGGGCATGCAAAGAAACACTCTACTCATGACGGTTGCTGTTTGGGCCGGCATCTGGACCGTGCTGTACACCGTTACTACTAGCTACAACTTTGGGTTTGGGTTGACGGTCTCGCGCCGCTTGGCCAACTTACCCTATGTCCTCTGGGTGGCGGCTTTCAACTCGTGGCAGATTCTAGCTTTCTGCATCATCGATACCATTTTCTTCCCTGCCTTTTACAACGCAGCGGATGCCCGCTCTGAAAAGGAAGCCTACCAAGTGGCCACGAGCTATGTTTTGAAAGCGTATAATCGCAATGGCCTGGCAGTGTTTCTCATTGCTAATCTGCTGACTGGACTTGTTAACATGACTATTCCAACTCTGGACGCCACTCCGGTTCAGGCCATGGGCATTCTCATAGCCTACACGGCGACTGTTACGGGGGTTGCGGTTCTGCTTGATATATACGATATATCCATCAAACTGTAAAGACGTGTTGGGAAATGGTATATATCAAGAAAATGACTGCAATGGTCGTCCGATCCACATGTCAGTGTCGGCCGACTTATCCAAAGGGTCGAAAACATGACTTTGACTTTTCAACTCTAATACGTAGTGTCTACCCTAGGTGCATACAGCACCAGAACAGGAATCCGAGACACAACAAGGGAGGCTCTTCGTCTACATTGGGTAATCGACTAACATCTCATGTCGGTGCTCCGATTGGATAAAGGTGCCTGAAAGCCGAAGCTTTGCATGCAAGACACCACTTCGGATGTTGAGTTTGTAGACTTGGCGCGCTAAGTAGAGTTGGACGGGTATCTAGCATCTCATCAGGCGATCTTATTCGTGTGCACAGATGCTAATCGACGATTGAATAGCATGGGCTGGCCGTTATCCTGGCTGCAGAATTACTAGTACCACGTAGTAGAAAGTATAAATGCATAGCGATTGATTACCCCTTGATCCTTCCTGCAGGATGCGTTGCGGGTTGCTTTGACGGATCGAGAGCTAATATGAAGCTATTTTAACTCGTGCGAGCCAAGTCGCTCATTTCCGGCATCAATGCGATCAGCAAGCGCTGCTCTTGCACGAACAATGCGGTGGATCTGCGAAATGATGCCAGGACGGGGCCTTCAAACGAGATGCTCCATATCTAGCAAATGCAAATGTGGTTTGTTCTTTGTGCCCAGTGGCAACATATAAACTATTACAGTAGTAGTACTACGAGATGCAAGGAAAAGAGAGCGCACGGAGAATTTGTTTCATCGACATTAATGGGATCGAAACAATGTTTACGATATGCAGATGGGGGAAATTGGGGATGTGCCACACGGGTTTCACCTTTGAGCGAGCCTTGTCTCGGGTTTGTTCAGAAAAGGGCCTGAAAAGCGGGGGCTTTATTTCGTATGTTGTGACCCGACCCGGGAGGAAAAGAAAACAAGAGAAAAAAAACAGAATGAGCTTCTACTGGTAATATGGTTGCGGGACAAAAACCTAAAAACACATTGAGCAGGTGTGTCTTTGTGATGTGGGTGTGTTGCGCTGAGAAAGGGATTGGACGGACTGGTGAAAAGGAGTGTTTCATTGCGTGGGCACGTTTGATAAACAAAAGAAAAAAGGGTGCAAAATAACCTTTTTTTGTCTTACACCTGGGCATAGATCATATTTACTAGTAGTACTAGAGCATTATGTACGCAAACGATGGCGGCATGCCTAATTGGATGCCATGCGGTGACATGCGAGCCATACGAGGTGGTGGGATTTCCTGCCGCCGGATCAGGCTGGTTTATTAGTTGAGATATTTGCAGCATTGGCAGCGTCCTTTCAGACTTTGGTTCATGGCATCAATGGCTTGGTCTAGCAACGGATACACGTGGGTTTACTAGAGTGGTGGCTGAATTACTCGCGAACCATCTAGTCAGTTGGCTGATGGAGCATGGAGAAGAGCTATGGGGCAAGCCAGCCGAGGGAGGATCCGGGTCAAGATACTGCTTGCATTGATGAGGTCACTTTCGGTGGAAGCATCATCAGATGATTTCAAGCCCGGGGCTTCAACATGTACAGAGCAGCAGTAATATTGCTGCCAGGGCGCGTTGACTTATTTCAGCAGGCCTGTCTGCGCTGTATGGCTCGAAAAAGCGCGCATCATCGCAATCTCACAGCCGGGATCGAGATTACTTTAGTACTTGACATGTACATTATAGCGCCTCTGGCCTAGCCGCCCGCATTTTTTGCACATGCTCCCCTCTATATTTCGTGCTGGGGTAACGGCGAAGGGAAGCCCGCACGACGGCCGCGAGCGACGGCGGATGCGCGATCGAAATTTGAAATTTGGGAGGCTCCAGCAGCTAAATCTCCTTTAGTGCCGTATAATTGAATCGAATATTAGAGACGGTGGCACTTTGATGTTATTGCAATTGCATTATTGTTTGATTTTTTTCATTTTCCCATCAAGAGCTCCTCCTTTCTCTCCCTCGACTGTACGATTGAATTGCAAATCTGCCCAAGCGAACCAGTTTCCCTTTTGTTTGCTCGTGTCTAATTATAATTGAAGCGCAAAACAACATCCAGTTTGTATGGATCCCCACGGCTGCGCTACGGGCCTCTCCCTTGCGCCCAGGCCAAGTCCAGGCGGGCTTGTTTGCGGCGTCACCGAAGCAAAGCTACATGCAGCTTCGTCTATGGGAAATGTACCTGCTGTATATGGAGCATCAGGCAAGGTAGGTTCAGACAGGCGACAGTAGGTACTTGGGATATACTGAGTGCTCGTATGGATAACGAGGTTGAGCGTGGCCGTCATCTTGATATCAGCTTCATACAATCTGCTTGTAGGCTTTCTGTTGTTTGCCTCGGTGTCCATTCATTCATTCATTCATTCATTCATTCATTCACTCATTCATTCACCGTATTGACGGCACTCACACCTGCCAAGCACAGGCATCAGCAATGGCAATCAATGACAAGGACACAGGGTTCATTCAGTGTTTGCAGCTCCAGGGCTCTGCCGTTGCTCGGGTGAGATTGAGCTAATTTGGAGGGGTTTCTTGCCCGCGCCGTGACGCTCTCACGCCGCCCGTCAGTCATGCATGCTGCTGCTGCTTGCAATATAAATAAATATCCGGCTCGTACAGGCACTGCGGCTCGCATGCAGGAACGACGGGGACCCCTGGATCTAGCGCGTTTCGGCTGCGACAACTGCGGCGGCAGATACCTCGAGATTCGCGGACAGGCGCGCGCGGCAGCAGGTACTCGCAGACAACGAGGTCGGCCGGCGACGGTCGCATTTGCAGCAGTACAGCGCACGCATGCATGCCCCGTGCATGTGCTCAGGTACCAGGCCCGGGCTCGGGTCCAGGGCCAGGGCCACCTGGAGGCTGGAGCCACTACAGGCGGCGTAGCGCTGGAAGCTCCGCTAGAAGGGCTCCACTGAGGCTGCTCATCTCATTGATGCAGCAGCCGTCAATTTCAATTTCGCAAAAGCTGGCCCTTGAGCCCTTGGCCTTTGGTCGCCCTCGTTTGTGCCTCAACCGCAGTGTATCATGTGTATTACCAAACGGATCGTAAATAGATGCCCCCATAACGCTGGCCGTCTTACCTGTGGCACAAGGCATTAAAGCATTGATTACATCAATACGCGCAGGTAACTTTGGGCTTTTTTTAGATTCTGGTAGCTCAGACGCTCGCCGTGTACCTGCCTCGCCCTTGCGCCAGGCAATCTGTACCTTCGCGCCGCAACTGTGGCAAAGGCGTCAAGTGCTCAGCTCAGCTCAGCTAAGAAAAGCAACTGCTGAGGCTTTCCACTAACAAGCCAAACCTCATACCTGCAGCGCCTCCCGTCTTGCCGTCTCCAACTCTCGACAACCTCAACTCGTTCGGCCTGCCGGGTCGCGCTGAGACGAACCAGCACTCGGCTGGCATATTGGAGGACGAAAGAGGCACCCAATCCGAGCGCATCCCGCCCTACTGCTGCCGCTACTCTGCACAACCCTGTCAGCTCCTCCCAGCGGCCGGTCTCTCTCTGGCAACCCCCCCCTGGGGCCCTGCGCGCGTCCACCCGGCCTGTCCACTCAGGGGACGCAGTTTTCTGCCATCTGCTGGACGGCAACGCTTCGTCTGTGAAACATCAAAGGCCAGAGAGGGAAAAAAAAAAAAAAACAAAGCCCGTGTTCAGTGTGGTCGACCATGAAATACTAGTGCTGTGCTGAATTGGCTTGTTGGCGCTGTTCAGAGAAGGACCTGAATCTTGTCTTTGGTCGCCCTTGGCCTCGCCAGCACGGCTCACACACCACTCCTCGTTTGATTTGATTAGCAGCCCGTCTGACTGTTGTGACCCATTTCTCTCTCTCATCCCATCCTCCTCTCTAATACACACCACCACGACACGCTCCTCGTGCTTTGCTGCTTCGGAGCCTTTCCCATCCGCGGCGCGCTCCTGCATTTCGACTGCCGAAGTCGATACACCATCGAGTTTGATATCAAGCGCCGGGCAGCCATCACATCGGCCGGTCCTCTCGCTCAAGGCACCTGGGGAACCTCGAAGCAGGCTATTTTCTTCTAGAGCTGCGCTCGCCGAGTCCGCCCAAGTCCGTCGACTGGCCTTAGTGGGCCGGCAATCATCCCGTAGCAACGCGGAAGCATGTCGTCGGCTGCTCTCCAGACGGCCCCTCCTCACCAGCCAACCGCGTTGCCTTCGCCCTCCAGCCGCCAGTTCTCGCAGCCGCAGTCTTCCCCCAATCGGGAAATCCACAATGCCCAGCAGAGCGCCTCAACACCACCATCGTCAAGGCGTCCTTCCTCTCGCAAGTCCAGCGGCCCCGGCGCCTCTGTCCCATCCGACGCCAGCGCTCCTGTGAGCTCTCGCATTCCCACCAGCGCGACTCGTGCGGCCGACCAACAGTCCAGGACTGACCGCCTGTCGTCCGCGCCTACCGCCCCTCCACGAACCTCTTCCAACAATCCGGACGCCAGCCAGGGACGCAGCGACAAGATGAACAATTCGCCGCGCCGCGTGCAGGCCGACGGCTCGCGGATCGCCCCTCGCGGTGACACAAATGGCACCGCCGACCACGCCCGGAGCAAGAGGGCTCAGGGCTACCACACGCCGCAGGATTCGGCCGCAGCCCAGGCGGTGCCCAGCGTTCGAAGTGGCCATGCCGCCGATACCCCTTCCTCCATCCCCATCCCCGTCCGCACTCATCAGACAGCAACAAACTCCAAGCCGTCGCGCGAGGCAAGCGAGAACTTGTACCGGGTCATTTCCAACGGCGAAGAAGCGACCCGCCGAGGGACCTACCAGAACGCATCCCACGACGTCGATCCCGCCGCGCCTCCTCCTGTCGTATCCATGAACGCGGGCTCCGAGGAGCGACGCGGCGCTCGAAGCCGCCATGACCACAGTCGAAACAACAAGGCGACTACCAAGTTTGGCGACTTCATCCTGGGAAATACCATTGGTGAAGGAGAGTTTGGAAAGGTGAAGCTTGGCTGGAAGCAGGATAGCAGCGTGCAAGTGAGTCTTGATTCTATTCTTTTAATCCCCATAACCAGATTGTGTGTGAGAGAGAGAGAGAGTGAGAGTGAGATTAAGATGAGGGAGAGGGACGCTGGACAAGGGAGCTACTACTAAAAAAACAACTGGCAATGCTAACATAAACTTTGTACAGGTTGCCATTAAACTCATCAAAAGAGATACCGTAGGCCACAACCCAACTCGGTTGGCCAAGATTAAGCGCGAAGTCACTATTCTCCGCGGAATTCACCACCCAAATATCGTGCGATTGATAGACATGGTTGAAACCGATAGATACATTGGCATTATTCTCGAATACGCATCTGGAGGCGAGCTCTTTGACTACATTTTGAACCACCGTTACCTAAAAGACAACTCAGCACGCCGACTCTTTTCTCAGCTGGTCTCTGGAGTGGGCTACCTCCACAAAAAGGGCATTGTGCACCGTGACCTCAAGCTAGAAAACTTGCTCCTGGATCGCAATCGAAACATCATCATTACTGACTTTGGCTTTGCCAACACGTTTGACTCTCACGATGAGCTCTCTGAGGAGGAAGAGCTGAATCTATCGGATCGCGACTTTGTCAAGCGGCTGGGTCTTGACAAGATCAAGTCTAATGGCATGCGCAAGGGTGATTTGATGCAGACCAGCTGTGGAAGTCCCTGCTATGCTGCACCAGAGCTCGTCGTGAGCGATTCGCTGTATACCGGAAGAAAGGTTGATGTGTGGAGCTGCGGTGTCATCTTGGTGAGTACAGACTCCTTTCTCCTCTCCTCTTCAGATCAAATAGCTAATGACTCTGGGAAATGACAAATAGTATGCCATGCTTGCTGGCTATCTTCCCTTCGACGACGACCCTGCTAACCCCGAAGGCGATAACATCAACCTTCTCTACAAGTACATCGTTACGACACCACTGACATTCCCCGAATACGTGACACCACATGCACGAGACCTATTACGGCGAATTCTGGTGCCCAACCCGAGAAAGCGAGCCGATTTGTTCGAGGTGGCGCGCCATAGCTGGTTGAGCGAGTACGCTCACGTTGTCGAGTTCATTACCAGCTCAACCACTTCTCCATCCGAGGTCCAGAGCGTCAGCGCCACAGGCTCTGACTATGCCGAGGCCCCCATGGTCACGAGAAGCGCTTCTGTCCGCGAAGCACCCAAGCAAAAGACTCCCCAGCCATCTGCTGTTGGTGGCCTGGCGAAGGCGCACGGCAAGATCGATTCTCCTCCCGAAAGTACCCAGCGCACTCCCAAAGACGCCAAACGCCGCACCGTCCAGGTCGAGTACGTCGCTCCCGTCACTCGGACACAGCGTGGCGGCCTCGAGCCAGAGGTTGCCGGGCATCAGTCTCGGCCGACTTCTCGACATCATCAAGAGACGGAAGATTTGTCGGTGGAAGACAGGCATGTTTCACACTCACGGCCGCAGTCAAAGAGAGGACCGGCTCCAGCGGCGCAAACGACGGGATTGCTTCAACCGATACGGCCGACAAGGGATGTTCGTGCGGCCTCGGACAACACATTTTCCATCAGCGTCCCTGCGGCGAACACCAACCGGCCCCGCACTGGCAATTCTCGGGAGTCTGCTACTTCAATTGGCCTGCAGTCTGGAGGCAACTATGGCCAGCCCGCTCCCCCTGCCATCGCCGACACCAATGTTCAAGGCCGCATTCAACAGCCTACCAATGCTGAGGAGGATGCCATGGAAAGGACCAATACCAACGTGCCCCCCAAATTTGCGAGGATGTCAGGCTTCCATGAGCCTAAGAGCAGTGATGGAAAGGGACACAAGAGGTCCAATACGATAGGAGACATTGGCTCGAAGCTCTTGGGTCGTAGCGGGTCCATGTTTGGACGCAAGGGAAAAAAGGCCGAACAAGCAACCGAAAAATCCAAAAAGTACCCTCCTATCAGCATGGCCAATTCTGGAATGGTGGCAGCAACGGGACCGGAGGAACCCCAGTCACGGCGGTCGATAGACTCAAAGGCCTCACGCCGATCCTTTACCCTTGGGCTTGGAAAGAAGAGGAGCGGCAGTATAAACGGTTCTCAAGACTCGATTGTCGATAAAAAGGAGCGCCGACGATTTTCGCTTCTCCCCGCATCCTTCTCCCTCAAGTCCTTCAATCCTCCCAAGGACTATGGGAGCGGCCCTCCTTCCGAGTATCAATCTCAGCAAGACCTGCCCATCCAGAACCCTCGCACTGCTGACCTTGGACGGAGCGTCACATCTCACGGAGGCAGCACACCTTTCTTTGACAATGCATACGACGGCCAGCCATTAGATACGGCCGTTTCTCACCCGACCCAAAACAACAACCTGGCCCCGGCGGATGCTGCCAGGCGACCCAATGCCATCCCTCCGTACTTGCAACAAGGCACCCATCTCAACAGCGCATCCGATACCTCAGTAGAGCTGCGCCCGCCTCCTGGAGCTAGGCAGGGCCCTTATCAGTACGGATACACTCAGTCTGAAGGCTTTGATGGACGCGGAATCAATTCTAGCAGAGGAGTGTTACAGAAGCCTCACAAACGCTTTGTTGATGCCTACGACCAGGGAGAGTACCGAGGCCACGAGGGAAGCAGTGGAGCTGCCAAGCGTGTCATGGACTTTTTCCGGAGACGAGGCAAGGCCAGAGGAGGAGATGACCGATAACGGTGCGCCTGAGACGGGCGTAAAGCAGATGTTTCATCACGATTTCGTGTCGACCCAGATCGAAAAAAAAAAACCTACTGCTACGTCTCCTCCGAGGGCCTCGGCTCCTTGGATCAACCGGATGCGTTTCGTGGCTTTGTTGTTGTCTTATATATTTCTTTTCTGAGCAGGAGGGCATCGCCAAATTTTTGTCAACATCAAGTTGTAATCATCAAAGCGCGCAAAGCAGATATCATTCGGCCTATTTAATTCTTCTCGTTGACGAAAGCCAGCCAACATAGCAGCTCTCCATCTTTACAGGGGCCTACTGTGGGGAAGTTTGGCATGCCTTGTTTGGCAATTTTCTTTTTACTTTCAATTTTCTCGCCTTTCCTTTGTACTGTATTTTCGTTTAGCATGATCTTGCAAATCGTATATTGCGCTCGTGTGGAGGCTGTTATGAACAAAATTACACACAAACCAAAGCACCTCGACTGGATCTGGTTGTGGGATATTCGTGATGTGGTATATCAGAACGCCCAAGGTACTATTTACTTGCTTATTTATTGTTTTGTATCTCTTTTTTTTTTCAAGCTTAGTAGAAAGTTTGATACAGTATGTTGGGATTATTGTTCGGTATACCCGAATTGGTGTGTACTTGTATTTGTCTAGTCTTTTCTTGTTTTTTTTTTTCTTGTGCTGGGCAGCATTTTGGCAGGGCAAATTGAGCGGAGTCTATGAGGTGACAAAGATGCGCATATAAGGGATGGGGGTGGAGGTGAAGAAGAGAGAGCTGTGATTTGTTTTTACTTTTTTTTCATCGTTTGAAAGGGGCAGAAAGAAGAATAAATATGAGGAGTATTTTCGCGCGCAAGATGAATTCTTTAGTTTCCGTATTGAGTGATAATTACTTGTAATATGATCGTTTCTGGCTTATTACTACCAGGCGTATAGATAAGGCTGTATTCTTTAAATTTATTATTCACGGCTGAAATGTATCGGATAGAGATGCCGCGGACTCATTCTCGGGTGAAACTGTGCCCAATTCTAATGCATGTCTGGTATCATCCACAGACAGATTTCTTTTGGCATTGTATGTAAGTAGATGGCAATTGCATTCGACGGATAATTGATGCCGAGTCTCTGTTTCACCACGTCTGTGTACTGAGAACGAACGGCAAGAGAGCCGCATTCCTTGGCCCTGCGCTTCGTTTCACAGAGGTTTGTCTGACGGGTGCTTGAGGACAGACTACGTCACTTGATGTTGCCTTGCACTCGATAAAAGAAAATCCAGGGGCCTCTGGGAGCACACGAACTTTACGGGAATTTGCTATAGATTGCAAAAAAAATGATGAATGCTACATCCGAAGTAAAAAAAAGTCCGGGCAGAAATTCACCGAGAAGTGCGAAATACGCGTTTTGACACGAATTGACACCAAAAACGTCATACACGTGGTAGTGTGGCTGATGCTCCTTGTTTTTCTATGGCGTGTATTGTGGCGAAGCTACGGTGGGGCGGATGAGGCTTAGCTGCTGGAAGAAGCTTTCCCGTTTTGGGAACGAGGCTCGCATGGGATTTCCTGCTTTGGGACGGGAGGGATTCGAGTGTTTGTTTCTTTCTTTTGTTTTAGATGGGCAATTTTACGCGGTTGGGAAGTATGTTTGGCGTTTTATTTCAATCTTTGTTTTTGGCAATTGATGGATGGACGATGACAGCCTTTCTTTGTTGAATGAAATCTGCCGAATAATTGATTCGTACACGTATAAAATACGCGGAGTGAAAACAAAGAGAAGGGGGAAGCGGTAGACGACCCTTGGAGACGCGCGTGGGGTTCCTGTTTTCTTGATAAAGCTTGGATCGTTTCCTTGGAGTTGTGGGGATGGGCTGAGCTGAAGCTGGCACTAACAAACTACGCAGGACGGACGGCAGATAACTTGTGTATGCCGATTTGTGGAATGCAAGTGCCGTTGGAAGGTTGTAGTCGCTTCGGGAGTTTTTATTTTGGGTGAGAGTGTGACTGCGGGTGAGAAGGAGGCGATCCTTCTGGGCCGTGGTTTGCAGGCCTTGTTTGTCTCATCCCGGCCGATGTGTCTCGGGAATCGGGCTGCTGTCCAAGGGGGGGGGGGGACGATTCGCTTTTCTCGATTAGATATTAATGGTTGCTTCTCACATCTGCGTTCAATGTGTGATTGTACGCTGTCGTTGTAACACAAAATGATGACGACGCTGGATGACCAGCACTGAAAAAACTTGAATGTACATTCTGTGCTACCAATGACTGAATCGAATGGCGGTGGACAGAGCCGGCTGTTTCGTCCACGGCGCATTTCTTGCACGCCGATTACAGCGCCAAGACGCCAACGTGTTGTTGCGCCCACTGCGAATGCCTGCTGGTGCTGGTCGCTAGCGCATAAACAGCGGAGCCTTGGCTACGCTGCGATGATGTAGCCCTAGGGGAGGAGGGCGGCTGGTGATTGGGCGCTGTTCCAAGCCCGACCTTGGTTGCGTCTCTCCACTAAGCTTAAAGGTTATGGAGCTGAAGGTGAACCCTGGAATCAATAGGGAGTTGGGGCTACGAGATGCTGCGTGTAGTGGTTTACTGGTATTACTAGCAACAGTTGGATGGGAAATACGTGCGAATGGTTCATGTGATGCCGTTGGGTATTCCGGTGCTGGCATCGCTACAATAGAGCGTGCCGGATTCGATAGCGGCATTGTGGCGCCGTCAGTGCACTGCGCTCCAGCGGGCGTGGCCAGGCACAGGCATTGAACGCAGATAAGGTGCCAGGCTACGGAGGCCCGTCTATCGTGGCGCCGTCCCCACCCCTGCGTGTGGCCGCCCAGCGTCATCCACATTCCCCGTTTGTCTCGTCTCACGCTACCGCAACAGTCACGGCCGCCGCCTTCTCGACGACTTAAAAAGGGATCCCGATTCCCGCCTCTCATTGTGCTGTTGGCTTTTGACTCCCTGCCTTCTCTCTCTTTTCCTCCTCTCTCCTCTCAATTCCCTCTTTTCCCCAAAGGGTCTTTGAACCTCTTGTGCAGCCTATTCTTGGCAATACACACAATCCCTTGCTGGATTGCTTCGCTTCTTCCCTGGACCTTTTGCCACCCGCGTGCTCGCCGCTCTCCAACACCTGTTCGATGAAGGAAGCCTCATCCGACCCCGATATAGCTTCCAAACGCTTTGATGCTCAGCCCGTAGCGAATGGACTCTCCGACCAGCCGGATACCGAGCTCCGTGACTTGTCTGCCTCTGCCGCAACATCTCCAAACAACCTCCAGACACCCGACACTCGCAATGCCGGCGCCGTGTCTCCCCTCAGCAACGATGCTCCCTTCATCGTCAACAAGATCCCCGACAAGGACTTCCTCAAGTCGTCGCTCAAGCCCAAGAAGCGCTCGACAGCGCCAACCGCGCAGGATGAGAGGCCGGGGTCTTTCGTAGGAACCAAGGAGGCCCACGAAAGCACCCTTGCCCCCGAAACCACCAATTCCGACGACGGAATCGAGAATGAACAAGACGGCCAGAAGAAGCGCACCTTTGTCCAAGAGTTTCGTAGATCCTTCTGGCTCGTCATGACCCACAGCTGGTTCAATGTCCTGCTCGTATTCGTGCCCCTGGGCATCATTCTCGCCAACATCAATGGCATTAATAGCGGCATCGTCTTCGCCATGAACTGTATTGCCGTGATTCCCCTCGCTGGCCTGCTCGCTTTCGCGACCGAGTCGGTGGCCAGTAAGATGGGCGACGCGCTTGGCGCTCTGCTCAACGTGACGTTTGGCAATGCCGTGGAATTGATCATCTTCATCATTGCCCTGGTCAAGAATGAGATCCGTATCGTCCAGGCATCTCTGCTGGGCTCCATTCTTGCCAACCTGCTCCTCATTCTGGGAATGGGCTTTTTCCTCGGTGGTTTGCGCTTCCGAGAGCAAGTCTACAACAGCACCGTTACTCAGATGAGTGCCTGTCTTCTCAGTTTGAGTGTCATCAGTCTGGTCTTGCCTGTGAGTTGCATATCTCACCACCATGCCCTTCTTTAAGCCAATTGCTAACTCCTTTCCAGACGGCTTTCCACGCATCATTCAACGATGCAAGCTTGGCGGACCGCCAGTCACTCAAGATCAGCCGCGGTACCAGTGTTGTAAGTTGAAATCCTCGTTGTCAAAATGCATCAACCGACCTCTAACCAAACATGGCAGATTCTGTTACTGGTCTACGCCATCTATCTTCTTTTCCAGCTTAAATCCCACGCATACCTCTATGAGTCGACTCCTCAGAATATTGTCGACGCCGAGTCAGTTCCAGGCCCTGCCGCTGCATGGCTGGATGCTTCAAGCTCGGAGTCTAGCTCTGATTCCAGCTCTGATTCCGATGACTCCAGCCACTCCCGGGACACTGTCCGCCGTGCGATGAGAAAGGTTCTCCGCCATGGACGCAGAAGAAAGTCGTCTGTTGCTTCCGTGGAAACTAGCGAGCTTCCCACCAGGACTTCGTCTTTCGGAACCAATGCCACTAGCCCTCAGGAAGAGTCTTCTGAAACATCTTCGCGCCCTCAATTCCCTAGGCTTTCTTCAACTGATACCAATGAGGAGGTTATCGAAGATGACGAGAGGTCCCATCGCAAGCACAGAAGACCCAGCCTTCGCCACCTGCGCAAAAAGAGCAAGAAGCAGCGTCGTCACCACCAGCGTGACGCCGAGGGAGATGCCCAACAGACGATTACCGAACAGCCTGATCAGAGCTCGCATGGAAATGGAGAACCTCGCCGTGTCGACTTTGCTATTCCCAACGACGCAGAAGCTACCAACAGTGGCAACGAAGCTGGCAATGGATCCAAGCGACCGACGTTCCCTGCTCTGCGCTCTGTGTCTGTGAAGAATTTGGCGCCCACCGTCTTCGTACAGAAGCCCGGGTTGGATCCCGTCTCTGCGGTTCCCGCTGGTCCGGTGCCTCGTGTTCGCTACGGTGTCCGACGAACCAACTCTCTTCCTGACAGGCTGAACCACCAGCTTCGACCTCCCGGTGCTATGCTGCCGGCTCAGGTGCCATTGGCTGCTGTGAGCCGCTCACTGAGCGGAATCAAAGAAGAAGAGGAGGAGGAGCACCTTACCCAATCGGCTGCAATCATCCTTTTGCTTGTCACCACTGGCCTTGTCGCAGCGTGTGCCGAGTTTCTCATTGGTTCCATCGAAGACGTGGTTGCTACGTCAAGTGTCGGCGAAGTCTTTATCGGTCTGATTGTCCTACCCATTGTCGGTAACGCAGCCGAGCACGTCACATCCGTCACCGTCGCAATGAAGAACAAGATGGATCTGGCCATCGGTGTCGCCATTGGCAGCTCCATCCAGATTGCCATCTTTGTCACTCCCCTGGTCGTTATCCTCGGCTGGATCATGGACAAGCCGATGACGTTGTATTTCACCCTGTTTGAGACGGTTTGTCTCTTTGTGTCAACGTTTATGGTCAACTTTCTTGTTTTGGACGGCCGCAGTAACTACCTTGAAGGCGCTCTGCTGTGTGCAGTCTACTGCATCATTGCTGTTGTGGCCTACTTTTACCCGTCTGGCGCGGATGCCAGCGCGTGGGGGAGCTAGTCGACTATAAACGCCGGCTAGCCAGTCCTTTTACATGCCTAGGAGGCTCTCTTTCTGAACAAGTACTGTGGGCTTTTATGTCGAAACGTATAATGAACGGAAAACCATTAGTGAGATGGTTGCGAGAGTGACCTAGGGAATGAATAATGTGAGCTTGGTAACGAGCATGTCGACTAGTATTAGTTTATGCAGATGTCTGTACACGCTGAAATATTTGGAATATAATTGGTTCACATGATTAGACATGGGATTTTTGGGTAAAGTAAATAATATGCGTATCTTACGCAACGTAATACGCGGTAAAAGGATGAGATTTGGCAGCAGAACTAGTCACTATTTGAGTAGAGAAACAGGTTATTTCTTATTCATCAAACATTGTGTCACAAAGATGGTAAAGAAACTGCCATTTGCTTAATCATTGCTTTCATTATCGCATACAAAGTTCGGCCGTTCAACACGAGCTTGGAGACTTAAATACACGACGTAAAACCGCCCTTCCGCCCTTTGTCCCAGATAACTAACCAACCAAAAGAAAAAAAAAACAGAAAAGTAAAAAGAATAACTATACGCCCTTATAACCATTTTTATACTGACCGCCAGACTGCAGCTCAAAGAGCAGTCAAAAGAAAGCGAGATACAATAGAAGGAGGTAAAAAGAAACTGATTCCTTTATCATATCAGAGCACACAAACGTGAAGGACAAGCCATCTAGGCAAGTCTAGTAGATGGGAAGAGAACGAAAGCCAAAGACTAGAGAGCCCGCAGCATTCTCATGCAAGGTATCATGATTCGAGTAAGAACCAGAAAGGAAAACCGAGAGCCAACTTGCTAAAAATAGAGGCGACAATCTTCTCCGCAATTCTGTAGTTGCGGTTTGTAGGTAACACAAGATGATGTAGAATAAGATGAGCGCGAATGAAGGGATTGCTCTTCCAGAAGCCCTTTCTCTCGTCGCTCGTGTCGAGACAGCTGGAGAAACAATGGACGGCAGGAAGAGCAGCAGCTTAGGCTACTACAGCTGAAAAACGTTGGTTACTCAAGTGCTCTTAGTCTTCTTGCGTCCCGACTTCTTGGGCTCCTCCTTCTCTGGCTCGGCGGCCTTGGTCGATGTCCTCCTCCGCTTCTTATCCGGGCTGGCGGGCGCAGCGACCTTGGGCGTCTCTACCTCAGCGGCAGGGGTGGCAGTCTTGCGCTTGCGGGTGGAAGCGGGCTTCTTGGGGGTCTTGGCTGGGGCCTCCTCCTCGTTCTCAGAGGGGGCGGCGGCGACCTGCTGCAGCTGCTCGGCAATAGCATCCTGGTCATTGACGGGGGCATCAGACTGAGCAGCGGCCTCCTTGAGCTCTGGCATGGGAATGTGGAAGTCTTCGGCGTACTTAAGCGCCTCCTCATCGCTCATGTTCTTGGCCAGGGGGTTGCCGTTCTTGTAGGAGTGAACACGGGCATTGTAGAGGCGCAGGTTGTACTGGTAGGCGTTATTCCAGCCCTGCTTCTCCTGAGGAGTCATGTGAGCCCATCGTCGCTGGCCCTCTTCCTGGACAGCGCCCTTGGGGGCATCGGCGCCAAGGTCGTTGGCAATGATGGAGCGGGCGTGCTGCATGTAGAGGAAGTAGGGGGTCAGGGGGCGCTTGGGGGCGTTGGGGTCGTGAGTGCGCTTCTTGCGCTCCTTCTTCTCCTCAACGAGGGGGGTCATGTCTGGGATGCCAGGCATCATGAGCTGGGCGGCGGCATTCTCAAAGGTGTTGAGGAGGTCGCCCTGGGGGCCCTCAGCAGTGCCCTCGCCGAGCAGAAGGTTGGTCTGGCGAATGTAGTCATTGGTGAAGGACCTCAGCAGCTCCAGGATGGTGGTGAGTCTGCCAACAGCCTGATTGATCTTGTTAGTGATGAGCTTCGAAAGATTTTGTTTTGCTGGGGAGCAAGAGAATATGACGGCAGCGGTCGGGATGAGCCAAGGCTGGAGCTAAAGCAAGGCCGCAGAGCTCTCTGGAGTGGAGAGCTATAGCTTGCAGGTTCCCACTAGGAAACAGCTCCAGGCGGCACGACTCGGCGAGACGCGGGGCTAGGCCAGCATCGAAATGTAAACAATTGAGGGGCTGGCAGCGCAGGTCGCGCGCGTTCGGTGAGGCGCAACGAAAAAAAGGAACTTGTGCAAAGGGAATTGTCTGTGCCTTTTCTCTTGTCCTCTTTGGCGAGAAACGAGGGCTTTTGTCTCGTCTCAGCGTTCCACAGGCGGCAGAAGCGAGGCACATTGCCACACATTTTTTAGCCAAGAGACAAATCCCGGCTCGCTCGACGTCACTCGAGCTTGCCACTCGGCAGGAGCCCTCAAGAAAGAAATGGCAAGAGCGCACATGCAGTCCCTGGCGCTAGTGCGCGCGTTCTGTCTCCGCGTCCCTCGTTTCCATCCTTTTTATCTCTCTTTGAAGTTGAAGATGCAGTGGGAGGTGGAATTGAGATCTCAATCAGACCAGTTCAAGTAAAAGTCACAAACTCACCGAATCGCGCACGCGGAGGAAGCTGTCGTTGTCGACTACGCGCTGGGGCACGCCAGACACAACAGGCGCGGGAACTACTGCTGGGTGCAGGCCGCCGACGACGGGCGCGGGAACCATGGTGGGAGGAGGCACGACGGCAACGGGCAGGGCCTTGGCCTTTTCCTCGGCGGACTTCTTAGGCGGGCGAGGCATGGTGGATGATGACGATTTTGGTGGTTGCTAGTGGCGCGGTGCTGCTGGAATTTTGGGCGCGTTGCTGTGCGGTGCGCCTCTTGTAGCTTCTTGCTTTGCTGCTCTGTAGGGCTCAAAAAGGCAGATGCGCTGTTGCGATGTTCTGGCAAGAAAAAGCCGCTGGAAGCGATCTAAAGGATAGCGGGATGAGGGTGAAAAGTGGTGCGGCTTGGGGGGATTGATGGGAGGGGAAGAGTGCTGAAGAACGGGGGAAAATAGAATTTCGGGGGTTGGGGCTGGGTGGTGGGTGGTGCGCCCAATAAGTACCTGAGCCGGCAACCTTGGGTGCGCGCGCAATCAGCAAGTGGCAGCCGCAGCGGTCGATTTTTTTTCTCCTCTGGGCGCTCATTTTTTTTTTTTTTTTGGGCTGGCGCCCCTCCCAGCCCCCTCCCACACCCTCCAAGGCCAGGTGGTACTCCGCTATTTTTGCGGTGATTGATCGTGCTAACAGCACCCGCTGCATTTTCTGGCGCGTACGCAGACAGTCGACTGGCTGCTTCGACTGGAAGCCGAAATCTCTGCACAGCCGCCAGGCTCCAGCCCAACCAGAGGCCCATCCCGCTCGTGCACTGATTTTACTTGAAGCAGCGGCTGCTTGCGCTGCTATCAATGGCCCTCTGTCCGAAAGACGGCCTTATTGTGCCCTGCCCTGCCCTGCTCTGATAGCGAGACCCCGCACTGCGCCCGTGGCCTGTTCCTCAGCACAGCAGCGAGGCCGCTGGACGCGCTGCGCTCTGGCCACTGGGACCTGTAGCCGGCCGCGGATATCCGCACGATAAACCGACCGGGCGCCCTGCTGTAGTGCTTCAGCAGAGGCAGCCCCTCAGCTGTTGCGTTGCTCATGGCACGCTCAGCTTACTCGTTGGCATGGTGGAAGTTGACCTGAAAGCCAGCTCGCTGCGTTGAGGCCATTGTCTGCCGACAGAGCACCTAAACCCTCCTGTGAATTTTCCGTCGCAGCACAGAGCCCATCTCCATCCGCGCCAAACCAGCGGCCAGAGCTTTCGACAGCAGCAGCCTACATCACGACAGCACCATGCAGCCTAGCAGCTATCAACAGGCCTGGCAGATCCAGCATAGCCCAGCCGCTATGCATCTCAGTGGGCGGTCAAGTCGCCCGCTCCACCTGCACCTTCTTTCCTCTTCGCTGGACTTTTTCTCTCGTCCGGACACACATCATTTTATACAGAGCACTTCGTACTTTGTGCGTACTCTCCTATTATTTCCGATGCAAGGCCATCTCATATTGTGATCGTGTCACATGATGTTGGCGTCGTTGTTGGTTTTTGAATGCGCCATGTTGTCTCGATGGATTTGCTGCGCGCCTTGTGCTGGTTTTTTGCTGCTGGCGTGTCCATTACTGACCCTCTGGAGCCGCCTGTTCTCGAGCTTGGTGGTCCAGCAATACCTGCCAGCTACCTTCTGAAATGCCCCCGGAGATGGCGTTCACTCTCTGGAGATTGATCTCAGCCAGTGCTGGGGGCAGTCCCGTTGATCGAGTCTGCACGGTTACACTGGGACGGACAGCACCCGACAGGCCAATTGAAGCCCAAGAATGCTAGCGGTCATCGGGGGTCTCTGGCGCCGCGGCGTACGTGGCGTACATCTCAGCACGATGATGAATGCCCCTCATCACTGGAGTTTCAGCGCCTAAAAGCGGCAAGTCGCTGCAACTGAGCAGACCGCTGTCTGATGTTTACCGCTGGCTGGGCTTGCTGATCCAGATGTCAGCGGGCGATGGGCGAGGACTGAAAGCTGCACGGCTGGAATCAAATCAGCCAGCGAGCGAGCCCTTGGAAATGCCTTGGGCGCTCGCTCTTGCCTTGAGCCCTGCACAGGCTTACCCCGCCTCTGGGCGCACCTGATCGTCCGACTCACTCGTTCCTTCCCTCTCTGTGGTCCAAGTCGATGATGTTCGACTGGCTGAATTGGTATTTTTGCGCTGTGAAATGCGAGAGGGCACCGGCAATTAATACTGAGCTGTGCTCTCATAGGCACACGTAGCTAAGCAAGCTGCCACGAGGTAAAATAGATTGCACGCTGGAGTGAAAACGCGCCTGTAGATGGACTTGATCAGTCCCTTGATACCACCAATGCCATCCAGCCTGAGCAGCTCGGAAGCTCTATGACGACGCTGCTCGAAAGCCCGTAGCACATCTACCGAGGACATGTAAGCACCAGTCTGGCAGCGCAGGCTTTGAGACAGCAGCATCCTCGCCAGATCAGCGCGTGCATCAAATCGAGATCTGGCCGGCGGGTGGCAGAACTAGAAATAGCATCCATCAATCTCTTATTTCATTCTTCTCAAGTTCCAACTACGCTGATTACTCGTTAAGTGATTGCTTCACCACCTACAATGAACTCGACGCGCTACCGTTTATCAGGCTCTTGTCGGGCAGTAACTGGCGGGCTGTTTAGCATCAGCTGGTGCGTTTCTGCATCCATGTAGGCACTTGGCTGCGGGCATGTGGCAGTTCTCAGCAGCTTCAGTGCTGTTCCATCCAGAATTAGAGCACCAGTGCTCGTATTGATCGTCTCAGCTGTCATCAAGCCTGCATAGCCAGCACCGTCTTTTCAGCGGCAGCTTCAGCTGTTCGCAGCCCTCGCGTTTACATATACCTGCCACAGTGAAGCACTTCTCCTAGGGCGGTCTTGCCATCACTCGTCATCATGGCTCCTGTTCTATTCTTTTACAGATGCGTGAGAGATCATCTTCCTACCATGTACCTTGGTACTCATAACAGACGATGACAGACGAAGCATGTAGATGTTAGTATCGCAGATCTGGTCTTTGTGGAGAGAGCAAGAGCATCGAGTTTTGCGTTATGCTCAAGCACTCACCCATACCAGATTCTTTCATCCGAACGATGCAATGATCCAGATGGAATCATACACAGAGATACAGCAGTCATTGCGGCGCCGAAAAGACAAAAAGCAATCTTGACAGACAAGGCTGTGGCTTGCGTCAATAAGAATTGTGCCTCACTATTGCACGTATAGCATCTGAGGATGCTCAAGCAGATGGTTCCTTTCTCTTTGTGTCCTTACGGTCTTGATTGCGGTTGTTGAAGACTTTTCAGCGGACCGCGTATCATTCTCTGTTTGATGCGCTGTGTATCACATACTCGCCCTACTTTGCTAGCAAGCTGCCGGACAGCTCTTTAATCGACAGGTTTCAGCATCGTAGTGGGCACGCGATGCGGCGCCACAAACCAACTAAAGGGAAGTCGGATTTTATAGCGGGGGGTTATGAAACGGCAGCAACATGCAGTCAGCCAGAGCTTGAGGCGAGAGTGTGGGAGGATGAATCATCAGGCCTACGGTACACGGGCCATCAGGCAATATCGTTCTCAGCTCAGCTCAGCTCAGCCTTGTCATCTACAGCCTCCATCTGCGAATGCCTCGCTAGAAGCTCTCCATCTTGGACGGCATCTGCAACGCGTCCAAGTTCAGTGTTGTCGTTTTAAAAACAAAGTATCAAGTAACCTTACCGCCGTCCCACCGCCGCCGCCACTCAAAATGCGCTTCCATCATGCATCAAAGCACGACCCCTGGCCGGAAGAGATAGCGTCTGCCACAAGCGCGGCCAGGTACCTGCGGTTTGTACATACTAGCAGTAAAAGTATGCCGATTCCTCCAGGCGCACAGATATCTTCATCCCCCACCGCCGCACAGATATCTTCATTCCCCACCAGCGCACAAGCCCGTCTCAAGTGTGCCGGCACCGTTTCCTCGGCCCCTTGCAACATGATTTCATCTGTCCACGGCTGGCCATTCATGTCCCACGATGCTCGCCAAGACTCCAGCGGTTTCCGGGGCCTGGCGCTCCTGGTTGGGCCCCGGAGCATATGCCAAGACCTGCTCTGACGGCTGATCCAGCTGCCGATTGGGCGAGCTTCGTGGTCCGGTGCTACTACCAGACGAAATGCCCCTCCATAACGCCCCTCCTTCGTCCGTTTTTCGTCTCCTCCGCCTGGGATCTGTTTTCTTTAGAAGTCTGATTATTCCCTCTTATTTGTCTTCTTCTCTTTCTCTTCTCCTCCTCCCCTATTTTTCCTGCTGAAGCTTGTACCAAAACAGCTTGCGTTATACAACCTACATATCTGGTATCTATATCTACCTTACTTTAACAGCGACAAGCTGGGTACGACATTCCACCGACATCGAATAGTCGGGCCATAGCTTTCAAGGAGTGACACGATGATCGACTTTAGAGCGCCTGGCTTTCTCTTGGGGCTGGTGCTCCTTGTTTGCTTGGTTCAGCCGGCAGCAGCTTTCGGCGCCGGTAACATTGCATCCATCTCCAAGGTTGAGGGCCAGAACTGTACGTCGTCCCCCTGGAGTGCTTCCAGCCTTTCGTATAGCTAATTGCCACATCTACAGGGCGACACGGTGACATCGAAGATGCGCTGCTCACCCTAGCCATGGCTCATGCCATCAAGGGCGGCCAGAAATTCAACAAGCGAACCGTCTCCCGAGTGTACTTTGGCAACTGGCTGCGTGACTACTCCCAGGCCATTGATGTTGCCACTGTCAAGATGGTGTCTGCCGAGGCTATCCGACTGCTTCTTTGCGTTCTTGGCTTCATGTCGTTTGGCTACGGCTCTGGAGAGTTCGAGGTCACGGCCGAACGTCTCGGGTGCTATCGTCCTGAAGACCACATTGACAACCCCAAGGGCTACGCAGAGGGCGAAGATGCCCGTGATTATGATCCCCGCCTGAGAGGCCCTATTGATGAGGAGACCGAGCTTGCTATCGACCCCGAAACCGGCATGAAAAACTACATTGCCAACGAGCGAGTCGGCATCATGACTTCTGCCAGACATGTGCGCCTTCTATTCGGTCGCTGTATCGAACTGGCTCGCGAATACAAGCACTCGGGAAGCAAGCCAGAGCTCTATGAAGCGCTCCGGTTGATGGGAACTGGTCTTCACTGTCTAGAAGGTGAGCATAATCCATGATCAAGAGAACAGCCTCGTTTGTTTGACATAATAATACATGGCCAAATACATAGCCTGCGGGCTATCCGTGCCAACTTACCTCTTTCCAACCCGAGGAGAAAAAACCAATAGCTAATATTATTGCAAATAAATAGATTTCTTCGCTCACAGCAACTACACTGAGCTCGCGCTTATTGAAATGGGCGAGCGCGGGATCTTTCCCCATGTTGGCAGCAACACTCAGATTCAACTGGAGGGTGCCCGCCATTCGGTTTATCCTATCGTAACTGGTACATTCGGAGGTGTGGACTTCCTCCACTCTGTCACTGGAGAAGGTAGGCACGGATTCAAATTATGGTGATAATTTGATATCATCATAACTAACGCTTTCCAGTATCCGATAAGTTGACTCAGAACGAGATCGACGAGCTTGAGGGAGCACTTAACGAAGGCAAGATGGGAGATACTAGCCTTCTTCAAACTCTCCTCAGCAAGCTTCCCCCCGGCATCCTTCCTGGAAGCAATCAGGGAGACAAACTCAACGAGATCCAATCGAACGCGGCTGCCGCCCAAGAAGAACACCAGCCAGTCTCTCCAAAGGATACCGAAGAATTCACCATGTATATCCAAAATATTTTCAGAGCGATCATGCCCGCCATTGAATTCCACGATAGCATCATGAAGAGCATTAGCTCTGCGGTTGAGAGAATTCCTATTCTCCCCAAGATTATCGAACAATTAGAGGAGCAGCTCTCCGTTTTCGTCTTCTCCATCATCGCGCCCTTTATTGTACCCCTGATTCACCAGATCAAGAACGAACTACAGACGGGATCCTATGAAATTATTGAGAGCAGCCAGAAAGAGCAGCATGTCGTTTTCAACGACGACTACTCTTCTAACCCTACCCATTCAATGCTCTCCAAGGATCATTTCTCTAACGTAGGTCTTATCTGTGTATCTATCTAGGGGAAAGTCATCGATTGCTGACACTTGTACAGATTCTCAACGAGATTGCTGGCCGAAGTGCCGCCAGAATGCTCCACTGGGTTGTGCCACAGCTTATGGAAGCCATTGATGACGAATCTGTCGATGTCAGCCGCATGCTAGATCGTATTGTCAACGGTGTCATGCACCACCCCGCTCAGCGTGAGATGGGTCACGATGGTGTGCGCGAGGCGCGACAGCTCATCTTTGCGACTGTACAAGAGTGGTGGCGCGACATGGGCGAGGAACAACAAGAAGATTACCGCCGCAAGCTCTCTCCCCAAGGTGTCTTCAATGGCGAAAACCACAAGGAGGGTGTCAACGATACTGGTCACGGTTGCGGTAAGCTGAAGATGCGCAAGGAATTCCAGCCCCAGGGTGGCATTGAAGACGAGATTGCCGGCGCTGCTGCAACAGCCATCTTCTCGGGCGCTACTGGCGCCTTGTCCGGATTTGTATCTCAGAACACCGGTGTGGACTTTGGTTCTTCCCAGCATCAAGGGTCGGGCGGAGACGATGGTATCGGTGGTCTCATCAGCGGCTTGGCTGGTAATCTTCTAGGTGGTGCCTTTGAACAGGGGTCCACCAACAGAGAAACCAGTCGTGAATATGGAGAGGACGGTTCCTACACGCAGCGTCAGACAGAGTATGGCCAGCAAGGGGATCGATACGGGCAAGCTCAGTACACTCAGACCTATCGTCCCGACGGTGGACGTGAAACTGAGTACCAACGCTACGAGCAACAGGATTCTTCATCCGGAAACCGAGGCTATGGAAGCTCTGGCTATGAGGAGAGGAGAGAGACTCATGAGAGCTCTTATGAGACACACGAGCGTCGCACCGAACGCTACGAATACACCCAGTCTACAGAGGAAAGCTACGGCTATAGTGAGCGTAGAAGCGAGAGCAGGGGTTCTAACAGATCTCGCGATCACCACCGCCATCATAGCCACAGCCATCACAGGAGCCGCGATGAATCAGACTCCTACGAGAGGCGCGAAGATGACTATGAATCTGGCTATGGTCGCCAGCAAGATGACTATGGTCGCCAGCAAGATAGCTACGAGCGTCCGGAGGAGCGCTATGGTGACGACTACCGCGAGAGCAGACATCATCGCCGCAACGATGACGATGAAGAGAATGATGATGAGTACAAGATCCGCGATCACGGTGGCAACAGCGGCGGCTACAGATTCTAGATGGGTCTGGTTTTCGCTCCCCTGTGTCGGATAGTGTGGAGAAGAAAGGGGTAACTTGTAGTGTGGTGGAAGAGGAAAAGTAGAATATGCTAGCAGACGGCATAGACAGAAAAATATACCCATTTTGAGAGAAAGAACAATGCAATTTGATAAGTAGATGTGAGCTATAATCAATTTGTTTTGAATACGACTACTAGTAAATAGTATAGATCCGGCCGTTACCCTGGACAGAGGCTGGTCTGGGTTAGAGTAGATGGCGTGTATACGAGATGCTAGTGAAGACCAAGTCCATCCCACGACATGATTCTATAAATAAAATAAAGCTTGCTTCCAACTCAATCCTCTTTGTAAGGATTCACACCAAGGACAGTCAGAATTGAGTTGAGTTGATAACTGGGATTGCACAGCAGCAGTGGAGTACGACATATCGTTAGATCTGCAGAAAGTGGACTGATTATGACCGCGGGACTATGGGTCTCTTGACAAGCGCAGCCTTCAGAAGAAGGAAAAAAACCCTTTACGCAGCGGCTATCTCTGTAGACAAGGCCAGCCACGGCAATCCAAGCGAAGATCATGGAGAGTTTTGTAGCGAATAATACGAAGGATTTGCCTTGTTTGCCGGGGTGGCTTGCTCCACATGTGCTCTTTGGCAGGGCGATACGTTGATTTTGCAGAATCCCGGTGGCTTGCATTAGATTATAGAGGTAGGACGGGAGCCTGAGACAGAAGCTGGATCGGAAAACCAGCCCAGATGGAAATAGATATTGTAGCAAAGCTCAGCTGTTTTTGTATGGCTTTCTTCTTCTCCTTGCATTTATGTACTGTACATGCAGGATCTCCCAAATGTACCGGTACTACTACTGCAAATCTCCCTTTCCTGTAGTGCCGTCGGAAGAATCCACCGCCGATTCGAAGCCCGCGCCTCTTACTTAGTTCTCCCGCTCATTGGAAGAATCTCATTGGGGGCCAGCAATAGGCAGCTTGTGTTCGAGGACACCCTCAGCGAGCACTTTTTTTTGTGGTGCTTTTTTTTTTGGTGCGAGAGTCGATTCTACCTCTTACTTTGTGGTGGCATGAAGCTGAGGATTTTGGTGAAATGCGGGGAATGTATCGCAGTTGTCAGGTGGCAGCCCAGTGTACGAGCATACAAGGACGACGTTCCAAGGATACATGTACTGAGGATGCAGCAAGAGTGACGACATGAACAAATCAATACTTTTACGAGTTGATTACTGGCCTTTTCTAACGTGGCCTACGGTATGAAATGGCCTCCTACCTGTCCTTTTTTCTTCCTCCCCTTCTTCTGCTCTGCTTTTGCTCTTGAAGAGAGTACCACGGACACACCCACGGCTGGCTGAGCACATCCCGGCCAATGGGCAGCAGCTCGTGCTACACAAAATAATGGTCGGGAGGGAAAGACAAGCTTTTCTGTCGCCATCCGATTCGCCGATGTCTGACACGTCGTCGGGACCGAGAGCGAGTCGCGGCGCTTCTCTGGTTATGCAGGGCGGCCGAGATGGCTGCGAGCTGTTGCTGCTAGCAAAAGATGCCCAGGCAAGACCAGGCAGGTAAGTATTTGAACCGCTAGCGCAGGTTTGACGGCGTAATATAGGTGTATGGTAGCTGAATAGAAGAACCGAAGAAGCCGGGAGATGAGCTGGAGCTGGGCGGCCTTGAGAAAAACACTCTTGGGCTTGGGATATGAGACCGACGACTTGGATTGACTGATGGACCTGGACAGATAAAAGGCCAGCCAAGTAAAATCCACCTGTCGGATTATATCCGCGGCATTTCCTTGTGATGTGCGTTTTGAAACAGCCAGACGAGATACTATCGTCGACAGAGGGCCTTTGAGGTGCATGCAATAAACAGGCTCTGCTGCCTGGCTGCCCCTCCCTCCTGTTTCCCCGGGCCATCGTCCACCGCAGCCTCGATCGTTCCAGAGGGTCGACAGAAGACAAGGATGGGCCATCCCAGGATTAGCGCCAGGGCCCAAATGGCAGAAAAGCTGCTCTGGGGCTACATGTAGGCCTACTTATTCCGAGATGCTGCTACTGTAACTCGGAGGCTAACTATCCCCATCTCCCGGCCCCATTGGTGTTTCGAATTAGCTTTTTGGGCTCTCCTAGCAGCCGTTTCTTGTTTTTCTCTTTTTTGGGCCGTCGCTCTGCCAAGTTTGATAGGTGAGGTGATGAGAGCGGATACTGCTGCTGCTGGTACCACGTATCGGGATTCGGGAAAGCCGACCAAGCCGCGAGGGCTGGCGTTGATACTGTGCACGTCTAGTGCTGGCAGTAGGCAGTGTCGTAGTACGCATGTGAGAGATGGCATGATATTTACATGTGCCTGGTGGTGATTAGACGGAAGGGGCCTGTGTTTGGTGTAACCACGGCTTGATGGTACCTAGGTGATGTGATGTTGTCGATTTGATGGAGTTGAGCGCCGCCAAGCTTTATGCACGCGGCAGATTAAACTAGCAGTGCCGTTGACCTCTTAATAAGCCCACCTAGATATCATCTCCTACAGGCTGTTAAGGCGATTGCCAAGAGACGTTCCTCTGCAACCTCTGATCGGCCACTTGTGCATGCAGGCGCGATGCTCTTGGTGCTTGGCACAGAGTCTTATTGCCAATACATATGCAGTGCCTGTACGGCTTGTGATGCGCAATTCAATGGCTGTAGCACCCGAGTTTATTTCACCTACTAGCTTCTTTCATCTCGGAGTGCATGAAATGCAAATACTCGAGTATTAGGTACCTTTATGTATCTAGGTTGGCACCCACGAAGTACGCATGATATTCCCGTCCATGCTTTGTGCTCGCACATGGGTCTGTATCCCTCCTCTTGCCATTTAGCGCTTTACATGCTGTCAAGCCAAACAATATTTGTGATTCAAGTCTAGCTCCTGTCCACCCTTTAGTCCGAGATTTGACAATGACTCTAGATGTCGTTTGATTTTGTGAAAAACGCATACTGCTTGTGACACCATGGCTGATGGCCATATAGAGGTATGATACGTTACCATATGCAGCCACCGGCTCCTCCATGTCTGGCCGAATGGAATTCTGATATTGATACTTTATTGCCGTATACAAGCTTGTACCTTGTATCAGCATACAGCATCCATGTCTCAGACACATATGCCACAGCACAAGCTCAGCCTTGCTCAGGCGGCACAAGACGGTCGTGTCATGGCTCCCGACTCGCTCACCCTCCCTGTCTCTCGGACGCGGCAGACGGGAACAATTTCCTGTTGATGCCCGTTCCCGCTTACCCTCTTGCAGATGCGCTCAGTCATGGGTAGTCGTGGTTTCGCCTAACCGGCTTCCCTCCTGGAGCACGCGAGCCTCGAACCACACACAGAGAAGAGATGGAAGAGGTTGCAGAAAGCATAAATTAGAGAGTTGATTATCCAACTTGGGACCTCATCCATGGATTACAAGACCACCTACCCGCTCAAGCACTCCATATTACTGTCCGTTCTATTGGTTGTACCTGTACGACGCCGGGAAGTCTCTCGCGTGCAAACAAGCACCCGGTCGACATTAATAAGAGACCTGCCGCTGCCGCTGCTCCACGCCTCTTGCTGGCTTCCGGTTTACCGTCCAGCCGCCCCGCCTTGGCCTCCACCAGACCAGCGCTTGTGTGTCTCGTCTCAGTCCTTCTCAGAGCCCGTGCGTGCTCGTCTTTTGCCTGCCACCACCGTAGCGGTACATACAAGCTCAAGCTTCGACTCGATAGCTGTGATCTGCGCTGCTGCTGCGACATACGAAAGACAGTACGTGTATCCAGTGGCTGATGGTGGCTTGTCGCGGCTCATCAAACGCCCAATCTCGCACCACGGACTTCACTGCTGGCGCCCATCGTACTCCGGCCGGCAGCACTACATGCACTAACAAGCCACCTGCAGCGCGCTGTAAGGGCGTCCACCGGGCCTAGCCCGCTGCCACCACCGCGTACAGGTACCGCTACCTGCGCCGCTTATCCCTGGCCTACTTTTTAGCACCAGCCTGCTGTGCCGTACTTCCAGCACCTCTTTTTCTCTCTGTCTTCCTCATCTCGACTCGCCCTGTGGCCCCCCCTACGCCGGCTCGTTTTATGGTGCTCGCCTCCCGCTTCTCTTCGCTGGACCAGACCAAACCATCAACCTCCAACTTCGGTCCCGTCCCAGCGTTTCCAACGTCGCCTTCGCCTCGCCGCCCGCGCCCGCCGTCGCAACGCCGGTTTCCTTCTATATCATGACCTCAGCGATGTCTATGGGCTAGAAGAATGTGTGAGTCTCTGCTCGCCTCCCGTCCCGAGCCGCTGCTGAACACCGTCCTGCAGCGGCCAAGCCTGCCCCTACGTGACCCCAGTCTTGGCGGCCGGCAACTGACGTCTCACAGCGCTCTCCGAGATTCGAAATGTCGTGTATGTTGCTCCAAGAAGACGGTGCTCGCTGTTTGCTTGTTTGTTCCCGCCGCTGCCGTCGCCCTCTGCGAGTCTGCGCCAATGTCGCTGCTGGCTTGCCGTCGTCGCCATGCCATTGGCGCCTCATCGCCGCTGAGGGCTCCCTCCACCCGTGACTGCGGAGCGCTGCTTTGACGTTTGCTCGCATGATCACGATTGCCCTCTTCCTCTGCGATCGCCGGCACTATTACCTTTATTTCTGCTGTCGCATTTGCGTCTGCGTCTGCGGCTAGGTACTGACGGCTTGACAGGCTTCTCTTCAGTAATCCGGTCTGGGGTGGTGCTACAACCGTGCCCACCACCATTATCAGAAACATCACAGCGCTCTCCGTGCGTCCATCTCCCCTCCGTCTGTCTTGATAACCGCCTCTGGAAAGTGCCGCTGACATTACCCATCTCAACAGAGTCAGATAGCATACGAGGAGCGCATCGATAGCAACATTACCACGTTAACGACGACCAATGCCGACACCCTCAATGGGGTCATACAAGGCCTATTATACGTTCCCGAAATAACCCGCATGCCCTCCTGCGACGCCCAGCAGTACGACTTTATCCCCAGGAATGTTACTCGCCGCTCCAACCTCCCTCCCACAAACTACAATCTCATAGCTCTTGCTCCCTGGTTCAGCATAGACTGCACTGTAGCCTACCTCGCATCCGCCCGCTCCGATCCCATCCGTGCCTTTATTTTTTACAAGCCAAACAATTCGTCAAACAAACCCCAGGACGTCGACTCCCCCGTCTGGAACCTCGACGATGATGGCGCGTGGAGAAATCAAAACCAGTATCCCGTCTTTGCCGTCTCGGGTCTCGAGGGTCAGAAAATGATGACTCAACTCAGCTACTACTCGGGGACCGTTGACCAGATACCCCATGGCCAGGAGATTGCGCAACTCTACGGACCTAATCCGAAAGATTACGTTCGAATATGGACCGAGCTGACCATGAAGAACCCCGCCAATATTCCCGCTCTGTGGATATTTTTCCTCATCGTCATCAGTGCTTTGCTGGCCATCATCGGTGGAATTTCGCTCACCATGCATCTGATTCAGAGGCGACGCCGCCACTCGCTGAGACGTCGCGTTGAATCCGGCGAGGTTGATCTGGAAGCGATGGGTATAAAGCGGTTGACCGTACCGTACACACACGTCAAGTCGTTCCCGCTCTTCACCTATAACCAAGACCCGGATTTGCTCGACAGCCCGCCAACGCCCTCGTCCCCCGGCCCTCGCGGGAAAACGAGGAGAAGCCGCAGACATGACCGAGTCGCTCCTAGTGATGTTATATCTCCCAGTGAGCAGAGCGTTCGCAGCACACGGAGCGTGCGAAGCAAGAGGTCGAGTATAACAGGGTCCGATACTACCGCCACCAACTTCCAGCCCAATTGCCACATATGTCTAGATCGCTTTGAACATCGTGTTACCATCATCAAAGAACTCACTTGCGGCCACATATTTCATCCCGACTGCATAGAAGAATACCTTCTCGAAAACAGCTCATTATGCCCAATGTGCAAGTACTGCTTGCTGCCTCGCGGATACTGCCCTCCCATCACCAACGGAATGGTTCGTCGCGAACGTGCCCTACGGAAACTGCGAGGAAGAGTTGACTTGGACGCTTCCTCTCTGGAATCTGGCGAGAACAAATTCAAGGGCTGGACAAAGAAAATATTCCACTTGCAGCACAACGCAGCTCCGCCCAATGTCCCTCTGACGCCGATCAAGGGCAATAAGCCTGATAGAGATGCTTCTGGGAAGAAAATATCCACATCTACAGAGCAGCCTGTTGCGGAAACTGAAGCTGCTAGAGCAATACCAGTAACGCCGTCTGGAACAACCATTATGGAAATATCCGAATCCGAAGAGGATGCAGTCGGAGAGACAACAGCCACTGTAACGCAGAATCCGGCGCCGACAACTCGGACAAAGACCCGCAAGCCTCAACCTCGCGCTTTGAGATTGTTGCCCACGGCTCCAGAGGGCGTTGAGCTGGTAGTGGCACAGCGTGCCGGAGGACACAGCCCTTCGTCGTTTGCACGAGAGCGTATGCGGGAGATTGCAAGCCAGAATGCGCCATTCGAGGACCCGGACTTGAGGCGCCCCAAATGTGAGTAATATGCTTTGCCTTGCCTCTTTCGCAGATTTTACTAACAATGACAAGGGCGACGCGTCGTTTCGAGTGTCTTTCCTGGATTCACATGAGCGTGCACTTCTACGTTTCTCTAACTTTATGAGCTATGTTCTCACCGTTTCCTCAAGAAATAGCATGGCGCCGGCGTTTTATTCCCTATGGGATTCTTTTCTTTTCTTAATCTTTTATTTTGCATCACCGTGGGGATACTTTTATCTGAATATGGCGGAGTCAAGGCAGGCGGAGTTGGAATATTGGAAACGGACATGTCGTTTTATCCCTCTTACGGTTGACATAAGACCACCGCTTCTCTCAACGTCTCTCGCCGCCATCGAGCGGCTACACGAGAGGAACTGTTTGCAACAGCGCTACGGCGAAGCTTATACCAAATTACGATGCAATGCACCCTTCATCTAGATTCTTCAGTATGAAGAAATACCACGATATAGAGGCTCAAGTACTTCCGGTACATTATAATACTGGGGGGCTTATAGGAGGGACGACTAGGCGTTTGGAGAGGGCGTTTTAAACCAAAGGATTGTTTGGTTGGTTCGACCACTGGGATCTGGAAAAAAGTGTTTTTGTTTTTGTTTAGGCAGGATCTGAAGGGGTTATATGAGATATATGTATCCATAGGAGGCTGAGGCGGCGGCTGTCTGATTTTCACATGCACTTTTGGCATACTGCTTGATTGTCTATTTGTAATAGAGTGAAATGTGACGTTTACTTTTATTTGTGTCTGCATGTGTCATAAACTATAATGTGTTGCGTTTGTGGCTGTTTTATCTGTATTTTATGTAAGTAGAGCAGGCATTATTTGAGTCTGCAACTTGAATTTAAGAGATGCTAGAAAGAAAGGTATAAGAAATATCCCATAATAGTCAATTCCCGCGTCCGAAGTCCTAATAGATATGACTAATTATACATGAATTCAAGATTTGCTGCCGTAAAGACGCCTCTCCTGTGTCTGTCACAAACCACAGGAGGTAATGATTTTTTTTTCTTCTCTTGGTATATATGTTTTCCGCATCCTGCGATGACATCTAGATACGTTGTGCATTCGTATGCCCTCCTTCCCTATGGCTTTGCGCGTTATGAAAGAAATGGATATCATAATGTAAATATATCCCTGTTTCTAAAAAAAGATACAGAGAGATGAAGAGGAAAGCAGACTCTTTATCCTTGACGCCTTTAGTCCGTTGACTCTTCCTTGGCTTCATCCTCTTTGCTTTCGCCCTCATCTTTCTGTTCTGCAGAGTCCGGCTCCTTCTCAGCTGACAGAGTCATTTGTGTATCCCCATCGCTGCTAGGGTCCTCCTTAACTTTCTTCGCCACGACGTCCTCTTCCAAATCGTCTTCCGCCTCGCGCTTGGAGCTTACACTCTCGGCGCCGGGGCTCTTTGCCCGCTCAGAAGAAGCAGCAGGCTCGTCGGTTGTGCTTTTCTCTTCACCCGTCGCGGAGGATTCACTTTTCTCATCCGCATGTTTGCGGCCCACCGCAGCTTCGAGATCGATGCCCTCCATCTCGACACCGTCCTCTCCCATGAGGCTGGTAGTTTCAGACTGAGGGCCGGTGTCGCCAACTCCTATTTCATCCGGGCCCCTCGCGTGGGGTGCCTCTTCGTCATCGTCGTCGCCCATGGGTTGGTCTTCCGAAGCCTCGGACTGCTCGCCTTCGCCCATGTCATTGGACTTGGTGAGCTGAGTGACGGGAACGATGCCGGCTCTCTGCTCCTGCCTAAGCAGCTCGCCCTGCGTGACGCCCCTGGAATGCCCCATGGATGGCACGCCGTTGATGCTCACAGAAACAGTCTCGATGCTGCCCACCCCATTAGGGCCTTCGATAGTCTCGGTGCTTTCGCTGTGAATCTGCGCACCAACCGGTGCTTCGATGGCGGTCTCCGGAGGCGGCGTGCCCCTCGTCAACCATGGAATCGGAGTCAATAGTGCTCCTCCTAGGGCCTCATCGGACCCAACCGCCACGGACGTAGGGTTGCTCCAAGAGACAGCCAAGGCCGGATCGTTGGGCTCGTCGCCGTTGAGCTGGATCGCCGACATGTCGGGAATCGGCGGCGGCAGCGGATAGGTATTCGTGCCCGACGTCACGGCCGACACTCTGTCCAGGGCATGCAGATACGACGCCAAGGCCTTGTAGTGCGCGCGCGGATACAGAATCAGCTCTGCGATTCTCTGGATCGTGTGCGGCGGATATGACTTGAAGCTCCCGATGTGGCTCTTGATCTCGCCGACCATGTCTGCCAGCTGCTTCGGCAGGACATCGTCGGACTGCTCCTCGCTTCGCGACGGGGATTGTGGTGAGGACGGTGAGGACGGTGCTGGCGGCGCTGGCGGCGGCGGCTGAGACGCAGCGACGGGTTCTGTTTCGTCCGTGGATGGCGGTTGCTCGCCTACAGGCGCATTCTCGTTCTCATTCTCATTCTCATTCTCCTTGTTGGCGTCTTCAAAGGAGCGCTCAGCCGGCGATGACGACAGCGGGGAGAGGGCTCTTGTGTCTAGGAGCCGGGGGTGCGGCAGAGGAGGAGGAAGCTTGGGGATGGGAAACTCGTCGCGTGCGATCTGATGGGGATTCCAGATGACGAGTCAGTGATTTCTGCTTTCAATTGAAGGACGTCGCATGATGCCGTAGGCCACCGAGCGGGAAACGCACTTTATCTAACCGGGAGAGGATCTCGTCGCGCAAGGCCGGCCACGCTTCTCTGCAGACAAAAAAAGAGGCACGATTAGCAAAAGGGCACCATCAGAGCTGCTGCCATTCAGGCCGTTATCTGCTGGACGGGATGGAAATGATGCGCCACGTACGACTCGACGAGCTCTCCGGCAGCAGTCTTGCCGAGCAAGTCATTATCGCTGTCCACCTCCATGGGCAAGGAAAAGCAATTTGCGGGCGGGCACGCGACGCCTTTTTTGTGCCTTGGGCGTGTTTTTTTTTTCTGGTTGGTGATGATGATGCTTTCCGAAGAGGCGCGGCTGCTACAAGTACAATGGATGCAGGCCCTAGAGGAGGTACCGTGTACCGTCTGGAGCTTTTTGCAAGGTACCGGGCCAGGAATTAGTGCTGGTGGGGTTGGCAGAGCAGATGCAGGATCCTTGCTAGCCTGTGACTTGATCGCTATGATGGTCACATGTGAAGTCTTACATGCCTTGATTCTGTAGAGGTGAAGTAATACAGCAAAAGTTGTTTTTAAGTCTTTACTGTCTATCGAATCTACTGTTGATATGCATCGAGATGGCATATTGATACTGACTCAGATGCACAAACAAGACTATTTCATCCAGTGGTGGATGCTGCTATATCGATAGTTGATTCGTGATTATAAGTCGACATCATAACGACGACTATTGTTTATAATCTCTAGGCTAGACCTCCTCTCAGTTACAGACTCAGATGGATCAAGTATACTTCTTTTAGAATACATCTCTTAGACACCACCGTTATTCACTGCTATCCTCTTCCTCGGAGCCAATATCACCAGCCACAGCCTCATCTTGCGCCGTCGCATCTTCATATACAACCACTTCTTCCTCTTGCACGGTCTCTTCATATACAACCACTTCTTCCTCCTGCACAGTCTCTTCTCCATCTTGAATCGGCAAACCTTCATCCCATATCACCACCTCCTCTGCTTCGGCACCATCAACAAACAAATCAATAACTTCCGTATTCGGCTCCGTACTCTCCTCCTCGTCACCAAGCTGCTCCAGCGCAATCTCCAGCTCGCTCGCTTCATCCTCTGGCTTGGACGGATCGCGGTACTTCTCAATGAGCGCATTCGTCCTGTGTCCAAGAACCTCAATCTTCTTCATATTCTTCTCCACCACTTCCTTTCGCGACTGCGCATCCTCCCAGATGAGAATCGGACCTTTTGCAGAGGCCATGAAGCCGTCGGATAAAGCCTTCAGATGCTTTATATTCGCCAGCGTCTTGTTGAAAACCTCCACCGTCTCCGCCATAATCGTCCGCGCTTCGTCAACGTCCCCCCTAGTATCATCAATAACCGCAATGTTACCCTCAATCAGCGATTCCACCAAATCCTTCTCCCTGTCCACAGCGGCAATCAAGTCGACGGCTTCCTCTTGATACGTCCAAATCTCGAGAAGCGCAAACACGCGATGGATATGCTCCCACACATACTTTCTATATTCGCTCCAATCCGGCTCCGTCGTCGCATCAACAAGATCAGAACAGTCCTGCACCGATCCGAGGAACATCAAATGCCGCGTAGACTCCCTCCGAACCGACTTGTATATAAGTATATTCCCAGGATAGATGTTGTACCGCACGCCGCTCTGGTACATCAACTTGACGAACCCATACAGCTGATGCTTGAACCCCAGTATCTTCTTATACGAGAACCGCGACCGACGAGCCTCGCACTCAAAGCCCACCAATTCGCAGCGAGTATACCGAATCGTGTAAGTTCGCAACTTGGCATTCGACGACACAATCTGCGGTACGTGGTCTCTAAGCTCAGGGATGCGGTCGAGGATTCTGAGAATCTTGACGTGAGCGCTAAAGGACTGGCCGCTTTCCAGAGCGGAAACAACCTCTACACGCCAGCGGGGAGGAGAAGGCGAGCGCTGGAGTTCCTTGGCGAGTCTTTCTCTGGCGCGGGATTTGATGCTTTTGCGAGGCCTGCTCTTTGGGTTCCTCAATTCCTGTACGCGACGCGGCACGGGGGGCTGTAGCTGAGCATCTTCATCGGGTTCGAGGGACTTGTCTCTTTGGCGGCCTGTCTCGCAGGATTCTGTCGCTTCTTCCTCCATGGCTGAATTGAGAAATATGGAATGGATGACTTGAAGATTGACTCTGAAAATATTCTGTGTAGTGGTGGAATTTGGCGGCCAAGATTCGTGTGCGCGCATTGCGGTTTTGTGCTTCAATCTGTTTGTCAGCTCGAGATGAGAAACACAGCACGCAAACCGGAGACAACTGCGTGGAACACGTATCAACAATAAGGCGGGGTGCTGAAACATTATTGAATGCTAAGGCACAATACTAGACATTAAACAAGGGGTAATGGTATGGTTGGCATTCTAGGAAAAGTCAGTCACCATCCTATTCACTATTCTCTCATCCCTTGAAGTAAATGTGATTCATCCAGGCAAACCAAGCGCTGACCATCATTGTTCATCTAAACATCTGCCCATCCCAGCACTCGCACTCCAAAATCATTAAAAGGCAGCCGCCCAACACAAAACAATTGACCGCTAGTCTCCATTGAAAAAATCATCTCATCTCAGGCGCAGTCACACACATCTCACATTCATCTCACCATACCAACATTCCACCATTCTTTCATCAAAGATCAAACCTCGCCTCCCGGTACAGCCACTTTGACGGATCAAACACAACCTCAAAGTCCGTCGCATCAAACGCTCCAATCGCACAGCTCAAGTCGTAATCGCCCTCCAGCCCCGTGACCGGCAAATCCTGCTCGGCGTCCGTCTCCTCGTGGAGAGGCCATCCACCAATTCGCTTGCCGTTCTTCGTGAAGAAGACGTCGACGTCGCCCGTCGTCGGAAATGTCATGCCAATACCGTACGTATCGCCCGCGCGGAACTCTGACGTAAAATCTCTGCCGCCCCAGAGATCGTTGATGTACTTGCGGCCATCGTCTCCGTGAACAGCCAAGCTGCCGCGGTGCCATCCAGGAAGGCGGAAGGATGGATAGGGGAGGACAGTGAAGCCCAGGGCCAGGTTGATGGTGGGGCTGTTGCGGCGAATGGTCACCTCGTAGTAGATAGTCTTTGGCTGGCGGTTGGTGACCGTAGGGCGGTGCTTGTTGGCCACGTAGAGGGGAGGGTAGCCGATGATGCAGCGGTCGGGGCTGTTCTTGTTGGTATGGCCCTCCCAGTGGCCTGGCGCAAGGAGTCTCAGGCGGCCGTTGAAGCCTACCGGCACCTGAAGTTGGAAGTTGTTGGATTGCAGCGCAATCTTGCCCGGCTGGTCGAGCACAACATCCTTGACCATGTCATGCTGTCGGCACCACTTCTCGCCCTCCTCTGCTTCCATCTCAGTCGCATTGTTGGCGGGCGACCTGTCGTGGCCGCTGAAGATCATGGGAGGCGGTGGGAAGAGCGAAGTGTCTGGCACAGCGGCCTCCCAGTCGTGAACCTTGGAAGACTGGGAGCCATAGGGGTCCGATGGAGGAACAATCCAATCGTCTTTTTTAGATGGCGGCGGTCCCGGCGGCGGCGCAAAAAAGTCGCTCTGCTGATGAGAGGGAGGCGGCCCCGGGGGAGGAGCAAAATCATCCTGCTGCTGTCGTCCTGGAGGTGGCCCAGCAGGAGGCGCAAAGTCGTCTTCTTGCCGTCTGCCAGGCGGCGGTCCAGGAGGGGGCGCAAAGTCCTCGTGCGGCCTATTCTGCTGGGGATGCTGCTGGACATGCTGCTGGCTGTGATATCCCGGCGGCGGTGCAGAATACTGGTTTGCCGAGACACTTGTCCTCCCGCCGTCATAATTCTGCGCCGGCCTTGTAGGAGGGTCGTTGTTTCCCTCATTCTGACTGCCAAAACACATGTTGGCGGTCTGTTTGTGTATCAATCAAGCGATTTGATTTCCAGTTTCTTGCTGCAGGCGTCTAGTAAATTATATCATTAGCAAATATGGAATGGTTTTGTGAGGTTCTGAGTCGGCCTATCGATACATAACAAGGAGTGTGAAAGAAGTTGAAAGAATGTGAAGGAGGACAGATGGCTAAAGGAAGCACGGCTAAAAGAGAGGGTAAGCTAACAGAGAGGTACCTAACAGGCGGCCGTCCGGCTTGCGATGTCTCTGCCATGTGGCTGTGCTGCGCTGTAATCATCGCTAGTTACGTACTGCACTTTGCCCAGATGGTCCTTTTTACTGGAGCAGCTCTGGGGAGCTCTAACCTTAATTCAATGTTGGCTGGGCATCAGTTTCGGAATCTTTCCTGCTGTACGCCTTGCACAGCACAGCCTTGGATACTACTACGTAGTCTTTACTACATGCTTTCATATGAAGCCACGAAGCAGGACAAGATGATATGAACTATAAACGCCTACTTACCTACAGTCGCTACTATACATTACTTCGAAATGCCACCAGGGGCGCTCTGAACCTCCCAAAACTTCATATACCTCTCATAAGCTCCTCGGCCATCTTCTTCTCGAACACGCTGCAGCCACTCCTTATCCGGCGCTTCTTGTAAGCGACAGTCAGGCGTGGCACCCGCTTTGAGCAGAATCTCGACAATATCCCAGTACCCACTGATGATTGCCGCATTTAACGCACTGCCATACTTTCCTCCGCGTATGTTGCAATCAGCTTTTTTGTCTAGCAAAAGCCTTATTGATGCGGTCTGGCCTGAGTATGCGGCTGCCTGAAGAGCTGTGTTGTATATCCCTCCTTGGGTGTCGACGTTGATATCAGGGCGTTGCTCGAGAAGCAATTTTGTTTTGCTGCAGGCGTATTCGATGTCGCCATTATACTCCGCCTTTCCATGATCAAGTGTGTATGTAGCGGCACATGCTGCCTGGAGGGCGAAGCCAAATTTGCCTGCCATCACATCAGCATTGGCGCCGCTCTCTAGTAGAAAGCGGGCCTTTTCGTGCCAACAATGTACAAGAATTGACTCCCGCCCTAGATTCCAGAGCTCTATAACAGCTCTTAGAGCAGTCCCATACTGTCCATGGACATGGTTGATATCGATATAGTTGAGTAAAAGTTTGAGAATAGGAACGATGTCTCTCTTTTCTGATCGAGCAGCCATATGCCAAGCCAGGCAGTTTTGACGACGCGGATCAGCACCGCGCTCAAGCAGTAATGAGATCAGTTCAAAACTCGCACCAGTTTCGCAGGCAGCTGCAAGTGCTGTTCCATATCTCCCGCCTTCTGCATTTATATCTGCACCGTGATCCAGCAACAATCGCACCAGCTCAGCATCGCTCGACCATCGTGTGCAGGCAGCTATAAGTGCAGTTCCGTATTCACCACCATCTGCATTCACATCAACGCCACGGTCCAGCAGCAGACGAACACTTTCAACGCGCACTCCAGGATTTCCGCAGGCGGCAACAAGCACAGTTCCGTAATTCCCGCCTTTTACGTTGACATCAGCGCCATGTTCGAGGAGCAAGCAACGTAGTTCTTCGTCAGCATACCGATTGCGATTCGAGTAGGCGGCCTGCAGCGCAGTTCCATACTCTCCACCTTGCTGATTGACTTGGGCACTCTTTTCAATGAGCAGCTTTGCGATTTCAAGAGACAGCGCTGGGTTTCCGTTTATCCCAGCCACGGCAGCCTGAAGCGGCGTAGCGAATCGACCACTCTCTGCATTCACATTGCTCCCCTTGTCAAGAAGCCAGCGTACAGTCTCTATCGATCCTTTGTGGCAGGCGATATGCAGCGCCGTTCCATGGTCCGGATGCCCCTGTTGGTTGATCTCGGCTCCATTATCATGGAGCAGCTTCATAAACTGGATTGCCCTGGATGACTTCCAACTTGCTACTGCATTGAATGCTGACCCGTATTTTCCTCCGCCAAGATTGACATCAGCACCCTGGTTAATGAGAAGCTGTATCACCGAAATTGCCATTTCAGTCCTATTGCCTTTACCCAGACGACTACCGTCACTACAGACAGCTTGTAGTGCTGTACCATACTCTCCTCCCCGTATATTGGTGTCTGCGCCTCTCTCTAACAAACTCTTAACATAATGTTGAGTTCCATGAAACATCATATATGCACACGCTGTCTGAAGGGGTGTGTAAAACTCCCCACCGAGAGCGTTTACATTGGCATTTCTTTCCAATAGCAGCTCAAACCTGTCAAGGTTTATATCACGGCTTCTCAATGTAGAGGTAAGCGCTGTCCCATCATCGCCACCTTGCATCTCTATGTCAGCACCACTGTCGAGGAGGAAATTCAGGCATTGAGTAGATTTCTCATTCAAGCTTGTGAGAAGACATCTCCCTTTTTTCGATGGCCTATTCACATTTGCCCCGGATTCAACAAGAAGCTCTAGGGCCCTTAGGTTGCCTGTTGTTGCTGCTGCGAGCAGCGCCGAGCCCCATTTGCCACATTCTGCATTGACATCAGCGCCCCTTTCAAGAAAGAGTTTCATTATCTCTTTGTTTCCTCCATAGGCTGCATTTTGGAGCGCCACGTCCAAATCCTCTTGAGTGGCGTATGCATTTGGCCCTTGAGAAAGCAGCATCTGAGTAAACCGGTATAATCCGAGCCGGGCAGTAAAGCAATATGGTGGCAGTCGTATATAATCATCAATTTCATTTTCTCCATTTCTCAAATTGCGTCCCAATCTGAGCTGATTGAGGAAAGATTGGCTATGAAACCCAAGCACGAGGGCGACATTCTGAGTCCACTCGGCTGGCCACCATTCACGCGGAATTTCTTCAAGGTGGATCATCCAATAATCGGTCGTGTATTTTTGCAAGCCTGAGAGCTCATATTGATTAGGACATTTTGCAATCTCGTGGCTGAATTGCTTGAGATAGGCGAGGCATGCATGCACAATAGATATATGTGCCTCGACCTCAGTAAATGCAAAAGCTGGAGCGCTTTCCACAATCCGAGTAGAAATGAAATACTCTTTTAGAGAGAAGTGGACTAGACGGACTTCAGTGACTTCATTGGCGATTTTTTTGCCAGCTTTGTACCATCCTAGTGTCTGTTGGGTGATGATCAAGCCAGAAAAATATTCCAAAATATCTTCCGGAGAAAATAAACGGTCATTCTCGTTGAAAGCAATGTCTCCGATTGGTCGAATAATGAAGATTTCAGACAGCTCTTCAAGTATCAAAGTTCTTTGTGAAAATGCCAGCCATTTTATCGAAGTTATAACTCGTTCTTTAAAGTCCGGATCAATGCTCTCCAGGATTCTATCATAAGTCGCATCCAGTCCTTTGGGAAGCTTTTGGAGGGCCTCATAAATCTCGCTTTCGGATGATAGTCTTTGGAGTATTTCAAACTGACACTGGATGTACTGGAACCTAAGTGCCTCTGTGAATAAATATATACCAGACACAGTTGTTTGCAATTAAGCCTTTAGGTAGTACTCACATGGAATCTGCTTGACTTAGAAGAGATTTTCTCGCTTTCATCTTCATGCTTTCCGGCCAGGATTTGAATTTCTTCGTTGCTAGTTTTGAATCAATGTAGTGGCATATATCTCGATTGAGAATCTCCTGATGGGCCAATAGATCAATTTCCATCTTCCCGGGCTTGGACAGGTGATCACGTATTTGAGCATCAATGTCTGGCTCCTTACGGCTCGTTAGAAAGACGTGAAGGCTGTCGGGTGTATTGGCTAGGATATAATCCAAATTCTCAAGCAGCCTTTCACGGCGCTCATTAAGCACGGGACACTCATCTAGAGCGTCAATGACAACGTATACGTCTGAAAATCGAGACAAGGATGAAATTAGAACCTCTCTAAGTGTTTTGGCATCTGGGCGCTGCCCTTTGGTCATATACTCGCCAAGGCGCTGAAGTAATTGCTTATTGAGTTGACGAGAGCCAACCTGCTTGATAAGAGATGCAAGCATCCCGTCAACGTTTTGTTTTTGAGTATCGCTGAAGCTAAAATAGAAGTAAGCCAGGGCGGTTGAAGGCTTTGAGTCATGACGATCTTTTAAGTGTTTAATGACTGAGGAACTTAGGATCGATTTTCCTGAACCGGCTATAGATACATGTACCTAATTTAGTCTCACCGCTCAGGAGAAAAGGAGATATTATGCCTATGACTGAAATGAATAACATACCTTTACCATGAAGCCACAATAAAGAGCCCTTGCTTTCTTCCCATGTCTTGAACTTGTCACTGTCTTGTACTAACCATCCACACGTGCCATCCTCATGTTTATCGCGCGCAGCGTTGTACATCGAAGACGGGTCTATATCGCAAAGCCAGCGTAGTAGTTCAGTGTATTCTTGTGCTTCCTTGCTTGCGGTCGCCTGTGCTAATTCTGCTTGTTGCCGATCTTCAGCAGCCTTGCGCTCTTCGTGGAGTCGTATGTCCCGCAAGATGTTTTCAACAGCGATAAAATTGTTATTTCTATCACGAACCTCGGCCACTAGTTGACTCCAATCATTCCATTGAACGGCATCGAGACCGAGGCGGAAAGCTGCGTTTTTGGAATAGTGGCAACAACATGTGGCTTCGAATTTTAGAATTTGCCTATAAAGGCTCTCTAAAGCGATCTTATATTGACCATGTGATCGTCGGAAACTCCCGTTGCTGCTCGCGCCTGATTTGTAAAACTCCTCATAAATGTCTTCTCGCATTACACTTTGTGCGATAAGAGATGCAATATCATCTATTGCTTTCGCCAAAGAAGCTCTTTGCTGAGATGGGTTGATCAAAAGCTATGCCATAAATGAGTATAAAACGGAAAACCAGATATCATTAATGGCCTGACTTACTGGCAGAATGAAACCAACACCAGCCCATGCTATCGAAGTGTAGGAGTTGGTTCGCGCGGCAGCATGTACGTAGTCGTTGGCCAAACCCATAATCTTTGAAACAACTTCCGTCGCCGGTGCCTCAGTTTTGCCTTTGCCGAATTTTGATACTCTTGCGTTGACTTCGGCCATCTTTTTTTCCAACATGATTCGCAGCTGGTCTTTCATAGTTGACCCGGCGGCAGGGCTGCACTGGAGGATTCTTTCGTATTCAGCGATAAGAGCACCATCTTCCTCTCGCAGTTTCTCGTATGCCACGTTCCATAGCTCTTTAATTGGCGTATCCTCTATTTGAACTTTGGGCGCTGTTTCATTTGCTTGGCTCTGCTGGGCACTGGTGTGTTGGGCAGCAGCGTTTTGAATGCCAGATCCATTTGGCGAGGTCTTTTTTTTGGTGATTTTCTTGAACCGGTCTCTGAACCGCATTTTGGAATTAGTATATCATGCTTCTCTTGTTTGGTAATTCTCGAGGCGCCAGTAATCCCATGGAGCGGGGTCGAGTACGAAGGATCGCGAAAAAGATAGAAGGCCTTACAGCCTGAACATAACCAAATCACAGGGGCTGGGTACACATAATAAGGATAACTGCAACAACCATTGGACGGTTACCATGCATGCAGCCAATTGCGGCAACCATAGCGGGTCGGTGTATGTAGCAGCAGTAGCAGTAATAGCAGTAATAGCAGAAGTAGCAGAAGTAGCAGAAGTAGCAGAAGTAGCAGAAGTAGCAGAAGTAGCAGAAGTAGCAGAAGTAGCAGAAGTAGCAGAAGTAGCAGATATGTTACACATAGTGTTATTGTAGTGTGTAAAATCAAGAAATGTGTGCTGATTGTTTAAGAATTCCCTCTTTTTCTTCGCACTTGGCGAGATTACCGGCTCACGAAAACTGACTCGAGCTGAATGTAACCCTATGCCGCATTTACTAGGGATTTCCTCATTCGCCGCTGCAACCACTAATCTCCCTGGGCACTCGAGTCTTGCCCGCTCCCAGTCTGTCTCTAATTGCCCGACAATTCTTTGGTTCAAGTAAAATCTAAGAGGATTACTGCATACACATCACTAAAGTGCACATATATATATATATATATATACATATATATACACTAGTTAAGTTCAAGGAAGTTTATTCAGGATAACTGCAGAAAAACTGCTCAACTAATAATGAATAGCATTGTTATCATAATAGTAAATCAATACACATACCAAGCCTGTGTCAATGGCAGCGTAGTCGCTGGCTCAGCACTGCACACCTGCCCGTCTGCTTCGACGACATAGCTCTCAGGATCGACCCTCATCTTGGGCATGGCGTCGTTGAAGCGCATGTCCCGCTTTGATACGCTGCGGCATCCCTTGACGGCCTCGACGCGCTTGCGTAGGCCATATGATTCAATGGCGCCAGAGGTGATGGATTCGTTTGACACAAAGAGGATGCTGGTTTGCGGCACGAGGGGGGCGAACATGGGCCGGGCGATGATGGGTTGAACTGTGGGAATGGAGGCATTGGGGTCGCCCTAGAGAATTGAAGTGTTAGTTGAACGGAAAATTATCATCATATCACTAAGTGGGAGGTAGGTTTGTGCAGAGACTGACCATCTGAGCCAAGGCAATGAGTCCGCTCTTGATTACTAGCGACGGCTTCGTGCCAAACCAAGCTGGATCCCATACCACCAAGTCTGCCAGCTTGCCGACCTCGATACTGCCAATAACATGGCTGAAGCCTTGTGCTAGGGCCGGATTGATGGTATACTTGCTCACGTAGCGCTTCACCCTAAAGTTGTCGGCACCCGTTCCGGCATCTTCTTCTAGAGTGCCCCTCTGCGACTTGTTCTTATCGGCTGTATTCCATGTCCTGAGAATGACTTCACCACACCTTCCCATGGCTTGCGAATCGGAACTCATCATGCTGATTGCGCCAAGGTCGTGGAGCACATCCTCTGCGGCGATGGTCTTGTCACGGATTCGACTTTCAGCGAAGGCAACATCCTCGGGGATATCCTTGGAAAGGTGGTGGCACACCATGAGCATGTCCAGGTGCTCGTCAAGCGTGTTGGAAGTGTAGGGTCTGGTAGGATTAGTCGATGAGGGGAGCACATAGGGGTGCTCGACCACGGAGATGATGTCTGGGGCGTGGCCGCCACCTGCGCCTTCAGTATGATACGTATGGATGGTACGGCCCTTGAAGGCTTCGATGGTGGATTCGACAAAACCAGATTCGTTTAGCGTATCAGTGTGGATGAGACACTGGACATCAAGCTCGTCGCAAACCGTGAGGCATGAATCAATTGCTGCCGGCGTGCTGCCCCAGTCTTCGTGCAGCTTGAGACCGCAAGCTCCAGCGGCAATCTGCTCACGCAAGGCGACGGGGGAGCTGTCGTTGCCCTTGCCAGTAATTCCAATATTCAAAGGGAGCTCATCACAAGCCTGGAGCATCTGGCGCATATAGTTTTTGCCCGGAGTACAAGTTGTCGCGTTGGTGCCAGCACTTTATGATTCATATCAGCCAAAGCCCCCAGTATATCAGACACATGTAGATGCGTCGGATGTGTAAGTGAAAAGGAGCATATGCGACTTACCTGGGTCCAACACCGCCACCCAGCATCGTGGTGATGCCTGATGCCAGAGACTCATCCGCTTGCTGTGGGCAAATAAAATGGATATGAGTATCAATGCCACCGGCCGTGATAATTTTCCCTTCACCAGCAATAACATCAGTGCAGCTACCAACGACCATTCCAGGCGTGACGCCATCCATGACATCGGGGTTGCCTGCCTTGCCAATTCCTACAATGTGGCCATTCTTGACTCCAATGTCGGCCTTGTAGATGCCTGTCCAGTCAACCACAAGCGCGTTGGTCACCACCAAGTCCAAGGAATCAGCGTCTAGCCGTCCAGATGCTTGTCCCATGCCCTCTCGCAACGTCTTGCCGCCACCAAACTTACACTCATCACCATATACAGTGTAATCCTTCTCGACTTTGATCCAAAGGCTGGTGTTTCCCAAGCGAACTACATCGCCGGTTGTGGGGCCGAACATTGTCGCATATGCGGCGCGATCTATCTGGAAACCGTCGATGTGGGCAGAATCAGCAAAAGGCTCTGGCGTGTGCGCGAAGCCGGCCTTCTGAAGACTTTCAACAATGTCATTGACTCTCCATAGCTCCAAGCCTCCAGTGGCGAGGTTATTTCCTCCGCGAATGACCTTGTTGCCCCCAATTTCAACAAGCGTCACTGTCTTGGTATCTCCGGGCTCGAAGCGGACTGAAGTCCCCGCAGGAATATCAAGGCGATGTCCATATGCCTTTTCACGATCAAAGTCTAGCTGCGGGTTCGTCTCGATGAAATGATAATGTGAGCCCACTTGAATAGGTCGATCGCCCTTGCTTGTCACCCTGAGCTTGACCCTCTTGCGATCCTGGTTCAGCGCAATCTTGCCCTTGACGGCCACAACCACGCCAGGCCGCGAAGTAGGCTCATACTCCTCTGGAGCCGCAAGAGGAAACAAGCTGGCATCTGGGATAGGCAGAAAGCTTCCGTACAGAGCTCGAGCAAGGTCACCGTCGTCTGTACGGATTGGGTTGTGGACAGTCACCAGATAGGTCCCCATGGGGAATGTGCCTTCAACCTGGATTTCGGTCAGAGTAGCACAGACGGAAGGCTGGACATGGCGACGGCCCAGCATGGTAGAGCCGATGTCCATGAGATCTGCGACGCTGTGGTTGCCATCGCGGATGAGTTCGTGCAGGTTGTTTGCAATGAGCGCCTGTTGGTAGTAGGCTGAGTTAGCATGGCTTTTACCGATTGATTGTATACATGCTGCAGAGATTCAAACTCTAGATGCTGAATGATAACAGCAGATAGCGAGTCAAGATCCAATTCCGTACCGTTGCTTCGCTGTAGTTCAGCTTGACGCCTCTGGCAAGCCGCTTCTGCGCCAGAAAGCCCACCTGCGAGATGACGAGCTTGTCGAGCTGTAGGCCGATGGTTAGGCGCGAGATCCACTATAGCTCTGGGGACAGGACAGTGTCCGGCGCACCTCTTTTGGAACCAGACGCATTGTACCACGTCACGCAGCTTCAGATGAGACAGATTCTGAAGTATGGGAGCAGTCGATTGAGCTGTAGAAAGACAAAGCCTGGCACTTGGGTGTAAATCAGAGCTTGAGCTGTCATGCAGCCTTTCCCCGCAGAGCGATGCTTGACGCTGAACCTTCAGTGTCTAGGCATAGATAAGGACGGCTGATACGGGCGGTAGCTGTTACGTATCCGCCCGTCAAGCTATTCGCCTTTATCTTTGCACCAAGAAGCTATGCACTGTATCAATTGAGGCCCAGCGCTATTCTTACAACGAGCGATTATAAAGATGAAGTGTAGACATCGTAGTTATGCGAGCCATTTATTTCACAAAGGAGAGTTAGAAAAAGCCCAGACTGGCCATTACTATCAAGGCGTCTTATAAAGCATGGGACCCATTACCAGGCGTGTTCACCACTGCCATATAAAACTAATATAAAAAAGGCCAAATACTCCTCATACCTAAGCATTTTCAACTGCTGAATACAAAGTAATGATATCTATCTTTAAGCGTCTTGCGCAAGCCAATCCAACCCCCTCCCCAACGCCGGTACAATCAGTAATACTTCAGTAAACCATGTCTCCCAATTACCCAAGGCCGCCCAAAAATAACAAGAACGAGGCCAGCCTATCAAACACCCAAAAAGATTAGAGAAGAAACAAGAAGAAAAAAAGAAGAAAAGAAAAAAAGCCACTCCGAATCATCTCAATTTATTCCTCTTCAATCTCATCATCCCATTGATCCTTCTCCTTCTTGATTAGCTCGGCCATCTCTTCAGGCTTAAAGATGGAGCTGTCGGGGTCTTCGACTCGTGGAACCTTGTTCAAATTCTCTCCGTCAAAGACAGATCCGATCGTATCGATCCATCTCCTCCGCCGCTCCATCAGCGTCTTGGTCAGGTCTCCTATTCCTGGCCGCGCCATGCCAGCTGCTCCTCCAACAAAATGGCTACCTCCGCCTGCGCCTCCAGGGCGTTTAGACTTCTTGCTCTTGCCCATTGTTCGCGTGCGCTTCAGATAGGCAGCGTTGACTTGCGAGTCCAGATCCTCAAGAATGGTTTGATACTCCTGATGTGCCATCCGCTCCCTAATCAAATCCATCAGTCGTGCTTTGCGCGCACCATTGACGAGCATCTGCTCTTTCAGCCTGGCCTGCAGTAAGCGCAGTCTACCCGCGACCTCATCGTCATAGTGGCCATCATATTCGGTTTCAATGCCTTCTTGAGGGAGAAAGCCAATATGACGAAGCTCCTGCTTGAGTCGCTCCTCAACCTGGGCATATTCAAGCTTTGGATGTGTAGCCTTTTTCCATGCTTCCGAGGATGACTCGGTCATAAACGTAGCCGGGGGCACCGGGCTTGATTTATCCTCCGCGACTCCATTCGGTTCATCTCCATTAATATCTCCTATCATGCTGACGTCGCCATTTGTGATACCGTTAGTGGTGGGTTTATCATCAGATGAAGGTATTCGCGACTCAGGGCGCAGTGCCTGCAGTAATCGCGCCGCAAGGGGGCCGATAGACAACGCATCCGTCTCAGCTACACTATCATTCATGTTATCAATGGTACCACGAGGCTGGTTTGGAGGCAGCTTGTCACGGTTCTGCTGAGGCGTGTCGATTGACATGGCACCGTCCTCTTCAGCCCAGATCTCAGTGTAGTGTCTTTTGCCGCGCTTTGGCATGACAAACGGCGATACACGATCACTACGCTCTCGCAGAAATGCCAAGTCTTCTTCGGAGAATGGGCGGAAGTACGGATCAATATATGTCGAGAACGTTGAAAAATTGATCTGGCTGCTCGGTTTTGTATTACTGAAATCTTTGTCCGGGGGGTCGCCAGCAATCAAGTCGGCAAGGTCGCTCTTGGGATATACGGCGACGGAGTAAATCTTTTTTCTCTCCTCGTCGGGCATACCATTATATGTAGGTAGAATTTCGTAAACCGTGGGGTCTGGAAACGTCGATGGATCGTCGCCAAAGGTTTGCGCTTGAGGGAGTTCACGCCTTGGAGGCGCTCCTTCGTCTTCTGAGCTCTCTTCCTCCTCCTCTTCTTCCTCTTTCTTGGGCTTCTCATCGGTTTCCATGGCGTTGGGAGATGCCCCTCCTGCTATGGGAGAGAGCGAAGAACTGGCGTCGTCGTTGTCGCGCGCGTGCTTTCGCTTTGGATCCCTCACCGGAGAGGATTGATCTGTTTCATGTAGTTAGTATCGTGTACCCTGAGATGCGAATACTCATGCGCTCGCTGTATTGGGTTGTAGACATACCATCGCCGGCTGCATCGGTGCCCTTCTTTCTCTTGTGCTTGGGCCTCTTCGAGTCTTGATCCCTCACGTCAATACGCATATCCTCGGGGCGCTTTTTCCTTTCGTCGGCGAGATATCTCATTCCTCGGTCATAGAAAGTGGAGCGTTTTTCCATAATGTTGACCAGCGTCTTGAGCTTTTCAAGCATGGCGTCAACGCTCCGCGACTCAGGAACTGGAGCGCTGGAGGCGCTTTGGTCCACCAGGTTGTCAAAGGTAAGATTCGAAAACAATATGACTCTAGTATCGAGATAATCAGGGTCGTAAAACTCCTGTGGTGGAAGGGCCGAAGCTGGGGCCGGGACCGGCGTCGAGTTTCGGCTCTGTTTCTGCATGGCGGCCGAGTTCTTCTTGCCGGTGCCCTTCTGCCCAGATCCGGGAGGCATGATGGCGATGTTAGAGTGGAAGTGCTATGAATTCATAGATGGCGCTGCAGGTGTGTTAAATGCCGGCGTTGAATCTCACGAGTGAAGGCCTGCGCTGTGTTTGCCAGCGATGGAACAAAAGCCCATGTTCGCGCGTCTAAGTATCATGTAAGTGCGTAAAGTAGCGTCATGAATGGGGGGTGTCGTGATCAAGACAAATGCGCTCGGAAGCGGAGTTTTTCCGGATATACAATTACATAATCTTCAAATTTCCAGAGTGACGGAAGAGTAGCAAGTGATGCTATGATGCACACTCAATAATGATTCAACATGAATAGCCTATTATTCGTGTCGATACAATAGCTTTGTTTATGTGCCAACATGCAGCAACAAAAGCCATTAATGCATGTCTGAAGCACAGCCAAACGTTCACTCCAAGTTCAACTCAGCTCAGCGATGGTGGCCGGTGAAGCTACCCCACCATCTGGAGACAGCATCAACATGTCAACACCTACCCTATTACATTCCGCATTTGCTGCGCTGTTTGATGTGAGCTGACCAGTCGAAAGAATCTCTTTCCGTGCCCTTCAATGCTGCGATTTGGCAACTCAGATCGCTGCCGATAGCTGGCGCCCAGTGGCAAATATCCCATGACGACCATTTATATGTCCATAACGCTGCTGTTCCTCTCAGGTGAAACGTTCCTACGGACCAAGCTTTCCATTGCATGTGCTGTGGGTGCTCTGCTTGATTGGCGGTTCCCCAGACAGGAACTAACTCCACTCGCTTGACACTACGCAAATAGCCTGAGTGTGTGGATGTGAGAATCCAGGGACTGTCAATCTTAGCTTGGAATTGGAGCACGGGGCGTTGAGGACCCTGAGGCGCATTCTGCCGGCGCCATCTTTTGTCGCTCATTTGGAGATGCCGCAACTGTGGGTGGAGGGAGCCGGGTGCTTTCACTGAATCGTGAGGGTTTCCATAACTCATGATGTTACCTGCGAAACTACTTGTCATGAAGCAATGCAATGATAATTGCTGCTGCCAATGCAGACGTGCCGTGCGGGCAAGAAAAAGCCATGACATCAGCCGGACCTGTCGTGATTCCCCACGCCGGAATCCCAATGGCATCTGAAATCCATCCACGTATCCCCCACTCGTCTGGCGCCCCCGCTAACATGGAGGCAGCTAGAGCTATTCGCGATGAACCCGTAGGCAAAATACGGCCTTGCAAATGCTACCCACAGAGCTATCGAAGGGGAAGTGCTCGCTTGACCGTGCAAACAAGGAACCATCGCTGACCCGTCCGGATCCTTGAATGAAGTACCGCATGGAGCTATCCCGATGGCGTTACTACAGGATAGAATATGGAGCAGCTTCTTTGCTCGCCTCAACAATTTGCACGTGTATGCCCAACAATACGCTACCCTGGCGCAGCTCAGTGTCCAAGCATGTGGTTCAGTCATTGGCCAATACCGTCGTGCTCGAACCGCGATTTCCACCTTTCGTTCGCGCGCTACCCATGGCTCGAGACAGCTGCAAGCCGTTGTACAAGACGATGATCCCTGACACCTGAGTGGAGGTCCCTGCGCTCTATTCTCGTTGACAGGAAGCTTTTGGCATGTGATATGCGCATGGTTACTGCGAAGTCGTTGTATGGAGTGTGTTCTACGGTGTACTGTGTTCGCTCCTCTGTCGACTAGCTGGCTTTCACCAATTGAAACCCAGCACGGCCGGGGAGATGTGTCTCCTCTGACCCAGTGTCGCCCAAGGATATCCAAAGATAAAGCTGCCCGCACTCCAAGGTGGGTTGGTACGTCTGGTGTCACCCCAAGGAGCTCGCTTCCAGTCAACACGGCAGTGGGTGTAGTTGTAGCTGAGCTGCTAGGTGCTCATCATTGTGTACATGGGCAAAGCCAAATCCCCCGTGTATTTATCCTGTCCTTTCCTGCTCCTTTTCTTGCTCCTTTTTTCTCTTTCAATTTCATCTTTTCGTCATTTTCAACCCATTTCTATTACTGGATTCAACACCAATCCTTAACCCGCGATCATTACTTTTACTTTATTCTCTCAAAAAGTAAAATGAGAGAATATCATGGCTTTTCCTGTACCTCTCACTGATTCACCGCAATTTATGAATTTATTTGCTAAATGATTTCTCCTCCTAGGGTGGTAACATAAACATTTTGCCTTTTGGCAACGAGATTAATCCTCTATATGCTGGAATAGCAGCCACTGTCCTAGGTGGTCTTTGCATCTCCGGCTTGGTTGCCTCTCGAGGCACCGGGCAAAACAATGATTCGCCTAGCGTTATCAGCTCGTTTTTCCTCTTTTTCTATTCTTGCTTCATCAAACCCCACCAGGGCGATTCCAAGGCCTCCCAGCAGGACGCTCTAGAGAGCTTCTACAAGAAGCAAGCCGGGGTTTATGATGCCACTCGCAAGGTCCTTCTTCGCGGTCGCGAAGACATGCTGGCCCTTGTTGCTGCCCAGCTTGAGGCGAAAGCCGAGACGGCTGCTGACGGCAACAAGACCAAGCGTATTTGGGTTGATGTAAGAGACTCCATTGCTGAATCTTATCTCGGCAGCGAAATACCGCCAGATATAAGATATCGGACAATATAACTAACACCAAAAACAGGTCGGAGGCGGCACTGGCTGGAATATTGAAGCCATGTCGCAGTTTGTCGACGTCCCCAACTTCTTCTCTAGTGTCTACCTCGTTGACTTCTCTCCGTCTCTCTGTGAAGTGGCAAAGAAGCGGTTTGAGAGACTTGGTTGGAAGAATGTTCGAGTTGTCTGCCAGGATGCTCGCAAGTTCCGCCTGGAAGATTATGAAACTGACTTGCCTGGGCGTCAAATCGCCCCAAGATCCCCTGCGCTCAGCTATCTCACCCAGCAACGCCAGGACTATGGAGGCGCTGACTTGGTCACTTTCTCATACAGCTTGTCCATGATTGTAAGTCTGAAAAAGGGTTATTTCATCGAATATCCATTAACTCTCATTTAGCCGGACTACTATTCTGTGGTCGACTCTGTGAACTCGCTATTGGCTCCTCATGGCATTCTGGGAGTGGTTGACTTCTATGTCCAAAACCAGATCGACTTCTCTTTCCGCAACTACACCGGTGGCCTTGTGGATCGTCATGTCAACATGCTATCCCGAAACTTCTGGCGTGCCTGGTTTGACATTGACCGTGTTGGTCTTGAGCCCGGCCGCCGTGATTACCTCGAATACAAGTTTGGTACCGTTCTCAACTTCAACTTCAGAAACCGCACTCTTGGCTACATACCATACTATGTCTGGGTTGGATGCCAAAAGAAGCCGTTTTCGGCATCAAGCCTGCCTCATGAGATTATTGAGCGCATTGATGCGTTGGCCACGGAGTCGCCCTACCTGTACCCTGCCAACCAGGGGGATGCTCTGACCCGTGCGATTGAGAGATCTGCACCAGAGATTCGCTCCAAGGCTTTCATCACTGCGGTCGAGAATCTGTCTGCCAACTTGCCTCTTCCCTCATTCTTCTACCAAAACCACCACTGGCGCATCTACTATGACGACAGGCTGCAGAAGCACACCCAGTTCAATGACGAGTACATCTATGCGTTTACCTGGGAGGATGCCCGCGTTGACGAGCGCCTGCTGAAGCTTGGTCCTGATGACAAGGTCCTTGCCATCACTTCCGCTGGAGACAATATCATTTCCTATCTTGCCCAGAGCCCTGCCCGTGTCCATGCTGTTGACCTCAATCCTACCCAAAATCATCTTCTGGAGCTCAAGGCTGCCGCTTACACGGCGTTGCCATATGAGGATTTCTGGAAGATTTTTGGTGATGGAAAGCACTCTGCCTTCCGTGAGCTGCTTCTTACCAAGCTGTCTCCCCATCTCTCCGGCCGCGCATTCCAATACTGGCTCAAGAACATCCACGTCTTCCAGAACAACAAGGGATATGGTCTCTACGACACTGGCGGCTCTCGTCATGCCATTCGTGCTTTCCGCTGGATCTCCCGTGTCTTTGGATTGAAGTCTGCTGTTAAGAAGCTGCTCGAGTCTCGCACCTTGAACGAGCAACGAGAGATGTGGCGCAACAAGATCCGACCCGCTTTGCTCTCTAAACTCATCTGCAACTTGGTCGTCTCGCAAGAGAGTTTCCTCTGGGCCGCTCTCGGTGTCCCCAAGAACCAGCTCGCGATGATTGAGAAAGACCATGCCGAGTCTGACCTTGTGAAGCAGGGTAAGGCAAAGAATAGTCGTTCTCACGCTATCTGGCACTACATGGTCAACACACTGGATCCCGTTGCTGAAGAAACTCACATTGGCACTGACAACCCCTACTACTATGTCTGCATGGATGGCAAGTTTTCGCGCAAGTGCCACCCCGAGTATCTCCGCCCTGAGGTTCATGCCAAGCTCTCACGCCCCGGTGCGTTGGACGGACTCCGCATTCACACTGATGAGCTCGAAGAGGTCATTGCCCGCATCACCCCTGGAACTCTTACTGTCGCCGTCATCATGGACAGCATGGACTGGTTTGATACCGGCTCTCAAGCGGCTGCTGCTCAAATTAGCAAGCTCAACAGAGCGCTCAAGATGGGCGGCCGTGTCCTCCTTCGTACATCTGCTTTGAGCCCCTGGTACATCAAGGTCTTTGAAGCCCATGGGTTCACTGCCCAGTGTCACGGATCCAGAGTAGATGGCGCATGCATTGATCGCGTAAACATGTATGCCAGCTGCTGGATCTGCACCAAGTCTGAGAACTTGCCCCCGCCTACTCCTGAGTTTGATCGCATTGGAGGAGGCGACATTACTAGCCTGACTATTTAAAACTGATGTATACGATTGGATTGATGGTTGGTTGAAAAAAATGAGTTAGGGGGTATCGTCCAACACTGTACCCAAGGAATTGAGAATGGTGCGCAATTCTTATATGAATAGGGACAAAACTAGGAGTGTTTCATCTCATAGCACAAGAATGAAAGTCAATGAATAAATAAATAAATAAAGTTATAAATGATGATCTGAACCATTTGATTGATGGAATAACTATTGTGTTTGAATTGTAGTAGGGTTTAAATGGTGCTATTGTATTGATTGCCCTTGTCGCATACTGCCGCTGCAACTTCTTACATGCAGCAAGGTAGTAGTCTCGCGCTGACGTGCAACTCGGAACTCTACATCCAAAAGGGGTGATACAAAGAAAGAAAAGGGAAAAAAAGAGCAACGAATAGAATGAAAGTAGATGAAACCTAAAAGAACAATACAGAAGGAAAAAAAAAAAAAAAAAAAAGGCACTGGCGCTGATAAGCAAAAAGTCACAAAAAAAGAAGCAAAAAATGTAACTCTTCTCCGTAGAGATATCTCTCCGGGGACGGAGTCGAACCGCCGACATTCTGATGAGATGTTATCCATTACAGTCAGACGCCATGAACCAACTAGACCACCCAGAGGTAGAAGAGTTATTAGGCGTCTTGGGTATTTAGTATATTAAGCTTACGACGGCGTAAGGATTCGAAGGCGGGACGGCGGCTTATTTATGTGGGGTTGGAAGGAGTTGGTGGGTTTTGGGCTTGCGTTTGTGGTATTCTTCGTGGGGCGGGATAATGTCGTAATAACTGTGCAATGGGGCTGGTCTTTGGGGGAGTTTTGGAGGACTCAAGTGCGGTTGTGGGGAGATTTGGAATATAGTTTGTGGTTGGTTGTTAGTGGTTGAAAAGTACAGTAAAACGAATAGACTAGGAAGAAATTGGATGTGTCCTAGCCGACTATAAAACCATGGGACAGAGTAGAGCTAGGTATTACCAGTTCCGTGGTACAAACAAATAGCAACGGGGTAATAAAAGGAAGGATTAATGAGAAACGAAACTCGAATCGATAGTGTTATACATTTGCTTCTTTTTTCATAGTACTTCTATACAGGCGCTCACAACCTTCTTCGGCGAAATGGCGCATAATATCAGTTACAAAGTACCAGCCCTCCAACCTAATGATTCACTCCCTGAAATCAGCTATAAGACATGTCGAAGTCATCTTTCATTTCTTTCATTTCCTTTTTTGCCCCCTCTTTGATATCCCACCTTATGCCTTCCAGATTCTCTTGATAGCCTCAGTGACGCCAACGTCATTGGTCTCAAACTCGTACAAGCCAACGCCAACAGTGACAGTTGCCAGGTTCAGGCCCCACCAGAAGAACTTTCGCAGGCCCGGGTAGGTTCGCTTGGGAATGTAGTCAATGACGACGGACTGGAAGCCGATGTGGGAGTGCAGGAGGACGGCGGAGCACAGGATGGCGTCGGTGGTGGGGTTGAGAGAGCCGGCGGCAAAGGGCGCAATGGAGAGAGGCACGAGGCCGGCGGCGAGGAGGCGCTCAAAGGTCCAGTGGTATGAGCCGTCGACGGCGCTGGGGTTGGGGATGGGGACAGGATCGTTGACTGTGTTCGGTTAATATCGTGGTTCTTTGGCATGTGAGAGTCACGGTGCCTTCGGTCGCATACCTGTTCCCTCAATTCGCTCTGTGAAAAGTAGACATGTTAGCATAATTCAGGCCCAGCGTAGTATTGTGTTGCAAATTCGGGGATTCTCACGAGGTCCGGGGGGCAGAATGGCCGAGCGCTGGGCAGAGCTGTGGAAAGCCGCAGCCTTGACGGCATTGTTTCGGAACGCAGGCTTCGCCGCCAGCGCCGTCTGCCGCAGCACGGAAGATCGCATAATAGACGCCATTTTCGATGCAAACACAGTTCCCGGTTGCGATTGGAATAGCAGTTGGCGCCCAAGTCTCGAGTCGGCAGACGCTTCGCGCAAGCTACAGGGCGATTCGAGTCGGGATGACGGGCAGCAAAGACGTTGATTTCTCTGCTACGCAAACCGGACGGGAGAGGTATTGCCGAGGATCTTGAATTGCGAGCTCCATGATTGGCTGCGCCGGTTCCGAAGCCCGCGAGCCGGGGCGCAACAACGTGGTGCCGTGCTAGAGCACCAGGGCGCTTCTGATTGGCCGGCTTTTAGAGATCGCATGTGAATTTTCGTGCTCCATATTGAAAGTCATCAAGGTGGGATGAACTTTTTGGAGGGTCCGGTACTCTTCAGCCCGCGCAGTTGTCCTCAAGGCTCGATAATGTGGGCATAACAATTGGGGAGGATTTTATTTGTTTTTGTTTCTAGCTTTTATTGGCTTCGCTCGGGCCAACACTGTCGACAATGGCACCCCAAACAGCGATATCGAAGACGCTGCTCGCCATGCGATGCGCCGGCTCACGACAAATTCGAAAATCCGCCTGGGCTTTGGGCCGAATTCAGAATGCGCGCGGCATTGCTACTTCGTATCTGGAAAAGGTGGCCGAGGGCAACAAGCGCTGGGAGGAGAGAGCGGTGAAAATTCAAAACGGCGAGCTGCCGCATGTGTGGGATGTCCTCGACGAGAGAGGCTACATTAAAGATGTCGCGGGGTATGCACTGGACTCAGCTTCGACGTTACTTGGTTTGGAGAATCGACTAAATATCTAATACTGTCTATAGGACCCCCGAAAAGATCAAAGAGCTCATGCGAGTCAAGAGAATAGGAGCCTATGTCGGAGTTGATCCTACCGCCGACTCTATGCATGTCGGACACTTGCTTCCCATGATGCCCCTCTTCTGGCTGTGGTTCCACGGCCACCCGGCTGTGACCCTTCTTGGCGGCGCGACTGCTCGAATTGGCGATCCTACCGGCCGCTTGCAATCCCGAGAGATTATGTCGAACTCGGATATTTCGAAAAACGTCACAAAGATACACTACCAGCTGTCGAGATTATGGCATAACGTGGCGGCGCTGAGGGACAAGTACGGCTTCGAAAAGGACTGGGCGGCGAAACAGAGCCTGCTCAACAACGGCATGTGGCTGCAAGGCTTGACCATGTACGATTTCACCAAGAGGCTGGCGCGACACACCCGAATCGGACCCATGCTGACGCGCGATACGTAAGTGATAATTTACATCTTTGAAGCTGATTCTCAAAGCTAAACAACCCGGTATTAGTGTGAAGCGAAAAATGACAGAGGGAGACGGCATGTCCCTGGGCGAATTCATGTACCCCCTGTTCCAGGGCTGGGATTTCTGGCACATGTACCAGAAAATTGGCGTTCAAATGCAAATCGGTGGCTCCGACCAGTACGGAAACATCGTTGCCGGTATCGACGCCTTGAAGGTTATCCGAGAATCCGAGGAGATGCCCGAGATGAGGATTCCTCCAAACTGGACAAACGAAGCCGTCGGCTTCACCGTACCGCTACTGACGGATTCTGCTGGTGTCAAGTTTGGCAAGAGTACGGGTAATGCGATCTGGCTGGATGAGTTCAAGACGACACCCTTCGAGCTCTATGGGTACTTTATGCGCCGACCTGATGAGGATGTTGAGAAGCTTCTCAAACTATTCACATTCATGCCCATGAGCAAAATCCAGCAAGTCATGGTCGAGCACCAGGCTGATCCGTCCAAGCGCATTGCCCAGCACACTCTGGCATTCGAGGTCCTATCCCTGGTACACGGCTCACAAAAGGCCGTGGAGGAGGCCCAGCAGCACCAGTTCCGCTTCGGTGGCCAGCTCCCCTATTTCGTCAAAGAGCCCAAGCCAGAGACGGGCATTCTGACGCCAAACACCGCGCCAAGGAAGGACATTGAACTTCCCCAAGCCGTTCTGAGGCTCTCTCCAGCAAAGCTTCTATACGCAGCCGGCCTCGCTAGCAGCGCCAGCGAGGGTCAGCGACTTGTCGTGCAGCAAGGCGCCTACGTGGCTGCTCGGCCTGGTCAGCAGCGGGGCCTCGTCCCGGGCAACCTGGACTGGACGCCCATGAAGATGTGGTTCCCCGAAGAGACGGCCAAGTTTGTCATTGACGAGCGTCTGTTGATCCTGCGCAAGGGCAAGCACAACATTCGAATTGTTGAAATCGTCAGTGACGAGGAGTGGGCAAAGAGCAAGAGAATATACCCCGGCCAGCCTTTCACCGGTGTCATCAGACAGGTCAAGGAGCAGTTGAGAGTCGAGGCGGAAGACAAGGGCGAGGATTTGACGCCTAGAAAAATCGTCGTGGAGCTCAACAGGAGGAAGAGAGAAGAAACGGTAAAAGTAGCAAACAACCCTGATATCGAGCTACCAAGGCCGGTGCCAACATGGCTTAAGCGGGGAAAAGTAAAGAAGAATAACTCCTCGAAGCGATAAGTCGATATTTTTAAAAGCTACCCTTTTTTGACGATTTACTACCTTGTATACTATTTTGGGGGGGTGGAAGGAAGGTGAGGGAGAAGCATGTATGATACGATGTAATGCAGTTTTTAGATCTCACGTACGATAAACCTAGATGGTGTATATAAAACGATGCTACTATTCAATTACTCCGTAACTCCCCTTGTAAATAATTATTTGTAAAACACGACGATGTCGCTTCTGGGAACAGGCAATGCCTTTAGTCTTTCCATGACCTGATCATTGGTCAAGTTCTGTTCTGTCATGATTTGATCCATGTTGTGGCATCCATCCGTATATTTCTGTAACGGATCTCCTCCAGCCAGCGGCTTGCTCTGTCCCGATGCCAGCGAGGCCAAGTACTGCTTTGAAACAACATACTTGTGCACGCGGTAGAGACAGCCCTTGATGACGCCAAATTGCACAAAACGCCTAATGTCGATATAAGACATGAGTTCAAATCCCATCTCCCTATGAATGTAGATCCACTCCTTGACGCTTTTTCCAGGCGCAAAAGCCGCCATGAACCGGATGAGCAGGTAATTGCTGACCCGCGCCCTGCCGTGAGACACGTAGCTAGCGCATTCGTCGACGATGCCGTCCACGTTGCGGATGAAGTCGTGGATGCCCGGACGGGGCGCGTAGCACGAGCCGAAGAAGAAGATGTCGAGGAGGAGGATGGTGTCGTAGTAGAGCAGGTGGCGGATGGCGATCTTGGCGAGATCGAGCGAGACGGAGGCCTCGTGGGCGATGCGGCGGACGTCGGAGACGCCGTCGATTTTGGCAACGACTTTTAGGAGGGTGATGTCCCACGTTGGATCGATGATGTCGTTGAATTTGGTCTTTGCGACGGGGACGTGCCAGCCCTGGACGGCGGGGGGGTTTGTGTGGTGGGGGAAGAGCTTCATATTGATGGTGCTTGCTTCATCTGGGAAGATGTTAGTGAAAAATGGCATTTGGAATGAAAAATAGCAATGGCGATGACACGTACCAACTGGAATCATACACTCTCCGTAGTTATTCAAGTCCTCCTTGACAATCTCAAGCAAACTCACAATCGGCCTCCTCGAGCCGTCGCCATCCGGGCCATTTGCCTCACTAAAGCTCAGGTACTCATTCTGCTTCTCCATTTCGGCAAATGTCTCGGCCAGACACCTCACGACGCGCTCATACGGGGTCTGGTCGCACTCGGCCTCGACCAGCAGGCCAAAGTTGAAGATGAACTCATTGCGCATATACTTTGGATTCCGAATGGCCACGGGGAACCCCAGGATGGTGTATTTGCCGTCGGGAGAGTTGATGGTGACATAGCGGTTGCAGAAGGCCTGGCGGGGGATGATGTACTCTTGCAGGACGTCAAAGTCGACGAGAGGAGGCCGCTGGCCGTCGGAGGACGTGATGCAGCCGGGAGGAGCCTGGGCGACGATTTTGGGACCTGAAAGGCTGTTTTTAGTGCTGATGAGCTGTTGGGGAGAAGCTCTGGAGTCTTACCTTCTTGAGGGAAGAAGCGAGCGTAGAAGATGCCTTGGATCATGGTGGCGTTTGCGCGTTCATGGCATGGGTGTAAGATGAAAGACCTCTGAGGCTCTTTAGAGCCGTTATACCATATTCGGCTGATGCTGATGCTTGAGCTGAAAGGGTGATGGGGTTTTTACACGGATGTATTTACAGTACAACGGTATGTGAGATTAGTCTGTTGAATTGAGATGTGAAGTGAAGTTTAAGATGAAGAGGGAAGAGAAGGGAGGGGAGGTTGAGGTTTGAATAAGCTTTTCGGTGTGTAGTCTATCAGTGGCTGATTTATCGCGGTGAGGTCACGAAGGTTGAGGCTGCTACAGAGATGCGCAGTCCCCGCTAATGAGCCGCTAAACCAACAATGAAGCGTATATGCAATCCAATCTATAGCTGCGTTGTGTATATTGAAAATGTCATTTTTCTTGCTGGTAATTTTTTTTTTTATAAAAAATTTAATGCTAAATATAAGACGGATAAAATACCGTTGAGATCGTGATCTAAACCACGGTTGCCCTGTTCTACCTGTGGCCGCATCTTCGCGACGTTGGCACTGGTCTTCTCTGCAGCAAACGATTGGCTGTGCTTCGCTTATCCGTGGAAAGCGCTGTAGACAAACCGCCGCGGAGTTACTTGCAGTAGCTAGCGCCACAGTTTGACAGCCACTGTCCAATGTCTGGTCCTTTACGCGTATTCGTTGTAGAGGGCCGACAGTAGGGATAGAAGCGTGGCCACAGAAGCCAACGGACTGCGGTAGAACATTGAAGCCTCTAAAAGAAGGCTCGGTGCCTGTACTCCGTACGCCTGGACCTGTTGAAGCCCCGAGCCTCGGGCTCCGGCTTCTTTTATATCTTGCCTCTCTCGTTTCCAACATTCCCCTGTCACCTCAAGTGCATACAGTATAATCACTCTTCAAAGGTTGTCATCCTTTCTGTGATAGGCTGTGCTGCCAATTCTTCATGCAGTTGTAGCCATAGTGCACCATCCTCCAGGCCTATCTGATAACAAGCACTAAAAGCGATCCCCCAAACGCGCCGCCTACAGGTGCTTCTGGGCGCCTGTCTAGAGACGCTGCGGCGCTAATAGTGCCCCATAGCAGCAACGTCGTACGGCGGCCCCACCAACCACAGGCAACAAGCCTCACTCCATTATTAACAATCGCAAATCTCGCCACAGGCTCGTCCACTCCCACCTGCTCATTCGATAGCCTGATCATCGGCCTGCCGTATTCTTTGGCCATTTGCTGCTACGCCCAGAATCCTTAACAAGCACGCTGTTATCCCTGCATCGGCTGAGCGGCGGCTCTCTGGAATATCTCTCACGACTCCACGTCTCGGACCATCGTCATCCTCTCCCCGCACAGCTCGCTGAATGGCTGATAACGCAGAGGCGGGCAGCGATGCCCAGATCACCTTCAGGGTCAAGACGTCACAGGATGGCACGCACACCATCACCATGGCCGAGTCGGCCACCGTCCTCGACCTCAAGACGAAGCTGTCTACGGCCGAGTTCGAGAATATCCCCGTCGACCGCCAGCGCCTCATCTACTCGGGCCGCGTCATGAAGAACGACGATACGCTGGCCACGTACAAGATCAAGCCCAACAACACCATCCACATGGTCAAGAGCGCGGCCAGCAACCCCAGCCAGCCAGCTTCATCGTCTACCCCGCCGCCAGCCGCTGTGCCAACCAACATGGCCTCTGGTACCGCCAATAACCCTCTTGCTGGCCTGACTGGAGCTAGATACGCTGGCCACCAGATCAACCTTCCTGGAATGGACATGTTTGGCCCAGACGGCGGCGTAAGTAAACCTATGCTTGGTATACAGCTGTAGAGCAGTTTTATCGCTAACGTTTGGGATGTGAACACACAGATGGGACCCCCCATGGACGAAGAGCGACTGCAGCGCATGATGTCCGACCCCAACGTGCAGCAGTCCATGAACGAAGCGCTGAACAACCCGGATTTTATTAATATGCTCATCGATTCGAACCCCATGCTTAGGAACATTCCCAACGCTCGAGAGCTCATTAATTCTCCCTTCATGCGACAGATGATGAGCAACCCGTCGATGATGTCGCAAGCTCTGCGGATGCAGCGGAATATGGGTCGATCCGAATCCGCATTCCCTGCTCCTGGAGCAACGGATACGACCCCGGCTGATGCGCCTGCGGCCGATGGCACAGCTGGCCAGGGAAACAACCAGCAGCAGAACCCATTTGCGAACCCTTTCATGATGCCAGGGCTTATGGGCGGTGCTGGCGGTGCTGGCGGTGCTCCTGCCATGCCCAACTTCCAACAGATGCAGCAGATGCTTCAGAACCTAAATGCCATGGCAGGAGGTGGTGCATTCCCGCCTCCGCCAAGCGGCACTCAGGCTGGCGCGGCGACGGGAACGACTGGCCAGCAACCCGCGGCGGAGAACCGAGGAACAGGAGGCGAAGCAGGTGCAGGTGCAGGACAAACCCAGGGCGGAGCGGCGGCGGAGGCGAACCCCTTTGCGGCCTTGTTCCCACCACCGGCAGCCGGGGGAGCCAATCCCTTTGCTCTGTCCCCGGAACAGTTCCAGCAGATGATGCAGGTGTTTGCCCCGCAAGCGGCCCCTTCACCACCAGACAACCGGCCGCCGGAAGAGCGCTACGCAGAGCAGCTCAGACAGCTAAACGACATGGGATTCTTCGATTTCGATCGAAATGTTGCAGCGCTGAGACGCAGCGGAGGAAGCGTGCAAGGAGCTGTTGAGCATCTGCTTGGCGGGGGCAACTAAGAGTGTTATGGTCGGCAGAGGAATCGAATATCCTGAAATCAGGACAAAAGCGTGAATAATGGGCATGTCAACATATTGAGTTATGGTGACCACACACACGATGATGGCGCAAGCTTGTGGCGCCTTTGAGTGAGGAGATTTATGGACGACACAGGCTTCTTTTTCTTTTGTTTCCTCCCCGCAGGAGCCGGATTTCAAGAGCTTGCGAGCATGGCAATCGGGCGCGATTCAAACAGTGTAATTGTTTTATTTTCAGTGACGACAATACAAAGTATGCGCACATGGAGAATTGATACGATGGTGATGGCGATGATGGCTGTGCATGCTTTGAATGGTGCTGGTGTTGTGGTATTCAATACATGGTAGCTCAAACCTATCGCGGTTTATGCCGGTGCAGTGTACGGCAACGCATCATTGAGATGATGGTAATACATGTATATAGATACTTGTGTGTATAGCCACGCCATGCAGAGCGGAAGTTGATGAATTAGAATCGAGTTACTAAACACACGGCCTTGAATTCTCTGTTGAATCTTGAACAAAGTCGGGAGCGTGGGGCAAGCCGTTTCGGCAAACAGCGCCGCCCGTCCGCGCCGAGCTTTTTCTGGAGATGCCTCGGCACCTCCTCCTATCTTAGCTGCGTACCCCGGATTTAGCTCTTACGGGGATCTTGAATCGGGGCGGCTTTTCATTTGCTGAGAGGCTTGAACTTTCTCTCTCTCTCTCTCTCTTCTCACTTTCATAAAAGGCTGGGAATATAGTTTCGTTTTTGTTCATCTTTCTCTCTTTTCTCTCTTTGAAACTAATTGTTGCCTTATCAAGTTGGTTGTCTTTGGTCAGTTGTCAAGATGCGCGGCATTGAGATTCAGAAATATGTCAAGGTACTATCGTCAAAACCTATTCCCATGGTATTGCAATGAAGTCTCTAGCTAAAAATGGAAAACTGCAATGAATACAGAGCCCCTCAGAGCTCATAGTAACCGATCTGGCCGATCCCGTGCCCAAAGACAACGAGTATCTCATCGAGGTGCACGCCGCGGCAGCCAACTTTTTCGATATCCTGCAAGTTCAGGGAAAATACCAGAACCAGCCACGTGAGCTCTTCTTCTTCTTCTCCCACCTCTTTCATGTTTTTTTTTTCGTCTGAAAACTAATGCTCATCTTTTAAATCATCAGCCTTCCCGTGGATCGCCGGCGCCGAATTCGCCGGCATCGTCACCTCCACGCCCCGCAAAGCCAGCAGCAGCAAGCCGCCGCGCTTCCCCGTCGGCACACGCGTCTTTGGTGCTGGCCAGGGCGCCTTTGCGACGAAGCTGTGCGTTAAGGAAGATGCGCTGCTGCCGGTGCCGGAGGGCTGGTCGTTCCGCGATGCGGCGGGCTTGTATGTGACGGCGCCGACGAGCTACGGCGCGCTGGTGGTGAGGGCGGGAGTCAAGGCTGGGGATGTGGTGCTGGTGCATGCGGCGGCGGGAGGAGTTGGGCTGGCGGCTGTTCAGGGTGAGTCTTTTTTTTCTTTTGTTCTGTTTGTAAATGAGGAAAAGGGTAATGTGTTGTGAGTGAGAGATGAGAGTGACCTTCTCACTCACTCTCAAGAGGGTCACTCTCATCTCATACCATCACCATCAACTAACGCAAAATCGCAGTCGCCAAAGCCTTCGGCGCCACCGTCATCGCCACAGCATCCACCCCCCGCAAGCTCGAAATCGCCAAATCCTTCGGCGCCGACCACGTCGTCTCCTACACCGACCCCGACTGGCCCGCCAAGGTCAAGAGCCTCACGCCAAAGTCCCGCGGCGTCGACATCGTCTACGACCCCGTCGGCCTCGTCGACAAGTCCACCAAATGCACCGCCTGGAACGGCCGCATCCTCATCGTGGGCTTCGCCGCGGGCGCCATTGAAAAGGTGGCCATGAACAAGGTACTACTAAAAAACATCTCGCTGGTGGGCATCCACTGGGGCGCGTATGCGATTCATGAGCGGGAGATGATTCCAAAGGTGTGGGAGGGGATCATGGGGTTGGTGAAGGAGGGCAAGATCAAGGGCACGGAGTATACGGATGAGGAATTTGTTGGGCTGGATCGTGTCAAGGATGCGTTGGTGGCGCTGGGAGGGAGAGGGACTTGGGGAAAGGTCATCATCAAGGTTCCTCAGGAGGGCAATAGCCGGTTGTAAATGTTTAGATCAAGATAGACACGAGTCGAAGCATCCTTGGTTACTACCAAAAATACAAAACAAAACAAAACAAAATATAACCGATATCATGGCTCATGTCTTTTGTATAGCATCTATCAACTCGAGAATATCTCTTTCGTTTCGTCCACGTTATATCGTGTAAGCTCGTCATCCAAGTCGTAAGCTCATTACCGCCACCAAGACTTTCTCATTCATCCATGCTCCCGAATATTCCACCTTCACTGCGATATGAATGTGCCATCCATAAGCCTCTGGAAAGCATCCATGACATCCTTATCGACATTCACCGCCCAGTTCGCATGGAAAACCTCTTGGCCTCCGACGCGCGCAACCAAGTCCTGTAATCTAGCCTTTACAAACTGCAGCGCGTTCACGCAATGTACCGGATCTTTATGCTGACTCTCCCGCTCTACGAGCAACCTGGGAGCATCATACTCAAATTCCTCCACTTCCGCCTCCCAAATCAGACAATCCGTGCCGTCAGCCACGCCGTCTTGTAGATCCATGATGACGTTGATCCACATATCCATAAAGTCTTGTAGCTTACTCAACACTAATTCCTGCATTGGCGAATTCAGTTCGAGCAGACGGGTTAAAGCAAGGACGTAGAGCTTCTGGCGGTCGATGTTGTCCATCCTCGATTGGTATACGAACCATTCCGCGGACAGCCAGCTCCACACGTCTCCAATGTTTCCAAATGTGCTCAGCATTTGCACAAACAGGTTCGGCTCAGCAAGTATGATCCTGGCCAGAATCGCAAAGTAGTCTCCTTGCGTGATCGTGTTTAGCTTGCTTTGTTTTCTGTTGGGCCCTGTGGTTTGACGGGCCTCCCACGCGTCGTGGAGATTTACCAGAATCTTGTTCATGAAGCCTATTTCTAGCATGTCTCCAACTAGAACTGATATTCCCTGCGCGCCTCCGAGTTCCGCTGCCGACCGAATCAGGTACTCAATGCAAGTTGTGCCTATGCGGACATGCTCTCGGCTCTTGGAATCCAGCGTGCCGCTAAGCGCAGTCAGCATCGGTCGTCGCAGGGTGTCCTCTAGCATCGCCGAGGGCGCGATGATAACGTAGGATTCAATAGCTGATAATGCTTGTGACACTGTTTCCGACTGATACTCAAGAAGAGGGAGCAGCATCTCGGCAAGATTGATTATCTCCTGCGACAGCGGAGGCTTGCATTGCATGAGAATCGAATTCAAGAGCTCCAACGACTCGTCAATGAGGTTGTAATGCAAGTCTGAACCTTGCCTTGCAGCTTCAGCGAGTAAGGGAAGCATGTAATTCTGATAGCGCTGAAATTCGGGGCCCATGCTCATAACCAAGGCCGAGAAAATGGCAATCACCGCTTGCTTCACCATGTACTCTTCTGTTCCTGTGCTTTGCCACACAGACGGCAGCGCAGCCATGAGCTGGTCTCCAAACTGGCTTACTTGCTCTTCCATTCGCGTCACCAGGATTCGGATGGACTCAAGTATAGCTAGCTTTGTTTCGTCGCTGTCCACGTTCTGTACAAGGTCTATGAGGTTGTTGAGAACATCTGCAGTGTAGGGCAGAAATGCGTCGACGTTGAAGTCAATCTCGTCGGCCACCCATCTGAGCTGCCTTGCCGCTGTGATCCTCACCACAATGTCATTCGTCTCGTCGGCTGGAGATAGGAAATGCTGGAAAATCTGATATACAATCGGCCGGCTGGTGTCCCCTAGCTTGACTGGGGCCCATAGACTGATCAAGATGGCAATACGTCGCCGCAGGACCTTGTACAGACCGCCTTGTTGCTGGGCATCATTCACAATGGCCGATGCCAGCACTGCGTCAAAGTCAAGCTGGTGGACCACGTGCGCTGCTGAAAGACCCATGGCCGTATAAACGGCCTCCTTTGTAGCAATATCCGTCTGAGGAGACTGTACATTATGGAAATATGATAGCAGCGGCGGCACTAGAAGATCCTTAAAATTGGTAAGCAGATCCAAGAACAGCTTCTCAGCGCATGGCCGAACTTCCCATTCATATGCACTACCCTCATGCTGCTCCTGCTGTTCCCAATCTTCGGGATCTTCTTCCCAAGCCTCAAGATCCGACCTGCGGAAGACAAACAGGTGGGTGATGATGGTATTGACCATTTGTATTACCAAGTCATCTTTGAAAAGCTCCGTCCTTACTATGCTCTTTGCTTCCTCTTGTTCGACTTTTGTCTCTTGCGTTCGGTACTTGAATGTTTGTATTGGTGAAAACGCGATCCTAACACAAGCACGCAGAAGAAGCAGCCCCTTCAAGGCAAGCTTTTCCATGAGAGGACCTTCTGTCTTGCTCTTGGCTCCCGCATCGCCGGAGCCCTGGCGAATACCGCCAGACGAAGCAAAAACTTCAGCAAATTTCGAAATGAGGTCCCAGTACGCATTGACGAGGGACAGCGAATTGGGCAGAAAAGCAAAGCTGGCAGCGAAATGCTCGGCTTGGTCGATGTGGAACTTTGAGAACTGGAGAAGATGCTTCCCCACCAGGTCTTGGTATGGTTCTGGTACACCAGAGTCGATAAAGCCAAGAAACTGACCAAACTGGTTTTGCGACAGTGTCCAGAACTGGCTTACTGAGTTGTCGGTGTGAGGTCGCGCGTAGCCGACACTGATGAGGCGACGGAGAGTTTTCAAGGCTGAGAGGCTGTTCATCATGGCCAAGTTGGCTTCGTCGCTGTTTCCCTGTCCGGTGCTTAAAAAGTTGATCCATATTGATGACTTCTCAGAGTATATCTCGGACAAGACGTATACAATCTCAGGCGTAACTGACTGCAGTGCTGTTTGCGACTTTCTAAGCCGTGCACTTCCCATCTCCTTGATGACTCGCAGGAGAACCAGCAGTGTGCCGTATAGATGATACTGGTTGGCGTTTTTCGTAGACCGTAAAAGATCGATGATGCTGGGCAACGCATCGGGCCAGTCGTCGGGGTAGTCGATCCGGATTATTTTAGCAATGACCAAGGCATTGTGTAGAGCAAGGTGCTTCTCCTCCTCCTCGACCGATCCCTGAAACAACCGCGATCGGATCAAGCTCTTCTCCTCGGCAGGTATTCCGTTCTTCAAGTGCGCATGCAGTCTCCAGCACTTGTCGATACCATTCTTGATCTGTATAACTGCCAGAAATCGAATCTCGAGAGGTAGGGACTTGTCTAGAAACACCGACTGTCAAGCAAGGAAGCAGACAAGGGTTAGCCGCTGCGAGGCTGATGTATAACGACGATAGAGTAGTAACAGAGGCATACCTGTAGCGAAGAATAGTAGCCAGGCTGTGACTCCCAAGTTGTGAGCTGCTGGCCGGCAGCCTGTCGCTGGACGTGATCCGAAGCAGTGGTAGCCGCGTGAAGAGTGCGGCACAGCTCCTCCAAGGACAGCGGAGCGGCGTCGCCTGGCACCTCGATTGCGAAACTCATAGCTGCTGCCGGGGCCGTTGAGGCGGCTGCTCAGCTCTGGTGCGATGGCTGCGAGGCCCGTAAAGCAAACAGGATCGCGAAATTCGTATGGAAATAGCAAAGGCAAAAGTCGAGGTTCCAAAGGCTGTAGGTGCTAACAGGATAGTCCAGCGCTTGGAGATGGTGGGGCTGAGTTCGTTTGGCTGTTCGGTGTGAGAAGAAGATGGAGGGGTAGCAATAGGAAGTGCTACTGGCAAATAGGCGGAAAGGGCAGCAAGGCTGAAATTGCAAGGAACAGTACACAGGCAGTGAATTAGTTGTAGAGAAACAAATGGAGATGAGGCTTTTTGAAATACACATGTGTTTGTTTACTCGACAGTCATTGTAAATTCTATGCCCAGCTCGAGATCCCGTCATTAACTGGTCCAAGAGACATTTACAGCGAGGACCCTTGGGCTCTATTAGCGCCGGTGTATCGGCCTATGCCCCACCGCGAAAGTTCAAGCTTCAACTTCGTCGAGAGCCTCTATCCAACTGCTCTATTTCTGGACCTCTGGGCAAGCCATTGCCCGCTGGCATCGGCACGTCCACAAGCGATGATCCGCTCACGAACCTCCAGGCTCGCAGTCTCTGCCCTCGCGAGGAGGCAATGGACGTGCCCGGCATGCCTGTCCAGGCGCCAATACTCCAAGCAGTCCGAAAAGCGCGAACCTCCCGATCATCGGAAGCTGGGCAACCAGCAAGAGCTCTTCATGACGTCGATATATAGCCCCGGATCCCCCATATTCTTGCCCAACGGCGCCCGAATATTCAATCGACTCGTCGACTTCTTGCGAAAACAGTACGTGCGATATGGGTTCCAGGAAGTCATCACGCCGACGATATACAAGAAGTCGCTGTGGGCAAAGTCGGGACATTTGGAGAATTATGCAGAGGACATGTACTCTGTGACGGGTAACAAGAGGGCTTCGGACGCGGAAGGGTGCTGCGGAACGGATCACGCCAAAGATGCATTAGAGGAAGAGGACGATTACGGGTTGAAGCCCATGAATTGCCCTGGGCATTGCCTGATCTTCGCATCCAAGCTGCATAGCTACAGAGATTTGCCGGTCAGATACGCCGATTTTAGTCCCCTCCATCGAAATGAGATATCAGGTGCCTTGTCAGGATTGACTCGGGTGCGTCGATTCCACCAAGACGACGGCCACATCTTTTGTAGACCAAGCCAGGTGGAAGGCGAGATCAAGAAGACGCTGGATTTTGTCAAGACGGTTTACAGCGTTTTGCGCCTTGGTGTCAGCTACCGCTTGGCACTGTCTACGCGGCCGAAAGATCACTACATTGGCACGGAAGAAGAGTGGGCGCGCGCCGAGGACAGCTTGAAACGGGCGCTGGACGCTTCAGGCATGGAGTGGACAATAAACGAGGGCGACGGTGCATTCTACGGCCCCAAGATTGACATTGTGCTCAAAGACTCGGAAGGCAAAGAGCACCAGACTGCGACGATCCAGCTCGATTTCCAGCTGCCGAAGCGATTCGAGCTGGAGTACCAAGCACCCGCCCCAGAGTATGAAGCCCGCGGCGAGACGACTGAAGACCCAGAGCTTCTCGCCCAGTACGGCCCCGTCCGGCCAGTCATGATTCACCGTGCGGTGCTGGGATCTGTAGAGCGGCTGCTGGCGCTCTTGATTGAGAATTATGACGGGAAATGGCCGTTCTGGCTGAACCCGAAACAGGCCGTCATCTTGACGGTCAACACGTCCGATCCAGTTGTAGAGTGGGCCGACGAAGTGCGCGACATCCTCCTCGGCAACAAGAAGCAGAGAGGAGATGGGTTGCCGGCTATCGAGAGCCTTTCAGGGCAGACGGGCCTGGCGGTGGACATGGATTTCACTCCGAGATCACTCGGGACCAAGATTCGGGAGGCCCACGCGAGTGGCTACGGTCTTGTGTTAGTGGTGGGCGAGCAAGATGTTGAGAAGAAACAGGTCAGCTTGGGCAAAGAAAGGTTGAACCCAGTAGAAATGCGCGATAGAATGCTGTACATGGTAGATACATTCGAATAAACAACTCTCCCATCTATTCCCACCCAAAAGCGCCCATGGTCGTAACCTGTATTCCTTTTCTTGACCTCCAATCCCCATTGAAGCCGACGTGTGTATAGGTAGCATAAATTGGTATAATAGAATCGCTTACAAGGCAATCAGGCTGGAGCCCAGGCTCGCTGCGCCTTTTCCAGCTTTTAGATAAAAGATAAATCAAGTTCGCTTCATGACGCTCTGTATCTCCTCTCTCGCCGGCGCTTCACCAAAGGCTTGGCAGGTCCTTTAACCTCTCATCAAACACATTCACCGGCTGTTGGGGCCTTGCCTTGAAAGATGAGAACCCCTTTCCCCAAGTTAGTCTCCATCGCCGCGCGGCATCTCATTCAACTCACTTTTTGAACTTGGAATCGACATCTCCGCCTGCCTGCTCGACTCGCTCAATCAAGGCCTGCCTCTGCACGAGCTGCTCGCGCATGTAGTCCACCGTCCTCTTAAGCACGAGGCCCTCTGAGCGACCCTGGCCCTGCAGACCAGGCACGAGCTCAGTGAGCCTGTCGAAGCCCTCTCGTATGGCCTGGCGGCGCTTCTGCTCTAAAGGCGATGTTAGCTTTGAGCAGGGACGAGCGCTTTGGGGGTTGATCTCGGTGCTCGCGTGTTGACCTACCTGATGCGATGTGGTTCTGCTTCTTCTCCTCTTCTGTGAGGCGTGGCTTGTCGTCGGCGCTGGCTGCAGCCGCGGAACCGTTTTTGTCGGCAGACGAGCCCGAGGTTTGGCTTGGTGAGGCTGACATATTTTGTTTCTCTCTCTCTCTCGCTTTTGTCGTTGAGAGATGCGCTGCTGGGTAGATTGAGGGAGGGCTTATGGGTAATATGATAAGCACATGCGAATCAGGACACCAGTGCGCATAACCAGCCAAATATCAAGCTTTATAGAACCGACGGCAATCATTTACGCAAAGAGAGAAGCAAAAGGTTGAAAAGAATGAAGAATAGAGACAGCAATAAAGCAAAGCGGTCTGTGGCCCGGCAGACGCGCGATTCTTCGTTTATTTATCTGGCGTGGTACGACACCAGAGCGTCGAATGTCATCAATTGCTGCAGACTTTTGGGGGATCACATGCGTTGCACGTTGCACGCGCGCCGTGCTAATTAAAAGAAAATGAATCGAGAATAGAGAGAAGAGCCAGCACTAAAATGACACCAAAAGCCACCGGCCGCCAGACCTGTTACAGCGCTAGGAGGAACAAGGATCTTGCCCCAGATTCTCGGCCGAAGTGCCGGTCCCTGCGTCTAGCTCCCTAAACGAGCAGCTGGGCCACGTTAACGAGATTGATTCGGCTGGTGAGGTAGCAGTGCTTTGCTCTGTTCCAGGTTTTCAGAATTTGTACACGTAGCTATTGTGCTTTCCAAGTGCTTTTGTTTTTGTTTTGTTTTGCTCTTGCTTCAATATCCGCTTTTGATGTTTGATGTTTGACGGGCGGTGCAGCATGCCGAGATGATGCCTCCCTAACATTTCCGATTCTGCACCATGCCGCCAATCACATGCCAAAATACATGCTGCTCCGACCCAAAACTCCACGTAGACAGAGAAGTCGTCATGTTTTCTTTCGCAGTACGCATTGTGATCGAAGCAACTCACCTCGGTTGAGCTACACGGTGCTTGGAAAAGCGGGCGTTTCCCTTGATCCTGTGAAAATCACAAGCTTGCTTTGCTTCATGTCATCATCATCTTCTTCACATAAAGGACACATCTGGCCCGTGGCGCCCATGCGAGGGGCGCTGAAACCACGACGCTAGAGCCGCCTCAGTCTCCATCTCAAGTCACTCATCTATTTCTCATTCTGAAGCTGATCCTGCATCGTCAAACTCGTCACGATCTTGCTGGAAGGTGACCTTTTCCGCCAGGGTCAAAGTTCGCTTCACAGGCAGTCCAATGACATTATCAACGCTTCCCTCAATCTTCTCCACCAACAGCATGCCTGCGATGCCTTGAATTCCGTATCCACCAGCCTTGTCAACGCCTTCTCGGGTTTTGACGTAGGCCTCAATCACATCGTCTGGCAGTCCATTGCCTTCTTCCCAGAAGTAAACTTTGGTCTCCTCTGTGTGAGATTGGATGTCATAGCCCGGAGCCCTGGCATCTTCTCGCGGCGCCAGCACAGTCACTGAAGTCAAAACTCTGTGCATGCGCGTATCACGCAGGAGCTTGAGCATCCGAATGTGGTCTGCCTCGCTCCGAGGCTTCTCCAGAATGCGTCCATCACGAGTGACAATGATGGTGTCAGCGGCAATGACCAGAGCGGGATCGGGGATAGATGCAAGACTGGTCTCTATGCTTGTGGTGTAAACGTCCAGACACTTGTTGTGAGCGGTAGTGGCGACATATTCCCAAGGGCCATATGCCTTTTTGTCCAGATCCTCAGGCTTGGTTGATGGAGTAATCTCCAGATTAGTGAAGCCGACCTAAATTGGCAGATGTTATTTTTAGCGCCACAAAACGGGACTGCCAGTCTTTACAAGCGTCATACCTGCTGAAGAAGCTGCTTCCGCCGAGGAGAGGCAGATGCCAGAATTACCCGCTTTGAGTTGAGATGCCTGATAATGGGGATATCAAGGGGCTGCAGCGGCCTGCGCATGGATCCGGCTCGAGGACGCCCAGCGGCTGGGCCGGCAGAGTCGGGGCCGGCGTCGCCTGGCACGTTCGGGGCCGACATGATGTGTGAGGGAGCTGTTGATTGAGGGGATTCTACAGCTACAGATGGAAATGCGAGATGAGAGCTTCAGGGACAGGAGCAAGGCGGTATAGGTTTTAAGGAGCTCGAGTCGTCATTGATGGTGGGGTCGTGTCTGCGATTGACCCCACTGCGCAGTAGTCTGTAGAGAGGAATGCATGGAGAGTGTGAGTGAGCCTCTATCGCCACAAAGGGCAGCTTCCGAATGCAGCGTATCTCTAGGCAGCTACTTGGGAGTTGAATCATTGAATGAGTTTGCTATATAACCCCCCATCAGCTGCTTTTTTTGCCCTTCTGTGAAGTAGATTTCTCAGCATTGGCATCTGTATAGGTACATGTATGTTACACCATAAACTGCTGAGCTTTATTATTTTGTTGTGTCACAAATCTCATCGCCATTGTGTTTTTCATGATTAACAATATCTACAATACAACATGGATATTTACAAATTTGCTACTTGCTCTCTTCCACAACCTTTCAAGACACTGAAGCCCGCCCTCATGAGCTGAAGCTGAGCTGCTGCCTCGTGGCCGGATCGGGACTAGGCCCAGCCGCGGTACCTGGCCACTTGTACCTTGGCGAGGTACCCGTCCAATGTACCCGTTCGTCAAACTCCCTGTTCCCGCGCCCTGGAGCGAAAAAGCCAAAACTTCGGCCCTCCAATAAACAGCACTCAACGACACTAAAGCACTCAATGCTCCTCTAGGCCTGCCATCGCCGCAGCGTGATTGTGTCCACCGGCTGAATAAGTTCCATCGATCAGCACTGCCGGATTCCGCTGCAGCTGCGCCTGTGTGGGAAAAAACGCTGCTCAGCTGCTGCTACTCCAAAAGCCATCGCCGCTCCAGAGCCCTGTAGCGCGCGCGACCTCCCGCCACCAACGGCACAAAAAAGCATCCCTCAACACGCGTCTCTCCACGCTGGCGATTGCAGTCGCCGGGCCGTGGGTTGCGACACGGGACTCTCGAAGCCATTGAGTCCTCACGCCTGCGACGCAGGTCCCTCGCCGCCGCCGACGGTAATGCGCCTGCTGTAACGCTGACGATCCAGACCAAAATGGAGGCCAAGCGGAAGGCGAATGGAGCCTCCGATGCAGAGGACCGCAATGCGAAGCGGCGCAGAGTAGCTGTGAGTGTGATTCGAGTTGATTGCGCCTCTGGATGGCGGCATCTGGTTTCGGGAGCAATCGCTTCCGTGCTGCATTCTGCGTTTCCCTCCCGCATCTTTCTTCCTTTCTTGATCCTTTACTTTTCATCACCAGTGACCTGCCCGCACCCGCATCCTTCAATCCTGCAGTTCGCGCGCATTGATGAAAATCGCACGCTTGCATCTCGCATGCCGGTTCTGCGCTAACAGCCCTGTCTCTACAGCAAGATTACGATCTCTCCAAGGGCGAATCCCGCGAATCGACCACTGCGCATGGACTGGTATTTCTCGACCAGATCCGTCGGACCGCCGACAAAAGGTACCCTCGCTGCAGTTACTGCTGCTGTTGCAAAAGAATCTAGACTGACTGTGTTGAAAAAGTGGTCGACTTGTCGCGACGTGCTTTGAGGAGCTCGTCTCTCGCGAAAGCAACCCCGACTACTACAAAAGGACGCGACTGCCGATTTCTCTTCAGACAATTGAAGAAAAGCTCAACGATGGCTATTTCAAGAGCCTCGCAGAGCTGGAGAGCTACTTCAAGCGCATGATTGCCAACGCCAAAGAGTATTATACCCGCGGGTCACAAATCTTCGACGATGCCGAGCGAGTTCGCAAAGCGCTGAGCAACTACATGACCAAGACAAACCCTGCATACAGCAATCGATCCTACCAAGCAGTTCCTACTCCATTGCCGCCGGAAAATGCAGATGATGAGGAGGAGGAAGGAGATGCAGAAGAGGAGGAGGAGGGAGACGAAGATGCTGATGGCGAGGACGCTGAGGACGCCGAGGATGCTGAAGGCGAGGACGAAGATGCAGATGGCGAGGACGAGGACGAGCCCGAAGAAGACGAGCCGCCAAAATCAAGGCGAAAGGCCATTATCCTCAAACGGAGAGGATCTAGCCGCACTCGGAGAGGCTCCAACAACGATAACCCAAGAACTCGGTCACCACCACCAGCTCGTCCCGATCACGAGTACGAAAATGTGCCATACAAAGGGCTCACTTTCCAACAAGCTCAAGAAAAGATAGTGGAAGAACTTTTACGACACCAAGAGCCAGAGTATGTGGACTCAAACCAACCCTTTAACTATTGAACCCTTTTTTTTCTTTGAAGACTAACCGAGTCCATTTTTAGCTATGACGATGCCTACTTCGAGCCTTTCATTAACCTCCCTCCTCGAGCCTTGAGGGACTACTACAAGGTCATTACTGATCCCCTATCGCTCAAGAAGCTGCAAAAAATTGTCAAGGGCGTGCACGGCCGGAACGATGCAACTGGCGTGAGCGACTTCAAGACGTGGAGCGCCTTTGAAGAAAAGTCAAAACTCCTCTGGACAAATGCCTATTTCTACAACGAAGAAGGCAGCGATATATACGTGCTGGCACAAGAACTTGAGGTAAGAAGCATGCACAATAGGACCGTTCTTAAGGACTTGCAAATCTGACAACGGGAATAGAAAATGTTCTACAGCCACCTTAAGAAGGCACAGGCAGCTGTCTCAGAGCCGTTCCAGCAGAAAATCAAGCTCAAGGTTGGACAAGGAGGATCAGAGACACCCAGCTCGTCCAAGAAGATCACTATCCACGTTGGCGGGCGTGACAGCTCTGTAGCTTCGCCGGCCCCTCAAGCAACCCAAGCACCAGAGGCCAATGGCGCGGTAAACACCAATGGCTCTGCTCAGCTTTCAGCCAATCTTGAAGCTCCTCGAAGTATCTCAGCATCTGCGCCCTCCCCGACTCCCTCATCTCAGGTAGGACTAAAGGTGGAGGATGGTTCGCGGGCGTCTCCCGCCGTTGCCAACGTACCAGCCGGGATGGTAGGACAAACGGCCCTGCGACCTCCCATTCCCGCGATCCCGTCTCAGCCATTCCAAACTAATCCACTGGTCAATGGCTATGCGGATCAGAGAAGATTCCGCGCTACTGGTAAAGGTATAGTGCACATAGTGTTAATGTCGAAGCTGCCATTCGATAAAAGGTACTAATCTTGAATTCCAGGAATCGAAAGTGCACTGATTGAAAAACTACGAATTCAAACTCTTCCTAGCATCCCGAATGAGCGCCCTACGCTGCTCACCATTTTGCCAAACGCAAAGGAGATGCAGCAGTCTGCAACCGTCAACTTGCCGCATTCTCAGACTCGCATCTGGATTGTCGTAACGCTGCCATCTTTCCTACAGGATCGTCAATATAGCCTGTGGACCCTGGTGGACAAGCAACCCTGGAAGCAGCTGATGCAGCCTATCCCGAACCAGACGCATCACGAAAGAGCATTTGATGTTATGCTGCATCCTGGGCTCAACGTCATCGAAACCCATCTCATCGCCGCAATTCCGCGTCACGAAAGAGAACCGGGGGGCCCTGAGGCGGAATTAGAAGTCTTCACTGTGCTGATTAACGTGGCACGGCCGTACTAGACGTCGGGTGTCGTTCGACCAGGTATGGAGTAGAGTGGGCAACTCTGTCCGCATCTGCTCCGAGCCTCTGCAGGGGGGCATTGTTCGGGCCAACTCTGCACAGCCCTTACTTATGCGAGTCGACGGTCTTGAAAATGCTAGGAGGGTGGAGTGGCGCGCGCTAATCCGCCTTTTCCGTGTTGTTTTTGCGGAAAACTCACATGGTTGGAGTTACTGGTATCAGGTAATAGCGAGCGACTCAGCCAAAAATTCTGGGCTTTGGGTGGAACCTCTGGCAGGGTTGCGTGTGTCTTTTTGTGTCTTTGGTTTTTCTATCTAATGATTTCGGCCGAGTACGGGTGACGGGCCAGGGCTGATCCCTGTTTTCCGGCTGCCCTTATTATACAGTATAATGCCGTCGGATGCGGATGTGGGATAGTACAGGTATCGGCCTCCTCGTGAACAGGTTTATGTACACCATCACCAGTGGCCGTGCAGCGAATCTCAGTTTGGGTAGCGCAATATTACTATTGCTCTGTGAGTAGCCAAAGAGATTATTTGCAGTGTCTGTACCCATGGAATATGTTGCAGCGGACAGCAGACGCTTACTAGTATCTAGTATAGAGGAAATGTGAAAAGGGGGAGGAGAAAAAAAAACCTAATTGTTTATTTGATCTTTACGCTCTAGTAGATTTGCACATTAGGAAAGTGATTAAGAACGTTTGTGCTGACTTGAATCTCGGCCAATTGCGACTCAGATTCTTGGGTCCTACGTGTTTGAGTTTGAGTCAGGTTTTCCGTATCGTTTCGGTGTTGCATGCGGCATATCGTTAGTGAGCTGTTGGTTTGTCCCTTGTCTGCACTGATATCTACCCAAACATCTACCGAGATTGCCAGCAGATCTGCTTTCCTAACGTAGGCATATCTTTGATGGCTACTAGGTACGAGACGAGCTGAACAAGATAGACGGGGGAGATATGCTGGCCATTCAGCTCATGCTCTGTACGGCGCAACTCCCGATTCAGTACAAGATCCTGAACTCAGCATGGTTACTATGCGGCAGCCTGGGTGTTAGTGGGACTCATGATCCCTGCTGATGGGTGGCCTGAGTAAAAATACTGCTGGAATAGGAATTTGTATGTATGTAGATGGGGATGAGGCATCGGGAATGCGAGACGAATTAGGTGCTATTAAATCCGAGTCGACGACGTAATTGGCAAAAAGAAAATAAAGGTGAAAAAATTAAATCAGATAAATAAATAAATAGATAAAAGTAAATTGATCAAACGCGGTAGATCGTATTTACCCAGCAAGCTGATTAGTATTCCAATTAATATAGTCTCATCGCTAGGCCAGCCCTAGACCGCTGAGCTAAGAAACGGATTGTGGTTGCAGATTACATAGCATCATATTTCATATTTGTCACCGAGTCATGGGTTGTCAATATGGTGTCTTTTACTTCCTTGCTCGCTTGGTTTTGTTCTGTGGCACATGGTGGGAATAGTATAATCAGATGTATATACAAGTACATGGTTTTGATACGTGATTCGCTAATACAACTTGCTCACTCACTTGTGATACGAATTGGCTTAATCGATATAGAGAGAAAGATATGAATTAGTAATTAATTGTAATTGTCAATTGGCTGATTAATTGGTGATAATCATCAACCGTCTTGAAACACGGCAGTTGCGCGTTGGCCGCCAGCATGCCGCTCCAATTGTCAATCCAGGGCGTTGGTCGAAACAAGGAAATCCTTTCACACAAAGTACCCCTTCAGCCTAAGCCTATCCATTGTTAAGCAGTGTTGCATTCTGAGTAAAGTGGTGTAAAAAAAGCGGTTTCCTATACGGCTCCTTAAAAGACCCTATTCAACTCGGCGTCTTTCCTCAAAAGAGTAATGCGTGTTCAATGACTTGTCTCCAGACCCAAAGCGGCTCAACTAGTATCTCTGTAACACGAAGCTTGCGGGGCTATTGCTTACGCCTAAAACAAGTTTAAATTGTGTTAGAGTCTAGTAACGGTAAGAACCAGTACTATCAACGCTACGAATTCTATCGCTGGCAGGTAGTGTTGTGGGAAATGTGCAACTTATGGGCTATATGTGGCAATGTTGCTTTGGAACCTTCCGCAAAGAGAGTTTCGAGTTTCTAGGATTGGCATGACGACGCTCTCAAGGTGAAGTCGTATGGAATGCCCGTAACAGAGTGAGGAAATTAGCCACTACGGCGCCATTAATAGAAGACTGCAGCTGGATTACTATTGAAAGCTCTTATTGTTACGTGATCTTTGCTAAGTTGTCAAATTATTCAATAGGATTGTATCTACTAGTTTAGTGATACTGATTACGCTTATGGCCGATACAAAGTTCCTACAACTAGTACGTCAACACGTGAAACTCAAGCACACGGCCTGGCCGATACGCCTATACGAAGGCTGCATTCGGCGACCCTGTCTTTTTTTTTATTTCCGCAGTGATTAGTTTCCATCACCTGAGTGTTGTGGGTACAGGCCCGCCAAGACGTGTAATCTTTATAGTAGATACGAATCTTGAAGAATATTATATTGTGATATATGATTCTTTTGAGGGTGAAGACGTAAGTTCAAAGCGTGGGCGGAACTCTTGTTGAGAAATCATATACACAATGTGTTTCTCGAAGTGGAAACTACATATATCCATGAAGACAGGCAAGGCATATTTTGAGGTGATTCATCAAAACAAAACAAGGGTTGATGTATACTATCAAGCTTGTGATAAGAGCTCGTCTCAATTGAGTCCATGGTTCAGCCGACGATAGGACACAGCATGATGACAGAAATCTTCAATTGATGATAGACATACATAATTCCATAATCTCATAGCTGCATGGCTAGTACTCCCGTCTTTACAGCCTTGTATGCGCAAATATGTCATCAGATTCCTGTAATCACAAAAGAGGAAACTCATGGGATGAAGGCATGCAAATAGGGCGGTATTACTAAGAGTTTTGGCCAAATGTCAGCTGAATTAAAGTCAGAAATAAGGACATGCGCACAGTCAGCCATAGCGGAACCGTTTTATACGCAGTTTCTACTTTCGGGGCTAGATTTACGGGAGATTTGGGACGGCTTAGGGACAGCCAAAATAAAGTCTTTGGTCCAGCAATATAAAATATGAGCAGTGTTGGACCTACAAAACTCGGAGGAATATCCGCGATGATATCTCCACAGTTAGTCTGGGTAGGCTCTAACTGAGACGCTCAATTACATCAGCTTGATTGACTTAATTCGAGTCAACTTGCATTATAACAATATATATCGCTAGTCAATATAAAGAAAGCGCTTCCACGTTGGACACAAAAAATGGGCTCGTTAGTCAATCATCATAAATCTGCAAATGGAGGGGTAAAGAACCGCATCTGCCATACCCGACCTGCTGGAAAACATCCCCCAGCCGCTAATCTGTAATTTTCATCTGATATATGAGGACTAGATTACCGAAACTACCTGCACGATTCCAATAGAGACAACATCAACCTCCTGAGCTTCAAGGGGGGATCGATAAGCTAAAGTCTCATATGAAGTAAGTTATCTATACAGTTTCAATAGCATTGATAAAAAATTAGTCTGACTGCTCCAGCCTTGAGGAAAGTGAGCTAAAAGAATGAAAATTCCTAAGAATCCTTAACTTGAGAATATCTCGCTACTATACTTCGTAGCGGTTGAATCAAATCGGCAAATGGATACCGAGCCAGGATGTCACGAGAATTGAGCACCGCTAACAAGTAGCTCTAGTTTCTAGCCCCTTTTCTACCTGCAGCTTAGTGGCCTATTTTACGTCTATCGCCCATAACGTACAATGGATCCCTTAACGACCGAAATAGGTATTCCGGGCGAGAAGCCACTTTATATCAGAATAAACCGAATTCGGGGTATTCACTTAATGCGGCAATGCGATAGCCTTCCAAGTTGAAACTGCAGTGCTTAATTGCCGTGCTTATATTCTGTATAGGCTATTCGGTATCCTTTACGGCAAAAGTATCAGCATGACAGGCCGGGGATCTGATAACCCATTGGCCATCTTGGATTCCAAACACGGAGACGTTAAAACCGATGTCTGGTAAACCCGCTCGTCTAATACTTAAATGGAGAACGACTCGTATTTCGACCCAGCTTCTCCGGATATGCCGCATTTGGTGCTCTCCTTTTGGCCAGAGATCGACCGACGCCAGTTTTGGAAGTAGCCGTATAGTTGGATTGGCTATTTGCTTCATGTATTAGACTCGCCAATTGAGCCTCTGTCCATTCCTATTTGTTGTCCCGACTTGTGTCAAATTTTATAAATAACACGTCATGAAAGTAGTCTGATGAACTCACGACACTTATCGATCAACATACAGTCCTGAGGTTGACAAGGACCAGGGACTGTTGACAGCTTGCACGGACTTGGTCATGCACCGGGGGTTAAAGTTACAAGCGTGACTCAACGCTTGTTCCGCTTTAGTTACAGTAGCGTCATCACATAGCAGGGAAACCGCCAAAGATGACAAAACATGGAATCATATACCCTGCAGGTGGCTGACAGAACCATGAAGAATCCAACGTCGAGAGTTTTACGAGGTACAGCGGAATTAACGAAATTCACTTCATGCTGCTCCGAAAAGAATGGAGGAAATAAAAGAAAAAGAAACGAAATAAAATTGCAAAACGGAATAGGTAAAAACGATGATACATTTGACGTGCACGTCGCAAGGATGATGGGACAGTTCACTTTGAAATCTCCTTTTGTACTCTCCGACTCTTTATTTGTTACCGCACTTTGACTTTGGCAAATCACCATAGTAGGACCAGTAAGTGAGGATGTTATGCGAAGCGGTATTCTAAACTCTTCATAGACTTGCCCGCATAACGTCTTCATACACTGATAATGCTGCAACAACTTTTATACTTCAAACGCAGTAGAGATAAAAAAAGGTATATGAAGCTTTCTGCGGTTACTGCATGCAGTGTATTATGTTTGCGTGCCAGTACAATCTTTCTCTCTAGGATCTGATTTAGGGGTGGTATCGTAAAGTAAACCCAAACAGGAGGCCATAACCCCAGCGCCGATCCATGCCATGCCATAACCAAGCCGTAATGCTACTATGTGCTCAATATTTGTACATATATAAAAAACGAAAGTCAAACGCGCGCCGAATGTTCGTGAAAGCTAGCTCCCACCCCCTGGTCTCTGCTTCAGCTGTAGTAGATGCTTCAGTCCAGTCTGGACGCCCATAAACTTTCGTTGCTTCGGGTCGTACCACCCCAAGACGTATACAGCCATGACTGCAGACTTTCCCTGTAACTCTACAAGCCCATCAACTTTGATACACCCTCGGCTCGGTGGCTGCCTTGCAGGCTGCCAGTTTTTCGTAAAGGTCACTGTAGCTGCCTGAAGGGCGGCTTGAATCCGTGGATCGACTTGGCTTACGCCACTAAACGGCGTGCCCGGTATTTCGCTGATTCCAGTGTGAAGAGGAAAGTTTGCCTTGTCTGGCTGTCCTGGGACTCTGACAGTTTGCTTGCCAGCTGTTCCGAGCTCGCTTTGTTCTTTGATGCGGTTGAGGATGGCAGCCTGCCATGTGGCTTCGGGTGGAGGTGGTGTGTTGAAACCCAAAGCTTTGGCAATGTCTTGGGCTGTTTGTCTAGTCAATGAATCGATAAACGCCCACGCTGATAATGCCACTGCCTTGGGATATATAGCTGTATTCAGGTGGTTTGCGGCTAACGAATCCATTGGTCGATCGCCCCAGAATATGCCGTCGTCATCGATGATGATACTGAGTAGATATGTTAGTATTAGCCCCCATGAGTGCCAGCCATATCATGACTTACCCAGAAACATAATGCTTAGGAGGTGGTGCAGGGGGATAAATAATATCCAGCCAAAATTTCTTCAGTTTAATATCTCGACCGCCAAGCAGTTGAACATACGCAGGGTTCCTTTCAACTCCTCGTCGTATAAGTTCAGCTAGCCCCACTATTACAGACGAATTAGCGGCTATCATATGCCAGCGATCTGTGTCCTTTGAACCTACTCTGGATGTCGTTTTGCAACTGGCGATCTTTATTCACAGCGAGGAATGTTGCCCACTCAGGGTCCGAGCCTTTGTACGGTGGCTGTTTGACCTCTTTCGTTGTAAATGGGAACGGAAGGAAGAGAATGGGTTCGTCCTCATCCGCCATGTCTTCCATCTCTTTCTTTTCCTTCTCCGACAAAGTCTCCCATTCGTGGTCTGCCCAGTCCAATAGCGGATCAAAGACGACGGTCGCGAAGATCTGCCAACAGGCATATGCAGCTAGTGTGGTGAAAAGTATGCGACTGTATCTGGAGATTAGTTCCCAATATCGTACCGAATGAGCCGCTGTGGCAATAGTAAAACCTACCCCAACTGGCGTCGGAAGGCACCCGGTTTCGGTGAGCTGCTGGGCCGCGCAAAATAGACCGGATGGCCTTCCGACGTTGTTTTATTCCGCCATGGTAGAAACGATATCGGCCGTCTAATAGAAGGGATGCGATGGGCGGGGAGATGCGGCGTCGCATTCGTGAAGAGGGCTGCGTGTCGCGGAAGGGCCGCTGCGCGCCGGAGCATCCCGACTTGTAGGTGTATTGTCTGTATCTCCAAGCGGTATAAGAATCAAAATGCGCCTTGAAAGAAAAATAACGGTAATGTCACAAAAGCAGGCGCATGGTGTATTTCGAGCTATGGCGATGGAGAATGGAGATGAAGTTCTATGATGGGCACGGCATCTGCTTACACATTTGTCGCATGTGGTTACGCAGGGGTCCGAGCCGGAACATCCCCTATTCCGACGCACCCAACCACAACGAGCTAGAGTCAACCTGAAGCGTCACCTACGTACTTCATACTTTATCGGTGCAACTTGTGACGCCGAGCCCTTTTTGCGCGTGTTCACCATCACCAGCAGCTTCAACAAGGACGATATTCATCATGAAGCTCACGTTGGGGCTTGCCGCAGCTTTTGCGGGCTGTGTGGCAGCTTCACAGCCCACTGCCGATGTCTACATTCTGCCGAATCGCGAATCCACGTCGCCGCCGTCCGTCTCTAGCAACGTCGCCCGACTGATTGCGTTACAACGATTTTCTCCTAGCCGAAGCGTTTCCGTCAATGAAATCCCGGAAGACGCCGATATAGAAGACGTCGCCTCGCTATTGAGTCAATTTGGGAAGCCGATCCCTTCGATATTTGATGAGGCCGATGAGCCCAACCAGCTCATTCTCGCGGTAACGGGATTGACAGAGGAGCAAATCAGGGAGACTAGAGAAAAGCTGAACGTGCAGCCTACATTCACTATTCCGGATGCCTTTTCTATTGACCCGCTGAATGGGGTCGCAGGCTTCGACCCTGCCGATTACCATGGCGCGGCGAAAGCGCAGAAGTGCTCTTTTGACGAAATAATTAACCCGCTTGAAGAGCGATGCTGGGCTGGAAGGGCTTTGTTTGCCGAATATGATATTCAAAAGGTAAGCGTTGCAAATGGAGGATAAGTGGATACACTTTGAAACCCTGGGTAGGAAGAAATCATTCAACTGACACGGTATCCTGCTTTTGATAGCGACCACAAGCCTTGGACGATGTGATTCATAGCTTCTCAAGACTCGATTCTCTTGCCAAGATTGGCGAGATGCAGACTACCTTGCTTCTACTCCCAGCTGTCAGTGGAAAATCGGGCTCGAAGCAAGGATCAGGCCAGCAACAGGAGCTCCGTCGCCGTCAGGCAGAGAGGGTGCTCAATTCATTTCACAAGGCAGCGCATGCGGAACCGACTACGCCTGCACCCAACAATATCCTTCGAGCCCCCTCGAAGGCTGTTCCGGCTTGCTTCGACTCTCTTGATAGCTGCGTCACCGGCACTGGAAACTGCTCGCACCAGGGAGAATGCCTAAACAAGTATGGATCTGCGGATGCTGGCGGCAAGGCTTGTTTTGCATGCCACTGCCTTAGCACCAGGGCAGGCGAAGACGGCGCCCTTACTCATTGGGCAGGACCTACATGCGCCAAGAAAGATATTAGCGTTCCCTTCTGGTTGTTTGCAGGCTTCACTCTGCTTATGCTGGGAATATTGTCGCTTTCTGTCACAATGCTTTACAACGTGGGCGACGAGAAGCTGCCAGGTGTCATTGGAGCTGGAGTTTCCAAGTCTAAATAAATGGCCAACAAGACCTCCGGATCCTATTTTTTTGTCAGGGTATAGGTTAATTCTCTTTTAGAAGTGGGGTATGCGATGGTCAACGAGAGGGTGGCCAAAGAGCAACAAAGTTCTAGCATGTGTGAGCCGGGGAGCAACTGCTACCTACTTATTGTCGATGGTTCTACATACCATATAATCATTGGAGCCAACGCCTTATGTATCATACAGATGTATTCAATAGCGATTTTCTTTTCTTCTTCTACCTTGATCTTTCATACACGCGCAAGTCAACCACCATGATGGGTATCTGATTCTGTCTGAACCAAGGATTGCGTGTATGAGCCTCTTGACGGTCTTGGCCGTCTTGACGATAGTATTCCCGATGGGACGGTAAGACATAACATTGGCATGTGACTGTGGATTGGCTACCTACCTATCTGCTGATTGATGAGTATCTCTCAAGTCGTAGCTGAGCCAAGCTTGAGCGGCAGTTGATTGTCTTACGTTGCCACAGCTGAGATAGGTAATGCCGACAAGCCTTACATGCGAGTCAGTCCCAAGACGCGTTCCTCATTATGCAACCAATGTACCGCAACTACTTATTCTGTTATAGCTAGCATTCTACTATGCCGCATTCTATCGGCCCAGACAACTTGCAGCGGAATAAGCATAAGGTACACCTTAAGATACGAGCACCCTGGCATTCAAAAGACCCAATAATAAGGTTAACTGGGGATAGATTCTGATGGCCTCGTAATCGACCGAGAAGCACTCTGGAGTATTGCCCGCTTAGGACTAGCAAGAAGACTGTTACGCTAAGCGCGTCGCGAATAGGCGGTTTGATTCCTATCCAGGACTAGACGGCTCCTGCCAGCTGAGCTCCTATTGCCGTCCATGCGCCAGGCGGGTCGCGGCAGGCACAGGCAGCGTCAAACAGCAAGAGCGACCCCGAAGCATCGACCCTCATCGGCAGCGAGCATTGGCAGGCACGAGCGAGAGCCGCGCCTAAGCCCAGGAGAGAGAGAGCGAGGGACGCGCAGCTGCCCCTTTGGTGTCGCATCATCGTTCTTTACCTTGGGTGGCGCATTTCAATCCTGTGCACTTCAACGTTCTGACTGGGATATTCTCCGGGGCTGAGAGCTTGCGGCATCGACGCAGCCGCGCCTATCCTGGCCAATCACACGCCTGGCAACCCTCCGGTGCCCCACAATGTCCCGACCGGACTTTTGGCAAAACGCCGTTCCCAAGTCGCTTGGCTTGAGCCATCGAGGCTTTGACGGCCAATCTAAAGCATGGCCATTGGCAACCTTTAAATCGAAAGCCCGCCGGACTTCACTCTGCCTCCTCTCAAAGTCCTGGACGACGACCATGCACCCTCTTTTGGCTACTTGCATATCATAGGGCGGGAAAAGGCCATTGACAAAGGATGGATGCTGGCGCTGAAGCCTCGCTGCCAACCACTAACAGCTCTAGAGAGCGGCCAAAGCTGCCCACGGCCAAATGGGGAGCTGCCTGTGCGCCTTGCGCCACTGCAAAGGCGAAGTGTATTCGATCCAACGACACGCCCGGAGCAAAGTGTGATAGGTGAGTTGAGAAATGAGAAGATGGACAAGGAAGATTTGAAAGCTTCACGGAATTATGAAAAATAAAAAGCAAACAGTCATTATACATGGGTGGGAGAGAGGGAGAGAGAGAGTACAGAACTATCAACTTTACCCTTGCTTTCACCTTAATGAATGGCACCATGGCACCATCTGTATTTCATTTAGCGAAAAACCGCTAACAAAACCAATTGCTGCAATTCATAGGTGTGAGAGACTCTTGAAGGAGTGTTCGAACCAGATCCATCGCCCGCGGAAGAAAAGACAGTCCAAACCCTCGTAAGTCGGCAATCTCTGTCTCTTTTATAAAGCCAGCCATGCTAGCTGCTCGAACTCCGGTTCTGCGTTTTTTTCGGAAACATTCGCTCGACCCTGGCCTCATGATTCCGAAAGTCCGTTTGAACGGAGATTTCAAAAGTGTCGACAGCGATGGGGCCAGCAGCTGTGTCACCTCCAAGCTTCACTAACAGCGAGCTCTTTACTCGCGGCTCCTTTATGTGGATATTCAATCTAACAGATATTGAGCAGCCGAACAGCGCAGATCGAAGAGCGGCTCAACGGCCTTGTCAGTCTTCTGAAAGCGTCCGGAGAGCTTTCCGGAACTCAGCGTGACCCACTCTCGCGAGATGATAACAACGAAGACCGCGGGACTGAAGACTCATCTGATGATCCGTCCCCGTTCTCAAGCCCGTCTAGTGCCATTCCCAGCATCACCAATCAGGCCAATACTTGGATTATCGACCCGACGTACAACTCGTTTACACCGAAATCATGCATCTGTCACCCAGACACTTTGGATGCGCCCCCGCCTCCGGAGCCGGACGAGATCCTTCTCGAATTTTACCGGAAGAATCTCCAACCCGTCCACCCTTTCGTCATAGTCCCGCCTAATGTCACCGCGGCTGTTTTGGCGTTAAGAAGACCGTTCCTCATGGCAGCTATTCGCATGGTTAGCTCGTTTCGAAGCATACGATCGATGAGAGCGCAGATGTATCATCTCATGAAACACCTCGCAGACTACATGCTCATTCGCTCGGAAAAGTCTTTGGATTTACTATTGGGGATAATAGTCATGCTTGGATATCAACAATATCACTGTTGTCTCCACGGACAGCTAAATAACCTAATTACTCTGGCTAGCAGCTTGATAAGCGACATGGGGTTGAACAGGCCTCCAGGGTTGAATGAGCGAACGCGTTTGATGGTTGTACGCCCGCCAGAGGTGAATGGCCGAAGCAATGAAGAGAGGCGAGCATTTGCAGGAGCATGGTACTGGGCATCAGTGTTTGTATTCTCCCGCTACTCAACTGTTTATTGATATTGAATATCATATGCTTACCCCTTCTTCTACCCTTGCCAGAATCTCGATGAATTTCCAAAGAGTGGAACCGATGAGATACAACAGCTATCTTTCCGACTGCATACGATATCTGCAGGAGCATCCTGAATACGAAAGCGATATTTCTCTCGTCTACCTCGTCAGAATACAGAGATTGACAGAACGCATTGCCGAATTCAATTCCGAAGATAGGGCTACTGAGGAAATCTCTTTAGTGCCTTCAGCTCCTGTCTCGGCATACATTTTGGCATTCCAAAACGAACTCAACCAAATTCGCGACTCTATGCCCAAACATCTGCAAGAAGATAGTCAGTAACATTTCTACTAAATGCTCTGGTAAAATCTTGATCTAACTTTAGTTATAGAGACTTTTCAGCTCTTCCTCAATAGTGCTAGCCTTCGTCTATACGAGCCTCCTGTTGTTGACAAGAATCTGATTCGTTCATTATCCAAGTCCCTCTCTTCTGTATCGATGGCTATGGATTCGCCACTCGACAAAATATACCGATCAAGCGCCGTTCTTACAACATGGTTCAATTCCTGGCTTGCTCTCCCCATCTCCACCTATTATTTTCAAACTACGGCCGTCGGCTCGCACCTCGTCTATGCTCTTGTTATGCTAGCTCGCTGGGCAAGATTATCAACACCAAGAGCCATGTACGAAGGAAGAACATCAATGCCAGATGACCCGAGCGAAAACAATCCGAATGTTGCTTTATATAACTCTGATATGGCAAATGCGCAACGCGAATCCGGCATGGCATCAGGCAAGAGCAGTGCACCTCATGAACACATGCCTGCGCGTCCTGATCTAGAAGATACGGACCTCGCGGCTGCTGTGGCCGTGCTACGAACGCAGCTACAAACGCAACCTGGCTTAATGATCAATATCCCCGAGATCCTGTCAGCGATATGCAATCGCTTTGAACATGCCAACGCAAATTTCCAGCTATGCTCGGTGGACACCGAAAGAATCAACAAAAACATTTGGATGATGACTGCACTAAAAGTTCGCATCGCACGAGCCAAGCTCGAGAAATGGGCAGAACTAGTGGCTGAAGGAGAAAGCCTTGGCCAAGAGCATCGAGCAGACGGAGATCAAAGAATGGCAGAATGGCAAGCGGCGATGCATTTGCCGCAAACCGAATGCATGGGCCTTGAAGACATGGGCATTTTACCGACAGAGTATCAACAACAACCCCAAGTAGAGAATACATGGGGACATGCGACGAACTCTCCGTGGACTACTGATCTACTTTCTGGTTTCGATCCAAGTAGCTTCTTTGATGGATATCTGGATTGGAATTCCGTTGCTATGAATGTTACATCTCCTATGGAGCGATGAAGATGTTTCCATCGCCAGTTTACTATAATCATTACATCTTTTGGAGTTCCTTTTCGACTCTGTCTTGAGCCTTGCATATCATACCCAGGGGAAATACTTTTGAATCTTCTACTATCTACATATCAAATGACATTACGACTGCGAATTTAGAAATTGTTATATCACCAAGAAGCTATGGTGAACAGCACACTATGAAATTAAAATTACAATAGACATCATCAATAAAGTTAATATTTTGCTTGCGTCAGCTCAGCTGCCATACAAACAAGTGAATAGTTTGTGAATATCATATAGCACATTTCAATGACCGATAGTTTGCACATTTTTGACATAAAAAGAAGGAGAAAAAAAAGAAAAAGAAGATGAACTATTGGCGAGGATTGCCCAGATAAGTTGTTCTTGAACTGTGCTGTGACCTATGCCTCGCCAAAGCCTAGAGCCGCCGATCTTTTAGTCATGGTTCATTAAGTGCCGTATAAGATCAGAGATTGACGATGCTGGAAACTTGAGCTTACCAAGAGCGAAACAGAAGAAAGTAACCGCATCGCTAATCTCATTTGTGGAGATGCATAACTACTATGTATTGGTTTGTCTGTGTCTATGCTCCAAGTGGCCAACAGGAGCCCGGTCCCCTACAGGTCTTTATCAGTGCATCTCAATAAAAATATTGTCGTTGAAATAATCATTCCAGTATCCAACAACTTCCATCATCATACAAAGTGATAGGATCTAATACTTTCATATTTTGGTTAACCATGGTTGACTCCTGCGCTTTTGTGCGCGGGCGTAATGAAGATGCAGCATTATTTGAGCCTTACAATGCCCTCTGAGGCATAGCCACTTCATCAAATCTGTAATACGAATTGGCCGTCTTGCTTATTGGAGTAAGAATAGCTGCTTATTTAGTATTGGGGAAAGCGGGGTCCGGGAAACTCCAGGAACGCATCGTTTTCTCAAAGTTGTCTCAATTTCAGCATCTGGTTCACTTATTAGGTACTCGAGCTTTGAGTATCAATTCTCTGCTTTATAAGGCCTCTCATACCAGAATATTGGCGGCAATGGCATCCTCTACGCAAGAAGGCGGGCCCCTCAAATTCGAAGAGATCCCAGCGTCTGATGTCTCGTGTGATTTCATTGAGCCTTCTGAAGTCTACGAGTCGATTGAGCGCGTCAAGGCGGCGGGCCAGCGCGCGCATAAGGACTTTTTACTGGTGGATGTGCGTAGGACTGACTGGGAGGGTGGTACGGTTGCCACGTCTGTGAATTTCCCGGCTCAGTCATTTTATCAAACTCGAGGGGCAGTGTATCAACTCTGCAAGCAGGCTGGGATTAAAAGGGTTATATTCTACTGCGGTGAGTGCCTACCGCAAATATGTTGATTGTAACACCTTGGAAACTGATCGTGAGCTGGCCACATGCAGGGAGCTGCGGCACTCGAGGGCCGAAATGTGCAGGCTGGTTCCAAGAGTACCTCGATTCGGTTGGCGAGGCTGAGATGAAGGCCGTGATTCTCAGGGGAGGCGTCAAGGGATGGCAGAAGACGTACAACGGCCAGTTGATGGATTATTATGATCCGGGCGCCTGGGGTTCACAAAGCAAGTAGACATGGGGTGCGTGTCCCGTGCAGGTAAATTTCAACTTTTTTTTTTATTCTCAAGTCGGAAAAAAACCCAAAAATCTAGCAGCGATAGATGATCGTATCAAGTCCCATTATCACCTCTTCGTATCGTTTCCGTAAACGCCAAACAAGTACATTTCAGGTATCCATTCACCCATCTTGTTGTCGTCCAAAGTTTATCGGTGCTGCCTGTCGTCGCCGCCGATTCGCTCCAGAGCTTCCAGCATGACCACGGAGTTGCCGCGAATGACCTTGTCATTTATAAGTTAGTTTATGGGTCAGAGAGATGGCATTGAGTTTGGCATGGGGGTTTTGGACGAGTACGCACAACCATGCCCAGTCTGATCTTCTCTCCACCGTCTTTCTCTTCGACCGCCTCGTCTAGGACAACGTTTAGGAAGACCTGTGTGCAGTGAGTTAGTATTTCGTAACAGCCTGACCCGGGGTATTTCGGATCTTTCTTACATCGTATCCACGGAGTACTCCGATGACCTTGCGACCACCGTTAAGCTGGACGAAGAGCCGCTTGTCGAGATACTGAGCCTAGGTGTTAGCTGGTGTGGTCACTTGAATAGCGAGTCATTGGCTTGTTGGGCTATTCGCGAAGAATTGGGGAAGCTATCCGGATTACGGAGTTGATGGTGGTTCGAATAGAAGACATACCTTCTTCAGCTCAGGTTGGGCCGGTGCCATCTTGAGCAATCAATTGAATGTGACTTTGTAACTGTCGAATTGCGACGCGATCCTCTAGCACTAACGTTGGTTGAAGCTTGCTGCCCACCTTAAAATTCGAGTCACGTGCCGATAAGATACCGGCCAAGATATTGACAATGAGACGAGGATGCGCTCGAGCAACTTGCTTTCCAGCTCATAAACTAGTAGTTTCTTAAAGAAAATGAGTTCGTTTGGCGCAAAACGCAAGGCGCGTGTCATCAAAGTCGATTACGATGACGAAGAAGGCAGCGGAGACGCACCGCCCAAGGCTGAGGGCGGAGGCCCCAAAGATGGTATGTTTCGCTTGACTCTTGTGGCGACCGCTTTTGCTGATGGAAGTCAAGGCTGACCTGACTGAACGGCAGACAACGTGAAGCCGACGTTTAATTCGAAGACGGCGCGAAAGCCATTTCGACAATCAGGGCTGCGAAATACCTTTAACCCTCAAGATGAAGATACGTCAGGCGACAGAGACGAGACATCAGGAGGCAATGACGACGACGACAATGGCCCCGTGGTGGTGCGACCAGGTATCAATCGATCAGGATTATCGAAGCAGAAAAAGAAGATTCCCAAATCGAAGCTCTCGTTTGGTGGCGACGCTGGTCAAGAAGATGATGAGCCTATAAGCGACTTTGGCCCGTCAAGGAAGGCAGCAATGGGACAGAAAGTACTTGAAAACAACACTCTGAAGCGTGGAATGGCTGCTCGAGGATTACCGTTACCGGTGCGATCATATCAGGAAGATGACGACAGGCCAAGATATAGCAAGGAATATCTCGATGAACTTCAATCATCAACACCAAATACCCCCAGCGACCTCTCATCATTAAAGGCGAATCTCGACGACGAGATGGACTTGGATCCGTCCGAGCTAGAAGGTGCTCTGATAGTAGACTCCCCGATGCCATCTTCCATGGGCCAGCCTCAGGCTACTCAGATACTCACCGATGCGGAAATTCGCGAAAGGAAAGAGCGGAGAGCGCGGCTAGCGAAGGAGAAGGACTATATTTCCATGGAAGATGAGGATGATGGGCTATTTGGTCGAAAGAAGAAGGATGACAGCCGATTGGTTGCTGAAGATGAGGATTTGGGAGAAGGATTTGATGACTATGTCGAAGACGGCGGGTTGTCATTAGGCAAACGCGCAGAGAAGGAACGACGGAAACAAGAGCGCCAAACGATGGCTGAGCTCATTAACGCAGCTGAAGGACATAGTTCGGAGTCATCAGAAGACAGCGATGCCGAGCGGCGGATTGCGTATGAAACAGCGCAGACGCGCGCTGGCATGGACGGCTTGAAGAAGCCGCGGAAAGATGTCAACGAACAGCTGCTACAAGTTCCTCCCAAGATAACGCCTCTACCAAGCCTTGCAGAATGCTTGGTTCAGCTGCAGGCATCGCTGAAAATGATGCAGGGCGATATCAATATCAAGACAGCCACAGTTACGCAGCTTACTCGCGAAAGAGACGACATTGTTAAAAGAGAGGCTGAAGTACAAGCATTTTTGAATGAAACCGGCAAAAAGTATGAAGAGGCCATGGGTCGGAAACCCGATTCGGCTGATGGAGTTGCTGCTGCTGGGCCAGGGGCTGAGCTGGCTGGTGAAAGAGGGCTGGAGAGCTTGGGAGCGACGCCGATGAAGGAAGTTGATATGGAAGACATTGAATAACGACTTTTGGATTCCGATTCTCAATAATGACAATTTAATCATGTATAAATATTAAGACACTATAGCGAGGTACTTGGCTAGCTGTTGATACTGGGCACAGCTGGATATAATAATGAAGGACTGTTTGGTCCAAAAAATCACGATAATTGCTCTTTGTGAACACAATCCTTTGGATTTTCCACTCGCAGTATATTCATTTCGTGTAGCTATTGTAAAAGGAGCTCCGCCATCAGGGTATCAAGGAGTTGAAAAGGAAATCCACCGGTATGAAGGAAATAAAGGTGAGTGATATAGACTCATGAGTCATAAAGCTATTAATGAAGTTATACAGTCCACTTAAAGATCACGCTTCGTCATCGTTACCCAGAAATCTGACGCAAAGAGGAAGATCGAGGCAGTCGTCTTGATGGGTGATTCCGGATTCACCACGCAAAAGTCAAAGCGTCGTACAAGCTGTCAGACATTAACCGAATTAGTCATTCTGCAAATTGTTGCCAAGATGTGTCACGTACCTCAAAAATAGCCTTGTGCAACTCCATCATGGCAATCGGCTTCCCGAGACACGAATACTTGCCGTAGCCAAAATGCGTGTCCACGGCGTCCGTCATATCTTTTAGTCGCTCTTCCGAGGCGTTGAGCCACCTCTCTGGGCGGAATACGTCAGCGTCCGGGCCCCAGACAGCCTTGGAGCGTCCGACGCCGTGGAAGCCCTGGCCGATTTCCGTGCCACCGGGGACGAAGAAGCCGTTGATGTGGTCGCCTTCTGGTGGGACGGTCTTGAAGCCGAGGCCGCCGACGGGAGGCCACATGCGGAGACCTTCGCGGATGACGGCTTGGAGGTATGGTAGGGTCTGTGCTTGGGCCCAAGTGATGGGCGAGCTGACGGCGGGAGAGGCGTGGCGGATTTCGTGGATGAGGGCGTTATAGGCTGGTGGGGAGGTGATGAGTGAGAGGAGGGTCATGCGGAGGGCGTGGGCGGAGGAGTTGGAGCCGGCGATGCTAATATACAATATTAGATGATGGAGAATAGGGGCGATGTGATGATGCGTTACATTGAGAGAAAGACTTGTTGGATGAGATCGTTTTTGGACATGCCGCTGTCGATGTGGGCTTGCATCATGTCTTGGGCTCGAGGGGTTTTTGGATCCAGTCTCGTATCCACGTAACCTCGTGCAAAGCTTCAATCGTTTTAGCAATTGTTCTTATTGATGATGAGAGTATTGTTTACTCAACGTACCGCATCAGTCGACCGAAGCCGACCTGGTCGCCCTCTTTTGGTAGCAGTAGTCGTAAGGGCCATGTGTGGACAATGTTTGCCAGCGCTGGCATCACAGAGACGACATTCATAAGAGGCAGCGATGTTGTGTTGATTTCGTTGTACTGGTACAAGTCTTCATCCTTGTCGAGATAGCCGAATGGTTGGCCAAGAGAGATGTCGCCTATGGCATCTAGGGCGAAGAATTGCGTCTTCTCGGCCATGTCAAAGGGGCGAACATCAGAGCTGGACGAGACGTATTTGCGCTCAAGGAGATCAACGAAGCTCAGTAGCTGGCGGTTCATGGCGGCCTCGAAGCTGTATCCTTCGTTTGCCTTGCCGGAGAACTTGGAAAGGTCAACAAATCGGCACATGTACATGCAAGTAGGGCTAGTATACAGAGATTTGACTTACACCGGGAGCCATCAAGGCGCGCATTTCTTTGTGCTTGGCCGGGTCTCGCAACGAGACGACATTGTCTACTCCGGGGACAATCTTGCCGCTTGCGTAGAACCTGCCCTTGGTGTAGCCGCTGCGGACTGCAGACATGCGACGGAGGACTTTTGGATCAGTGGAGAGGAGCTGATTGGGTCCGATGCGCACAAGAGGGCCTTTATATATGAGACAGCTTGAGAGTAAGTATACGGATTATTCACAGTAATACCATCACTACTATAAAGTTTTCATACCATAAGTGTCGGCAGCTGCTTTTAACCGCTCATGATAACGACCGGACAAGGCGTTTGAAAGCTGCCACCATATTGTCCATGCCGCGCTGGCTGGGCCGGGGATGTGGCGCAATCGCTGCCAGTAGTATATTCGGCGGGCGGTGAATGTGAAGAATGTTATGAGGAGTATGCTGTATAGGTAGATTGTCATGGGCGACATTGTGAGAATTTGGCGACGGGGGTTCCGTCTCCTGGCCGCGTGCGACTCAATGCGAAAAGACAGAGGAAGAGTTGCGCAAGTGGTCCACGATGGAGTGGCGGGTGTATGTGGATTGTGCTATGAATGCATGGAATAAATTGTGCAAGAAAGAAAAGAAATAGCTGATATATACAACCAATAACTTGGATCGCTGATTTATTTGTAGAAGTTGAGAATGAGAGAACAGGAGGGTAGAGAGGGAGAAGTGGACGGGAGAGCGTCGATGACAGAAAGATCCAATGTCCACATAATATCCTTTTCTGCTCCACGGGCTTAATCTCCATCTAGTTCCACCCCGGGCTTTGCGGTAAGGCAAATATGGAGATGGTCTAGAAGCTCTAGTAATGGTAGCAGGTAAACACCACATGAAATATACCGTAAACGGTCGTGGCTGAATGTGGTGACGATCTCGACAAGGATTCGATTTTATTCGCAGGTTACCCAGGGGCAATCTGCACTAGAGATGCGTGCCATTACCGCGCTCATGGCTCCAATGCGACGATTCTGCGGCTGTCTCCGAAGATTCCTGCAGCGGCTTATTTTTCTTTTCTTTTTTTCCCAGCAAGAATTTGGAGTAAAAGACCCAGTCCCCAGCAAAGGGGGGCAGCTCGCGCCATGTGCTATCCATTCCCAGATGCAGTACCAGGTGTGTGGTCCGCATGGCGGGACGGCGAGGGCCGGGCCAAGAAAAGGGAACGGCGCCGGGGGCAGGGCAGCGAGTTTCCGGACCCAGAGGCTAGTGCTGCAGCTAATTAGAAGGTGGCAGTGCGGATTGATACTGTAGGCAATCTATGCGAATAGTAGCTGTAGCACTGCAGACTTGGTGCTTTATTGGTGCTGTGTGAGTACAGGCCTGAAGGAATTCATATAGTTGTTGGACAATCCCAGTTCTAATATAGCGTGCATTTATGTTGGACACGAAGAAACCCTGTGAGAAAGTTTCATCTGTAGTAGTGGCTGTAAGGAGTCAAGGGAGGCCGAGACCAGCAGAGGCAACAACGGTCGAGAATATAGCTCGCGATGCAAGGCTGGGGCCTTTTGGCTAGCGGACCTCTGGTGGCAGCGGCCGAAGTCTGCTATCGGAACACCGAACGAGCGCATAACAAGCATGGCGCATGACAGCCTACGAGGAACTAACGAAATAGTAGTCGGTTAACTTGACTATCAAAGTGGCCTGATTTGCGTGCGTAGACGAGCTGAACCTTGCTAGCCACATGCAATAAATATAGTATATGGACTGCAATAAAAGGAAGAACAAGAAGCTGAGACATATTAATAAGAGGAAGTGGCTTATAAACAGCAGGCCAAGGTTTATACTTACCTATACACGAGATGCAACAACACACAGCCAAGGAGTTCATACAACAGACAGTCTTTACTGTTTGCTCGGACCGCGGCATTTGTGAACGATGACTTCTTCTCTTCCCGACAATTCGGGTCGTGCTCCATCATCCTACGTGTTTGTTGCACTGACAGCGGTGCCACAGGATCGGAGAGTATTGGGGGCTGAGACACGACTACGTGTAAAGCGCTAACACGAGACATGCGAAAGGAGGCCATGGACCCGGTTTGCTGGTTTCCGGGTCTCTGCGGTGTGTATTTGTATTTGTAAAAGTGTTTGTGATTTTAAATTTAGATATATGTATCTCGAGGGAGGAAAGTAGTCCGTCAACGGTGTTGCTATTCTACAAATTGTTCAATCATTAGTGTAAAGACCTGGTATTTAAACAGATAAAGTGGACAGTATTATAGACTTAATCTTCTGTTGGTAAATAGCAGCGTCTAATCTCGCTCACTCTGTATCTAGCTTGATGATCAAGCAATATTATCCAAGTTTTCAATGCGGCTGTTAATCATTTAACCTTTTTGGCCTCTCTCTTTGTATACACCAATCCGTCCCTTATGCTGCCGAAACACAATGCCCACAAATCTAAAGGATAGTTGACGCGCCCATAAAATGGAGCTCTCCCCGTTGACTTGGGGATGCGATCTACTGCTTTCGTGATGTAGTGGCTCTTCACATCCGCACTCGACAATCGCGGCATGCCCTCTGTCCTCTGGATGACGGGCACAACGCTCGACGCATCATCCGCCTCCATCTGCTTGATTACTCGGATAGCCAGCCTGGCCGTGGAGTTTGCGCCGGGAGTCCACGTTGTAGTTACGTAGCCAAAGATGGATGCCGCGTTGGGCACGCCTTCGATCATGCAGCCTCTCCAGGCGTACTGCTGGCCGAGATCGATTTCCTTGCCGTCGACTCGGGGACGTATCCCGCCGAGGAGCTGTATGTGCAGCCCAGTAGCAGTCACAATCACGTCTGCTGAAAGCTTGCGGCCGGATTTGAGAAGTATTCCGTCTTTGGTGACGGTATCAATCAAGTCTGTGACCATCTCAACATCGTCTCGATGCAGGGCTTTGAAGAACTCGCCATCTGGTGTCAGACACAATCGCTGTTGGAAGGGCCCATACGTCGGGTTGAAATGCACCGCCGCATCGAGCTTCTTTGGTAGGCTCTTTGGTAAATCCATTGTGATCAGAAAGCGCCCTAGACGAGGGTATCGCAAGCATAGCTCGGAGATGAACACCTCGAACCAGATGTCAATGCAGCTGGCAATCCAATGTACCCAGGACAAGGGCAGTATCGCCGCCAGAAACTTCTCAAAGCCCGAGCTCCTCTCCATGGACACCACGTATGAAGGTGTTCTCTGAAGCATCGTCACGGATTTTGCTTTGCCCGCCAGCTCGGGCAGAAGCGTGATGGCGGTTGCGCCACTGCCAACAATCACGATATTCTTATTGCTGCAGTCAAAGTTCTCTGGCCACCACTGCGGATGGATCACGGTTCCACCAAAGTCGTTGATGCCAGGCACGGGACTGTCCAGCGCCCGTTCATACGAGTAGTAGCCCATGCAGCTGAAGAGGAAGTTGGCCTTGATCAGCTTCCTTGTGCCATTGGCATCAACGACCAGGGACCATCTCTGCTCGGCGCTGCTCCATTCGCTGCTGAGGACTCTGTGCCGGAACCGAATCTTTTCAAAGGTGCCATCCGCTCTGGACGCGTCTTCCAGATAGTCGCAAATCTCGCCTGCGGTGGCAACCTTGTGGGGGAGTTTCCAGGGGTGCCAGTCCAAGCCAAAGGACCGGAGAGACGAGTCGCTGCGCATGCCGGGATACTTGAAGAAGCTCCATGTGCCGCCAATAACGTCGCGCGCCTCGAGGATCGTGAAGGACCGGTGAGGCAGCTCGGTTTGCAGCCGGTGGGCAGTGTTGATGCCGCTGAGGCCTGCGCCGACCACTACGAGGTCGTGCTCTTCAGTGGGCAGATCAGCAGTGGTAGGTGGTGAATCTGACATTTTGGGTGCCTGTACAACCCGCAGTTCAGGCGATGTCGGTGTTTCTGGTCGGCGGGTGGGACAGCTATGCGGATGTGAGTTCGATGAGAAGATGGATCGATTTGACGCCCTAACCCTTCATCTGCGATGGCGGGGTATTGTCTATACTAGCTGGAACGTGCTGTTTTGCAGCTCCGTACAGCGTGCAGATACGTGCCGCAGATCAACAGAAAGGGTCTGTCAAAGTGGAACGAGCTCGACTGGCAGATAACCCGAAAAGCGAATTGATTCGTGTCGTGCTTATATTTTGTTTTAGTTGCTTTCTTATTTCCTTTGTATTATTGATCTTGATGACGACCTGCAAAGGCCATGGACACAGCACAGGCTACAGCTAATACGCACTGCTTGGAAATCGCCAAGTCCATATTAGCGGCGCTTGGTGTTAGTGGCATCCGCATTGTATAAAGTCAACCTATGCAAAAACCAGTATACTGTAAGATAAAAGACATAGACTGCGCAATTACTCAAGAGACGAAAGAATTGGAATAATAGTGACAAAATATAGTGTTGAAGCCTTTGTATACTTCTTTCCATCTCTGCTTCTCTGTTGGCACATGTATTTGTGCTGTCTCTGTCAGATACCTATCTGGTGCTCCGTTCTAGAGACTACAGTAGTTGTGTTGTCCTCTTGGCGACAGTTCTTTTGCTATCCGGTTTAGTTTACGTACCATCTGCAGTTATTGTTTTAAAAGTCTAACGATTGATTGCCAAAGAGTTGTCATCGGCTACCTGTTAGTTCCGTATAACGTCTTGGTTCTAGTAGAGAGTGTTGATAATGTGATCTCCATCTATTCTTCTGTAGGGCCTATATAATTTTGAACGCAACCATCTAACAAACAATTGAGCTTTTTTTTGTCGTTTCAGCAATAATTCAAAGCACTTATATAGTGGACTCGGCATCCCATTGTGGTACCCTAGCATTTCCAAGCTGCACCGTGTTAGTGATAGATGCTACCGTAGGCAGCGAGCAGCATAGTCTTCTGTTCAATCTTGAGCAACGTCCTGCAACGGGCCATTTGAAATCTACCCGTAAAAGATATTGCCCTCTCAAAATCCACTTTACGAGGCTCACGATGCATTCTGTTTGTCATTCAGCCTTGCGCATCCAGAGAGCCCCACACCAGCTCCGGTCCTGGAAAATCCTAGAGTGGGTCATAATCCCGCAGCATCGAAGCAGCTAGAAGGTACTTGGCGCTGGGCATCTTAAACTAAAAACCCCACATCGGATTTCATTTCTTTCATCTGGAGCTGATCATCTCCAGAGCTTTCTTCTCTGTGTCTTCCTCCTGCGAATTGAACCTCGCATCCATCCATCTCTCCGACAATCCGTTTTCCACCATGGCTTCCGCAGACGAGCTCAAAGCTCTGGGCAACAAGGCCATTGCCGACAAGAACTTTGATGAGGCTATGTAAGTTGCACTGCGCATCACCCCACTTGACCCCTCCGAGATGCCTGCAAACTTCATCTTTATCGCCATATCCAAACAAGTTGTAAAGCAAAAAGACTAACATCTTGCAGTGACAAGTTCACTCAGGCCATCGCTCTCCAGCCCGAAAACCACATTCTCTACTCCAACCGATCGGCCGCCTATGCTTCCAAGAAGGACTGGGACAATGCACTGAAGGATGCCGACAAGACAACCGAAATCAAACCCGACTGGGCCAAGGGCTGGGGACGCAAAGGTGCCGCTCTTCACGGCAAGGGAGATTTGCTGGGAGCCAACGACGCCTACGAAGCTGGTCTGAAGCATGACCCGAACAATGCGCAGCTCAAGAGTGGCCTGGCCTCCGTTGAAAAGGCCATGCAGCAGGAAGCTGGAGGCGGCAATCCCATGGGCGGCCTCGGCGACATGTTCAAGGACCCGAACATGATCCAGAAGCTTGCTGCAAACCCCAAGACAGCCGCCTACCTTGCTGATCCCTCGTTCATGGCGAAACTGCAGCAGATTCAGCAGAACCCTCTCATGTCTCAGGACATGTTCAGCGACCCAAGAATGATCCAGGTGCTTGGCGTCATGATGGGCGTTGATATGGAAGTGCGCGACAGCCCTCCCGAGGGTAGCCAGTCCTACAACGTCTCTGAAGATACCCCCATGCCAGATGCCCCAAAGAAGGCCCCTGAGCCAAAGAAGGCCCCTGAGCCAGAACCCGAACCCGAACTTGACGAAGAAGCTCTAGAGAAGCAGAAGAAAAAGGAGGAGGCTGACAAGGAAAAGGCCCTTGGCACAGAGAACTACAAGAAGCGAAAGTTTGACGAGGCCATCGAGCACTACAGCAAGGCGTGGGAGATTTACCAGGACATCACCTACCTCAACAACCTCGGCGCGGCTTACTTTGAGAAGGGAGATTATGACAAGTGTATTGAGTCGTGCCAAAAGGCAGTTGATGAGGGCCGAATGATCTACGCTGACTTTAAGCTTATTGCTAAGAGTTACGCTCGTATCGGCTCTGCTTATGAGAAGAAGGGCGATCTTGCCCTGGCTATCGAAAACTACAACAAATCTCTGACCGAGCACCGAACCCCTGATGTCTTGAACAAGCTCCGTGCCGCTGAGCGAGCCAAGACCGAGGCAGCCAAGCATGCCTACATTGACCCGGCCAAGGCTGAAGAGGCCCGTGAAGAGGGTAACAAGAAGTTCAAGGAAATGGATTTCCCTGGAGCCGTGGCCGCTTACTCTGAGATGGTTAAGCGAGCACCAGAAGATCCTAGGGGCTACAGTAACCGTGCTGCTGCCTTTGTCAAGCTGTTTGAGTTCCCCAGTGCAGTAGATGACTGCAACCTGGCCATCAAGAAGGACCCAACATTCATTCGAGCTTACATCCGAAAGGCTCAGGCCTACTTTGGCATGCGCAAGTACTCTGAATGCGTAGATGCCTGCGACGAGGCTATGCGGGTTGATCTCGAGCACCACAAGGGTGCCAACGCCCGTGAGATTGAGCAGCAGCAGCAAAAGGCTCTTTCCGCCATGTACTCAGCCCGAGAGAACGAGACAGAGGAGCAGACAAGACAGAGATTGCAGCAAGACCCAGAGGTAAGATTTACTGTTTCTTGAATAAAACTTGGCCGGGAAACTTTTCGCTAACAATTGCTTTTTAGATTATGAGTATAATGCAAGATCCAGTCATGCAATCCATTTTGCAACAGTCGCAATCTGACCCAATGGCTCTCAACGAGCACATGAAGAACCCAAGCGTGCGATCCAAGATTCAGAAGTTGATGGCGGCGGGTGTCATCCGCGTGGGAGGTCGATGAGACTTGGGAGTAAAAGGCGTGAGATTCCAAGTTGTTATGTAAATCACAATAATGAGCCAATGAAATTAAGTTAAAGCTAACGACGTTATGTTTTATTACTTTTTATTTCCCTCGGTATATCTCCGTGTTTCTTTTTTTCAATGATTCCTCTAATATCCATATCCTCTGTCGCTGCGTCTAAGATTACTAGTCTGCTCCAACCACATGGGGCAACACCAAGGTGAATTGATAAGAAGAATAGAAGGAGTAAAAGAGTAGTTAATATATATTTGTATATAGGTAATACTTGGGACATAAACTACTCATCAATTTCTAATCTTGATGATAAGACAACCCTACAAGACAACTAACTATTATAAATCAGCTCTAAGGTACGTTTGACGGTTAAAGTCTTAGGAGCCCTTTCAGTTCGGGGTTTGTAGCAACGTCGAAGGCTATTCTACCCTGTGCATCTTTCTCTGCTTTATCACAGCCAGCGCTAAGCAGTTGTTGGACCCTTGGTACATTTCCTTCTGATGCTGCGTCAAATAGCACTGAGATCTGTTTGTCTTTGGGACCTTTTGGGTCCCATAGGATCCGAGCTATCTGACCAGTCCTCTTCAAAGCGTAAAATAAGGCGGAGTGGCCACTATCGTCCAATTTGTCGATATCGGCACCATATTGAACAAGAGCTCTGATCAAGTCTTCGCATGGCTGGCTCAATTTGACAGCCATATGCAGTGGCGTGATGCCATCCTCACTTGTAGCATCGACGTCGGCACCAAACTCTAGAAGAGTTCTGGCTACCCGGACATAATGACTTGATTCAGTCGAGTTGGAAGCTGATACGGCCAGGTGTAAAGGTGTGTATCTCATGGGCTTGAGTCGAGCATTTTCCGAAGCACCGGCTTCTAATAGTATGCGGACGAGAACCTCGTTGCCCAGGCTAGCTGCAACGTGAAGGGGCCGATATCTTGTTGTCTTGTTTGCAATGTGATCTGGGTTGGCTCCCCGATTTAATAAGACTTGAACTACCCTCGCGTGCCCTCTGAGACAACCTAGCATCAGTGGTGTGGTACCTTGGCCATCGAGACAATCAATATCACACCCGCAGTTTAGTAGCATTTCCATAGCCTCGGTTTTGTTCTCTATACCAACATCAGTCTTGCTGTAACATTTGACGACGCTTTTCTAGACAGCTATACTTACCCAAGGCTGCCTCATGGAGGGGTGTAAAATTGAGATATCCTGATGGGTGTTTAAGATCAGCATGGTCGGCCAGAAGGGAAATGACTGCCGCGCTGCCAAATCTTGCAGCTGCAACCAACGCGCTGCTCAACCAAGAGCCTTCTTGAACTTGTAAGTCGTCATCATCAACCTCTATGTTATCCTCATTTTGCTGCGCGTTAGTAACTCCACTGTTTAAATCATCAGTTTCCATGCTGTATGTTTCCAAGTGGCCGTGCACTAAGAGAAGTTCGCGGACAACGCCGTCTCGCCCATTTTCGGACGCTATTTGGATCAGTTTCGCCAGGACTTCTCTGTCCATCAAAGCCATCAAGTCTCTGTAGGCTTTTCGTATGCGGGGAATTATGTGCCAATGGCCATATTTGGCAACAACCTGAAGGCATTGGATAATATGTACCTTTGACGACGGTGTTTGGAAATCTTCAGACCATCGCAAAATAATCTTCTCCACTAAATCGGCGTTACCCTCTTGGCAGGCCACTTTAAGGATAGGAACCCATATGGCTTTGTCGAAGTTGACGGCTGATTGCAGGAGAATTTCGACAGTACCCGTATGACCCTGGCGCAGAGCATCCCAGAGAGCAGATTTAACACTGGCCTCGAATCCGGCGCTATTTTCGTCAGTCATCTGGCATAAGAGCCAATTGGTAGTCTTTTCAAATCCCAGCAATGCAAAGAGGCGAAGCATCGCACCAGGTTCTGTTGTGTCCTTTTCGACATCCATGTATACCTGGCAGGATATGAATGTCTGAATCCACCAAGTTCTAGCATCCAAGTTATCCGAAGATAAGAAGAGAGATAACCAATTCTGGACAATTCTAGACCTTGCTTCATCGCCATCTTTTTCGATATCCCTTATGTGAATAGCTAAGCAGGAGCCAGCGTAGAATGCGAAACTATGAGGCGCTGAGGCGATGGGCAAATCGCATAGCGTATCGAAAGGGCGCCTTTTCGTCGAAAATTCATCGATTCTGCGCAATTCGGGGATAGAAAGCATGCCTAGGCATTTGTGTAGTATGTATAACTGTCCAGCTGTTTCATCAGCTTGATACAGCTCTGGAATTTCATTTCGTAATATGAAATGTGATTGGTGCCGAATGAAGTCACGTAGTGTGTTGTGTAAGAGATGGACAATGCCATTTTCCACCCGAAGCAGAGGCCCAAATACAAGCTCTAGGTGTTGTTGCAGATCCTTGGGCGCTGAGATGCATATTTTCTGCAGCGTTGGGGGATTACTGCTTGACGAAGATGTATCCATGCACATTGCACCTGCTAACTCACTAATCCTCAATGGCCGTTTGGCAAAGGCCAGGCAGATTAAGACATCGCGAAGCCATAGATTCGGTGCATCGATTTGTGCCAAAACGCGTTCATAGATCATGCTGTAGTCTGTATCCTCCGTTATCATAGCCAAGTCAACTGGCTGGTTCAGAGTCGAGAGTAGAGTAATCATCAGAGGTGTCATGTTTTCTCCTTCAAGGCCATTCATATAAGCTTGCGGGCTTCTTTTCAGCATTTCCACTTTAACTCCGTGTGATTCTTTGCTCAGGTCGATTCCATTAACCTCAATGAAAGGCCTTACAAGTGCTGCAATGCTGTCGGTCAGCCGGCAAGTTATAAAAGCTTTGCGTTTTGCGGAGTTGCGAGGAATCAGTCTGCGAAAGTCGCCTAAAAGCTGGCCACAAGAACTCTCATCGCACTCGTCAAGAGCGTCAATGATACAAACAATATTGACTTCGGATATCCTTGAAATCATGCCACACAATAGTCTATAGAGATCAGGTGTCGTAATTTCGAGAGGCCTTGATGTTGCCATACTGGAATATAGCTGCTGAACATATGCGCTATCAAATGGAACATCTCCCCAGTATAGTAGTTGAAGGATGAACGAAATAAGCAAGCTGCGGTATGAGCTTCTCCTGTAGTCACCAGCACTAAAATAGTACGACAATACGATGCTGCTCTTAGAATCGAAGCCCTTCAACGCTGAAATTTGACTTGCGAGGATGGACTTTCCTGATCCCGCAACTCCATATATCATGGTTATCCCTAGACCATGACCTAGAATCTTATCAATGAGAGCGGAGTTGGAAAAAGTTGAAGTCTCCGTTAGCATTTCTCCTGGTCGTCCGTCGTGATCATACAAGCCCGCAAGAATCCTTCGACAATCAATCGCGGCTCATTGATGATCTGATATCGGTTAGGGACATGATACGGAACAGTAAAGTAAAATGGCCCTCACCTTTGTTCCCCATTGCTGTGGTGTTCTTTATTTTATCGATAACGTAAGACAGAGCGTCGTCGCTGTTGCAGAGTTTATGATGAGTTGTTTGAAGAAATGAATAGCATCCTGAGTCTGTGTCCGGTCGGACCTGTAGGTCCCTAATTAGTTCAAAATTGTATCAAGTGATGTAGGTTATCTGCCCGAGGGCAGTATAACTTACTATAATTCCCACACCATCTGTAGGGGACTGCTCAAAAAGATATACATTCTCATACTGATTCTTGATCATTTCATATCTGGCGGATGCTGCCTTCAAACTCGATACTCCTACCTTCATACATTTTCTTGCTTTAGTTTGCTGAGCTGTTTCATGTACACCACCGTTATGACTTTCGGTTCTGGTCAGCATCGATTTGAGGAGGATATCATCCCAGTCAGAAGTCGAATCTGGCGTTCCGAAGCAAACCTAACAAATATTAGACTAACTACAAAGAATTCACTTATCAAAAGTACAACTTACTAGGACTCTGGTTGCAAAAGCAATTTTGATGTATTTTTCTGCATGGTTTGCGATCCAAAGTAGCTAAATACACCTTGGCCTAGCATGGACAGGTCAGATATATCTGTGAAGATAATCGGGAATACGCTTCTTACCTCTTTCACAAGAATCCCAGCCAAATTATGGCACAGAAAGACTAAGGGGCGCTGATCAAAAGTTCAATAACATATCTAAAAATTGCATGGAGAAGTTGTTTTTTCTGACCTTCTCGTCTTTATTAGTGTTTTTGTTTGTGGCTATAGCTTCTAATAATGCCGTGGCAGCTTTCTCTAAAACAAATTTGTCGAAGAGAATATCCTCGTAGATAGCACTGTCGAAAACAAATACTCGAGCGATCGATGAGAACTCTTCAAGTATAGGTCCTAGGGATCCTTCTGGGTCTTCTGGATTGCAACAAGTGTCGCTATATGTGCCGTATAATCCATGAACAGCGATAATACTTTGAACTCATCAGTTAGTGGCTCACGAGATAACAGCCAATTGCACCGGTTTGACTTACTCTGTCGTGGGAAGATTTGGCGGCTCCCATACAAGTCTTAGGCAGCCGCTGGCATCGTCTTGGCGTTCATCTATTTCCATATTCAGGATTAAGTTGCTAGATTTAGAAGAGTATTGTATGAACTTCGTCCATTTCTTCCAAGGGGGAGCCAGGCCGATGAGGATTTGCAACTTTTTGCAACATCGAATTCTCCAGTCATTGATTTCAGACTGAGATGATGTTTGGTAGACATGTGACAACGCCAAAAGACTACCTATGAAAGAAATTGAGCTTCAGAACCCCGAACAAAGAAGATACCCTTGCCACGTTGGCACTGCCTGGAACGTGCTTTACTATTTCTCAAGAACCCCGCAGCTGAATGACTATAGCGACCGTTTATTTAAGTGATAAATATTATATTCAAAATCTACCATCTGTGCAAAAGGCCATGGGCCTTGGGGTTTGGATCAAGTGAAGGGCTTAGGAGCGTCGTTCCTTCATGACCTGGGAGAATATGGCCAGGGCTGTATCCAGATGCCTAACATTTGCTACCCGCCTCTGAAACCTCATGATCTCACGACTTACTGACCCGGCCTCTTCGTGACGCCCTTGCTTATGTAGAATCCCCAACACATCGTTGATGACGGTTTCAAGTCGCTTATCCGCGCTGGTGGTGTTAAACAAGCCTTCGCCTGCAGCTCTGACCACATCCTGGAATATTTCTTTTGCCTCTTTGTCTTTGCCCGTGACAATATAGCTGTTACGTATCTTATGCCGGAGCACTATGTCTTGTTCATCCAACGCACCATGTCGTGGCTCAAGTGCGCCAAGGAAATGAGGCAAGTACTCCATCCACAAGTCTCTATTGTCCTCAGTTGGTTCGGGCGCAAAGTCGGCAAGCTTCTTGATGACTGACGCGTTTTCTTCGGTCCACGTATTTTCAACTTGCATCAACTTTCTCATGAACTGGCTAACTAAAGGATGAATGTGGACCGAATCAGAATTCTGTTGTCTATCAACGAGGGAATAGGCTTGCAACGCGCTGATCGCTTCATTGCTCTGATCATCATCGTTTGCAGCCGACAGTAGAGAAATGGGGATGTTGTTATTCGCAAGAAAACAGACAAACCGCAAGTACCCTGCAGCGAGGGGGAAATTACTCGCGAGGCGATCAACGGATAGTCTGCAAGTTGTGGCGGTGGGGCATCGCAAGATGCCATTCTGGACTTCATCCTCGAAACCCTTGGTGACAAACTCAGTCATGCCATTACTATCCGATTTGCAGCGCTCAAGATATTTGGCTGTTGTGATTTGGGTTTCGAAAATATAGGATGCCGCTTGTCTGATGGCCAGTGGAATGTCACCTAGAAAGTCGGCCAGCATATTCAGGCTTTTCGAATCCGTGACCTGTTTGTTGTCTAAGCGGCACTTTAATAGCTGGATGGATTCAGACCTCTCCATGGAGGAAATGGCGTGTATCCCATCCTTTGGAAGATCCATGCCGGCAACAATGGATTTGCTTTGAGTCGTAAAAAGGATGGAGCCCTTGAGACTAAAAGGTAGGTAGTCGTATATCTCCTTGGCTACTTCCATGTCGTTCATGCTGTCAAGTACCAACAGCCATTCACCAGCGCTTTTATGGCTCAGAGCTGTCTTCACAATTGTCTTGATATTGGCTTTAACATCAGCTATGCCGGCCACATTGAGAGCTTGCCCAATCTCGCGATAGGCATTCTCAAAGGTGGCAATGTTCATGGCGGGAACCCAAAATATGGAGCAATGAGGGTGGTCTCTATGGATTCGGTAAACTGCCTCGATTGCGATTTGTGTCTTGCCCAAACCGCTCGGACCCATGATTGCGGTTCGCTGGCATGTATTTTCATAAGCTCTTGCAGGAAGCCTTTGTCGGAGCTTTTCGACGATGCCTTGGCGGCCAACAAAGCTCTCGTTCTGGCCAAAGGGAACGACGAAATGAGTATTTTCCGTGCCAACTTGATCTTGCATTTTTTGCATGGATTTCCAATCACAGTGTATTCTGATGATCTCCTTGGAAACGTCATTGAACGATCTATCTCCGGGATGAGAATATTTATTCATGGCCAAATGGTCTGTCTGGAGCGCGATCCTCGTGCAGCCAGCAATGCAGGCTGATTCTTCCGGCACGACCTATATCCGGCTTAGCAATTGCCAAACTCTTGAACAGCACGACATACCAATCTATTCAACAGATGACTGACTGGCCAAGGGACCCCGAACCGGGCTCCATAGTTGGTTCCGTAAAGTTCATAGAAGCAGCTTATCGATAATGGCAATGTTTTATGAAGCTGGCATAGTTCCTGCAGCTTGTCCCGTAAGTATGGGTTATCATAGCCCAGATTCTGAATGATTCCCGTATCGGATCCGAATGGCGAGAGGAAGCTGGCCGCATAAGAAGCAGAAGTCTGCATTTCTGAGCCTCTAAACGGTACCCCGAGCGCAAGAAAGCCAATTGTCTGCTTAAGCAAGTCGTTATACCTAGGCGTGTTGGCGAAAAGTAGGCCCTTGGCCAAACGGGCGGGTTAGCCTATCTTTCGGGCTCGAGGACTTTGTAGAAGATGTAGAAGAAGGGGGTTTGATATCATATTGAAGCAATATGGAATTCTCTCGAGTCCTCGCCGATAGAGTCACTTACATGTTGGATGACCAACCCTCCCAAACTATGCCCGATAAAGATGATTGGACGATCATTCGTGCCATCACGTAGATTGCTTACGCTTCGAATTAAGTCTTCGCCGCAGATCTGGAGACGAGTTCTAGGGGCATCGAGATGCCATCGCGAATCGTAATTGTATGCCAAAATTCTGGCGTTTGGCATGACGGCAGGTAGCATGTGTGGATCTTTGAGCCAGTGAACGGTAAAATCAGGGTTGGATTTATCTTTCCAAGTCCACGACCAATCTACATTTGATCCAAGGCCGTGAACAGCAATAATACTTTGATGTTGTCAACATGATGCGTTACACGAAGGGTGTTTAAGATGATAGGACGCACTCGATTTCAACCGTCGTTTCGTCAGATCCAGAATACAGAATATCAATCGCTTGCCGATTACCATCTTCCTAAGCACAGTCAATTTAGTCATATTCGCATTATTTGCCACGTGCCTGTTACCAACCCTTCTGCTGTTTCTGGGATCAGTCATCTTCGTAGTATACCGAGGGAAGCCAAGGTCGTATAGCGCCCAAGGTATTCCTTCATGCAGCGGATTACAGCATTTGTAAAGAGGTGATTGGCAGTAATAATTGCGAAGAAGGTATCTATAGATTGTAATATTGTAAAGCAAAGGTGAAGCTATGGCTAGGAGGGAAATCGGGCAAGACACAGCCACTCTAGCCTTGCTGTATAGCTCACGGCCCAATCAACAAGCCAGATCACGTTTTTGTGCCAGTACATACCGCCTACATGTATCTTGATTGTATACTTGGTGTTGATCGTTAGCATATGAAAGGTGGTATTTAATGAAACATGTAGGAGGAACAATATGTTAACTACTGAAGCGGGGAAGAAAGCAGGCCCCTCTGGTATATTTTTAAGTAAATAGGTATTTTATAAATTGCAGCTAGGTTATCGATCTTCTGGGAATATTGAGGCAGGTGTCCCTTAATAGAAAGGTTTTATTTGGTTATAATAAAAATAACACTAAGAACTTCTGTAAACTGTATTTACTCTTATCGCTTCTCTTATGCCTTTTAACTATGCGGCAATGTGGTGAAATTTGCCCATTTGCTGCATTTTCTACTGTTATATGAGGTTTGGCTTGTATGAATAGTGTTCTGAGAGACCTGGAGGATTTAATAGACGAGTATTTGATCTCATTGGATAACGTCCAATAAGTACGTACTGCTGCCCAGCCTCTTATTTTATAACGGCTACCTACCTGCTATAAATATCAGGCTGCAACTAAACAACATCACCATCTGCACATTTATGCCGAATAACATTGAGATACATTACGAAAACCTTCAAAAAAGATGGAAAACTCTCGGAATTTCTCAAGGAACAAAGTCGGAAGAAACGCGACCGTTGTACTGGGCAACATCACGGTCAGCGCCAGTATGTTCTCCATGTCGCCTGTGGTTAGGCATCAGGCTTACCAGTACAGACACCCCAAATGCCGACAAGTCATTTCTCCAGGCGATCAGCAAGACCGACCCCGCCCACGATAAAAACCGCATCCTGCTGTTAAAGGGCCCCTTGCTATGGGACGCCTTCAATTGGATCTTTGGACATCAAGAGTTCAACAAATGGCGCTATACCAAAGAGAGCGGTGTCTTCTGGATCAAGGGGGACCCCGGCAAAGGCAAGACAATGCTACTCTGCGGCATCATCGAGGATTTGGATCAAAGTCCTCAAAATGCCAACTTAAGCTATTTCTTCTGTCAAGCTACGGATTATAGAATCAACACCGCTTCTGCTGTGGTCGGCGGCTTAATCAAATCGTTGCTTAAGCGACATCCGACACTCCTCTCGCGCATTCGAGAGAAATATGCAGATGAGGTCCAAGATGAGCTGGATGGAACCAACGCATTAGTCATTCTATGCGATATCTTTGAGACCATCACCAACGATCCGGACTTGAAAGACATCATCTGTGTTGTTGATGCACTTGATGAATGCATAACGGACTGCAAATATCTTCTCGATTTTATCGTTAAAACAAGCGGTCATGTCAAATGGCTGCTTTCAAGCCGGAACGAAAAAGACATAGAAAAGGGCCTCGATCAAATTCCACAAAGACTTGTGTTAGAACTGAAAGACAATGCGGAGAAAATATCCACGTCCATTGAAGCATATATTCGCCACCATATTCAGGAAATCAAAGCGTTGAAACATGATGAAGAACTTCAAGTAAAAACTCTTGATATTTTAAGCAGCAAGGCTCAGGGCACTTTCTTATGGGTTGCACTCGTTGTTGAACAGCTACACGATACAGACCGTTGGGATATCGAAAATGTGCTGGAAGAAGTGCCGAAAGATCTAGAGAGTTTTTATGGTTTAATATTAGATCGAACTGAGAGATTGGGAGCGAGAGGCCAGGAAGTTTGCCGAGTCATACTCTCAATTATCGCCACAGCCAAGAGGCCTCTACACCTTGAGGAGCTACTTATTTTCACCAATTCACATTGGAAAAATAGCAGCCACTTCAAAAATACATACCAACTACAAGATATACAAGACATGACGAAAACTTGTGGATCTATTTTATCTATAAGAGAAGATACTGTCTACTTTATCCACCAGTCAGCCAAGGATTATGTCATGGAGAATGCAGCCCAGCGCATTTTCCCTATTTTACATCAACATTACAAAATGTTTGAGGCTTCATTAGATGCCATGTCAAAAATCCTCGAATACAACATGTATTGTTTAGAAGATCCTGCAATACATATAGACGATGTGCCCCACAAGGACGTCGGCTCTGATCCGGTTACTTCCATACGATACTGCTGCGTATTCTGGGTTGAGCACCTAGTATCGGGCTACCAATTTGAAGGATTCGATTACCAGAAATATCTGAAAGACGATAAAAAACTTCATCTCTTTCTCAAGGAAAAATTTCTTTGTTGGGTAGAATCCTTGACCCTCATGCGTAACTTTTCCCCACAGGCTCAGATTGCTCTTCAGAAGCTCAAGGATCTTATTGACTGCTATTGTTGCAGCGGAAAGAATGATGAGACTGTCCAAGCTGCACAATTACAGAGAAATATTGAAACATACGGCTTGAGACATTTCGTCTATGATGCTTATCGATTTGTCCGAAATAGTATAGAGTCTGTAGCTCACTGGCCCCTGCAACTTTACTTTTCAGCCATAAGTTTTGAACAGCACAACACTACTATCCGAAATGTTTTTGAACAGACTGTACGCAAAAGATTCGGGCCCTCGCCTATCCTCACAAGTCAGCAACATGGCCAGTCATCTTTCCGGCTGCAAAGCTCCTTCAAAGCCAGTAAAAATGACAGTATCAGCGATAAGTGGCTAGTGTTCTCTCCCGACTCATCGTTAATAATCCAATTATGTTGGGCTTCCTCTGTCAACGCATTCACGGTTTGGAGAGCAGACACCGGGACTCTGGTACACACCTTTGATATTACCCCTGATAGCAGAATTGCCTTCTTTCCAAAATCGAACGACTTCATATCTGTATCCGAAACTGGAATCATAAAGAGGTGGAGCATGAACAAGCCATCATGTGTTAGTCAGAAATCTCTAAATCTCGACTCTTGGAGCAAGAGTTCAAGCCTTCCGTCAACCAGCGATTCATACGTTGGATATAACATTCCCAAGGCAAGGGTCGTCGCTTTGTCACCAAATGGTGACCTGGTAGCAACGTGGCATCGCTTATCAGATACTAATTTAGGCGTTGCAAGGATCTGGGATACTTACACGGCCTGTTGCCATAGATTGTGCGAATATGGCGAAGCAGCAGACATATGTGCAGCCTTTTCACCAAACTCTCAATTACTAGCTGTGCTATATAAAGACGGCATTGGAGTACACAACACAACAACGGGTGCAATGGTTCAACATCTCAACAAAGGCATCGGGCAAACAGAAACTCTACGACCACCAATTCCCTTTTTAGCAGAGTTTGACAATATGGAATACCTTGGCCGAATTTTATTCTCCCCAAATTCCAAAGTTCTGGCTACCGTAGAGCTGCGACAGCGCCTTTACCTCTGGGACACACATAAATGGGAACTACTACAGAAGATTAAAGTGTCTTTGACACGCCATGGCCTCCGATGTCTTGCTATCTCTCCTGACTCGGCGATTGTAGCCACGGGCTCGTTAGATGGAACTAAGCTTTGGAGCATCGAAACGGGAGAATGCGTCGCTCGGGTTAATGTCTGTCCTCTATTAATCGCTTTTCCCCCGGACTGGACGAAATCTTCGCTTATAGTATTACAATCAAAAGCAGGCGTGATTCAAACGTGGCTCATTAACCTCTATGACGCTATAACATATTCTAAACCTCTTTGCAACAGCCTTAACAGCATTGGAACCGTTTCTATATCTCCAAATTCAAAATTCATAGTTGAAACGCAAAGTTATAATGACTGCATCAAGATTTGGAGCGGAGATGATGGCCAACTGGTCCATATTCTCAATGAGGAATCTGGGTTGTTTGATATAGACGATTGCTTGCCTACTTTTTCGCCAGATTCAAAACTATTAGCTTGTTTTAATTACTCGTCTAAAATTCGAATATGGCGTTTGACTACTGGCAAGCCTATTTTCTTATTTAAAGGTACGGGCAGGAGGAAAATTTCGTCAATAGCCTTGTCGAACGATCCAAAATGTCTAATTGCTGGTACCAGCAATAGTGAGATATGCATTTGGCGCATTGACTCTGGCCAACTTATCTACCGATACGATAATGGAGACCCACGCCAAATATCGGAGAGATCACTTTTGGTTGCAATTTCAGAATCTGCTCATGTTGCAGCGACCTTGACGCTGGGGTCATGGGCTTCTGGGCCAAGCAATGTGAAAATGTTGCGCTTGTGTGCGGCTCAAAGTGTGGAAGTTGCTCATCCTCAATTAGCCTGGACACGTCAACTTGAAGATCAGATACTTGGACTACAATGTGAAGCGCGAATCTATTTTTCTTCGGATTCGGCGATTTTGGCCAGTGTTACAAGATACAAGGCCCAAATCTTTGACGTTACTACTGGCACTTGTTTGCAGGAGTTTGCCCTTAACGGCATTGACATACGACTACTAACATTTGATGCAATAAAGGGCCGGATTCTCACTACTCACTCTATATTTTATAAAACTTCATCGTGGAAGCACTGGCAAGCGTCTCCAAGACTTGGGTACTCCCATGAGTATCTCTGTATTAAGGGCTATTCTGTCGAAGGCGTATGGATTCTTCTGGCTGGAAAAAGAAATTGCTACCTGCCGAGTAATTTCAGGCCAGCGGTATTATCATTGGTCGATAGATTGTACGATAAATCCACCTACTTGGCTATGTCTGAATCCTTATTGGTGGTTTTGAATGAGTTGAAAGAGGTGGTTATCATTAAGTTTCCCGCTCGGCGCGAAGCGCAGCAACACGAAATCAGGGACTTTGATGTCGCTAAAGAGTTTGAAAGTACTACTGGTAGTGCTGGCAGCTCCAGTTTGGTTGTTAATGCCCCAGCAGAGATAGAGTCCGGTTCGGAACTGTTGATGGTAATAAGGGACAATAGAGGTTGAAAAGATTAAATTGAAAGGTCTTGGTTATCTAGAGAGAAGTCGGGAGGCAGGACCTCTTATATATGTAAAATCTATGTGATCCACGTAGCCAGATCGGACTAGTGCTTCCTTGTTCAACAGGAACGTCCTTCAAGAGAAAAGCGCATCAAATGAGTTGAGAGTTGAAGCTCAAGGCAACGGCTCGTCTAATGATGAAAAGAAAGACAAGAAAAAGAAAAGTCCTTTGCGCAGAAATGGGCATCAATGCTGATATTATGTGAATATAAATAGCGGAAATCTTGGAGCCCCAAACGGGAGCCAATCTATCGAGAGGTCTAATTAATGCCTCCATCTGATGGAATAGGTGCATTAGTTTTCAGCAGTCTAAGCTCACACCGAATACAATGCTATCCTCGTACTACCATCGAAAAGAACAGCAAATAGCATCAAGAACATAAACGTTTCGTATACGTATGACTATTTTAACCCTGCAGGAAGGCGATGACTGGAGCATGGGCTCCGATTTCGAGGACGAAGAGTACTTGACTGAGGACTTGACACTGTAGGTGAATGTGCTGAGGAGCAGCACAACGCCGGGCTGACACCCGCCATCTACTATCTCATACCAGGAGCATCATACACCAAAGAGGGAGGCTTCCAACTTCAGGACAGAAGAGGAATCACCTGCTGAGTCACTGAGTCGAAATTTATTCTTGTCTATCTATAGGTACGTGCGGGTGCTATCACCGCGTTTTGGCGTGGATTCCAACTTGGAGGCGCGAAGAGGGCGGCAAAAGCCATCATGCCGCTGAGAGTGGCCAAGACGCCCGGTGCTCTGATAGTTTCTTACCAGTATCCAGACGCATGTTTGACCCGCCGGAGGTCAATTCGAGCGCAAGGCGCCAAATGGATAATGACCACCCCCTCAATCGTCCACTATAAATCAGACCAGCCACCCGAATCGGGAAGAACTCGGGTCAAGAGCAAGGGAGGAAAGTAATACGCCAGTAGTATTACAGCAGTGTTTTTGTTCATTCTGGCTGCCAAAAACGAATTTCAGAATTCGGGTGGCAAAGGAGGGGGTGGGCCGCCCGCCAGTGGTCTGACTTACATGTAATCGCCCACCCCCATAATCGCCCATATCTCCTTGACCGCCCATATCTCCTTGACCGCCCACGTAGGTCAGGGAAAAAAATGCTTCTCTTTCAACATCATCAACATTGTCTCTTCAACGTCGACACCGCATTTCTCACTCGCGGATTCTCCGGGAAGCAGTTTCTCACATTGCAATTTTCACTAAAGAGATGCCTTCTTATTCGGAAGAGGATATTCTTGCAGCAATTCAGGACATAGAAAGTGGTGTTTCACAAAGAGTAGCCGCACAACGCTGGGGAATTCCAAGATCTACGCTTCGTCATCGCTGCAACGGCGGCCACAACTCGAATGAAGCAAATGAATTTAGGCAGCGGCTTTCTAAAGAGCAGGAAAGCCATCTCGCTCAATGGATTTCAGTTCAAAACGCGCTGGGCCTCCCGCTGACACAGCAACAAATCAAGGACTTCGCAGAGAGAGTCATCAAAGCCGGCGGCGATAATACACCACTTGGGAAAGCGTGGATAGAGGGCTTTTTGCGAAGAAATCCTGAAGCCAGGGCTGTCAGAGGCAAGCCTTTGCCTAGGGGTGGGCGGCCATCCCCCAACTTTGCCCACCGGAATCAACCAAGATTCAAATTGAAAAGGGAGGAAAATAATACACCAGCATCGCAGTAGTGTTTTATGGAGGGGTTTTCTGTCTTTCTTTTCCTTCATTCATTCTTTTGTTCTTTCTAGCTGCCAAGAAGGACTTTCCTAATTCGGATGGGCGGCTGAGGGGATCGGCGACCACTAATCTGACTGCAAAAGCCGTCCGAAAAAGGAAATCAGCTCCCAGCACAAGATTTGGCAAATCATCTGTTTATATCACAACAACTACACCTCCCCACAACCAAAAGTCAATGGCAAAAAATAAAAACATACAACAGCCGGTGTTCGCTGATGGTCACCCACTCAACTACTAATCTGCCTCTCATTGGCTTGACTCTGGGAGAGCGGACGGGATCCCGTATATTCCAATGGATATGGTCGTATGTGATAGTGTTGACCACCAGAAGCACTTATATCACAACAACCGCAACAGACTTCATGAAAAGCAAAAAATATAAACATACAACAGCCGGTGTTCGCCAATGGTCACCCACTTGACTACTAATCTGCCGGTTAGTGGCTTGTCTATGGGGGAGCAGACGGGACCCCGAATTCTCCACTACCTATGGTCGTATGTGCTAGAGTTTTATGCAAGATTTCTTATAGAAGAATGAGTAAGTTGGGGTTGATAGTTAAGATCAGTGGTCATCTTTGAATTGACGTTTGGATGTGCTTCTTTTTGGGAGGATGAGGCTGTTTGAGCGGCGTACAATCCAAGGCACATGTAACCCTTTTTTGTCGCATGCCAGGTTCAGAATCGGCGCTCACAAGCCTCAAACTTCCCGTATTATCAGACGCGTGTACTTTCATTTGTTGCATGCCGGGTTTAGAACCAACGTCCTCACTCTTCAACCTTGATGTACTTTCTGGTGCTTCCTCCTTCTCAGCGTTTTTAACATCATCCTCTGGTCTGTATACATCAAAAGCGCCGTGTACACAAAGATTACGCGGGAAGCTACTAATCTCAAGTAGAGTAGTGAAAAGTTCTTAAGAGGCGCCATATTCATGGTGATTATCCGTATGCAAACACAGGCATATGCTTGTCTGACTAGAAAGATCAATTGACTCGATACAGATTTCTCCAGCAGGGACGAAGACCCCGCGATTAGCCATATGCCGTATTATAGTGATAGAGAAGGGCTCTTTGTAGTATTCCTATAATCTTAATCCATAATTCTCTTTGATTAGGAATGATGGTACAAATTCCTGGGAGCAGTACCGAAGGAGTATGTTTCCTAGCCCCTGTAGGTCACGAGCATCATGGAATCGGCAGTGGACTTTTTCTATGTCGTATCAGTGTCGGTATAATAACACAAAGAATGTGACAATTGAATGATAGAGACAAATAACTATGCAACTAATAGAAGGATACAGAAAATAGTCATGCATGCAGTAAGGGCAAGGACGAAAACGCAGTCTAAGATTCGTTTTACTTACCTTTACAGTTGAATCGGCGACCGGTTTCTATGTTTCGAAAAACAAGACCAACAGCCTCATATTGAAGCAACTTGCAATTCATTTGTCGGCGATCTTTGTAACTTTGTGTCGATTTCTCTGAAACATGGGGTTTGCAAGATGCTCCACATCGTCCATTGATTTTACATCGTCAAGTAACATTAGAAAACACCAAAAAGTCTGGCACAATTTACCCATCTAAACAGAGAACTCTTAGACCAGCCTCCTTGGGCTTATATTCGATTTGTATTGGATGGCGTCAATTATTGATAGTTGGATGGAGAGGGCAGCGATACACTTGCCCTTTGCTGTCTCCAAAACACTGAACACACGCGTTGCAGATAATGTGACTGCAAGGTAATACATTCTCTGGTATCTGTTCTATGTAGCAAACACATGTTAAGTGGCTTCGGAATTTTGAAGCTGACTGGACTTTGGGGTAAAAGGTCTCCATGACACTGCGGTGCATTTTTGGGATGAAACTGCACTCCTCTTTGTCTGCGCTGTTGACCCTCACCTCGAGATTCTCAATGATCTTCTAGATATCATTAATCTACAGACTGAAAGATTCGAGATATTTGAACAACGATTGATAGCCGCCTCGTGCTAGAATGACATCCTTGCGGGATTGATAGCCCTTTTTGTGCTTTTTTGAACTCTCTGAATCATCGGACAAACAGGATTCTAAACCCCGTAAAGTGTTCTCTCCACCAGTCATGCCTTCTGAATCCGCATATAGTATGTTTAAGTCCTCTTTTTGATAGTTCTATAGTCCTGAATGTAACTAAACTAATTGGGTATTTCACTCCCTATTCCTCTAGTCAAATATCACGTTCAGGCTTTTTGGAAACTTCCTTTACTACACTGGGCCCCTTCAGATGTAAGTATCCTTCAATTGCAGTGTAGGGGTTAGGCTCAAGCCGCGGTTTCTGGTCAACCGGGGCAACCTCGAAACTTGCGACATGCACAGACTCGGGAAATGCCTCATTGTCCACCATATACGGCTGCAACCATTCCCATTGTACTAGACTGTTGGTAGGGAGCTTGGCCTTTGACGGCTTCTGCGTGGCTGGAGTCTCTACGTCCGCAGCCGGAGCTACTGCGTCGGTGGGCATCACCAAGTCTGTTGTGACGATTAGCGGCCCCATGTGGAAGAAGGCTGTCATGTTGCGGAACGCCTTCTCCCACATCCACGGAGACAACTTGAGCTCCCGCACTGGTAGGATGCTACTATACCCGTGGATGGCTGTGAAAGGGTCGATGATGGCACCAAAACCTCGTAATTGCCGGCAGTGTTGGACGTCGTGATCTAACGACTGGAGTTCGGTGGGATCAAGATAGTATGGATCAAACTTGGGGAAGTTGGCGTTGTTGATCTTCGTTCTGGGATCATTCTTGAGGCCTTCCTCTTCTGCTTCGTCTATGTAGTAGGTGAATAGGTTTCCCAACTCCAGGCCGTCGCCAGCGACTGGTGATTCCTTTGCGTCCCAATATCCAACGAGCCCGTCGTAGGCCTTTGTCTTGTCACCCAACTTTACCTGGAACGCGTACGCATGATCATCATCGGCATCGTCCTTCTTGTGCTTTTTACCCTTCTCGGCTTGTGTGAGAGTCCTACGCATTCCGGTAGGCCCAAGTGATGCATGGCTCCTATAAGCCTCGACGGCGAGCTCAAGAGACCAGCCCATGTTTACCAGAGCCAGAGGTTGACCGACGATGGCACTAGAGAACTCAGAAAATGCTCCCGGAGCGGGAAGCATGTGTCTCATTGCCCCATTGATCATGTAGATGAATGCCCTGAGATAGTCCTTGTCCTTTAGAGTTTTGAGGAGGTTATCCAGCTGCTTCAGCGCGGGATCCTTGTCGGGCTCCAGGCCTGTCCGGTCGGGCATCCAATTGGGAGAGGTCATGCTGCCAGTTGGGCCACCGAATCTGACCTCTTTATAAAACCGCCCGTCACTGGCGAAGAACTGTAGCCCGTAGTTGGCGTAGTTGACCATGACCCAACCCCAAACGGGCTGGCCTGCCTGCTGAACAGGCTTCCAGTATGGTTTCGAACTTGGGCCTCCAGGGCCCGGCTGCAGCGTTACAAACTCGGCGTTGAGGCGTGCGAGTTGGTTAATCTGAGGAGGGATCTGGGCAAACTCGCTCCTTACGAGTGAAGAATCGCCGCGTCCACCCACAGGGGTTGCATTGGAAGTGGATGGTAGTAGTAGCTGCTGGGCACGCAGGTACTCGCTGGTATAGATCTTGGGCATCGTTTTGTCGCTGGCGATGCTGGGGGATACGGCGTGCACGGCTTGGCCGAACTTGTCGATGATGTTGAGTTTGGAGAAGCAGAACTGCCCGTGCGTAACGGGCTTGAAAGGGTTCTCGCCATCGGCCGAAAACGAGACACCTGTTCCGTACGGAGTAAGATCCGTCTCCAAACCCATGAGTACCAAGTCAGCCTCGCTGAATTCTCCGTGATTGGCTGCCTTTTTGGCTCCGGGAATGGCTTGGGGGAGGTAGCCGCCGCCTCCGCTGCGGTTTGGTTGCCGGTAAGTTGGCTTCACATGTGTCCCTCCTTGTCTAGTGATGAGGTGGTCAGTGAAACCAGCCAGCGGAGCTGATAAGAGGTTTAGTTTATCAATATTTGACAGAATAAAATCAAGGTCGTCCTCCAAGTCTTTGAGCATAGGTGCCGGCGTGTCGGCGAAGAGTTGCTCCACCTTGTGTTTGAGGGACATTGTTGGCTGGGGTAGCATTAACACTCTGCCGGACAGTTTCCTGGAGTCTCTGACATCTTCTTCACGGAGTGATTCGGTCTTGATTCGATATCGAAGCTTGGAATACTCGGCTTCAGTTCCTGTCAAATCGCCGTTATCCAACTCCCAGTGCTCGTACGGAATATGCACAAAGTTCACCTCCCATTCGAGGTAGAGTGGCACCCAAGGCTGCGTACCGTGCCACCTATCACGCCAGCGAGGCACATCAGGTTTCTCTGGGTCACCTGTTTTGCTTGACTTATCATCTTCAAGAGAGATAGGCCGCAGGTCCATGTCATGATAGAGAGGGAGTAGCGCGGGTTTCTCAGGCTTATGCTCCTGGTCTCTATCGGACTCGAGTGCTATGAATTCGGATAAGAGCAGTCTTACGTCGGTTCCCCAAGGGTTTTCGGTTCCCCAAGAGCGTTCGAGGTTCTCGATTATAGGTCCAAGATTCTCAGGCAGGTTTGGCTCGACAGGCTTGCCGTCCTTGCGGGCCCCAATAATTTGATGGCGAAGTCTGACCTTCAGGGGGTCGAGAAAGTCGACAGGCCAACCTGACTGAATACCTGCAACAAGTACTGTCGGATCGCCAGCTTGATGAAATGGCTCAGAAGTGCCGACCTGAATTGTTTTGCTGTCAAGCTCTACCTTGGTGACCTCATTCTCGATCGCCTTGATCTTTCGGTGAAGATTCCCAATGTGCTTCGTGACTTCTTCCCTCTGCTTTTTGTACTGGCCGCTTGTGGCAGCGGCGTTGACATCCGTGAGGAGCTCCCACCAGAGAGCGAATAAATCCCATTGGCGCTTCTTCAGCGACCGCGATAGGGTGTCGATCTGACGCTGCTTCTCATTCATGAGCGACAAGTTGGCCAATTCGGTATCTGTAGGCTCGTACGTGCCTTCGGGCTTGGCCGTCTTGTCACCATCCTGTGGGTTCGAGAGGAAATACTTCTGGCCGCCATCTTGGCGCTGAAAGTTGAAATTACTCAACACGTTTGCAGCCCGGCGTTGCGGCTCGACTCCTTCATCACGATCCAGCAGGAGAGTCTGCAGCTTGAGGAGGTCCATCTCAAGCTTGTGCACATCGCCCACAGACGACTCGCTATGGCCAGAGACATAGGCCATGATGGCGTCCATCGGAGTAGTACCCACGGCGATGGGAGAAGCTTTCATAAGGTGAGAACATGCCTGATCCGCAGGCACCTTGCCGGGCTTTTTCAGCGCGTTCCACTCGACCTCGTACATGGCACCATGGCAGAGAGTGCTAGCGGCGCTGTTATCTTTGCTCCATTCATTCGTCAAGTCTTGATCGTCGGCCTCGAGGACCATGTTCAACGACCGGAGCTGCAAAGGGCGAGCTAATGGAACATCTGATTTTTGCCCTGCTGGGGGGACAAAGAGGTCTCGTTCAACGTCTGGTTGCCACCCGATGACATAGTAAGAAGCTTTGGCTGCTTCGAGACATTGCTCTTTGCCCGCAGAATCCAGGTACTCGAATCGGTCGAGCATGCTGAAAACATTCCCGTTGTGCGGCTGGTAGTCGGCGAAGAGTTGATTGGAGCTATTGAACAAGTTTAGACGGACTCGTTTGGTGCCTGCCTTTTCAGACCACGTCTCGGCAGGAAAACGTTGTCCGATAAAGACCTCTGACTGTGCCTGCATGTCGACTTCGACGCTGCCACCGAGCCCAGACTCTGGCGCTATGTAAGGCGAAACGTCTGTCTGCAAGTCTACACTTTCGTCCAGGTCGTCGATGGATCTACAAACGTCGCTCTCAACCACCCAGGCACGAAACTTTGGCACAAAGTCCTTGGCATTCTCGGGCCGGATCGAATTCTCGTCGATGTGGCGAACCACAAGCCAGCGCGGAGGAACGTCATGGTAGCTTGGCACAGTGGGATCGTGACCATCGCTTGGCTTCGACTCGCCGTATCTTTCATCTCCGGGGATAGCAGTGTCTGGAGGCAAACCGGCCGGGGTCTTGGCCTCCGTTTTGGTGGCCGCGGTGCGATACGGCCGTGGGAGCGTCCAGTGAACGTAGACGCCCTGACGCCTCGAGCGAGGCTGGTTGGTACCGAGGTCAGTGAAGCGCATATTTGTCGATGCCGGCGAGGCGGCATGTAAATCAACGTGGCGCAGCACGTCGTTGGAGAGGAAGCGATTGTCGTATTGCAGAAGTGCATAGTCTGGCTGGGCCAACGGCGCGATCTTTGCCTCATCATCTGTGCCGCTACATACGGACTCATTGAAAACGAAGCATTCCACTTTTACGGGGAGCAATAGAGAACCCATGATTACTGATAGTGTATGAAGAGTGTGCGAAAGATGAGAGACAGGTGCAAGAAGTGAAAAGCTGCCGGAGGGAGGGAGGCGGCTTTATATATACCCATTTTCTATGACACAAAAGGCAAAGCCTCATTGGATTATGCTAACGGTATTAGACTCATGTTTTTGTTCTTATCCAATTAATGCTAACCAGTGAGATACATTGTTATGATTATGATCCTAGACGAGCTTTTTAAAGTAGATATGGGCTGCTACTATCACTGCTGTCCTGCTACGAAAGCCGTTCTCGCCGCTCTTTAGGCGTTAAGAATGGACTCCCACTCATCCTTGAAGATCTGAGTTTCATTGGTGTCATTGGAAGAAAACACCACGGCGATCTGCTCAAAGGTCTCGTTTGATGCAGCGCTCAGAGTCTCCTGCGTGGGGGTGCCTTCCAGTATCTTTTCCTTCCAGTTCTTGCCACCGTCTGTTGAGTGGCTGCGTGTCAGAACGCCAGTGGCATCGCTGATCCAGTAAAGCACCAAGGCTTCAACCTCCTTGTGAAAGAATGAGGTGGCCGCCAGGGGCGAACCGGGTCTGGCGTTGGATGTGATATTGTTGTCTGCAGTTTATCGTCAGCTTGGTCCTCTGCATGCAAACTCCTCGCTTGTATTGTAACCTACCGCTGCTACCCTTGACCTCTAGGCCATGGAGAACTTTGTCAGATGTCTGGAAGAATGCCCAGCGCTTTCCAGCCTTTTGTGCGTAGGCAGAAGCCAAGTTTGTCAGAGCCGGGGGCGAGCTTTGCTTCAAGAGGTTGCTTCCCTTGGCAATAGGGGCGCTGTTGGTGCCGTCGAGATCACGTTCATGGATGGCAGGGGGGTCAGAGCTGCCAGACTATTGAGCATGCGTCATTGATCAGCGGAGACGTAGTGGTAGCTTACACGAGGAAATACAGCCAGCCCTTGTCCTTGCCGTTACCACTACCAGTCAGACGGTCGTAGTCGGTCTTGATGCTCAGAGACTGGATGACGGGACTGAGTAAAGAGATGTAGTCGTGATCACTGCCTGTAGTTTCATTTTTAGCGGACACGATGCCGTAGACTCGGATCTATTGCCGTCGGTTAGTACTCTCGAGCAAACAGTGCGTGTTCTAATGGAATGGTACTCACCCAGTCGCGCAATCGCAAGGCCGAGAGCCCTGAGCCGACCTTGATATTGCCCTTGGCACTCTCCTCCTTTTCCTGGAACACACTACCCCAACTACTGTCTTCGCCGGTTGTCCACTGGCGCAGGCCAAGGTTGGCCTTGGAGCTGTTGTAGTAGACTAGCAAGCGGTCGTTATTCTTAGCCAGAGGGTTCCAGATGAGAGCGTTGGAGGCCATTGTGCCGGATTTGATGGATTGTTCTTCACAGGAAAGGATGGTGATTCGATGGAGAGGTGATTGAGGATGATTCTTTGTGACCTGTTTCTATCGCGTCTTATATGCTATTTCGATAGCCAGTTACCCTGGCACAGTTGGAATATCAACGAGTCTTGGTTACAACATCACAGGACTGGTAGCAAGCTGAGCAACGACTCCATGCAGCGAAAAGTTGCCACAATGCATAGACGACTCGTTACTTTGTCAATGGCTCTGCGGTCTAGATCCAGCAGTCCGTGTCTAATTGAGCCAATTGAGGCTTTGCGGCAAGAGCTTTAGGTTGTTTGCCTGCGCAGTTTCAATAGTTTGTTCATCTAGTAAACGCCATAAAACGTGATAGCTGGCTATACGGGTGTGATGGTTCGGAGGATATGCGCCGGGATCTAGCTGCAGCAAAGGGCCAGCCAGCCACTCTCAAGGAATACAATGCGCTACTGTAGCAGATGAAATGAACTAGGCAGTATTTCCATCAGCAGTGCATGAGTACTGTACCGACAAGGACCACTTGCAAGGATTATGAACAGGGGTTCTTGTACGGAGTCTCTGCCACATGGCAACAACATACCCCAGAAAACATACATGTAATCTAAACTATTAAATAAATGAAATAATTTATTAGCGCAATAAAAGTATCAGTATATACATTTTTTATTTTTTATTAGTAATATATACCTGTATTAGCAAATATTATTCAGTTCAACATCCAGATATTCATCAATAACGTCTCCCGCTAATGAAATACTTGGACACGGAAGCGAATGGACCCCAAGGCACTATTCTATATTCAGCACCAGTTACATGGAGTAAACCGTGGCTTTCCGCGGCAACGGGAGGCGGGGACGGGAGGCGTTGACTAGAACTCAGCTGGAACGGCATGCATCAAACTAGCGACGTCTAGACTCCTGCCGGCTTCAGCTTGATGGTGAAGCTGCGCAGTGGTGTAGTCGAGGCCGGCTTTGCCCATTCCTCAGTGTAGCCCACCGTCACCTGCCGATCAAAGTTGTGGACGTTGACGAGTGGCAGGATGAAGCCGCATTCTCGGATCCGGTTGATCAGCACGCCCTCCTCGAGAGCTTTCTTGCTGCGCGGCTGGAGCTGTAGAAACATCGTGTCCGCTGTTGTCTCGGCAAATACGTTGAAGCGCAGGTTGCTCAGCATCGTGGGGCCGGGCCCCTGGTAATTGTCCAGCAGGTTGACGGTTCCGCTGTCGCGCTTCTTGCCGCGTGGGATCCTCAGCGTGATCCGTTTGAGCTTGTAGTCCTTGTAGAGAAAGCTAGAATCAATCCGCTTGATTGTAAACACCAGGTCCAGTGGCCCTTGGCCCGTCTGGAGCGGCCCGGACGGTGCGCCGATGGCGTGGACAGCGTACGCAAACTCGGGCCCTGTCGCGGCCCCTGTGTCGGCCTTTGGCAGCGTTTGTGCCGTGCTCGCAGCGGAGGAGGGTGTTTGCAGCAGCGTGGGCGTGAATTGAAAATGAGGCGGGATGGAAGAGTCGAGACTCTCCAACGCAATAAGAGGCAATGGATGATCCGGGATTGGCGCGGTGAAGGCTGCTGCTTGGATTGCCTCTTCCGATGCCTTCTGCATAAGACCAAGCAGCTGAAGCCCCTTTCGTCTTGGTGGCAGGTTAGGGTCTGGCTCCAAGGACTTGAGGCTTGATGTATCGCCGATACAGAAGCGATAGATGGGCATGCCGAGCTGAAACGCCGCCACGGCCGAGGTCATGGCAGTGTCGGTAAAGTCATTGGGCATCTTGTCTCTGAGCACGGCCACAACATCCTCAGCCCAGACACCCGCCAGGAGGAATCTGGCATCATTTTCAGCTCCCCACATGAATAGCGGCGGCCCAGACTCGACTGGACAGCCAGATGGCTCGTAGCGGCGCTCAGTGGTCCTTTCGAGCAGCGTGCTGGCAAAATCGTATCCGTCCTTCTCGACAGTGTAGGTGCGCTTGTACCTGATGTCGAGCCGATCTGGCGTGAGGCTATAGCCCAATGCAAAGGTCTGTTGATGCGGTGGCTGCGTGAGCGCGAGAACCGGCATCTCGTTGTCCTTGCCGGGGATTCTGTCAAAGAGACACAGAAGCAGCCCTTCGCCAATAATCTCTTGCCTGAGAATTGGCGCCCTTCCTGCCTCGGGCGCATCTTCGGGGATCGGCGCCTCAACCTTGAGGTCAGGAAAGCGAGAGACCAAGTCAGATCTCAGAAGCATCCCGTACGATGGGATTTGAGGCGTGTATCCTGTGGCTGGGTCGGTTGTTTCGAGATAGGTATTGATGGCCCCCTTGATCCTCCGTCGGATGTAGTCGTCCCTGGCGCCCATGTGGCTGCCGAGGCTCAGTGCCCCATCGATCAAAGCATCGAGCCAGTTGGCGTCGACGTGGAAAAATCGGATGCTCTCCTGTGGCAAGAAGCTTGGATCTGCAAGCAGGTATGGCGGTGGTATGCCGAAAAGATACATGCGGTCCATGATCCAGCCCAGGATGATTTTCCACTCGGCCGAGACAGAGTCGTTGAGCTCATTGTAGAGGCGTTGACCATCAGGGTATTCATTACCATTGTCATCTTTAGCCCCAGCAATGCGGCGGATATGCCGTTTTGCTTGTTTCTCACTCTTTTCTAGCATGACGGTATCATCGACAGCCAGTCTAACGGCTTCTTCTGTTAATGGGCGCCTAGCAAGCGGCGTTTCCTGAACCAGGCCTTGTTCATCCTGTCGCTCTTGGGTTGAGACCCTCTGAAGATCGTTTAAAGTCAAGATGGACGTTTTGAGAGACTGTAGGACATCCTTCCTACTCTTGTAGGCATTCGTCTCGCTGAGAACCTCCCGCTTTGCGCCGTCCAGACATATCCCATGAAGACTATTCCACAGCCGCGTGAGGGCTGTCGTGAAGGCAGCATCAGCAATTGCCAGCGACTTTCCCAACTGCCAAGCAGCCGAGTATGTAATGTCCATCATGCCCGTGTCACGGTCGAGGATCTGTAGGTCACTTCCACATCGTGACATGGCCGTCCATGCTGGCTCACCTGGAGCTACAGGTACCAAGGCAGCCCTGAGAAAACTGCTAGTCACCTCGCCTGTCCTTGTCCGGTGGCGTTGCATCGTGTATCCCTCTTTCATCCTCTTCCCGAGCTTTGCGCTGAGATTTTGGTTCTCCTTTGTTGCCTCCATTTTGTCAATCAAGGCCTGTGGTGCTCTGAGGAGGCCTAAGCCATTCTTGAGGTTCTCAAATTCAGCCTCGAGACTGACGCCACCGGTAGGGAGCACCGTGTATGTCCAGCTGTATAGCGATGAGATGGCGACGTATTGAGCAGCCGAAGATAGCGGAAACACCATGTTCTTCCATCCCTCGAGCGATACAAGGTGCACCATGGCAGGCATCTTCTGGTCTGCCGAGAGCGGCCCTGCCCGGTGCGACATTATGACGCTGAAGAGACCGTCCTTGTACCGGGCTGAGGTCGTCATGCCTGCAGTTTTGACGTGGCGGACATGAGCAAAATACTTGAACCGCGAGATATCAGCAGCGGCTTGGCCTTCTTTTGGAGCTGACAGAACTAGCTTCTTGCCCTCGTTAATGGTCGTTTCTTTCTGCTCATAGGTAGTAACAAGCTGCTGGAAGAGCTTTGGCTTTAGAAAAAGAGCTGTCGTCTTGCTTTTGGCGTCATCTGGCTGGGGAATTGGTGAGATGATGGAGCCTTGTTTGTTCAAGGCCTCAACGTCAGCACCTGATAGAGTCATAGTCAAGTCAGAGCTCTGCTTGATCGTTGTAGGCTTTCCTTGGGCATCCTTTGCCAAGTTTGTCACCATAAACGGCGAATTTTCTCCCTGGAGAAGCTCACTGGGGAGCTGAAGCTCATCTGGACTGAAGACTAAGAGGGCGAGCCAAGGCATGCGCTCCCGCCGCGTAGCGTCGTCTTTCTCAATACGCCTCTCCCACGGCAGATGAGGATCATTGAAGACAACGTGCGGTAGTGTCTCTGCTGTGGCGAGACCACCTGGTGCAGGATTGACCGAGAGTACACAGCCATCTGGCAGTGAGAACTGTGGCGCCTGGACTAGAAACTCCTTCGTTGTCGCCTCTGGCTTCAGTTCACGGCCTTGTTTCTCGGTTGCACTGCTGGCGTAGATGGTCTGGGTCGCTGTGATGGTCTGTTTCCCGCCGTCAAGCCGCGGGGGGAAGTACGAGTAGAGCTTCTGGTAACCATCGTGAAGCGGTTGTAGTCCAGACTTCTTGGACTCTGCGTCAGGGCCGTCGTCTTCCGACCCTGTGTCTGGAGCAGGTTCCTCAGCTGCAGCGGCGACGACTACAGATTTGCTGGCGATACCGAATGAAGCTGAACCTGCACATTCAGTTTGTCCCCTCGATTTGGCGACTTCATAAGCGTGCTGGAGCGTAAGGAAACGCAAGCCGCCTGGGAGAGTGTCTTCAGTCTGTAGTGAGGCCATAGTGCAGTGAGCTATGTATCTTGTGGAGTACCAATTACCTGTAATCCAGACGAGGTCAACATGAGGATCAGGCTTGGATGGGTTTGTGAAGCAGAATGACAAGCGCCTCGAAAACACACATTCAGGTTTATACCGCCACACCCTAGGCGTCTTGATCTGCATGAGATATTAGATAGCTCGAGGATTGGCTCCACACGGCTGACCGGGTCGATGCGGGCTCATCACACAATATTGGCTCAGCCAGCCACTGACCCCGGACTATTGAAGCCTGCTGCAGCAGTGCCATACATGCTCGTATGGGGCAAAACAGCTCTGAGAGGATACTCCTTGAGTTTAGCAGCTTGAAAGGGGTCATGTATACTACACTGCTGTGTAGTCGGGCAGTAGCATGATTCCACCATTGTGAATAGCACCTGATTGCTTCTTGCTTTTGTAATAACACCGTGAGCGTCACGGCAACAATCATCAATGGCTTCCAATACTAAGACATTTGTCGAATCCTATCACATCAATGTCGGACTTGGCGATAGTGCCATTCATGTTCTGGCGACAAAGGGCAACGGGTCCCAGCAACCAAAGATCGTAGCAGCTGTGTTGGTAGACGGCGGACTGGCGCGAGACGCAGCTGCGCAAAATATATCCGCCACGATCGAGGATATCGAGAGCCGATATGAGATCGAATTATTGCAGTTCCGCTCCGTCGTCGTGACGCACTGGGATGCGGATCATTGGAAGGGTATCAACAAGCTGCTTGAGAACGAATATCCAAAACACTTTGATAAAAATGGTCGATACAATCGCTTTTTCCATAAAAAACCGGTTGAAACGACCGTGTATGCTCCGAGCCTGTGGGCCGGGTCGAAGCCACAGAAAGACACTGGAGAGCCGGTGAAGAAGGTGAAGACAGAAGAACAGGGTATAACCATCTTGAAGGTTGACAATGGCTCCTGCTTTTCGTTCCGAGGCGTGCGACAGGCAAATGCGATGGTGGGCTCCAGCATCATCGGATACGACTTTTTTACCAACACGAAGCCGTCTGGGAACAAGACGTACTCTAATCTCAAAAAGTTCAAGGACGTAATAGGTACCAACACATCCGCCGTGGGAATGTACTGCGTGGCCAGCGATCTCGAAGTCATCGGGCTCGAGGAGCGACCGAATAGGAGGGGCATGGATCTAGAAGACAGTCTGTTCAACCAGCTGCCGACTGAGACGAATCAGCAGTCCATCGCCGCCATTATCCTCTGGAATAACATGCACGTTTCCCACTACTTTGCTGGCGATCTTGACTTCTGGGGGGAAACTCTGCTTGCAGAGTGGCTCCAAGAGAACCTCAAGTCCAACAAAGGTGGACACAACATCAGCTGCCTCAAGTCGAGTCATCACGGCGCTCGCAACTCGAATCCCCCCAAGTTGTTTATGGTGACTAAACCTAAATATATAATCTTCTCCGTTGCGGATCACTACGGGCATCCTGGTGAGTTGCCTGCTTCTCCAATCTTATCCACTATACTGACACTCGCGAATGACTTTAGCCTGGGAAGTATTGCTAGTACTGTTCTTACTCTACACCTATCATATTCCTAATTCAAAAACTCCTTGCATTGCCACCTGCTATCCGTATTGGCTAGAAGACATTCACGGCCTGGACGGGCTGGAGGGGAACAAGATCAACGTGGACTCTTTGCTTCCGCCAAAGGAGATGGCGAAGCTCCCTCCGACACGCCGGAGGCATGCGAATCGATTCAATAAGTTGGTTGAGACCCTCTCCAAATCCGTACCAAGCGGCGACAACATATTTAACATCATCCGCCAGAGCTGCTTGAGAGGAAATATCTCTGACAACGAAAGCATATTTGAACAGATCGCCATCCACTTCAGCGAGCGGTTCGGCAATCTAATCCACGACCTCTGGCGGTGGGACAAACTAAATGGAACCATCGCCACTGAAGTCGTGTACATCGTGTTGACGCTGACCGATAACATTGACAACGACAGAATGCAATACAAGAGAAAGGACAAGCCGTATGACAAGAAAGATCAGATAGATCAGGTCGTCTTCGAGGAGGTAGCGGACGGTTATGGAGAAGAGGAGCCTTCAATCAACACGGAAAAGTCGACCAAGAAGACCAAGGTCTTCCAGAAGTGCCATGTTTTTGTAGACGGATGCAACAAGCCTACAGAAATGATTAGAAATACCGAGACACAAAATAAGATTAAAGAGCACGTCGAGGGGACGTCAACCCTTGGAAAAAGGTCGCTGTGGTCTTCCAAACCCCTTGACGAGAGTGCCGAGCAAGATAGCCCGCATCAAATCTTCATGCAGAGCCTCCAGGTCCCTCTTCTCGGCGCTCCGGTGGCCGTTCAAGCGAATAACTCTTCTCAGTCCACCCAATACGCTTACAGCATCCTAAGCAGCTCCTATGCCTCATCAGCAGCAGCTAGGGCTGAGTTCCTCGATTATACTGTTCTGGAAGTTGACGACTGGCTCGATGACTTCCTCCTGTCAATGAATCCAAGCATCATAAGACTGGACTCAAGCCTGAATTCAAGCCTTGATAAAGGATGGGCGCTTCTTCACGAGAATGACTACTTGGGGAAGTGGATTCGCACCGGCCTGGGTGGATCTCAAATGGCCGTCAACGGCGATGGGCCTGAGTTTCGCATCATCATGCCCAATGGCCTCATCTTTAGCACCGGAGAGGCAGCCAAGGCGCTGGGAACGGATGCCAAGATGTCAAGCGACGGCCTCTCACCATGGACTCGAAATGGCACCATGGTCTTTGGACTTGACCGTTTTAAGAGTGAGCCGAAATCCAGTAGCTGGTGCATCAGGGAAATACTATCTCTATTTCCAACAGACACCAGCTCCAAGATGGACCCTTTAGAGCTTATTTCGTCTATTGTAGTTGATAATTTGCTCGGCATGAGATGGACACTAGATCCTGCCACGTCAGAAGGGAGACGCAACGCCATCTGGGTTACACCTATTGCGAGCTACCGCACAATTCTGCGCCTCGCCTTCATCCCAGTCAAGGACAGCAGTCAACCTCCCTTCTGCAACTTCTTAAACCAGTTCTTCCCTTCAGCAAATAAGGAAGATAATGCTGTGATTGACATTTCTGATATCCAGCTCATCTTCCGCAAAGCGTGCCTCACAAAGGAGAAAAAAGGACAGCGCACAACACTGGCCAGTACGCAATTCCTCACTCTATCCGCACGCATAATACTGCTTGGCCCCAAGTCAGAAGATCCTGCAAAGCCCAGAGCAAAGGTCACACCAAACATCAGCATCGAGCTCGCCAGCACCGGTGCCCTCGAACTCACCGTCAAGACTACACAGAGCGATGACAATTTTACCGATGTTGTGAGCGGTTGGTTGTCAAGGCTGTTTCCTGGCTGCGATACCACGTTTGACACGCTCATTGAGCAGAAGATTAGCCAAAACATCTGGTTCCGCAGGCTGACCATTGCGCTGAATCCTGATAAGTCCATCTCCAGAGCCTCAGTCGCTCTCGAGGTAAATGCCAGACTAGGTAATGGGTTAAAGCCAGATCAGAATCTGCCAATCATTTTCAAGGCAGAGTACACAAACGCTCCCGGAGCACAAAGTGATTGGTCCATCTCTGGAGATCTATGGCTGGAGACCAACACGAATATCCCATTACCACTCTTCAGCGAGTATGAAGAATATCGAAGTCTGTTGCCCTTAACACCAGATCCGGTACAGGCTTTAGAGCTCACAACTCTTTTCGCTTCCATGAGTGATGCCGACAACATTCCAGACTTGCCAAAAGGTATTCCCAACGCCATCACCGCGGCCGGCTTTCGTATTAACAAAGAGTCCATCTTCGTCAGCGGCACCATCAGCGACTGCCGGCATGTCCTTGAAGGAAGCAATGCTCCTCCTCTCAGACTTCAGGAGCTCAGTGTCGAAGCGCGATGGAACTGGAAACAAAAGGCAGTTCAAGTCGATCTCTATTTCTGGCTCAGCTTGAACCTCCCCAGCTGGTATGACGCTCCTGAGGGTTGTGCAGCCAATTCCCTCACAGGAAGTGTATCGTACAAATCTGGTGGGCAATGGAATGTCTCTGCCGAAGTTCGAGATCTAAACTTGGGTATGTTGTATGGCTTCTTCCCAGAAAGCGTCAAAGATACGCTCTTTCAGCTTCTCAAAGGAATTCGAATTGTTGACCTTGGGGTCTACTACTATTCACTGGGCGCCGGCCAGGGTACGGGGCTCCTTTGCGAAGGAAAATTGATGCTGGGAGATATTATGTCGTTGCAACTCAGCTACGAGTGTGACCCCGACGGCGGATGGAAGTTTCATGCAAGTCTTGGGCCAGATGACGAAATAATCGAACCAATTACCCTAGGCCAGATTATGAGTAGCTTCGTCGATTCATCTGACGCCAGCCTCTGTTCTAGCTTGCCAGACTTTCTCGCTAATACTGTGATTATTGGGGGCGAGGACTCGAACCCCAAACTTGAGTTCACTGTTGAGAATGACAAAGTGGTTGGGCCCAAAATGACTGTGACTGCAAGCATCATGGGATTTACGGTTGAGTTTGTCCAAATCAACAGCACTTCTCAAGTCAATAACTTGGAAGACAGGGGAGAGAAATCAGCTTCAGGGGGAAAACCTGGCAAGATCTTGAGGCTGTTCAAGGCCGTGTTAACCAAAATCCCAATGCCCCAGAGCATTCCTATACTCGATCACATGGATCAGCCTTTTGATGAGCTTGGGTTCTTCTGGATAAACCAGACAGTTACCAGGGACGAACTCGTTGAACTGGACGAAACCTTGGACATGCCAACCCCCCCACCAACAAAAGAGTCGGAGACAGCCTCAGCTACTGGCAAAGCTCAAAAACCAACTCCTGGCATGACGGGCGGCTTTCATTTTGTCATTATTTCAAAGCAAAAGGTTGTTTTAGACTATCCCATTGGAAAACAGGAAAAGGCAGAGGATACAGATGACTCTTTACCAGAGGATGGACGGGTTAAAGTGCCGGGCGGAGATAAAACCCCATCTGAGCCCCCGAAGCAGGATGATGGCAAGGACAGTCAGTCGAGCAAGGCTAGCTACAAGAATACCGTTGGTCCCCTCAGTATCAGCCAGATAGGTTTCCGTTATGACGGCGGCACCCTTGCCATTCTGATGGATGCGGCTATTGCGTTCGGACCAGTGGCCCTCGACCTCATTGGCTTCACGCTCGGGCTGCACTTCAAGGGGGCCGACGGGTCGACAAAGAGTCTAAAGAGCCTGAGTTGGCATGACGTCGAAGTCTCTATTAGCGGCGTTGGTGTCAAGTTTGAGCGGCCGCCTTTGACTATCTCGGGAGCCTTCTTCCACGAGAAGACGGTGGAGAGTGACATGTATGCCGGTGGTCTGACGGTTGGATTCACGCCTTGGCTCTTCCAAGCCGCAGGATTCTATGGTGTTGTAGGGAATGTGAACGACGCCCACGCCTTCAAGTGTATCTTTGCCTACGCCATGTTGCATGGACCCATCATGAATATTGCCGGCTTCGCAGAGATCTCGGGACTCACGGGTGGCTTCGGCTACAACATTGATTTGACACTGCCGACATTGGATAACATCGTGAGCTTTCCACTGCTTACTCCGTCAGCGGAGTCTGTTCCGCCAAAAGAGCTGGCGAGGACCTTGGTCCCAGGTGGTGACCAGCGCTCTCCTTTCTTCAACCCACTCAACGGCGCAATGTTTATTGCGGCTGGATTTACGGTGACAGCCTTCCAGATGCTTGAGATGACGGCTGTCGTTGCCGTGCAATGGAGTCCGCGAGTCCAACTCGCACTGCTCGGTCTCGCCAAGTGTGACGTGCCGTCTATCAAGTCTCCAGTCAAGTTCGCCCACATTGAGCTCGGCATCATCGCCACTGTAGACCTAGACGCAGGTATCTTGAAGGTAGAGGCACAACTCTCGCCCAACTCATGGATTATTCACAAGAATTGTCATCTTACCGGCGGCTTTGCAATGTACTACTGGTTTGGTCCCGGCCAAACTGACTGGGTCATGACGATAGGTGGCTACCACAGCGCCTTTGTTGTGCCGGCGCATTACCCCCGACCCGACCGACTACGAATTAGCTGGTCGATTGACAGTTCCTTGAGTGTGACGGGCGAAGCCTACTTTGCCGTCACTCCCAAGGTGTGCATGGGCGGCCTTCACATTAGAGCTGCCTTGTCTCTTGGTGCCTTGTACGCCTGGTTCGACGCGGCCGCCGACTTTCTCATGACATACTCTCCATTCCATTTTATTGCAGACGCCAATGTGTCAGTTGGCGTGCGCTTCTCAATGGACATCTGGTTCGTCACCGTCCAGATCTCCGTGGAGATTGGTGCCCGCCTCTCTCTCATGGGTCCACCGCTACGAGGTATTGTTCACGTTGACTTTTGGGTCTTTGGCTTTGATATCGCCTTTGGCGATCCAGCTGGAGCAGCCCAGTCTCTTGATATCTCGTTCCAGGATTTCTGGGACCTGGTCACCCAGGCCGAAAGTAGCTCCTCCAAACGTGTCGAGGCCGGTGGGAAGGCCGCTCATCTCTTCTCCTGCAACAAAGGCCTCCTCGCCCAAGAAACTGAGAAAGACAGCAAACCGGATGACAAGGGTCTCGTCGGAGAAAAAGACAAAGATGTGAAAGCCAATGACACCTGGCTTGTACGCAGCGGCGTGTTCCAGTTCACCATTGAGTGTCAATTCGCAGTACAGTTGGTCACAGTCAACAATAAAAAGGCCCTCGAGCCTCAAAGCGTCACAATTGATGATATCTACGCTAAGCCAATGCGTCTCAGCGAAAGAATAGATTCGACGCTCTCGGTGACGATAGGAGGTCCTGACAACTCCACCAGCGTATGGAAGGCGACATCCGCATGGAAAGACGTTCCTCAAGCCCTCTGGGGACAGTGTACGTGAATTGGATCCTTTTTTTTTTTTTGTCGAATTTTCCCTCCGAGGAAGTTTCAGCTAACAGATCAAACAGATAAAGAATCTGAAGACCCTAATGTCTCCCGCCCAGGGAGTGACTTCTCCAACCTGCTCAACAGTGGAGGCAGCATGTGCCGCCTGATTATGGGCGTCGTCATAGAGGCGCCGATTCCGCAAGTCTCATTAGACAACATGCCCGAGTACTGTGTCGACAAGGCCATGAAGAATAACATCTTTGACGATGGAAACGAGCCGAAATTCCAGGAAAATGTGGATGAGAGTACAGCCTTTGCCCCGCTGCCGCGGACCCTAGGCGCAGAAAATTGGACGGCCTTGAGGGAGGCATGGGAGGCTTCGCCTGATCCCAGATTAGCCGTGGATATGTGGGAGGACATTTTCAAAACCACGGGGCTTGTTAAAACGAAGCCTACTAAGCTCATTGACCACAATGCCGATTTGTATTTGTCTGCTCCATTACTAGGCAAGACCTGGCCTAGAGAGGGGTTACAAAAGGACGATGAAACTGCGTTTCCACATATCGAGTGAAATTTATCCTTCATTTATGAAAGGAAGAGCAAGCTACATAAAACAAACAAAGCTGTGGGGTAGCCACAATAACTTCGATTTGCACAATAATATAATACGAACAGTTAAGTTGATACTGATATACTAAAGGCTGGGAGTAGAGAGTTTGGCCTTGAAAAACTTTGTTGAAGCTTTATCATGTCCTGTCTCAATAGATAGGTGTGTTAAGAGGAGACGATGTTCAAACTGGAAGCAAAGTTACTTGTAAATGGTACTGCTCATGTCGGAACTGACGAGGCTTCCAACAACTACTAAAAATTAAGTTATGTAACTCTAGATTTAGAGTCTTGAGATGCCACATATTAAAGATATTACACTTGAGAGAAGTGCTTGACGGGACACTCTTATTCTGACCCCTGATCTCGGCCTCAGCCGATGACAACCTTAATAAGGTGTGCCGTGTCTGGTGGGTAAAATCATGAGTTTCATATTTGCACAGACAAGACCTACATTACAAGCTAGGTTTACCCTTGAATTGCAATTGCCACACCCATACATACACAGAAATCCACACTAGGAAGGGATACCTCTATAAAATAACACATTATGTCACTATCAATACTTAACGTAGGCCAATTCCTTTAAAAACGCATTTCTAATGTCTCGAATTTAATAACATAAAGCCTTATAAGCCGGTTAGCTTATTACGTCGTTATCGCCCAGCTACGTAGCTGGATAACCTCATTGCAGCCCTCAGCCTATTAACGGCAGTAACAATCGCTGCAAGCCGTACCGTGAATTCCTTCCTTCCTCCTTGCGATCGGAAACTTGTTGTTTTTAAACTGCCTTCAATTAACTACACAATGCGCCAGATGATCCCACTGTACATATAATTACTTGTAGGCTGCCGGCGTGGCGCAGCGCGGGCACGGGCCTTATCTGCGCAAACAGAATATTTTTTATTCGTGCAGCTAGAAGCAAATAAAAGACTCAAAATCATGCCATGCCACTCTTGGACTCCCATAATTTTAACCTTCAACTTTTTCTAGTCCTCCCAGGCCCGACTTCTAGGTGTTATTTCCTTCTCATTATCTTGGTCTCAACACAACACGCTTCGTTTTCATCATGGCTTCCAATCAGGATGGGGAGCAAGCCCCCCTTCTACAAGCAACTCATCATGTCGACAATGCCAGAGAATCTGCGGTTGGCAATGCTCCTATATCGCGTCTGGCTATCATTGTTAAATGTCTTCTGTTGCTTGGCTTTGTGGGTATTGGAAAGACACTCATTATACGACCAATAAATCAGATACAAGAAGACATTTTATGTCACAAACCCAACATGAATGGCACAAAGGTTTTAGACAACTCCACTTGGGGTCACGACGAATTGTCTCTACTTCGAGGCTGGATAGCGGCTTCCGAAAATATCATGAGTTTCTTAACCGCTGCACCGTGTGGTATGGCGGCTGATATATATGGACGTAAACGAATACTCCAGTTGTCTATTGCTGGTACCATCTTGGCGCAGGCATTTGACGCGGTAATATGTACGTGGATATATACCACGCTATATTCGAATACGTTTAAACTGACTAACTGACTGACCTTATCACACTACAGGTCGATTCCCAGAAACGTTCCCAATCCACTTGATGGGGTTGAAGGGACTTTGGGCTCTATTAGGGGGTGGTAGCACCGTTTTTTCGGCCATGATATTTACTATATCAAGTGACATCAGTCTAGATACGCAAAGGTAAGGTGATCATATTTTCCTCGTCTACCTCTCGCGCGAATTATTAACATCCTTGGCTGGTCAACTATATTCTTTTATCTTACGGGTGCTGCAATATCGAGTGAACTGCTCTCCTATTCAGTATTGCTGGTTCTTACATACGCAGGCAGCTGGATTTCCATATACGCCGGGTTTGGTTGTCTAGTTGCGTCGTTCTTGATCACGCTCTCCTTGCCAGAGACTCGCGTACCAGGCCTCAGGAGTGATGACCCAATGGTAATATCTGAGACACGAATCCCTTCATCTTACAATTTCCGACTCACCCAGTTCCTAACGTCAATGGCCGGGTTAACCCATCGTGCTTTCACCGAGAACAAGAAGCTAGGCATGCTTATATTATTCTGTGCATTCACCACGACGGGCAGCAACGTACCACTCCTTGTCACCCAGCAATCTTCACAGCGACCCGACTCCGTAGACATACCAGTTAGTTTCACATGTTTTGCGAAAGGCATCTATGAACAATCTTCCATCGCTGACCACCTGACATAGATATTGATATCGATATTTTATTCCAGCATTTTGAAAGTCGTTTTGTTGACCATGATACTACCGCTGACCAGCCGCTTCCTGATCGAAAAACTACGCTTTAGCCCACTGAGAAAGGACATATCTATCTCACGGGCTAGCATTGTAGCTCTTGTGGCCGGATCTTTGGGGATAGCAATTGCAAAACAAGCCCAGTCAACCATAAGGGTCGCAGCCATCTACGTCTATGCTCTTGGATGTGGCTACAACCCAGCGATGTATAGCCTCGTTGGCTTTCTGTCCGGGGGCCATCATATTGGCATATTGTATGCACATATTGGCGCAATGCAAAGCATAGGCACCTTTATAGCCGGCCTAATGTTTGGGGCCTCGATTGAGATTGTGCCATTTATTTTCACAGTTATGTTTCTGGCTGTTGTTATAGGTACCCTATTTTATTTAAAGTTGGAAGAGACAGAGGAAGGGGCCCCAATTTGGATTAATATGGATGATCTTGAATCGCATAGAAATTCGTAGAATAGCTTTTAGGTATTTGGTTAGAGTTGGAAAATTTCATTTGATGACGACTGAGCTCAGAATTGACTTTCCAGAACCGGCTACAAACTGTCAGTTGGCGATTTTCAAGCATCCCGTAACTTATTTATTGAGTGCCCATTCGTAGACGTACCCTTTCCATGAAGCCACAGAATAGAAGAGGGTGGCTCGTCCCAAGTCTAAGACTCCTTGCTCTCTCTCGTCAGCCACTCGCCTGTACCAGCTCCATGCTTGTCGCGAGAATTGTTGGATATGTCGGAAAGATCAACATCACTGAGCTGATTCAGCAGTTCTCGACGGCTGTTCTCAGTTTGAGCACGCAAAACTGCAGCGCGCGGGCTTGATAGATCTGTGCTAATCTCGCCCCACTGATGCAAAGACTCTAGGCGCCGTCTCTCAACATCTAAGCACTCCTTGTCGTATCTGGAATCCCGCCAGAGCGCTTCTATAATGGTGAATCTGTGCTGCCGGTCAAGGATCTTTCTTAGCAGTTTGTCCCAGTCATCTCACCTGACAAGGTCTAGCCCTAGTCGGAAGGTGTCATTGTTGGTATGGTAGCAGTAGCTCGTTGCCTGGAATCTCAAGATCTCTCTAAATAGCATCTCCAAACTATTTTTATAATCCTGGTGGGGTAATGGAGATATTTATTGATTGCCTTGATTGCGAGTTCGAGCCTTCGCCCCGTGACTCGTCAATGAGTTAATCCACTCCACCGGCGGCGAGTGGCATAGGCGTGTGATGGCTGCAAAAGGCGCAAAGACTACTACTACCCCAAGGCCTGTGATGCACATAAACTCATGAAACATGTTGCATTATTGTCTGAATACATGTACTTAGGCTTATTTAAGACATCTTTGTTACTCATGGCTTCACACGTGGTGCTCCTGGCTCACTGCCCTCCGGCACAGGCACCAGAGCTGACCTTGTGTAGATATGTCTGGCACCCTCCAGATTGAAGCCTTCGACGCAGCCACCTTTGACCGCAAGTGAGGGCCTGGGTGTACCGTCTTTGAAGATAACCCGATGCAAGATACGAACGCCACACCCTTTGCAGAAATAGCACTCTACTGTGTTGCCGGAATCTGCTCGCCTGGCCCACATGCCAATATGTTGTTGTAAGTCTTTGGGGAATGGCCACATGCCCTCAGATGGGAAGATGGCAGAGGTACCAAATGCAGAAGTCGATTGTTTCTGGCACTCTGTACAATGGCATACATATTTGCTGAGGGGTTCAGCGCGCGAGGCTGTGAGGGAAATGGTGCCGCATTGACAAGTAATCTTTGGATTTTCGCTTAATTTTGGGGGCATATTAGAGTGGTAGCGATTAGTCGTTGATGAGGTTGGATGTGTCATTCCCTTAGAGTGACTCATGAGATACGGGCGTAGTAGTGAGCTGGTTGGTGGCCGCAATGCGGTCCGCTGCCGAAAGGCAAGTAGTAAATATGCTTTTGAGGAGATCATTGAGAGTAAAAGAGTTAAGACTGATTAGGTTCACGATACATGATCAAACCGTAGATAAATTCGTTGGTGAGAGGCATTGGTTTCGCGATGTAGCTAAATGCTGACGAACTGTCCAATAGAGAAGGCACCATGGAATAACGTTAATCCTTTAAAGCCTAATGAAAACATTGAGGTAATTTATTTTTGCTAATTGAAAGATAATAAAATGTATTAAAGAGAGTTCAATAATTTCTGGAATGGAAATCTAGATAGTGTCACCCGAACACAAGATTTCCAGTTTAAACCGTGATTATGGAAACAATATGGATCAAGAGAAACTAAAGAAAACAAATTGAAAATAAGCTAAAATAAGCCCCCCCTCTCACTTTTCCTCAGACTTCCTACTGACTCCCTGGGTTTTCCATTTTAATCTTCAAGACTCTGAAGACTCGCTGGTTGCTTCTTTTAACTCTCATGCGCTTATTGGTGACTGTGTTCTTTCTTTCACCTCTTTCGAACTCATTCGCCACTCCGTGTCGATGAATGTTCGCTGGGACGGCGAGCGCTTGTGGCAGCAGTGCCCACGCAAACAAAACAAGCAGGCTGCGGTATAATTGATCAAACGCTCTACCGAAAATTATTATAACTAAAGCCTCGTGAAAACGTCGACCCGGTAGAGCATACATGAGTTTATAGAAACGCGGCGCCAAAGGATAGCATGTCGATACGGAAGCATTGTTGAGGAGAACCCACATAATAATGGCGAATGGCACACAAACAAAGGGCAGGAATGCCGTGACGATATCCATTAACTTGAAGGGGATTATCAGGTAAAGCCAGCCTATCATCCAGATAAGGGCGAATTGTACACCAAGGCCCAAGTCTTCTTCATACGCAAAGATGTATGCCGCCCAACATAAAGCTCCAAGCAACGAAGCTATAGCGCAGAATAAATCGCGTATCGTGCCGTTTGTGCGGATCGAGAGACGGGAGGATCTGGCTTGCGGAGTTGATAGCCATGATAGAGAAAAATTGCTGCATTGCGTTCACGGCGACTGAAGCTGGATTGTAAAAGACTCGTGCTCCCTGATTTGTTGGTTTATTATTGATCGAAGACGTGACAACTGGGTTGTAAAAGTCTTCAAGGCATTGGTGTCAGAAGAATTAAGGGTGTGAGAGCTCCAGTGCCGTTTATGTCAGGGGACGGGCGGCGGAAGAGAAGAGACCGTATATCCTCGGAGAGACCTCTTCGTCACGGGACGCGGAAATCTCGGAATGAGGGATGAAAAAGGCTTGATTTTCTCTAACAAAAAAACAATAGAGGCTAGCTAGCTATATAGTCATGACGACCGATCAGGGACTTCCTTCCTCCGGGGATATTAGACAAGCATCCCCTAACAGTATGACTGGTAGATGACAATTTACTTGCCGCGATTAGTGCCTTAAATTTTAGTTTGATTGACCCTTCAGAGTGCAGAAGGAAACGCGCTTCGTTCCAGATGTAGCGGATCGTGTCGGTGTTGTTGTACCTACCTTAGTTGATTGATACCTGACCGCTTCGAAGCGCAGTATCCAGCCGATCAGATGCGCCCTAAATGGTATAAACAGCCCGCGATATGTTCCAGTACACACCGCGCCTTTTAATGATGCTTCTCTTGTATACTTGGATACTGGGTGTACCTGAAGCGTCGGGAATGAGTTGCCCTTGAGTTGATCGTAGGCTGCAAATAGTGACTCTTCAATCAAACCGTTAGCATAATGCACCGTTAGGATATGGAGACGATGAAACTTGTTTCCGATTCCATATTGCGATCCATAAACAAGTGACAAGGCCAGGAGAAATACCAGCCGTACCGCAAAGAAACCGATTTCCACAGTGAGAAAGAGTGCCTCCATTGGCCTCGCCAGGCTTGGAGGACCATTTGAAGTCTTCAATTCCTTTGTAATCTTTACTATGATCAATTCCTTTGTAAGCTTTACTATGATATGCGATATAGGCCTCAAACAAATAATAAAGTTTTGAAGGGCAAAGAGCGAAAAACAGCACACGCATATCACTGTCCAGAATATATACTGTCGAAACTGTTTATGCGGGAACCTAAGGAAGGACCAAGATCTAAGTCTAAGACCTAGAAGCCAAGGTATTGATAGTATAGTCAAATTAAACCAATTTTCAATAAAATTGAGCATATTATATAATATTAGAGGCAATTTGAGTGTCGATATAGTTGTGGATCTATCCAGAAAGACATAGCCGGTAGCTCACTAAGTACAACGTCCTGTGCAGCTTTCGGTATGTTTCCGATACCTAGCCTACAGGGATTGTTTGGCTGATTACAACAGAAAGTTTTCAATCTACTTTGCCATGCTTTATGCTGACCCTAGAAAATCACGAGGCCGAAATGAACAGCAATTGCTCCTTGTGGATGGATGTAGACATGGATGTAGACATGGAAAGGAGGCGGCATTTTCACTGCATTGACAAGGTGAGATATACGAGGCTTCAACTGCTCGAATAGAGTACTAAAATATATCTCGCAATGGAAAGCTAACGGAAGTATCTGGTAATCGCTTCCAACGCCGACCGGATTAAAATATGCATCATATGAATTGAATCTGCCATTTCTTTTGCCTTGCAAGTATATAATGGGGTTATTTCACGAAACTGTCTTGCAACTATATGTCGCACACAAGCGATTATCCAGCAGCTACGTTAGTAATAACCGGACATTATTCGTTGACAATACATGCTCACCGATCTTATCGTAAAGGCTTAGGACAAGTCTTTGCGTTCAAACTCAACTCAATTGCCAAATTATTAAACATTCTAAACACAAATTGCTTAATCACAATAATGGGTGAGATTAATATATCGCTGCTACTCGGTATATGCATGGTCATTGAACCATCTGATTGCTGCATACTTGTTAGAGCTAGATCTATGTAGCTTCAGACCGTTTGAGCAAAATTTTCTCACGAAACTGTGGCTTGAGTCCGCTTCAGTTGGTGATAGCAAAGAGTCCATCTGAAGGATTGGCATCATCCAGACTAATTTAGGTCGCTTCAAACTTACATGGGTAGCCCAGGATATGGGGGAAGCCGGTACATTCGTTTATGCTCCATTATTGCGCACCCAATCGCGTTGAAACAATGAATAAGCTCAAGACATTAAGAGTAGCGAGTACAAGATACTTTTTCCTTCATGGGCCTCTATTTTGTTATGCCATTTTGTAAGAGTTTGGCGTACTTCAATTAGGCAGGTCTTCTACCAGTGGCATTGCAGAAGGTTGCGAGAATGCAGTATTTCCAAAAACAAAAATGCTACTTGAGATGGTAGACTTGATTGACTCCATGTCATCCGTATCTCCCGTGGCTGTCACATCACCTATGTCGGAATAGATTCCGCTTTCTTGCTCGGAGATACCGCAACACCTCGGAATTATCGTATACCTTCTTTAGGCATTTGATTTGCAAGTATGACATTCTAGTTATTGTATTAAATAGGCTGAGACGGTTAGCTGATACTTCTTTAGTGCGCCTTTTTGATCAATAGGTAGTAACATCACTCTTTAGCTGCATATCTGGAGGATCTGAAATCTCGACCCCGCCCAGTTGTAGTGACATTTGAGGCAAATTTTACACTTCGATAGTGGTTTCGTACTATATATCAACAATGACATTGAAAAGGACAAATTGAATATCATACCATCGTGTGAGGCTCTGGTATGAGTTAGCTTTGAGTACTCCTAAACTCATCTGAGCAACTTGAACAATTGAGTATATACAGACATACTAAACGTATGCAAAATGTGTGCAGATTCTCCCTCATTTGTTTATACCAACTATTACTTAATATTGTCAGCTTAAGTAGGTATTATGTAGTATGAATAGAACTAAGGTTTGATGACCCGCTAAAAGTTTTAAGTGTGCAAGAAACTCGCCTGTTAGTCTCATCCTTCGAGCCACAGCTTCTTGAAACCCTATTCCATACCTAGAGAACAAGTCGGAACGTTCAACCGGACTATTGGCCACTATGGGCCCGCTACCTTACGACTAGGAGAGACGGTATAAACAGGATGGAGAAGAGAGGTGCCGACGTTCCTAATTAGGCAAAGTATAGTAACATATTCAAGTGGACCGTTCGTCGATAGAGCCAATGATATACTGGAAAAAGATCTAATCTAATCTGATGACACGGGTTATCCATCTGATAAGATCAGAATCAGTCCATCGTTAGCTAAAATATTGAGTCACATTCGGCGCGAGGCATTTAATACGAGATCTAGAACGTCGATCAGGCCCATATCTGGGACTATGCCTCCACTTCAATGAAGGTTTTTTTCTGAGCTGAACGTAGTCTTCCAAAGCCTGTGAATAATGGCGAAAGGGCGTACTAGCCCATTGGAAATGGAGTTTGGGCTATGCATGAAGGTTGACTAAGTGGAATTGAGAGCCCTCAGTTGCGGGAAGAAGGACTTTGGCAAAGAGAAAAATTCGACAGTGATGTTAGCGGATACATGCATGTGATTCACAGCCGGAATCTGTACTATATATTACTACTTCGCCATGGAAAATGCCAAGCTGCCAAGCTGATCGTGTGACTCCCGGTACCGAAATCTGATAGGATCTCGCACATATACCGTGGAATAGGCCAGCGCTTGAGAGTTTAGTAACTTTATGGCCATGATAGCCGTGAGACATCTGATCAGAGTCAGCTTGGCTCTGGTTGGCTTATTTCCATGGCTTGGACTATCACTTGATGTCGCTATCCACCAGGAATGTGTTGCCGCTGTTTTTGGTATTATCGGAAATCTCAACTTTGAAGGCGTCGGTTACGGTGAATACTATTTGGGACTTTGCCAAAACCCTCTGAAAGCCACTTCTGTCTACGCTATTTCTAGGGCATATTGCCCGCCAAATGACCTAGATACCGGGTTCACCTACTTCGGCTTGGCCTGTCAGACCTATGGCAGCGTGGAACTCATCCCAGAAGCAGACCTAGCTGCTAATTTGACTGCTCAAGCAGTTAACAGCTTTCCTATCCTTGATCAGGATGATCCGAGGGTTTTGACTAACCTTACGACGCCAATTCTGATCTCGAGAGAGTGGTTTGAATTGGGTTTCCGCACAGAGGTACGCTTTCTCCATTCCAGTTCTTCCAAATCCATTGTCTCGCTGTCTAGGAGAATTACTAAGATTATACAGGACACGTGGGATTATGAAGCCCGAACGCATGCTGCCTATGGGTGAGATCTAGTTCCACCATCTTACACCTTCAGTCTTGTAGATGAGTGAATGTTAACATTTACAATATGACAGATACGCAATGTATGGTTTCTGGGGCGGTGTTCTCGTCATTGGATTTCTGCATCGAATTATCACCTTGATCAATGAAAGCCGGCTGTCACCGTCATCTATCGGCCCCGAGGACACGGGAAGAGCAGATAGTCGCGAGAAACAAACTGAAAAAAGCCGTCTATTTGTATCGATGTACTCATGGATCCGCAAAAACCTTATTACTCCAAGCGCTCTGCCTCCATATCGCCGCCAGTCTTTGTTCGGATGCACCATACCAACTCGCATCGAGGTATTCATCGTCTTGTCATATTGGGTCGTTAGTTTCATACTTTGTTGTGTAAACTACCGAGGATTCAAAGGCAACCTTTAGTAAGTACCTATATGAATGAGAAGTAAAAAACACTTTATGAAGTCCAGAAGGCTGACATGGATTAATGAAAGCTGGTCTGCCGTTGCTCCTCAGATATGGCGATATATTGCCGACCGAGCAGGCATCATGGCTTATTCCAACTTACCCTTGATGTGGATGTTCAGTGGGCGTAACAACGTTTTCATCTGGCTAACGGGCTGGCAATTCTCTACGTTCAACCTCTTCCATAGACATATCGCTCGCGTAGCGACTTTGCAAGCTATCTTCCATTCCATTGCATATACGGCTTTCTATTTCACTTCAGGCGATGGTAAGTTCATATCCATGCTCAAAATGCTGTTATAGAAACCATTTATTAATGTGATCAAATCTAGCGGTTGATTACCGAGCATCGTTCAAGGAGGCTTGGTGGTGTCTAGGAGTCGTGGTAAGATAATGTTTTTGATCGGCAGTTTTTCAAGATCCCTGGTATTTATCGCTATATATACTGACTTTGATTGACTCTAGGCAACGATTTCAATGAGTTTTATTGTTCTCTTCTCTTTCAGTTGGTTCCGTCGCAAGATCTATGAGTCTTTCCTTCTGATCCACATCGTTTTATCTGTCGTGTTGATTGTCGCTCTTTTCCAGTACGTATTACCAGATCAATGATGCGAACCAACGTCTACTATGTACTAATGACGACTAATCACAGCCACACGTCCATATTTGATGGGGAATACAATCCTTATTTATGGCCTCTGGTCGCCATTTGGAGCTTTGATCGCTTCCTAAGGATTGTTCGAGTAGTCTATTGCAATCTCCACGTACGACTGCGCAAAAAGGCACTCCATCGTAGTGTTGCCGCGATATCCTACGACCAGGACGCCAATATCGTCCGTGTCGATATCAACACGCACGTAAAGCCAAAACCCGGTCAACACTATTATCTCTACCAGCCTTTCCGCTTTACTGGCTGGGAAAACCATCCTTTCACTTTAGCATACTGGAGCCAGTCCACGGAAGAAACTGCCCAGATTCAGACTGGTTCCCCGGCCACAAATAACGCAACAAATCCGCCGTCGAGAATTCATGCAGTCGCTGAAGACGAGTATATTCTCTCTTTCTGGATTCGCCCCTATGATGGCTGGACACGCCGTCTTCGTGATATGTGTCTAAAGTCTCAACCTACATCCAAACTCTCTTCGGTCTCCAGACAGGCTATCCTCCTTGAAGGCCCTTACGGCATGGCCGAGCCACTGTGGGCGTTTGACGAGGTTCTTCTTATTGCAGGCGGGTCTGGTGTTGCGGCCATGATACCGTATATACTTGATCATGTCTCACGGGCCGCTGCAGGCCAAACGCGCATACGTGGACTCACGCTGGTTTGGTCCGATCGTAAACAATCTTATCTCCGTCGGATTGGTCAACAGGAACTCGCGGCAGCACTTACACGGGACGACGTCAGATGTATCTTTTACTGCACAGATTCCGCAAAAGCTTCCATCGACTCTTTACCATTACCGTCTCCAGATGAAATCTCAATAGAGAACACATGCAAAGAGACGAAAGAATGCGGTGTGCTCAAAGATAAAGAGGCAGCTGAAGACATACACGAGGCCGATTCTTTAATTTTCAGGACGGGCAGGCCTGATATTCCGATGCTCATTGAGAGTGCAGCGGCTTCTGCTATCGAGTCTGGATCACGGCTAGCTGTGATGGCGTGTGGCCCCGGTGAGTTGGCAGATACGGCCAGGGAAGCGACACATCGGGCTATGCAGAATCATAGCAATTCTGTTGAGTATTTTGAAGAGGCGTTTGGATGGTAGTTTTTATCCAGGGAGTTTTGTATACATGTATTATCTAAAAGTTTTTTTTTTTTTAGTTCCCACAAGCCGTAGTCTCAAAAGCAGATCTATCTATATGTACTGTTCAAGAATCTCTAACCGATCCCGTATATTGTAATGGATATGGCTGTCTGCATTCGCTTTATCTCATAAAACGTTTCATACCCCAGTTGAAAGACTTCGTCTCCCGAGAGAAGTAGCTAGACTGGCACAACAATGCCGTACTTGGTGTGATCGAACTGTTCGAGGCTCGATATACATTCGGCCCAACCATCATCGACCTCCCCTAATTGCCAACCGTCTCCAATCTCAACCAATCCCGTTCTCCCAGCCAATACAACCTTTTGACTTTCATGATATTCGACGGCCAAATCTGGATGCGGCACCCAAACAACTCTCATTCCAGCCCGCCTCCCAGCTTCTACACCAATGACGCTATCTTCAAAGACCAAACATTCTCTGGGCAAAATTGGCTTCTTGTCAGGGCCAGTCGTTGTCGAGTTTAGTGACTGTAGGGCAATTAAATACATGTCGGGAGCTGGTTTCCCTCGACCCTTTGGCACTCTTGGATCGTCGCCCAAAATTCGTTTATTGGGCTGGAAGGAGTCAAGCAGCCGTTTTGTTCCCGGCCTTGACATTTTCAACGCATAACTATGGCTCTTTGTGCTGGACGCCAAGGCCAGCTCAATCCTGTCACCTGAAGAAGCACTGCGCGCACGACTGAGCTTCGACAGAAGCTTCTCCGCACCAGGTAGCGGCTCACAGCTTGGAAACAGCATGTGCATCTGTTCCCTCGATTCACGAGCGAATTGCTCGCGAGAGATGGGTAGCTTTGCCCAGTTGTGGAATAAGTCACCATTCGTCGAATCTGGAATGCCCATGAGCTGGGCCCGAACCGACCGAGTCAGTGTAGGCCTTGAGTACTTTTCTAGAAGCTGGTTCGTGGACTGGGTGATTATATCTTCCGAGTTGATGAGAAGCCCATCCATATCAAAAATGCAAGCACGGATTGGCGGAAAGCTGGTGGCAAGTCATTTTTTCAGTTTTCCGCTTGTACTTGAATGGCGATGGCCCTGCCACGGACTGCCTTGGATGTCTCTACGTGGGAGCCCTACTTACTCTGCCTCAAGCTGGGCCATAAGTCCTGGTTGATTCAAGGCTGGCCTTGATCCGGTTTGGCAAAGTTGGATATAGAAAGAGATGCGAGTTGCAATTAGGCTTTCAACCTCAACTTCAAGGCGGTGCTTGCTATTTGCCGAGCCTTTTGCTTCTACCCCGCTACCAGCTCCAGCTTATGCAGCGTCTTTTTCCTTAGTTGGCAAAGCTCTCTTAAGCACACTTACAAGGGCTATGATCACTCCGTGTACCGTGGCTACCTTAGGAATGCGAATTGTTATTCCCAGCCTCATTAAAGCGTCGTACATCGGGGCGGCTGCTAAATGAAACCGCTTGGGTGCATTAACAGTTAAACGTGAAATGGGACCCCATGATTTGTGAATCCATTCCCCTGATACCAGGTAGTTGAGCAAATGAAACTCACTTAGTGATCGTCCAATAGTGCAGCTGAAGGAACGTCTTTATCAGACTTCGAGCTAGTACATACCACAAGACCAAACCCCGAGATGCGGAAAACGCTTCATTTACCGTGTTTGCTTCTCGACAGACATTCTTCGAATGCAGATTTCTGTGGCCGGGAAGATATTTTGGAACGTCTTGCGACCGAGCTGTTGCCTTCCAATCACATCGTGACGGATTCGGAGACCTCTCTGCGACAATTTGCGCTTTGCGGATTTGGGGGGATTGGGAAGACGGAACTAGCTCGCGAGTTCGCCTGGCGTTACAGGGAGTCTTTCGATGCCGTATTCTGGGTCGTTGCAGATGAGATTGCAAAGCTTGACAATCATTTCCAGCAAATCTCGCTGGCTTTGGGGCTTGAAAACTCGTCTGAGTGCAAGAGCCAGGTGGTAAGCAGAGAAGTTGTGAAAGAATGGCTCTCTAATCCTCGAGAGGATATCTCAGCACCAGACGAGTTTGTGCAGCCTGGTCAAACTGGACCAGAGGCGACATGGCTACTCATATTCGACAACGCAGATGATCCAATGATTCTGGCCGACTACTGGCCTCAAGGTAGCGGATCCATCCTGATCACCAGCCGTGACCCAATGGCGAAGAGCATGTTTACGAGAAGACCTCTGGGTCTGAATCTCGCTCCTCTGTCAAAACAAGACAGCATAACCCTCTTCAACCACCTGACCAGCGTTTCCAATGAGCCAGAAGGCGACGCCGCACGAAAAATTACCGATGTACTTGGTGGAGTTTCTTTGGCCATCTCTCAGATGGCCGGCATCATTCGTCGGCAGGAACTTACCCTATCCGAATTCTTAGAGCTGTATGCAAACCATGAAGAACATACCAGCCTTTATGAGACAAAATTCGATACCAATTTGATCACATATCGCCACTCTCTCTCCACTGTTTGGGCATTTGAGAAACTGAAACCTCCAGCTAGACAATTGTTGGAGTTGGTTTCATTTCTCGATCCAGACCTCATTGGAGAAGACCTATTGATGGCGGCATCCATTGAGCTGTTTTCAGATGGCATGCAGTTCAAGAAGAGCAATTACATAGAGGCTCGATCAGAACTCTTACATTCATCTCTACTCTACCGAGATGAGCAGATGCAGCAGATATCGGTCCATCGCCTTGTCCAAGATGCAATTTTAACAACAATGGACAATGAAAAGAAAGAATTAATGTTCGGACAAGTCGCACAAATTCTTTGGGGCGATTGGCCATCAGCCATGCCCAAGCCATCAAAGGACCCTGAGCTGCCCAAGCCCAAATCAACTGGTGGTAGATTGCATGTTGCGAGATGGCCTGTGTGTGCATCGATTTACCCTCACGTTCTAAGGATGCATCAACTTTGGTCAAGTATTCCAGATCTTGCTGAGGCCACCAATCTACTTTTTGCGAAACTACTAAGTGAAGCTGCATGGTTCGTAAAATTCTCTTATGTTGACTTCCCTCTTTCTCTTACTCCGCAGTCTAACAATAACATCACCAGGTATCAAAAAGAGCGTGGACGGACGAAACATTTCGACGGCTTCTTCGACACAGCGCTCAGTATCTGCGAGTCATCAACACACGCAGATCAGCAAGCCCTACTTGCGGATATCCATTTTTGCTTGGGGGCCATTGCCATGGATGCGAGCGACTTCGACGCAAGTCGCGATCATAAGGAGCATTCCCTTGATCTAGTGTCCAAGATTTGCAAAGAGCTAGGAACTGAAGATGAGCGACTCTACCTCGCCTATGCAGAGCTAGGCATTTCACGTATCCAGGATAAACGGTATGAAGAAGGCGAAGCTCATCTCAAGGAGGCGCTACGCATACGCAAAGCGCTCGGCAACTACATTCCTCGATCAGGCGATGCTAATCTCGGCTGGTCCCTCCTCGCGCAAGGCAAGCTTGAAGAGTGTAACACCCTTCTTCTAGATAGCCTGGCGGGTAGAGAAAAGGCCTTGGGCAAAGATGACAGGGAATCTGTGCGAACTGGGCTGATTCTTTACGCACTTGGTAACCTCCGTGCTGCGCAATATGAATGGGACGAGAGCTTCCAATACCACCAGAGAGCAATGTGCCACATGCTTGCTACAGTAGGAGAAAAAGACTTTTACACAGCAAATATCTCCCACAAGGTCGCCGAGCACTTCATTCGCTTGCATCGAAACGAAGAAGCCATGTAAGTATATTCCCCTTGCGCCCTCAAAACAGAGTACCAAGGCTTTTGTTTTCTAACGCCTACTAGAGCAATGATCAACGGAGCGCTGGATATTTGGTCAGTTGATCCTGCTGCTCATAAGAACGAAATTGCGCGCACGACCTTTCTCAAGGGCAAATTGTTTGAAGCAACAAGCAAGGCGCAAAAGGCTTCCATCGCTCTTCGGGTTGCATGTCGCTTGAGGAAAGAGATTACCAAGGAAGACCAAGATTCGAAGAGCTTGACAATGAAGGATTTTGACGAGATTGTTGCGTTTTGGGCTCGCTGATAGCACGCATGGAAAGCATAATGTACTTGGCGATTCTTGTATCACTAGTTAGTGATTCGGATCAGCCGCTTTTTATTTGATTTGAGCTAAATTATCATGATCTCACGGTACTGCGCTCCTTCTAACCAGTCAATCCCATACCTTGATTCAAGCTGCTCAGTTAACTGAACAATACCGACGCGCTTATAAACATTCAACTCTCCTCTCCGCTGACGCGTCTTCGACAAGACAAGACATACCCTTGGGAAGAGTGCAAAGAGATAGAGTTTTCTTGGCTTGCCACCAATTCGACCTTTGAGAATGTAATCTGCTGAAAACGGTAACCTTACGGACGGTACTTTGCATGAAGAAGCTGGGGAAAGCTCTATCTCAAGTTCAAATGTGGCCATGTCCGTAGGTGGCAGGAAGTATTGTTCGACCAGGTGAGCCGGGCGCAGAAGACCCAAAACGACCAAAACGGCAGAGGAAATCTCGCCATAGTAGTTCTTCCCCTTAGCCGTAGCCTGAACAGATCGAATAATTGGCCGTCTGTACGATGACTCGCGCCGGTGACGGTCGGTATTACGGACGAAACTCTGTCTAGATAAAAGCCAAATGTCCTCCATGTTGGAATATCGAACCCCTATATTCACAGATACCCAGGACCAGGAAGGGCCTATATATTCCTGAGAGCGATAATCTGAGGTTCTGTCAGCTCTCCAGGCCAGATCAAGAAATAGGGATGACCTCCATAGCCCTGCATAATAAGCGCCGAGGAAAGGAGCCATGCGATGTGCAAGGCCTGATAGCGCTGGGAGGCGATCAGTCCGTTTCGTCAAATTCAGCTTAGAGTAGTGCTCAACAATGTCATGCCACTGTTTGACGGGCACAAATGCTTCTTTCACTTTTGAATTGTGAGTCTGTAAGGCAATCTCCCTTGATGTTTCGAGTCTCCGTTCTCGAGCCTTAAATTGATCATCGATCTCGTCAAAATCAGCATCGAGTCTTCCAGCCGATTGTTGCTCATTCACACGTGCTATCACCGACTGTACAGCCTCCTCTCTGCTTGATCTTCCACTTTCATTTCCGGCTTGTAAATTGCTAACTTTCAGTTCTGTTGCAAGCGCGAATAATGACTTCAAAGTCAGATTGTTCGATAACCCGCCGCATTCGCAAATTGTATGTTCACAACATTCCCAAATCATCTCTTGTAGGCAAAAGTGAAGGACTCTTGGCGACAGCACTCGTTCCTGAAATACCCAGGCTCTGGAGAGCAGCGGGTTATCCTGCGTTGGTATCGCTGTTGGATTGGTGGCCCAATGCGAAAGCTTACGGCGAACTTTTAGCCTGCAGGTGTCTTGAGTCAAGTTTGTAAAGTCCAATGAGTGCTCGACATATTCAGCTGGCTGATTTGAGAAACACCCAGTTGAGTTGCAATCGGACCAAGTTGCAGCCAGTGTGAGCCACGAAAGATGGTAAATGTCAGCCATTTTTGCGGATTGTATCTCCCAATCTCTCGGATCGTCTTGAACGATGCAAAGCGCGTCAATCCAGAGGTAGGATATATCGAGCTCCAAACAGAATCGAACAGCATCCTGGAACATCTTAGGAAGCTCGTTCCACGATATTCCCTTTTTTCTATCGCTTAAGTTCGCGATCGTGGTGATAAAGTTGTGATTCAAGCCCCAACGGTGACTGAGAGTAGCGTATTTGCCCAGTTTTCTCTTTTGTTCGCTGACGCAGATCGTGATCTTGCCGTCAAGAGAAGCTTTGAATGAGAGAACCCTGTCTGGTAATGGAGTAGGCTCCAAAGAATGACAGATGTGATCATTGCTACACTGGTCCATTTTTGTTTTCACCCATTCTATTGCTCGTTTGGATAGGGGGTGGCCACTGGGGGTCGGTCTTGGCCAAATTGCTTTCCTCATCATCGGATCTGGGCCTGTGTTGTTGATGAGCATAAGGCGTCATTACATACTTGAAGTTGTTCTTACAAGCTACATCGCTGAAAAACTCCAACACGAGCCTCGGCTTTTCCTTGAGGAATGAGATCTCTAGGAAGAGTGTATCTCCGGAGAAGGCATAAGCATTGATGGTAGAGGTATCTGTCATCACCGACCAAGTCTCATCTTGCATTAGAACGACTCCCTGTAATATAATGGAACAGAACCGGCATTTTTTGACAAGCGCTGCATGCTCTAACTCGTTTGAAGTGAATTCGATGGCAAGCCTCATCCCCGATCTCTTCTGTTTGAGATCATTGCAAACTTCACAGTTCGACATTTCACAATCAGGGCCCTAAAAGAGGAAAAGAACAGCAATTACAATAAACAGCGAGAGTTGCTATGATTAAACGCTGCGCTCGAATGTCTATTTCGTTGAGCTTGGCTTGAGCCATATTTTTCAGTCCTCTGATCAGGCTTCTGCCTGGATTGTATGCCTTGCCTGTAATCACGTGAGCACCTTTGTGTGGTTTGATCTTGCCTGATAGATTCGGATGGGCTCATTCCTACTGGGCGGGAACCGTACAGAGTACATGTTCTTTTAGGAGTCGAGCCACCTAACTTTACAAAACACACGAGGCTTGGGGGAAGCTTGAGAAGTGATAAGTCTGAACGCCATAAAAAAGACTATAAAGAGAATAATGAATCGGAGGAATCTCAACAACGCTCGGGGGATTCCGTCAATGACTAAAGGTGTTTTCATCGGCAAAATGATTTTTGAGGGTTGGATACGGTCATCTTTAAATGCTTTGCGCAGGGATATGACACCAGTAGCAAAAGCTTACAAGAGAGTGGGAAGAGAAAAAAGGCAGATTTATTGTATTTATAGCTTTAGAAGAGGCAAATTGCAAGGCACTTCAACGCTATAACCAAGTCAGCAGAGTCATGACAACCAGATTAACCCTTCTGCCGAACAGGAATTGCTGCCTTGTGGCTTGGCGGGAACCCTGTGTCAGTGCATCGCAAGAGGTCTGTGTCAAACTCACAAGGGTTGAGATCTCAAGTGCTTTGCCTCAGAGCACGGGCCGCAATCCTTCTACGACGTACTACACGCTGTCAGTGTGAGATGACGACAGTTTACCTGTGAAGGAGCTGACACAGACCTCAGACCGGATGCCTGGATGCGAGGTAATCGTTGTTACCGCCAGGCCCTTGCTAATTTACCATGTCAGATCAGTGAAGGCATCTGGATTGCTCACAACAGAGTGCGGAGAACCCAGTCGTGAGATGGTATTGGATGTTGCTTAAAACGAGTAGCGGACACGACCGCAGCCTGTCCAGCGGCAGAGCCGGCGGGAATGCGCGCCACGACAGCTTCGCAGAGGATTACACGATTGCTTATTGGGCAATATCAGTGTAGTATGCGTAATGTCAATCTTGAAGTGAATTAAATTTTGTTCCTACATTCTTCTTTCGCAAACCGTCTAACCGCTGGCAACTCCCTCCCGACAATATTCTTGATAGGCCGCTGAATTGGTCTGGATCCATGAGATATATCGCCGTCAACAAGGCGTACTGCCATGTTGCTACCCTAAACGAACTCGCGGTTCTTGGAGAAGCGAAGTGGCACGGCCGAGCTATTCGAGTAGATGGGATTGAGCTAGGAATAACTTCTACTCAAATAGCATTCACCTCAGTTTATTCAATTACCTAATAAATAACCACGAAGCTCTAGTTTCAATATCTTTACGGCCAGAAGGTCGGGCAGAGTCACCCATTAACAATCTATGTATTAGGTTTTCGCCTATGAATACTTAGTTTCTAAACTGTTCTGCACTTTGAAGTCTAGATTAATCAATAACGTTGTCAACCAAATACTTCATGGTTCCAAATAATAATATGACTATCCATCAGCTGTCTCTAGGTTCTGGTCCAGCCCCATCTAAAGGGTTGTTTCATCTAGGCGTTGAGGTACCTAAATTTCCGTCGGGTTGCGCTTTAGGGACTATTGCGCTCGGAGTTACGGGCTGCAAAGAGTATATTATTTGCCAATTGTAAGAGAGGGCATGAGATAGTACCCAGTATAACAAGCCGAATCTCCCGACTCGAATGCCGGGATCATTTGGATTATCATCGTAAATCATTAGCAAAGCTAGGTTGAACTGCCCAAGATGACTGCTTCTTCTCAAAATGGGCCATGTCTGCATGGGAGCTGCTATTCAAGGCTTGGCGTTATCAAGCGTGGAAGCCAACGGGCCGTTAAAGGCCACAAGGGTTGGTATGCAGGGAAGCGGAGGATCAAAACCCAGGGATCGCAAAGCCAATGCGCGTACCAAGTTGCAGCATGAGCACCTATTGCACCGACTGGTCTCGAGTATTATACGCACATAATCCTGACGCCTGTGCCCATATTTCTCGCATTCCCCGTTTTTCTATCCCACGCCTTGCAGGGATAAACCCCAGCACTTAGTCGCGAGCTCTTCGTGCTGAGTACATGTCAGACTCTAAACATACACCTAACTCACGGTATGTCAGTAATGGTCGGTATTGCCACTGGCACTAGGTAGTTGTAGCCAGGTACAAAGTGCAAGACGCCCGTCTGGGTGTACATTTTCAGTTTAAGCGAAGCAGCTTAAAAAGCGCTGAGTCCGTATCTCAGCACTAAATAACTATCAAGGTGCTCTCTATCATGTGATGTTCAGTTCAATACGGGAATGTAACATTAGCTGATCCCAAAGGTGCTGTACAAGGGCCAGGAGCCTTGTATTTTTCATGTTGATTACGACGCAAAGATGCAACATTATATGCTCCATGTATAGAAGTCAATGCCACCATGGTGGACTATACAGACTGAAAGCAAAACTTCCGTGCTGATCCACAAGCTGATCCTGGCTGGTTAATTTAGCGAGGTAGGCGGATGGATAGATCTTTGGACAAGGCCCATGGGTTGACACACTTAGACTGATGATTTTACATATCGGATTCCTAATAAACGTCTCTCTGACTCTTCTTTCCACTTTCTTTTAGTTTTTTGCTCAATTAAAAAGGTCTCTTTGGCTTGTTTCGAATGCTGGTCTAATCGTGTAAATTTCGTAGTCTGCCTCATACTCAGACCTATTGGGGATTGTCTTTAAGTGCTATATTTTACAAATTTGCAAACTAGACGAATCTATGTATATAATGAGCGGGCTCAAAATATCGGCGCAAAAGGTAGCTGATATCCTGGCACATGTGGCTCAGGGATTGATCACCATCCTCTTTCGGTCAACATCCGGGTTACACTGATGATCAGGCACAACCTAGGAAATATTGTGACATCATTCGCAAATTCATGCATCCAATATTCCAGCGCCACGTGCGTGGGGAGCTTTAAAGATCTTCTTGCAATGGGCAAGGAATTGAAAGGAATAGAGATGGTTAAGACCTCTCGACACCTTCACTTGGAGCCTCATTTCTAAAGCGGCGCTTAACGCAATTATACGTGTACTTCTACTCTTAAATATCTGTATCTGTATAAAGGTTTATGATCTCGAACGATGGTTATAAGATTCTATAATTAATGAGCGTGTAATATAATGCATCATAGAAGTTCTCCTAGCCAGCGCCCTTAGTTTGAGGCTATAGCTTGACCGCCATCTTATGTACATGTATTGACTTCTCATATGAGCGCATTGGAGTGATTCGAACTTGATTGTACGTAGGTATTTAGCAGATGTGGTCAACAGACCTGCTTGGGTATCGGTATGTACGTATTAAATAATAATTGAAGATATATACATTGGCATCATTTGTGTGCCATTATTTTGCTTCGATTTCATGTTGGACATAAATCACGCCCCGCGTGTCTGTCATAGCTTTGACTGCCGTCCCAGATTCGATCTTCGTAGTTACGGATGCGAGCTCCATTCCGTTCATCTGGTTAAACCCGTTATCGAAACCATCTTCAATCTGGCTGTAATGCTTTTTGCTGTGAAGGCCAGTCTTACTATCAACTTTGGATGCGTTTCCACTCTGGCTGCGCGTAGCTCGATCGGATGGGCTCGTTAATTTGGTGAGAACCGGCTTGACGTAGCTTTTGAGAAGCGGTCCAAGGGTAGGAATACAAGCAGCAATTACTCCGAGCCATAGTTCGAGAAGACTGATCAGTCCAATGTCGTAGAGATTGAAGACAAAGTCGGTGTCGTGGAGAGTTGCAATGGTGAATTGTAGTCGCCACGCCATAACACCAATCGTGCTAGTAAAGTTAGCCACTGACACTTGTACTCAAATGCCAACATTTTCTCAATGATCCTTTTTCAAAAGAATTTGAGAGAAATGAAGAGTAAACCAGGGGAAATGCTCACATGAGACCGATGCTAAACATGACAGAGACCACCAATTTCGATCGCGTCGCCAGCTGAAGTTTCCATAGGACCGGTAGAGGTAGAAATACGATTATAATGTCGATAACCATATTTAGCGACACCGAGGTCAGCTCTTGGATAACGAGATCTCGGCATGATCCTCCCGGATGCGGGTTCCATTGCTGATCGATCGGTTTACACTGAGTCATGAAGAGGACGAAAAAGGCGATGCCGTAGCAGCCAACAACCCCCATCATGATATGCGCCTGCCGCTTGAACTCTTTTGTGCTAAAGACTCTCGTATACAACCAGAGAACCGAGAATTTGATGAAGACCGTTCCGAGAAGCCATGTTACTCCACTCGCGAGGATAAGCTGGTCGGCGCCCTTTAGTTTGTGATACAAAGCGCGGCGATAAAGTGTTCGTAGAAGCGTACCTTGAACTGAACTCCGAACTCGTATGGATTAAGTTCGCCCGTGTGCTTGCCTAGCCCATTGAAGATGGCCCAAATGACTACTCCTTCCAATGCAATGGTGTTGGCCTGATGGTTGGACACAAAAGATTGACATTAGCATTGCAGAACGATTGCTGATATATTCACACCCGTAGACTTTCAATCGAGCGTAGAGATGTCCCGAAAAAGATGTTACTTACAAGAGCAAACACAATCATGGCATCGTCAGGAAATATTCTGCGCCTAGAAATCGTCGCCGCCCAGAAGCGCAGCGATATGATGATTATGCACACCACCGTGAACACGCACAGCCATATCAAGAGGTCAATCCCTCTCTTGCCAGCAGACATTTTCGCAGCTGGCTTCGCGTGGCGCGGTGGATGCGATGAGGTGGACTTGTTGGTTGGTTTTGAGGGGTCAAAGAAGCGTTGGCCGGGTTCATTCCTCGTGGCCCAACACCATCGCATATATGTAGTATCCTGACTGCAGGACTGCAGGACAAAGAACCATGCTCCGCATATCTGCAAACGGCGCACGAGCGCCTGGGGCGATGCTACCACAGATGCCTATCAGTGCTGGCATTCAGGTCAGTATAGGTCTCAAGGGTCATGGATGGTGTGGAGAGGGAGGGGTGGCAGTCCCGTTGCGCCATGGCTATGCAGCTACTGTATGCACATACCTCTCAGACTCCGTGGTGGTGTGGCACGGGCATGAGGTTGTCTCTTGAAAGCTGCCCGTTATAGAACCAACACGCTCCAGTGCTGTACTCTTTATCCGTGTACCACCTCGCAGTACTCGTAGCGCGCCTACTTTGCAACGGTATGCGGCAAGTATCCCTAGTCAGACGGGTGATGGACAGATACCCTGTCGCCGTCTGATTCTCCACGCAAGACAAGAGCAGGCATCCTAGAACGGAAAGTCCGTGTGCTATCAGCTCTGGGTGATTGGCGTAGACGCAAAATGCCGTCTCTTCACGCACTGATCCTTCCTGCAAGTAGCAGTAGGAACACTTTGTCCTGCTAGTGGCAGCTTACACGGCAGAGAGCCATCTCCACCTGGCGTGTAGACGACGCAAATACTTAAGAGCCCATCCTGGACGGGACCGACTCTCCCCTGGTTTCTGGTAGACTGGGAAAAGGAAAAAGCCACGAGCTCTTGCTAGCAGCTCGTAAGCCGGACATCATATCAGCCCTTTGCAAGCATTGATCCGAACTTGCCACGAGGCCCACAGGGTATAATCGACATCACTTCGTTCACCATGCAGCCCCCATTGCCCTCTGCGACGCCGACTTGGCGCAACGATACGTATGCCGCTATTTCGCCCTCGAAGCCTGAGCTCAGCGCTTCCGGCAAGACCGTTGTCATCACCGGCGCAGTAAGTCAAGTCTGAGCTCTCTGTTTCACTTGCGTTGTGTTCCGTGGCCAAACCCCAGCCACCACTTCCCTCCCTCCAGCACCTTTTGCCAGGCATTCAGCGGCCATATGACGATCCTCCCCCACTTCGCTACACGCATGTCAGCCACGGCCCCGTATTTGGTGCTAGAATGGTGCAATTGCTGGGGGCGAAATCCTTCCACCCTTGCAACTAGCTCTGTGTATGCTAAGCTTTTGCGTCTGAAAGGGAACCGGTATTGGACGAGAAACCGCCGTGGCATTTGCAGCTGCCGGAGCTGCGCACGTTGCTCTGCTCGGACGAAACAGCGACTCGCTGAAGCAGACAGCCTCTGCGCTGCCCTCTTCCGTTACGACTTCGTCCCATGTGGTCGATGTCACACAGGAGGATGCTTTGGCTCAGGTGGCCAAGGCAATTGGCAAATGGGACGTGCTTGTCCTAGGCGCCGGCTACGTATCTTCGCCGTCTACTATCGCTGCCTCCGACTTTAAAGAGTTTTGGCAGAGTTTTGAGGTAATACTGCTATTCTCGTTTTAGCAACAGGACGATGGTATACTAACTGCTTCCTTTTTCTTCTTCCCTCTTAATTAGACTAACACAAAGGGAACGTATGCATCGCTTCATGCCTTCTTGCCCACGGCCAACGCTGCCCATGCGTCGGTTGTGGCGCTGACCACGGGCACCACCGCCCTCCCAGCTTCCATGGTGCCGGGCCTATCCGCTTACATGTCTTCGAAACTCGCACAGACGAAGCTTATCGAGTTCTTGGCTCTCGAACACCCTAATCTATTTGCCGCGACCCTGCATCCGGGAATGGTCGAGACTGGAATCTTTACCAAGAGCGGTGCCTCGGCAGACAGCCTGCCGATGGACAAAGGTGCGTGACAAATTTCCCGTGCTTTTTTTTTTCTTTCTTTTCGTTTCACGGGAGTTTCGAGACATAGAATCTAGAACACGGATCTAACGCAATGATGCTGGCAGTCCAACTTCCGGCCCATTTTACTGTCTGGTTGACAAGCCCTGAAGCATCCTTCCTAAATGGTCGTTCGGTCTGGGCGAACTGGGATGTAGATGAGCTCAAGGCAAAGAAAGACGCTATCCAACAGAGCCAGCTCTTTACTGCTGGCATCAACGGCTGGCCATTCGCTCCATAAAGGGTTTTATATAGGCATGCAATAGCAATAGTTTAAATTGAAGCTCAAACTTTAACTGTAGCCCACACAGTCGTGATTTACTGCACAAGCTAGTATGGGAATAGTTGAATTGACTGCAAGGCTCAGTGGTATCTTCTCATAACTAAACTGTATACTAGTGAAATTGGGTAAAGCCCCTTGCTACTATGTAGTACCAGTTCTTATCTCAAATTGTAATTTCAAGATGCCTGGGTTTGATGTAAATTGATCTCTCACCGTTTCCAGGGCGCTCAGGCTATCATCCCCTGGTGCAGGTCGGAATCGATAGTTCTTCAAGATCCTTGCCAACACGAACTTCATGGTATCCAAAGCCAGGGTTTTCCCAAGGCAACTGTGGTGGCCGGTGCCAAACGGTGCATAGGCCGCCGGGTTAAGAACCATTTCGGGACGAGTGGTCCAACGCTCAGGGATAAACTCCGAGGCCTGCTCAAAACAGTCCTCAACTGGTAACTCGTCTGTTAGTGCAGGTTCTTCCAGATTTGCTCTGTTGAGCAATTTAAAATAAAAAAAGAGCAGGAAAGAAAATTAAGAGAATGAATAGGACTTACGTCTTCCAATTGTGTATCGGGGAGCAACAATGGTAGTGTGAGGGGGGATAAACCTTCCACCGATGGTAAGGCCAGTGTCAGACGTCTTTCGATTGCCGCCTGTTAGAAGTGCGGGGTGCAAACGAAGTGACTCCTTTATAACGGCGTTGAGATGCGGAAGATTGACGAGAGTCTTGAGATCCAAAGCATCTACATCCTTGAGTTCTTCGTAGATCTGATCTGTGTGCTCTGGGTGCTTGCCGAGCTCACAGAGTACAGCAATTAGAGCAACTGCCGTTGGTTCGCTAGATCATTTCATGTTATTAAGGCTTCTTATTAGACTTATGCACCTTGGGTATCTCACCTTCCAGCCACAATAGCTAGTAAGCTATCTCCTGCTGCCCAAAGAAACTTGTCGCTTTCAAAAGCATCTCGGTCTTCGGCGTCTTTCTCCATCAGGTAGTACGCCAGATCTTGCGACTGGTTAGAACTACCATTTGTGAGTCTGTCCCTCATTTGCGACTGGCACCATGCAATGATATCAAACCAGTCTTTCAGGACACTGACCCGCGGGGCAAGATCGAAAGCGATATGTACGAGCCATGGCAATGGAGTCATTGGGCCCAGCAGAGACAGAGCGCGCTGTAAACGGACAATGATGTGGTGCCATTTCTGGGTCTCCAGCATGCCAAAGGATTTGCTGAAAACAAACTCGCCCATGATGTCAAAGCCAAACCAGAGAAGTAGGTTTCGCATGTCTGTGATTTTCCCCGACTTGGCATCTGCCTCGATGCACTGGTCAAGTTTATCGACATACTTGAGGATTTTGGCTTCATGCTCCAAAAGTGCTACAAATTTTTTTTTAGTATAAATAACGGAATAGAAGCAAGGCGCTGAGGACACCAACCCTTTGTTGTAAAGCCGCTGTTCCATTCGCGGCGACGTGCTGCATGGAGTGGTTTATACCGCGTTGTGACAAGTGACATGCTCGGGTGTATAATGTCATACCATTCCGCCTTGGCACACTCAGAGCGTGGCCCATCAACTGCCATGAAGACCTCTGGATGGAAAACCGTGATCTCGGCTGGACCTAGATAGCGGGCAGTTCAGCAACTCACTCTATACGCTTCATCTTGTTCGGCCATTCATACCTGTCCTCACAAATGCTCCATACTTTTTGTGCAGCTCGTCCAGCACAAGATGATTTTTCGAGTTTCTGGCTGCCCAAACATGCCATATTTTAGTAACTTTTGCATACCAAGGCCCCGGATAACCAGCTCTGGTCAATGGATGTAGAATCGTTCGATACACTAGAATGCTGGCCACAAGGCCAGCCAAGTACCCATAGGCCCAGGTTGCGAGTCCGTGAAAAATCTCTCCTGCCAGGGAGTCTTGCAAATTGTTTGCTAATATAGGGAATGCGATATATAGAGCACAGAATTGAAGGAATATGTGAGGGGCTTGGAGGTGCCATTCACTCTTGATGAAGATGGTGACGTGAATAATGATGCCCGATAAAACGCCCACGGCAACGAGAAGAGCTTCTCTGTGGGCGCGACAAAGTTCAAGTGCTTCCATTGTGGATTGACAGTCACTCAATTATCATGATTATCGAAGGTCTATGGACAAATGCAAAGGGTACGAAAAGGTAGGTGTATTTTATGACCCAAGATTTGCTCGATACCTAGGTACTGGGTGTCGGCATAGCCCGAATCCTCAAAGGAGGTGTGTGTAAGTAGTGCATGTATTACCAGGTACCTAGTACTACTGCCTTTCTTTATCTGTACGGAGAATATTCACCCTACAGACTAACCGACCTTCTATCTACGGCAATCCGGTAGGCTAATACTTTAGCTTGGATTTACCCTTTAGACTGGAATAAGGTCTGTACCAAAAGTCAAGTCAGTAAAGTACTAAATGACTTTGACAGCGTGCCTGATACTATACACGGCCCGTAGCCGCGGCGCTCTGTGTTCTCCACACGGCCAAGAATTAGCACAAAGCGGCTAATTGTCTTTCTTTCTGTGATCAGCTGACTAAAGCTAAGCGAGAAGCTACTGCAGTGAGTGTACGTTGTTGCTAATTCTAGGCCTCTTCAAGCTCAGTTGCTTTCAGTAGAGAAAGCCATGACGGATAAACTACAGGTGAGATAAGCAGTTTGGCAATTGACAACCAACGCGATCTTGAGTTGTATTAGCCTGCTTAGGTACATACTTTAGAAAACTCGGCCAGTATTAGCCAACTTCACAGCCTTGCTTCGCCAACCCACAAATCTGCCGACGCCGCTCTGACACTTTTAGTTTTTTGTTTACTCATAACTTAGTGAGCTTGTTGGCCCTTCTGTCGGTCCAACTGGTGGATCCTGCCGATATGAGGAGTCGCTAGACAGCTGCGTGTTGGTAATGCGCGTAGCCACAGAGTCGCAGCGCTTGTCCTTGTGGTGTGACAGGAAATGACACGGCATATGGTAGGCTGACAGCATGAAGATGGTGCTAAAAAGTGCCGGCGGAAGTTTAGGAATCCGACTTGTAGATCTTTGTGATATTGGCCCGTCTCATAAACACCAAATACTAAAAGTAGAATGCTGCGGAGTCCAGCATCTTGAGAACTGCCAAGTTGAGCCACGCTTTGTGAATGATCTACGGGGCACGGTCAGAGCGTCTCTCGATGTGGCTAGTATCTGAAGCCTTGCAAGGTTCATCCAGACTCCGCAGATAGTTGTACATGGATGGATCCATGCAGACGCTATGGCCAAATCCCACGCAACATGACAGAATATCGGTACACCAGACGCACGGCCAATCATAGACGCAACCCACGCCTCGTTGACGCAATTTGGAACTGGGAACATGCCGCTGGCCTTGCGAGATGCGTCTCCCCTGTCGGTCGTACATACTCGCCAGCATGTAACCGTACACCTTTGTCGATCAGACCAAGTTGCATGCAGCTATATCATTTCACTTTACAAATGCGTCGATAGTTTATAAGCGTTGGTCACACTTAAAGGTGAGAGCGAGGGCTGTGTTGGTGCAGCCACTACCAGGATCATACAGCCTGCAGGATCATGCAACCCCTTCTCCGGTGGCGGAGGTAAGCTATCTGCGATGCGAGCTGCGAATAGATCAGACGACGGAGCAAGGCCGAGCTTTTTCTCCTCGCAGAGACATCACCGCAGTTACTCCACCAACATCCGCTCGTGTTGGAGGTAAAGAGCAACCCGTTAGCTCCATGAAGGCCGCAGCTCGAAATAGATATCTGTAGAAGCTGTTGCTATCTCTGCAAACTCTCTGGCCGACCGAAACGAGGCACTTTCTGAATCATTCTAGACAAACACCTACTCACCCATCCCAATCAAAATGTCCAGCTACGACTACATCATCGTTGGTGGCGGAACTGCAGGCCTAGTGCTCGCAGCACGTCTCACTGAAGACTCTTCAAAGCGGGTCCTTGTCCTTGAGGCAGGCGAGGATCTTACCGCGGATGCACGTCTGTCGGTTCCCGCCATGTGGCCGACGCTGCTGAATACCGACGCAGACTGGAAGTTCAAGACTGTCCCTCAGGTAAGAGATGGATGAGCAGCCACCGGCAACTAGGGATTTGCTGCTGACCGAGACCACATCAGGCTGGCTTCAACAACCGTGAGATTGCCTTCCCTCAGGGCCGGCTCCTTGGTGGTTCAAGCGCTCTCAACGGCCTTTCGTTTACACTCTCCACCAAGGCCAATGTGGACGCCTGGGCCAAGCTTGGGAACCCCGGCTGGGACTGGGCCAGCTTTTCCAAGTCACAGGCTAAATCATACACCTTGACCTCCGGGCCGGCTGCAGGTACAAGTGGCTCTGGACCACTCCAGCTGAGCTTCCCAAAGGATACCGACAATCAGTGGCCCAAGATCTGGCAGCAGACCATAGCCGCCCTGGGATTCAGCAAGGACGGCAACCCCTACACCGATCAGGTCTGTGGGCCAATATTTGTGGCCGACGCCATTCACCCGGCCACAAAGACAAGGAGCTACGCTGGAAATGCGTATCTTGAGCCTGCTCGTGACCGAAAGAACCTTACCATTGTGACAAAAGCGGCCGTTGACAAGATTATATTCACCAAAAACGGCGATGCTGTCACAGCCGAGGGCGTCAAGTATACCAAGGATGGTGCAGATCTTACTGCTACCGGCACGGAGATTATCCTTACAGCGGGAACAATCAACACTCCCAAGATTCTTGAACTGTCAGGGGTTGGGGATGCACGCCTCTTGACGAAACTGGGCATTGACGTTGTCATTGACAATCCCAACGTTGGAGAGAACTTGCAGAACCACCCGTTATGCGGTCTTAGTTTCCAGGCCCTCGATAGTGAGGAGACAATGGACGGCCTTGCACGCCAAGATCCGACGGCTCTTCAAGCTGCCATGGCCGCTTATGGGCAGCAACTCGGACCGTTTGCAAGAAGCGGCACCAACGCCGCAGCTCAACTCCCGTTCCCGGGTATTCAGTCCGCCAAAGGCAAGGCTGAAGTTGAGAAGCTCATTGCAGAGTACATTGCCCCTGGCAGCCGCGGAGACACTCCCTTCGCGGAAGCCCAAGCCGACTTTGTGCGCTCGGTTCTCACTTCCACCGAGGAGCCTTCTGGCTACTTCATGTCGTTCCCTGGCTATGCGTCGTTCAACCACGATGGGACAATGGCACCTCCTCCACCGGGCACCGAGAAGTATTTCTCCATTGCCTTAATGCTGACGCACCCACTTTCACGCGGATCCGTCCATATCAAGTCTGCTTCGCCGACATCGACTGAGCTAGACATTGATCCTCGGTACTTTTCTCATCCGTTGGACATCGAGGTTCTTGCACGGCATCTCCGTTTCATTGAGTCCATCGCCAAAGCCGAGCCGTTGGTCAGCCACCTCCAAGTTGGTGGGAAGCGAAATACGGCTGCTGAATCCGCCGGAAACTTTCTGGCCGCGGAGACCGGCCTCGAACAAGCGAAGGATTACCTGCGTCAAACGGCAGTGGGCGCGCACCACTTTACTGGAACCTGCTCCATGATGGCTAAAGAGCTTGGGGGCGTGGTGGATTCCAAGCTCCGACTCTATGGATGTCCCAACCTGCGCATTGCCGACGCCAGCATCATCCCGCTGACGCCAAAGGCGAATCCTCAAGCGACTGTGTATGGTGTGGCCGAGCATGCGGCAAGCATCATCAAGGGCGAGGTCTAGAGCGCTGGTGCTAGCAATGAGTGTGTGCCTTGGGCTAAACAAGAAGAGCCGGTAGATCCGGCAAATAACAGATGATCTGAATAAAACACAAATTCCGTATGATAGGTCGTACCTACTACTGCTTCACATGTCACATATTAGTTTGAGTTCTGCTTGCCGTTTTGATCAGAGAGTGCATCATTCGTAACCCACTGCTACAGGCGCGCGAGCCGCATAGAGAAGCTTCCCTGGAGTAATCCATGAAACACCCCCGGAGCACCCTTGTCAATAGTAAACAGTAGTACCGAGCACCAGGATATGGTACCAGATAAGAATGCCTTTGCACAGGGCTCCGCTCTAAACGCCGCCAGTCACACCAGCCTGGGCAAGGGACGGCACGGTACTCTCCCGACAATTGCTAGTGGTGTTAGCCCAAGCACAAGTGTGTGTGTGCTAGTGGCAGCTTACTTCGGACGGAGGATCATCTGTCATGATGCTGGATGAGCACCTAGTGCCGGTATCGTGGGTCGTATAGTGTATCTTGCCAAAATAGAGCGGTACATGGAACAGTACCGTTGACCTGTTTGGTAGATAGTTCGCAACGCAAACTATATCAAAATTGACAAAGTGCCTGGCGAGATTTGCACAATGCTGTCACTTTTGCCTAATTCAGTATAGAAAGGAATAAGCTCCAGAGGCGTGGGTAGCGGTTATACCTATGCGCTTTGTCTTTTGTAACATTGTGAAGTTGACGAGAGGGTGTGAAGGTAGTGGACGAGAGCCAAACCACTCCACAACGTGTTCCCTCGCCGCAAAAAGAACAGACGAAAATTGGACGAGAATATGATTAGATGTGGTGTAAAATGCTACCGAGAATAGAAGTCTGTGGTGTAAGCATTTTGAGTGACATAGCCGAGGAAGGGGGCGAGGCCGTCCTGTGGCATATTCAAAATATGCCTTGCTCCATGGTACGAGTATATACTCGGAGATCTATCTCTCCCGGTATGCCATTAATATTCCTTTACTCTCCTAGTGCCCCAAGAATTAGCAGATGAGGTTGTCAAAGGCCTTTCAAGATTTGTCCAGTTTGACCAAGTCATCAAAAACACTGCTCTTCATCATCAGCTCCTTCACAATGGAAAAAGTTCAGGATATCGTGTATCCCAATGGGAGACGCCAGCTTACCGCTTTTTCTGCAATCTTTTACATCCCGTACCTCATCTGGGAGTTTACAGAAAGTAACTTTCCAACATTCGTCATCCCAAACACGACGTTTGGCATGTTGGGCGCTTTGGCGGCCTCTCACCTTGCTGATGGACAAGCCCCTTCCCTCTGGCAACTAGTCCAAGCTTTCCCCATGGTCATTGCATTCAACTGGTACAATGTTCTCATCTTCGACCTTGCGAACCAACGATCGGAAGAATCTGTCAAGGAAGACTTGATCAACAAGCCGTGGCGGCCGATACCATCCGGCAAAATCACCGGAGAGCAGACCAGACGGTCAATGCTCATCGCGGTTCCGATTGCTCTCGCGCTCAACTACTATCTTGGCGTTTGGAGAGAGGGAGTCTTTATACAGATCCTTACGTGGCTCTACAACGACCTGAAAGGTGGAGACGAGGTCGTCAGAGACCTGATCATCTCCATTGCTTATGGCTTCTTCAACCACGGCTCACTGCAGATTGCGCTCGGGGCACATACGACTGTCAACCAGGGCGGATTGACATGGATAGCCATCATCAGCGGAATGATCCTTACCACCATGCAGGTGCAAGACCTCAAGGACCAGGACGGCGATCGAACACGGGGACGCTTATCCATACCGTTGCTGCTGGGCGAGAGGTTCTCGCGCGTTTCTATTGCTGTTTTTGTTGCTCTGTGGTCTTGCGTCTGCCCTTTGTTCTGGAAGCTCGAGATTTGGGCATATACTTTGCCGTTGGCAGTTGGAGGCGCCGTTGCTGCAAACGTGTTGCTGCGACAGACAGTCAAAGCGGATGACCAGTCTTGGAAGATGTGGTGCTTTTGGTCCATGTGTCTCTATTCAATGCCGCTGTTTGCTGCATTGTAACTCTCCCGGTGGCAATTTCAGAACAGGAACCGCTGTCGACTATTCAGTTGTCCAGGCTCTCTTACAACTACTTGTGGAATACCTTCCATTTACAACTATGGAGCCCACATTATGACTTTCTCATCATTCAGCAACTTGTTTCAGGTCAAAAAGTGTATTTGTTAGCAAGAGGAGTTTTAGTTTTTTTTTGTTATATTTGTTATTTTTTTCTTTTTTCTTTTCTTTTGTTACCATGACTTTCACTGGCTTCGATAGAGGCCTTTTACATATCACCTTGTTAAATTGTACAAATAGCTGTGAGAATAAAATTATGAGATCCCAACGTTGGGTTTGCTACTTGAACTACTAAGAAATCTGATGTGACTATCCTTTTCACCTGAATAACTCGAATCGGCATAGAAGATCGGGTACTCCGAGTCAACGCTCGTATCTACAGGTGCAATAAGAGTACAAACGGCAGGCAGGCACGTGTATGTAGGTATTCTCGTACCGTACAACGGCCCGGGACGTATTAGGCAAAGACCTATTCGTAAACTGTTACTCCTGCATACTGCAGGTCCTTCATTCTGCTTGTGTTAAAATCGCTCATGAGACTTGGTTCGAGACCGCGGCATGGAATGTAATATAGGCCAGGATATAGATAGAGTGCAGCATTAGTCCAAGTCCGCGGCCAATACGACAAGGAACGGAAGTGCTTTCAACGTCAAACATGGGGGCTGCGCGTCTCCGGGCCGTATTTTCGTTGCATCAAGAAGCAAGTCGCACCAAGGTGGCTTGATATACACGTAACTATGCAATGCAACACCGACTCGGCTTCGTAAGTTGTTCGTAAGTCAACTAAAAGTCACAGTACACAACATACAAACACAAGATGTGAGCCTAGAGAAGCTAGACCAGTCGTCAATCGCCATCTAAGCGGTATGGCTAATAGGAAGCGGATTGAGTTCCAATAAAACATCCAATAGAAGCCCGTCGCCAATACACGCAGAAGTGGCTGCATGGGCTTTGCGTAAGCGACTTTCGAATCCGACCGGCTACCTTCCGCTTCGGGCAGCCCCCCGCGGGTAACGGGGATGCCTACAGGCAGTCTTACCACCCTGTCGTCCTGCAAAGCAAGGGCTGATATCTCACCGTTGTAGCGGCGGGGCGTCATCGTTGCTTGCAGATGGTGCTAATAAGGCGCAACTAATTTGCCTGAAAAGCCACCGAGCATAGACGCTAGCAAGTATTACTTGTATATGCCGCTGGCCGGATGGCTGACATTGCACGGCGCAGAATTGTCAATGCGTTCGCAGCAGGCATCCGTGTTATCGAAACGGATGAAGCAGTAGGTATTACAAAGTTCCCAGCATGGGGGACCTGCTGCCTTTGCGTACATGTATATGTTGTCAAATTGCGGGGGTTTCACTCTCATCCAGCCGGACGCTCACTACTGTGCATGCACTATTCAATGCTTGTAAGCCCAAATGGAAAAGCGGTTATATGCTGTGCCTTGGCCCTCCGCTTCCTGAATGCCTTTGCACGAGCAAGTTTCATTGAGAACAGACGCAGTGCTTCTTGCAAAGAAGCCGTCAATGAAGTTATCTAAGCAATACCAAAGGGCAATAGGGTATCAAGACAATATGTACAGATGTACGCTGATAGGCATCTAAAGTAGGAGCATCTATATGCAGTGCCACTGAGATAACAATACAGTACTACCCGTATTTACACTCCGGCCGTAGTGAGGGTATCTCGCTATGATATGAAGTATGAAACGTCAATAAGTTTAATTAAATGATAATTGATAAACTGGTGATGATAGCTTCTAGAAGGCAACAACTCAAAATCCCACTTGGGAATCCTACCGCCACCACATGAGGCGTGGGCCTGCATTTCACCCCGCAGACTATTTCATCCACGACCAGAGCAGTAACAACGCTTGGCGATGGATGGATATGTAGTAATGTAAGAATCCCACTTTCAGTATAATGCCTATTCGTTCCGCTATCTCGCTCAAGTTATGGCTTGTATGTACGATGGTCCTCGTTTACTCTCTTTGCCAGCGTAATGATCCATTTGACGGCTTTTCTAGAAGGATCGCTCATTCGCTGCTGTCTAGTCTGCTCAATGTTTGGATAACATCCAGATAGCCAAGATTAATACGTATATACAGTTCCACGAAATAGCATATGTTTCTTGGGTTTATGTAAACCTTCCACTCAATTCTTTAAAGTCTTCTGTATCATTCCCTTATCGAGCCTGCTCTCCTCACCAATCAACCTGACCCGATTCCTTGCTCTTGTGGACCTTGCTGTAACCCATCCTTCAGCCGCGGCTGATGCAAATCTCCCTGAATCACCTGAATCGTCGCCAACTCGCCTTCTGGTTCGCTCCGTCTCTCCATCTTCACGTGGCATCTGGCCACGACAAAACGCCCATGCGCGTGGCATGCCGTCTTCCGTCCCAGAATCCAGACTGGAGCAGGCCATGCGCCTTCTGCATCCACCATCCACCATCCACGCCTTGACATTGGCCCGACCTGAATGGCCGACCCGACCAACCTGAACGGTGTGGCTCGACTTAGTTGCTGCATGGCGTTAGTGGACAATCAAAAACGTGGTTTCCACATGGCCCCCGTCGAGAAGATGCAGCCATGACCCTGGCTGCCGGGCTAAAGATCCCTCCCCATGACCCGCAACCACTCTCCCTTTTTCATGGCTTGGAATGTTCTTTGCTTATAACAACTTTCTTCTCGAGATCTTCTACTCTAGCCATCTTGTGGTTTTCATTATATAGTCCAGGTCCAGCCGGTAGCTGTTCCTGTCCAAATCACCACATTGAACTCTTACACATTCCTCAGCATGGCTCGGCTCATCTCTTTCTTGGCCATCCTGCCGGCTTTGGTATCTGCAGCTGCCATCAACACGACTTGTGTCACTGAGTCGAGTTGCCGCTGCTTACCGTCAGATCCGTGCTGGCCATCCAAATCAGAATGGACTGCCTTCAATAAAACGGTAGGAGGCCGACTTATAGCCACAGTCCCCATCGGTAGCGTCTGCCATGACTCTGCTTTTGGCTCCTACAACGCTCAAAAGTGCGACGCCTTGAAGTCCGTGTGGGACTATCCCGCCACGCACATCGCGTCCTCCTCCGATCCCATGGCGCCGTTCTTCGCCAACGTCAGCTGTGATCCTTTCACGGCGCCTAGTGCGAGATGCATCGTCGGCACCCTTGTCCAGTACAGCGTCAATGCCAGCTCCAGCTCCGACTATCTGGCCACCATTAAATTTGCACAGCAGAACAACATCCGCTTAGTGATTCGAAACACAGGCCATGACTACTACGGCAAGTCCTCGGGAACCGGAGGCCTGGCTCTCTGGACCCATTTTCTCAAGGACATCTCGCTCGTCAACTACAAGCAAAGCTACTACACCGGCAAGGCGCTCAAGGTTGGGGCTGGCGTCCAAAACTCTGAAGCACTAGCTTTTGCCCACAAGAATGGCCTAATAGTTGTTACTGGAGATGGCGGATCGGTTGGCTATGCAGGTGGTTACAGTCAGGGTGGTGGACATGGACCAGTGGCCAGCAAGTTTGGCATGGCCGCCGATCAGGTCCTCGAGTGGGAGGTCATTACTAGCACCGGCCAGCATCTTGTCGCTACTCCTTCTCAGAACACTGACCTTTACTGGGCTCTCTCCGGCGGTGGTGGTGGAACTTATGCTGCTGTTCTGTCCATGACCGTTCGAGCTTTCGCTGATATGCCAAGCTCTGCCGCTAATCTTACAATTACCAACCAGGGAATATCTGACGATGCTTTCTACGCAGCCGTCCAAACATTCCTCACGACGCTACCCAGCATTGTTGACACTGGTGCAACTGTTGTCTACCTGCTTGCCTATGGACTGTTCCTTGTACAGCCTATAAATGCTCCCGGTGTAAGCAAAGCACAGCTACAGACGCTTCTCAACCCTACGCTGAGCTATCTACAGAAGCAAAACATCCCTTACGGCAAGTCTTCTGCATTGGCCCTCGTGTCTGCATGTGAATCTAATGTATTGGATGACAGACTTCCACATTGACCAGTTCTCTACATTTCTGGATAGCTTCAACGCCTACAACCCTCCCCCTAACGTTACTGAGTATAACATTGGTGGGCGTCTCATCCCACGAACGTTGCTCGAAAGCCAATCAAGCGCCACTTCGCTTGTAAACGCTTATAGATTCATTAACGAGGCCGGCGCTGTCATCTCCGGTGTGAATGTCAACGTCAGTAACGGCACCAAGGTTCCAAACGCTGTCAACCCCGTCTGGCGGACATCCATTACAAGCAATGTCATCGGAGTGTAAGTTGTCTAAGAGTCGACTTTACATATATTGCTTGATTTGCACTTGCTTACGTTTCACTCACAGTCCATACGATCCGCTCAACTTTCAGAATAACATTTACGCCCAAAACAATGTCACAAATGTTCTGATTCCCAAGTTGGAAGCTCTGTCTCCTGTGCAGGGTGCCTACCTGAACGAGGCCAACATGCATCAGCCTAATTTCCAAAGCGTCTTCTATGGTAATAATTACCAGACTCTCAAGTCGATCAAGAACAAATACGATCCTACAAGCACATTTTATGGTCTTACTGCAGTTGGGAGCGACGATTGGACGGTGGACAGCGTTACTGGGCGCCTGTGTCCTGTCTCGTAAGTATATATTTCTGGGGTATATTGCCTCACGTACATAGCTAAGATTATTTATTTACACATGTTCAACACAAAATTAAAGTCCTAATGATTATCCTTGGAATCCCATTGCCAGTGCTCAACAGGGATAGCAGAGTAAATACTTTCTTCACTGGATCACTGATGAGTTACGCGAATGGTGAGGCTACAATAAATTTCAGCAGAAGAGGTACTTTTATTGATCCAAGAAAGAAGTCCTGTTCTCTCTTCCCTCCTTTTTCCTTTTTTATTCCTTTTTGAAGTATTCTATTTACAGAACAGTCTTTTCGATCATTGTGATACCATACTTCTCCTTGAGCTCCTTCATGATAGGATTGTTGATCTTGGCAGACATAGGAGCCAGAACACCCTTCTCCGACAGCGTTCCGTCCAAGACCTGCTTAGTAGCGACGGCACAAGGCACACCTACCAAGCGCGCCATGCTTGAATACCCCTCGGGGTTACCGTAATCAACTAGGGTGGAAGTACGAGTCTCGCGAGAGCCATCTTTGTGCTCGATCTCAAACTTGTGCTGGAGCATGACCATGTCGCGCTCATTCTCCTCATATTGCATCTTCTGCTCAAGAGTGGCGCAGAGGGTATCGAGAGAGTTGCCACGAGGAGTAATCTTCTCATCAGAGAAGATACCAATCCATCGGAGACCAGAGAGAATTCGCTCACGGTCCTCATCAGAGTCGAAATCGGCTCTTGAAACAATGGCAGCTTCCAGGTCTTTGGGCTCGGAAGAAGAGATGCCGAGAACGGCTTTGGTAGCCTCCTTCCAGGCGATAGGAGTCTTGAGGGCTTCAATGGGAGTCTCTTCCAAGAAGCCGGTCTGCACAAGAACTTTGATGAACTGGGGGAAGCCCTGGTATCTCAGAGTACCGCGGACGATAGTCTCAGCCTCGGGAATGTTGTATCGTTCCTTGTAGGGAGTAGAATCACGGTTAGGGTAAGCGACGAAAGCATATCCTGGCATGATGAAGTAAGGCTTGGCAGTAGCCATGAGGTCCTTGGACGCAATGTCGACAATCTTGCCATTCTGGTAGACCTTGGCAGCGTTTCTCAAGGCGAGCAGCACACCGCGAGAGGACCAAGAGAATTTATAGCCCAAGGGGTTGTCCGAGGCTTCAGGAGCAGGCTGCCAAATTGTTAGTATATACGTCATTTGACAGCTGAGCAGCTTACTTACCAATCCGCCGCAATATGAGAGGAAGGAGAGGATCTTGCCGCCGGCTTGGTGGACTTCATCGATAGTCTTGACGGCATCTGAAATGGTCAGCACAAAGTGATGATTACTGGACCGAACGACTTACACAAGTGATCAATACCGGGATCTAAATAGGAAAGCATCATGGTCAGTTCAGAATCACAAGGGAATAGAGAAGAGGAAGAGTAAATACCAAGACCAATCTCGTTCATGACAGTGATTCCGGCATCCTTGGCCTTCTGGTCCAGCTCCATCATGGCAGGGGAAACGTAGCTCGTGGTCACGACATTCTTCTTCTGTCGAATCGCAGACTCGATGACGGTGGCATGGAAGGTGTATGGAATCAAGCTGATGACCAAGTCATGCTTGGCGACCTCGGCGTCCAGGGCCTTGGCATCGGTAACATCGAGCGAAATAGGTGTCGCGAGCTTCACGCCAGCGGAAAGGCCCTGGGCAGTCTGGAGGGTTCGGCATGCTGTTTACAATCAGTCAGCGTCTCGTAGCGGAGTAGGAAGAAAGACACAAGCTTACCAACAGTGACGGGGATGCCAGAGTCAGTCAACACGTCAAGTGTAGGCCCTGATTGATGCTATTAGCTTTGTTGCGCTCCATAGAGGATAAAGAGCTGCGTACGAGTGACGAAGCCCGCGCCGAGCATCAACACAGATCTAGCCGCCGCAATCTAGGTCAGCAGCGAATCAAAATTGTTCCCGAGATAATACGCACTGTTGCACCATTTTGAAATGCGATTGTCAGTTGTAGAAGCTTGTTGCGCGCCCAATTGACTGCTATAGAGGTGATAGCTGAGATGGAGTTTATATCAAGCAGAGCTCGAGTGCTAAATTTTGCGCTATAGCGATGTCGGAGCGCGGGGCAGGGTCACGCCGATGGGCCAAAGCCAATGACAGCATACAGTGCAGTCCCTCAACTCTTCGCACCAGCGCAGATTTTGTGTACTTTCTGACTAATCCTGGTAGCGAATCGATCCTCGAGAATTATGTGGAATATCACGATAAAGCTGCTGCGCTGGGACCATGTTCGATGCGATTGCAAGTCGATTTTCACATACAGTATTTGTAGCTTGTAGGGCGCATTGCATCATTAACTTTCTTGCTCATGGCGGGGTAGAGCTGCGGGGTGATGGCGGTTATCAAGATGCTTGTGAGAATTTACAGGCAGTGTCTCATACTATTATTGGTTGATAGTAAAAAATCCTCTTTGTATATCTCCGGTTTGTGGTAGCTGGTGTAGTCCGTTCTTACTCTATTCGACATGATTAGATACCTACTTGTATGGCAACAACGCAGTAAAAGCAGTGTCAAATCCGGCCAGATAGGTACATGTAGCTATCTCTCGGTTAGACAAGCCTCTCCTGTATCTTTAATGCCAAAAGAAAACTTGGCGCTGTTTTTATAATGAGCTTACCCAATTGAAGGAAATAGCCATATACCTATTAATCTATTGGGTAATTGAATGACAACACCAGTATAACGAGCTAGCCATTATTCCAAAAGCTAGCTGAAACATGTCACCAAAAGCAGGTATTCCGGGCGTGCGTTCTATGAGAGACTGGCGAGTACTCCAAGGGGCCACCTTGCGGGTTTCTCTCAAGCTCACATCAACCGTCATCCTGTTATCGCGAGGTCTTCGAGGTATTTTTCTAGCAAGATTGGGGTTGTGACGGGACTGATGCCGAATGTTCGCTACGTCCCTCCCAAGAATAGAAAAGAGCGCTCTACAGGTAAGAGAGAGAGAGAGAGATCAATGGATTCTGGCGAGGAGGGAGGAAAGCTGAGACGCAATCAACACTAGTAAACAATAATTTCGGTCGGTAGCTTGAGAAGCGGTGGAGTAGGCCCAGGCCTCAGCAAAGCAGAAACCAGTTAGCACTTCCTCATAGCACATAAAATCGAGTTCATGTTGGGGCCGCAATTGTAGATCAGATACGAAAGACGGCAAATACCCAAGTCCGTCTGCCTTATATAATCACCTAGCACCTTTTCCGCACGCTTCATCGAGCTTGCCAAAAAGAGTTCCAAGCTATCAATAGCGGGATCTATGGAGCAGGCAAGGCCGGCCCCGCTGCAGCATCGATATAAGAGACTACATGGAGGTATTAGCGGCTGTCTTGTTAGTCGGAGATCTTATGGGGAGCTTGGCAAAACGGAAGATCACAGAGACGAAACATACACTTGGGTAGTTAGAAATAAGCACTGTATAGCAATAATGCTGTGTGCTGGTGGTTATAGAGTTCCTTGCTCTCAACCTGCGCAGCTACCGACGTGCATGTAGGATAAACCTTTGTATAAGTTGACCATTCAGCTTCTTAGTTACCGACTCACTGGCTCACTGGTAGAGAATTTTCCATCACGACAGAGTACATAGTATATATGGGCAAATAAAGCTCAGAAGGCGGAGCTTGGAAAGTTTCTCAAAAAGGCAGAGTGAGTCATCAGTGAATAAAAGCGCCTCCTTCCTCTCGTTTAAAAGTAATCTAACTTTGAACACAACTTGGATCTCTCCGACAGATCTGTTTAGCCTTGGTATGTATATAATCATTCTATCGTCCGCATCGATACAACCTCAGGGCTTTGGGCGCAGACACTGGTGAAGTATATGCCACCGTGAGTAATTTTTCTCAAGACGAGAAAGAAGCTCCTTTCAAACGCGTACTCATGCTAACGTACACGGCAGAATTACCCGCATGGAACCAGATCGAAGTTCCGAACCAGGCCCTCAGGTCCATGACAAAGTTGTTGTTCTAAATAGCTTCCCTGGCACAGGAAAATTGACCATAGCGACCAAGATGAAGAGCTACTTTCCCGAGGATATAGTCCGTCTGATCGATAACCACCTGCTCATTGATCCAGCTTAGGCCATTTACCCTGGCAGGAGTGCAGCACACTGCGAGCTACGCCGAAAATTTCGCAAAGTTGCTTTCGACGCCATTCGGAAGATTGCACAAGAGGGCAAAACGGTCCTTATGACGACATGTCTTGTAGACAGTGAGGCAGACATCAGAACTTTTGAAGAGCATATATCCATAGTCCGCGACACGTGTATACCGATATATTGGCTCAATCTTGGATGCGACAGAGATGTTCTAGAAAAGCGCGTCATAAGTAAGGAACGGCGAGAAGGGGGCAAAAGCAAGTTGACAGATGCCAGCGTCCTGCGTCAGATAGTGGAGGATCATAAGCTTCTGAACCCACGTCCATATGACTATGAGCCTGTGAGGCTAATCGCCGAGTCGATGGATGTGAGTGGAAATGTAGAAGAATCAGTTCACCTAATATTACATATACTACAAAATCGCTATTGATACAAGAATCTGCTGTTTCACGTCAAATCCAAGGGTTTGCACAGGTCGCTATCTTGACATTTCTTCGTATTATTGCTAGCCTAGGCTAGACGACGTAAAAGACCAAAGCCCTGTGGGTATGCAGATGTTTAAACTGCCTACATGCAAGGTACCTTAGGTATGATGCTTAAGTCCTTGGGCTTATACAAGTAGTTGCCTGGAGCAGTTGATGTATCACTGCTGACTGTAAGTAAGAAACGCTAGGCATGTACCAGAGCTGGCCTTCAGAGGCGTCTAGATGATTCACTATCCGCCACGTGTTTGTGGAAAACTGGTCACCGGATCCATTCGTACCAACATACGTCAAGGCGGCTGCACAAAGAGGCTTAGCAGTGACCATGAGGTCTTCACGGCAACAATTGCCATGTGATTTTACATAGGATGCTCTACAAGTTCTGAACAGTTGTACTTCATTCAGCATTTATGCCACCATTCCTCACCTCTATCCACCCCACCTTTTATCAATAATGTCATACTTGTACAATAACGACAAAAGTTAATTTATCGTAGCGTATGGCGAACAAGAAGAAAAATGACAGCGGTGTCGGCTGAAATGGAGCCTGATAGCCCGATCAGCCGGGGTAGTTCTGAAGTATTGGTGGATCGCGTTCTCGTTGTAAAAAGCATGGCTCCCGAAGTGGCCTGATTTCTTCCCCACTACAGGTGCCAAATCGGAGGCGACATCCCCGATTTGGGAATCGAGCACAAGGCATATCCGAGAGAACCCCTATTATTACCGGGGTGGAAGTACCTAGCAGGGAAGTTTGCATCGGGCAAAAACGCACGATGCGATGGAGTACGAGGTAGACCGCGCTGCTGGGCTTTACCGCATGGCGGATTGCTAGGGCTATCCCGACGATTTGGAGCATGTGATTGTTCCAGCACCCTGACTAAGTCGAGTAGAAGAGGCAAAAAGTGGCGGATAAATAACGTTTACTATATATATTCTGCTGGAAGGTGGAGATTCGGACGAATAAGACCAGTCTGGACGTACTTGTACACGATGAAGTGTGGTAGACTCCATAATAATACTAGCTGTACATTAAGAAGGAGTTTCAGTCCCACCCGCCCTGGAGGAAAACGTAATAAGTGACAACCATTGCTCAGCTTTCTTCTTCGAAAATTTTCTCTCGTCATCTTTTATCCTTCTTACTTTCTCTTGAGTACCCTTATTCCCCTTCTCTCTACTGCCATATACCTTCTAATCACAGCATCAACTCTATCAACTCCCATATCTCTCTCATCATCTGAAGAAGGTGATATTATTACTTTTGTCCAAGCAACATCATCCGTTTTCACCCGAAACGCCTAAAAGAAAAAGCGAGAACAAAGGGGATCACGAGCAACAAAACGCGCACTTGCGAATCTGAGTCAACTTCGCCCATACGGCCTCCCGCATACCTACATATAGAGCAGAGTAGCCGCAACCAACTGCGCCTTGCTCTATATACTATACCAAAAGTCTACCATCCGCTCTTGAAAAAAAGGCAAAATGCGACTAACACGCGCCATTTCTCTCACCAACTTCATGGTCGCCACCTCCGCGCTCGGCTTCCAAGTGTTTGTGCTGTACCCTTGGCACAAAGAACTAGACGCCGGCTTCGAAGACCTCAAGAAGGAACATCTCAAGGTCCTCGATGTAGTCGGAAAGAACATCTCGGAACAGCAGCGAAAGACCTTTACCAGCAAGTTCAACGAGCTGAAGCAGGAAAGCGCTCGACGATGGTGGTGGATGTAAAATATATCTGTCCTTGAAATGGACACAGAGACCAGATTCTCCAAAGGAATCTTGCCATCTGATGGCGACGAGAAGAGCGAGCTCCCAGAGGCGTATGAGATACGTGAAGGAGCTCATCGATCTTACAGATCTACACTGATGAAACGATTTTGACCCCGAGCGACATTTTATAGATTTGTCAAGGCATCACATGCGTCTTGCTACAGCCATTTTCTGCGCCCTTTCTATTGAGTTATGTTTTCGGTATAGACTGATGTATAATAGTTTTTCAGTTATAGTGTTTATACAATTTTTTTTCTTTTTTTTTAGTAGGTATCATTTGCGCGCCTGTGCTGTCTCTATAAGCCTCAAATCTTTCGCGCGACTTCACTAACCTCCACAGATACTTTCTAAAGACATCTTTTCAGCTTGATGTACACACATTGGCCGGCTCAAAGGTCGTGTACAGTCCCTCATCCAAGAACTTAAATACGTGATGCCGTTTGCAATCTCTTCAGACTGAGCAAGACGTTTCATCGCTGTTTGGTGCATTCCCTGATCGATAAAGTATTGCAACTCTGGCCCCATAGTTCCCACAACGGGCGTCATGGTTACCCCAGGGCAAATAGCATTAATTCGTATATCCGCGAAGCGTATTGGTTCGCATCCTGTAACATGATTAACTAAAATGAGTTAAATTCTCAAGGCGTAGTTCTTGTAGAGACAAACTTGCGCTTTTTGTAAGGCCGATAATCCCATGTTTGCCTGCACAATGAGCCATGAATTAGTATGGCCTCGGATGTTATCATGGAGAGCTCAATAGGGCAAGATAAAGGCCTATACTTGTCACGTAGGCTGTTGTTGGAGGCAAGTCTCGCGAACCAAAGCTCCCCCAAATGGAAGACAAATTCACGCAAACCACGATTAATCGTTGTCTGGTTTGTCTCCCCTATGCGGGTGGGTGCGCACTCTAGCTGGATAGGCTCTTGTTGAAGCATTATTCTAATTTGCTCTCTTTGTGCAGTCCAAAGACTCGTTAGGTTAATGTCGAGAAGATTCCTGAAATCTTTCGTTGAGACAGATGTGCTTGGAGCTAAATGACCGGTAATGCCGATATTGTTTACAGCATGATCGATTTGGCCGAATTTTGAAAAGGCGGTTTCGACGGCTTTGATCGTCGAATCTTCATTAGCCGCATCTAATTCAATGGGCAATACTTCAAAAGTCGGATATGCCTCTTTCAGTTCTTTGGCCGTTTGCTTCAGCAAAGTCGCATTAACATCGGCAATGGCAAGTTTGGACTTCCATATTTTGCGAATGCAAAAGCGGTAGCCTTTCCGATTCTTGCACAAAGAAATTAGCCTCGAACGCTGGGTTAGGTAGTATACTTATATGATGAAGTACTACCTCGTGCTGCGCCGCTGATGAACGATGGGCCATGCAAGAAATGGGAAAACATTGTGAATATAGACGTATACTGTGGCCATAAGAGGATGGTACCAATCAGCTGTAAAAGGGACTCAGGATCCCACCAGAGCATTCAGAATGTTAACTACCTAGCCTGATGCTGTTAGGAAAAGACTGCATCTTATAATTCTGTGTAGAGCCAAGCGAATAATGCCTCTGCTCAAATAAAAATACGGAATACCGTACAGCGAATTAGGCAAGTGGTAAATCTTCTATTTTGTTGTTACATGCAGTCTACACCAAACACTCTCTTATCCGGGTACCGACATCACTCCACCGACGTGTGAGCGGATGACTTCCAATTCTAATCACGCAAGTATACGACTTTTCATGAACCGTCACTTCTACGGCTTCCCGAAAGGACTGCCTCTTGATAGCCTCACCAAGCCCACTTTCCTGAGTGGCTGTAACAGCGAGCCCCTATGGCAATGTAGCCCTTCTGGGAGGATCATCGGCGGTGAATTCTTTTTCTGCATTACGTACACGCTCAGAGGAAGAGTTGACTCAGTGAGAGGTGTTGTTGATGAAGAAGCCACGGTATAGGTATACATGTAGCGACGGATCTAATTGACTTGGCATGGTTAACTGGGGATACGATGTACAGGATACCAGAACAAGAAAACCCAGAGTAAAGTAGAAGGGTAAGAATCAATCACTTTTCCGGGCTTGCAAAGAGACACTGAGATTCAGTGATAAGTGTCTTACTGGCTATACTATCATCATCGTGCGAGCCAAAGTTCATGAGACTTTTCGGTCTCGGTCTGGTTTGATACGGATGGAGTAAGTGTTATCAACATATTAGATACACAAAAGGAAGGAAAAAGCTAATCCGATATCAAGGTTTCTACTAAATTATCAGTTCATTGCTGGCTGATCGCATCATCGGCTGGGACCCTGCGCCGATATCCAGAGGATTGGAAGTTTTGCACACTTCGCCTGTTTATTTTGGGGAAAAGTTATCCAACACCCCAATTTCATTATCCAGCACCCTAGCTGTAGCTTAACAATATGAAAGCTGTTAGTCCATGTATAAAAATATGCAACTGCTGGAAAACTTAAGTTGTGGCATTAGTAGCGTTACTAGCATTACTAACAGCAGTAGCAGCAGTAGCAGTAGCAGTAGTAGTAGAGATAGATAGTAAAGATACATGTAGTAGATGTAGTAGATGTAGTAGATGTAGTAGATGTAGTAGATGTAGTAGATGTAGCAGATATAGTAGATATAATAGCAGCGATAGCTGTGATAGCCTACACTATGGCTGGGGCGCCGGACAACAGAATTGGGGAGCTGGATAACTTTCCATAATTTGATGCAGTTAGATATGACTAAAGTATATTCTGGACAGCCATAAATTCAAGATGCGCATCAACCTAATGGTATTTGCTCTCAGCTTACTGGCAGATGGCTGCACAGCCGTGGAATAGTTATAGTTTAGTCTGGTCACTACATGGGTAGATGGGTTTCAATTCACTGCGCATATATCAGAGCCATATGAAATGATAGAAATTTTTGTAAATGCAATTAATCATGCTTATTAAAAACAGAGAAACCTCATTAGCTTCGCAAGTTATCATGCTCCTGCCATTATGTTACAATCAACCTTGGTATATCCACTTCCCGCCATCAATGCATCAATCCCCAACAAATTTTCATAGCCGCATTATTTACAGATGATTCCATGCTTTTTTTTTCTTGTTCTTTTCCTTTTTTATACATGCTCTTCGTTAGATGACACCTTAGACATGCTCTTCGTGGGAGGGCACCTCGGGAGATGACAGGTCTTTGTTATACTGAGCCGCGGCCAAGGGACCATCGCTCTCCTGGTCCGCAATAGCATCAAGATCGACACCAGCCTTCTTGCGGATGTTCGCCATGTGTTCTGGAGGAGGCGGTACCCATTTCGTGCTCTTCCAGGGGAGGACGTGCTCGAGATACATGGTGTCGATCTCTTCGAGGGTGCGGCCTTGGCCTTCAATGACGAAGAAGTAGATGACGAGGGCACCCAGAAAGTTGCAGGCAGCGAAAACATAACCATATCTATAATAATAAAGTTAGAAAAATTATTCAATTGCTTATAGCTGTGAAATTTGAACATACCTGAAATCAATGGCCCCAGTGATGAAGGGGGTGAAGAAACCAATACAAAAGTTCCAGATCCAGTTGCTAGCGGTGGACAGAGCCATACCCTTGGCACGATAGCGCGAAGGGAAGATCTCAGCCTGGATAGTCCAAATCATAGGGCCCCAAGTAGTAGCAAAGCCAAGAATGAAGAGACAGGCGAAGACGATCAGAACAATGCCTGGCGTGGGAGTGGCGGCAGGATCAGTGAGGTTAAGCATGAAATGGCCAACTGATGCAAAGATCATGAAGCAGATAAACATCCAGATGGAACCGGCAATGAGAGACTTGCGACGACCAAAGTGCTCAACCATGTACAGACCAATAAAGGTGACGCCAAAGTTGATACTGTTAAGGATGATCTGGGTAACGAACGAGTTGATCTGCACCGACTTGAAGATGGTGGTACCGTAGTAGAAGAAGTAGTTGGCGCCAGTGAGTTGCTGCAGCATCTGAAGGGTCATGCCAAGAGCAATACGGTAGGCCATGCGGGGAGCCTTGAACATGGTAATGAACTCCTTGACGGGGCCATTCTTGATCTGGGATTCACCACGCAGCTTGCGCTCAATCTCAGTGATTTGAGTGTGAACAGCCCAGTGGTTTTCTGTGGCGCCAAATACTCGACAGATTGTCTGTTTAGCTCTTTCCTCATTGCCATGTCGGAAGTCGAATCGAGGAGTTTCGGGGAAAGCCAAGATACCAACTCCGAGGCCAATGGTCCAAAGCCAACCAAGACCAATGACGATACGCCAACTTCCAGAGTTGTCAGCCTGGTGCTTGACAGTTCCGTAGTTGAAGCAAGCAGCCAGCCAGATACCCATGGTGATGAAAAGCTGATAGGCGCAGACCATGGCTCCACGAATCCAAGCAGGTGCTGTCTCAGCTTGGTACATGGGTACAAGTAAACTGAGTGCTCCCACACCCAATCCGGAAACAAAACGGCCAATCATGAGCTGGTACCAGGCTGAAACGGAAGCAATCTGGATTACAAACCCGATTGATACGATAAGTGCCCAAAAGGAGATTGATGGTTTTCTTCCGAATTTATCGGCTACAGGAGCAGCGACTAAAGCACCAAAAAGTGTACCTATCGGTAGTCGTTAGTAACAACAAACAAACAAACACGAATGAACAAACAAACCTATTGACAGCAAGGCAACAATGAGACCTGCCCTAACATTGCTGAAGTATTTCGTGCCATCGGAATGTGTCAATCCAAAGCGGTCCAGGAAGTCGGGCATCTCCAGGAATCCGGAAATCTGACCGGTGTCATATCCGAAGATGAGACCACCAAAAGAGACGAGACAACCCATTGCCAATGAACGCCCTGTTACACGTGGCAAAGGGGAATAATCTAGGCCAGAAACCGAGGGTCGACCAAAGCTGGGGTCGTGCTTCTCTGAGGAGGGATCATGTTGATCAAAGTAGATGGTCATGAAACCACCCTTTCTGCGACCCATTGTGAAAGATTTTTATATGTATATCAATGCCCTTGAATGGCAAGTAATAATAGTGTTGTACTCTGCTTGGGTTTGCGGTGGTATAGTTGTGGTGAGTTGTGGAGAGGTTGTGGTGTAGTTGAGGTGTGGTTGAGGTGTGGTTGAGGTGTGGTGGAGGTGTGGTTGTAAGTCTACTATGAGGAGGACCTAGAGATAACCAACTATCTCTAAATTCCTTAGCAGCTATGAGGTAGTAGTGATGCTGTGTGTTTATTTACTCCAATAGTCCTATATCAAGCCCGATCGTCGAGGGGGGGAAGCATTGGGGTATATATGTTCTCCAACACGACGAAGGGGGCCGCCACCAAACACCGTTTCGTTGCTATGACCTAATCACCACAAACACCCACACCATATGGTCACGATCTCAAAAGGAATCGTGGGACCCCGGCCCAAGCCCGGCCGTTTGGTGGGTGGCCTTGCAAGCATCTCCAAAGCAGGCTCTAGCCCCGGACGAGAGAAGAGAGAGAGAGAGGCAGAAAAAAGTCTGCCCACCCCACAGGTTTCCCAGGGCTCGGGGAAAACCCCCAGCTTTGCGCCTAAAACCCATGGGGATAGAAACGCAGGTCAGGTGTGATTGACAGAAGCTGAGGCCCGAATTGGGGTGACAAACCGCCCACCATACCGAGATTCTCCATGGCACAAATCGGTCCTACTCTCCAGACTTTCTCCATTGCCCCTTCTCCATAACAAGATGTGGAGAGACCCGGAGAAGCACGACAGAAGAGAAACACAAAACGAGAAGCATTGGGCGCCCGGTCCCGTGATTCCATTGGCCGGCGGACGCCCCGAGAAATGAAGCGGCTGGAGGCGAATCACAGCGAGACTGTCGCAAACTGACCGAGGAGGCTCCACCGGCATGAGGAGATGTCCACTGGGCAAAGCTTCTTTCTCAATGCCTTGGCTTTTGGAATTGCTGCTTGTTTAGGACTCGTTCGGCATTTTCGGGATCCAGTTTTTCTCTTTTTTTTTCCTTCTTTTTTTCTTTTGTCTTCTTCTTTTGCGAAACATGCGTATGATTCAGCAAACGCCGCATTGTAGATCCCCCTTATCAGAGAGCATCATGCTTACTTGGTAACGGCACGATCCCCACGCATTACGCGCATGCCCAAATAAAACCGCATTGACGCCGATGCGAATCAATTGCATGGGCTTTATCACGATCACCAACGCAATTAAAAATTCCAAGGAATCAACTAATACAAACACAGCGGCCAAGGCAGGTTCGCCGTTCAACCTCCAATTCCTTTCATTTCTCTTCTGACGCCGCTTTCCGTGTCTCATGACGTAGTGCCCGCGCCGTCGAGTCGATACCGGAAAAAGCGGGGCTGCTAGCACATGTACCGAAAATTCCGGGCTTTTTTTTTCTCTTGTCAAGGGTTGGACAAAAAAAGGGCATACGAGTTTATAGTGGCAGAACCGGCGATTTTTTTCGGCACTTCCCAACTTATGACGTTTGTCCTCCCTAGCTAGCTGCGGCAGTTTTCCGCCTTTGCCCAGGCTGGGCTTAATTGACACATTTGACAGGGGGGGAGCGAAAACAAGAAATTGCAGTAGCAGCTATCTTGGAACCAGGGCGTGGCTATTAGGAAGCAGTCCCCAAAGAGGCAGAACTGTTTGACTGCTTAATTGCTGAGCATTGACTGACAAAGCCCCCCAAAAGCTCATGATCAAGACAACTTCGGCGAACAACCCAGAGTAAGAAAAAAAAACGACAGAAAAGAGAAAAAAATTCGAGTCAGCAGGTATCCTCCTTTTCGGTCCTTTACCGTGTACAACTGCAAAATACGCGGCTTCTCGGAGCCCGCAGCGGTCCCCATGACCCCTTGATGGAGGAACTCGCACTGAAAATCTCATTGATCCACGGGTTTTCCGCGTAGAGGCTGATTCAGCGGGCGTATTCCTTCTCTGCGTATTTTCGCTCTTCTCTCTGTTTCCCTGGTGCAATTTGCTAAGCATCGTACAATCCAACCCCCTCTGCGTGACAACCAATGGCTCAATCGGGCCAATGACCACCAGATCGAGCCTCTGGCCACCACCACCATCACCGTCCATCCGGCCTCTTCGGAACAAGGTTCAGCGGTCCAGCGGCCTCTTTTTCTTATTCTGCCTTCTCCAGATTCTGCGACCCTCCATCACACGACCCAGCACGAATAAGATGGCAGGGCGGTGACATGACACTGGCAGATCCCGTAGTAGCCATCTCCAGTTTATTTGGAAACCATCGCCTACCCCCGAAGAAGGGCCAGAGTTTCAACCCGTCTTTGTCGCCTCCACATTCTGCTTCCCTTTCGCCATCCAATGTGATTCGATCTCCCCAGCTACACAAAGTTCCTTCTCTTCGTTCTGTCGTCTCATTTGCTGTCGGATTTTCCTACAGCCAGCCACGCACGTGCTGAGTTGCCCGTGAGGCTGGCGCCCATTTTCCACAGATCGACGCACGCTCGCCTCTCGTGGCAGCCACTGCTGCAAGCAACTCTGCCCCAGGCCCGGCCATGGCCGGATTCTCCAATTTCTCCAAATCTTGTTCCAACTTCTTAAAAAGCCACAGCAACTTGATCAGGACGATCGTGTCTTGATTGTCGATTCGCAGCCACGCAACATTCTCTCCTAGGAAACAGTCCACACCCATTTCAAGCAAGAATAGACTTTATACTTTGTCCTATTTTTTAACGCTAAATGAAAAACAAAACGCTATTCTTTCCCGGCCGACAAGAATCTTGATTGAACGTCAGGTTTGGCCAAGATGGCCCTCAGCCCCTTTTGCTCTGCCATTTTTCCCCATCCACAGTAACTCTTCAGCCCCAAGTTATTGCTATCCTCCATACGCCACGCGCCTCTTTTCGTCTATTAACCATTCTATACATCTTTCTGCTGTCTCTCTCTCATCTCCAAAGTGTAGTCGTTAGAAATACCCAATACATTACAAAAAAAAAAAAAAAAAAAAAAAAAAAAAACACACATCACGAAGCTGTACATGTTCTTCACAGCCTGTAATAAATAACAAACAATGGGAAACTGGGGGAGGTGATACGCGTGTCTCATAGCTCCTCTTCGGGAATGTGTCCCTCCACAGTACTCAGAGCTGCTAGGTTCACCTCTCCCACGCGCTCGAGGCTGGCTGGGTCGCCAGCTCCAGCTAGCAATCCCACACACTCGATAACGTCTTCGGGCTCCAGGAGATGCCATTTGGCCAAGGTCACCTTGGTGCTTGCCCCCACAGTCACCGTAAAGACGTGCTGATCGTCCAGAACGGTGCCTGAAGCCCCGTTAAGGCTGCGGAACATGTCCTCATCTGTAAAATCGTCTCCGGAGCAGAGAGCAAACTCAATCTTTCCGGGGTGTGGGTCTTTGTCTGTCGGTGCAGCTCCCGGGTTGTGATATGTGGCCACCAGCCGTTTGGCGATCTCGCCCTTGTTGATAAAGGTCGGGCGTACCTCAATGTTAGCCTTGCCAGGCATCACCTCGACCTCCCATCTCTGGCCCACCCCGCTTTCCAGTTCCTTGTGGCACTCGCGTGACATGTGCATCCCCTGCTCAGGCTCGGCAAGTCGGTAGTGCCATGTCAGGGCGCAGCGCTTTCGTTCTATGAAGGATCCTAGAAATGGTCAAGTCAGCTTCTGTTGATGGCAAAAAGGGAGTAAGTGGGGAGGGGCAGAAACACCGCCGGTCTACTGCTATAAAGATGTACGCGATAGGCGGCGATGTAATCTGTCCACCCCATGGGGAGCTTGCTTGCTCTGGAGGGCACTAACCTGGAACCCGGTCTGTATACTTCTGGAAAACCTCCATGACTTCTGCTTGCCAGCCCATGTCAAACTTCTCTGCCAAGTTGATCCACTCCTCGCTGCCAGGATCCCTCATGAAGCTACCGTGCTCGGCAGAGAATCCGATTTGAGAAATGTGTCCCAGATGCTGCTGAAGGAACTCTTGATCTCGGCCCGAGATGATCCAGACGGCATTCCTAGAATCCGCCGCAAGCGACTTCAAGTAGCGAATGATGCGTTCTGACGGGACCGCCGCGCTCGGCTCACGTACAATCGGAGTGAGGGTTCCGTCGTAATCAAACATAAACAGTCGCTTCTTTGCCGCGCGATAACGGGATAGCAGGAGAGCTCGATCAAGCAAGGGCGTCGAGTTGGCCGAGTTGCTTTCGCCCAGCGCAGTATGCACCTTGCGAACAAACTTGCTGATCCATGACTGGACGTTTTGTGTCGTGACATGATCGTAGAGGCTAGCCTGCATCTTAGTGCGCTCCTCGCTGGGCATGGTCAGAGCCGTGTTGATCTTTTCCGCCACCCCGGTGATGTCCCAGGGGTTGATGTGAATTGCATCGCGGAGACTACCGGCTGTGCCACTAAACTCTGACAGGATAAGAGGGCCATTGTTATCCTTTTGGCAAATGATGTACTCGAGGCTCGTCGTGTTCATGCCATCTCGTACCGATGTGATGAGGCCAATGTCTGCTGCCCGAAGCAAAGCAAAGTACTCGGCCTGGTTGAGGTACTGAGGGTAGTGCTGTACAGGCGAGAACCCGAGGCTGCCATATTCACCGTTGATCTTGATGATGAGCTCATTGACTCGGCTGGCAACCTTGTTGTCCGGATCGTCCTTTTCGACCGCCACGCTAGTGGGCGACGTCACCTGGATCAAAACCACCTTTTCTCTCCAGTGGGGGTACATTTCCAAGAATCGCTCAAATGCTTGAAGCTTTTGGGCGACACCTCTAACGCTGTCCAGCCGGTCTCGTCCGACAATAATCTTCTTGCCTTCATACATCTTCAGTAGCGCCGCATGCTTCGCGTTCACTTCATCTGCCCAAGCAGCCGTCGCCACCTTGGCAGCATCAATGCCGATGGGGAATACGCCGACTTGCACCCTGGTGCCGTACGCATCGATGCCGAGAGTATCGGATGGGAAGCCAAGGATGCGAGTGCAGCAGCTGAGGAAGTGCCGGGAGTAGCTGTATGACTGGAAGCCCACGAGATTGGAGCCGAGGATGCCCTCAAGCACCTCTTTCCGGCGAGGCAAGCATCGGAGGAACTCGCTGCTGGGAAAGGGGGAATGCAAGAAGAAGGATATGTACATGTTCGGGACACGCTGGCGCAGCATGCTGGGCAGCAGCAAGAGATAGTAATCGTGAACAATGACTACGTCGCCTGGCTTGTAACTCTCAATAATCTTGTTGGCAAACTTCTGGTTCATGCGGTAGTAATCGGCCCACTGGGCGCGCTCTTTGCGACCATCCGTAGGCTCGTGCTGCTTGTAGTGGAAAAGCGTGTAGAGGTCATGCTCAGCGTATCGCCGCCATCGGGCCTGGTCCTTGAGCATGATGCCATCGTCGGTAGCCTCGCTCTCATCAGCAAGCCAAACAGGCACTGTGCGGATCGTCTTGCTATGGGACAGCTGCTGCTCCAACCGAGTCTGGTCCGCCTTTGGTATCCAAAGGCCATCAACAGGGGGGGGCGTAGGCAGTCGTGTTGTGGCATCAATCGGCACGGGGGCCGACAGCGCATTCACCGATGTGACGGCTGTGACCGTGGCCGAGGGAGTATCCGGAGGAGAGAGCGGGTCGTCGTCGGGATTTCCAATCTCGCCTGTCCAGGCGACCACGGTGTGAGTCCACGGCGTCGCATCGGAGGAAAGATAGGCAAAGGAATCGATGAGGGCGGACTGGCCACGGCGGGGCTTGAGGTCCTGCGTAGCGAAGCTGGTCAGTATCACGCATTTTGGAAGCAGCGGCAAAAGAGGTGCCAGTGGCACAGGCGAGGGCCAGAACACGGCAACAGACGGGCGCGTGCTCCTGTGCGCCGACAATCGCATGTCCGGCGCAGCAGAGCGTCAGGCCACGCCTCACGGCATCCATCTTGGCACCCGTCCCCGTCGCAGCAGCAGATTCCTCCGCCAGAAGAAACTCACCCAGGCGCCGCCCTTGTGGTATGTCACGGCATGCGGGATGTTGAATGTCGCGGAGATGATGTTTCCGGTCAGGGAGAGCTCGGGATTGGCGGCGCGAATCTCGGACAGAGACTCACGGCGCGCCATTATGCCGTTGCGCGCGCAGACAGCTCGAGGACGGGATGGAGTTTCGCAGCGATCGGTGCTCGTTCGATGTCTTGATGTCTTGACGAGGTCTGGAGGAGGGGGAGGGGTACAAGTCAGCAGCTGGCAAACTGGCGGCAGCGGGTGTTAGGCAGCAGGTATCTTTACTTTAGTGCTAGACGCCGTTGAGACTTTGGTGCTAATTGCCTTGGAAGTCTAGTGAAGCTCAGGCTTTCTTGGTGGCGGGGTGCGCACTTCAAGCGCCTCGGTACCTTCTATTGCAGGTCGAGAGATGGCCTGAAAGGGGTCTGGTGTCTCTGTGAAGGAAGAGTCGCCAACGCAAAAATGCCAGCAACGGGTTCAAATTCAAGTCCACGGCTGGTGACTGCGCAGATCGCAAAGCGGGAGAGCAGGATGAAGAGCAGGAACAAGAGCAGGAAGGAAGAAGAATGGCACTGGGCTGGAAAAGAAAAAGGTGTGGCTTCATACTAATACTACTCGCGACTGCTAGGGGCGACGGAAGCGTTCATCTCCTTTCCATCGATTCACAACGACTGGTGACGGCCGCCCTATCGGGAGCTCCAGCAGCGGGTCGTGGTCCCTGGTCGCTCGAAGCTTGTTCTACGGATTTCTGGCGTTGTTAGCATTTGACTGGGCCTATTGCCGTGTGTAGGTAGGTACAAAGTATCATTCAAGCATCCGGGATACGGAGCGTTGCAAGGTTTATGGCGTGCCATTGGCCAGCATCGAGGCCGGGATTGGCACAACCAACGCCGCCCAGATTCTCACAACCTCAGCCCGCACACAACCACCACCAGACACTCACACCCAACTAAGTAGATACCACTCTGTTTAATCACATCGCGGCCAGAAATTCACTCAAAGAGGCTCCTTCAACAACACCCCTCGGCCCGAATAAAGTCTAGGCATTTGCCTGGAGGTGCAGTCCCTGCGCTTGCCTGCAGACATCTGGCCATGTCGATTTAGCCTTTCAGCTCTCCGAGTTGCGAGAAGCTTTCTCGGGCTCAAGACAAATGCTGGTAACTTTTTGGCTTACGAAATGCTAATCAAACGCACCTCTCCAGCAGCCTGGGCAGTGGTCTAGTGGACCAGCACTAAGCAGTTCCAGCGCAAGCGTCTCGGAGAGTCGACTACGGGCCAGGCTCATGACAGCTCGTGAAGCTGAGCTGCACTTATACAAAGACCCAGAGAACACGTATTAGCGAGGCTGTGACTGGGTCCCCGGCGGAGATACTCCGTATGGAGCAGATGGGCGGGGGAAGCGGCCATTGTCTGTTCCCCCAGGCTGGTAAACACCACCCCTTTTTCTCCTCGTGGATGGGAAAAAGGAAAAAAGGAGCTTGCTCAGGAGAAATCGGTCCTGGCGATATATTTAGCACCTGCTCGTGCTCATACATACATCCGCTATCTAAAATGAGCGGCGGTGAACGAGCATGTGACGGGCCATGAGGATTACTTTTAAAATGAGTCCTTCCAGCTTCCGGGTTTAGGAGCTGAGTCTCTTGGAGGCTGGACAGTAATGGCATGCGTGACATGTTGCGGGCGGATATTTGGCACCGGCTCGGCATAGTGCCAATTTGCCCAGCTGCACTACCACCTCGAGAAAACTCTGAATTAGAAGCATGCAGGCTATATTACTCCGTACCTGTCATCCATTTCCAGCGCTACTGCTGTTGCTTTGTCCCTGGCAGCCGTGCGGGAAAAAATGCGCTGCTAATGACGCAGCAACTTACCCACAGGCTGTCATTGGGGCAGAATATCAATGTCCAACTACCAACAAGGCGCACGTTTAGATTCTCTGGCTTGTTCTTTCATTATGTATCTGTCGTTGGCCTATCCCCATACTAATAGCTACTATCACAGCTATCATTAGTTTTTAGCAGCTCAAGCCACGTGAAACTTTCCACAACCCGCAAAATCCATGGAATATTTTCACATGCTTTTCTGAGGCGCTACCAAATGCTACCCACTTCATCCCGCAAAGATGTGGATGCGAGTGACTTTTGTCGGCCACACACAGGCCAAGGAGGAAAAAATGTCGCGCGTCATGATTGCGAAAGCCAGGATTGGCCAGCATCTTGCGGCTGTCGATTCACGCAGAAACAGATCTGCGGATAGCCGAAACTTCTTGGCTTGAGCACTGAGACACGATGGTCCAGCCTGGTTTCGAAAACGAGGCTAGCGAATCGCGTGTTGGGCGGCTACGTCAACCTTACGCGTACATTTCAAGAATATCGACGACATCGCCAGTTGGTTCAATGCGTCAAATCATACTAAAGGCATGATGCCATATGCGTAGCTAAATGGATCTGGTACTGCACCTTGTGATAGAATCGTAGGTGCATGATTGATAGGTTCCCATGCTATTTTGGTTCTACGCTTTGTGGAATCTCATGTAGGGCAGCCGCTGTAGCTTGCAAATGTAGATTGTCGTATAGTTGAACGGCACACTTAGAAAATATCAGTTCAACCAATGGCCAAGAACGAACTGAACTGATGAAATGCAAATAGAAGAAATATCTAATCTGCCATTATACAGAGTATGAAGCACCTGAATGGCATCTTGCAAACGAAGATAATGGAAGACGCCTACCCTATACCGCACGCCGTTTGCACATTAGTCACGTGACACATATCGATTCCTTCCGCAATCTTTTTCTCGCTTCCTCTCGGTATCGGCGTCACCTCGCTTCAACATCCCACAACATCCGGGAATCCGCCGACAATCAGCCATCGCGAGAACTGACCTCGCACATCGCTCCAACCGCCATGTCGGCATCTCCACCACCGTCGCCGTCGCAGCACGCAACGGCCCACGCCTACGCCAGCAACGGCCTGGAGATCCTGCAGGCTGCCAGCGACGCTGCCCAGGCCATCCAGAACCACCATCCGCTCCAGAATGCCGCCGCCGAAGCCGTTGCCCAGTCTCATGCCGTCGGGGTGCCCATCGCCCCGGCGCCAGAGCTGCGGATGCCCTCGCCCCAGCTCCAGCAGCAGCATCTCGTTGCTGGGCCCGGGGGCGTCATGAGAGACCCGACCATCAACCCCAAGCTGACGCGACTCCGACGCGCCTGCGACATGTGCAGCATGCGCAAGGTGAAATGCGACGACGCCAACATGCCCTGCCGCCCTTGTCGCGAGCTGGGCGTTGACTGCACCTTCAACCGAGAAACCAAGCGACGCGGGCCGCCAAACAAACACGCCGAGGCGGCTAAAGCGGCTAAGAGATCTCGCATTGACACAGCGGTGGTGCCTCCTGGGTTCCCATCGTCTCCGTCGCCTCAGAATGCTGCCAAGACGCTCATGACCATATCGACGGATGGCGTGCTGGATGCAGAGGCGATTGCGCCAATGCCCGTGCTGGAGCTTCTCGTGGACGACTTCTTTACATATATCCATCCGCTTGCTCCGTTTCCTCACGAGCCAACATTCCGTCAGTCTTTTGCGAACCGAGAGGATCGAACGAAACCTGAGTTCCTGGGACTGTTGGCCAGTATGATTGGTGCCTTGGTCGCATCATTTCCACGGAGCGCCAGGGAACACCTCAAGGCTCAGCATAGCACGCATCTCTTCCCCAAGGCTATAGTCATGATTGAAAAATGCCGCGACATTGCCCTCCTCACACGCGGAAGCAGATGGGTGCTGAAACAACCAAAAACACTGGATGATGCTGCTACCAGCTACTTTCTCGGGTTGGCGTCTGGCTATACTCTGCAATGGAATGCATCTCGTCAATTCATGGCTGAGACTTTGACACTCCTGCGAGAGCTCGGCTTCAGCAGACCTAAACATCCTGGAGAACTTCCTACTTTTGGGAGTGACAACTTTGCTCCTGATCCGATGCCATTCAATCATGTCAAGGACCAGATTGGCAAGCGCATCTTCTGGTGCCTACTGTTGGGCGTTCGGTAAGTCGTTTTTCATCATATTGGAAACCAATTGGCCGCTAACTTCCTCCAGCTCCTTTTCCCAGCTCGGCGCCTCTCACACAGACATTGTCATTGCTCCATCAACACCCAATCTCCCCTACCCCGCTTATCCTGAGAATGTTGATGACATTTGTGTTCTTGCGAATGAAATTATTCACCAAGCGGAGGGCAGTGTTACGCTTCTCACAGGCTTTCGATTCGGTATCGACATCTACACTACCATGAATGGCGTCGTCAGCTTGGAGTTGGCGTATGGCATGAGCACTCTCCCCTGGGCTGACCAAAGACTTCTTCTTAGAGATGGTCTTTTGGCTGCAAAGAGCATCATCGATAATCTGCCCCCAGAGCTCCAGCTGGGCAACCCTGCAGACGAATCAAATCCACTGGCTGCCATGGAAGAATCCGGCCTTCAGTATGTCCCACCTGTATGGCCAAACACGCAGCCACCACACGATGTGCGCAACATCATCAAGAACCAGCCCATGAGGCGTCGACAGCTCCAATACGAGATTCAGAAAGCCAATATCTTTGTCTCACAACTCGCCACGCGATCGTACTTTGTGGAGCTATACTTCAACCTAAGAGACGTTCACCTCAGCGAGCAGCAGCAAACCCTTGAAGTTGAGAATACGAGCGAAGAGGAAAACGTCATTCAGAATGCAGACGACAAAGAGATTTTGGAGTTCATGTCTGCTGAGAGAGAAATCATTGTCCAAAACCTCTTGACAGTGCTGGGATCCATCTCACAGCGAAATCTCGAGCCAAACGGAGGGTCTCTCATCAACAAAATCCGCCAGGTCGCTTCTACCCTGCTGAATGATGCTCCCGAAAGGAAAGGCCCGTTTGCCATCAAATCAGAGGAGGCGTTGGCACAACTACTTGACATATTGGTGAAACTTGAAAAGACAGGCCCTGTTGGAGAGACGATGACTGCGGAGGATGAAGAGGAAGAACTGAGACACTGGGCTGATTTGAGGGAGTATCAGCTGCGTTTCGCTGCCAATGGAGGGTTTGCTGGCGACTTGTAAGATTTTATGGTTTCTAATTATGGGTCATCTCCATCTCCTCCTCTGCCTCATGAGCCATCGACTGACTGGGCAGCATCACGAAATGCGTATCATTGCCTTATATCCACCACCCCATATCCTTGATACTATGTAACAATATCCGGAGTTGAGCAAAAGTTATGTTCGAAATAAAAAACAATATGTTCGAAATAAAAAATAAGGCATGGCCATAATACTAATAGGAATGATATTTACTTTGCTCTCTTTCGTGTGTGGTCCCTATTGCATCATCTACTCTAAGCCTTGGCTCAGCCCAGCCTAGCCCTCACTCGTAGGACATACTCTCTACTTCGCATGCTACGGAACCTCGTGTATACATGGGGGTTTAAATGTACCTTTTCTCAGTCACGGAATGTAGTAAACAGCGATAGTGTACCGGTTCTGCGGTAACCAAGATTTATCTCAGCCGAGGCACCTTCATCGAAGCTCTCGGCATCGATCTATACGATACGGGAACTCAACTTGGCAATGCCAGGGACATTCTCACCCAGAATGCTCCATAACCCGCGGAACGTACACGAAAGGAGGCGGGTCGAGTACCTATCAGTTGTGGTCCAAGGCATGGCCTACCTATGAGAAATCCAATCTATTCTCCAGAATTCACACCCTCTTCTTCGGGTCACCGAATGACTTCGGCAGCCAACACTCTTTGCGCGCGATTCAAGTCAAACTTCGAGTGCCTCCTCGACGTCGCGCAATCAGGGGCGCTGGATCATGGCGTCACGGTCAGGACCAGTGCCGATGTACTTGATCTGCTCAACTTTAGTAACTGCAGTGCAGGTCAGTATGCGCGCGCACCTACCTTGACTCCGACAAACTTCTCAATGTACTGCTGGTGGTTAGCGCTACTGTTGGTTATGCTAGCCCTGGTGAATATGCTCACCTCGACGTAATCGCGGGCCTCTTTTGGGAGATCGTCGTAGGTCCTCGCGTTAGTGGTCGGCTTTTGCCAGCCTGGCATCTCGTGGTAAACCACCTCAGCTTGGTTCAGGATGTTAAGATCCGCAGGGTAAGAGTCCAGTTCCTGTCCAAGCGGTCAGCATCTCCACAATCCATCATGACCTCTTTGATCACTGACCTCCCCGCCGATCGTGTAAGCGATGGCGATCTTGATCGTTTCGAAAGTATCCAACACGTCGAGCTGCAGAATGTTAGAGCATTTCGACGTGTATCACAAGCATGCCATGGGTAGTGTCTACCTTTGTGAGATTCAGGCTGGTGTAGTAGTTGATCGAGTTACTGTATTTGACAACAACAAGGTCTGTGTGTAGGTGTTAGCTGTATTTTATACTACTCAAGGTTTCAAGTTTATGCATACCGAGCCTGAAAACGGTCAGTAAGTTTGTCAGCAGCTAAGAGCCATGATGAAAACTCACCATCCACATCGGCGTCTGCGCCTAGTCGACGTTCCCTAAGTCTTGTCAGCGGTAAAAGCTCGACCTCCAGGGCGCTTATAGCCTCACCCATTCGCGTCCAATCTCCTGGAGCTTGGTACCAATCCTGAGATTGTCAGTCAAATTCAGAGTGGGTTCAAGCTGGCAATTAAGACGCACTCTTCGGTATCTTCGGTCTTGAAGGCCCCTGCCCCGACACGGGTGGTGTCTGTCGCCAGTCAGCAGTGATTAACGACCTTGGAGTAATCGACATACAAGCCTTGACCACTCCAACCGTCTCTGTAATGTTCTTTGGGTTCAGTGTGAGTCCGCCAATAATACCAGCAAGCGTAGTGCTTGAAGAGGTGACAAACTATGGTTAAACCATGAGCACAAGTGTAAACTGAAAGGCCAAGTTGACGGAGACTTACTGGGTAAGAGCCATAATCAGCATCTAACATCAGTGCCTGTTCAATTGGGAACAAGCACAAGCACGAAGTCTCAGAACCCTCTTCCTTCACAGGACACTATATCCTGCCCCGAGCTAAGGATGCTTGTGGGACAAGGGAAGAGGATTGTGAGACCACGGGCATGGCGCTCGTCCCACCAATGACTTAGTACTACTCGTTGAGTCTTGGGATGAGAACCTTACGTTTGCGCCTTCGATGACAATATTCGCATTGCTCTCCTGTGCGGATCTCATGAAGGACACGCCGTCCACAACGTACTTCGGCAGCGTCTCCCTATACTCGTTGAAACGAGCCAGCTCGGCTTCGATGTCGTATTCGAACAGTTCTCCGAAGCGCTTTTGATAGCCATCAGCTAAGCGCCTCACCTTCTGCTCGAAGAGGTCCGGATAGAAAACGTCCGTCATTTTGATGCCAGTCCGCTGGGAAAGTTAGCGCACAGTCCGCTTCTTTGTCATAGTCGACCATCTCTTACCGCTCTGCTTGTCTGATAGCATGGACCGATGCCTATGGCGGGTGTTAGACCTCGTTGCTTACACAGCGTCGCTAGCACGACGATGACCGATCTTGCCCCAGCTATTGAGATTTGGCAAGGCTTGCAACCAAGTGACAGAAACGGAAAGATTATCCGGCATGGAATCCTGGGGGTAGCGTACCGCGTCTCGTTGTTCCAATAGCTGCGTCTGGGGTAGACATTAGCTGCTGTTCTTCAACAACAACGTTGGAAAATATGAGACGAACCTCCAAGCTCCCTCTCCTCGAGGCCATCCACTGCTACGTGCAGGTCCAGGAGGACATTGACCCTGTCAGAAACAAGGATCCGATCATGTACCGCAGATAGGCCCTTGGCCTCTAGTTCGGCGAGCTCGCTGAAAAAGCTTGGGACGTGGAAGACTACGCCGGAACCGATGAAATTCAAGCTATGGTACTTGTCAGCCTCGCCGTTACCATCTTGGATAATCTTTATCCTTGACGAACCATGTTGGGTTGATCAGCCCAGAGGGCAAGAGGTGAAAGCTGCCTCTCTGTTAGCACCACCCAGTCCTTTTACGTGTGCTGGTCCTCACCTATACGACACTCCATTTACACTTTGCACCTATTAGCAACACAGGATATATGTATATATATCGATCGATAGAAAACATTCGACCAACCGCACGAGATGCCCAGCGTTATTTCCACCCTTGACGCTGATTAGTCTTGGAGATTGATGAAAGCCGTTGGCCGACCAGATTCTGCCTGCGTCGTGCTTACCGCGGCTCGGGCACAGAGTTGCGCCTCCTGGCACTGTCCATCGACCAATTTGCCCTTCTGAGTACGCAATATCGTTAGTGCTTGGGTGTGATCGGCTGTGTGTGGTTATGCCTGAATACTCACGCCTTCGTCGCCTGCAGAAGTCCTGGTCAGTATAACGAGCTGGAACCGACATCGGCTGGGTGCAGGTAAGAGAGAGGAACATACCCCACTGGGCCCCAAGAATGACGGTGATAGTCATGATGCGCAGAGTTTATTGCCGTCGTTGTGAATGCAGAGAAGAAAAAAGACTCGATCCGGGCAAAGTAACAAGGCACGGCTGCTCGAAAGGCGACATAGTGAGTTAAAGCCGCCTGGCGCGATTTAGCGGGCAGCCTGTCGCTGTAAAATTACATGCGATAGGCGGCGATGCACTGCATGGCGGGGTACTTGCATGCGCTACGCCTCCATCCCACCATCAAGCACCTGCGGCAGGGGTTGCAATTTCTACGGCCAATTACAGCGAGGAATAATCCCCGAAGGATCTGACCTAAGCGTATGCGGCGACGTTGATGGCAGAAGCATTTATACACGATAACCGCCTCTCACAATAAAAAGAGAGAAGCAAAAAAAACAAAAACATACAACAGCCGGTGTTCGCTGATGGTCACCCACTCAACTACTAATCTGCCGGTTAATGGCTTGTCTATGGGGGAGCAGACGGGACCCCGAATTTTCCACTACCTATGGTCGTATGTGACTGGTGATGGCTTCAGTTTACTTATAACCGGTTGTTGCTAAGAGATTCTTAACTGACACGAAATGCGACAACAGAGATTGAAGTAGATGATTGAATTATTATTTGGGCTATGAGACGAAAAAATGTTAGGAAACCATTGGTTCTAGCAGCTGGAGCGGCATTCCCCTTGGAAATCTGCCGGTTAGTGGCATGTGTATGGGAGAGCAGACGGGGCCTTATCTTCCCAGGCATGGTGGTTTCGACTTCAGAGGGCCGTACGTGAGCTAAATTAGCTCAACCTAGTAGTAATGAGTGGTCAACTGTTATCCAAGGCATTGGCGCAACAGGCTGGGCAATACCACCATTTATCATACTAGCTGCGCAATACCATCTTGAGAATCGGTACCGAGAGTGATCTTCCGGTTGATTTGCGTATTGCAACAACAAATAATGGCTGGACAACAGATGAGGTCGATTTAGATTGGATAAAGCATTTTGACTACCATTCAGCCTCTCGTACGAAAGACATATATCGAATGCTAATCCTTGATGGCCATGAGAGTTACCACCCAAATCTTTTTAGTTTTACTGCAAGGAGTATATGATTATTACAAGTTATATGTCTCCTTTTCCTCTTATCTACTTTAACTACTAGATGTCGGCTGTTTTGGACCATTAAAGCGGTTATATGGTTGGCGAATTGGGAACTTAATGCATACGCATATTACACATATTGCCAAGCCCGAGTTTCTTTCCGCCTTTCGTACAGCCCTTTTCACTTAAATTACTTAAAAAAACACATCTAAGGAGGATTTTCAGGGACTGGTATATTGCCGCTTAATCCTCAGAGACTTCTTACAAAGCTCGACGTGCTATTACGAACACCAACACCTCCAGAGACTTTGCCTATAGTTACGTAGCCTTGGGTCTCAAAACACCGCAGAATGCGTACGAGGTTGGCTTACAATCAGAGAATATAAAAGCTCGCACCTCTTTTCATGAAAACAGCTCTCCAAGCTCAATAGTAGCTGCTATCGACCAATTTACGAAGGGGGTAACTTATTATGCACTAAGCGGCTCTTCTATCCGCAGAGGTCTCTACACTCCGTATAGCAAATGAAGAATTAAGCGAACGCCGCAAATCAAGTCTAAAAAAAAAACATGTAGGGCTTGGAAGTTCTATTAATATTCAAGGGCTTGATTTATTAAATCAGAAGGATGTTAATGAGCAGATAATGGTGGAAGAACGCAAGAGTAGCGGGCAAGGAAGACGAGGTCATGTAAAGGCTCAGCGCTGTAGAAATTGCGGCAATCATGGTCATAATGTAGGAAGTTGCAGAGATAATACAGAAGTATCTAATTTAATCAGTTTTGGATACTATTATAGTAGATATATTATCTTGGTAGTAGTTAAATTGAATGTTCAATGGATAGGTATTATGTGATGAAAGGACTCCGCTCGGTGGTGGGGCACGTTATACTAGTAACATGTTGTGTCGTGACACTCCTCATCATACCTGATATCAGCTCTTCAGGGTAATAAATTAAAGTTGGATTTATATGAATAAATGGTAGAGAGTAATTGCCGGGTAGAAAAGGGCATTAACAAGATTGTGCCGGCTTCAGCCCTGGAAGCGGCTGAAGAGTGAACCAACCACATCAAAGACAAAAAAGATACCTTGGGCAGCAAAGCGGGGTTATATGGTTGAAGTGTTACAACAACCTAAACTTCAACCGTTTCCTACAATATTGTGACAGCCCTTGAGTTTATCTTAACTATAGCTCGCAATCGCTCGGACATGGATGCGGTGAGCGCTCTCGGCGTTGCGGCGGCCGTGGTACAGTTTGCCGACTTCGGCTACCGCCTCATAAAACGTGCGCATGAGCTGTATAAGTCTCCCACTGGCCAATATCTGGAACACATCGAGCTATCCGTCGTGTCCCAGGATCTTTTACGCCTCGCCGATGACATTGGGGCCAAACTCGGCGAGAATAAAGGGTCGGCAGCAGAGATTTATGTCCGTCTCCATGGTGAATGCATGTCAACCAACGACGAGCTTCAGAGCATTCTCAGCAAGCTCGAGGCTAAAGGCTCTACTAAAATTAAACTAGCTGCGGATATTATAAGGGCCATGTTTAGAGAGGTCGCAGCCGCTAGTGATATTGAAAAGCTAGCAAATCGCCTGGGCGAGATCCGCCAGCAGATGAACGTGGCTATGCTGTATATGTTACTGTCAGTCACCTTCCCACCCTTCTCTTAACATCTGACAGTAGGAGTTCAAAGAGCCGGGCTGACCTGGCTCCTATGGTTGATTAGGGATGAAGCCCGGGAAAATGGCGTAGAGTTGCGTCAGTTTGCGAGGCAACAAGCCAATATGATTGCCACTCTGGATCGAATCGACAGCACTACCAAGCAATTTAGTACGGATATCATTGGCCTCATCGACAAGTGGCCCATAAGCAACCAGGCAGAGACAGATAAAATGGTGCGTTATGTGCTTAGCGATAAGTGGAATGCAAGCAAATATGCAAAGCAAACCGTGTTCGACGAGAAGCAGGATGATGGGAAGGTCAACAAAGTGTGTCAGAGTCTATACTTTGAGTCCATAAGCCATCGAGAGACAAGCATTCCTAAGCGACACAAGGCAACCTTCGAATGGATATTCCGCGAGCCACGGATATTGGAAGATGGCCGTGCTCTTTGGTCAAGCTTTCCGCCCTGGTTGCGAGGAGATTCCCCAGATATCTATTGGATTACAGGCAAACCGGGTGCCGGGAAGTCCACGCTAACCAAATTCATCTCACAAGACCCAAGGTTTAAAGACTTGTTACAGGAGTGGGCAACTGGGTCCCAGCTCCTGATTGTTCGCTTTTTCTCTTGGACTTCGGGAGCTAATAGACTCCAGAAGTCCCAGGAAGGTCTTTTTAAAACACTCCTCTTTGAGGCCATCCAGCAGCGGCCTCAACTTGTCATCGACATCTTCCCTGCTCGGTGGTTTCTTCTCCAATCCTTTAATGGAAACATTAAATTGCCAGACCTGACGAGGGACGACCTGAAGGTTGGTTTCCGGAATCTGCTATCCGCAACCGGGGATAAAGTGAAACTCACTCTTCTTATTGACGGCCTGGATGAGTTTACCGAGGACCAACACGAGGATCACCGCGATTTAGTTCGTCTTCTCCGCGACGCCAACGCCGAGCCAGGGGTAAAGATCTGCATAAGCAGTCGACCATGGAACGTCTTTAGGGACGAGTACGGCAACAACCCTATGTTACAGCTTGAGAACTTAACTAGAGAAGACATTAAGTCCTTTGTCCAGGAGCAGCTTGAGCTTAGCCCAGGCTACTATGATTTCGCCGCGACTGATCCAGAGGCAGCTCGTAAAATCATTACAGACATTGTGGACAAGTCACAGGGCGTATTTCTTTGGGTATCTGTTGTTTCGGGCATGTTAGAGGCCGCGCTACAGGAAGGGACCAACATCTCAGACTTACAAGCCACCATTAATAACCTCCCGAAAGAGGTTGACAACTTGTTCCGTTACATCTGGAACCGAACCAGCAAGCGATTTCGCGCTGAAGCATCAACATATTTCCTGCTTATGAACACTTGTCGACGGCTGGAAACTGATCTGTTTGCTCTGACCCTTTGGTTCGGTGATAAGGAATTACCCGTTGATTTTGCCACAGTCAATCTCACGAGCACCTTTCTGACGGGCGTCATCAAGTCCTTGGAACGAAAATTAATGAGTCGCACCGGAGGCTTGCTGGAGCTTGTGTCTAGCTATGACGGCCATATACCCATAAGCCTCCCCAGACGCTTACCAGAACGTGTGCCCGAATATAATAACCCGGCCAAAAAAATGCAAGATCTATCCTTAGAACCAAGACTGAAGAGCCGTACCAGACACTTACCAGAGCGTGTGTCTGAATATAATAGCCCGGCTAAAAAAATGCAAGATCTATCCTTGGAACCAAGACTGAAGAGCCGTACCACACACTTACCAGAGCGTGTGTCTAGCTCTGACGTCCACGCCAAAAAACCGGAAGATGTTCGCGTGGATTACATGCACCGAACGGCAAGCGATTGGGTCAGTGATAACTGGGCGAGCATCGCTTCGGCGGCGGATCATAGCTTTAACCCTTTCATCTTTTTCGTCAAGGGTCAAGCGCTGAGTGTAATTCTTACCACCAAGCCAACTCTAGACAGATTTACGCAATGCAAATTTACACGACTCACGGGCGTCTACTGGGAGAATTGGGTGGAATTTTCAGATTTTCAAAATATTATTTCGGATATGATGCAGCAGATCGGGCAGACGTTATCTTGCGCCAACTTCCTCGAAGTATCGGCTCGATTTCCCATTCATGCTTATCTAAAACACATGATGCAAGAGAATCTCGACCTATTCTCAACCGCAGCTCACTACTATGGAATATTGAATAACGTTATATTCGGTGAATCCTGGTTTCACGATCCCGAGGGGCGACTAGATCTCTTAGACTTCCTGACTCAGGAGAAATATCCCCTTCGGCTGGATTGTCTCTGCAAGACTAAGAATGAGGTGGAATACGTAAATTTTATAGTAAGCGTGAAATATTCGAGGCAGCACCCTTTTTTCACCTACTTCACGCAAGTCATACATATCCTCGAATCACGAATCTCTCAGCCCGCTTTGCAAGCCGACCAGAACAGAGCCGCTATTAGTAGCGGCGGTGGTGATACAAGCGGAACATCCGTCGCAAGTGAGCCACAGCACCAAACGCCGAAGCCGAAATTGAGAGACAAGTTACGAGAGTTCTTTGGGGAGATTTTTGGTCGTAAGCAAAGTTGATGAGGGCGGAGACGAGTGATTTTGAGTGATATGAGGTAATGACGGAATGATTTCACGTGCCGCATAGCGAGATGATACATTGACGAGACATACGATATATATATTGATTGTGGGATCTAATAAAATACATGAGCCCGTCGAGGGATACTTGGCGGCTTATACACTTAACAATTTCTGATGAGAATTAACATAAATGGATCCTCCCCTTTTCACGTTATAATAGGACCGCTTAAGAAGCAGCAGCATTTGGAAGATAACCGGCCTCATAATCTTTACAATACAAATTTTAATGAGAAAGTGATGGCATTGCTATTTGACTAGCGAAGAGATTAGATTGGAGGTTATTAAAGCTGCGGCAAGAAATTACAGAAATAGTAATAAATTAATAACATTACTTCTTAATTAGCAAGGAGATTAGGATCACTATTATAACAGAGGTTGTATTTGTTATTGCACGACCTAGGCCGAACTCATTTTGCTAACCATTTTCGGAATAAGAGAAAGAGAAAAGAGACATTACAAGATGCCCGTTGCTTAGCATAACTGTACTTATCAATATCCCTATTCCCTATCATGATAGCCATGTCCTAACAACATCTAGAGAGACCATAAGTGCTAGAACATATCTAGTCGCACCTTGATGAGATACACAAGACCGCTGATGCCGCAATCAAAGCTGACAACACTGAGCTACATGTAGTATTATTCGTCTTTCTCGATGCTTACAGCAAGTACTGGAGAAATTCCGTCCTCGGCAACTGATACGGACCAAATCTAATCACTCACATACGAGTTCTGAGGCTAGTTCGGTTCCTCATAGTCCTGAGATGGCGGGATCAAGCCCGGACGACTCACAAGCTTCCTTGCAAGGTCTTGTGCATACGCGCACATTGTCATTGTCGGATTCCAACTTCCTGACGTGGGGAAAACCGCTCCACCCGTAACAAACTAGACGTACATTGTTAGTTGAAGCTTGTAACGGGAATTAATGGGTGCACTCACTACATTAGCAATCCCATGTGGTCGGTATAAGCCGTCCAACGAGCCGCCTTTCTGCTTGCGTCCAACAAAAGCCGTGCTTCCCTCATGTACCACTCCGGGCGCACGAACTGATTCCGAAGAGGGCTTGTTTTCGACCCATTTATTAGCTCTGTCGTCCCAGTATTCAATAACTTTTGGTTGATTGCCCGAAAGAACTTCAATTGTTTGGTAGATTGCCTCGTCCATAGTATCCCACATCTTTTTATCTTTTGGGCACAATGTATATTGTACGGTGACATTGGTTGTAGGATCAGGCGTGTTGTTCAGTTTGACCCAATTCTTTCTATTGTCTTCATCCAGCTCACCCAATCCCGAGCAGACTGCCATTTCATATTAGTATAACCACTAAAGAAGATTGCAGGTAACTGTACGTGCTTACCAAACACAATATGCTTCTCAGAGCCCTTGAGCTGCTCATCCGAGGCGGCTGCGGCATAGTCAGGACATTCCCGCCCTGCGTCCTCGGCGTCAGCCTCTGGATTGGGACTATGGATCGCAGTAATCCCAATATGATATTGGCGATGTGTAACCGGATCTTTTCCAGCAAGATATGTGCAAGCAAGCTGGAGTGAATCATTCCCATTCCAATGGATAGCTTCACGTGGAATACGTGCTGCAATGTTTGACCGGACATGACCTGTCAGGCGTTTGCCAACATTGCCATTCGAGGGGCGACACTCCTCGAACGAGTTGAGAAGTAACGTGGCGTTAGGAACGGCCTGTGATGGATGTCAAAATCTTTTCTTTCTTTTTTTTACGACTATAATGCGGGTAGTATCCAAGCAACTTACTCCAGCGCATAAAACGACTTTTGTATCATCGTCAGTCCACGAGAGCACACCCCGATTGGTTTCGACAGCTCGGACGACTCCTCCATCGTCCTTTTTAAGTCCGGCGACAGTACAATTGATCATTAGCTCTAATGACCGTCCTTCTCCCGTATCAGCAAGTTTGCGCTGACTTTCTTGCAGCGCAAGTAGTGGGCCAGGAACGGAAAACTTGTTGAAGCGCATGGTGGATGTGTGCGACTTGGGACCAACAGCCAAGGGAGCTGGCCCGACAGAATCAGCAGTGCGAATTTGACCTAGCTTTTTCCCGAGGAGATCATCAATGGCATTCTGCATTTCACAGTAAATGCCGTCTCTTATTTTGTCAGCTGGTATCACATTGAGCAACTTCTCAGCAGCATGCCAGAAACCGTCCTCATTGGACGCATCAATCATGGATTTTGGGAAGTCCCTCATCAAGTCTTGAGTAGGTTGTGGGGTGTAGGCAGACCAAAAGGTGCTCCTCCCGCCGAAAAATGGGCATGATCCATGGAGGAAGCCAAGCTCCTTCGTCTTGAACGTCTCTGTAGAAAGTGTCCAAGGATAGGTTTCCGATGGGCCTCCGAGCACCGCCTTAAATGGTAGAGGGAGGTTTTGAAAGTGCGTTGGAAGCCAAAAGTCTACTAGCAGTTAGTATCAACAACGTTCCAAGACTCATTCAGTAACACATACCACCTCTTTCAATGCACAAAATTCGCTTCTTCTTATCATGCTTCAGCACCTCATCAATGAAAGCAAGTGCGGTGAAACCGGATCCAATCACAATGTAGTCAAACTTGCCATAGGAACGTATATTTTCCCAGGTATTATTACTAAAGTCACGTCAGTATCGGCGTACCGAGCACACGGCCAAAGAGTGATGATAACCTGACAAAGTAGTCCTGAACCATGACAGATGTAGCAGATGGATTCTGCTCGCCAGGAACAGGGAATCCCCCAATGTTAGCCTGCTTTGACTTTTGAACAGGGTCGAGAGGCTCTTCGCCGATTCGATTGTGAGAGCTAGGGTCTGTATGCGACGGAGTCTGGTCGTGGATTGCCATGGTGAACGAAACAATAATGTGATAGTACCAAGCTTAATAAATTTTTTAAAGTGTTCAATCGTGTCTATGAATATGATTATCTGTTGAGTCATACGAAAACAATACGGGGAGAACTATGGACGCTTTTATATCGCAGGTCCCGGTCATGTTCAAAACTCCACTTCAATATATGATTCTCCAATAATTTGGACCTCTATCTGTCTTGTTTTGGCAGGACTTGTGACTTGTGATTGGCTTTTCTGCACTGCACCCTACAACTCATAATCACGAATTGATTCGACCACAGCCGTGTGAATAGTTTGACCGACCACCTCTGGAGGATGACCCTGCCGCGAATGGTTTGCAAAGCTATTGGCTGCCTTTCGGAAGCGGAGGCTGCAGGGGGCCTGCAGAGGCGCTCGGAAAGCAGCTGAGTTTGTTGTCATTTTGGTGGCAGACGTGCCCAAAGTGCACCTCTTCCCTTGAGACCTCATGCATTCCAACCTATAGCGCCAATTCAGCTGAGCTCTCTTCCAATCGCTTTCTGTCAGACCCCTTCATATGTCAGCTCCCCGCGATAAGCCGCGCCACCACCTCTTCTACTGCTCTTCTGCATCCGATTAATCGTTTTGCGGTTGCAGCCGCAGCAGCTAAAATCCTACTAGTAGTACTACATATTAAATTATAAGCTCTCTTATTACATTCAGCTTAGCTCTCTTCCAATAGTTTTCTGTCAGACCCCTGTCTCAGCTCCCCACGATAAGCCTCTTTTGCTGCTCTCTGCTTCCGATCAATAGTTTTGCGGTCGCGGCTGCAGCAGCTGAAATTCCACCAATACTACCTATTAATCTATAAACTCTCTTATTACATAAGAGGAAGAGATGGTAGTCAATGGTAGCAAAGGAAGATGCAGGCTGCCAATCACCCTCCAAGTCACCAAGCTAAACATAAATGGGAAACCAATATATATACAGGGCTGCCACTCGCTTCTCATTGTTTTCCAATTAATGGTGGTTCAACAAGCACCTAGATTTAGCTGTCCTATCAAATAACACAGAGCATAACTACAAATCACAATCACCACAAATCCCATCACTTTAAAGTCTGTGAATTAGAGCCGATGATTGGCAATCATACAATGGTCAAAGCGCTCTTTGACAAACTTGGGTTTCAGAGTTACACAAGAGATGCTATAGGCTGCGACGGCACACTATTTGGATATTTACCCTGTGATTCTCCCCCGCACATAGGATTCCAAGTCGGAAACAGTACGCAAACATTCATTATTGAACCCGAGGCCTTCCAGATGGAAGACAACGGCAACAACAATTGTACGGCTACTATTACAGGCGGAAACATCGGAACTGGGGGCTGGTTAGTTGGACAGTCATGATTCCAAGGAAAATATATCGACTTCGATGTAACAGGCAATCAAGTTGGCGTGGCCAACCTCCACTAGGAGTCTGCTTTTTTAATACTGAATGTATAAAGATATATATATTTTCACGATTGGGATATACTTGCTTTTATGAAAGTCAATTTATAGCTGTGGGTGTCCTCCATCTATGCGCGTTACGTAAACAGCACTGCTCTTCTTGGCCCAAACAGTTGGACTTGGATAGTTGAGATGATTGTATAAAAAGTAAAGCCATACGCTGAGGTAATAGGAATGGATCTAAACTGTTGCACTGGGAACCGTTTCACTCTCATGACTCCGGAAGTGTAGTAATTTAACATATCCTCCAAATCAATGGTCGTTGGCTGCTGTCACACTAAGCGTCAAAGCGCTCAATCACTCTCAGCCATGCTGAGATTATTGTTGCCTATAGAATTACGTATGCCATAAAGGAGCACTGGTATGATAGTTAAATGTATACAAACGCGGTCGGGCCTTCTAAACGGAAAAAAAAGGGAAGCCCCTCCACATTCTTCTCCGCCTCTATCATCTCCTCCGCCGTTGGCCTCAACAGGCATTTCTTCCCTCTCCTCTTCTTCTTTTCTCTCTCCAAAATCTCTACTATCTTCTATACATGGCCACTGATGGAAATATTCGCTAATAATATGCCGAAACAAAAGACTATTGGCATCCGACAGCCCGAAACACAATATGTTGATCGATATGCCGTCCGGATTGTGGCGCTGAGTACTTCTGGCGACATTGCCGTTATCTATGCTGAGCAAGGCAACTATTATAAACTTCCCGGTGGCGGGATCGAAGTAGATGAAGATCATCATAGTGCCGCCCAGCGCGAGGTCGAAGAAGAAACTGGGGCGACCGTTTCCTTACGAGGCACTGGCTGCATAGCTACGACCGAAGAATTTCGCGACGACCTCCATCAGATCTCTTACTGTTACATCGCTGATGTTCTCGACATTTCCGGTAATCCCTCTTTAACAGAAGAAGAGCGCATCGATGGGCTTAGCCATCGATGGATGCCTGTCAACAAAGCCTTAGAAACCATGAACTTGGCTGAACCAACATCGGAGCTTGGTCGTTACATACAAACGCGCGACATTTATCTCCTTGCTGAAGCTAAGAAGGCCCTGGACAATGAAAATGGACAGAAGCTGGCCCTGATGTGAGGATTTTGCTATATAGCTGATAAAGTCTTGGTGTATCTCATATATTTATTTCCAACTCAATTCAATTAGTCGCTTTCGTGTTGCATATATCACAATTTCGTGTGCATATGAAGAATCTATCGCCATTGGGTGGAGCTAGATATGATCCAATGATTGTGTTAGTAAAACAATACCGTGTCTAATGGATGTTGTATTCGGGCGTTCCTTCGGCAAATCGAGTCGCTCCTTAAAGAGAAACAGCGTACCGAATTTTTGAACTTCCAAGGCCTTGGGATCGATAGGCCAATATAGCTGGAGTACCTCCTAGTGGTTCTGCATAATTACAACGCAAAGCTATCTTTAGTGGAAGTAGCAAAAGTAGTAGAAGCAGCAGCACCAGTAGCACCAACCACTGAGAGATGGTCTCTACTTCTATCTAAGCGCTCGCAAAACGCCATTGTAAAGCCTACTTCTAACTAATACAAATTAGTAATCTAATAGGTTAAGCATAAAATAAAGGTTATTTATAGCTCTTATTGTCATATCCCTTCTATTTCTATTCCCATCCATCACACGTGTCATGTAAGTTGTCCGAGAATTCGTACGCGTGAAGCAAAGTTAGAACTCGTTAATTGTCTGGAAACAACAACAAATTCGGGGTAGTGGCTAGTATACTGAGCATATTATGAAGCAAATGTTAATTTAATTTCTGATTTGCGATAATATATACTCATACTATCATTCATTTGCTTGATGCTGCTTGTGCTCCTTCGGGATCGTGCGCGACCACTTCAATTTCCACACGCATAGGGTCCTCGCCCAATCGTTGAACTCCAATGCAAGTCCAGATGGGTTGATGATTAGGCATATAAGTCTTGAAATTGCGCACCATGGCCCCCAATGCCGCGTCGTCGAGAGGAAGATGGTAAGAGTTGACACGATAGACTTGCGACCATCCTTTGCCGCCAGCATCCTTCAAGGTAAGCTCAACATTGGCGAAAGCTTGATCGATTTGCTCATTGATATCGCTTTTGAACTCGCCGGTGGTGGGGTGCCACCCTCCTAGAAGCAAAAATAACATGTGAGCCGAACTAATTATAGCACACCGTTTCCCGCCTTACCTTGGCCAGAGATTTCAATTCGATCGCCAACACGGACGGCCTGGTTGTAAGAATATTTCTCTACATTCTTTTTACCAACGCCTTCGTAAGAATAATACTTCAAATTAGACATTTTGATGTGAGTTTTTTTTCTCGTGAGACTTTCAGAGGGGGTGATGCTCCAGTATTCACAGTGAAGGAAGGGCAAGCTTATATATACCTAATTGCTGTTTCATTGATGCGAGAGTAGTACAGCCAGCAGTTGGTTTGGGTATCACAGACTGATTTGATGATTTGTCATTCGGTATCTAGTTTGTGTGTGATTCGGCTTCCGGTTTGTAAGCAAGGAATGAACAGAGTGGTACGAGAAGCCGGAGATTGGTTGCACGGTGGGACAATGCAACGTTCTGCGGTGAGATGTACGTAACACAGTTTTTATCTAAACAGAGCCTGGCGATTATTGATATGCCGCTTCATTATAGTGCGGCATTGAACATTACGGGTAAAAATGCGCCAGAAAGGCTCATCGAAAAGCTGTTATTGCAATGCACTAATAAACTTCTCCATAAAGAGTTTATTATAGATAAAATAGTCAAAAGATTAACAAAATGATTCTCTCTACTACTATCGAGCTCAACTATTATTTCATCATTTACTTGTGGATCTGCGGTTCGAATGCAGTATGCGTGTGTTACTATAATAGGAAATAGGTCTGGTCAAGCTATCAGAAGTCGTTAATGGCACACTGCTTTGTTTATTGCAACATCAATATCATCGGGGTTACGGCCGAGTATGCGGGGTGTGGTAGCGGGGAAAATTCCGGCTTAAGAAATGGCTCAACCAGAAGGCTACGATAGAACATGCAGCAAACTTTTTTTTTTTTTTTTTTTTTTCTTAAAGGCTTGAACTTCTGCTATTCTCCAAGAATTGCGCGCAGAAACCCGCAAAATCACACGAGACTAAAGCATGAAACATGTCTGGAGAACGGAATACAGTCTCATGTTTCATCAGCAAGCACGGCTCCCATAATCCACGAACTGATATTAATTTTCACGTGCTGCTCCAGATATAATTTGAGGTCCCTAAATTGCCGGCCAGAACCCTTGAAAATCCCACACTTTGATACAAGAGGTAGTCTACATGTTATGTAGCTCACGTATGGCTATGTATTGTATCGCAGTAAGTATACATTTGATGATGGTAGCTAAGCAGTGTTTTCCGCTTCAGACTCCGGCAATGTTGAAGATCTGAACTTTAGGATAAAAAGTTAACTACCGTAGGGAAACTGGCAATAGCCCATTGGTTATAATGGCTTAATAGCAAGCGAGGCGGGGAATGTTGCGTCAAATAAAGTATACCACCTCTCAGCTCAGGCAAATCTTCAATTGAGAAAAGAAAAATGCCCCTTTGCTTGCCCAAAAGCTATCATACCATGAGTGAGTGTTGCGTCATGCTTTTGGTTGCCAAATTGACATGAGATAATTATCCCACCAACTAGTACATAGCTGACGTAGCAGCACGCAGTACGGTCGTTCCTAATTGACCTGCAACTTGTACAAGTTGTGAGGAAACAAAAACAATTTGTTGTCGTTTCAGAAACACTCCTTAAAAGATAGAAATTACGTCTTTTCCAGTTTTTCGTTGTAATTTGAGGCTCCAATGTCATGAATGGAGAAATAAAAAAAAGGAAGATTAACGCTTCAATGGAGTCGGGGCAATGATAGCCTAGTGATGAAGTCAAACAACATTAACTTCTAAGCCTTGTTGCGGCAACAATGTATACTTCAATCGACAAAACAATTATCCCAGACTTTTAGAAATATCCGTTTCTAAAATATTAATTAAAACGCGGTAGAGCTTCGTTGTAATGTTGATAGCCATCTGAAGCATTCAAAGTTGCGTCCTTTATCAGCATTTAAGCTATTGTGATTGGCTCCATCATTTCGCGAATCTCACACTAAAACAAACTCTTTGGATAAGCACCCCCTCACTCAAGCAATAGGATAACCTTGGCTCGCTCAATCTCAGTATCTGTGCTTTTAAATGCTTGGCCTTCAATTAGGCTCAAATGACCTCAATATCTGAGCAACATGCCTCAAGAGACCACACCAAGATCAGCTGCGCCATGGATCCTTTCGGCGGCTGCTGCAGCCTTTGCAATTGGTGTCGCGACATCGCCTGATACAATAAAGAACATCTTCTTTGACATCCAGGACGTAATTGTGACATATAAAGGTGGAAATGTTCCTCAGGTATTGACAGGGCTCCCACCCCAAGTTCAATCCATACCTCCGTCGACATTCGCAGCCCTGCCAGCGGTTCCTCCCGAGAATATCGCTAACATCACAACCGCAAGTACTGGATTCCCGTGTATCTACCTCATTTATTAATTTATTGGCAGCTATTTATTCCGCCGGGCTCTACGTTAGAGAGCTTAAAGGAACGGCCATTTCATGTGTATCACCCGGACTTCCTTAAAATTTTGGGCCGAAGTCCAACTCTCACGCTCATCGCTGACGCAGGCACGGATCCTCTGTTCCATGAAGCTGTAGTTTGGTAAGATGGATGCCAGGTTCTTAATTACAGAGTCACCATTTCTTACGATGCTGTCAGGTATCCCCCCACGGACGAGGTTTTTATTGCACAGAGTGCTGGACCTCCGTCCGCTGGAACTGGGCTAAAAAAATCCAGCATGATTTCGAAGATCTCCCTGATTGAAGCCATGGCAGTATCGAATGAGCGAAATGCCATTGGCAAAGTTCAAGTTCACACTGTTCCCACCGAGCCTCCTGTTATAAACCCTAATGGTAATCTTGAAACTCAACTATCCCCCCTTCTAAAGCATCTTCTCATTCATATTAGGGGGAACAAATTACAATGGCGCTATCCTGTTCACCGGAGAGGGGATGGGTCCAGATGTGCCGCCCACGCTCTTTATAGCCAATCCGAGGGAGCCATACAACACTTCTAGTAAGTAGCTCAGTAGCAACTTATTATTAATTTTATTCTAACGGGATGCCTTCCAACCAAGTTCTCGTCAACAACTATTTTGGTCGCCAATTCAACTCTCTCAACGACGTTTCTGTTAATTACAGAAACAAACATATCTACTTCACGGATACGGTTTATGGCTACCTTCAAGACTTTCGGCCAAAACCTGGTCTCCCGAATCAAGTATATCGATTAGATCCAGCTACTGGAGCCGTTACTGTTGTAGCAGATGAGTTTGTGCGCTGTAATGGTGAGCCGTATCCAGTTTGCCTCTCTGTCGACCTCTTATTGACCAGAAAATAGGCATCACATTTTCTCAGGACGGTCGATACGCATATGTAACGGATACTGGCGCATCTAAAGCATTTTATGGCTTTGATAACACGGGCGCCTCGACAATGTATGTCTTACGCCATTACGCTATTAAGCCTTACATTGGAACGAAGCTGACAATAGTTGAACACTTTTCACAGATATCGTTACACGGTCGCAAGAGATGGAACTTTTGAGCACCGAAAAATGTTTGCATATGCTGCAGTCGGTTTTGTAGACGGTAAAAATTAACCTTCTTTCGGTTGTCTAGTGCTCAACTAACCTCGCTGTCTCTAGGAGTACACTGCGACTCCAAGGGCAATGTGTATGCCGGCGTCGGCGATGGAATACACGTGTGGAATCCTTCGGGGACTTTGCTGGGCAAAATATTCCTCGGTGAGGCGTCTGCAAACTTTCAATTTGCGGGCGATGGTAGAATGGTCATCGGGGCTGAAACACATTTGTACTATGCAACCCTGGCCGCAAAAGGCGCACCAATCTCGTAATAGCACATGCTATTAATTATAAAATACCAGTGCTCTCAATTCAGGCGTTATGAGTTTAGGCAAAAGGTGCTGTCTCATTCATTCAATCTATAATTTTTGCGCGCCAATTACAAAACAATCACAAACGAAGGCAGCTAACTAACTAATGAAGAAGAGTTTAGAGCCTGTTCAATTGCTGGCTAATTCACAGGTACGACGTATCTACGTAGTACTGTGAAGCATAACTACCACCTAATATGCTTCCAATGGCCAATGGGCTGCTCAGTTTCGAAGCAAATGACGCCCTAGTGCCTGATGCTCCAGCTCCCGAGTTCCCGTATTCCCCCAGAGAGACATGATCTGTCCGCTCGTCTCCAGTGTTCCAAATATGCCATCCGGCGGAATTGATAACACTGCTCAATGAAGAAGACTGGAAAGCGACTCTTGCATAATCTCCCCACGGTCTCCCTAAATAATATGCTCCGCTTGTGACGGTCTTACCAGGAGCGGCTGCGATGGTGGCTTGATTGAACACATAATAACTAGACGTGTTGGATGAACGCCCAGATGCAGTGACATATCCAATAGATGCAGGAAGTACTCCAATCGAGCACTTCTCAAACCAGGCAGTGGCCGATTGACCAAAGATGAAATCGGTGGCGCCTTCGATGTAGCAAGCTGAAAAGAGTTGGGCGCCCGTTTCTGCAAGCACAGTATCTTGAAAGCCCTTGAAAGAACAGGCATAGTAGCCCTGATTCCCATTATTGGCGCTCAATGCAAGAGCTTGAGATCCACTGCCATATGAATTGACAACATTCACGTTGTATAGCTTGAAATTGGTTGTCTCGACTCTTAGTGTGCCCGTTGCATCATCGCTAGGCTCATTTGCTAAACTGTGAGCCGAGGTAATTGTAACGACATTCGAAGAGTACAACGCCGTGTTTTGAGTATAACCATATATGGTAAGCGGTCCGGCGAGCTTATTAACTGTGACTTGCTCGTTGTAAGTGCCAGGGTTGATGAAAATGATTTGTTCTTGAGATGTCGACTTCAGGGCATTTACAGCCGCTTGAATCGTTGCATAGTTTCCAGAACCAACCACAAGTGCACCGGCGGGCGGAGTGGTTCTACTAGCCGCGAGAGTTCTTGCTGCAAAGCTGAACAAAGCGGCGAGGATAGTATGAGGCTTCATCGTTTATGTGGCTATAGCCAGTTTTCGAGGATATAATATTTATCTACAATATTCTGTAGCGTGACGGAATCCATCAGATCCAGGCGTGGTCCATGCGGACAATTTATATTTCGCAAAACTCCTCCCCGCCTCTATTTAGCCACCATAAGGCTCCTAAAAATTAATTACATCTTGTTTATATGACTTCAATGCGATAATAGAAACAGACAGAATACTTGGCTATACGGCATTGAACGCTTTGCTCCAAATTAGCGGAGCGGTGGCTATTTACATGCTTGATCCGCCCCAATTGGAGTCGCGCATATGTAAATCCCATGTACCGAAACTACTCTACTCCATCAAGGCTAATATGCAGCTTCGGTATTAATGCCCGACAACAAGAGGGAGTGGACGGCACATTATGGGCTAAGCTTTCGAAGGCAGTGGGCTATTAGGCTAATTGGTTGTTAAGCTTCATCCGAAACACTTTTATTGTGATACCCGGTAGGAACAAATGTATCCCATCATAGGGCCCCAAAATGAAAGCATAGTATGCTTTAGAGCTGAATAGTTGCTGTGCTGCAAGACCGAAGCCGGCTGCAGTCTAACCTACAAATAGCCTGCTACTATTGGCTATCGAGCTGCAGCTTAGTGCGGGCGGTTGTATGGATACGTCTGTGAGTTTGTCAAGTGTTTCTGTGAAGGCGAGGTTATTGCCTTGTATTTGGATGGGATACGTGAGAGTTGAAGAACGCAGCTGGCAGGATTTCATGGTCAATGTTGTGTTACTGCACTTACCTGTATTCGTGGCTATAAAACACCAGGGATGTTATACTTGGCGTGTTACTCTGAGAAGCAAAAGGTACGTCCCATGAGGCATTGATTGGCAACAGTGTCTTGTCATTGGGGGTGGCTGTTGGTATGATTGAGCCAGGGTTTATTAAAAAATCGGAAGTCGAGCAATTGGCCACAAATCCGCCTGCCTGCACGACACTTGTACATGTATCAGCGCACCCGGTAAAGATATTAGTGACTGTACTCTTTTAATTATATGGATTAAATGCCTGGAGCACCGGGAAGCTCATGCTGGTAGATTCTTGGTCCGCGACTGACCCGTACTAATCTGTGTAGCCAAATGGGATCTCTTGTGCTATTGGAGCAATTACAGAGACTGCTAGGCTCGGATGCTGAGAGACGACGGATGACGCTCGTTGAATAAGCGGCTGATCGATTGCGATAAGCGTCACAGCAAGCTTTGCTAGCGAGATGATGTTGAAGCTACGATGGGGCATCGCCCAATTGTCATGGAGACTAAACACCGTAGTGCCACGAATTGCAGCATTCCACCAAGCCATCTTGACGCCCTCGCCAACCGCCACTAGTGCAAGGATGTTTAGAGCCGTCGTGAGCAGCGCCATATATACAATCGGGGAAACAGGCCAATTGGCTGGCCGTTTGAAGCTACAGACGCGGCTATACATGCAATACACCCAACGAGAGCTAGAATGCCGATATACGGGAGCCGGTGTACGACCCCAGGAGACCATTTGGAAATCAAGTAGCTGCTTTAAGAAGATTTTAAAGACTTGTATTTGGAACATTCGTACAAAGAGAAGCACATAAGATATAACTTTAATCCTTGGTTAAGCCTGTACACACCGCTATATTTTTATCAGACACCATGGTTGAACACTTGCCAGGGCTTATGGCTAGGCTGAAATATATCTATTTAAAATGAATAAATAAATTTCGTTATTATAGATAAAGCTTTTGGTGTGCTTATGCTTTACTGATTACATACTAACTCTAAACTGGTCGTCTAAACTTACTATACTACTATTGTAGGTTAAACCCTATACAAAATTTGTAAAACAATCACCTCTGTACCAACTTGTTTCAAATAGTTCCGGCAGGCATTTGACAAATAATACCCTGGTCGGCCTGTGTTTATGTATAAATCTATTAGCATAGACCTCCGAGACTAATGTCAGAAATCGACTTTGGTATACTTACAGTAGGAGCAGCGCAGCAAAGAGGCTGTAACCCTACAGCAGCACAGGCATTCTGGAAGGACATGCTATCAGAAACTTGCGCTTTGGCTATTCAGATTAGTAAGAAAATAAAGTCTCATGAACCTTAGAAAGAAAAGTCCTTACGAGCCTCGCAGTCAAGAAAAACAACGCCAAGTATACCACTACCACAGCACAAAGGGTTGGAGTAAAGACCAGTAGGGCAAATAGCAGCAAAAGCACCGGTAGCAAAGATGGCAACGATAGAGAACTGCATTTTAACGGTGTTAGAAGAGTCAATGCTACAACAAGTTGTTAATGAATGTAGAATAGTGCAGTAATGGATGCTGTGGAAGAAGAGGATTAATTTTCGATTAATGCTGGGAGAGATGGTCGACTTTATACATTTCTTTCTGCCTCTTCTAACTCTAGTAAATGTCTACTCTGCCTTTTTTATTCATTCTGTTTTCTACTACTTTCTTTCAGGTCAATAGCTATATTTAGCTAATCATATGCAGGGAGAGTATTACAACCTCGCTTATGCTGTATCATAAAAGGGATAGGTAGGGAGACCAAATCTGGTACTACCTAGGTGTCCTATATTCTAGTCAATGATACAAAGCTTATATTTCAACTTTCAAGCCCTCTCTTAATATATTAGCTTTCTTATTGGGAGACTAGACGAAGTGAAAATCTAACCTGTTGGGCTGAATTAAACGAAAGTATTATATTTATAGTTTTAACAGCTAGCAGTAGGATTGTAGTCTATCTAAGAATAATAATAATACTAGGCTGTACATATCATAAAGTTCGGATGAGTGTTGTAGGTTTTTTTAGTTAATGTAGTAGTGAGGCAATGGCCAATTGTCGACTTGTTCTTTGAATATCTTCGTGGAACCGCATGTATTATCAACTAGATGCTAAGATCAATCAGGCTTCACATAACAAAGACGTATGTTTACTCAGTTTTATTCTACTTGTCAGCCCACCACATTTAAAGCAACTGTAGAAAAATTATCCGTACAAAGTAGCAGATTTTCTCATTGAGACACCAGTGGGGAATCAGCTGTTTAGCTTAACATATCACAGTGGCTGGCTGAAAACCCCTGGGCGACTGTGGCTGGCTGAAAACCAAGAAGACAGAGCTAGCTGCACTATACTAGCAATTTTAGAACTGTTATTGGCTGATGCATTGGCCCGTGCCGTTCCACTGCCAGCTTGGCACTAGTAGACGCTATTGGTGGCTAAAAGACACTATCGGCTGGTTTCCCCCTAGCTCGCGGGAAATGACTAAGAATCTGTTTACATACAGGGAAATCGAGCAGCCGAGGTTCATTATTATTACATTTACGCATGCTTTCTCTATTTAAGAATGAGTTTCTTATTGCATTTGCACTCTTAAATTTGGTATATGTTGTTATTCTTGCTTAGAAGTTACGCTTGAGCTACTACTGTACTAAGTGGGTGCTGGAATTGGTTGCGTTTATGAGCCATTAGCTCTATTGCACCCTCGGCCAGAGCTTACACGGCAGGTCTGGGGCTGTGTTGCTGGAGGTTAAAGCTGTGGCAAAAGCTGCCGCTACCTTAGAGGCGTGGGAGCAGTGTAATGCCCTGCTTAGCTGGTCGTAAGTTGTTCTGCTGCCTCTCCTTCTCCTATCCTATCCTATCCATGCCCAATTCCCCCGTTTAACCCAGGCTTGGTAAATTTTTATATGTCTGAGACTAATTAATAAACCTTCATGTCGCAGGCACTACGAAAGGCTGTCCCACCATATGCTTGCTATAATAGACAAGGCCACTCCCAGCGATAAGTCCAAAGTATTAAACATAATTAGGCGAGACTATGCCAGGCAGCTTTATCTTGCGCCGGTAGAGGGGGGCAAAGGTACTAAAGGTGCCCCGAAGACTTAAATAGTCTCATTAGTACACGCCACCTAGCCGTCGCTTATTAAAGCAGTAATAAAAGATGTAAACACATTAAAGATACTAGCAGAGCAGTAGATTAGCAGCATTACAACGGCATTACTCTTAATAGGTATCAAGTGGGTTCTGGGGTTATACACTAGAAAGTTATTACATCTGTGGGCCATATGCTTTATCGGGGTCGCGCCGACAACAATGACAAGCACGCCAACGTCGCAGCTAACGAACCTCAAAAGGGCGGCCATAGAAGCAGAAGCAAGGATAGAGGCCAATCTATCAGGGCCCAAGAGGGTAAAGCAACAACAGATTAACTTCGGATGCTAGATCCCGTTTAAGCGTATTTCTGACCTAGTTTACGAGTACATAGTAATTCAACTCTACTGCAGTTTCCTTTGCAATTTGGTGGGAATAAGCATGAACAAGGGTACTAGAGTTGGGTTTTCGATACCCATGTAGAGTTGATATCTGACCACTGACCCTTGTACAGTTGGATTACATCCGGCCAATCAGAACTATAGGAATCTCTTATAGAGCCCTAAAGCTATCCAATAACAGTCACGTAGGCTAATAAATTACACCGCAGTTTCAGTAATTCCTTATCAGGGAAGCTTATTTATGATAAAGGCATTGTTATAGTAAATAGTAAACTTACGCTTGGGTATTGGGTTAGACCTATAAATTTAATACTTAGATTTCGTACCCAGGGCATAAAATATTCACTCTAAATCTTAAACCCCAAGGTATAAAATATTAACCCAAGGAGGCTGTTCCTACAGTACCACTACAGGAAGCAAGTGGCAGCAGGCTGAGAATCCCAGGCCAGGGTCCAGTTTCTGTCACAGAATGCCTATGCAGCAACAGAGTATATAGAGGAGGTTTTCCAGATTCACTTCGTGCCCGAGATGCAGCAGTTTTTCGCGGGGAGGGTCCGGAGACTTCTTCAGAAGCGGGGACGCAGCGTCAAGCCTTCAGACGAGCATTGGGAGAAGCTCAGAAAGGGCCGTCTATGCCTTGATGACTGGAAGGCTGCGGGTTAGGACGGCATGGCCGCATTCAGCTCCGAGTAAGTATGATTACCTAGATATCCAAGCATCATCCATACCATCACATCAAAAGCCAATGCCCGGGCACCTAAGCGATAGCAGATGCAGATAAAGTCGCAGAGAGCCAACCGGCGAGGGTGACGTAGAAGATTCAGCAGTATTGTAGCGGAAATCAACGGCGCCCTAGATGAAGGGCAAGGCCAGCTGAAGGAGGTGATTACAAGTGAGAAGCTGGAGCAAGACAGATACGTCGACCATATCCTGGGAGCTCTCCAATCCATAAGTGGCAAGGTAATGGACAGGACTCTCAGCTCAAAGAACATGATGTGGCTGTCGAGTCGGAGATCGCGCGGGAGGGCGAAAGGCGCAACGCTAAGGAGAGTTGCATCGACTTCGGGTGCAAATGAAGAGGGGAGGGACGCGGGCGGCCCTGCTGGCAATACAAATGCTGTGGTTCCTCGAGCCGGACCGGTTCGTGTGGAAGAAAGCCAAGGGCAGGAGAAGAGAGAGGAAGAGGCAACAATGTACAGCGCGCAGTACGTGCGCCAGGCAGCAGGTAAGCCACGTCGGAGACAGCAAAAAACTTGAATTAAGGAACATAACGCAGTACGTATCGCGGAATAACCTAAAGAACCAATCCCTGAGTCCTTTGTGTGCATTATAACAAGCAGTCCGGTTGATCTGCGCGACTTTGCCTTAAAGCGGACTGGAGGAGCTCGTGGAGGAGCATCGCATCTGGAGAAGCTGGCAGACCAACTGGCCCATGGGCTATGTCGAGATTTTGAAGCAGAATCAGGGAGGACTTCTCGAGACATTAAATGGGACGTAAATATTCTACCCTTTAAGGTATTACCAGAAGGTACATTAGCTATACTAGCCAAATCGCCATCATCTATGGCTAACGTAGTGTTAGAGCCAGGCTAGGTTTAGCAAAAAAGATGGACATTTTTCTCTTTACATTAGATTTGGAAAAAGTTCTTCCAAAAATTATGTAATGACATAGAAATACATAGTATATCTATCTTTTAAACCGCGTGGTTTATTAGATTAGCACTAAACCTAAGCATAAGCCCGCTTACAACGCGGTTAGATAACTTAAAAAGGGCGGCCATGGAAGCAGAAGCGAGGACGGCGGGAATTTCATCTGGGCCCACAAAGGTTAAGAGATAGCGGACTGACTTTAGATGCAAGATCCCATATAAGCGAGCTTCTAACCTTATACAGACAGGATTTGATTAAGCTCGGCAGTATAAGAAAGACCAGAAAGGTGCTGGACAACTATACCACAGTGTTCTGCATCCTCGCTCTGGTTTTCTTATTTGACAATAGCCCTGCACTGATCAACCCACTTCGGGTTATTGCTCTCGAACACCTCTGATGAAATCCGCCGGCCTGCTCATCAGACTTTGTAGCAGCCGTAGTCGCGCCCGCAGCGTTTCCTGGCTGGCTATCCGGAGTATCTCTGACTTTGCGTTCAGTTGACTGCCCCTGCTATTAATCCAGCCCAATGTCGCAAGTATGTTGTTTATTATCTTATCAAGCAAAGCTGCGAAGCTGCTTTGCGAAGGTACCACCGGAGTCAAATGGCAGCTTCCAGCTTTGCTTCTATTGATCAGACAAAGTGCCAACGCTAGAGAAGTCTTAATATTTCTCAACTGGCAATTGGTTGTTTTTGCCCAAACACACCGCTTTTGAAAGTAGCTGAGACTTTATTTTGTTGTTATTTTGAACACTAAATATAAGTCTCACGATGTTGCTTTTGTAGCGTTGATGTGTTTTTGTATCTTGGATCAAAAATGAATCACAATTGCTGCTTCAACACTGCGAGAAAGCATATGGTATAGCAACGATACATAATAAGGAACAAGTCTATCCTTTACGCATAGGAAAACTATCTTGCAACTGCTATTATAAATTTAGCGAAGATCTCGGATGAAAGAAGCCGAAAGAAGCGGATCTTGCCGGCACTTGGACTATTTGTAAGTGATAGGGTGCGCCTCTCGGAGAGCTTTTAGGAAACTGCAGTGCTCCAATTTAGTATAGCGCTCAGATCGTATGATACATGAGATATTGACCTTTTTTGGCCTTCTACTTATAGAGATAGAAAGGAGGACAATAGTACTCCGGTGTTATGAATGGATTGTAGACAGTAAATGGGCTGGCTACTGGTCTTGGGTTTGCTTACTCTACAGTATATGGCCTTCCCGTTACCGTCTACTGGCTGTTCCTAGTGAAACACGCTGGGGGCTTAACTCTATTCACTTAGAGGAGTTCTTTGCTCATCGTCAAGTTCATCATCTTGTTTCAGTCTATTCCATAGCGGGGCTAAATTTTCGAAATGAGAGCAGACTTGTCCGTGTTTGGCTTTCTGCTGAGCTGGGCTGATCGATGTAAGCTTGGGGAGACCAGGATTTTAGCGCTGATTGTTAAGTAATCGGATAATCGTATTCTGAAAGCTGAAAATAAAGCAACAACCAGACTTCTATTAATACACAATTAGTTGCGATTAGTATAGTTTCATGGGAAGTTTCGACTAATTATACTTGTAGCAAAATCTGTTGACAATAACTCGAGCGCTGTATTAGTGACTGTGAGGGTTTGACGGATTGGGGTCCCGCTGAGCGGTAAGTAAGATGACTATTGACTCAGCCCTGCTGCTAGCCCAAGCTCAAGGCACATCTCACCGTTCTTTGTCGCTTCGTAAAATTTTAGTACTGCCTAATCGAGGCTATCAGTTAGGCACAGCTACTCTAGTGTCTTTATGGAGAAAGCAAATTGAGAACAGGGGTCTGGGTGATCGTCATATATAAGCCAGATGTATGCCAAGCCAGCCTTCGCTCCTCATACCATCAATTACTTTTTTTACTGTTCCTTTTAACAACGGTCGAATTGTCTTTCGTTACTCTTTAATTTTTCCATTCGCTCATTAATCTTGTGTTACCATACTACTTACTGCCTCTAATAACCAACATGTCTAAAGAGCACCAACAGAACAGCTGGGCACACGGATTATTCGATTGTTGTAGCCCTGCTGGCCTTTGTCTTAAGACGTTCTTCTGTCCTTGTATCACATTTGGCAAGGCAGCTCATTTAAAGAACCATAACAACTTGGATGACTACTCCTGCTGCAATGGATCTGTAAGTCCTACCATTATTGCAGACTCTATCAACAGAAACCGGAAACAAGGTTAACGAGTTCAGTGCTGTCTATTCGCTGTCCTGTTACATTGCTCATTGCACTTTATCCCTGCTACGATGCAACGAGGCGATGTGCGCGAGAAATTTAATCTCGAAGGTAGTTGTTTAGGAGATTGTTGCAAATCTTGCTGGTGCACTTGCTGTGTCTTGATGCAGAACGAGAAGGAGTTGGAACAGCGCGAGTCTCTCTTGAGAGGCTCGTCTCAGGGATACCAACCGAACGGTGGTATGGAGTATCCTCAGGGAAACTAATTGGAGTGGACTACGACTATACGAAGACGATACTTTGACTCATAAAAGACGATCGAGATGCTACGCCGCTCTTAGGAGTATACATACTATAAGAGGGTTCCGAATATGCAGAAGATGCCGGGAAAAAAATTACAGTGGAAAGTTTTATTACAAAGTCTGCGAGGGAAGCTGTTAGATCAGCAGTGTTGTTTATGGTTTGAGATTTTCGCTTCAAACTTTTGATCAAGGTTTATCATATGAGATTGGATGTGGCATCCTAATATTCTGAAAATATGTTTAATGGGAAATATCATTATTATCTATCAATCTCTTGTCTATTGCGATCGCTGTGGTTAGCGACATTACGTGAATACTGTCGCCTAAGATGACTGAAGGGCTTAGGGGGAAACAGGAGCGTGCAGTGGAGAGATCGGCGTTTGTTGTGGAGGGGCTTGAGATGGAAGTAAATACTGTAATACCTCCAATCTCTCTATTACTGAAACTAGACTTTAAGTGCTAGACTTTCCAGCGTCTGAAGCCATTCACGCATTTTGATCTGCGCACCTTAAAGGGTTCTGAAATGCCCGAAACTTTCAGTAAATTGTCGCTTGTAGAAGGAACAAGAATCTCTTGTGTCATTTCAATCGCGCAACCACCAAAGAGCCTTATTGAAGCTTCTCACCCGCTGGTGCCGTAGCAGTGTCACCAGATGTCCTAGGTTAATCATGAGAGCATGCACAGGCTTTCCTTTCTAACGGGTAGTAGTTTAATGGGGTTTAAATCTCCTGAAAATGGCTGAAGCTGCTTACATGCTCCTCTTGTAAGAGTTGCGGATGCGACAAACCGTCACGGCCACTGGCCCCAGCCCGCCTTAGCTCAATTCTTCAAAGAATGATTTCTCAATCTACTCCAGCGACGCAACGCTGTATGTGCGCGTACAATGAACTATTCCCATGAAGAGAATTTTGTCATCCGTTTTAATTATGGTGAATTCATTCTCAGGGTAGATAGCACACCGTTATTGAAGTCGCAAAGCCGTGAAAAATGATGCAATTTGCCGCAAGTCCGCTAGACGTCATGTGATCTTCAATTTCTAATCTGCGTGGCTCTAAAATTCACGGTAAGGCTAGAAACTCCTCGTCAGAGCTCACAATCTTCACTTGTTAACCATCTCCTCTACCTTTACAGCTCTACATATATCCCATTTTCTTTACAATAATATCACCATGCCTTTAATCGACGTGGAGGCTCCTCCCACGAGCACCGACACTCACTATGTCGTCTACTTTGCGTCACCGGAGAATGGCCAGTCGTCATGGTGCCCTGACTGTCGAAACGCTCTTCCGGCTCTCCAGAACGTCTTTGGTGCAGAATCAGCGCCTTCGGCATATGTGGTCCAAGTTACCCGCGCGGAGTGGAAGGGCAACCCGAACCACAAGTGGCGCGTACAGCCATTCAATATCAGCGGTGTCCCTACCATCGTGAGAGTGGAAAACGTAAGTTAATCATCCTAGACGTTTGCTTATATTGTCCTTATGACTAATTATCATCTCAGGGCAAGGAGGTTGCGCGTCTTGGAGACATTGAGGGCCAGGAAGAGTCGGCTTTGAGAAAGCTGATTGCATAAGCGACTGAGCTTGTGAGATAAGATGGCGTTTTCCAGCCCTACTCCATTACAGTTAAATTCTTCATGCAATTGAATCGGTCTCCCGTGATCTCTGGTTCAAATGTGAACCAGCGTACAACTTGACTGGGAGAACCCAAGATAACCTGGTCTAATATGACTGGAATGTTTCAGCAGCGCCGTTTGCAACATGGTGATGGAAGTCACTATGACGCTTTAGTGATTTCTCATCTATCCAGACGACTATCCACGCGATTTCTCTTGAAACTAAGCCTCTAAAGTTGACTGTCCTGTAATTATTACAGAGCACTTCATCGTTCATTGGGGATGATCCATGTCTTTTTTCCAAGTCTGTCTTATAGACCGGAAGAGCACGACCAACACCAGAGGTTTCACGATGGAATGCACCAGTACAACTGCGTCTGCCATTTAGTAAAGGAAATAAATCGTGTAACATAGAGTAGAATATGCAGAACCAGTAGTTTATACGGTGCGCGAGAATGTTTGCCATGGCAATGAGGCGCAGAAGTAGCGGTAGCAGCTTGAGAAGCAGAGCTTCTTAGTCTCGCTTCTTAATTCGAGGAAAGCTTAGCCAGACTGCAGATATTACGGCAATAAGCGCCAGAATAATAGGCTGCAAGACTGAAACGCTCCTGTGCGATGCAATAGCACCAATGATAAAAGGAAACACCGTTCCTCCTGTGCCACCCATGGCCATGGCGAACCCGATGGCGCTGACATGAATGCGCTTCGGCAACAGCTTGGCTGTCACCATGACGGCACCGGGGAACATTGGCCCTAAGAAGAAGCCTAGAAAGGCAACAGCAACAGCAGAAACAACAAACTCTGGGACGAGCCAGAATAGAAGCTGCAAACCGAGGCAGATGCCAAGGTATATGGCCAAGCAGAGCCTCTCACCGAATCGCTCCGTCACAAATCCCAAGGCAGCGCGGCCAACCGCCATGCCTGCCCAGAAACCCGAGCCAGAAATTCCAGAAGCATAAGCTGAAGCGTGTCGAACGCGGAGCATGAATGTGACTACCCAGCCACCAAGGCCGACTTTTATCCACGAGTGTTAGTGTCAGTATGCGGAGAATGGTATGGCAATAGGCATGAGAAAAACTTACCCTCTACGCCCATGTAAGCAAAGAAGAAGAGCGCACAAAGCCAGGTGACTTTGGACTTCATTGCCTCGCGAGTTCCAACACCAGCAGCCCCGGCTTCCGCATTCTCGTTTGCATGTTCTGCTTGATACGCGGCGCCTGTCTTATCCCAGAAGACAATGACGAGCCCCACAAACTCCAGGCCTGACATGCCAATCTGTTTGAAGAGTTAGTTTACAAATCCTCTCATTTCGTGGATATACATGTCACGCCAATATCTCACCATGATATAATAGAAGGTATACCAAGGCAGGCCAGCCTTGACAACCATGGAAGTGGCAATCAACGGCGAGAACAGTGCTCCAAGAGAGTAGCACGAATGCAAGAAACCTTGGATCGTATTTGCCTTATCCATGGCGCCTACCCATGCGCAGAAACATGCGTCTGTCAAGCCATTTCCAAAGCCGCTGATGGCATTGCACACAACGAGAGCTGGATATGGCGGGTGAGAGGCGAGGACGGCAAAAGTTATGAGATGACAAATGGGCGCCATGATGGCCACGCCCCGCTGGCCGAATAGGACATGGATTCGAGCATTGGTAAAAGCAGCGACTGAGTAGCCGAAGAAGGGGGTGAGGAAAATAAGGGATATGACGGTGTAGCTGAGGTTATAGTACTCTTCAAGCTATACATTGAACGGCATTGCGGTAAGCATAACATTCCAGAACTCTATTGCTATAAAGTCAATATCGAATGAGGCGGAGACTTACATATGGGATCAAGGCCTAGCCGTGTTGCAAATTAGCCCATCTTCATCACATTGCACGATACACCGTACAAGAACTCAGTAAACTCACACCAACAGCGGCATCATTCATGCCCGCAATAGCAAACGACACAAACGCAAACGCCAGCCTGCCGATATTCTTCACTGGTCGATTCCACCGCTCCGCCTCGGTATGGGCATTCATCGGCGGGTCGCCACCATCATCGCCGTTCGAAATGTGTGGTGGTCCCGCCTCTTCGACATGTGCCTCTTTGGTCTCAGGGCCGATTTGGCGGCCCGAAGAGCTTCCCGAGCCGAGGTGCCGCAATTCTATAGCCTCCGGGGCGGGCCGGGCTTCATACTGAGCGGTAGTAGTTGTGGTGGTTGACATAGTTGTGGATCTTATTTCACGAAATGATTGTCATGACATCCATATCTGCCTTTTGTCTTGTATGGAGTACAAGATCAAAGTTGAAGGAGTATAATCCTAATTGATCAAAGCCGTTATCGGTGCCCAAGTGCGGAGTTTCTCTTGGCGCCTGTGAATTGGCTGATCCTAGCCCGATTATCTTGCCGCGGGGCGTCAGCACCAGCAGAAAACAACTATTCACACCCGCAGTTATGAAGAGTCTTTTCCTTCTTTAGACGAACTACGAGAACTTCCCTTTCCTCAATTTTGACAAAATTGTCGATCAGTACAGGCTATATGCTTTTGAACCGATATAAAAACTTGTGCCAATTGCATTTTTAATAAACATGCTGATAATGTTCTATAGAGAGCTCAATTGAGCCAATTGCATTTTCAGCGTGGGAACAACCCGATATACTTAAAAAAAAATAGAGTTTGATCCTTCCATAGACCCAATCGGACTCTAGCTACTATCCTGTAACACCAATCCTTCCGCTTGGTCTCATAGAGTAGGGTGGCAATCTAGCCGGCAGACAACCCAAGGTGAAGCAGATTAGAGCTGCCCACTAATACGGCGAGGGCTGTGACTCTTCGGAAAGCTTCCGGAGGCGAGGATACGGCGTGTGCTGCAACAGATATGCCATGTAGTTCTACAATATGGAAAAGTGATCCAACATCCCAGATGCAGCTAAAATGCTGGATAGATGGACTGGAATGCTAGATAGCTATTCCTCTAAAGTACTGCCATCAACAGATTTCAGGGCCAAGTTCCTTGTAAATAACTTGCCGCTTGCCTGTACAATTCGCCACAAAACCGGCCTTTCTTTGCTTTGTATGCTGCTATATATGTTGGGGCAGTCACCGTGTGGATGATACTGTGAAATGTATTCAATTGTACTGCCATTTCAGGGGTAAATGCGTATCGTGTGTGGAAAATGGTACCTTGGCGGAATATTTACCGAAAATATCGCCCCGTTCGTGCTTCATTTTACTCGTGCCTGACGCCTTCTTGGCTCCACGCCTCTGCTCCATGGCTGCCGACAGAATTTTGCTGTACGCCTGTCATTTGAACGCCTAGAAGGACAGTCCGAGAAATTGACAGCTTTATGCCGAGGAATTGGAACTTGTAGTACAACATCAGTGCTATTTTTCCTGTCTCTCGTTAAACATCCAAGATGTAACTTGTAAGCCCAATAGAGTGTACACCAGTGACAAGTCACTTTACCCATTTTCACATGTTCCATTTTGGACTTTGGCATAGACCAGGCTAGGGGAACCTCCGGCTGGGATCCGGCTGTAATGCTGTATGGGGGCGAAAAGGCGTTTGCTCCGCTAGCTTTACAAGGGTCATCTTCCATGTTCGATATACAAGAGAAGAGACACAAATGGAAGCACGCCAAAATGGCTTATTGGATATGTGAGGAGCGATAGTGATAGTTGTCTTCGCGATCTTCAACTCATCATATAACGCAATGGCTATTGCCACCCACATAGTCGTATAAACGCATGCAAGCAGTACTAGATGCTTCCTTGGCGGCAATTCCCTTTTTTAGAGTGCTTACTTACTACTACTACTAGCACTCGCACCAATAACAGCCTAAACTACGAACGAATTCCTCCGTAGGTGTACTTCAAAGCAGGGGAAGCCTGTTTGCGGAGAATAAAAAGAAAGCTGTGATCGATGCTACGTTCTCGCGCCCTTGCTTTTTGCACGCCAGGTAATGAAACAGTCTGTTCCTGGCCGTACGAAGTCCCCGACAGGCCAATCGCCTGTCATTTCCGCTATAATATACTTGTGATGAATATGCAGCTTCTCAGCTCTAGGACACGCGCTATCATAGGCCGTCAAATGAGAGGATAGGGAGTTGAGCGCTATATTAGAGCTTGCATGCATAAGAATCCTACCATTGAGCCAAGACGTGACGAAAGCATGCGTGAGTCGTACCGAATCGTCTGTGATTGCCATTCTTTGTTCAGCTGCCCAATTGCGTTTGCAATCGCACATGTGAATGGATGGTTCACCCAGTTCCTAAGAGTAGTGTTCTATTATAATATGAGTCTTTCTATTTCTCAATGGAAAATCTTTCCCTCGCGGGTGTACGTTTAATCATGATAGTGTGCTAAAGACGGAAAAGAATGCGCCAGCAGAGTGACGCCAACGCTCCTCAAATAACCGACAGCGTGTGATCAGCAACTCCGTACCCATCAAACGGTGGCAACTGGCCGTCAGTAGCGTCTAAATGCAAATGGTGTATAGAAACGGTATAGTTAGCAATCACATCGTCTTGTTTCTGTCGGAATGGAAACGCCCTCCAAAGTCCTCAGATGCTCATCCGCGGATGTCTATAACTTTTCAGGCGACTTGTTTTGGCCGTAGTTCATGCACAATGTCAACCTCAACATGCTTCCGAATGTCTCTGCTCTCTTCATCAGGCCCCGATTGATGTCCCTGGTCTTGGTCTTGGCTATCGCTCCATGCTTTGAGGTCCTGCATTCTGATAGATTCGACTATGCGCTCCTCGCTCTCGTTTATTGTAAAATCTGTTATTGGATTTGCTGTCGGCGGTCCGCGGCCCCGCCAACTCTTGGAGCTCCCTCCAAAAGTGATGAAGCCTTTTGGTGTCACCTCTCCAGAATTTTGTGTAGAGCGCATCGAGCCAAGGATGGATCCGAAGAGGGGCACAAATATCTCCTTGAGAAGAGGAAGCGTCATGGGCAAGTTGGTTGTAACGACGGCGATAAAGGTCTCTCGGACAGCCCAAGATCCGGCCAATTGTGCACCATTCTCTGTGTCCTGAAGCATTGCCATGTTAGCTTTTCGCGTTGAGAAATGTATAACAAAGGCGGCGTACCAGCACGATCAGAACACATCGTAGGGTGGCACAGACGACGACTAAAATGCCGCCGCTAAAGACAACCAAAAATCCAACTTTCTTCAGAGGCTTCAGGCTCGACCCCCATAGCATTGGTAGCGGGACTGATATGATATATAAATCGGTCGTTACATTGAATGCCCAGTAAACCCAGATGATTTGGTTAGATATAGCGGGCTGGCAAATATCTGCAAGTAAAGTCAACAGGAGTTCCAAATATTTCTGCAATCGGGATTACCAACTCCCTGGATCTGGGAATATCTGCCAGAACCTTTGAAAGGGTCGACATGAGAGGTAAAGATTTAGAGCTACAACAAGATAACTTGATACGAGAAAGGCAAACCCAATGTAGATTCGAATGCGATAATGTGTAGCTAAGCCTTCCTACAAAGTGGTGTCAGAAGAAAATTAGAGGAAAAAGATGGTCTGGCTCGGACAACATACCGTCAATCGTGTATAAAACACTAGCAACGACGCCTTGAGCGTCCAAAGGAGCGTCGAGTACGTCGACCACCCTGCAAGTTGAATCTTCGATCCTAATATCCTGACATATATATTAGCAGGAGATCATGTTGCCTTTTACCTGATTGCCGCCCACCTCAATCGAAACTCCGGGTCGTCTGGCGACAGCGCAGCCCGCTGCGCATCCGTCATACCATTGTTCGCAAGACCGTTTGCGACGTGGCCAACGCTATAAGCCAGCGATGTCTCGGCTATATAAAAGACAACGGCAAGCCACGCGAGATAATCGTCACCGCCGAGGCCTCGACAGCCGGCATATCGAATGCGAGAAACCGTTCTGAGGACGGTGACTGCGATGCCAACGCCGAGGAGGGTCCACGCTTCGACTGTAAATTGATGGAAAGCTGCAGCCGCTGCGGCTTGTGCTGCCGGATCTGGTGGAGGACTCGGCATCATGTGTAGCCTGATGATTATTTGGAGACGCCTTGCAAAAGAGTGTCAAAGCATCCAAATATAACACCTCGACCACTCGCAAACAGTCCACCGGATCAACAAACAAGGCACAGCCCAACGGAAGAGCGAGTCTGTCATTTTTACTCCTTTCAATCTCCTCCCTGCATTAAAGCAGTTAGTATTTTGCACGCCGTCACTTCTCATCCCACAGTGTTGGTCCGGTATCACGGTTGTACCAGGGTCCTTGCATGTCCCAACACCAAACCTCATCGGGTGTACTGTCTGCACATGTATCTACCGCAAGGGCCAATGCAACCCAACCGGCGTTAGAGAGCAACATCAACCGGCTGACCTCGGTGATAGGCGACCCGTGTTTGATGGTGGGCGGGCTAGATACCGTTATTAACGCAGGGGGCCGCTGAGAAGCACGACAAGGGAGCAAAGAGAGAAAATCGCATGACGAAAATACACACACAGCTGATTGAGAGTATTTACCAAGCCTAGAAAACAGTCATTCAATGGATAAACTAGAAATAATGGAGGAAACAGAGGTGGTAGAGTCATAAATGTACCGACTTAACAAGAGCAAAGCAACGCTATTCAAGTAGCAGGACTTTGCAACACGCTATTAAATCGCTACGACAATGTGCGTGTTATATACAGCTAGTTGTGCGCTGATCGTTGGAAGATGCTCAATCGCTTTGCTTTTTGCTCTCCACTTGCACGGATGACCTGGACGCAACGCGCATGTCTCCATAATAAAAAAGAAAGTTCATGTCTGAAGCCGCATCTCATCTCAGCGCCGGTTTCTAGAGCAGCTTACATGCAGTTGATTGAATCAGGCCCTGGAGCCGCGTGAACTCAGAGCAGAATAGAGTAGAACAGAATTGCTCTGTTCATCCGCTGATCCCTCTCAATTTATCCACTTCATATTGACTTGAAGAATTCCCGCTTTTTAGCCCCAAAGAGCAACTGTCCACCCGTGCGGGTCAACAATCTGCATGTTGGTTCTCCGTCCGGAGCTTGGTACTGGATACAGAGCGCACCTTGTCATCTTTCAACCGGACTAGTAACCAGAGAAATCCTTAATCAAGGTTTAGGGGAACTACTATCCGGTGGAGCGTAACCGGACCCCCTCCCGTAGCCTGGTTGTCGTACTTGGTCCTCAGTATTTGACCAGCACGGCTCCCCATCATGGGAGTAGTCAGAAGGAAGCTCAAACAAAAAGAAAAGGCTGCGACCAGCCAGTTTAGCTAGCAGTAGCCAGCGACACATACCGTGATGGAGACTGTCGACTGCGTCGTGGCTGGCGCCGGTAAGTATTCCCTCGCTTCCCTCATTTCTTTTTCTCTCTTCTTTTCATTGTACTTCTTTTGCTCTACTTTGTGTCTCGGCGTGCTCTACGAATCCAACATTGAAGCTAAGACGCTAACTCGCCATGCGTGTTAGGATGGTATGGACTGGCCGCCGCGAAGCAATATCGCGCCGTCCACCCAAATGACTCACTTGCGGTGTTTGATCCTCAATCTTCTGTCGGCGGCACATGGGCCAATGAGCGACTGTATCCCGACTTGAAGAGCAACAACCTGCTGGGGACGTACGAATATCCGGATTTCCCAATGGACCCAAAAGTATTCGACGTCAAGCCAGGCCAGTACATTCCCGGAGAGGTCACCAACACGTATCTCAAGGCATACGTGGAGAGGTTCAGTCTCGGAAGCTCAATCCGTCTCCAGACCAAGATTACTGTCGCCGAGCATCAAGACACACCCAAGGGCGGATGGATCCTGACTGTTGTCAATCAAGAGGGCCGAGAGTCAAAGGTCTTTGCTAAGCGCTTAATTGTCGCAACCGGTCTGACTTCAGAGCCCTTCATGCCTCACTTCGAGGGCCAGGAAAGTTTCGGCGGCAGGGTATTTCACAGCAAATACTTTCAACAGAATCGAGATACTATCAAGACGTCCAAGTCTGTGACCGTTTTCGGCGGGACAAAATTCGGGTTTGACGCGGCTTATACTTATGCCACCGCCGGCGTTCAAGTGAATTGGGTCATTCGATGTTAGTTATCCCTTTCTTGGAGATGTTCGAAAGAGAGATCCCAAGGAGCTAATCCAAAACCCTGCAGCGTCTGGCCATGGCCCATGCTGGATGTCCCCATCATACGTGACTCCATTCAAGAAATGGATCGAAAAGCTTGCGAGTAAGTAAAGCCCAATTCCTCGCCTCGATGGCGCCGTATAAATGACTAACCCAGGTGACATAGACATGCGATTCCTCACATGGTTTAGCCCATGCATCTACGGCGGTGCTGCTGGCTACACCAACATCCAGCGCTTCCTCCACGGCACTTTTATCGGCCGCCTCATTGTCAATGCATTTTGGGCAATCCTCGGAGGCGACGTCTTGTCTCTCGTAGGATATGATTCGCACCCCGAGACGGCAAAACTAAAGCCTTGGATGCCAGCCATGTTCACCGCCACTAGCTTTAGCATTCTCAATTATGACACCGACGTCTTTGAACTCGTCCGCAGCGGCAAGATCAAGATCCATATTGGTGAAATCGATCATCTAAGCCTAGGCAAGGTCCACCTTTCCGACGGCACCTCTTTTGACTCGGATGCTCTCATCTCCAACACGGGTTGGAAGAATGCTCCCCCGATCAAATTCTTACCCGAGGGCATCGAGAATGAACTGGGAATACCGCACGATATCGATACCGAAGCACCAGCAGAGGACCTCGCAAATCAGCAAGAGCTCATTAGGAAAGCCGATAAAGAGATTGCTAAGCGTTTTCCCAGACTAAAGAACCAGCCAATCTGGAACGAAAACTACGTTCCCTTGACGAATCAAAAGGGAATAACGAGCAAGGAGGCTGTGACACCATATACGCCACAAACGCCTTACATGCTGTATCACTTCCTCGTCCCACCGTCAGAGCGATTCCTCCGCTCTCGTGATGTTGCCTTCTGCGGCTTCGTCAGCAATTTCAGTAACACTCTAACAGCGCATATCCAAGGCTTATGGATTGGCGCTTACTTTGGTGGCCTCCTCGTACAGGATCCTGCTCGCTCTGTGGACAATGACAAGGCCATGGACAAGCTGCGATACGAGACAATGTTGCACAACCGCTTCGGCAAATGGCGGTATCCAACCGAGACAAAGGCCCCGTCAACAATTTTCGATGCCGTCTACTACCTTGATATGCTGCAGAAAGACCTCGGACTGAATCCTCGCCGCAAGCCAAAGGGACTGTTCACGGAAGTGACAAGCCCCTATGGCGCAGAGGACTACCGAGACCTTAATGAAGAGTGGGAGGACAAGATTGGCAGCACTAGAACGGCTTGAGCGAAGAGAGGCTTCCTAGTACGATTAGTGACTTGCTATTTATCCAACGGCCGCTAACCAATGAATGAGACACGCACGTTGTTTCCATATACCCTCTAGACTTTGTGTCACTATTCTACTATTTTAGCATAGAAATTTGCCGAGACCGACTTCAGTGTGTAACCAAGAGCCATAATACGAGCAATTATCTTGAAGTGTATCTGGTGCTAGCCGGTGGCACATGTGTTAATGAGCTGTTTTGCTGTCTCTATTAGATAATTCTTTGCAACTTTGATGTTCTTATTCCCGCGTACATTCCCACTTCGTGGCCTCTTCCTGCTCAGGCACCGGCAATTGACTTATCCAAGCGCACCTACTAACGGATCCTCAACTTTAGGCCCGCCCGAACACTGCGGCTGAAGATGGAGAAGCTTCCGCATCCACATGGTGTACGCGCGATCCACGCCTAGCTCTGGTGATCAGCTACGAGTCAGTTGAACCCCTAGTGCGACTCCTTGATATCGCCGAGAAGCAAAGCGACAGCTAAAACTGCTGAAACGTGCACGGATTAGCTAGAAATTTGGAATCTCGTGGTGGATAATACGGTTGGAAGTTGTAAAATAATCCATCACTCTCCCTCTGTTCAGTTGTGCATAAAAGATGTAACCAAAAATAACGGGCTCGTGTTCGAGCTCTAATTCGCATTTGTACATAGAATGGAACCTCGATTCCTCTGTTTAGCGCTATCCAACAAACGCCCTTCTTATTATATCATTAAATCGTAAATGTCACCTTTTGTCCACCCAAACTCCGATAATCAAGGCCAGCACCCATTACATATGTGTGTGGTCAAACCAGGTAGATAATCTCCAAGCCTAGATTCCAGTTTTTTGCTTGCATCTCCAGTAAAGGCCGAGCATATAGAAAAAACAAAGGAGAGTAAGGAAATAAAAAGAATCCAATGTGGCCAAATTATGCCTCGTCATGAGGTATCTGATCTGGCGTCTGACTTGGCGCTTAGTTTATCATGTATCGATACAAGTTGAACCTCATCGGTATCTCCATACTCAACCGTATACGATCTTTGAAAGGCTATTCGGTTGGGTCCAACATTGGGATGAGACATTGATCTATCCACCTGTGATCCGGCACTGTGTCCCAATGGAAGGCGGCTCACTCGCTTATTCGACGATCGATTGCGTCTTGAGCTTCTCGCGTACCTTTCAGTGGTACCTTGGAGCTTCGGGAAGAGGCGAACAAGCAGAACGCGGAAAGAAGGCAAGCAAACGCATATAAGGCCGACATTGATCTCCACGACAGACCAGATGCTAACGTCGAAGAAGTCCCAAGTAGGATTAAGGCTGTCGGAGCCGAATTTAATAAGGGACCTAAGGCGTAGGATACTGACAACGGTAACGCTAGACATCAAGTTAGAAGGGATATTTCCAGAAAGAGGGATGTTAACTTACAAAGCACCGATGCAAAACATCATTCCGACACCAACCTTGCGTCTCCAGTCCAGGTTGAGGTCCTTGAGCTGCCATAGAGGAATGGCCAGCACCCATATATCGATCGCTATGCTAATCGCAGCATTTGACCAGGCAATGGAATTGATGTTTAGACACGTGCCATGGTGCTCTCCGTCCCATTTTTCCCAGTAAAATTTAACCGGCGTACATTGAAATACGGCAACCAAGGCAAACGAGAGACCAAAAGCTGAGCAAGCTGCGAATGTGGTCCAAAGAATTCCGCGCACTGTTTTGCCTGGGAAGATGCGGATATAGAAAAGCAAAAGGGAGAGCTTGAGCATGGAGACTTCAAGGAAATAGAGAATCTCCATGATCCAGAAGTAAAGGCCAAAATCGGTAATCTGCGAGGGTGTCAAGGTCCAGATATCGCGACCCAGGCCGTGATTCGACACTTTATAGGCGCTGATGACGGTACTTGGGATTCCAACTAGAATGGTAGCAACGGCCATCCAATCATCACCACCCATGCCTACTTTAGACCAGATCTTGTAAGCAACCCGTTGAAGCACAAAAAGACCGGACACGGTGCCGAAGGCGTCGTTGAGGATGATGTATGCTCGGGATCGATCTCTGATAGGCTGATCACAGCCTACAGCTGTTAAATTCATCGTTGCTATAAGCAAGTGTTAGTAATTACTGCCCATATGCAATACCTTTGGCTTTTCTACAATACTTACATAACGCTTGTTTGATGGTGCAGCTCTCTAAGACACATGCCTGCATGGTCTGTTGCAATATCGGGTTTGTGCATACGCAAGTTGTATTTGTCAAATCGCAATGTGACTTGGTGATCGATGTTGCGAGACATTCTCGCTATAATCTGAATATTAGTGGATGGAACCATGTATAGAATGTCCACGGATAGCACGTACGGCACATGCAGGCATCTCAGCCACGGCTTGGAGTGCAGAAGAAGAGGCCGAACTAGCATCCTGACCCAACACTTTTGGCATGGCAGCCAGGGCCGCGAAGGCCAATAGCCAGAGATTCATGGCTATTGACGACAAGATTGATATCGTAAAAGAAGACTAGATCGGTGATTGAATCGTAAATGACGGTGCCATATAGGGAAGAGCCGTGTATAGAGCGGTTCGAAATTTGGCGTCAAAGTTCTGATCGTAAGGCCTATGGATCCGAAGTCGATAAGAATAGATAATCGACAGGAATGCCCGCAAGTATATGGGAGGCAATCGACAATATGTAAAACTGGAACCAAGAGTTGCCAGTAAAGATATGTAGTGACAAGAGATGTGTAGCAAGAAAGGAGTGGAATGGCCGGAAGTCAGCACAAAAGTCTTCACGTTAGAGACTTTTGGCGATGAAAACCATAGTCACGATGAAAAACTGGTTTCAAAGAGAGAGAGAAAAGCTGCCAAAGAGTGGCTGAGGTCCCAGTATTAGCGATGGCTATGGGGGCGATCATACGCGAACCTTCCCCACCAACCGACGACGTCTCAAGCAGCCGCTTCCATCCGGATATACCTATGGGGATGTAATAGGCAAACGAGCTGAGGGCACTAGACGCCATTGTTGGCAGGACAAGCGTATCACATTGCATGGCATGTCTTCCTGAGAGTCAAGCTGCGGGGCCGCCACTAATTTGGCGTTGAGGCGCTGACTTGAAAGAAAGCTCCTTCTTGGCTCCGACTCAGGAACCTGATGTGGCGAAGAGTCCGCTAGATCCAATCATAGGGCATGGCAAGCATGAAAAGCTGCAGACGTAGTATTCCCTGCTAGCACTCGTTGTCACATCTTCTGTACCTCGACAAATCACTCCAAACAGCAGGCATTGTATAGGCATCGTAGCAACGGGGCGGCCCCACTGTGAGTACCGTAAGAGCAAACGGCCCTGATTGGTTTGAGGCCTGGTTGCGCGAGATTGGTTTTGAAGACATGCTAGTATCAGTTATGGAGCTCAGTATGGCTTTCGGATCAATGCTTGGAGGGCCATTGCGGAATTACTATTCATAGTCTCGTTAGCTGTGCCAGAGTGAGAGGGAAAGGGGGAGAAGCCAAGCAAAGCCAGCGCCCTGAGCCAGCCTCGGCCAAGCTGGAAACGACGGCCGAGCTAGGCTTCAGGCCGTGGAGAGTGCGGCTGAAGCACCGCTGTTCTGGCCGAGCGGAAGGATAGCCAAGACTCACTACGCGTACAAGCAATAACGCTGTATAGACTGTGCAGTGTCGGTGCAGTGCGTGCCGTGCTGCCTCTTTCGCCGGGGATCCGCAGACGATGGAGGGCTGCAGTCCCATCAAAGATGCTGCACTGTATACTCGGTCCTGTTCGTATCGTTCGCCGTGCTAGCGCAGGCCTGGCGCCATCTTTCCAGAAGCCTGGCTCCAGCTCGAGACAAAGAGGCCAAGTCAGGGGACGGGACCCGGGCTAAAGATGCGAATCGCATGATTGGCGTCGCGCTTTCAACGATCGGGCTGCGGGCCTTGGGCCGATCCAGGCAAGGCGTCAGTCAGGCCCTGCGACCGGCGCAAAGCCCCGTTGCAGAATTCGCGGGCCAGAGGCGGGATGCAACGGCATGCTGGCAATTTTAAGACGCGGCCACCGTCGAGCTAAGGGGTTTCGGCGAAGTGACAGCTGCGGCCTGTGTCCGAGACGCCGACGAGGTTGTCGTGAAGAAGTGAAGGCGGCGTGTGTTGTTTCTGCGGTTGCGATGTCGGGTTTTTTCTGGGGTACAGTGTACAGCCACCGGCAGTACCGCGGCTATCTGCTACCACGCCTGAAAGCTGGAGGCCAATTTATCGATATGATCGTCCCTCCAAACAGAGCAATACTCTTGCAACGTTCCTCTCTTCGTTTCTCCGCTGTAACAGTAGCATGAACTCAAGCTCCATCTCAGTTTCAGCTTGACAGCCCTCATGGCAGAAACGAAACAAGCCACAGGGTCTACTCCGTGTGTTTTGCTTCATTCATGCTCTACGGATATTTGCGGCGCCTTATTGCTGACGTGGAGCAAACTACTGACGGGGTTCTTCGACTGACAAGTATCAGCTTGAGTAATGGATATCCTGAGTTCATCATCTACAAATACCTCTACTAGCTCTCCTCATGACGCCCCAACGGCTTGACTACGTGACATACGCGGTGCAACCAACAAGCTTTTGCTGCCAGCCACCATCACCATCCAGCACCAAGTACGCCTCATTCTCCCCATCATTACAAATAATTACGCCTTCCTAGACGGGCGTCGCAGCTGCAGCTACAAAGGTCCATTGCTGCAGGAACAGGGACGCAGCTAGATCCGAATTCATCGCTGCTCCGCGTACAGGGCTTGCTCCGCCCACATTCCGTGGTTGAGCTGCCAGGATCTTGAGAGTCCTTGGCTTGGCTGCAGCCATAAATCACTGCAATCTCCCCTCCCAACGTCAATCGAGGCCATGTCACATCTATGGAGATTTGATGCCAGCGCTGCGTCTATACGCGGGCCATCGTACGACTCCTTGCACAAATAGGATTCCCCATAAGGCAAGTGGGCTTCCCAAGCCCTATGTGCAGGGAGCAAAAGGTTCCAAACGGGGGTCCTTGTCTTGTTCGGAAGCTAGCAGTTCGCAGGGCTTCAGCACTTGCTTTGCTCAGGCATCCCGTCTATTTACACGTGGAAGCAGCCCGCGTCTTTTCTCATTCTTTACTAGCCCGTCTCTCAACCCCGTCTTTCATCTCGGAATATGAGGCGGAATCTCATCTCTTCCAGACAACCGGAGGCTAGCCGCTATATTGTACAGGCGTAAGCAGGTACGGTACAGATACGAGCGGAGCGATACTCGAGCCAGCTACGAATTTTGCACAGCCTCGGCGTGTCTCCTCGCGCACCTATCCGAGCATATCGAAGGCTTCCCTTGGTGGGTGACATCGAGAATGGAGCCACTGAATAGAACCATGCACCGTGGCATCAAGGCGATATCTCGTCAAAGATGGTGTCGCGCGACACCGCTGATGACCGAGGCTGCTATCGAGGACAATGATTCTTTCCAGCCAGCCAATCGCTGTGACCTAGTCTGCTTGTTCTTGTTCTGACTCTCTTCCTTGCCAGCTCTTGATTCTCACGCAAGCACTCTAACGAAACTGTTGGTGGAACGATGGCAAAATTTGCCCCATGAGTGGCGTTTCATCGACTCGAAAATTGTAAATTCCCCGGTGATTCGGATGGGGAATCTGACTGTGTTTTGGCATAGACGACTAGCAAACTATATTTTCTTCACATGCTGATGACGGCCAAACCGCCCCAGCATTCTCCGGTTCCGTGGCGGGGCTCCACCTTGTGGGATCTTTTGATGCGCTACCCACAGAATGGGAATCGTTGCCGATGTAAAGGACTGCAGTAGCATATCGTGCAAAATATGCCTAGCATCGGCGCAGTCAATTACCTTTTCCTGTGGCTTTATGCATACGAGTTGTAGTATTAACAGTGTAAGCAGCAACACTCAAGCTCTCTGGATCTAATGTAAGTGAATGTTGCCATGTTTTTGGCAGATGATGCTCCATATTCACTCTCAATCCCTTTTTCGCCTTTACCAAAGACCGTCAACTGTCTTTACTAGCTCGAGTGACGCATCACTGCGTTGGCGGCGGGACAGTGCAGGTAAACGTTGCACATATACCGAGACTTCTTTAATCCGTGGCCAAAGCGCCTCTCCCTGCAGAAAACTCCAACTTTTCCAATTCTGTCTCACAATTCTGCGGCTTCCTAGAGCAGTGCTCTGCAGAGACACCAGGAGGATAGCAATCATGTAGAGTTAAATTGCAACCTAACTTTCACCATTTCTCTGCTTGCGTCGAGATGCCAGAAGAGGCAAACACGTGGGCCGCTGATCGCGTCAGAATCAAAGCCATCATCACGTGATCCTCCTGAGGCCGAGCCCCTTTAGGTTTGCAGCGCATCAGACAAAGTCCTTCTATCCGACTTCTCCACGCAGCATATTCGATTCCTGTCGCTCGTTAGCATCGATATCTCGTCTATCATGGTGGACAAGTATATTGCCGGCCTGCGGGCCCTGCTGGCTCGCCGCGTCGTGACCATTGTGGCCATGGCCGCTGTGCTGGCCAGCGTCATTGTCATTCTCGTCCGGATCGGCCCCCCGGCGCATCTCGACAACCTGAAGCTGCCAGACATGAAGCTTCCCGATCTCGACATGTCGAAAATCCCGGGTCTGGGACACGAAAAGGTCCACTATGGACATTGCGACCCCAAGAACTATACCGACATCATCAAGGAGTGGAAGACGACGCGGGAGAAATATGACAAACTGATGGGAGACAAGTTCACGTAAGTTGCGGGGAACACTGGTGCGACCACGATGCGGCACCGCGCATCCTGGCATTTTCCATGGCCAATCGATTTGCTGATCCATTTTCGCCTTGAACAGAATTGCAATGCAGACCTATAAGCGACCCAAGGAGCTGGACGACACGCTACGCGTCCTCTTGGCCGAGAAGATCCCCTCGCTGCACGAGATTGTCATTATCTGGAACGACCTCGAGGAGAAGCCCCCGGGCAATTTCAAGTCGGAAAAGGGCGTCCCTGTACGATACAGGGTGTCGCAGCGCAACAGTCTGAACATGAAGCTGCTGCCGGATGCGGACTTCAAGACCAGGGCGGTTCTGCTTTCGGACGACGACGTATACTATAAGCCCGGGGACCTCGAGTTCGCCTTTCAGAGCTGGCGCAAGTTTGGTCAGAACCGATTGACCGGAGCCATGCCCCGTTGCGCTACCGCGGACGCCGAAGACCAATGGAAATATGGCTTCTGCTCCAAGGATGCGAATCAGGACGTTTACTCCATGATTATAACAAACTTGTGCTTCTCGCACATGTCGTTCCTCGACTTTTACTCTTCCAATAACACCGTCATGGAAAAGGTCCGTAAATATGTCGATGATCACTTCAACTGCGAAGACATTGCTCTCAATTATGTCGCCTCGTATCTTACCGGCACGGGGCCTCTTCTCGTCACCGGTCGCGATAGGTATGTCAGCTACGAGCCTGCCGTGGGCATCAGCAAGAAGCCTGGCCACCTGGAGGCCCGTACCAAATGCTTAAACGACCTGACGGCGCTGTTTGGCTGCATGCCTCTTGTCAACGAGACGGCTCATATCCAGCGTGGCGTTGTTGTCTTGTAAAATTTCTATGAATGGGGTGGGACATTGGCGTTTATAAGAACAAACCCTCAGCCTGCCCAGGCTCAAGGGATTGGTGGGTTTTGTCTCGGGTGGAGTTGCTTGCGAATACACGCCGGTCAGTCAGACGCTTAATTAATGTCTTGGACGGGGATGGACGGGTAAAACGGCGTCGATCTCTTGGCGCAGGGAGCCTTGTGATGGAATAGAATGGCGCGGCCTGCCAGTTTTGTGTATACATAGAGCCAGATCATGGGGGAGTTTTCCTGTTATCCTATATATCTACGTTTGGTCTTGGTTAGCGATGGATGAAATAAGAACTGCTCATTTCTCGTGGTTTATAGTTCAAGTGGCTCTGCTTTGCTCGGAGACTCGACTTATAGTAGTTGAGCAAAATGATGAGCGCTCATGCGGAGGCTTTTGGAATTATATATCTTAATTTAGCAACTGTTTTTTAGAAACAAATAGGCCATTCTCATACCATTTCTAGCACGAACATGCGGTCTTTCCCTTGATTTGCCTGAGAAACGTGTAGCAAACTGAAGGTCGGTGGTTATAGCTGAGATCTCTGCATACCTATGTATGCCGCGTACCCCATGCTCAGTCGAAAAGCCGGCAACAGTAACGCAAATCTGCGGGGAGAAGGGCGGGCTGCCAAGAAAAGCCATTTCTCCAAATGGCTTAACACATCATCGCTAAAATTATATTCTCTCGCTAGCATGGACACGCAATATCGTTGCTGAAACGAGCACGCGACTGACCAAGACCGGGCGGGTCACGATGATTGTGAGAATTGCAGCCGGTTCAGCTGCTGGATCGTGTTTGCTTAGCGTGAATTTGCCTGCTCACCCCTGGTGCAAACCAGAATCTATCTTGAAAATAGTTCTATTGCTATTCAAGCTCAATTACTTGCACTTCAGCCTTGACAAACTGCCGGACTTGCTCCGGCCAAAACGCGGGATAGCGGCCTTTGCCGTCAAGCACCACCGTTTCCAACCTTTCCAGCTGAGTGCCGCAGCCAGCGAGCACGATTTCCAAAAAATGCCGTTGCCCAAACTCTTCCAGTTCTGCCTCATCATCCGCTCCCACCTCGGAATCCGGGCTAGAAATGACAATGTTGGGTCCAATCGCTCTGTTGGAGGGCCGATTGAATTCGGAGCAATCAATGTATAGAACCTGCAAAGCTTTTGTCCGTAATAGAGCCTTGTTGGTGAACCCTGCACCAATGAGATTGAATTTATCTTCGTTGCGGAGTTGAAGGCGAATCTTTTGCGTGCGAGCCCAGTCGAGACGCCCATGGACTGCCAGCTGGAGTCGAAAGTTCCACTGCGAGTAAAAGGCCAGGGCCACCTCGCGTACCATGGCTCGGCGCATCTCGTAAAAGATCCGTTGGCAGCAGCATCTCAGCGTCAAATTTTCGCCATCGCCATCATACGGCTTCTCCTCGTTGAGAAAGAGCTGCTCCGGCTGGCTTGTTGACTTGCCATCTGATATGGCGTCAACAGAGGCATACAGATGGTAAATGTAGTCGCGAATTTCGCCCGGTAGACGAGTGAAGAAGGTGGACTCGCCCTGGTCCAGGCAGGGTGATTGAAACTTTGAATCAATAGACGACATGGTCACACAACATTCAAGCATTTCAAATGATGATGTTCAACAACTGGCAATTGCATTTCATCCAGAGAGGGGAACTTTGATCAGGGGATTTGACGCGTCTTGTTACCCGAGTAAATCCCGTGACACCCCTATTTAACTTGGAACTGCCAAGTAAATCATGCAGTGGAGATGTGAGAGACGGGGACGCTGAAGTCAGAGTGGCAGGCGTTCAATGCTGGAGGCACCAGGTAAATGGCGGCGCAGTGGTTGGGAAATTCAGTTCTATACTGGGAGGCTCTGGAGTCAGTCTTCTCCGCGGCGGTTTGGCTGCACTTTCGGAGAATAAAAATTTCGAGAATTGAACGGGCAATTAATAGATGAGATAAGCTTGGGGTGTATAAGTTGATGAGATTGCTTGAGGAGCCTTACGAGGCGGGTAGCGCCATACTAAAGTGCTTACCTACCTACCCTGCTACGCAATCTTCTCTTTAGCCATGCTACGAAGCGGACAGCACCATTGGATATTCTCTTTGCCTACAACTGCTTTGAATCGGAAGCTATCATGAGACATTCTCTTTCTTTTCTCCCACCTTGAGACTGCGCACCGCACGTGCAGAATTTAAAGGGCATATCAAGCTGGGTATTATTTCCTATTTGGGCACTTTTCTGCGAATCACTAGGTGGTGGGATTCATGCGCGGCTCTAGGCTGCTAAGCATGTGTAATGCCATGAAGGAAAAAATTAGGTAGCTAACTATGATGTGTACTGTCTAAAACACATATATTTCACTCTAGAAGTGCAAGAAAATGCTATTCTCTTCTTCATCTTTTCCTCTTTTCATCTTGTTCTTGAGTGGAAGAATCAGCAACCATGGGCTCTGAGCAAATCACCTTGTTTGATCTCGCCAGCCAAGCGCCGAATACTTCGTGGTCTTTGAACACATGGAAGAGTAAGTAGTTACATTTGGGATCATTCGCTTTCCATACATGCCAGCATAAATCGTTTGCTTTTTGGATGTTCCAATCATTGACAGCCTCATCAAGCGCGCATGCTCTTCAATTACAAGAATCTTGACTACAAGACGGAATGGGTAAGCATGGGATATCAATCCATCTCAATGTAATTCTTTCCAACAGCGGCTAATGGCCTTGAACAGGTTGACTATCCAGAGATTGCGCCGAGATTCAGTGTACAGTACGATCTACTTTATCCTTTTTAAGGCTCAGAGACAGACTAAAGATTCTAATAGCATCCCGCCCAATGACGGAGAGGGCCAGAAGCCATACACACTTCCCATAGTCCAGTTCCCAGACGGAACATATCTCATGGAGTCAGGCAAGATTGCCAAATCCATTGAGAGGAAATATCCCTCTCCTAATGTCCACCTTGACTCCCCCATTGTCCACAGGGTAGACGCCCTCGTTGACAAGTGCATGCCCGCCACGCATCCCAATCTGCTCTACAAGTTTTCCCAAGCCGTCCTCAGCGAAAAGAGCTACGACTATTGGGTTGGCATATACACTGAAAAATTCGGAATGTCTCTCGACGAGTATGAGCGCCGGTTGGGCGGCGAGAAATCCTGGGTCGCAGCACTTCCATACTTGACGGAGCTGACTAGTCTTCTCAAGGAGAGACAAGCGGAGGGACCCTTTTTCCTGGGCAAGGATGTGAGCTACGCTGATATCATCTGGGCGGGAGCCTTGATCTTTGTGAAGCGAGTAGATGAAAATGTCTTTCAGGAACTGCTGGATAGAACGGGGGCTAGGGACGTGCATGAGAGGTTTTTTGATGCGTGCGCGCCTTGGTTGAAGAGAGACAGCTACTAGTTATGCGGCCATGGTGTCAGTTATTGAATCAGATGGTACGCTATTTGAAGAATAATTGCCAAGAAATAGCGGTATAATAAAGCAAGTAATAATTGTTGAGATGTAGCGGTTCAATATTAGCGAAATAAACCGTCGACTTTGCTCCTGTTAATTTGCCCCAAGTATTTTCCTGCCCGTATCCATTGCCATGAAATCAGCAGATCCTAGCCTCCGTATATCGTATGCGCATGCTCGTAGCCCAATAGATGAAATATCCCAGATTGTTCCCCTTGTCATAGTATATGTAACGCCGATGTGAAGTATATCTCGTAAATCTCGTAAAAAGATATTTCGCCAGCTAATTTTCCTCGCTTTGTCCTCCCAATCCAATCAGCGCAACATCAGCCGTCTCTCGCTTCAAAAAGCCCATGTTGCTTACGTCCTCCCCCATCGACAAGCTTCCCTTGGCCCACTCCACGATGAGCTTGCGAGCCTGCCATATGGCGAGGTGCTTGTTGTGCTTGTGGACCTTGGCGATGATCTTGGTTTGGAGGCTTTTGCGCAGCTCCTGCACCCAGTCTGTATTCACCCACATGATATCTCCGCGAGCCATCGGGCATATCGCTTCGGGTTGGCCAGATAGCTCGTCGATAGCCGAGAATTCTAGCTTGAACATGGGCGGGTTGTTGCAGTATGTTGCAACTGCGGAAACAGGGGCAGTGCAGAGGGTTCCGGCATCGCAGTCACTCATTTTGGCGTGCTCCTGAGGATTCACTGCATTCATATTAGCAGCCTGCATAATGCAATACATTGAGCTGATAATAGATGATACACTTACCACACAACTTTCCCGTCAAGACCTCTGCCTCCACCAAAAAGTCCAGCTCTGAGCGCGGCAAATTCCCAACCTTGCGACTCGACCACTCATTAAACACTGCATCCAAGAAGCCGTCAATGCTCTGTCTGGTCTTGTCCAGGCTCGCATTAGGATCCGTCGCACTACCACAAGCGTGTAGAATGTCATAACACTTCTTCAGCTGCATGTCACTGAGATCGTCCGCGCTCTTAATCGCCTTCGGCTCAGCAGGGTAGTCGTCTCCAGCCTGCATGGCGTCGAAGAGCTTGTCACGATGAGTCTTGGTCTTGCGAGAAGCTCGCCGGGGAGGAGTGGACGAGATGGATATCGGAGACGCAGAAGTGCGTCGGCGCTTGACGCTGCGCTGGGGAGTTGCTGAAGTGATTTCCTGCACGCGATTCGCATCGGCGATGGAGGTGGCGCGGCGTCGCAGCTCTCGCTGTGCTTGCGACATGGTGGAGAGGTTGTTCAGGAAATCAGTAATGTTCTGCCGGCGTAGAGGCAGCTGCAGCTCCATTTTGCAGGATGGCTGATCACTGAGTCGCTGTGGTGGTGGAGGAGATGTTAGAAGAAGAAGAAGCATTCCGATGCAGCTCAGAGAGAAGTAGAGAAGCTTCAGAAGCGGTGAGATGAAATGTGCAGTTTTGGTTTCTTCAGGCTGTTTGGGGGAGCGCTTGTTTATGTTTCTGCGAACATCTGGCAGCCACTGACAGGATGGCTGATCAATAAAGAGCTGTGTGCCATGTGGGTAGAAGAAATGTTAGGAGAAGAAATATTCTTATGCAGCTTAGAGAGTAGTAGAGAAGATTTAAAAGCGGTAAGATGAAAATGTGCAGTATTGCAGTTTTGTTTCTCAGACTTGTTGTTTAGGAGAGCGCTGCTTTGTGTTTTCGCTGCTTTTGCTGGCGTCTGGCAGCCACTGACAGGTTGGTTGATCAACAAAGAGCTGTATGCTGTGTGGGTGGAAGAAACGTCAAAAAAAGAAACATTCTAATGCAGCTTAGAAAGAAGTAGAGAAATATCAAAAGCGGTGGGACGTAAATGTGCAGTATCAGTTTTGTTTCTTTGGGCTTACTATCTGGGAGAGCGCTTCTTTATATTTTCGCTGCTTTCGCTGGCATCTGGCAGCCACTGACAATATCGACCACAACTTGGACCTTGGAACTTGGTCCTGCAGTTGAGAGTGCCCTGGTCGATTATGCCGTATCTTGCTCGAAGAATTTACAATATCATCTCAGAATGATCATGTCACGAGAAAAAAGCTCGAAATTGAATTCATTCTTGGTGTTTGAGTGAGTCATATCATCTTTTCCTCCTCCTCCTCTTTGTTGCCAATAGTGCTCAGCTAGAGTCAATACATCAATCACTCTACGTCTATTACTTCTCATATTCGAGATAGTGATATGAAAAAAGACTCTAGAGGGGGACGGGGCCCTAAATTATAGAATAGGCGCCTACCTACCCACGTATAGTAGCAGTAGTAGAGACAATAGAGATAGTAGCATCAATAGCATCAGTAGCAATGCTAGAAATCCCATGCATACCGCCGTTCAATCTAAATCCCTCGGACGAGCCTCTCAACAGAACAGGTAATTTCAGCTGAACCGTACCTGCCCAAACAGATATGGCGATGTGTTCATTAGGCACCTGCCGGTCTATGTATGCGAGGTAGGCTCCTGCCGCGTGAATGAGATGAAAAGTAGCTGCAGAAGTAGCGATTACGTTATGCAGCGTGCACGGGACAGCAGAATTTCTACTTTGCTCTCCATGTAGCTCGACAGGTTCCTCTCTCAACACCTCAACAGCTCGATGTCGATTTTCATCTTCTGCCATTTGTATGCGCTGGACCCTTCGATTTCGTTTTACTTTTCTTTGTTCTTTTTTTTTTTCGTTCTGGCACACTCAACAAATAGTTATCATCCTCTTCCGCTGGCCTTCGGGCGATTCTTGTTTGTATGTTCTTCCGTCATGTCAATTCCATCTGATCTAACTCACTGTGAAGTAGATCTAACTTATCCGTCATCTAGTCGTTAGCCATCTTCTTTTTTCCAACTCGTTCTGGAAGCCGTTGTTGCGGGCCTTTGTACCAAGAATCCTTTTGGGATAGCTCGTAGTGGAGGTTGCGCCTCTGGAGGAGGAAAAAAAAGGTATGTCCTAAAGCTTTATACTCTACAGTCCGGGTTCAAACTCACATTACTACTGTAGAAACTAAGAAGAAGGAGAAGAAGAATAAGGAGAAGAAGGAGAAGAAGAAGAAGAAGAAGAAGAAGAAGAAGAAGAAGAAGAAGAAGAAGAAGAAGGAGTAGAAGAAGAAGGAGTAGAAGAAGAAGAAGAAGAAGAAGAAGAAGGAGGAGGAGGAGGAGGAGGAGGAGGAGGAGGTAAAGGGTAAAGGGCGACAAGAAATCTGGTAGTAGTTCCGATGGCGGTCAGTATCGCCTTTATTTCATTTCTTTATGGCATTTACCGTGATACTAATTCCAGTGCGTATACTTAGTCACCAAGCGCCAGCCCGAGGACGCTCAGGAGGAGCTCAGACATTGTGCCGTGCCGGCGTCTCTCACGCCGCCATCCACATCATGCCCGCCATGGGTCCTGCTGCCGTCCTCGCGCCCCCGGTCCCTCCGGTATCTGCTTCTGGGGAGGACATGGACGTGAAGATGGGCAGTGAGGTTGAAGGGTATGTCCTAATGCTCATCACTCTACCTACAGCTCATGATCAAACTGACATAGTGATTGTAAACAAGAACAAGAAGGACGCGGCCAAAAAGGCCAAGAACAACTCTGGTGGCGGTAAGTATCCTTTTTGTCTTGTTCATTTTGTTTATTTATTTTGTTTACTTTAAGTTTGATACTAATGCTGATATCTGTACTTAGTGACGAAGGTGACTGGGCGCGACCCAGGCGGTAGCCTCTCCCGCGCTGAGAGGCGCCAGCTTCGCCAAGCTGGTTTGTCCAACGTTGCCATTGCCGCGAGGGCGGCAATGGGTCCCATCGCTTCCCTCGCCCCCCGCCCCCCGCCCGCCGCCGCCGACCCCCCAGCGCCCCTCCAACGTCTGCCTCTGGGGAGGCTACAGACATTGAGATGGGTGGTGTTCCGGCCCCAGTCGGAGGAGGGAGAGGAAGAGGAAGAGGAAGAAGTCCAAGAAGAAGATGATGAGATCGATTATTCGGATGACGGGGTCATGTAGGCCTCTGGCCAAGGAAAGAGGGAGGGGAGAGAGACTACTCGGATGATGAGGTCAACATTGACTTTTGAGGCATACGAGAAGAAAAGAGAATAAGGAGGAGGAAAAGGAAAAGGAAAAGAAAAAGATGAAGAAAACCTCAGCCTGAGGAGAGGAAAGAGAAAGGTGATTAATTATTTGGCCAATTCTGCAGTAGACTATTAGCCGATTTAGATAGATGTGCAATTGGAGGTGATTGCCTCGGCAGAACTTTCCCCCCCCTTTTGGATCGAATGGGTATAGACAGGGTAAAGAACAACTATTACCTTTAGTATATTACCATCTCTACCACCTCTACCATCTCTACTGCCTTTATTATCTCTACTGTCTTTTTTATCTCTACTGCCAGTAATAGTGTTAAAGGTTGTAAACTCACCGGTAGATACGATAAAGATGGGGCCCATGGAAAATCTTAGGACACAACCTTCAAATCGTGCTCCCTCCGTAGCCGTGTCCGCATTAGAAAATGTGGCAAAGATGGAAACGATTGTCATCTTTCGCTGAATATCCCACGTTTGTATTCAAATAAGCTCTAAATGAGTTCGAGGGTATACTTACCTCCGCCAGTAGAACCACCAGCGTTGTTGTTCAGGATGTCCTTACTGTTGATTCCGAAGCTTCTACGCGTGTTGGGAGACACCAATCCTCTGAATGCCCGTGGAGTGGCCAGCGACAGTGACAGCCCAGATAAGAGCAGACCTAGGAGAATTGATTAGGAGAAGTATGGCAAACAACAAAGTGCCCACGAGACTAGCCCGCTCAAGTACACTTGATTGATTCCAGAAGAACTCCCTGTGAATTATAAATAAACGGGGTTTTAGCTAGATATAACAGTATCGATATCAATACAAACGCCACAGATAGATAAAGCAAAGCGTATATGATTACTTCTTTGCCTCTCTAGAAGTGGCGCCCTTTGGAGCTACCTCAATGTCGGATTGAGCAACAAAATGGATCGTATCCGCCATTATTTCTCTCTCAATTATCACAGACATAATGGGGAATAGCAGCGACCCCGGACATGTGTAGATGGACACTGCTTCTCCTGTTTTTACTGTCTTTATAATCTCTAGTTGCTCTATATCGTCGTACTCGCATCGGTATAGAAATCAGCTTTTGCAACGGGTCCCCGTAGAGCCTCTTCCTCCTCTTCACTTCACTTACAGCCTATCCTCCATACAACAAATCCGCTCTGCTGCGAACAAGAGTCTCTGCCAACTCTTCTTGACCAACAACCGGCTGGGAGGTACTAAACAGAAGAAAAGTCTACTGCCTGGTGATTTTTGTGACTTTCGTTGGGTATGTATGCTCACTTCTTCTACCATTATAACTCATTGATCTGGGATAGAATCATCTCGCCTCGCTTGCTCGTTTTTTCTCTATATGCACCATATACTATCAGAAGCAGAAGTTAAATATATCCTTCGTCAGGTAATCTTTTGCGTGCTGGAAAGAATAGTGCCAGCTGGGAGCATCTGTCAGGCTGTCCCTATCGCACTATCGCCAACTGGCAAGTAAATGTGATAATAAAGTGAATAAAAAACACGAAGTCACGTTATGCTGCGCGGTACGCGTGCAGTATGAGACCAGACTTTCTGTTTCCCAAGTGTTTCGACTTTTCTTTCTCTCCAGCATCATCACCATCTCGCCCGCCGGCACGTATCTCCACCACCACTTTTTGTTTGAACTAGTAGCTAACCAGCTATATAGTTCGAATCATTATATGACAATTTTTTTTGTCAGTTTGTAAGTCCATCTTTGTTTTCTTCTTGCTGTTGATTGGTTTACTGACGCAAATAGAAATATCATCCTCTTACGCCGGCCCTTTGGGCGTTTTCTCGTATGTACTCCCATCACTTCGTCATTCCTGCTCTAGCTGACTATCAAATAGATTTGAACAATTTGTCGTCCTGGCCTCGGGCCGTCTGTTGATTTCCCCCTTTTTGTACGCGTTCTGTCTTTGAAGATTTGCTATTTGCCTCTGACTATAAATTCTAGTTTCGAATTTTTCTCCAATTTTTGCGGTATTTTCCACACCACAGACACCATTTATTATGTAGTATAATCACTAATCATGGAAATAGATGGCAAACGTCAGAGATGCCCTGAGGCTCCTTAGAGCCTGGAACGAAATTGTGTACGGCCCTCAGGGCAATGTTGGGTCTGGCGGTTCCGGTGGTGGGCGGCGCCCACCTGGCCCCCCCAGTATGTTATAAGATATATAGCTTGACATTTGATCACGGATCTAACATTGGAATAGAACGTGTCGGAGGTTGCGCCTCTTCGGGAGGCAAGAAGAGTAAGTCCCAATGCTTGTCACTCTACATACAGCTCATGATCAAACTGACATGGTTATTGCAGAGAAGAACAAGAAGAAGAAGGAGGACGAGAAGAAGGGGTCTGGTGGTGGTGCTGGCGGCGGTAAGCATCCCCTTTATTTCATCCATTGTTTATGCCGTTTCCCTTGATACTAATGCCGATGTCTGTATTTAGTAACCAAGCGCCAGCCTCCCATCACTGGGCGCGGCCCCGGGGGACTCCTCTCCCGCTCCGAAAGGAGACAGTTGCGTCGTGCTGGCGTCTCCGACGCATTGATCGAGCGCACAAGTGCGCAATTGCGTGCGTCTGCTGCGGTCCCGGCCCCGGCCCCCACTGCCGCCCCCGTTGCCCCGGCCCCCGCCCCGGCCCTCGCTCCTGCCTCTGAGCAGCAGCAGCAACAGCAGCAACAACAGCAGAAGGAGGAGGAGGAGGAAGACAAAGACGACGAAGACGACGAAGAAGAAGAAGAGTTTTGGTAGGATGTTGAAGCCTCAGGCTTCAGTTTGTTTTTTTGTTGTTTGTTGTCTTTGTTTCTCTCGCTCTCTCTCTCTCTCTTTTTTTTTTTTTTCGTGACTATAATTCATTTTTTTGAGAGAATATCTTGCATTCTGTGAAACAATGCTGGTATATCCGTTGGGATATATGCGAGATTCGGCTTGTAGTTGTCTATGACCATTCCCAAGTATTTCATCTGAGGTAGGTTTTCCAATCTGATGGCCATGTTATCCTTCCCTTTTGTTGCTACGCTTCGAAAATGTTTGACGATCATGGTGGCGATGAGACCTTTCGCATTTCATTATATTGAAGCCTGAAAAAATAGAAAACTTTGAGCAACTATATAGCACCCCAACTGCGACTTGACGCTGGAGTCTGCTCGACAACCAAATATACATGTAGACACGGAATTTCCTATCCCACGAGCAAAAATGCGGCAACGAGGGCCGTAGCTTCAAGTAAGTAACTCGAAAGCGAAATAGGCTGAACCGATGCGCCAAATATGCCGAGGAGAACAGCTTCTTTTATACTGGCAGTCGCCGTAAACAATGGTGTAATTGAACTGTAAGGGGTGAAGCAACACAAGAAAACATGGCAGAGGCCAGCAATAGTTCTTGCATAAACTACTAGATGTTACATCTGGCCAAAATTTTGGCGAGTTCATCTTCTCTTTCTCTTCCTCTTCCTCTTTTATTTCTTCTTCTTCTTTCGCTTCTTCCTCTCTCTCTCTCTCCTCTCTCTCTCTTCTATTCTTCCTGCTCCTCCTACCCCGCCAACATCCATGGCGCAGGGATAATAGCCCCCTTCCACCACCTAACCTTGTTAGACTTAAAATACAAGTAGATACACATACTCACAACCTGACTTGAATGCAGCTGGAAATGTGCGGCTGTAGCACGAATAGACTACCTAAAGCACTACTGCTACTGCTACTGCTACTTCTGCTACTTCTGCTACTTCTGCTACTTCTGCTACTTCTGCTACTTCTGCTACTTCTGCTACTTCTGCTACTTCTGCTACTTCTGCTACTTCTGCTACTTCTGCTACTTCTGCTACTACTGCTCAGAGAGTTGTTAATCCAACATTTAATGGACCATATTAAATGAAACTCAGACTCTTGTCATAAGATCAAGGTAGAATGAGACAACTGAAACCCAATACCAAGTGCAAAGAGAGCGGGAGCGGGACCGAGAGAGAGAGAAATGCATAGAAATGCCGCCAAAAAAGAAAACGGTACAGCTGAGCGGGTTCTTCTACTCCGGGTCTAATTGGCCTAATTAGAGATTGCTGTTAATACAAATATGCGAATTGCTCACCACGGCCAGTTCAAAAAATCACCTAGAAGACTGGCGATAGCTTGGGAAAGATTCTCAGCGGCGCTCTTTTGTTACCCATTTTGACGAGGCAGTGACTTGATATTGAATGAAATGCAGGCTGTGCTGCTTGACGCTCTATAAAAATTTGGAGGGAACAAGTGCGCAAGATGCGATGCTACAGAAAGCCGGAGCAAGCGGCGCAAACATTTTTGGACTTTTCGTGACTCCTATATAATGGATGGACTTTGTAAATGACTTGCCAGGGCTCTCTTTATTATTCTTTGCTTTCCTCTGTATTGCTTCGTCAGTGGCAGCCAAATTCGAGTCAGTTGTTCAAGTGCATCGCCACGGTCTCTGTTCAACTAACACTTCTAGGCCCTTTCAAGCATGGCAAGGCATCAAGTACCTTAAGCTAGCTGTCTCTCTTCTTATCTTCGAATGCAAACAAATAACTGTCCCAGTAAAAAAAGAGCAAGACGGCTGCTGGGCCCACGCTATCCATTTAAGCATAAGAAAGAAGCGCTCTTCATCGCCGAATGGAAACGCCCACCGCCGCTCGTCAGCTAAAATACGGCAATCTCCAATTATAAAGAGAGCAAAAGGTAACTATAACTAGAAATGCGATGGTGATGAAGAAAATAAACTAGAGTACCTGCATGTTGTGACGAGCTGAGGAACGACAGGTAGGCGTGCCGCAGTGTGTTACGTGATAACTGTATCTAGCCATTTCTCCTGGTCGATGCGCTGCATTAACGCCTCAATGAGAAGCCTGCTCGGTAGTTGAGATATTCAGCTGCAGTTTGGTGTTCTAGGTTCTAGGTCGCGACCAACACGACTTGGACGCTCATATCAAAGCGAAGACTTTGTAAAAGCTATAGCTCCAACTCTCTAATTGCAGGAGCGGCGGGAAACTGTGGCGTTCGCTTTAACTCGGCAGATGCTTCTAATCCCAGAGCATACAGCGCGTTGGCCATTTTGAACAAGGATGCTGTGCAATCAGCTGGGTGTGTTTGCACTGTTCAAAGGTATCTAGATACATATAGAGGATTCATGCTTTGGCCTCCTCTTATCCAACTACCTACTTCAGAAAATCGAGAACGTGCTTGGCCAGTGCTCATGTCAACAGAATCACAGGATGAACAGGCTTCTAGTCGTAAATTCAACCTTGTTCATCAAGACTCACTGCCGAGCCCACCGCTCCGCCCAACTCCACCGTTCCTAGCCAGAAGCAGTCTCATAATGCCGTTGGAACTTCAGCCTCACCACCGCTAGTTGCAGAAAAGGGAAACAAGGGCCCTTCAAACTGAGTGAATCATAGTCTATTATCACTGCGTGGAGCACGCCAAGGCCTGTGCACATGTGGTTTCGGCGGAGCTGCGCTGATCAAAAGGAACTTGATTTTGATCGAGGGCCGCCTACCAAACTACTGTACCTTCTCGTGGTGAGATTCTCCACTAGAACCGACGCTCTGCTAGTGATAATAGGGGTGAGGCAGTACCTAAAAGCCCCTCAAACACCATCATGTAGGTAACAATACGCGGTGACGGAAAACCTCAGCAGCAACCTCCAATTCCATCATCACAAACATGCCGCTCCAGCCTCCTCCGACAGATAAGCTTTTTGCATCAGCAGATGAAGCTTTTCAAACTCTCCAAGATCATGCACGAGAAGAAGGTTATGCCATTGTGAAGAAACGCCCCTCGTCATATGAAAACAACCTACCGCGCCGTTACGATATTGCGTGCGTATGTGGGAATGGCGAGTACAAGTCACAGGCAGCCGGGCTGCGGAAATCAAGAACAAAACGCACAGGCTGCCCCTTCAAGATGAAGATTGTGCAGAGGAAGGACACCGGAGATCAGTGGGTGCCAGGAATTCTGTGTCCAGATCATAACCACGCCCCTAATCTTGCGGTTAACTTTCCTATTCACCGGCGCGCTGCCTTGACTGAGGAGCAGAGACACAACATCGAGGTGCTCCTAGAAAAGACAAAACTCTCGGCAAGGGCGATCATTGAACTGATGAAGAAACAATATCCCGAGATTCTTCTGACAGAGAAAGACGTCTGGAATATACGGCAAAAGAAGAAGAAGTGGATGGGCGCGGCAGATCTAAACACGGAGGTAGCGGAGGCGCTTAAGAAAGCAGGGGTCTTGTAGCTCGAAAGCCACAGCTGCAGCAATAGTCGCAATTCATTTACTGTGGAACTTGCTACCGTCTTTGCATCCAAGTCATGAGACGCCGTTGATGAGCGATGCCGCACTGTCTATACGTCCCGGTCGAGACTTTGGCATCGGTACAGCTCAATGCCCTGAGCCGGCAATCGCTAAAAATATCAACGTTGGGCTGAAGCCACTTTTGCAGGGATCTTGGGATAGCTCCTCTGTAAACTGGCCTTCGCGTGGGAGCCTATCCTTGATGGCTTCAATGCAATTTCCACAATGCAGCTTTCATCCTTCATGCCCAGCGGTGGCGCCGTTCGAGTCAATTTACCCAGTAAAAAGCAAACAAGACAAGTGACCCAGACTACATCAACCTGGCAACAGGGTCAAATGCCGTTAGTACGAGGGGAAATAGTATGATTCATGCAGTAGCTGCAGCCCGTGTCATTGAGCGAGCATCTGTTTGGGTGTTCAGCTTTCGCGATAGCGGGCAGAGTTTTGATAGGCGATTGAATGGTGGAGAGACACGACAGGACGCGTTTTGGTCGGTTCCGACTTACTATTTGTATGCAAGCCTGCTCTATGACTGATGTAACATATCACCATCTGCTTGCAGAGACTGTTATCCGCTCGAGCCGAGCCTTGAGACCTCTGCTGCTCTTCTATTTCGCTGCCAGATCACTACCGTGATCTTTTTTTAGACTTCAATGTATTTACTTGGATGACTTTTTATCTCGTAATTTGACTTTGTACAGCCTGGTTTCGCAATAAATGGCGTTACACCAAGGATTGTTTGGGCAAAGCTGCTCATCGCTTCAGGCCTTTATCTAATACACATCAGATGCGGCTGAAATTAGCTTACAAGCCAACACAGACTCGTCCCAGCGCTAGACGGAATATGCTTGAGCGAGTCCTCTGACAAGAGCCAATCGCCATGCTTGGACCCTCGCGCGTGGATCTAGGCTTATTCCTATCAAAAGCAAACCTGACAGCCACTGACAGCTTCATGGGCTGACCTGTGACTGGTACCCCTAGACCCCTGGGCACGAAAGCTTGTCGGTCTGCCTTGGGATGGACTCTCCAATTTGTAAAATGAAAGGGTTGTTTGGCTTGGAGCTAGAGCAGGTAGTCGTTTACATGCATCTCAAGATAGTATATATTAGGCGGCAGATGTCCTCAGTGCCGGCGTTGGCTCGACTTCTTGTCCTGACACCCACCACCACACGTTCTCTAATAACACACTCAGAACTCGTTCTTATTCACCTCTTGTCACTCTTTTACTCCATTTGATAAACCTCCTTTAATTGATACCCAACTCACCATAAACATGTCTGCGCCTACTGAGACTGTCGCTGCTCCTGATGCAGCTCCCGCCCCAGCCCCAGCCCCAGTCCAGGCTCCTGTTCAATCTTCCGCGCCCGCTCACTCCAGTCCCATTAGCGATGCTGATGTGAATCACTGGAAGGATCATTTCAACGATGTCTTGTCTCGGCCTGGCGAGCACATCAACTCCAAATCTCCAGCTGGCGCTGGGAAATGGAGCACGTCTCTCTTCGATTGCTTCTCACCAATTGACACATGTCTCATCACATGCTGGGTTCCTTGTTTGACATTTGGTAAAACGCATCATCGTATTCATAAGAGCGGCACGTTGGAAGGCTACGAGCCAGTGAACACCTCGGTATGTCTTATGTCAAGTGTTGAAAGTATGAGCAACCTCGACTAACTAGCTACATCAAGTGCCTCCTGTTCTGCGTACCCGGTCTACACTGTATCCTTGCAAGCATGCAACGCCAATCGATCAGAGGAAAATACAATTTAGAGGGTACATGTCTTGAAGATATGGCAAAGTCTTACTGCTGTGCTTGCTGCAACCTCATCCAGCTTGACAAGGAGTCAGCACATCGCGAGGCTCTCCTCAACAATGTCAACTCTGAGCAGTACCAGAAAAATGAGGGCATGGCCTATCCCGGAGCTAACTAAGACTTAATCTTTTACTGAAAAGGTTTTCAACAGCAGGGGAGAATTATTTGTGAATTTGGTCAAGGTTAATGGTAGTGGTTGATGACTGGCATGCCCACTCTGGAGACGGATGTGTAGATGCATGCATGGATACCCATTAGTTCTAGTTTTACATTTCCGTTCTAATATACAATTACTCTTAGCTCAATTTTTTCTCATTGAGATTCCTAGTTCATTTTCTGTTTCCCAACACTCGGCTCGCACTTTCGGGTTGTAAGTGCACTGTGCCATATTTACAATTCGCACTGGTTTTATTTGCTGCGCTTCACATTGTATAATTAACTATGAGAGCACCGCATTGCAACTCTCTTTGGAACCACGAAATGCTGATAGACAACGAGTTTCAATTCAATCTATCTCACTAGTTTAATACAACGCCGCTGATCTCAAACGTCTGCACCTGCCCAACAGAGAAAGGCACAGAAAACTGTCCGTTGTTGATCTGTATATCTGAATAGCTCTTATACTGATCTCCCCCTCCTGTTTGAGTACTCCATCGAGGAACTGTTGATCCATTAATTCCAGGAGTTTTGGCTGAATTAAGGTTGAAGGTGATGGTTTGAGTAGTATTCCAGTTTCCAGCCACAATTACGAGTTTCTGAGAACTAGCATCGTACGCTGCGGCCGTGTTGCCATCCAACGTTGTCAAAATCTGCATACCGGGCCTGATGTGACGAGTAAATTGTGCAAGCACAAAGTATTTGGTGCTTGCTCCTGAAAGTGTCAACTGGTCATTGTCGCCTGTGATGAGTCCCCAGCCCGGTATATCAATGGCTTGCCAGTATACCCAGGCAGTAGGATGGAGCCAGACAAGGTCGAGGAGCAGGTTTGAAAACAATTGAGCACCGCTTCCGTCCGATTCGGCATATTCCGATAGCCACAGTCTCTTCTTAGCTGCGTTCGCAAGGGTCCAGAGAACATCACGTCGACCGCCACCATATTGATAACCATGAACATTGACTCGCGTAACTTGACTTTGCACAGAGCTGCCCAGGCCAATCCAGGTCGTGATAGCCAAGTCATACCACGACTCATCTGAGGCAGCAATGAAGGATGATAAACCTCTTTCAGAGAGTGAAGTTTTGAGGTATGGGATGATTGTAGCCATGGTTGATATATCAAAATGACAACCCTCTTGAGTCCCAGAAGGTCCCCAGGGTGAAGTAGGCTCATTGAAGGCCTCGACTGACTGAAACGTAATCCCCCAGTTCTGGCTGGCATGCTGAGCAACGTTGGCAAGATACACGGTATGATTAACATAATTCCACGATTGTAGGTTATTCAAAATACTGTTTCCTGTTGGATCATGGTTCAAACAGAAGAACCAAGGCGAAGAATTAGAAAATAGCTCGAATATGTTTGCGCCGTTTGCTTTGGCTTTCTGAAGCATCGCGCGTTGGTTGGCGTCGGCGTCCCAGTTCCAACTCGACGACGTGGGGTCGGAACTGCCCCAATCAAGCCAGAAACTATCCATCTGCCGAGAAGGCTTAATATTCGATGAAACAACCATGCTGTCGCCATCATAGGTATTGTTGCTGCATGCTCCTGCGTTGTAACGAGCGATGTTGAAGCCCAGGCCCGGCAGAGTTTGACCATCGATGGTTTGGCTATTCAGACTGAAGAAGACAGTGGCCAAGTCATCTCGATTTCCAAAAGCTTTTGCCCACCAAGCAAGAGACACGCCCCAGCCTTCCCAGGTTCCCCAGGTTGTTGACGGGTCGAGTGAGAGCGTTGTGTTGGCCCTGGCTCTCTGGGACAACAGAGCAAGGGTCAGAGAAGAGAAGACAACTGTTCGCATGGCTACTAGATAGCAAAATGCCGCTGTTATTACAGCGCATATAAAGAATGATGCAAGTTGTGCGACAGAAAATCCATTGTTGTTGTTGTTGTTGACCTCCAGAGGGCTCGTTTTTATATCCCGTATAAGACGCTAGTATCATTGGGCCGACAATGGGTGATGCTAGCAAATCCATCGCATTGCTGCAATTGCTGCAATGCAACACAAAGAGTACCATTGAAAACACATGCTCGCAAAGTTATCCTTGCAAAGACTTGTGAAAAAGCCGAGGCGACTTATTTAGGCAAAGCGAGGGGGGGCGAAGTGACGTTCATCGCCTTCCGATTTGAGCGGCTAGACATGCATCAATGGATTTTTACTAGCGAACATGGTTCTGCACACGCTATTCCAGAGTTTGGGTCAATCACACATTGCGTTTTTAATTACAATAAAATTTTGACAACCAGGCTAAACAGTGGCTAGAGTTTATTAAATGACCTCTATGGGCGAAGTTGTGTCGTTCGTCGCTCCAAGGCAATGCACTCTTGAGGTGTACATCTGCACGACGGTTTTAACAATAGAGAATATTGAAGGCGATTAGAATAATGCACCATCTGGTTGGTCTCGGTCGTTTGACGGCCAGCGCTTGGCAACCCGCCGTTGTATACATTGTCTTGATTGAAGAAAAAGGAAACAAAGATAGAAACACACACACAAGAAAAATAGAAAAGGGGGAAACGGAAAAGGAAGAAAAAGAAAAGCAGCTCTAAAAAGGCAACACACACCTGATTGCCGTATACTAGTACTTACGGGAGGGTTCAAGGTCAGCTATTGGTCCCAGGCCATGGATGCTGGTGAGCCCAAAGAGGAGAATGAGAAAAATAAAAGAGAGAAAGAAAAATATAACATAGAGAGAGAGAAGAGGGAGACAATGTGCACGTATTCTCTCTTTCCAGAGCTATAGCGACAGGTCCTCAATCATGTCAACCGCCTAGTCGAGTATGTATTATCGCCGCTGATTTTCAACATGTCGCGTACATGTGATTGCAATCGGCGACGGCGACAAATATATTCTTCGACTGATTACATTATAATCCAGATAGAATTCTGGGAACTCGTTTATCATTTTGCCTCAGAACATCCGCGAAGCCATTTAGCGAAACCCCGTTGTGAATACTGTAGACGGACGATCCCATTTCGTTAGACTTTATGGCGCGAAGACCAAACGGTTTATAACTGGATTTGTGTTTGTTCAGTTGGGGCCGACAGGTTTATAAGACTATAACATAAGATTAGATACAAGGATAAATACATGATATATCATAGCAGTTATCAAGGTAATACAATATAATATATTCTACGACATCTACTACATCTACTACATCTACTACATCTACTACATCTACTACATCTACTACATCTACTACATCTACTACATCTACTACATCTACTACATCTACTATATTTACTATATTTACTATATTTACTATATTTACTATTTCTACTATTTATTAACCTATAGCAAAGGCTAGAAGAAAGTGATTACTTAAAGTAACTTATGCTACTACGATGCAACCACCTCTAATCGCACATCTGTCTAATAATCTACCGCCGAATTAGCTAAATAACCAACTACCTTTCTCTTCCTTCTCCTTAGGCTTCAAGCTCCGATAACGGGCTTATCATTCTCTTCATCAGATTAATCGATGAGAATATCGCTCTTTTCCTTTTCCTTTTCCTTCACTCCTCTCTTTCCGGAACCACCCATCTCCACACCTGTAGCCTACCCAGAGGCAGACGTAGGAGGGGCATAACGGAGGAAGAGAAGGGCCGGGGGCGCAAAGCCAGCAACACATTTTATTTTGTTCTTCACGATGTGGACAGTAATGCGCTTTGGTGGAACTTCCGGTGTTCATGAAAAGGGCGGCACCACGCTGTTGCAGACTCCTTCAGCTAATTAGAGCAGAAGGAATCGAGATGATGGGATCACATACAGAAGAAAAAATCGTCCAAAAGCCAGCGGAAGAAGATGATATCTATTAGCGTCAGTGGGCCAGAATGAAAAAAAAAAAAAACGAAATCGAATAATCTCGCTCCAGCTCACTTTCATAGTCATCTGCCTTTTTTTTATAGAGCGCATTGTCGACTGACTCACAGAATCGACAAAATGCGTCTCAGACCGAATGGTTCTCTTGGTTTGGCTCTGTCTTCGGAAACGCAACTGAGAGGAGTATGGCCAGACTCAACCGCGGAGTCAAAGACGACCCCTCGGACCTGAGGCTCTCTAGATGGGAGGATGCGGAAGACAGAGCTGGGTCAGTTTAGGAGCTGGCGATCACGCTATCCGAGCGCAGTGTCTTTGTACATGGATCTATTTCGTCAGACAGAGTCTTTGGCGAAGATTTGGGGCAGCACAAAATCGACTTGCTCATGGAGTCAGCCACTACATTCTCCGAACGAAGTGCTCTCCTCGACTCATCACCAGAGGCCGAGAAAGACCTTCTCAGCCAGATCAACTTGGTGACGTGATATTAACCGGCGCCGATCTGGTCACTACCTTTGCACTATTCGCGCGGATCGAAGCCTCTTGGGACTTTGAGGTCCTGCCTTTCAGGCGACGCTCCGACTCTTGGGAGTTGATGCCACCGTCTGCGGAGATAAGAGACAGGACTGCGGCGGTTTCTTCATCGATAGACGAGTTAGCAGTGACTCGAATAGTGAAGAAATCCGTGACAAGCTTTTGGGTATGCATTGTCAATAAAAAAGAAGGAAAAAAAAAGGGGGGAGAGAGAGAGAGAATCTATATACGCTCCAATTGTGGAGCGGCGCAGTATGATATCTATGAAACATATTATGAAGATAACCCATAAATAAAAGAGCCTTTGCACCCTTTGCACAATGCAAATAAGGGCACTGTTTGTATCTACTGGGTACATCTTCCAAGCCTTCATTTTGCCCAAGGCCTAGCAGTGCCAGAATCGTCGTAATCTAAACGATTTACATGCCATCTGCTTGTGCACGGTTTTATAATGCTGGACGCGTCCTGCCACGGCAATAGGCAAACCGCCTGCGCCTATGCAAGAAAAAGAAAAGGCAAAAAATGCAGGGTGGTGGCTCGAACCCCAGGCGCTCTTGCACGACCTTTGCTACCTATCCCGGGTGCGGCCTGTCCATGCAAACTGACCTGGGTTCGTTCGATCCGTTCGACCACCTCTGCAGCTGGCGTCCCAGTTGTTGGCAATGGAAGGAATTATTTCGATTAATAACAGCTGGCTGGAGTTGAAGAGAAGAAAAACAGTATCAGGGGGTTGCCAGCTGGGAACGGGTGCTGGCTTTATAGCTTTAGAGATGCGAGACTTGAAGATGGCGCTAGGCAAGGCAGATCTGGTGCCCACTTGGCATCCACAATGGATTAATTAATTTAGCATGGCGATGCTAGCACTAGAATGGTCTAAAGGGTCTGAAGGTGTTTTAGTTGAGAGAGGATTTGGATTGAAGCAATGAGGCACGATGAGAATCAAGTATTGCTAGGAGCTGGAGTTTGAGGCTTGCCTGTAATACTCGTAGCAGGCAGCTCCCTGTAGAATAGGCGCTGAACCGCCATTATGAGTTTGCACTTCAGCGCATCGCTTATCCACACGTAGGGCTGAGGGTCGAGCAATTAGCGGTTACAGGGACCGTATCTCATCAAGCGGGGCTGTTCAAGATTTCAATTGACATTTACCCCAGATACTCGCAAACAGAATGCTGCGCCAACCTTCGGTGATGCAATATTCCTGGCCCGGTGGCTATTGCCCGCCTATCCCAGCATGGAGGTCCACGGCGCTTCTCGTCATAAATAGCCAATACGGATATCGCGATCCTTCATGGGGCGACGGTGCTTCCAACCCCGATTACGAGAAGAACGTTTCCAGTCTCATTGCCAAGTTTCGCAGTTATTCCGAGACTACGCCCGAGGACGAACTGCCTCTCATTATCCACGCCCAGCTCAAGCCAATATGGGTCAACTCTCCATTATACCCTGGAAAGACCGGTCCTTACGGCGTGAATGGCGAAGAGAAGAAGGGCATGGACTTTCTAGAATGCTCGATCCCTGATGAGGCCTCTAGTCTGTCTGGCCCTACTGCTTCTTCTGACTCTGTTGTTTCGTCTGAATCCACCCAAGCATCTGAGCCTACTGCTTCGCTTGAGTCAGCCAACTCTTCCCGCTCACCATCTAATGAAGTCATAATAACTTGCCGCGGGCCCAACGTCTTCAGCAACACGCCTCTGGAATCCTTGTTGAAAAAGAGAAACATAAGAACGCTGCTCGTCGCTGGAATCTCAACAGACCACGCTGTTAGCACCACCGTTCGTTCAGCTTATGATCTAGCCATGGATGGGAGATGGGGAGGGCCGGGCTATATTGAAGATACCTTCAGATGGCTGCATACGGATGGGGCCGGGGTATATGGGCAGAAGAAGCACGTTTTCGGCGGCAACCAAGAAGTCAGTCAAGAAGATCTGGTTGACTACGCTGTAGATATGGCGAGGATCATCTTGATTGGTGACGGAACAAGATGTTTTGGTAAAGGAGGTGTCGATGCTGACATGGTCCATCGAGTTCATGTCGAAAGCTTGAATGCATTTGCCGAGGTGATAAACACTGCTACTGTCTTGCGCCAATTGTATCAAGACGAAAGATGGAAAAAATGGACGTTCTCCTAGGGCATGGCGTTTTAGGAAGAAGAAGACTAAATAGATATGGTTTTCAGCTAACGCGAATTAATACAAGGCCAACAGCACTATTGAATCACATTGAAACATAGAGGGCGAATGTTGCTCGAAGCTGCTTGGGATCCATCGTCCATCGCTACGTCAGTGGTAGGGGGCAGAAGGAGTGGTAGAGGCACCAGAAGGAGGAAGAGGAACGACAAGATTGATTAAAGTATTGGGAGGAAGACCGGCATGGGCCGCTGCCTATACTTAGTCACCAAGACGATGTCGTCACCCATCTGTACATCAGTTGCAGTTGGAGGAGTCGGGCTAGTAGATGGAGCAGAGAGGCCAGTAGAAGAGGTAGTTGCACCATCAGAATACAGAGCAGCGCTGCAAGCAAGGAGAGCATCCATAGAAGTTGGCGCAGGCAGACCAGCACGGACAAACGCTGCGCAGCCCCCTTGCACTAGGTTTGGGTCTATGGATCAATGTGAAATGGATGATGAATGAATCATGAACGAATGAAAGAGATGCCGTTCTTCTTGGGCTTGGGCTTCTTCGATTTGTTGGCGTCCCCAGCGAACATCAGTTGTGACACAAGATGAGGCAGAGAGTAAAAACAAGAAACATACCAAGACCGCCTTTCCTCTCATCCCTCCTCCCAGGGGGACCGCAACTAGTACGCTGATACCATTCTTGGCCGGGATAAGGTTGGGCACTTGGGTCGTTTCTTGTTGGTAACTAGCCATCTATTTTAAGAATGCATTAGCAATGTGTTGCTGGACAAAATTGCGTTTATAAAGAAACTTACGGTTGGCAAAGCTACCTACCTAGGTATGAATAGCTGGAATTCTACCGTGAATAATGGAAATGGAATGATGCGACATTTCTTAAATAATGATATAGCATATTGGAAATTAAAAATAAAAGTTTCTTTAGTAATTAATGATTTTATAATAACAAAAGTGAAAGTAATGCCTCCACCGCAGAGTCAACTTGTTCAAGAAAAGTCCAGACGCAAGTCAACTTCTCGCGGCGTCGTATCGAATTGATCTGTATAATCACTGTATTTCTTCGATTGACAAGTGGGAACGCATGGATTCATAGACCATGTCGTCCCCGATACAGAGGCATCGAGCTCAAGATTCCACAGCTTGACGAGATCCGCACATTGCCCGCCTTTAACCCGTATCGCTTTGATCATGGGCCTCTCCTCTTTAATAAACTCCATGATTTCACCAAAGACTCCAATGTTATTGTACAAGTCGTATATGCGGTTGTTCTCAATGAGTAACACCAGGCTTGTGACGTTGGTAAAGAGCCTGAGAGCCTTCATGATGGTATCTCGAGCCCATCGAAGCTTTGGCAGGAAAGTTTCGTCCGCATGGCGTTTGCAGTTCCTTATGCCGGGTAAAGTATCGCAACGGGTTACACGGCAGTTCAACACCTTGTCGTCGAACCTCAGCGTCAAATTTCGAACGCTCTCGCCAATGACGCCGCCCAAGAGTTTACTATTTGTGCATTGGGTCATGGACCACTCTTCCTCGTCACCCAATGGGATTTCTCCAAACTCTCTGGAAATGCCAAGTTGTAGCTGTTTGTGGCGCCAATACCCAAGACTCCCTTCTTCCCACAGCTGCTTGCAGGATATCATCAAGTTGAAAACATTAAAGTAATTCTTATTGCTGCGAGTTCCGCCGTGTATCCGCCTATTGAACCAGAGAACCTCGGTTTTGACAAGGCAGGGAGCGTACCTGTCCCACGGTATCTTGTCGTTCGGCCAGTGCGTGTTTGGCCGCTTGGAGAAGTGTACAAAGGCAATAGAGGCGAGAGTAATAGGATTGTCGTCATTGTGTCTATCTTCGTAGTCTTTAATAACCATGAGGAGGTCAAAGTCGCGATCTTCCCATAGCTCATGGAAGATTTTGAAGCGAACTTCCAACGGCATCTGCAACAGGTGTAGTCTTGGGTAGAGCGAGGAACGACCGACACAATCTTCTTGCTTATACGTAGCCATGTTGAGCATTTGTTTTCTTGGCTGTTGCAAGTAGCTTTTTGATGTTGTGACACTCTGGTAGAGATATCCGACTGAATGGTATAATGACTTATAAGTGGCGAGAGATGTACCAGATTTAGCGCAAGTGCTAGGTGAGATGACTTATTTATCTATGCTAGAAACAGCATCTCATCGAGATTGCGGGATATACAAAAGCAAACATCCGACCAGATCTGTCCCAAACTGCATTCAAAGTGCCTGACATGGTGTGATTGCATGCATCTCATGCAGGAGCCGGACGCCAGCAACACCAGGCACAGTGCGAAGATGGCGAGGAGCAGTCCAGCTGAAGCAGCCGGGCAAGAGTTCCGTTGCCCACCGTTGCATTAACCCAATCACGGCATCCCACCTGGCATGGGAAGACACTCGACTGAAACATGCATGCCGCATGTATGTGTTATCACGCATAGGCGAGGCGGTATTACTGCAGCTGCACAATAGTTCCAAGACATGCGTGCGCTTATAGCCGAATCTGGTAAGAGAGAAGATGGTTTTGTCTATCTGTATGCGGATATTGCACAAATATTGTGCGCAAGAACGAAAGCGCTGAGTAGTCATAAATTCATGAGTTGATGTTGATACAGGCTGAGATGGTCTTTTACGGCGCATTCAGCCAGCTCCGGCTGCAATTCGCTCTGATGAGTGTTGGGGGCGCACCGAGCATTAAAATCACACTCTAGGAAAATTAAGAGAGAAAAAGTCATACAGAAAGAGATTGTCTTTGCTGCTGCAAACTTCAAAGTCCATCAAAAAGAAGGGTCCCTCAACCGGTCATGTGACGACTGCTCAATCATCTTTTCTATAAATTCGATCCTCTGAATCAATGCGTTGCCAAACTCAGAAGACTCCATCATTGCCATCACAAAAGGGCCTTGGCCGCCCCATGTGCAGGCGTGCAGGTGGTTGCGCAGCTGCGAGAGAAGGCCATTCGCCTCTTTGTTCGCAAATAGGCCTGCAGAATTCATCTCCTCCAGCATGTCAAGCGCAGAGTTGGCATCCCCGAAGCGCTGCCAGTGGATCTCGGCCAGCTTGGAATAAAACGGTGTCGAGACGCCAAGGACAAAGGACGGTAAGCCGAGTTCCTTGATGCGGGGGAGGATCTGGAATATGTACGGAGAAGGTCGAGCAAAGGCCGAGTTGAAGAGGTCCAAGGCCGTGCTGAGGAATCGAGAGTATAGCGGTCCGTGAATATCCATCACTCGTTCTTCATCTTGCGAGGCCATTTCCAGTGCTGACTGCTCTTGGTACAGACTCGCCTCGGCATCTTCTACAAGTGCACTCGACTGCCGAGCCTTCTTTTTGCCCTTTGCGGCTCGCTTTGTCTGTGCAATATGCAGCTTTTCGGGCAACGAGAAAACCTCCTTCTCCATGACGCTCCACAGCTCTGCATCAGTCTTGCATTGCTTCATCAGAGATTCTACCCTCTCGCACTCCTGGCTTCTGGCAAGCTCACGCTCTGTGCGCTCAGCCCATGTAGCCTCATCAGCGCCGTCCAGCTCAATCATCTGAGCCTTCTCTCCGGACTCGGAGTCCTTCGGCTTGACCTCATACAGACCCAGTGCGACCTGAGCAGCGTTTTGGAGCGACCTGGGATATCGGCCCAGAAATTTCTCTCGAAACTCAGAGATGCGAACCTTTTCGGCCAGTGCGCGGGCTGAGCCAGAGCTGTCTCTCTCGCCGCTTATAGCGGGTGCATCAGTGAGATTCTGCTGAGCCGGGGGCCGACTCTTGACGGGTGGCATTTTGCCTTCGGCGATTTCACTGAAAATTTTCTTGAAGATCTGGGCCTCAGAAGGCGTGATGGTGGAGGCTTGTTCTGAGTTGCTGCCTTCCAGCTCTTGGTCTTCTCTGGAATCCCATTGAAACGGAATGGAGTTATCTCTAAGCTTTTTGGGCCGTCGTGGAGAGTGCATCAAACGGGCAGAAGTCAACGCCACAAGGGGGCCCTTGGCAGCCCGCTGAAGGGTTCGAGTCTGGTATAAAAACGGAAGCATGGTTGACGACATTGCTGGCTGATGTGGAATGCAGCAGAGTCCCTGAACTGCAAATGCCGATGCTCAATTCTTTCAATGCCGAAATTTTCAAAATCTGGAGCTCGCTGAATGCTCATCCAGGTGTTTTACACGGCTAATCCTCGGTGAGCTGCACCTGGGACTCTGCGGTTTGGTTCTAGGAGTGCCGCCTAATTTAGTCGGTAATTGATGCGCGTGACTTCGCGCCAGACAATTAACGGCCTCGACGCGGTGCCACGCGATTTCCCCAATTCAGCTCCGGATTCAATCCGCCGTCAGCACCCATTCACATCTTCCTGCGACTGGACCAGGTGCAACACCAGCTTTTCTTTTTTGGATACCAGACAATTGCGAATTGTACACCTCAATTCCATACCGCATTTTCCCTTTTTATTTCGAATTATTGTCCAACGTCGTACCAGCCATGGCTCCGAAGAAGGAAAGCGACGGCCTCAGCGCATTCGAGCGCCGCCGCCTAGAAAACATTGCTGCGAACAAAGCCCTGCTGTCCGAAATCTCGGTTACAGCAAAAAACATTATACCAGACAAGCCTGTATCCAAACCATCTGCACCGCGCAAGAGGACGAGAGCAGAACCTGTGCTTCGAGAGCCTCGACGAGGAACCCGCATGAGTTCCCGTCTTGCCGGAGTAACGGCAGACGATGATGTGCTTAAGAGGAAGCTGGAGGTGGAGTCAGAGCATCAAGCCGCAGAGAGCAAAGCAAAGAGACTGCGCAGCGGCGAGGATATGCATTTGGGAGACATTGTTGTTGACGGCCGGAAATATACAAGCAGCATGGATGACCTAAAGGGCATCTTTCGCGGAGCGCAGCCCGGCGTGCGAACCTTTTCGGATTACGATATCAAAGAGACTACCGATGCCAATCTGAAGGAATTGCGATCGCAAATGAGCGGCTTGAAGCTATATGAGCACTGGATACCCAATGGTAAGTCTTACATTGCTTTTCTCGCAGAATCATTAGTAACGAACCGTCTATAGATATTAAAATCACCCCGCAACGGATATACGCACTAAGCTTCCATCCGACAGAGGATAAACCCATTGTATTTGCCGGAGATAAAGAAGGCGCCATGGGAGTGTTCGACGGTTCACAGACGGCACCCGAGGTAGATGACGATGATGAACATGTGCCGGATCCCGTTATATCAGCTTTCAAAGTTCATGCTAGGACCATTACTTCGTTTGCATTCTCACAAGCAGACGCAAATTCCATATACTCGTCATCCTACGACTCTTCCATACGGAAACTTGATTTGGAAAAAGGCACCTCTATTCAAGTCTTTGCTCCTGAGAGCAAGTACGAGGAGTTGCCCATCTCCACATTGGAGATTCCTGCGGCAGAACCGAATATGCTGTATTTATCAACATTGGATGGTTCTGTTGGCCGATACGATACAAGAGTACCCGACAGCCTAGAATTATGGACACTCTCTGATCAAAAAATTGGAGGATTCTCCATGCACCCCCTACATCCATATCTTTTAGCCACCGCATCCTTGGATAGAACCATGAAGGTATGGGACTTGAGGAAGATGAATGGTAAGGGGGATATGAAACATCCTTCTTTAATCGGAGAGCACGAATCACGCCTATCAGTCTCGCATGCGTCGTGGAGTGCAGGCGGGCACATTGCCACTTCGTCGTACGATGATACCATCAAAATCTACGACTGCTCCGGAGCCTCGAAATGGAAGCCAGGCCAAAGCATCGACATGGTACCCGCGCACACTGTCAAGCATAACAATCAGACAGGTAGATGGGTCACCATCTTGAAGCCGCAATGGCAAAAAAATCCAGAAGACGGAATTCAGAAATTATCTATTGGTAACATGAACCGATTTGTCGATGTTTACGCTTCAGACGGAAGCCAATTGGCTCAGCTGGGAGGAGATGGGATCTCTGCTGTTCCGGCCGTGGCCCATTTTCACCCGAGCAAGAACTGGGTAGCTGGAGGCACTGCCAGCGGCAAGCTTTGTTTATGGCAGTAAATGGCTTTGGCTATAAGTATTTACGAGAGGGGGTGCTACAGATCCTACTGTTTACTGCTGAGCATTGATGAAGAAGAATTCTGTTCTACTGGCTATTTTACTCTGAATATTGTTGATAGTGGCCTTACAATTATGCTGAGGGGGGGAGTGCGACGCTTGGTAATGCGCTCAGGAATTTCTAGACTTGTACATACACTGACAACAGAAGAGAGGAGCCTGTTGAATACATAATGATTCGTCTATTTAGGAGCTATACATTCATTCTCTATCTATGGACCCTTGGCTGCTTGAGTGAAGAGTGATATCTAGTCAAGGCCCTTTACTCCTTAAACTCCCTCTTCATTTCGGTACTAGAAACCTCGAAGCCGCACTTTTCGTAGAATTTGATGTTGTGCTCACTGCAGTTGAGAATCGTTTTCCGGCATCCCACGTTCTTGGCCACGGAGTTTAGAGCGTTGAGCATGTGGAATCCCAGCTTCTTTCCCTGCTGGTCTTTGGAGATGCAGATCTCCTCGATATGGCCGACAGTGGTGCGATTTTGAATGCTTAATGATCAATTAGTTACAGGCAAGCTCTATGATTGTGCATCTGCAGCACAAACTTACAACTTCTTCTCAACAATCACGGCACCCGTGCCTACAATCCGACCTGCTGTTTCAATGACGAGATAGTAGTAAGGGGGCCCGCTCATCTCGTCGTACCGCTCGTTGAATTCCTGCTCGGTGACATTGTCCATCCATGTCAAATCTCGGAGGCATTCTAAAAAGCCCTTGGCATAATCTGCCTTTTCCAACGGCCTGATCGTGTAGCCATCCGGGAGAGCTGCTGCGGCATCGCTAGACAGCAGGGATGCGGGGAATATGGGGCTTGGAGTGGACATTGTTGTAAGAGCTGGTTTGCAGGCAGTGACGGCAATGCTGAAGAGGATGTATTATTGTGATGAAAATGAGATTGTTTTATTCTCTTGGTGAACTTGCTCAGCAGAAGATGTTATTGAATTAGAATCAGCCTACTGGTTTGTGACGTTACATGGGAATGCTATCTCACGCTTGTTATAGAACTCCCCACGATACGCTAAATGATACTCCTCACTATTAGCTGCGTCGCGATAATTTACGGCTGCCATTACACAAAGATCAACAAACGCAGTACACCTGTAACGTGGCTATCGGGAAAATATTGATACTTCCTTTTAAGCATAACACAAAAGATATACAAGGCAAACGCAAATGAACAATCTACGATTGACAGCCCTATAAAGCTGGCAACACACCTTGAACATAGCAGGCAACCGTCTCAGCAGCATTAGTAGATGGCTGATTATAGTGCACCAAGCTAATACTTGCATATAATCAGACTACCAGCCTCTCAGATCCTCAAAAGCCCTCCGATGGATCCGATTGAACGCTAGAAGCCCGAAAAGCATATTAATATTCTCTTTTGTCCGTTTCTGGAACCGTGCATGTGTCAGAGCAAAGCAGCAGATATGATGAATTTATCTACTCATGTATTCTATCTAAGGTAGGCGAGGTGAGTCAGCTCGGGCAGCCCCAAAAGCTTAAGCGCATTACTCGGGTGGCAGTGCGGTAGAGCCGGCTCCGTTGGTTCATGTCCATGTACATACGAGAGAGATGCGGATCAGCTGAGCACCGCTGTAGTCAAGACCGAGGTGGAGAGGGAATTTCCTGTATGTTGTAGACATCGATAATACTGACCGTGGACATCTATGGGAAACAGCAAAAGATGCGTGAAAAGCGAAACGAAAACGAAAACGACGTATTCAGTATTCAGTTGAGGGGCCGAAAAGGAAAGACTCCATGTCTAATACCTGAGGTGCATGCACAAATAGAGAGGCTCCTGTCTTACAACAAGGGCTAGCCATGTTCAGCGTATAAAAGAGGCAGCGCAGTGAATGTGACCCCTGCACCTGGTGGCGCCAGTTCTTTATTCTCATGTATTTGCTGGTTCGTACTCGGACTGGCTGCTTTACGTTGCTCTGCAATTCTGAGACCAGACAGGCACGTCTCTGCTCTTGTTGTGGGTGATGGTGCTCCATGATATCAACACTGGGTACATGTACTTGCCGCCTCCTTGCAGCTGTATCAGGCACCTACGGGCTCAAACACAAAAACTTGCTTCAAGCTCAGAAAGTCGTAGTCAATATGTAATTCATAAGTACCTCATCACCTGTTGTGCACATCATAGTACTAGGGAATTACAGCGCACGTCATGCTGTGGTCCTGACATCGTAGCCTCTGTATGATCATATCACATGGGAGGCGTAGGTGGAGGCAGAGCCACGGGCCGGACTAAGTCGCCGATGGGTGTGACTTGCGCTGTGTTGCCGCCCGAGCGCTGCAATATTGCGAAGAGATAAACCGCACGGCTGCCATTGGCCTGGCTGGGAGCAGATTGACGACAGTTTCACGGTGTATACTTTGTGGTGATTGAACTGGTTTGAACAAAGCCTGCCGAGTACGACGATCCCAAGATAACAACTGCCAATGCGACACCCTTGCGGCCTTTATCGATAAGTGCTCCCTGGGGCCAGAATCAGCTGTCTGTCACTGGGCGAGACAGGCAAGTACACCAACAACAGGCGAATTGCCTCAAGGGCTGCCATCCAACACCGGGCTTCCTCGCACTGTCGTACCAAGACACCGCGCTCCTGCGCTAACTGGGCGCTGATCCAAGTATCCTTGCACCTATATATAGCGAGCGGTGTACGCTGCGAGAGCAGGTACCTGGCGGGCAGGTCGCGAACCTTATCTAGCGGACCGTGAGGCGCCATCAATGAAAGCGGCCTCATTTCTCTCCCAACAACCTCCCACGAATCCCTCGCCGACGCAGCAGGCGCTGATCTCCAGGTCGCCTCTTCAGTGGAGTGCCGGTGCTGGTGCCTCGCATATCCCACGGCCTTTGGCGGAGCAGGCGGTTGCCTGGCCTGCACGTCTGCCGTCATCTCCAGCTCGCTGCTGACCCTGCGGCGCAAACGACCCATTTCAACAAAAGGTTACGCCTCCGCAGTCGCCTTGGCCTAGGCCGACACGCTTCTGGCGCTCCCCCAACTCTAATCGCCGCGGCCGGAACTCATTTCGTCCTGCACTGCAGCCACCATGGCGACGACTCCCACCCCCCGCCGCGGCAGCCTTGGCGGCGACGACGACGCTGGACTGCCTCGCATCGCCGACACACCTGCAGACCTGCGGCGAGACGACTCGACTCTGACGGCCGAGCTCCCTGAGCCCCTCCAAGGCAGCGACGACGACACAAGCGAGAATGTGGGCTTTGCCCAGACCAGCCCCATGGCTGTGAACATGAACCAGAGCATCTTTGGTTTGATTGCCGCTGCAGGATCCCGGGTCGACTTCAACACCCGCTTTGACGACGGCAGCAGTGACGAGGACGACGGCGAAGGTGAGGACGAAGAAGGGAGCCGTCTGAAACCACTAGGCTCCCGGCACCGCGACCTTTCACAGACGGCTATACTGGGGTCATTCCCCGCCAAGGATAAACGGCTCGGGCACAAGAAGAAGCTTTCTGGTCACAGGCTCTTGAAGTCGTTTGCCTCGTTGCCTAGAAGGAAGAGCGGCAGAGGCTCTGGCAAGATGTGGGAGCCTACCGAGGAGGTGGACGAGCCGAGCGAGTCGAGTCAATCACCCTCTCCCAAGAAGCCCTCCCAACAGCTAGAGGAGGAGGAGGAGGATCTCCGAGTCGCACCCGTCATGAGCCGAATGCTAGAGGCCCAGGCCGAAATGGCCAGCCGGTCTAGCTTTGATATTGATATTGAAAGAGACTCTTCCGGCCCCGATCGAACAGACGAAGGAGAGGAAGAGGGAGAAGAGGAGGGAGAAGCAAGCCATGTCACAGCCTTGGCAAGGAAATTAATGGAGATATTTGACTTTGATGAGCCAGAGCGTGTTATAGAAGGTTCGTCTGCTGCGCCTGATTTACAGCCTTGGATATTTACTAACTGCGAACCATGTATAGAGTATCCGTGTTGGTTGCTCAAAAGCGTATTGCTACAAGGCTATCTATACATTACTTCGAAGCACATTTGCTTCTATGCCTATCTTCCAAAAAAGACAGTAAGGCCAACTCCCACTCCTACACATGCGAATTTCACTCACATAGTTTTAGCAATCCGTAACCAAATCTGGTTACCTATCAAAAAGCGGGAAACGTAACCCAAAGTACAGCCGTTACTGGTTTCGTCTCAAAGGCGACGTGCTCTCGTACTACCAGGATTCCACTAACCTCTACTTTCCACACGGCCACATTGATCTCAGCTTCGGCATCTCTGCTAGCGTCACAGACAGAGACAAGGAAGGCGTGCATTTTTCAGTGGTAACAAGCCATCGCACCTACAACTTCAGAGCCGAGAGTGCGCCGAGTGCCAAGGAATGGGTCAAGAGTTTACAGAGGGTCATTTTCCGAAGCCATAATGACGGCGACAGTGTCAAGATATCTATTCCCATCAACAACGTCATTGACGTGGAGGACTCTCAGATGATGGAGTTTTCAGATACCTGCAAGATTCGAGTCATGGACAGTGACGAAACGTTTGCTATCGACGAGGTAAGCCACCTTCCTATAAGCTTCTAAAGATTCAGTCCTAATATCAAATGTGCAGTATTTCTTCTCCTTCTTCAACTACGGAAAAGAGGCCATAGACGTTATCAAGGATTTGGTAGAAGACGCATCCGCCGAGGGCCCGACGGCTGGTAAAGCCATTGCCAAACAAGAAGAGTCCTCCAATCCGTCATCGCCTCGCGCCCCGGGAAGCGCTTTCCGAAATTTAACTCGCGTGGATAGCGCACTTACCACGAAACTTGGCCCGGGACTGGTAGCTGATCATTCGACATCACGCAGTTCCACAAGTCCAGGCCCGTATCCTAGTGGCGATGATGGTCTCCATTCAAGCTTCGACGCAATCGGAAGAGAAAGGGACAGTCACGATGAGGATTCTCGAGGACGATCCAGCGACAATAAAAGATCAGAAGGTAGCCATCAGGGTGAAGAGCGAATATCATCACGGATGCTCGAATCGTCCGAGTCAAATCTGTACTCATCAATGGAAGAACCAAGCTTCGCTAGTCTCAACGAATCTGCTTTTGAAGATCCTTCTGCAAGTCAGATCCTCAGAGGCAGTGACGTCTTCCAAAACCCGACCATGAGACACTCACAAAGCTCCATCCGTGACGACAAGGAATCAGACCTTCAGCCGGCTGTTTCTACACCAAGCCATGCTGAAGGGTCCGGCTATGCTGGGTCTGTTGACCTCCCACGAGTGTCAACGCCAACGTTGCAGAGCATTACGAGAATGGGCGCATATCCCTTGCAACGAGCTGGTGCGTTTGCCGATTATCTGAACAAGACAGGCAAGCGAATGAGCACCCTCCTTGCCACGGAATCTATGGGCTATGTCGAGAAAGTTTCCGGCATGTGGAAAGGTGAACGCAAGCATTACGATGAACCTGCCGGCCTGCGACCCGACGAGGATGACCTGGAAGAGGACGATGACGGCCAGATCAAGACATCTAATGAACGGTTTCGAGCACATTTCGCACTCCCTGCCACAGAACGGCTGCAGGCTACGTATTTCGGATACATTATGCGCGTCCTGCCGCTGTACGGTAAAATCTATCTCAGCGGTGGATATTTCTGCTTCCGAAGCTTGCTCCCCGGTACGAGGACGAAGTTGATTCTCCCCCTGAAAGATATCGAGAATGCGCATAAAGAGAAGGGTTTTCGCTTTGGGTACTCTGGTCTGGTAGTTATCATTCGTGGGCATGAAGAGCTCTTCTTCGAATTTCGACAAGCTGAGATTCGTGACGACTGTGCAGTGACGCTGCTGCAGTGCCTGGAAATCGATCGCAATCTTCAAGGATCTGGACTCTTGTCACTGGCATCCAAAGAGGAAGCAAACGCTGCGATCGCAGAGCGGGAGGCCTTGAAACTAGCAGGACAAGAGACGTTTACAGACCGCGAACCTCGAGTACCGCAGTCAACCACTCATGCCGCCAATATCTTGGGAGACGACCTAGAAACATCGGTGATACAGTTCAAGGCACCGCATTCAATGAGAATCACATGCCTAACAATCGGTTCCAGAGGCGATGTTCAGCCTTACATCGCATTGTGCAAGGGATTGCTCAAAGACGGCCACAAGCCGAGAATTGCCACACACGCAGAATTCCAGGGATGGATCGAATCACATGGTATTGAATTTGCGTGTGTCGAGGGTGATCCCGGAGAGCTCATGCGCCTCTGCATTGAGAACGGAACATTTACGCTTTCGTTCCTTCGGGAAGCTAATGCAACATTCCGAGGCTGGCTCGATGATCTTCTTGATTCCGCTTACAAGGCTTGTGAAGGGTCTGAGCTTCTCATCGAGTCGCCGTCAGCCATGGCAGGAATCCACATTGCAGAGAAGCTTGGGATTCCGTATTTCAGAGCATTCACGATGCCGTGGACGAGGACACGAGCGTACCCCCACGCCTTCATTATGCCGGAAAACAAGATGGGCGGTGCCTACAACTACATGACCTATGTCATGTTTGACAACATCTTTTGGAAGGCTACCGCTCATCAGGTCAACAGATGGAGGAACAAAACGCTTGGACTGCCAAATACCGGGTTGGAGAAAATGCAGCCTAACAAGGTGCCTTTCTTATACAATTTCAGCCCGAGTGTCGTCGCGCCTCCTCTGGATTTCTCAGATTGGGTCAGAGTCACTGGCTACTGGTTCCTGGACGAAGGCGGCGACTATGAGCCTCCTCAGGAGCTGCGAGACTTTATCCAGAAGGCAAGGGCTGATGGCAAAAAGATTGTATATGTCGGATTTGGTTCCATTATCGTCAACGACCCGGCCAAGATGACCCAGGAGGTGATTGACGCCATCCTTAAGGCTGATGTCCGATGCATTCTCTCCAAGGGATGGTCTGATCGCATCACTGGCAGGGACGAACCCACTAGACCGCTTGCTGAAGAGCCGGTGATGCCACCGGAGATTCACGTCATCAAATCTGCTCCACACGACTGGCTATTCCGACAGATTGACGCAGCAGCGCACCACGGCGGATCAGGAACCACTGGCGCCAGCTTGAGGGCTGGTATACCGACCATCATCCGGCCTTTCTTTGGAGACCAATTCTTCTTTGCTAGCCGTGTAGAAGATTTGGGCGTTGGCGTTTGGGTCAAGAAGTGGGGAACGAAATCGTTTGGCCGGGCTCTTTGGGAAGTCACGCGTAACGAGCGAATGATTGTCAAAGCCCGGCAGCTGGGTGAACAAATTCGCAGGGTAAAGTCATCTCCCCGATTAAAATCTCTGGCAGATATACTAACAGCTATGTAGGAGAGCGGTGTTGAAACTGCGATTCAGTCTATATACCGAGACATGGAATATGCAAAGAGCCTGATTAAGCATACAGATGGACATTTAGAAACAGAAGAAGACGAAGACACGGAAGAGAGCTGGACATTTGTCCGCGGCGACGAGCCGGATCCAGACGTGATTACGACAAAGTTGAGCGAAGGTTTGGAAGGCGTAGCATTGGGAAACAATAGCAAGGCGTCAGGCAAGGCATAGTAAGATGGAACCTAACGAATATGTCTTTTCGGGTTGTTTTTCTTTTCTTTCTCTTTTTTTCCTTATTTTTGGATGAGCGGATTACAGGATTTCTACATGCAAACCCTAGAGATGAGTTTTTTTAATACTTGGTTTCTCTTTCTCTTTTTTCCTTTGCTTTTTTTTTTTTCCTTTTATTCCTTTACTTGGGAGATTGGATCTAGCTCGTCATACTTTTAAGTCGATGAACATGAGATGAGATGATAATGTGTTGGGTGGAGATTCGGGTTTACGACGAGATTGGATGAGTGCTATGACTGCGGTCTTATTGGCTGGAATAGATTTTGCGCTATAGAATGAAGAATGCAAAGCTAAATCGCACTTTTGGTATAATACTTGTAGATGATATGTCGAGACGTATGTCGACTGTAAAAAAGAGAATATACTCGAGCACCATGGAGAGAATGAGAGGATAAGAAGTGTTCAAGTAGTAAATGAGTAAATGAGTAATACTTGTTCATAAAATAGTCGGCTGGTATCGTAATAAATCATAGCTAACTCATACACAGACCAAGACATGTCAAAACACCCACAAATACCCAAAATCCTGTCATTGCACGCTCGCTCAAAGTAGATGAAGTGAAGAAATAGAAAACCCCCGTAAATGGCTTGTTATACGCACAAATCTTTCGCGTGTGGTTGTGATCCAAGGGGGATAGCGCCATCCTTGGACGTGATATTATTCGAGAAGCCCACCAGGGGTCGCGAATTGGCAATTGCCTCCCACAAATCTAGGAACGCATCCTCCATGCCATCAGTGGTTGGGTCTCGGTCCTGGTACACAATGCGACCGGTGGCATCTCTCACAGGCTGCCCGTTGCCGTCCACAACCGGTTCGTTCAGCAGGAGGAAAAACTCGGGCCAGTCTCGCCAGGGCGAAGTCTCCAGGGCTATCCTCCAGATGCCGTCTGTGTGCGCGATGATGGCGTCTTCCCAGCGGGCTGTCATGTGAAGGCATTCGCGATACCAGTCCATCATGCCCTGCATGTCCGCGCGCCACCAGCCGCCAAGGATGGTGCCGCCAGGCAGAATCTGCTGCCTTGATATAACCCAACGGGCCAAGGCGGGCCAGAATATCTTTTGCAGCAGGTCCAATTTCTGCTGGCGCGTAACTCCAAACTCGCCCACCTGGAGAACATAGATGCGATCGAAGCTCGCTGCCTGAACCCAGTCGCTTTCTCTATGAGCTGTGTCGCAGTCCATGGGGCTCTTGTGGGTAGGATATGGAACTCGTTGAAAGTTTCCATACATGATGTATTATAGATGACGGTTCTTTTCTTCTTCTTCTCTCTTTCGTTTTGTTGTTTCTTCCTTTCTTTTTGTCGTCTATCGTTTCCCTGTTGGTAGATTCAATAAAGGTCCATTAATGGAGTAAATCCTGCACAAATGGCACTTGCAGTTTCAAAATTGGGAAAACGAAATAAATGGATAAGGACAACAAGGAGAAGAAGAGAAAAAGAAAAGAAAGAAGACGAAAACACTGAATAGCAGATGAGTCAGGCACAAACGCACGGATGATATCACAGGAATTCATGCAAACTTAAGACGGGGCCTGCGTCTTTTTTGTTGACGAGCATCAGAACATCGCGCCCATCACCCCATATCACCTCCGGGGAGCTGTCCAACAAGATGCGAATCCGATAGGAGGCAAAACAAGGCAACGCTCTCGCCAAATCGACTAAGAGAGCCAAGGGTAGCATTTACAAGGGTCGGCCATCCGGGGAGACCAGAAGCGTCCCGTCTCATACGTCGATCCGCGACGCACGACAATAGAGCTAAAGCCGCAGGGTAGGGCGGCGAACGGCGGGTATGATCGGGATCCCAGCGGAAATGGCTTGAGCTGTGGCAAAAGCAGGCGCTGGCGGGGCCGGCACAGAAGGCCAGAGACAGGCGCTGTGGGGACTTGGGCGAGATGAGGCTGGCCTGGCCGGGCATCGCGTGTTGGGTTTATCAGATGCTGCGTTACATGGCTGCGATAATGCGGCGAGTTCCAGTCGAGCACGCACCGGCAAGCCACCGAGGCCAGGCTGTGGACGCCCACAATGGGGGGAATCGCTGAATAGGACTCCACACCACTCCGTCGTCGGGCAGAAGCGCGGAGCAATCAATCATTTTTTGTCGCAGTATTGCTGTGTCGGACAAGCATAGGCCGTCTTGTGTTGGCCAAAATCCCGCGATGGCTTCCGCGCCAGCAGGGAGGCGTCTGAAGCGACGGCGCCAGATAAGAGGCGGCTGATAGCGAGGCCAAATTACGCAGGGCGATGAGCAATAGAATCAGATCTGGCAGCCTCTGCTTCTGCGATTTGGTGGCCAAAGTCCTAGGCCATCCAGGGTGTGGCTTGCCGCGGCGCAACTCTGCGCTGTCTCATTCAACCATGATACTGTATGCGGCTGCAAGAGACGAACTAGAGGCGATGATGCCTAACTGCCAGGATTCTGCCTCCCGTCCAATGTCCAATGCTTAGACGCATAAAGCCTGCTAGTCAGTCGGTGGCATTGCATTGCATCCATCCATTCGTCTGTCCTTGCGTGTCCATGGCTCTCTGCTCTTTCACATGTGCGTATCGCTTGCGGGCGCTGAGGGCCAGTCTGCTGCCTGATGACGATCCTGGATGCCCAGCTCGTTGATTGTTTTCATACGTTGATGCTGTATAGGAGGAGGAGCAATCTAGCAGGGCATATTCAGAATGAATGACAGAAGCAGGAATGAATGTATACACACAAATGCATGCGGTGAATACAAGGCCAAGCTACCGATAAGATAGAGCCGTTGAGCCAAATGGCAAGTGCTGCTCTCCATTCACAACGATGCTGCCCCACCACGAAATGCATTATGTAAGCCGCACCGTCAACCTCTGAGAGGAGTTTCATTGCAAAAGAGCCTCCATCATAGCTTCGGCGCCCGACAATCTCGAATTCCCACTGCAGACCGGCGCGTAGCGGAGGCAGCACGACCGGCCGATCTTCCGATTGACGAAGCGACTCTCTCACCAATTTTGCCGCACCGCGATTGACCCCGCCATCGTCCCGAATCGACCGCAACAACCGCCCATCATGCCTCAAGACATGCCCCCCCGGGGCGGGTACGAGCCCGTCCAGTACAAGGTGCGTTGCGATGGAGCTTATGCCGCTGCTGTGGAATCAATTGCCATTGATGGAGGGACTGGGACTTTGTTTGGTATCGCTGTGGGATTGTGGCGTGACAAACAAGCACCAGGGACCTGGATTCGAGGCTGCGACAATCGAGATATATATACCTTGTGCAATATACATCATGTGTTTTCAAGGCTTGCAGCAGAGAAAAGAATAGACCAAGCTGACCTCTCTGCTTAGCGAAACCTGCCCGCCAAGGGCTTCCGACCTGGAATCCTCCTCCTCGGCATGGGCGCCGTCATGGGCTACGGCTGGTACAAGCTGATTGGCGGTATTCGGGAGGCCAAGTACGTCTTCAGCCTCTGGACATGAAAACTTGGCAACTAACGACTTTGCTTTCTCTTAGCGAGCTTGCCCGTGAGAAGATGTGGGCTCGCATCCACCTGATTCCCCTGCTCCAGGCCGAAGAAGACCGCGACCAGGTGCGACGATTCTGGGCCGACCAGAAGCGCGAGAAGGAGCTGTTGGGCGACAACACGAAGGTTTACAACAGCGACAGGTACACCTCGACTTTTTTTTCCGTTCTGGCGGTAGAATGAACAAAGTGGATTGCTAACCGTGAAGCAGATTCGTGCGACCAACATTTGCCGTTTCCCCGGCACCTTCGAAATAAATGGAGTGATATAACATAGGGAAGACGAAGAAAATGCGCTCGAATGGAATTGGAATCTTGTATATATGTGTGTTGACTTGTTCGGCCAGATGGCGTCGACAAAATGGGGTAGAAACAACAATAAAGGAGGGCATGGCAATCTATATTCTTCATCTCATTTTGGCTCAAGTGCTACGAAATTCCCCAAGCGCAGATCAACTATTCCATCAAAGGGAAAAGAAACAGCGAAATCAAAAATCACAAGAGTTTGTTAATAGCGATTATAGGCCAATCTCATCAAACTTGCACACCAACCTCCTCAACAGTCCACTCCCACAACCTCCTCGACAACTCATCACTATGACACTTTGCATTCCCACCATGCGGCCTCCCAACTGGTTCAAAAAGCGCCGTCTTGCCATCAACCTTGTCCTTGACCTCCAGAGACGTCGCCGCCCACAAAGTATTATACGCCCCCTCGCGAGGAGTCAGCATCCCCCTTGGAGCCGTGATACGCGTGAGCATCTTGTCAAAAGTCCCAAAGTTGGCAACCGCCTCCGTGCCAACCACGCCCGGATGAACCGCAAGGCTCGTAATCTGCGGATACCGTTTGCCCAGCTCCCTCGCAAAGAGCACATTGGCGAGTTTGCTCTGCGCGTAGCGTCGCCACCGGCCCATCAGCAGCATATTGTCCTGCTTGGACCGCAGGGCGTCAAAGTCAATCCCATTGGCCATGGCATATCCCAACGACGTCGTGGCCACGAAGCGGACGTCTGCTCCCGGCACCTCGTTTGCAGTTCGCAGCATGATGGGCAGGAGAAGCAGCAGCAGCGCCGCGTTGCCAACGTGGTTGGTGCCGAATTGGACTTCGTAGCCGTCCTTTGTGAGGGCGGGTGGGATGGCAGAGACGCCTGCGTTGGCGATGAATATGTCTAGACGGTTGTGTTGAAACTTTGTTGCGGCGTCGCGGATACTTGTGAGGTTGTCGAGATCGCAGGGCAGGAAAGTCATGTTTGAGGAGTTTGCGCATTGGAACGTGACTTGTTTGGCTGCCTTCTCGTTTCGACCGGTGAAGTAGATGTGTGCTGGGTTGTGTTTGGCTAGTTCGAGGATTGTAGCTTTTCCAATGCCACTGGTGCCTATGGGAGTAGCGATTCATTCACTCGTGTTAGTCATCGTATAAAGATGATGAGTGAAGACAATTCAACGACACTACCTCCAGTGATGAGAATGACTTTGCCAGAGAGATCAGGCACGTCTACATCAGGATTGTATTGAAAGCCCATTGTGTAATATCAGAGTTCGAATATGATACTGCTTTGACAAGAAGATGTCGAGTATACAAAATCACCAGCTCTACTCCTTTTTATATCCGTCTCCTTACATATAGACAACTCTCTTTGATGTACCCTTCAGCATGTATTCACATTACCAATCGCCATCAAACAAGGCTCAGAATCCTCCATCCATTATGAATCTCCGCAACCGATATCATAGATGTCCGCCACAGCTAAGCCATGCCATTGAAAATCCCCAAGTCGAAAGTCGAAAAGTCACCGAAATAATAAAGCCAATGGCATGGATCTGCGGAGAGACATTCGACCGGCGGAGTACTGCTAGTGGACGTACTTCGCTGCAAGTATGGCGAGAGAGTTACGCTCGACAATGGACTTAAGACGCCTATGACCGAGAAAGCCCGGAGCAAGTTGACGGTTTCAGTCTGAAGGATTATTACACATAGTCAGTCTAGCTGCTCTATTGAACAGAATATCTTAGAAAGTCCCCTGGGTTTAGCCATTCTTTAGTCTATTTACCCAGCATCTCACTAGCTTCACGAAATACGTGTATGAGATACGTGTATCTTCATCACGCATCACGCCACATCACATAATTTACATCAACGACACAACCAATCCAAGGCTCCAAATTTTCGAGAAAAAGAAAAAAGAAATATAAATAGAAAATACGTGTTACTATCCCTCTTTTAACCAGCGAATGGGCAATCGGTATACCAACAAGAGAGGAAGAGCACATCACACAGATAGAAACGCAGGCACACATAAGCCAAATTAATCCCTTGACCCATTTTCCAATAACAGTATGTACCAATTACTCTAACACAAAAAGCGCCGGCCATATACCTCGTAGTCTTTCTCCAAAGAGCGCCAGTTCTCCAGCAATCGCAGAATCGCCCTATACAACTTCTAATCACCAGCAGCCTCAAGCCCCGCGAGCAGCTCCCGTTCCAGCTCGTCGTAATCGAAATTGTTCTCGTTATCTGCATCCGCAGCACGAGGCTGCTTTGTATCATTTTGGTCAGGTCTACCAGTGTCTCCGTTGGTATGTACAGCTCTCAGTGAGGAGGCTCCTCTGCTCCGTGACACGCGCTGCTTTTTCGCTAATGCGCTTTCTCCAACAGTACTGGAACCATCGGCTTCTGACTCAACGGTGGACGCTCTGGCTTTTCGCTTCGTGCCTCTCTGGTCTGGATCGTCGGTGTCGTCTGCGTCACTGTCCGTTGTCTCGCTCCCTTCATCTTCTTCATCTTCCGCCTCGCCTCCCTCATCGCCATCCCCTTCGTCATCACCCTCGTCATCGTCATCATCCCCCAAAAACTCCTTGAGCTCTTCATCAAAATCCCCCATGTTGATGGAAATGCCAGCCTCTTCCATCTCTGCTGAACCAGTGTCTGCAGTGTCCTCGGACCTCTCGCGATCGGCATCAAGAATGGTCATATAATACGGGCTCTCGTCTAGTCTACGCCATTGGCTAAGACAATCCGACAACCAACTCTGATTTACAATCTTGATGCTCGAAATCTTTGCCGCTTGTTGGACCTTTTTGGTTCGCGGCCGTGCCAGAGAAACTACAAGATGTGTGACTCTATTTGAGATGCCGTCCACAACTTGGGCCCCAAAGCTTTGCGCTTGCATTCCTATCTCAGACTCCTCTATATTGACTCCCAACGGTACGAGACCAGAGAGGCATATGACAAGGCCTGAGAGCACATTTGACTTGAGTTCGTCCAGAAGATCGCCGACATCCGGAACAAGCGATAGATCCACCCCGTCGTCAGGGTGAATCGACCTTCTTCGAGCTTTACTATGTCCGGGCGGATGGGTGGGTTCTGACATTCTTCTCTCCCCTCGTCGCTTATCGTACATGTCGTAAAAGGCAGCATGGAGATCCGTCAGATGATCTTGGAGAGTAATAAGCTCCTCGTCATCGTCACTCAACAGCTGCTGTCTGTGGTGGGCTGGCGAAGCCTCCCCGCCTTGTTCATTTTGGCTTGACTGCTCGTCTTCCTTATCCAACTCTTCTTGCATATGAAGTAGCGGACGATCAGTCAGCTGTTTTTCCAGAGTCTTTTCCTGCTCTTCCGCCTGGACCTTGAGGTTGGCTCCATCGCCTCCCATCCGCGCCAGTTCATCAAGTGGTGAGACCTTTTCGCCTGGAGCAGCGTTTTCCGCGTTGGAGCTGGAGGCCCCATTTACCCTGGGAGGGGCAGGCAGAATATCCTGTCGCTTGGGTAGGAAGCTGGAGTTGATATCACCGATTCCTTTGAAGAAATCATAGGGCACAACCTTGATCAGATTTGGTCGGTTCATGGGCCAAACATCTGAGCGGTCGTCGATAATAACAACCATGTCTGTGCTGACAGGGAACAATCTCTGCAAGCTCTTTGCAGTAATGCTTCCATTCTCATCACGGCTGATGACGCGATTGCCAAAGAGCTTCTTGTCCGGGTCAACAATCCGTGCAATATTCAGGGCGTATGCGCGGGTTCCCATGGTATATACATGCAACTCGTACATGGTGGAGACGGTTTCCAAGAACTCATGGAGGCCCGGTCGTAACTTGATGTAGTAGGTGCAGCCGCTGGCCAGCCCCCGAGGCCCATCGTCGTTGAGCTGAAAGCTCTTGACGTCCTTGACCGCCTCGTGGTTGGGGTTGGCCTTGTCGCGCTGCCACTCTCCCACAGTCGGTTCTATGCACGCGTGGATAATGGTCTGGTCCAGGTCGACCACCAGGCTGAGCTTCCGCTGGCGCAGCAGCCGCTTCTGCGATTCGTGCTCGGCCTTCTTGGCCACGTTTTGGCTCACCATCAGGCCGGTCTGGTCATGCGTCATGTTGATCATGGCGCGATCCGTGTCCTTTTCCTCGCTGGCCCAGTTGATCTCGGTCATGTCTGCGCCGCACAGGCTGCACAGGCCCTGGATCTGCACCTCGTGGCCGCAAGCCTCCTCGACGGTCATGCACGGCACGTCGGCCGGAATCGTCTGGCCCTCCTTGATGCGCCATTCTTTCAGGGTGCCTTCGGCCGGGCTGTCAAACTCGGTGTATGTCGTCTCATCCGCCCATTCGTCGTCGCCGATTTTCCGTCGCCACGAGAACTTGTACTCGAAGATGGTCTCCTGCTTCTTGATGGAGTCGCCAGACGACTTGAGCAGCTTGGTGATGACGATGGGGTAGTGCAGGCGCGAGCCCAGCGAGACCACCTTGTCGTACATGTCTGTCTGTTTCGCGGTCGGTTCCGAGCTCTGCGTGGATGTTGGGCTCGTCGAGCTCCCAAGAGACACGATGCGAGCTCTCTCGATTAGCGCGATCGGCGTTCGCGACGGCAATTGGAATCCCAGCTGCCTGGTGCAAGAAGCTCCTAAAAAGCTTCCCCGTGCGCAGTCAAGATAGCTTCAGCGACGGTAGCCGAGCCCATGGCCTCACCGGCGCAGGTCCAAACTGATTGCGAAGCTCGTGGCAGCTGAATGAGGAATCGCGACGGAATCCGGATGCGATGCCGAAAAGATGTGATATAGAAAGGATGCTCGAATAATAAGCACCTGCTGATGGATATTGCCTTCAAGTCGCAGTTCTGTTGTGCCGATAAAATTGGTCGCTTGTTTTGCTTCAGTCCACCGGGATATACTGAGGGTGACGTGACGCAGTTGCCCGCAACCGACTTTCAATTGAGCTCGGGAGCTTAGGAGACGGTGCTCGGTACTTGGTACTTGCGCTTCACTCAACTCGACTTTTTCTTTCACTGCCAAGGTTTCCATTTTATAGCCATTGCGCCCCGCCACAAAGCTTCCGAGCCGGGTTAGACCAGCTGGGAACGATCACGTGGTGGGATTGGCTGTTTGGATTCTGTTGGTGGAGCTGCGCTAGGCTGTGTTGGGATGGGCTCAGAGACAAATGGCGAGCGGTAGCTTCCGAGGACGAGACAAAAGCTCCGAGCGGATGCTGCTCAATTTAGTTGCGAAGGTGTCTAAAAGTCGCTGTTTGTAGATGTAGATGGACACACACATGCCTAGATAGTGTGATGGTAATAGAATTTATCCTAAATGACCTCAGCTTTGTGACTAGAGAAATTATCCTGTTCCTTTTGTTCAAGTTGAAACAATTGTCTATGGTTGATACTTTACACAATGTAGTCAAGCTGCCGTAAAATCCATCTTCTTCAAAACATGGCAACCATTTCATATATACATTTCCAATGAGCTGCTGCTTATTTGAAGAGTTTATTATTACTGAGCTATTGTTTTGCGCATAAATAGCTTCCTCTTTTCAAGAAATCAGTTATAACTTTCAATGCCTTCACAGTGTAACATCATGATTATTCACACTGTATATTTTTATATCTCATGGAACAAGACGCGCCGCAAGCCACGTCACCCTGGTGCTGAAATCGTGGCAACCTTGACGCCTAGGCTATCTAAGATTAAGTACAAAAAGCTCCAAGGTATTATCATAAGTAAGTTATAGGGTATAGATAATATTAAAGATGGTGAAATAGCTAAGATAATACATATCCTACAAGGCAGCGAGGAGGCACTTGGACCGGACCATATATTAACGCTCTTAGCAAGAGTCTAAATAATGAATGAGTAGTTTCCGTTTTCTCTCGTGTTATTGACATTTATCTACCTGGTGATATTTTGACTACTACCTATACAATAACATGATCTAAAACCCATCTAATCTCGTCTACTATTAGCTGTGGGTCTGTCATCTGAACATTATGACCGTTTGTCTCTGTAAAAGTATATCTTGCTACACTTGACAACTTTAACTGCTCTTTCTGATGGTCGATATCTTCCTTTGACATCCTGTCTATTAACACTCTATACTGTGCTCTCTCTTCTTCAGTACCGTTTCCAGCAGCAACACCAGCATCGAACCGTGTCTGGAGATCCATCGCATTATTTGCCGCGAGAACACTCACGGGTCTGTTTCCGAGGACTTGATTTTCGCCTTGCTTCTTTGCCATCAGCACCGGCTTGTCTCCCCAGGATGCCTTTAGTTCGGCAGCCTCGACGACTGATGTTCTGGCGCTATCACCCTGCTTCCGAACAGCAGCCCATTCCTCAGGAGACAGTTTCAAGTCCCGCGTAAGAGATGAAATAGGAAGAAACTCGACGTCCTTGTGTAACGCTGGAAGATACGGCTCCGCAGATACTAGCTCCTCACGGACTTTGCTGAACTCAGTAACAGCATCAACAAACACGATACCGGCAACATTTTTCTCCTGCAAATGAATAAACTCTCGAGAAGTGAGTCCTCCCCACGAATGGGCCACAATAACGTAAGGAGGAGCGACCCCAGCTGTTTCGAGGAGAAGGCCCAAATCTGCCGCAACAGATGCAGCGCTGATTTCTTCACGCGTTTCAACGGCATCTTCACTCCTGCCCAGGCCAGAACGGTCATACTCGACCCAGCGCGCAAATGGAGAAACGAGGCGCTTGACGAGAACCCATTCATCAATCGTGCTTGCCATACCTTGCATCAAGAGGATTATTGGCTGGCCGGGTTTGCGGTCCTGGCCCGAGGCAGACAGATAGAGTTTGTGGCTGCCAATTGAAACCATTGCCGACTTATCACCAGTGTTCCAGTCGATGCCGGAGGGTTCAGACATTTTAAAGATGGGGCGAGCCTGGGCAGACAAGAATGGAGACAAGAATGGTCGGCGACGGCAGATTTAGAAATCGGTGAAATTTTTGCGACAAGCCGAATATTAATTATTACAGCATTTCGCGAATGCTTTAGAATTGCGCGAGTCTCGGCGCCATTCCCGATGCTCGCTTTCTCGACTCTTTTGATGAGTAATAAGTACTACTCCAATGGCGCGCATAGTTATAGCGGAGCTGTTTTCCCCTTATGTTTACGCTACTTTTCCCCCTGTTTATTGTTAGCTTCTAGCATTTATAGAAATATACTCATGTACCTGCCATGTACTTAGCTGCACTTCTAAAACAAAGGGTGTGAAGAGGAAGCCATTTATGCGCAAAACAATACCTATTTAGATACAAAGCCCAGTCTGGAAAAAAAAACTTCTCCGCAAATACCCTGGTAGCAAATAATCGACGTGTTGCACAGCAAAGCACATGCGTCATAGCAACTACCCTAGAAGACACGAATTAGATCCCGCGCTGCAACATTCTAGACTTCATAACCGCGTTGCATTCATAAATGATCCGTCATAGGCCAAGTACCTGCCCATCTAAAATTAAACAAATACAGTAAAATAATGTCTCCCTCGCTACATGCGCCTCAATCACCCAGTCAAGATACCCCTCAAGCGGCGGCCTGCACGACCTTGAAACCCTCAGACACTAGTTTCGTAATCTCCTCGTTCTTATGCTGCAGCAAACCCAAAGCAAACGCAACGTCGTTCCACTGCCGCTCCGTCTCGCAGCGATTCAGTCTTGCCGCCAGCTTTTCAGCCAGCTGTTTGGCGTGTTTGTCCTGCGCAGGCCATTTGTTAGCACTCAATAAAGTTAACCTTGCCAGAATAGAAGCATAGTTATCCGTACCTTTTCAACAAATCCGAGCAGGAATCTAATGATGCGCTTGAAGCTCTCTTCCTCCATATTGCCAGCACTCAGCAAGCTAAACATGTCCACAAAATGGTTGTATACCGCATTGTCCTTGGTGCTGAGCTCCGTAAAGAACATCTTTGCGAGATCGGCAATCCGTCTATCTTCGTCCTCCATACACTTGGCCATTTCGCCGAGTTGACCCTTGACCTTGACCTGACCAGCCAGAATCAAAAACGTCAACGTCATCAAGCAGGTCCGCTTTACGGATACGTCTGTATCTGCCAGGCGGCGATACAAGAAATCCGTATTCTCATCAATCAGATGGTTGAAGCAAACTGCCATGTCACCCAGCGCAATGACGGCATTCGATCGAACAGTAGGGTCGGGAGATCGTTCCATAATTGTGATGAGAAGGGGAAGATTGGCCTCGCAGTATTCGGAAGAAACGCACATGAGCTTTGCAAGACACAGCGTAGCCGCAGCCTGGAGATCCTTGTCTGCGTAAGTTGTGTTGTTTGCGCAAATCTCAGATACAAGAGGCCCAAACATTGCCAGGAGCGACGTCGGTCCAAAGAGAAGCTCTCGCTCTCGGATGTGTGCCATTGCCTCTGTAAAGTCATCCTCTGTAGTGCCACCAATGAGATCCAACTCGTTTGCATCCTCCTTGTCCTTGTCAGTCTTTGCCGGCGCCTGCTTCTCCTTCTCCTGCTTTCTTCGCTTAAAATCTAATTCGCAAAGTTCGAGGTGTACAATTTGCTTAATGGCGACATGGCCGACGATGAAAAGGAGCTGGGGCAGAGACATGGCATTATCACGCCTGTTGGACTTTTTCGGTGATGCTTGAGTAGCGCCTGGCCAGACAGGGTCGGCGAATTCATCCATCTTATCCTCATCTCGCGAAGTCGGCCGTGAGCCGACGCCACCAAACACATGTTTGGCTTTCCGCCGGATTATGGCTGAGCAGAGAATATCGGGATGCTTAGACAGAGCGTAGACGGCGTTGATTGCCTGTTCTGCGACCCCGTACCATTCGTTACTGTTCGAGGGCACTTCGGTTATGGCTGCTAGCCGTGAGCAGACGGCATGATCGTTTGGAAGCCGTGAAAACTTGGCACTCGACTCCTTGGCCTGCCTTCCTGTGGGGTTGATCCGCCTTAGAGCAATGCAAGTATACTTGGCTAGTTGCAAGTCATTGCGTCCAAGCGATCCTAGGCCTGTTCGGAGCATCGTCTCGATTTCACCGACCGCAATCTCAGGGTTGGCCGTGGCAAGCATTCCAAGCACGATGATGGCGCCTCGCCTCTGAGTCTTGGAAATTTCTCGCTTCTGGACACCGTATACCTGCCACAGCTTGGTGACTACAATCTCAGGAACCGCGCCGCCCTTCATCATTGTGGCAAGCAACTGCTCCAATGAAGTCAATTCAGCAGGCGTGGCTCCAAACGTTAAGCTGATCATATTACGTGCAATGTAGTTGGCGGCATCATTTGGGCTGAATGAATCCGGGGCTTCGAAGAACAATCTCCTGTAACACTCAATGAGGTGGGTTTGCACGCCTTTACCCTCGTCGCTATTGCCCTTGGTCCAAATCAGGCGCAGCATACGGCGGATGCCAACCTTGTTCTGCTCAATATTGTAGGCATCGCCAACCTCGAAATAGTCAATTGCTTCAATGACCTCGCTCTTGTTCCGGGCTCCAAGAAGCTGGCAGACGAGTCCAGTGGCGTCGTGTAACACGTCGATGAACTTGAGAGCTTCATTGTAATATCGCCGAGTCAGGGTGAGTTTCTCAATCGCTTCGCTTGTAGCTGCTTCTTCTCGCGCCTTCTGGACCGCCTCAAACCTCTCTTGATCAGTCATTTGTTGAGGCTTCTCTGGAGAGCCCAGCTGGGTAGCTTCATCGAGGAGGCTGTTATCCACCGTCGTATCTGCTGCGTTTCCGAAACCAGGCATACCGGGAGGAGGCTTTAGAGCATTCAACTCTTCTTCAACCTTGTCGTAGCGGGCCTGCCATTCTTTCCGCGATAGTTGAGCGCCGTGCATGACGGTAAACGGGTGAGTCTTGATAAGAGTTCCCAATAGCTTAATGGCGTTGCGTCTCACGTTGCTGCTCCTGTCTTCGAGGCTCCTGCAGGCTAGTTCGGCGGCCTTTTGGCGTCGCTTGGGAAATTTTTGCTCCAGTTCGCAAAGCCTCATGTACACTTGCAATGTACGGCATCGTGAGTATGGGTTAATATCGAGAAATCGCTCCTCGAGGACATCAAAGAAGGCATTCAGCTGTGACTTGTGGTTCTCGCTTCGCTCGTCTTGTCGGCTCAGATAGGCAATCATGTTGCCGCACACTTCTATCAAAGCGCATCGAAGAGTGTATGACTAGAGAGCTGTCAGCTGCTACTCACTCCGTTGTTGGTTCCATATGCGATAGAATTACCTCACTATCCAGCTGTTTGGCTAGCATTGTCATTTGTTTAATTACCAATCTTGGCGCAAGTTCCGATAATTTAGTGATGAATGCAGACACCGACTTTGGTCCTCGGTTATCGTTGGAGTTGAACTCTTTATTACTAATTTCACGCAAAACTTCGTCGGTAAGTTGAGGATAGTCGTAGGTCTCGGCCAGGATATGAAGAAATTCCGCCATTGGTTCGGATAGATGCTCAAAGTATGTCAGGTTCTGAATAATGTTGATTTGAGCGGCTGTCGTCAAGTTAGCTAGCTGCAGAGAGATGTTTTATGATTGGTTCGGAACATACCGTAGCCATGGCCGTGATGCTTGACCGCGATACACAGCACTTTGAAGCAGTGCATCCGGATAGTCGTGGTCTTGACCCGTTGTTCATTTTCCAGGATCATGTAGACCGGCCTGGTCAGCAGCCCAATAAATGTATCTCTCTCACTCGTCGTCAGAAAGATTCTGGACAGTTTCAGCTTTAGAGTTTTGCACATGACTTCCAGCGCGCCCTGAAGCTGTGCGGCTGAATCCCACGCATCGTCCCTTTGTGAAGCCTTCTTTGGCTTCCCTCGGCCTCTTGCGACTGGCGCCGCAGACGACCTTTCCGCTGCCTTGGTTTCGACCGCTGCAATAGTCCACTGGATAAGGAATCCGTAAATCTCTAATAGTTGCTTGTGATGTTCTACTGATTCTTGCTCGTCGGGCGACTCGATGTCGTTATGCACTGCGTCTGTCTCGGCACTCAGCCCGCTCATTACCAAGTCGAACACTTTGCTTAGCGCATGAGCTGGTAAATACGGCGTATATCTATATCACCAAAAACCATTCATTAGCCCATTCTTGCTCGTTTCATCTGATTACTTTTTGCGTGCATATCCAACGTTTTCGCATGATGGGAATCGTACTTGAGTAAGAACTGCAATGAGTCCATGTTGACAGCTCGCAAGATGGCATCGGGGTTGTCCGCAACCGCGTCGATGATGGGATTCAACACCGGGTTGATCACCTGGTTGGTGAGCGCCTCGGGGTCATTCTCGCAGTCGAACAGCGCGGCATCTGCTTCAGGCGTGGGAATCGTGGCCGGATCGGACATGTAGCGCTTCAGCGCATCGTTGATATCGAAGCTGATGGTCCCCATGATGGGCGATTTGTGCGCCGCAATGGCGGGGCTCCCTTGGGTATCGAGGCGAGCCTGGGCGGGAAACGAAGCTGTCGAGACCCCCCTGCTTGGTGATTTCAGCGTCCGGCTGCACTGCGCCGTGTCTCAGCGTCAAAATGGTGCGCCTTGCGTCTCTGCTCGATGCGTCTGTTGTGCGGCAAAATGGCGGGGGATGAATCTTGGGCCTGGTTGATCCCGCAACCAATTCTGTTTATTTTCTCGACGCGACAGCTTTGTAGAAAGCCGCCCCGCCATCAGCTCAGGGCGGTCGCGTTTCGACCACTAAGGAAGCGCTCTGTAAGCTGCCTCAAGCCACTAAAAAGCACCCCACACTGCCCTAGAACAACTTCTTTAGGACCTGCATTGAGTCGCAGCTTTTTGAAGCTTTTTTGGCCGAATAGCCTCGAAACCCAATTGCACCTCTGCGCTGTATTTTCCTGTTGTTTTCTCTCTGGTTCTTTTTACTTTTCTCCTGGTTGAAATACACTCTGCTATCGCTTTTTCCTAAAATCCAGATTGCTCGCAGGGACCGTGGCTGCCATGGCGGCTGCTATGCACCGGCCAGCGGAGGATACCTTTGACATCCACGAAGATGCCAGAACAGAAGATACAGAGGTCATGGTTGACGAGGAGGATATAAATGACCAGGATGCCACAACCATTGGCGAGCCGGAAGAAGAAGAGGTGGTCGAAGAGGTGATTGAAGAGGAAGAGGCAGACGAGAGCTCCGAGGACGAGCATGTTGAATCCAGCGTGCAGGCCGATATGGACCGGCTACAGGAAGATTTCCCCGGCTTTCGAGATCGCTATAAGCTGATCAAGCGCATCGGAGAAGGTATGTCAATTGGTTGGCTGTGTGGCGAGACCCCCTTGGGCTGAGAGCGTGTTCCTGTTTGCTAGGCACATTCTCTACCGTCTTCAAGGCCGAAGACATCCACTACGATCGATACGACAACAGCTGGGACTACGAAGACGACTTGTCTAAATGGACTCCCCCCCCTCTCAAGGGCCGCTCGAATGGGTCTCGCTCTCCGCGGAAGCGAACGCGTTATGTAGCCATCAAGAAGATTTACGTCACATCCAGCCCGGCCCGAATCCTCAACGAGCTTGAGCTATTACACGATTTACGACAATGCGCATCTGTCTGCCCTCTCATCACGGCCTTTCGTCACACCGACCAGGTTGTTGCCATTCTTCCATATTTCCGCCACGGCGACTTTCGAGCGTACTTTAGGGAGATGACAGTCCCTGATATTGCCATATATCTTCGCTCACTGTTCACTGCGCTCAAGAGCGTGCACGAGCATAAAATTCTACATCGAGACATTAAGCCAACCAATTTTCTCTACGACCCGACAACCCAGCATGGCGTCCTCGTAGACTTTGGATTGGCTGAACGGGCGGGCACAGATAACAAACCGTGCCTCTGTCACGAGGCGAGAGAAACGCGGAAACATCGCCAGGCAAGCTCTGCCTGGGCACAGACATCGATGACTACACAGCCGGGCTACCCTAAATCAGATACTCGTCCCTCCCGGCGGGCCAACCGTGCGGGTACTCGAGGGTTCCGCGCCCCTGAAGTGCTGTTCAAGTGTACGGAGCAAACCCCGGCAATCGACATCTGGTCTGCTGGCGTCATACTTCTCACGATCTTGTCAAAGCGGTTCCCCTTCTTCAACTCTGCTGATGACGTCGAGGCAATGATTGAGATTGCGACAATCTTTGGATCGCGGCGGATGAAGGCAGCTGGGCTTCTGCACGGCTGTGTCTTCGAGACAACTATTCCCACGATTGGCCAGCAGGGCTTCACTATGGAGAAGATTATCTTGTGGAGCACATGCAGGGCCGAGGACAAGCCTTTGACTACTGACGAGAAGCTTGCGATCCGATTCCTCGAACGATGCATGGAACTAGACCCAAGCCGACGAATCACGGCACAAGAGGCTCTGGAACACGAGTTTCTAAACATAGGACTAGCTTCTCATGAAACCACTGATGAAGACGAGGTCGACATGCTGCCTGCATGAAAGATTACCGACTTGGCATAACCTAATAATTACGAGCGTATGCATAGGGGATTATCATGATGACACGAGCAATGGAAGTTAGGGATAGGCAAGGGTTAACATGTACTGTACTAGATCATGTATGCTATAATGGGGGCTGATATCGGCGTTTTGGAGCATTACATCAACTCTGCGAGCTAGACCATGGCTGAATCTGAGGCCAGATTCTTAGTTGTAACAATTCCTCCCAATCTCTTTCCTCGCATCACTTTAGTATCATCAGCCCTCCCGCAGAGACTTTTGATGCCGACGCACCAGTCTTAACTCATTTTGCACAGCAGAAGTCGAGTATCCAGAGCATGGGCGAATTTTTGATTTTTCATTCGTTAAACAAAACTCCGTTATAGAGTTCCCTGATGCAATGCTCGTAGCCGAACAGCCCAATCCCTCCCCAGAGACCTTTGTCTCGGTATACATGGGGCGAAGATCCATTTTTCCACCGTTTGAAAAACCCGGTTCCAAATCCACAAGCCTTACTCCAGCACAGCGTAATGCATTTATGCCACCAGCTCTACAACACCACCAGCCTCCTTGATCTTCTGCTCAGCCAGCTTGCTGACCCATCTTGCGCGGACAACCAGGGGGATTTCGGGGATGCGGCCCTTGCCGAGCAGCTTGGAGTAGCCGAGAGGGAGAAGGTCGAGGACGGGGACGGTGTCCTTCTTCTCGCCGGAGACGTAGGCATCGCGGGTCTCAGTGGGGACGAGTGACCACAGCTATAAAAATTCCATCCGTTAGCCAATTGATCCCTTGATCGAACAAGTTGCCTCCGAATAATTTTGGGTTCTCTCTCGTGTCCTTCTTTGCTGTGTTCCGAGGGTCCAAAAAATATTCTTAGCGGGAGAAGAGTGTATGTACCTTGTCGAGGTTGATGATGGGCTTCCAGAAGTGGGCTTGCTGCTTGTGGAAGTATCGCATACCAACCTTACCGAAGTAACCAGGATGGTACTATCGTAAATTGGTCAGTTATGATGTTCGGGGCGCCTCTCGATAGATCATGTCGTTCGAACCTTGTCCATGTTGGTACGGTGGTGGTGCTGACCACCAGCCAGACCACGACCACCGGGATGCTTGCGGTGCTTGCCTACACGACCCTTTCCATGGGAAACGTGGCCGCGGCTGTGATTCGAGAGCAATTTGTTAGCCTCCCATCTTCAAGTTGCGAAATCTCTTGCAGCATGCGCTCTTCAACGGGCGCCACGACGGCGTGACACTCGTTCTCCAGCAACTCAGGAATCATAAAAATCATATTCGGACGGGCTCATCAACGTACTGCTTGCGGGTCTTCGAAGTTCGGGTAGGCATGGCGACGGTTGTGGTGTTGTCGCTTCTCCGATGTGTTGCGTCGAAGGACTGGAAGTGGGTGGTGGTGTTTTTGCGGCCAGCGGCTTTGGCCCTGCACGGCCCCGGAAAATTGTTAGGCGAGAGGGCAGCACAGCCCTAAGCCCAATTGTGCGTGTGCTTGCTGGCCACGATAAGCCGTTATCTGGTTATCGCAAAGCTGCCCCACCGATAATGATTTAGCGCCATTGACGGTTACACCGCCCGCGTAACAATGAACGCGCTTACTAACGAATCGAATGAGTATCGCGTCTCTTTTGCAGTATGAAACAACAGGAGATGCGATGAAGAAGCGTAGCAATTTAATAGACTTGACGAAATGACTTCATCAGAGGAGGTTGATAATATCGCGCACGAACTGTCTAATCTTGACTTTCACCATCCATTCACGCCGTACACAGTTCAGAACCAGTTTATGCGAACAGTGTATCAGATTCTGCAGACTGGAGAAGGACAAGTTGGGATTTTGGAAAGCCCAACCGGTACTGTATGTCTATTACTCCTGTGTGATATTTGAACCATTCTGCATGTTGAAAAAGGTCTCTCTTTTGGTCAAAATAGGAGACAGTAGAAGATATCACCATGCTCGTGATGGTTTGAGCTCAGGCGGCACAGGCTAATCGCTGTATCAGGGTAAATCTCTCTCATTAATATGCGCATCTTTGACCTGGCTTCGAAACCATAAAGCTACTGAACAGGAGGTAGCCTTGGAACAAGCAGGAGAGGCGTACAAAGATGAACCATCTTGGGTTGTCGAGCAACTCCTGTCTCGCAAGAGAGGAGAGCTGTTGAGGCAATGGGAAGATAGAGAAAAGCGGCTCGCATCCTTTAGACTGAAAGAAAAAGCCCAGGAGGAAAGGAGCCGAAAACGACGTCGAGTGGAAGATACTCGTGCGAAGATAGAAACTACGGTTGATGAGGATGCTGAATGGTTGTTGGATACTGATGATCACGATGTGCATCAAGAGGATGCTTTATCTGGTCTGAGTAAAGAATCGCGAGAGATTCTTGAAAAGATCGGATTAGGAAGCCGCATTAAACAAGTGGATAGCGACGAAGAGATCGTCGAAGAGAAAATCAAGGTACGAGTGTTGGCGCTGATCCAATCCCTACTCATAGTAACCAGAGACGATAGATCTATTATACATCCAGAACCCATTCCCAACTATCACAATTTATTACAGAACTACGCCGTCCTGTATTTCCATCCTCCTTACCCACTTCAGTTGCCAAAGGATCAGACATTCCCTCAACAGAGCCTGTGAAGCTGCTGCCACTATCATCACGTCAAAAACTCTGTATCAATCCCTCGGTCGCTCGCCTTGGGTCCGTCCAAGCCATCAATGATCGCTGCACGGAACTCCAACAAGCGAGATCCAGCACTAAATGCTCATTTGCACCTAAAGAAGAACTCCTTAGCCAAACTCACCAGTTCCGTGATTCCACCTTGGCGACACTCCCAGATATCGAAGATCTCCATCAGCTAGGCAAGTCTTTGTCGGTATGTCCTTATTATGCCTCACGAGGGGTCCTACCTGGAGCAGAAATTATCACGCTCCCCTACCCGCTTCTATTGCAACAAAGTGCCCGCGAGGCACTGGGCATTAAGCTTGAAGGGAATGTTGTCATAATAGACGAGGCGCATAATATTCTCGATGCGATATCGAACGTGCATGCTGCGGAGCTGCAGTTGAGCGATCTTCGCAGAGGGCGCCAGATGCTTGGGGTGTATGTCAAACGATTTGGCAAAAAGCTAAAGGGCATAAATCGGGTCAACGTGGGGAGAGTCGGAAGGGTTATTGACGGCCTGACTGAGTGGTTGGAAGGAGCTTTAAAGCTCAAGGTATGGCTATAGAATGGCGGTTGTTCCTCTGGTTGATAATCTGCTAACCGATGTGTCTCCAGGATGAACATGGTATTGTCGATCCAAACGATCTAACAAGGCACAAAGGCATCGACCAGATCAATGTGTACGAACTGATTCAGTATATACAAGAGTCAAAACTTGCATACAAGATCGAGAGCTACGTCGCTCACGTAGAGAACGATGAGGAGGGTAAAAAATCCGGGCCCTTGAAGGCTGGATCTCCAGTCTTACATGCGCTCGTCTCCTTCCTCATTGCTCTCACCAATCTTAGCTCTGAAGGCCGTATCTTTTACCAAAAGACTCACGGAGCTGCAGCAGATGTGAAGCTAACATATCTACTTCTCTCGCCAACGCACGCCTTCTCCTCAATTGTTTCAAGCGCCAGAGCTGTAATTTTGGCCGGCGGAACCATGTCACCGTTCCAAGACTACAAAGATCAACTATTCCCCACTCTCGATTCTACAAAAGTAACGTCACTGAGTTGTGGGCATGTGATCCCACGGGAGAATCTCTGTGTGTGGACACTGGCCTCAAGTCACCCCGGGTCACCGCCGTTTGAGTTTAGTTTCAAACAACGAGGAAATCGAGACATGATGAACCAGCTAGGCCTATCAATATTGAACGTTTGCAACATTGTGCCGGATGGTGTAGTCGTTTTCTTCCCCAGTTATAGCTACCTTGACGAAATAATAAAAATCTGGCAGCAGCCCCAAAGTGGCAATTCCCATCCGATATGGGACCGGTTACAGCTTCGAAAAATGGTGTACAGGGACACGAAAGGCGAAAGCAGCGACGATGTGTTGCGAGACTACTCACAAATGATCTTGGGAGCCAGGGCAGCCGGGGATACCCGCACGGGGGCTTTGCTGCTGAGTGTAGTTGGCGGCAAGATGTCAGAAGGAATCAACTTTTCAGATCGCTTGGGGCGCTGCGTAATTGTCATTGGATTGCCATACCCGAATATTGCATCGCCGGACTGGAAGGCAAAGATTGAGTACATTGAGTCCACCACCGAAGAGCGACTTATCAAAGAAGGGCAGAGTAAGAGCGAAGCGACGGCGCAAGCGAAGCAGGCCGCGCGAGACTTTTACGAAAACGCTTGCATGAGAGCCGTTAACCAAAGCATTGGTCGGGCTATCCGACACCGTGGAGATTATGCCGCGATCATCTTGGTCGATCGAAGATATGGTACGGGCCGTATTCGAGGCAAGTTACCAGGATGGATACGTGATGGCCTCGAAAAGGATAGTCATGAAAAGGGAATTAGTGCGCTAATGGGGGCGCTGGGAGGTTTCTTTCGCAAAAAGTCGCAAGAGAATGCAAGCAGATAGCATCACCTAGAGCTGAGAGCAAAACGAGCCTTGGACGTCTCCGGTACACATGTATATGCTACGGCTAATGAATTGCAACCATCTTACTCCCGGCGTTCGGCTTTCAATAATTATATTAGTCACACTTCTTTATCAATATAAGCTGGTGCGTTCAACTAACTTTGCTTTTGATCCTTAATTTGGGTTGTGTGGTGTCTTTGTATACTCGCGTCAGATACTCTTTGGACTGTAAGCCGCTACCTTGGATACTAGTTTCTCAGATAATAAGTCTGTCGACTTTTGTTCTTCCTTTTTGAGATCTTCTAAACTTTGATATGTATCGCAAATATTGTATTACCGTATCATACTGCCGTATTAATACACTCAGTCATTTCTGGTCTCAAGCCACCAGCCCCACCACTTGTAAGCCTTACCCGGGATACATGCAATTCGCTCAATATTTGTCGCCTTTCGTCATATCACAGCCAGGAGACCACCAAATGTGGTTTCAATTATTTATTCATTCTCATGAATACCGGGTTTATCTTTTTAGACAGAGGTTCAATGGCTTCAGACCCCGGTTTTGGATCGTGGCTGGTAAAGCGATTCTTAATCCCGCCTAAACTTACTAGCATGTCTTGCTTGCTGCTCAGAGCAGACCTTTGAAATGGTCAGAATTCTCACGAGTCTCATTTCTCTCCAAGTTCTGCGCTATTGAGGATCATCCTGCTTGAAGATGGAATTGAAACATCGCGTCAGAATGACTGCCCAGTTTCTCTTTGGTGAGACATTCCCTGCGTAACGTAACCCAAAGGGAGGGGCTTACGCTCTTATTACGGCGATCAGTATCATGTCTAGCAGCTTGTATGACTGTACCTATTACTGTGATGAGACATTCTCTGTGATATAAAAGCTTCATGCTCTGGCTGCCCCTCGACGCATACTGCGATATGAGCAGATATCAACGCAACTTGCAACACAGTCTTGAACGGTATCTGCAGCATAAACACACTAATACTGTTCCTGCTTGGTGGCGGAGGGGCTTCTGCAGGGTTTTTATGGACGGCCCGGTCGCTCATGAGCCGGTCCCTGGCCATCGACCGCGTGATTGGCTCTCGACGCCTCTTGGACGCCTCCTAGACCTAATTTAGTTGATTGAGTTGCGCGTGGAAGCGAAAAGATTTTGTTCCTACCCCGGGCCGGGTCGGAGAGGGGCCAAGAGAAAATAAGGTAAGTAGTTATCAAAGGGCGGCAAAAATCTTGACTCACTGCAACTCCATCGGAATCTGGCATCTGGCCCTGATTAATATACCTGCGTGGTGATCCGGAAGGGCGATGTGGTGTGACAGCTCTTGACGTCCCTCTTTTTCTGCACTGTTTTTGATTTTCTTCTCGCTTCGAGATACCCCCGGTGCTTTTTCTGTTCCCCGTGGAGAGACGAGCCGGCTTACAGACTTTCTAATTAAAACAAAACACAGTCCACAAGACTTTTGGACAACTCAGCGGTGCCCGCAACGCAACGCACAGATGTTGGTGGATAAGGTAGAGGCTACGGCCGTGCCAGTCAGGGACAACGATGGCCATCAAAGCGATGAAGAGTCGCTGCTCCACAAGGTGCTGCGAGCTGGCCGCATTGAGGAGCGAGGCATCCTGCCGGTACCAGCTGAAGAGCGCACTTCAACACGGTTCTTTAACATCTTCACCGTCTGGTTCTCCATTAATGCAAACATCCTTGGGTGAGTCTTGGGGTTTACAACGGTGCATAGCTCTTTGTGAATATGCACCCGTGACTTATACGGAATAACATCATCCTATGTGGCGAATGACTTGCTAACCTCTCGCAGCATCACCTTTGGCATGCTGGGGCCCTTGTCATATAATCTTAGCCTGAGGGACTCATCTCTCGTGATTCTGTTTTTCTGCATGCTGTCGACTGTACCCCCGGCATTCCTTGCCATCTTGGGTCCCAAGACCGGCATGAGACAGATGATACAGGCTCGCTATAGCTTTGGGTAAGATGAACCGAGATCCACGACACTTAACGAGATGATCAGTAACTAATTGGATATTTAGCCGATACATCGTGTCATTACCGGTGCTGCTCAACTTGGCCAGCATGACTGGCTTCACTGTCATCATCTGCATCACCGGCGGACAGTGCATCTCTGCCATCTCAGACGGGCGTGTCAGCATCAACGTAGGCATCATCATCATCGCAGTGCTGTCTCTGCTGGTGTCGTTTTGCGGCTTTCGAATTCTGCATATATACGAGACGTACGCATTCATCCCGGCCATCATCAGCGTCGTCATTGCCACTGGCTGCGCTGGCTCAGGCCTCAAGAAGCAAGCCACCCCCGCGGAGCCGGCTACGGCTGCAGATATCCTCAACTTTGGCATGATCGTCGCCAGCTACCAAATTCCTTGGGCCGCTTTAGCGAGCGACTTCACCACTTATTTTGATCCCAAGGTTCCATCGTAAGTTGCTGACCCCCCCTGCACCTCCTTCGTTTGTGCGATTTCCCGTTACCACCCACTCCACAATATGCATCTGAATCGATGGCAAATCCGAGAAAAGGGGGGGAGAGATAAGATCAGGAGCACAGGCCCTACTGCTACTCCGTAAACCCCCCCCCATTCCTTCCTTTCCCCTGAAATCAGCATATTATCTCGCTAGCACTAGTGTTATATAGACGACACGTAAGATTCTAACGATCGACAGATGGAGAGTTTTTGCCTACTCTTACTGGGGTCTCCTCACGCCCACCGTGCTGCTCATGATCCTTGGAGCAGCCGTTGCTGGGGCGATTCCCAACAACCCAGAGTGGCAGGATGCATTTGACAACTACTCCGTCGGCGGTGCCCTTGCCGCGATGCTGTCCAGCGCGGGGAACTTTGGCAAGTTCATCGTGGTTGTGCTGGCGCTCACCCTGCTGGGAAACACCTGTGGAACGTTTTACGCAATCACGCTCAACTTCCAGACCTTGGCCCCGTGGCTGTTCAAGGTCCCCCGATACCTGTTTGCCGTGGTCATCACCGCCATCATCATTGCCGTGGCCATCACCGCCGTGGACAACTTCTTCGAGAGTCTGGAGAACTTTGTGTCTCTGATTGGCTACTGGTCCGCCGCTTTTGTCGGAATCGTCATCGTGGAGCACATTGTGTTCCGTCGCCAAGACTATAGCTCGTACGACCACGCCATCTGGAGCGACGCGAAGAAGCTTCCCTTGGGCGTTGCAGCTCTGCTGAGCGGCATCCTGTGCTTTGGAATGGTTGTCCCGTGTATGGACCAGGTTTGGTGGCAGGGCCCTATAGCGAAGACAACGGGCGATATTGGCTTTGAGATGGCGTTTGTCGTGGCTTCGTTGCTCTACGTGCCGCTTCGCTATGCCGAGATCCGGCTTACGGGCAGGTAATGGAGACGTCTCCATTCTGCCTTTTTAGACACTTTTTAGATTAGATGGAAACTAAAACGGGGCTGTACTAGAATCATTCACCTCGCACAACCTCCCTATTCTGCCAACTCCGCGTGTATGTTGTCTGTGTATGTACAAAGTCCCGGACTTCGGTGCCGTCTTCGGGGTGTTAGATCTGTAAGAAGAGACTTTACGGAAGTTGCCGCGGATCTATGTGACAGGGCGATGGAGCTGCTTGTCTTGTCAGAACTAGTGCTCGCGGCCGCTCATTGCTCCGTGGATAGCTAGCAATACAACAAGTCCCAGTAAACTCTTGGCTTTGACTAGGTTGTCTAATATTAGTCCGTGTCATCTCCTCTTGCTCAGATGACCTTGAATAAACCAGATCGCATGCATAGAGGAGAAAGAGATGATACATGGAAATTATGCAGCAATAGTATTTAAAGAAAGCGGAACTTAATATATGGCATCGCTGGAAACTTCGGAATTAGGCAGATCAAGAGAGCTCATGGTGGCTTGCTATGGAATCACGTAATTGTCTACTCAGTAAAGATGGTAGTATTATGAAAGATCCCTATGATCCGATATCTATCGGGAAAACAAAGAGAGCCTTACTGATGCATGCTCAACAGCTGTCGATCATTATATTGGGTTGCGTGTAAGTGGGCGATCCTCCATATGGTAGTTGCATATTGCACCAACGAGAACAAAGAATCGGTGTTATCCGAGACGTTCGGCGTTTATAGTACCCAGGATCTGCACAACGATCCGGGTGAGATGGCTGTAACGGTACCACTCACAGTCTTCTCTCTGCTTTGATATGCGGGAGTGACAGAGCAACAATCCGGCTCCGAGGCTGCAAGGGGAAGTTAAGTTCCACTGATGATATACCCCTGTCCAGGAGTTACGGAGTAATCAATGTCCCGGACTATGTACTATCGTGGCGTAAACACCCATTGCCCATTGGCTTAGCTCACTGGGCTATTAATTTGGGGATCTCACGCTTTCACCGAGGTTCAAATGTCTCCAACGAGGCGGCACGTTTACGCAGATGCTTGTTCTCTGTGAATGGGGGTCACTTGATTACGTAAGGAGCTACATGAATACGATGAAATGGAGAAAACAGCTCTGTATCGCACTATAATTACGGGTTTCAGACAATAAACAGCTTCGTAAGTAAAGGCACTGTTTAACCTGCTAGTTGTACCTTATGTAACCAACTGCCGCCTTTTTTTTGCTTCGGTACTATTGAGACCGGGAATCCCAGTATTGATAGCCTATTAAAACATTAGATCAACAGGGATGAGCTGTCGTATTATTATCAGTTTCTCTTGGCGATGAGTGGAGATTCCATTATGATCGTACGCCGACGTACTAGGCAGTTTACATGTACGGGAGTTTGGCCATGGCTGCGGTCACTGAGCTCGCAGGGGACAGCGTCCACCTGGATTCTGTCACCGCTTCGCCTACTTAAATAACAGTGATTATGTCACAGCGCTGCTTATATCTAGGTACTCGTAATAGGTACTGTCCGGGGCTCATGGATATTGTTGTACGGATGAGTTCCACGGACAAAAACTTTTACTCGGGGACCACTGCCGTTAGAACTTTAGTAATTGCCACTGTTACCACCTTCTAAAGAGGGAAGAGAAAACTGTTTTGGCAGATCTATGGCGGCTTGAACTAGTCTCTTATGGAAGGCAACAGAGTCGACAAATTGAGAAAACCACCTATTGGTACTAGGCATGGTAGAAGGGCCAGTGCTTATCCAGGCTCGGCGAGGTGCGCTTTATAATAGTACAGTAAGGGTATTCCAGTAGCTGAAGTCTTCAAAACTGCATGGGTCGAAGCCTTATAAACTGGGGGCCGTGGCTTATATACGGTGCAATCGACAGTGATAGGTACTGCTCCGCAATGGAGGCACTACCTAGTTGTTCCAGAAACGGGGGGCCACCTGCTTCTGTTTGCGTTTTGGGAAGGGCAAGGGGGGCTTGTACAGTAGCGCAGTATATCCCAGATTAGGGAGGATTAATACTGTACATAGCACGGCTGACATAGGTAGAGATCAGTTATAGTGCTATGGAGCACACTTTCAGTATAAGGCACTTGGAGTCTAACAGTTACATCACCGACCAGGATCCTTGTGAGTGCCTTATTTTTTTTATCAAAGTTTTCAAGAAAGTTGACTCAAGTCTGTATTTCCGCCTTTTGTGGATCAAGAGCGACATTTAGGGATTGAGGCGTTCAGGCGTTGACAACCTTTGTTTACCCGCATGCAGATTAGGCATCTGCGTGGTCAGTTTTTTTTTGTTGGCATCGTATGTCGTTTTGCTTCTCTTTTGGCGTGTGAATGAACCCTTTGGCCGTTTCTCTTCCTCCTTCAGTCAGTATTTCGAACGAAATAGGAAGGGCAGCAAAGAGTATTATGTGCGTTAGGTTGGCGCAAGTTGCCCTCGCAAAATTGTAGCCGTGCTAGGCTATGTTTGGACCGGGCGAATGCTCAAAAGATGAAATGATTGGCCGAGATTCGAATAATTTCCGAGTAAGAAGCAGGCTGAAATGTCACATAGGCGTGAAACGAGGAAATAGACGCCCAGTATGCTCCCCCCACCGATGTCTGGACGTAATTGTCACCGATATGGCATGCCATTACCGCGAACGGATACTTGCATCTTGTTTTGGATTCTCCCGTACAGTCTGGATAAATCCTTCAGCCGTCATCTCAGACACACAGACGCACATACGCACACACAAAGAGATACAACAACATCCAATCTGGATGAGATGCAGCACCCTAGCGCTCATCCTCCCACCCCTCTGTTCCCCATTTGGATTGGGCACCCATTGTTCTGCAGCAGCATCATGCATATGCAATACGACTCGTATCTTGCTGACGGCCAGATGCAGAACCATCCTTGTTCGAGATCGAATAATAGTGCGGTGCGGTGGCGTCTTCGGCTACCCCGTCTGTCACCTATTAGCCACAAGGCCACAAGGCCATAAGCAGATCGCAGTGGAGGCCTGGAAAGGACGTCGTATAAGAGGGTAACGCTAGAGATTCCCGAGAGTCAAATGGGCTGAATTAAACGTGGCACTGAGAGGTGTGTGCCGGAGTGTGCTATATGAGTGTGTAGTGTATAATCCAGCATCCTGGATTGTTTGCAAGCCACATGAGTCATGGCACCAATAATTCGGTTTTCAAAACTCGTAAAGAGTAGGAACACAGGGTTTATGTCAACGCCTTCTCGGCATGTAAACCCACCAGATTAAATGTAAGATCCTGTCTTTGTGTCATTCCTCTAACGTTTGCTCGCGGGGCACCACGTGCGCTGTCTGTGATTCGATGGATACAGCGATGTATATACGCAATACAACCCTTGCAATAACATGGAGTACCTTGGGTCAACGATATACTGTACGCATGTACCAGGTACTAAATGTACAAAAGGTGCATGTAGTATTATAAAAGGATACCTAGTAGGGATGCCTTACAAGCACAAGCACTTATACAATCCTACTTGATTACGAGTACCAAGATGTTTTTTACCGATTATCTAGGCATTCAAGTGTTTCATAATGAAGCCCTCGGATAAAGTGATTTGTTGCAGCTTATGTCACCAATATTGAACCTCAGCAATATTGACACAGTCATGCTTCAAGAGCACTAGTTATTTAGTCTACATGTAATAAGGCTTTGTATGTAAGCATCATAACTCAGCCCATAAGCTCAAGCCCTATAGTGATGTGGCTGTGGACTAGCTGCTTGCCGTCTCCCAGACTCTCGAAAGGCTTAGCACCTAGACACAGTTATCAGGTGGTGGATGTAATGAGACCTTCAACACCAGACATATTCGGGCGCTCCGCCATACAGCACTAGTGCCTGTCAACTATCCCTGACTTACAAGTAAAGCCGGCGTACAAGTATTTTGTAAGCGGGGGTGCGTAGAGTTCATGCCCACATATCAGCTCTCTACATGTAGGTAGGTACATGTACACATGCCCATTCCAAGGTTGGAAAGGTGACAACTCAGATATACTAGGACGCATATAACCCATAGATTCGAAGTGGTGTTGTAAGGTAGCTCCAAACACACTCAGCATTCGAAATAAGATTCCTCTTTTTCTTTCTCTTTCATCCCTCCTACTCGTACAACGAGTGCAAAAAGCACGAGCACACCTGATTGGCTTGCGGGCCCCTGTAAGTGGGAGCTACGTCTTTTTGCTGGAGCACGTTGCATGATAATCTGCACCTTGGCTACTCAAAATTTGGGTGGGAAAAAATGATTCCAGGTCGCCAGGTCGACAGTGGTTCGCAAACAATTTCAGAGTACAGGTGGCTTCGACAGTACAACTGCCTGTATGAGGCAGTTGAAAGGTTTGAGTTATCCCTGCATTATAACAACACTAAAACGATCAACTCCGCGGGTTGGATTGTGCTATTTCGCAAATAGTACTAGTATACGAGTACAATCAGTACTGTACAGTACAGCAGCACAAATACCGCAAGTACGAGGAGAGTTCCAGGTAAACCGACGGATGGCAGGCCTCCGTCCCCGGCACAGGCCTCGCTGCCAGCCCTACCGGACGCTAGGAAGTGGTTCCACGTCGACGTTGAAAGGTCCGATACTGTGCTAGACAAGGATCTTGCTCCTCAGACTTCAGACGGCCACCTTGCATCGCGTCGAAGCCTCAGTAGAAGTCTCCATGCATGGTTCTAACCGGTATTAGGTAGTAGTAGCGCCGGTAAGCACTGCCCACCACTTGCCGGCGTCCGTCTCGCATCTCGTTCATCATGTCTCCTTCATCTCGTTTGTCCACCCTCTCGCTCTCGCTGATTTGAGCCAGTAGTACATGATCCCATGTAGCTTTAAGCTTTATAGAAAGCGTATCTGCTCTATGCCCCATGTTCTCTGGAATGAATCCATCAGCGTTGTATGATGTTCCTGACAGTGATAGATCAGAAGTTTGCCGCAGTCGTAAGATCGGCGTGATAGTAAGAAAGCCGAGGCTAAAATAGAATCGAAGAGGAAAGCCGAAAGCAAAGTCATTTCGCTAACGCTCGGCTGGTTAGTAATCTTACTAATCCCCGGGTCAGTCTTAGTAAAGGACAGAGAAAAGAAGAGTGAAAATCATGATACAGATCTTAAAAAGCCCCAATCCAAACCCCAAGCATGCGGCGGAAGGAAAAATAGCGAGAGCAAATCCACTTTGTTATGTGAATTGGGTATAAGCGTGCCACTCTTTTTGTTTCCACAATCTGCCAAGCCATTATCTCTGATTCCCATTGGCAGAATGAAAAGAGGAGGCATGCGGCATAGCATTTTGCCGGGAGGTGCGGGCCTTGAGGAGTAGAATTTGCAAGGGAAGCGCCGAGCAGGAGGATTCCAGCCAGGTTGTCGGACTTATATGCATAGATTAAGAGCTCTGATTGGTTGCCAGATGCTTATAATACCGTACGAGTTATTACCGTGTTACAGCCAAGAGGATGCATTCGTATCAAATTTGCATGTAGTAGATGATCGCGATAACGGCTGATATGGGCAACACTTCTGGCTCCGTGCTACAGTATTTCAGGGTTCGTTTGCTTGCTAGGAACTCTGCCATTAGCAAATTTACGCCCTTTGGCTATATTCTTTTGAATGCTTCCAACAGGCTTTGTCAAGTGTTTCTTGTTGACCGATCCTTGACGTATCCCTTATGATAAGACAGGATGAAGGAATTAGATGTAAGTGGAATTAAACAACGGTGGGGAGATGGAATCGTTGGGATTAATGCCTGGGCCTGGTAGACACTAGATAGCTTAGTAGAATCGCGCCATTTTCTATCCCGTTAGCTTCGTTTTTGTCAAGATAGAGAAGAAAAAAAAAAAAAAAAGGAAAAAACGATCAAAGTACGCAATGGAACCGATATGATGCTTCTGGTAATACGCGCCGACTACGAATCACTACTGGATGGATGTAGTTAGGAAGCAGCGATCATTAAACTCCGAGGACGAGAAGGATCAGATTAGCTCATTAAAGCCGTCAAGGTGGCGCTGTCCTAGAGTCATAGCACTAGGCCTTTGTCTAGGCCTTTGTAAATGGCTCGTGAGGAAACTTCAGAATAGAACTGAGCTCTCTGTATGATACTTGCGTTTTTTCCACGCAGTACTTTACCACCGTGTATCTAGTAGACGAATGAGAAACGTGAACTTGACATAAAGTTGATGCTCGGAGAATAAATTGAGTTGTGTTGGTGTTTTAAGAGTCTCGTAACTTGATCCTTCTGCTACTTCGTACCAGCACTAGCACTAGGCGCTGGCTACTATCTCATGTTAATTGGCACTAGGATAGGTGGCAGATCTGCCTTAGCAGCGGCTGATCATTGCCAAATCAGACAAACTCTGCATAATTTACAGGCTGACCGCCTGTCTAGCCTGATCAGCCGCTGGAGGACCTTGAGGGCATATGGTAGCCCTAGCCGGGGGAGCGTTCCTGTGGCATGGGGTATATGGTGGATAAACCAGATGCTCTGGAGACTGAGCCTTATGGCTGCTGATGAGGGGTGGAAAAATAGAGACCGAAAGGTGAAGAGGTATATACACACACTCAAGTGTGTACTGATTAATTGTAGATGGTACAGTATAATTGCGCTACACATGTAGAAGCACGAGCATATTGAGGGCATGTGTGCGTATAATACTGGGCCTATGTGTCAACTTCATTATCCTCTGCCTTTTGTTATTTTAAATTTTTGACCCCTGCCGCGGCTCGGATTCGGAACGGCCCTTGGAGTATAACGACATGCCCCACAGCATTTATACAGCACTGCACATTCCTGGCGCTTCATCTAGACGTCCAGGCGAAGATCGGACATACGAGTGGTGTGTTAGCCAGGCTTGTTGCGGACTGTGCCTGTGAACTCGACTTATGCACTAAGCTGCCCCAAGGCATAGTTGGAGTTAGGCAGCACCCTTCCTCGTCCAGAGACTTGCGTGGCTCTTTCGCAGTTGCTCGTCGTGGATCCCGGCGAGGCGCAAGAGACATGTATCTACTTGTACCTGGGCACGGCACAACTCCTGCTGCTACAAGTCCAAGCGATATGACAACAGATACACGTGGCTAACGCAATACGGATCATGCCGTAATGGCCAGGGACTCTTCGTCTAAATCGCATCGACTTCCGGCTTACATAGTCAACCCGCTGAGGCGGCTGAGCGCCCAGCAGCTGAGCGCCAGCTTGCTGCTGACAGGCTGTTCCATGCTCGCTCTTGTGGCCATTGGCATCGGCCATCGACATGAACCAAGGTACCTACATACATCTACTGATCATCAGCGATTTGATCGTCTGCAATGCGTGACGGAGCGCTGGATGCTACTACAAGTAGCAGCGAGGCCCGGATCCATGCAAATCGGCCACCCGCCATACACACAGTTGCAGGGCCCCAAATCCAGCCACTTGCTGTACCTGTACCGTACGACGACACTGTCTGCGGCGCACGCCCCGGGAGCGGCAAAAGTGGCCCTCGATCCGTGACTGGGGCCAGGGGCGTGTGTGTGTTTCGGGCAGTGGACGCTGCAATAGAGCACAGAACGTGTATCCGTCCTGCTACAGTAGACGGTTTTCCTCTTCGGCAGCCTGGCGGAATCCTTCCGTGGGGAAAGACAAGAGGCGACACAGATTGCTGCGGCATGACAGCCACGCGGACGCCGAAAAGGCGGCGCTCGTGATGGAGCTGGCGGCGTCGAGATACATAAAAGGCGAGGCATCACCACCAGTGTGCTGCGCTGAATACGGAAACCCATCTATCATCTATTGCCCATCGACCCGACTGCACATACGAGCAACTACTCGACTCGACTATTATCTCACCATCGTCTCCTGCACGTGGCGTATAATCCGGCCGTGCGCCACACCACGCTGCTGCATCTCAGATTGTCTACACGATTCATAGCAGCTGAGCTGAAACCGCAGCAACAAGACTGACAATCCGGTTCACTCCATACGACAGCCCGCATTTTGCCAATTTCTCGGCATCGTCATAACCGAGATCAAACCCCGGCGGCATTCGCCTGCAACCATTGCGCTCGAGGTCTTTTTGGTTGTGCTCGTCTCAATCCGTCTCACGCCAGAGCCCAGAGCCCAGAGCCCAGAGCCAATAACCGACTCTGCCCACCCCTGCTCGAGCCTGAAGCTGTCTGCCAGCCAGCATGGATCCTAGCGGTGCGTCTCTGTCCCAAGCCCTCTTCTCTTCACCTCAATTCGCTTCCTTCTTGCCTAGCGTGGCATTGTCCTCTTATGCCACGCCTTACTTGTACGACCTGGCTGCCCACCCTCGGATACGTGTATATAATTAGGTGGCGAGTTGCCGTCTTCCTCGCATGCGGGCGTTCCACTGGACAATTGCGCTCGTTGCCTTGTTTGCTCTTCCTTGTCTATTCTACTCTTCACCATCTCCTCCTTCACCATGGCTGAAGCCCAAGGTCATACCCAATGCTGGCCGCAACAAGTGCTAATCGAGGACATGCTGCCATCAGACCACTTCTTCACAACGCAAGACCTCCATCACCAGTATCACTTTGACGCAAGCATGCACCATGTCATGCCGCACCACCAACAAGACAAGCTGAATTTGGCGATTCCCATGTTCTCAGCCGACGCTACAAACGCCGCCTTCTTCCATGTGCCAGCACAGTCAATGGCCGGCTTAACAGGGCCAGGCATGACTTCGCCACCAGCGCCGCATCATTACCGCCAGGACTCTCCCTCTAGCACACACAGCGGAGGATCCGTTTCAAAATACCGCGGCGCTGCCCGATCACCAGACGGCGATGATTTTGATGCCGGCAGCGACGAGGCGCAAGCAGCCATCAGGCGACACCGCAACACAATGGCGGCACGAAAATACAGGCAGAAGCGCCTCGACCAGATCTCCGACCTGGAGCGAGCCTTGAGCGACGTGACCAGCGAGCGTGACGACCTCAAACTGAAGCTCGCAAGACGCGAGGCCGAAGTAGAGGCGCTACGAGAGATCTTGGGGAAGAAGAGATGAGACTCAGCCTGTATTCTACAGCTCTCCTTGTCCCCCTACTTTCTCTATTCTCTACACATGTTTATATGTACTATATACCACGCGGATCAGGCACCCCAAATGCCATAGGACTGCGAGTACTCCTGCAATTGCACATAGACACAACAACAGCTTGCCTACAGATTTTGTTCTCTTTGGTTTACGGGTCCTCTTTTGGCGTTTTGGGGGGTTCACGTTTTATGGCTGCTTACGAAGGAAAAGAAAAATGAATTTGAAATCAATGATTCGAGGAGATGGTGCTACAACACTTTGATTTCTTTTGTCAATTCCACCATGCTCTCTCGATTTTTGTAAAAGTTGAGTTTGCAAAAGCTCAACTATACCAACTATATGTACATATTGTGCTTTTTCTCGAGCTCGTCACATCTAGAAGACAAGGCAGTGTCAGCGCGATAGGCTTTGTGCCTATAAAGATAGAAATACTGATTGACTGCCTCAGGTAGTCATCAACAAATACAGAAGAAAGAAGAGAAAAGGGAAAAAAAGGAAAAGGAAAACAAAAATAGATCAAAATCGAAAAAAATCAAAAGATTTCTCTGTGTGTCTCTGTGTCTCTGTGTCTCTGTGTCTCTGTGTCTCTGTGTCTCTGTGTCTCTGTGTCTCTGTGTCTCTGTGTCTCTGTGTCTCTGTGTCTTTGGCAAGAACGAGAACAAGAAGAAAAAAAAAAAAGAAAGTGCACGTGGTCACTCAGACGATGTCGATTCTCTTCCTTAATTATGAACAAGATGTATCATGGAAAGTTTTCAACTTCTTTCGCCTCATCATAGCAACCAGCAATGTCACGTGGAGAGGAGGGGCTTGGTATAAGATTGAGGGCTTGAAGGGGTAGGTGGTGTGTAGGTGTGCTCCATATTACATGTACATGGGTGTCCGTCTGTATAGGGGCTGGATAGGTGTGTGGTATAACATTGTTGTACTAATGACAGAAGGAGAGGATGATGATACTTATCAAAATATATAGTGTAGCAAATCAAGGCAGTTGATCCTATGGATATGCTTATGTTGACCAATTTTCTATCTTCCAAGCTGATAGAAAGGACAATAGAAGAGAGTAGAAACAGGAAAGTCCGAGTTTTAGCAAGTATTGCCATAAAAGTCTCGTTGGAATGTACGCTTTAAGATGGCCATTGTCTTATACCGACAACCGTTTTGCAAGTAACAAAGGCCCCTTTTGCCGTGGACTCTTGATTCCAAGCATTTTCCATTGATAGAAGCCATGCAAGAGGCTTCTCAGGCTGCTGAAGAACGAGGATCTAATCGAAAGCTAGAAGATTGGAAAATGGACAATTTAAGTGAAAGAGAAAAGACATCACGGCTACAAGATTTTCATCCTTCGAGTGGAGTAAAGGGGCATACGGCCAAGCTACGTCTGTTACACCAAATGACACTGAGAGCCACAATGATGCTGGGAACCAAGTAACACTGCACGCCAAGTGACGTTGGAAATCAAATGACAATACAGAATATGACACTGCAACGGATGACACTTGGAAATCCATTGTGAGTGCCAAGTACACCAGGTATGCCAAGTATACATCGCATCGGGTACCTTTCCCCATGACGGGAACAATCAATAACCCGAGATACGGCATCTTTTCCGCCTTCTTTCTTCTATTCCGGGTTAATCCTCGGACTGTTGTTTGTGCCCGATTGATTGAGTTGTGTTCATCTACATGAATCGAGATACTGAGAGCTGGCGGTCAGTGGCTCATGGTGTGGAGTCATGGCCGGTCAGTGACTCACCCTACCGAAATTGAGATTACAGAGTCAACATCACGACTTTTTTATGTTGTTGGACACGAATTCGCTTCAAATGATACCGAGTCAATGATTTTGACTTGATTTCATTTGAATTCCTTGATTCGCAGCCAAATAGTTATGACACGATTGTGATGCTTGACTCGCTGTAATGATCTACCGAACAAAATAAAACCCGCGCTTCTTTATTCATCTCGCATTAAGCATCAAAGATATCTCATTGCTTGGAAAGTACTGAATGGATAATTGACGAAGTCAGAAACGGAGGGAAAAGGGGGCGGAGAGGGACAAAAAGCTTCACTACCACAATTTCATTAATATGTACCTACTCTACACCATCAATTGTTAGAACGAGATGGATCTAGGACTATTAACTTCTTAATTAGACGGAGGCATCTATCGCTACTACTACAATTGATATCATACGAATGCTTCCTTACGCAGGAAATAGGCGAGCGGCAGATCAGAGGGCTCCGGAGTCACGGATTAAGCGCAGGCGAATAGCTAAAGCTCCATGTACATCACAGCGGCGGCCAATGAAATGCCCCGGCTCGGTTATATGAGTCACTCAGCGGCTTCTTTACTGCCCTAGCGTTTATTATGTGATGTGCGGAAGTTCCAATACGATTTGCGCTATGCCTCCTCCGCGGCTAACGCCAGGTCTTGGTAGACTTGTTCCGCCTGTTGACCTTTGAACAAACGAAGTAGGCTGTATGGAATTTACTGTCTAGTAACCAGTTCCTGATGTGATGGAGCTACCGAGTTGACGTTATTCTTATTATTATTTACTGCTTCATGACCGGGACTGGCCACGACGATCGAAGAAAGCGTCTATTGCATTTGCCCGTTTCGGATTTTGGAAGCGAATTCAAGAGAATTTTGCATGAGGGGGCAACGGGCAAGAACTGCGCAATAGATTCCTCCAATGTAGGTTTCGGATCTTCATCTCGCTGAATAAAGTATGCTGGAATGCTAACCTTGGAAGCCCCTTCGATCGTCGCAGAAGATGCGTTATTCTGCCGGAATTTCGTTTTCTGACGCGATGAAACGGGACTATCGCTCTAGATACACAGGGCACCACGGATTTGTGATCTATTGTCGTATAAAAACTTGACAATACACCGGCCCTGGCAACTTATCCCCTTACCGAGCCGAACAAACCGAATGGACGCGATGTGGCCACCCGTCTAGGGATAAACGGGTTGTGGTAGAAATGGAATATGACTGTATACTGCCAGATGCGTGAATAGCTCCCTTCAGATTTACGGACGAATGTACTGACGGCAACAGCTCGACAGACGGTTTCAGGCAATTTTCTCATAGCCCCTGAATCCTGTTGCTATGTGCCTTATCACGGCCAAGGGTCCTAGAACCGAAAAGGATTCCACATCATGCATTTTTTCTAGCAAGGGGTAGACTATAAGCATGAAAAGAACAGCCTTACAAGAGTCTATACCGCACGGAACGGCCGAAACCCATAAACTGATGATGAAGAGCAACCAAAGATTGACCAATGAGGCCAGACAAAGTTTCACTGTCCATATATTCTTGCTCTTTGTATCCCGCAAGCCTATTATCTCGCCAATTGTCATACACATGGCTCACAGAAATCCCATGAGCTTCCTTTCGAACAATAGGACGTTGGTATAGGAATCATTGCTGCTCGATCTGAATCTACTGTGTTTTTGCGTGCTGTATTAGGAAATACCCACCTACCCAGCTTGGTTGGGGGCCGCACGCCTGAGCCCTATTGATACTTGCTAATACTACTACAGTAGGTATGAGGATTAGGATTACTCACACGAATGGGGCAACTCAACGCCCTCCTGCGACTGGGGCGATAGCAGGAGAAGCGCCGGAATTGTGACAGATCTTGGTCCGTTTTGATCCGCTTTAGCGCTGCAAATCTGAAGCATGGGCGAATAGGTACGTTGACCCTTGGCGCTCTTGAGATTTCGCACAGCATGCCGAAGAAAAAAGAGTGGGTAACAGAGGCGTTTTCGAATAGGTGAGGACAGAGATGCCCTAGTTTGCGATGCCGGGAGCAAAGTTTTCTGCCTATACCATGGCTATCCCTTGGATTTCGACGTTTTATTACGGCATGTACGCAATCGAATGAGGAACCAATCTCTACTGTATTTTTTCACAACGAATGGCAGTACTAGCTGTATTATCACTTCTAACTCTTAGAAGCAGGTACTACTACATACTTTGGACGGGGCCGCGGCACGGCTCGTGGCGATGCGATGCGATACGCGGCGAAGACGGCCTAGCAACACACTAGCATTAGCAGTATGGAGCTCCGGAGCTGCCATTATCTCACAAAATGCAGGCGGTAGGGCTTGTGTCTTTGCGCTGAGCCTTCCATCGCCGGACCCTTGTTTTCTAAGCTGATAACTGCAAGTACATGCTATCCGCCAAGACCCCGGGCACTCTATTTCTCTTGGTGAGACACGCCAGGCCGCAATGAGGACCCGGCCTTGAAGATTTTGATCATGTTGAACGGAGTTGTGCTTGCAGTCTTATTCCGACACTACTGTATGTGTTAGCAGTGCTACTCTGTACACATCACTGGTGGATGATTGTTCAGCTCGAGCGGCAGGCTCAACCTGGTCCCCGACAACTTGTACATTCATGTACCATACGTGTTCAGCTTTGCCTTTTGTGGTCTTGCTCTATTCGCTTGCTAACACTGAGAGACGATATGATTCAAAACAAGTGCCAGAATGAGCAACAAGTTTACGCAATTGCAAGAGAAGGAATCGATGAGCCTGCAGCCTCAAGAAAAAGTACAATCACCGCCGTTTGTCCCACGCTACAACCGCTTTTCCCCGATCGTGAATATACATAGCTGGTCGGCGACCTGGCCACGTTCCCCCACCTACAAGTACTGATCCGGTCTCAACTCCCGTGGTCCAGACTTCGCAAAGGAAAATAGCGCTGGAATTACCATGCTGAAGACGATGCTTACTGCATGGCCCTAGCTGCAGGACTCGTGTCATCGTATACAAGTATTGACGCTCCGTACGAGACAGCCTTGCGGTGGCTCTTTCGAGGTGGTGAGATGCAGGCCGTCCAAGTCGTTTGCTAAGCACACGCCTATCGTGGCAGCACTGTGCACATAAAGGTTTTGCGCACTGTATTATGAGCGGAACAATCAATCTTCCTCTTTGCGACCCGGCTCCACCGCCATGGCAGAGCAACGTGTCGATGACGTATGTACTCGTGTAGCTGTCCCTGGATGGATGCCAAGCAGCTGTTCAGGAATCTGTGAAACGGAAAACACACCGTTCTTTTGTTTACCTTTTTGTTCTTCCATCATCATCATCATCTCCAGAGCTCCAATTCATTGCTGCATTAAATCCGCTAGCTTTATAAACAAAAAAATACAATCGCAATATTCCCAATCAAGAACTCTCTTTCCTGCTTAGGCCAAGCTTGCATCTCACGCTGCGTTCGCATCTCAACCATGTCTGCTCCAGAGGGAAACGTCAATCTCCAGACAATGACCGTCACAGAGCCTGAGCGCTCGTATGATGCACAGCCAAAGTCACATCCTGCAATGGGTACGTCGTATTGATGTCTATAATGGCAGCTCTCTTATCCCGTATCATTACCACAAGGAGGAGAATGGAAATAAATACTAATCGTGTGCATAGATCCTCAACAGCCCCATCCCGACACACCCGAAGACGTCAACATGCGTGGAGGCGATCGAGGCGGCTGCTGCCCCGGCCGATTCTGCTTCATCATACCCTGCCCGATTCCGATTGATTGCTGCATCATCTAATGCCCGTGCGTAATGGCGGATGATGAGCTTCTGACCCCGGAAGCCATAGGTTTGCGACCATGTGCGAGAGTCGAACCACGGAATTGTACTGCGCAAAGCCGGTTTGCTTTTTAAGTTGCTTTGATGGATGCACGAAAGTTGCAAGAGAGCGGAATAATATGGGAACTACGTCGATTGGTTTTAACCTTGGAAATTGCGGCTATAAGAAGAGATTAGATCCTTAATGCCATGCTACCAGATAATGATAATGACGATTGAGGCGGGGAATTCAAGAAGGAATAAAAACGAAATAAATTGAAGATTAAAAAAAAGTGCTGGGAGTGTATACGTCGAAATGACACTGCTCTACAATAGACGAGAATAGATGTTTTGCAATATGTGCATAGCTGTATAATAGTGAGATCTGCTTTATCGCCAATATGGACTCTGATGGTCGGTGAATAAACCTATCTGATTGATTCCGAATTTCTACTCAGCAATTGACCGATGCTGACAACAGTTCAATGGCTTCTTAACCTTGTCTGCTCAGATTAATGGTGAGTTAACAGATTACACGTCCACATATCAGCGAAAAATGCAAAGACGTAGCCAAATGACATGTAAGCTTTAGATGTCAGTTATAATAAGATTTAACATGTCCTGAATATGTGAAATTGATGGGCTGTTGTTCCTGACAAAATATTGGTATTTATCTTGGTGACTAATTATATGAATACATTAAGTCGTTTTATGGTACCAGAGGCTATATAAATTGTGCTAGAAACTAATTTTTGAGAGGAAACTTGGGTATTGTCCGAGCAGCCAAGTCACAAATTCTTCTACTCCCCATTCAAGCATACTTGTGTGGCATCTCGAGTCATACGAGGCTAGATGGATGTTTAGTAAACGTAAGTGATGGTATCAAGATTCGATAATCCGGCTTGACCATCTATGGATAGGCATGGGAACATGCATATTTACTAATAAAATTCTGTTTAGAGGCTCCTTGCTTCTAGAATGAGTGTCTTTGCAAAAGTTTGTAAAGAATATGGCATATCGAGGAATGTAAAAACAAATCAAAGGGGCCAAAGTCACTGAGATCGGGCTTCATCAATTCACAAAAGCAATGTGCAAATGAGTTTCGTGATGACGCTGATAGAGCAAAAGGCTAGTTGCCGCATGTGGCTATGGAAATAACTAGAGAGTTCGTTTAATCACTCGGAGTGCCCAAGAGGATAGGTGAAAACTATGAGCCATATGTAATCTTTGCAAATGATGAGATATCGTTCGACTTGAGTAAATCTCGTCACGATTATGAGCGCACCGGGTTAGTTGCGTGGTGAAATACAATCGCCATGTACCCGGCAATAAAAGCCATCACTTTCGCAAACTCGGTGGCACGGTATGACGGGTTAGAGCGCAAGCAGTAGTATTCCATTCATAGTTATGAGCTAGACGCTAAGGGAAGAACTTTTGTATATAGCATTGATGATGCTGCGGAAAGTCAATTATATTATGTCGAGCGACTTCTCATGACCGCGTTTCGATAACCTTTCACAACCGCCTCCATATTGGTTTTTGAGTAGGTTAGGAAGCAACTCAACAACAAAGTTGCCCCAAACCGTTCATATTGATTAGCCTTGAAGTAGGACCATGTAGACCCTAAAGCTGCGATTCATGGTCAACACAACGTGCTACATTAGTATAGAGCCTGGCACTAATATGATGTATATACTGCTGACGCATGATAGCCTTTAACAGAACACCGGTCGGCAACTATAGGCCATCGACTTCTTCAGATCAAAATCAGGCGACAAAACTTTCTCAGAGATTGGGTCTGATAACCCCCTTCGCTCACCATTCGCTGCCATCGGGTCGAATGTCATAGTAGTACTAGATATGTAAGTTATTAAAGTAAGGTATATTTGTATTTGACAATCGATTATCGTTTCACACCAATGGACGGATCACAATACTGAAGGTTTTATTGTCTGCTCCCTTGAGCAGATGGTACTTCTGAGAAATGTCTCATGAAACACTAGCTAGCTCAGCTATCCGTAGCTACAATCACTGCGCCGAGTAATGATCAAATTAGCTACTCTTCAGCAATAGATCTATTGTTTTTACACGGCTCAGCTATCTCATCTCGATTTCATGTACAAAGGCATCCGCCGAAGAGTAAGACTTCATAGCACGGATAGTACTCAAACTGCTTACAATCATATTCTTCCATTTCTCCAAATACTGCCATCACCTACCCGATGAACAGACACAACAGACATAATAATTCCATCGCATACAGCACCAGTTAAACTTCATCACATCTCATGCACTCTACAAAATAAAACAGCTGTCAAGTTTTAGTCTGCATTGGTCGGAACATTAATCCGCTCAGCTGATTCTTGTATGCATTAGTAGCTACGCGATTAGCTTTCTGAGCTGGCAGCAGCTGAAGAGACGAGATGCAACAGCCGAGAGTTACAAGTCAATTAGCGTTAATATCGCAGTCACGTATAATATCCTGTTCTAATCTATTCATATACGGTCAATAGCTTCGTGAATATTGGCTCGACTAAATAAACATGAGATGCACGAAGCTGCAACATGCTAGCCAATCGACAAGGCAGCGTATAGTAGCGGTGACTAAACCATCAACTAGGCACTATCAAATAATACAGCCAGCAAACCAGAGCGCAGACATCAGACATCACAAACTGCGAGTTACGCTACCAGTCTCACTCCTGAGGCGTGGTTGCATCGCCGAGTGGCAACAGTCCCTGCTCTAGAGCCACCCCTTTGACACTTGAACCATGCATACTGGTGCCATTAAGGAGGCGAAAAAGTAACACCCCGTGGTAACGTGATGGCTTGTTGATACCCCTCGTGCAAGTCGGAGACACTTGTTTGTCCGATCTTCTGCTTACATCGAGAAGGACAAGCTCGGCGTCAAACTTGATTCAGGACGAAGAAGAAGAACTTGGGAAACGAAGAGCTCATGCAGAGGAGTAGACGAATGAACATGATGCGGACAAATAGATTGATGAGAGTCCCGGTATGGGGCATGTACCCTACCATTACACTGCACATGAGTCGCCCTTGGACATGCAAAAGCTCGTAATTGGGCCAAGACGGATTAAAGTTCCCGTCCTGCCTGCATCCTCTAGATCTGTACGGGCGCACACATCCACTTCCATAACATATTTTCATCACATGCAAAAGAGCTGTCCGTTTCTAGTAACCATGGCTGGAGGCATCTTCCAATAAGGGTCAAGGGTCTGGGCATGGCCATTGTGGCGTAGCCCATGATGAAGCCATGTAGATGCCAAACCAAACAGAGTTATGACTGTTGCCTATATTACAACTGCAGCTCGTGTAGGAGTTCACACTGTCTATTATAAAGATGCCGTTAGCCGCACCTTTGTCGTATAATGCCCGTCTTCGTTCAAGAAACTCAAGCCTACTATGATATCATAGCTATTCGTTGCAAGAATGAAGATGCTGCGAAGGATGAGTGATCAAAGGTCCCAAAATGAAACGTTGAATACGAAAGTATCCACATACAAGTTGGAGTGAGCAACGGAATAAAGTGTTTCACTTTGAGGAAGGAATGGGGAATGTAAGGATCCGGATTTGAAACTGTACAAAAAGGAGACCGGAGCAAAATAGGCGGCTCTAATTAAAGAGCCGCAAAACTAATCTAGCAAACGTCATTACCTCTTCATCAGAGTGTTTGCAGCTCCTCTTGATTGGAAGATGGCATGATGGCGCATCATCTGGCTGCATGGCGATGCCCCTTGACGACGCTGCCAAGGGTATATCAGAGGCAAAGAAACGCACAATGGAGGGGCAGAGAAGACATGTGGATGGGTGTTGTTGAGCGGATGACCACAAAAGCTAGCCATCACAGCCGACATCTTGGTGGGGGGCGTGGGCAGGGATCATGAGATTCAGTCAGAGAATGCTTGTTTTTGAAAGTGGAACCAGTAGATCTTGCAGAATTAGAGGAACACATGTAAGTAGTGGCTCAGACGGCTGCCATATCCCTGTTAGTTTGGCCTCTACTTGTGTCCTTCCGAAGGCTTATGCTTCCTTGCTCTCCGGCAGATAAAGCAACGAGAGAAGGGTGTGCAGGTAGGCAGCGGGAAACTCGGCTAGACTATCGAGCCATGCCGCCTCGTAAACATTAACATGAAGCTTGCCCCGCTGTGTCTCTACATAGTATCTGAGTTGGGCGGAAGATACGAGGGCCGGCTCCAAACACTCTTCAGCTTGTCTTGCCCGTTGAGGTCTGAGGGAATGACTTTTGGCAGATGCGGAGAGGCCCGTCTGGGACGGCCCACGCTCAACCCAAAAAGAGTGGGAGAGCCAAAAATAAAGCGAAAGGCGTAAAGCCAGCCCGCAAAGTGTCCGCAACTACTGTATGGAGCGTTCCGGATATCGTCGTGCTAGTGGCCCGCTTACTGAGAAGAGCAGACAGCAGCCAGAGCTCTGGAGCCGAGTGATGAATAAACCAGACTGTTTCTAGAACCACCAGTGATTCCCACATGTCAGCACAATCTGCGTCGTACAGCTGCGTATAGGTGATGTTGAGGGGAGGTCGGAGCATGTAACGATGCGTGACGCATGACCCTCGTACAGAGAGCTGCACTTTAGGTGTGTCTCCACTATGCATGCATCTTCACACATGCTTGCGTTAGCGCATGAGATGTGCATAAGGATGCATATAATAAGGCGGGTAGGTGTGGGTGTGAGCAGATGCGGCAGACCGGTATAGCTGCATACAAGACGTGAAGCTCGACGATGGTTGGTCGTGGCAGGGATGGAGCCGATGGTTCGGATAGACAAGCCATGCGCGTGCCCGCGGTTACAAGAACCACATGGGCGTGAAGAATATTCGCATCCACGGCGTCTGCAGCGTGCTGCTCCAATAGAATGGCTGTCTAGATCGTATCGAGCTATTGGCAAAGATGGCGTGGTGGGCACGACAGATATCATTCGCGGCTGGTGTCGAGCCGGCCGGAGCTGCAAAGTCAAATGTGGTGGAGGTGGTGATGGCATCTCCCACAAGCGCTAGCACCGCGACTAGTACCTCGGCGGACTGAGGCTGACCGGCCGGTGTGGGCAGGTGTTGAGCCATGGCTTGGGCTATTGCTGGCCCGAGTCCAAGAATCTGGCTGCCCAGCACATGGTCTCTTTGTGTGGCGTAGGCCTTGCTCGAACAAGACTGTCCATGAAGCTGGAAGCGGAAAGGCGTCGACAGGCACGGGCGGCTGCCTGGGTTGCACAAACCTGCTCACGGCCGTGAGGATCGCGAACATTCTTTATGGCGGGGTACCGCGTGTCGTAATCATGTCGCCCAACCGTTCACAGAGCTGCAGCAGGCTACAGTAAGAGAAGATGGGAGTTGGATCGTGGCATCTTCAGCTCTGCTTCCCTAGGCACGAGTAAGCGAAGGCTCTGCTGTACGATGGCTGCAAATTGCAGGCGAATCGGAACATACGCGAACAGGAGATCGGCATATCTGGAGAGACAAGAGCCCATCTGCTGCGATGCCGAGAAACACAAATCAACAGAGTCGGCGACTTTGCATCCCACTGGTGGCTCCAGTAGGCTACGGACCACCCCCGTCCGCCCAACTTGGACATGAAGGCACAGCTAGCGCTCGCTGGCCCTGAGACATGCCGATGGACAATGGAGGGCTGACGCGGACGATGACTGGACAGAGCTCCAGGCGATGGATGCAAATCGTGGACCGCGGCGCGTTGGGAATCGAGAGCGTTGCAAGGTGAGCTGAAACCAAGGAACAGACGAGCAGTGGAAACCCGCGCCGTGCTGCGGCCTGCTGAATTGACGAGTCGTTTTCCCGCGGCCTGGGGGTGTCAGAGGGCGTTTCTCGTCTCCTCTGGTGGCGCTGTCGCTTGATGTTGCGTTGTTATGGAGACAGTTTCTCGCTTTTGGCTGGAGGATGATGCAGGCGAGGCCAAAAGGGCGAGCCTCGGAATAAAGTTTGTGCCAGATAAGAGATGGATGGCTTCAGTTGAGGGAGGTGCTACGAGGTCGTGCCACCAATCTGTGCGCCTCTGTATTACTTACTGCAGAACAAAACTACAACCGTAATTTATATGCCAGGGACAGCAAAAAGAAAGTGGAGTGGTTGAGCCTTGTTCATGACTACAGTAGATAAGTGCTGAAGTGAGAAGACTTACTCGTACCAAGCCCACTTGCCTATATGCTTATCCTTTTCTAGCATTGCAGGGATCATGACCTTGTACTCCCAATCTATCTTGTCCATCAGAGATGTGGCAAAGATACCAAGGACTACTCCATGTAGGAGCCAAAGGCAGATACCAGAAAAGACGTTCAACAGAAAACGAATCATTTGTTTGGTTGGTGGCGTTCCTGCAAGGGAGCCGGGATGGGGCCTGGACGGATTGAGCTCTCCCCCGGATTCACGCATTTCGGCTTCTGCGCTACCCTGGCCTGGCACCTCACAGACAGGCCAAGGTGTGCTGGGATCAACCTCGCTGGCGCTGCCTCGCGCGCGCATCCCGGCCTTGTCCTCTCTGAGACTCGGGTGGCTGGAGTGGCAGACCTCGGTCATGTTGGCGTGATGGGAGGTTGCTCGAGCCGAGAGCAAGAGTGGAAGACCGATGCTTCAAGATACAGCCAGCTGCAGATGAAGCCAACAGCGAGCTATTCGCCCAGTGAACCCTTGGCCAACGCAGGCCCGTCTCATCATGGCCTAGCCAGACGTGCCAAGGGTTGCTGCAGTGCTGCCAACAGCTTGCCTAGTCGGGATATGCCTTGCAGCTATCCATCATATGCTGTGTAACGGCAGCTGTTGGGACCCGCCTTGACACTGAACCTTCAATTGCCTCCAGGCACTATCCTAAGCCAACATTGCGTGGGCAGGCCCATCACAAAGCGGCCTGGCCAAGACATTTCAAGGGACCTGGCTGACAAGCTCGTGTGTGACGCGAGGCGAGTGCAATCCCTTTCGACTAGTGTTGCGAGCATTCCGCAGCAGAGCCTGTCGACGATATCCATTTATTCCGTGGTAGCGGTGCTACACCAGCGTGGGTACATCAGCGAGGCTCCACCAGCCTGGCATGTCGCAGCTCTGATGGGCGTCTTGAGGCTGGATTCTCGAATTCGATCAGAGGCTGGATTCCTTATCCATTTCCCGTTTCCGTTGCCCTTTGGCATCAACTGGCCGTCGAGAGGCTAAAGTGGCATTCCCAGCTCCATGGGGCAAGATCATCGACGGCCCCGTGCTCATAACTGCCATGGATGATCTGCAGCAGGGTGACAGGGTAGTCGCCGATGCGGGCATCAATCTCGGATGCATACATGAGCGCCAATGCTGCAAGACAGATGGAGACTGTCATTTGGCAATCGGGCTGGTATGCATAGACGCTCGCAACGCCAACCGAACTTTTCGATCCTGAGCAGATCCATGTTGGCCATGGCAAAGGAATGTCGGCTTTCAACGAGAGGCATGCTTTTCGTCCCTCTCAGCCTCCCGTGTGACTAGACTTGGGAACTCTCCCTCTCGTACCATGCTGGCAAGGCAAAACGGCCAACGCCTCTGCCGATAGTGCTGCTATTCTGGGCTCTGCCAGAGACAGAAACGGGAGCGACGGTGACTTCCGAGCTGAGTTGAACCCCTTGAGCTGGTCAACGCTTGGGCAGTAGTCTTCAGTCTATCTTTGAGACTAGCATTAGTAGTCGTAGTAGCTCAACTGGCGCTGGACTCTCTCTTCGCCTCGCCTCGCCTCGCCTCGCCGTGTCTTGGTGTAGAAATGGACGCCTCACCACCAAACTCGCAACGGGCTCATGCTCCGGCTAGCGGCATGTGCAAGTATCTTGAGCACAATGACGAATGCTGGCTAGTTAGCGCTGGTACATGGCTGGCCACCGCAGTTAGTGCTGTGTGGTGAGTACTGCCAGGATGCCATTGCCAGAAAGGCGTGGTGTTCACCACGCACACCATTTACTCCCAGTCTGAAGACGCCGTCATCCGTATCCGCACCTACACATACTTGTACACCACTTACATGGATGAATACTACTTAGGTACGTCTGTATGGCCCGTACACCTCAAAACCTACGCTCACGCCCTCGCAGCCATCGCACGCCTTGATGTCCTCTTTATCGAGCATGCTCTCGCCACATAGGTTTCGGCGCTGATGGACGAGAAATGTTCTTGACGTGAATGAGAGGGGCTCGAAAAGAGAGCATGCGAGAGACATATTTGACCCAGTGTTTTTTTTCGTTTTGAACAGGCAGATGCATCTGGCGTATATAATAGGCTCGATGTCCCGGTGAGTCGGGTTGATGGGCAGCCGAATCATCTCAAAGACAAAAACGTCCGGCGCCTGTCCATTACATCTGCCGTTGATATATTACGAGTCTCGTCACTTCGACCAACCCTCCTTGGCTCGATGCTGCCCCTGCCCACCCCCCTTGTCTGGACTGCCTTGGATATCGTTCGATTTAGTTGATCGACTGAGCTTCGCGGTGGCCGTGGCTCCCGTCCTCCCCCGAGCCACTCCTCGAGTGTGTTAGTTTACAGCATCTTTCTCACGTTCGTTCCAGTACCGACCGCTGCCGGATTCCATCTGTTGACCTCACACCCTTTGCCTGGTGGATCCGAAATATCGGTACTTGCACGCTGACAGACGGGCGACTGACCAAGTTGTTGCGCGCTGAGCCCATGCCCATTGGCAGCCTCACATTTATCTGATTAGTGCTAGTAATACTTGGAGCATTCCCAAGACTTGGGACGAACACGAAGTCCTCGGCGGTACATAAATGTGGTGATTAGCCTCTTTTTTCCACTTCTCTTCCTCTTTCCTCTCCTTCCCTTTTGCTTCTTCTCTTCTCTTCTCTTCTTTCTTACATTTTCCTACTATTCGATTCTTTACCTGGATTGGCCCTCTCTTCTCTTGTTATCTTGCCCCCCAGACGATCCGCTTCTGGCTACTGATATTGTCCCCGCCTCTAATACACAAGCGGATGGCCGCGATCCACGACCGCTATACTGTGCTCCCGTCCCAACGGCTACGACGGCCGGGAGCACTGCTACGAACCGTGCTGAGACACAGAGATTACGCAGGAGACCGACATCCACACGACAGGATCCAGGTCACTGGACAGCCTGCTGGACAGGTCACTGGACAGGTGCTGCTGCCCACCATTGCCGGCCTCGAATACCACCTTGGCCCCAGCGGAGCCATCGGCCCAGCGAGCGCAGCAGCGTTGCAAATACAGGGGCCCCCTACCGCTACAGCGCCGGCGGCAGCACCTGCAGCAGCACTTACAGCGCCCACAGGGGCCCCGTCCCCCTCTATCCCCGCTGGCCTCGCTCCCGGGCCCCCCATCTTACCGCCCGCGCCGCTGCGGCCAAGCCCCAACTTCTATCCCCTCTCCATCCGCCACGCTCGCAGCACTTCTTCTCCTCTTCCTCTACACGCCGCTCCTCCTCCTGCCTCTGCCTCCACGCCAGCCTCAGCGCCCGAGAAGCGACGAGCGCGCCTCTCGTCTCCCATCGCCACGATGCCCGAGTATCGCCATATGCGGAGCGGCAGCCTCAGCATCCCCAACGGCGCCCACGGCAGCAGCCATCACCACAGCATGCCGCGCAGCCCGCCCAGTAGGTTACACCAGATTGCCGTTGCTTGTGCTCGAATTCTAGCGTCCCTCCCCACCGGCCACATCCGCGAGCACACGACCACGGCGAGCAAGATTCAGAATTGGCCGCAGATGCGCTGACCCTTTGTTGCTGCTTGCAGACACATCGCACGTCCCGTGCAAGTTTTTCCGCCAAGGAGCCTGCCAGGCCGGCAATGCCTGTCCCTTTAGCCATGATCTGGGCAGCGCTTCAGAGAACATTTGCAAATATTTCGCAAAGGTGAGCTGCTTCTTCCGTGGTGCTGCTGGCTGTGTTTCCGCTGCCCTTTTTTTTTTTTGCCTTGGACATGCATTGTTTCCAATCAGAAACCAGACGAGATGGAAGAAGAAGAAACTCGAAAGATGGTCTCTTCTTTTACCCGAAAATCCGCGCAACTTCCACTGCATCATACGACTATTGCACCTGAATTTTCTCTCTCTTGATTTTGGAAGCGTTTCCCTTGCCGCGCTGTGGCATGACAAAGACGCACAAATCCTGTCGAGATTGGCTGGCTGACATTTCGCTTTCCTCTTAGGGTAACTGCAAGTTTGGCCCCAAATGCGCAAACATCCACGTCCTCCCCGACGGCCGCCGAATCAACTACGGTAAGAATGGCGTTACAATCGGTGCAAATCCCCTCAATCTTGCCAATCGCGCGGGCGGCGCCAGTCCCGTCTCACAGACCCCCGGCGCTGTCGCTGGCCCATTCACCCATTCTACCGCCAGTGCCTTGACCAACTCTCTGTATCGTGCCGACCAGCCCGCATATCCTTATCTCGGCGATGAGGTGCAGCAATTCGGCCTGTCCAGCAGCCACCATGACAGCGGCCTCCCGACCATTGATGCGCCCTACTCCGTCACCGACTCCAACTACGGCTCTCCACCGGATGATGAATCCTCCCGCCTAGGATTTGGTCTGTCGCCTGCTGCAAAGGGCTTATCTGTCCTTGATGCCCCATTACCCTCCTCTTTCGACTCCAACGGCATTTCCAATGCCGCCCGCTTCCCTGCCGCGCCCTGGCCTTCCTCCGTGCCCTCAAAGTTTGGTCTCGAATCGCCGTCCCCATCGCTCAGCAGCATCAAGGATCAGCGCACGTCCGAGACGCTCAAGCTGCTCCACTCCTCCGCCTTTGGATCTTCTGAACATCTCATTACCCCCACCGCCGGCAGCCCGCCGGACTCGCATCATCTGACTGGCGAAGAGTACTTTGGGAAGCGAATTATGCACTCCACCCGATACCCCAAGCAGCCACGAATGCTCAGCGCTAGCATGCCCAAGAACATGGTTGACCGAGATTGGGAGGCCGAGTTTGCCTTTGGCGACGATGATAACGTGCCAGAAAACCTCGTTCCCGGAGACCTGCAGGACTTATTGACCCCGGCAGAGAAGGCCCGGAGAGGTTCGATGCGAGAGGAGCGGCCAGACTTTAGCCTCGGCAGTCTTGGCAAATATGGCAGCCCGATTGGCTCCAGCCCGAGTCGATGGGGACCCCTGTTCCAGCGTCAGAAGGAGGAGGAGGAGATGACAAGATCGGCCCGAAGCGCTGCTGGATCGGCTTTCGGCCACGTTGGGAGTCCCCTGCGGAATTCGATCCTTGCAAAGGAAATGTCCGACAACAATGGCATGGGCCGACCGTCCATTACTCGGCCAGTAGGTGGAAGCGAGAGTATGTCTGTTCTATCGCAGCAGCTACAACGGAGCCGACTTGACGATACGATGAATGGCCCAAGCCCGCTTTTGCACCCGACGGCCGGCCGCAGCACGGGCAATGGCATCTCGCCCATTGGCAAGGACCGCGGCCTGGAGCGTCACGTTTCTAGTGCCAGTATCGGGTCGTCTGGCAGATTCACAACGCCAATTGACGAAGAGGACTCTGCCTTTGTATTCAGCATGGAAGAGGAAGAAGATTCTTCTTCTTCAAAGGCTCGCAAGCGAGGTTCTTCTGGCCTGGCTCTGGGGAGCTTTACTTCCTACGCCAGTGCTGCCGCTGCCAGCAAGGGAGCGGCACCTTCGAATGGTGCAAAAGACGGACGAGACGCCGTACCAGTCAACGGGAGGTAATGATTTCGTTGGGAATCAGGGGGGGAAAAAAAAGCATGCGGCGGAGCATATTTGTTTAGACAAGATACCCCCCTTTCAAATCACAGTTTGACGAACGGAGGAAATCGCCCCATTTTTTTGACGAAGACATAACGATCTACGAACCAGACGACAGCGCGCGCCAGATACGTGCATTTCTCTTGGAAACCTGAATTCGGCCCATCGAATTTTGACATTTTCGAGATAGTTTTTCAGGCTATTTATTTCTCTTCTTCTTTTCTTCTATCTCTTTGTCTCTCGCAAAATCAATGGCAGTCTTTGGAAAGAGAACACACAAAATCATCATCCGACATCCAACATCGCCAAGGAACTGGGAAAGGGGGGAAAAACCAAAAGGGACACAAGGGGTACATACACTATATAGGCTGGAGTTTTTTGCCTTTTCTTTTTTCTGCGTTTTCTATTTTCCTGTTATATTCCATTGTCATATCGAGGAGCCATCTAGGACAGCGAAAGCCCTGAAATCATACCTCTCATTTTCTGGAATACGGCCTTTCCAAGGAACTAGCAACAATAAGCATCGTATGCTTTTCATCATAAGAAAAAAAAAAACGAAATTAACAATTCACTGGATTTCACATAAATCGACGTCTCCCCCAATTTTCTTTTTTTGCCATATCATTTGCGACCACGCGAGGTTGGATCTTTGTTGTCTCGCAATTGAATATATGGGCTGTCTAAGTGGTGGACATAATAACCCTGCTGCCGAAGGACGACATCTGCGGTCAGCTTAGGTGTCTTTTTTTTTCTTCAAGGATCTTGGTATAATCGCCGATCACTTTTCATCCCCATGGCCTTATCTTGGAGGAAGGAGGAGGGAGGGAGAGAGGGGAAAGGCCGGTTAATTTGGAATCATCCAATAATTTCTCCCTAATGTCATGCGCCGTCAAAGCAATGATTACTCTCTGCGTTAGTTTGTATGTATGTATGTATGTATGTATCAGTATAGGAGCAAAGTGTACATGTAGTCAGCTTTTAAATATTTTGTTGGGGGGCTTATTGAGCTAATGCCTGGAGGTTTTTTACCAGGATGCATTTTTGCAGCATTCATTACTTGGGCACAGCATCTTTTTCTTTTTTGTTTTCCTTTGACTTTTTATGAATGATTATCTAGGTAGTTGATTGTGTAATTCGTCGAGTCTTGAATAGAAATCGTTGATTGATTGGATGGCTACTACTGGCCAGTTACGATGCCAACCGGGGTAGAAGGAAATGCATAAGCCGGTCATGCATACATGTATGACTCTTTCTATTCGTCACATTTGATAGAATTTTTATCTGATATCATTTTTCCATTTCTGTCCGTTCTCGTTATACAGCCTGGTTCTCGCTTGTGAAGGTGAAGCAAAAGGGTCTATGCGTGTACTAGCACCTCGATGATAAACAGGCACGGTACTACTAGTAGTATTCATAAACCAGAGAGAGATATGCTTGAGTCGCTTTTGCAGCCAAGACCGCCTCTAGCCGTACGCATCACTGAAGGGATTATCAGAGCAACCTGGTTACTCAAATTCCCAAATGAATGTCACAGGCAAGCGGTTGGTGGAGAGTAAATTGAGTCTTCTATACACTAATACAAGGGATAAGCTGCACAGATTTTTTATGTAGCAGCGTCTCCAACCACCATCAATACAATCGTCTTTTTTTTTTTTTTCTTCTCTTTCTCGCTTATAACACCCCCCGATCCACTTCACTATCCCTCCGTTTGATCTGAAAAAAACATTGATGCCAAGATAAAGTGAGGTTTGATCTTGGACAGAAAAGAATTCCCCTTTAATCGTGTCTCTCACAGATGAAAAATTAAGATGAGGTTTCATCGTAATATGATACCACCTGCTTGGCCTTCTGTTTATGCTTTCTCTTTTTTTTCTTTTTTTGAAAATAGCCTCCAAACAATTCATTATTTTTTCTCGGTAGCCCACCCAATATCATAACCTCTACATATCCGGGTATATCTCAGGAGGGAAATCTTTTTTAAAGTCGCATAACGAGAGAGGCGCGAGAGTTGAGAGATAAAAAAGAGGGGGCCAATGTTTCCAGAATCATTCGGGTCGGACAAGCGATTTAGTGAGCATCGGGCTGGTTGATGATGTACTCGACGGCCTTGTCAACTGCAGCGGGAATATATCAGCATTGCGGGGGGGCCAGAAGGATAGTCTACGGCAGGGATAAATGCGAAATCATACCTGAGTGGATGGTGTCGGCGTCCTTGTCGGGGATCTCGATGCTGAACTCCTCCTCGATGGCCATGACGACCTCAACGGTGTCGAGACTGTCCAGGCCGAGGTCGTTGGCGAAGTGGGCGGTGGGCTTGATCTGGAAGGGGGGCGTTAGATGCGGGTTAAATCATTGAGGGAGATTGCGCATTGAAGCTCTGAGACGTACGTTGGCGGTATCGTTGACCTGGAGCACAGATGAAGTTAGCACACGTTCGCCTGATGATGAAGCAAGAAAGCCAATGGCATGATTCCAAGACAAGACTCGTGCAGTGTCGCAAAATGCAGCATCGCGACTTATTTCGCGCCCCGCTCTCCATCTGTTGCTCTTCTCCCCGCTCTCATCAGAGCTCTCCCATCCAATGCGCAGCTATTCCTCCATCAAAGGCAATTTCACAGCTTCTTAATCAAGCTTCTTCTTTTCATCCCTCCCTCGTCCCAAGCTTCGCCTCCATGTGGTGTTGAAAAATCACGGGCAGCAGCAAACAGCGACCTACCTTGTCGAATCCCTGCAGCAGGCTCAGGATGCGGCCCTCGACCTCCTCCTTGTTCAGGCTTCCGCCAGCGCTGTACATCCTCACGCCCATGAGGCTCTGGACGCGGACGGGAGCAGCGACGGCGCGAGGAGCAGCCATCAGGGCCGTTGTTCGGATGGCGGCGGGTCGGGCAACAGCGGCGCGGACGGCCGAGGCGGATGTGCGGAGGATGGCAGTGCGGAACATGTTGGGCGACTGAGCTCTGAAGGAGGGAGACAAGGAAGAAGAGGAGACAAGAAAAGAAAAGAGTCAAAAAAGTCAATTGACAAGTTTGACTGCTGCGGGAGGAGAAGTGGTTGCGGGTTAAAAGGTTGGTTGGTGGGGGTTTTTTTTTGGTGACGGGTTCGTTTTTGCTCGGCGATGATAAATTTCTCGCTCGCTCTCTGGCTATTACTCGGTCTATTGGAGGTTTGCCGGAGCTGGGGTACAAAGGTACAAGATGCCAAGGTGGGAACGCAGAAGCTGGAGTGCGGAGGGGGTCACGTGAGGCTGCTTTGAGATTTGAGGGAGGGGCTGAATCAGCGGGAATGGAGAGGATGGGATTGGATGAGATGGATGCAGCTTCTTTTGCATGGACTTGTTCTGACATGGATTTCTGGCCGTATTGCAGCCATCGTGTTGTCCTTTATGCAGGAATTACTTGGGCTGGTGCTACTGCATGTCAATGTGAAGCTGCCGCGGGGCTAATTGACCTCTGTGAATGAATGAGGAACTTGAAGTTACGCAAAGTACTCCCCGTACAACAGTCACCATTGCCAACATTCAGCACATCCCAATACTGCCAGGATGAATCCAACCAACTACGTCAACGCTTAAAAACATATATCCACATCAATATGAATCAAAGGCTCTTTTTTTTGGTGTAGCGCCTAACGTATGTACAATCCAGTTGTCCATGCAATCTCCCTTGGTGCCCTTCTAATTGGATTTGGATTCTCTCTCCGCCCACATCATACAAAATTGGAATTAGGTTTTGTGCGTAGTTTATCGGTAAGGTGAGTCTGCGCGAATAGCGGCAGCAAGTTCGGGCTCCCACTTGTCTCCGTTGGACAACAGCTTCTCTGTGGCCAAAGTATCAGTATGCTATTTTATAAGAATATCCATCTGCATGAAACTCACCCTTGTTGTACAACAGCTCTTCTCTGGTCTCGGTGGCGTACTCGGCGTTGGGAGATTCAACAATGGCGTCGACGGGGCAAGACTCCTGGCAGAAGCCGCAGTAGATGCACTTGGTCATGTCAATGTCGTAACGGGTAGTGCGACGAGATCCGTCGGCACGCTCTTCGGCTTCAATTGTGATGGCCTGGGCAGGGCAGATCTATTGGCATACGCCAGTCAGCACACATGGAATCCCTGCAGTATATGCGCTTCACAGTCGGATATTGGCGGGGTGCTTACGGCCTCGCAAAGCTTGCAAGCAATGCATCGCTCTTCGCCAGAGGGATACCGTCTCAGGGCGTGCTCGCCACGGAATCGGGGAGAAATGGGACCCTGGATTAAGCGTTAATCATGCGTTCAATGGCAAGTTGTCGTTGCAGCGTATATTCCGATATCCAGATATTCAACCTCCGCGCGACTTGCATACCTTTTCGAAAGGATAGTAGATGGTGTAACTGTGCATGCTCCGTCAGCAATCCCAATTCCATATCTGCAACATGTGTAGTCGATATAACATACGGTGGTCGGAAGAACTGCTCCAGCAGGACGTACATTCCCCTGGCCATCTCGGTCATGAGGAAGTACTTGCCCAGCCGGTCTAGTAAGCTGTCCTTCTCCCACGCCCACTCCACGGGCTTGCTTGTGCGGAAGTTTTGCGGCAGAGCACCCTTGGGCGTCGCATAGCCGCGCTGCTGGTGCTGGTGGTAGGGCGTGGCCAGCATCCTCGTCGCCATCATGAGCGAGCTGGCAGAGGCCGGAGCCCGGGTCAGCTGTCGTCGGGCAAGCATGGCCGCGGCCGAGGCGGGGAGGGTCGGCGCCATTGTCGTCGGGGAGGGCTGGCAGAGGACGCAATTGACGAAGTTGCAGGAGAGCAGACTCGGGCGCCGCTGGCGGGGGGTCGATTGGGGCGGGAGGCGACTTTGACGTGTTGGTATAACTTTTGGCGGCGGCTTCTGCTTTGATCAACGGCCTAGTGCTCTGCGGGATTACATTGCTAGGCCAGTGATTGGTGGTTGCCGGCTGCCCGTGACATGGCACGTGACTCTCATTGATTAACAGCTCCGATGTCACGACCACCCTTCAAGCACGATGTTGGACATAATTTACACAAGTCATGAAAGAAAATGATAAAGAGGAGAAATTAAACGCTCATTATGAATTACCCGTCATATAATAAACTCATAGCACATCGCCATCATTAAATGCAGCTTTACAAAGTAACAACACCACCAAATCACTCAATAGCTCTTCTCCCATGTCCTCCACCACAGCCCTATGTTGGCCGCCACCAGCAGGTCCAGCATCTTCATCCCATCGTGGTATATGATGAGCTTGCTCAGCTTGGCTCGGTTGCCCCGGTTGCCCCCTCCTGCTCTCTCACCGCCTATATTCACATCAAACGGCGATACAACATCATCCTCGTCCTCATCGCCGTAGCCCCGGTCCATGGTTGACTTGACCATCTTGCCGAAATGGCCGAGTTTCTGATTAATGTCGCCTTTGGGCACTTCGCTGGACGGGAAAAACTCTGAGCCCGGAAGGTTGTACCGCAGCTCGCTGACTACAGTTGAAGTCCCCTTGGCCGCGCTCGAATCAGGCACCAGCGGGTTGTAGCCGCCCAATTCACCTTCGTGCAGGATATGATCGCACACCAGGCTCCGGCCATCCTTTCCCGTGCGAAATACGCATTTTCCGTTCCAAGGACTCGCAAACGTGTATCCCCGTGGCTTCATCTTGTCAGGGCGCGCAGTCGTTGGCGATCCGGCCGTGTACTCTCCCGAACTATGTGAAGCAACCGATGCTTCACTCTCGTTGCGGTTATGTGCCTGTGCCTTCTTGCGAGCCTTTTGCTCCAACTTGTGGAATGTGGATCGCACAGTAGAACCAAAGCTTTTTGAATACGACATGGAAACCTGCCGGGAGAATGTCCTGCTGCCATCGGATCTCGGCTCTGGCATGAAATCTATCATAGAAGGAGGAGGAGGAAGGGCGACTTGTGTCCCTCCGCGGAACTTGGCATACCCAGCAGTTTCGATTTGTATGTCGATTGGTGGGTGCTGAGGTGGGTGCTGTTCGGATGCTGATGCGGAGAGATACATGGGAGCTTGCGCAGCCATTGGGTCCGTCTCATATGATGAAATCTTTCCCACATTCCACTGGTCTCCGGTGCCCGGATCCCGCCTTATCAGGCTCAGGGTAAATGGAGGCGTGGCGTACTCAGCGTTCTTTGTTGGAGACAAAGAGCGGCTTTGCCTGGTGTGTCCTGTCGTATCTGCCCGAGCCCTAGTTTGAACCCTGGACCGTGTCGTTTCGTCCATCGAGACTCTACCCTGTGGCACGCCGCCCATCTGTCTTGGTCCAACGGGCTTGCGCCTAGGAGGCACATTCAACTGAGATGTTTCCTGAGGATTCGCCTCGAAAGAGCCATCTGAGTAACCCAAACCAGAGTCTTCAAAACGCCGTCTAGGAGGCAAAGGAGGAGCAAAATCACGCTCTTGCAAGCTGGGAGGCATGCCAACATCCCCTGGCGGCCGAAGCGTCGTGTTGTCATGTTGGCTTCGAGTTTGCTGCAGCTGTAATTGATCGCTCTGTATCGAAATCTCAGGGCCTAGCGATGGGACTGTGCCGGGTACTGGCTTCCGGGCAATGGTCCTTGTCGCTGAGCTATCTTCACTGGATCTACCTTGTGCTTCATCTCTCAGCGGCTCAGGGCCTGCCATGTCCAACGTGGGGAGCTCGAGATGAACATAGTAGAGGCTGCTAGCAACATCTCCACCAGTGACATTTTTGACCTGGGGTTTGAAAGGTGAAAGTATTACATCTGTGAGTTTCTTGGGGTCAGCTTCAGTTGCGTCAAAAACCGCCATGGCTCTGAATCACTTACCTCTGGTGCCGGGAACTCTAGATATGTAGAGGGTCAGAGGCTCCTGCGGTGTCTCTGATGGGTTTTCGGGATATTGAGGTGGGTTAGCCGCCTGCAGATTCAGCGCGGCCAGCGACTGTGCCTCCATCATGATGATGAAAGGTTGAGGTTGTCGCGGTGTGCCCTTTAGATGTGCCCTTTGTTTGCAAAATATGTCCCTCTTGGGAAGTGCGTTTTCTTGGTTGTTGATGAGCCGGCTTCTGATATGATATGCCGGACGGGGTGATGGAAGAGGTGAGCAGAAAATAGAAACCGCTAATTAAGGTTATATCGCTGTGTTGCACCAGTGTGAATGAATCGCTTTAGTGATTACGCTTGCTCCTTTTTTTTCTTCTTTTTGTCCTTAGTTCTCAAATGTCATGATGCTTCGTGCATGGACTACTGCAAGGTTCAAGGGTCGGAGAGAAAAAAAGCGCTCGACTAGGCTAGACCGCAGAAACTGCTTTTGGAAAATGCCGATCCAGACAAAGAAATAAAGTCATGACCAGGGAAAGCAGATAAATAAAGAACAAGATGTTTCACAGCAGACCCTTGCCAAGGTAAGCAGCGGCGGGCATTATCCTGGCTATGTTGGTATGGTAGTTAGTCTATCAAAAGAAAAGGAAATAGTGCGGCAGAGGGGGAAAAAGAGAAAAAGGGCCTTCTCCTGTTTTGTGGTAGTTGTCTGTCTGTTTGCCCTTTTCCTCATGCAGGCAATAGACGATGAACAAGTCCGGGTGCCTGAGCTCCAGATTAAAAAAGAGTCGGAAAAAAAAAAAGAGAGACCAACGTCACCGCGCCGGGGCTGTGTCAACAAAGGCCCATCCGGTTTTTTGTTTAGGGGCAATTTCGAGGGTCCGGTGAGCGAGCCGATAGGCCTAGAGCGATTCTGGCGATGATGAGGCGTCAGCTGCGAATGACTGGGGCGAAGCTGAAGCTGAGAGCGGAATGAGGTCGCGTTTTTGCCTTGTGGGTTGTGAGTTGATAACACGTATGCAGAGCGGCAAGGCTTGGAGTTGTCGGCTTTTCGTATTTTCTTGATGCTGCATCGTGATCTGTTGGGCCGTTGTTGGAATTTGGGCCTGAAGACGCAGCTGGCACCGTGTCATTAGCACAGTCTCTATAGGTGCAACCTGCACGGCTGATACAGTGTGGTTTTAATGTCCGATACTGTATTATATACAGGCCCTTTAGTGGATCTGCGTCACTGCCGTCATGGGGTCTTGGGCTGGCTCTAGCCTCGTTCCAAATATAAAATTCCCAGCTTCATGATTCAGCGCAGCTCCAGCCACGGCAACTCGTACGCTCTGTCGGAACGCTCCGTCAGTCCATCAGGCCATGGATATGATATCAGTACAAAGCGTGCTCTGGCCTATTCAATAGTCCTTTTCTTCTTCTTAAAATATCTCGCCAGCCTCGTTCGGGTCTTTTAACGCACCCGTCACCGCTCAGGTGACATTGGAGCCGTATGCAGTGCCATCTCAGCCATAACATCTGCAGCCATGCAACACTGAGCTTCTAAAAAAAACCCAACTGCATGCTGCATATGCATTGAGCATTTGCCATGGCCTTGTCAACCATGTCTTTTATCGCCCTCTCTTCCCTTTCTTCTCTCTCATTTGCCTCTTCTCTCAACCCAGCAAATGCGACTTCAGATTAAAATCACGTATCCGAGAAAAGAAACATGCACGTTGGTCGCATAACCCCCGATTTCTAATCATCTCCCGTTGGTTTTGGGCAATCCGAGGCCGTTGTGGTAAAAGGAAACCCAGTATGGCAATTCCAGCAGGGACTCGATTTCGCACATGCGGTGATGGTCCGAGTGACGACACTCGCAGCCCCTGAACAGCCGCATGGCAAAGTCACGAAATCTACGATAAATGATGAGTCAGTACGCAGAGCTGAAGCCTCACTGACACGGGGCCGTCTCACGATCGATGATGCAGAAATCACTCGAGCAGTCGAATGCACAGCCTCTGTTTGTGCCTAAATTCGTCGTCACTGTAACTGTGGGAACGCAGCTCGATGGCAAAGTAAACGGTTTCTCTTCGTTTACAGGAGTCGAAGTTGTTGGGGCGTCGTCAGCCAGAGAAGCAACTCTATCAATCAGGTGTCTATTATTCACATGTTTAGATCAGCTGAAGAGCACAGACTAGGTAAGCTTATGAATTGCTTGCTCGGGTAGTGTCATACGCCGTCAGCATGAAAACGACGTCGATCGCTGTAAGCCGCATTCTGGACGAAGCAGCTCTCCGATAAATTATAAAGAGGCTATTGTTTCTCGAGAAAGATGCTAGATGGCTGTCAAGATATGATTATAGCCAGCCCATGTCGTTTTCAGAGGGGCTGTCGCCTGTTCTAAATACTGGTCCGATCTTGGCGTTACCTAATGCTGGCTGCCACGTCGCAGATGCTTTCATCAAGTGGCGTGATGGTGTATATTTTGGCCAACGTAGTGCTCAGCTATTGATGCTGCAATGTAGACAAATGTGCCGTGTAGTATTTGTTGACGTGGCACAATCCAAGCTGATACGTCCCTTGGCGAGATGCAATACATCGCTTGGGTCTGATGACAAGCATCATGTGGTGAGTGTTTCTCGGCAGGACTTAACCTCCAACCTTGAAAGAAGGTTGACGGATCTTATAATGACCTTAAATTTACTAGAGAATATTGCCACCCTGACCGTCTTTGGACATGAAGCTCAAGGAGGATCTTGTACGAGTACGTGTAATACTACCTACCTGTAATCAATCACGTACATGAAGCTAGCTCAGATCCTGAGCCAATGCAGGCCAAGCTAAAATTGACCACTTACATGCACATGTGCGTCTGCTCACTGCATATCAACTCATTTGGCGGAAAAGACATCAAGTAAAGCATTAGAGATGCTTGCATAGCTAGTCGTAAAGAGGACAGCATTGCGAGCCTATGAGGTCTAATATACAAACTGCTACTCCGCATTCGTGCAAATATGCATAATGGCATCGTGTAATACACGGGAATTATAAATTCTCTATATGCGTAGCCTTAGTTATGATTAGGCTGGTTTCACTTGCTCACTTCTGCTCTATACGCATCCACCACTTCCTGAACAACATCATCCAGCTTTTCGTTCTCCAAGCCCAACAACTCCATCGCATACCCATCCCTCCTTGTCCAGTCCGCGTCTAGAGCCCCCAGCGCAAAGACAATATCCTCAATGGCGTCCAAATCAGCTTGAGAACCATCACCCTTTAGTCTTTGCTGGGCGTCTGCTAGATATGGCTTTGAGTCGACATGCTTGACGTGCCATGGCTCTCCCATTGCCTTTTCCAGGGCAGCCACAACTTCAAGCTGCGATGGGTTGAAGCTCTGGACGTAGACGGCTCGGTTGCGCGTCTGCTCGGCCCGCTGCAGGACTCGGACAGTTGCCTCAGCAATGCGGCGCAGCGTAGAAGTCGATGCCCTGATGGCGCCGCCGTCCAGGATCTGCGCCGTGCGGGTGTCAAAGTCGATGTGGAGGAGTCCATCGCGCAGTCCGTGGTCGAAGAAGTGGCCGCAGATGACGGTTGTCCATGAAAAGGGTGAGCCTTGCTGCGAGGCCTTTGCGGCGAGTGCCTCGCATTTCTCACGGACGAGCGTCTTCTTGCGGTAGAGGGGCAGATACTTTTGCGGCTCTGGGTCGCTCGCATCGCAGCTCCCAAAGTCTGCGGGGATGAAGCGCTTCACGCCGGCGTGGAATGCGGCCTCTGCGAGTCGGAGATGCTGGTCGCCCTCGCCGAGCGGGAAGGCAGCAATGACGGCATCCTGGCCGGTTAAAGCCTTTGCGACATCCTCAACCGGGAGCTCAGGTGGGACGATGAGGCGTGAGATGGAGGAGGAAGAAGAGGAAGAAGAGGAAGAGTTGGAGCGCTGGAGGATGGAGATGTCGAAGCAGTCTGCCTGAACAAGGCCTTTGAGAATGACTGAGCCCAGGGTGCCATTGGCGCCTACGAGGCAGACCTTTTTGATTGGAGTTTGCGCCATGGTTAAGCAGGGATTAATATCTGTCACTTTATGCACGCGCAGATGAGGGCGAGAGAGATCTGGAAGCTGTCCAGATTTGGCAATCGGACGGTAAGACGCGGCATTTGGCGATGCGGAGAATGGTGGGGCGTATTGCTATGTACTTGGATAAGCAGTTTGAGAGCATTGCTTTGTGTATATAGCTACATGGCAATGGTATAGTTTTATTCAGATGTTTGAGCACGGTTATAGCATTCAAACTGAATACATGTACGGATTAGACATGTTCAGAATCATGAGGGCGTATAAGTGAAGGCAAAGAAGTATATTCTCTAAACTTGACAGTATGTCAACAGTGCTCATAAGCAGTAGCGCAAGAGACCCAAACCATGTAAGCAAAAGCAAACTCCTACAACATTCCTCTTCCTCTCATACTTTAACACTTTTTATATACTTGATTCAACGGTCACAAGCCTGGAGTTTTGGTCTTTCGGCTCCGACGACTCTTGAATCGGCGCATCCCACGCTGCATCCCCCACAAATCGCGGACTCTCTCGGCTATCCGAGATGGAAATAGCGCCTCGATTCGCGCGGCGAGCGGCGCTTCCACTGATTAACTCCGGCTTTCTCCAGTATGCCAATCGGCTCGGCCCATGCAATGGGGCCGTGATTGAGTTGCAGGTACAAGGAAAGAGTCAACACAAATCAACATTCTTGACCAATTGTAGGCATCTTTTGAGGGGAATGAAACAGGAGGTTAGACAAAAGCCGGTGGGGATAAGCTTCATGGAAGAAGAAAAAAGTATATATATGTCTCGTGAAGTCATAAGTCAATGACAAGTATAAAACTAAGTAATCAGATAAAAACAACTTTCTTTATTCATATAACAACTCTAGCAATCATGGCTGACAAGCACATCGTCTTCATCACCGGCGTCAACTCCGGCATTGGCTATGAAGCCGTGAAAGCATATCTGGGCTCATCCACCCCATACCACATCTTTGTCGGCTGCCGCACGCTGGAAAAGAGTAAAGAGGCCATTGCTTCCATCACCAAAGAGGTTCCATCGTCAAAGGACACTCTTGAACCAATCGCTCTTGAGCTGGAAAGCGATGAATCCATAGATCAGGCATATGAGGCGATTGCAGCCAAGGTGGACAGAATCGACACGCTGGTTAATAATGCAGGTTTGTGCTATGCTCCTCTCAGTCCTATACATGCTTGGCAAGAAGGATTTTTTGTTCAAAATATGAGACTGACATGGTTTTGTTGACATATAATAGGCGCTGCTTTCGACACTCACAACTTTGCAAACGACATTTCCAACATCCGCTCCATCTTCAACAAGGCATACGACGTCAACGTCACCGGAACCCACGTAGTGACAGCCAAGTTTGTCCCTCTCCTAATCAAGTCCCCTTCCCCCCGCCTCATCTTCATCACTTCCGGCCTGTCCACCCTCACGGCTCACTCCAAGAGCTTCTACCCGCCATGGGCGCCCAAGCCGCAGGCCGGATGGCCCAAGGACAACGTGGCGGCCCACCTGGGCTACAAGAGCAGCAAGACGGCGCTCAACATGGTGATGCTCAACTGGCACTGGCTGCTGCACGAGGACGGCGTCAAGACGTTTTGCATCAGCCCGGGCTTCTTGGCGACGAATCTGGGTGGCATGCAGGAGAAGCTCAAGGAACTGGGGGCGGGTGAGCCGTCTGTTGGCGGACAGTTTATCCGGGCTGTGACTGAGGGGGAGAGAGACGAGGATGCTGGCAAAGTGGTCTGCCGTGGTGGCGTTCAGGACTGGTAGAGACTCGCGAGGATGATGTTGATTAAGCACATGATGGAGCCATTTCATTACAGAAGACAGGCGTCATAGCAAATAAAAGAAACCACAATTCAGACAAAGTTCAAGGTTGACGGGTTTTATTACGTTTGAAGGCTCTTTTAAACATTCTAACAGCCGTACACTCCTGCTGGTACCTCGACGGGATCGTCGTTGCCGCCTCCATGTACACCAGATTCTCCAGATGCTCTATCCATTGGCTCAGATGCTCGGCATCCGCATCCAAGAGCTCCCTCTCCACATCGTTGCCAAAGGATGACTGGCTCTGGCAGCGGTAGAGCTCCGCCTGCAAAATCTCCAGCTCGCCCACGACGGGGAGCGCACTTCTCCGCTGCTGGTACTGCGGGGGCGGATACAAAAGGTCGACGACGCAGAATACCGGCGGGTGTTGAGGCAGGTGGCGGGAAGTCATTAGAAAGCGGTCTGCAAATGGTTTGCGGACGAAGCTGCCTGTGAGCTTGTTGAACGTGCGTTCCAAGGCGAGGGGGAGACGCGCCCATGACTGTGCCATGCTTGAAGGCATGTTTTGTGGGAATGAATCGGTTTGTGTGGTATATATGAAAAGTAGCAGGGACAAGCTGTTTTGGACTTGAGTAGTTGTGATGGTAAATGCTGAAGCTGTAGCAGACAATCTTGACTTGAGGATGAGAACGGCCAGATGACGGACGATACGGCTGAATTTATAGAAGCCATTGCCAGCTTCATTCATCCTTTTTAGGTTTATTGAGAGCCATGCGGATGCGCGGATATTGTCCGTATGACCTACGTAATTCCACGACGCCTCGTTTGGGTTTACATTGTTCAGTGCAGTTGATAATAGGCTGCGTGGTGGTTCCTGAGCTTATGTGGCGTGCCGAAGCTAGGCCAAATTATGGGGTAATGTCAAGCTTAACAAGAGTTTAAACTTGTATCTTTTCTGTGAAGAGCCTGCCATTAGGTACAAAGTAGTCATGGATATGTCGAACAATGCGCTTTCCCTGTATCAGCATGGTGATTTGCGGTGCATGAAGCTGCAGCTTTGATGGCGGCTCAAATGGGAAGCTCACGATTGGTTTTGGGGTGTATAAGCGATGCGTGAAAGGCCACCATGGCGCCGCATGAGAGATAAAGAGGGATGATTTGGACCGAAAAGGGATTCAATTTGCTTTTGTTGGCTCGTGGTCGAAAAGAATCGAAGGGAAAAAAAAAAGTATACTTGCGAGCAGCGCCTGAAATGGGCAATGTTGCTCGTTTATCTCGCTTTTTAACGAGCGCCGCTGAATGAATCAAAGCATCACGATCACGAAATAATCAGATCAGAAAACTACTCGGGTATCAGAAAATAGCCGTCGAGGCTAAAACGAAAATATATCATTATTCCTGAATATAGTGGTATACAGCTCATCTTCCTGTCGCCATGTCCCAGGTTATAAGCGAGCAGCCATGCTTTCCTGATGATTTTACTTCATCTCTTACAAATTACTTTGATCAAAATACATATGTCAAGACCCATGCACCGGGATAAAGCCATGTTCGATAATGGACATGCTGGGTCCTGTTACCGCAGCCTTTCAGATCGTGAAACATCATGTATACAGCCACGAAGCGAAGCTAACAAGCTACTCAATTCGATCCGATTCCATTCAAGGAATTCCGTCTAGCCCAAAGCTAGCAGCGCGAAATCGCGCCCATTGAATTATTTTACTAAAGACAGAGGCTGGTGCCAACGTTAACTTGGTACATTCCTTGTAATCGGATCGTCATTTGAACGACGCCAGTCTCCCTTTCTAGGCGTGCCGCTTGCCGGTGAGTTTTGATATGCCAGACCAATGTCTCAGCTTCGTCTCTTCCTAGTCAGCTGAGATTCGCAGCTTTGACGCGCCAACCTCGTCAGTTTTTTCAAAGCCTTTGTTCATATCTCGGTGCGGTATGCAGGTACCGCATACCATTATTTGCTGATCTCTGTATCTATCCTCACACGTAGCATTCTACGTCTCCTCCAAAAGGCCTCCTGAGTCGTATCTCTTGCAACCAACAAACGTGTGTGATCGCACCATGTATGCAAAGCTTCGCGTTTCAGTCCATTCCCCGGCAGCGGCATTGTGTCAAGACTAGGCTTATTCACACGTAGTGCATTGTTTTCCTGCCCAAGACTCGCCAACATCTCATTGTGAGGCTGGATGATACATTGCGGTCATAATATTCGATGGATATATATAACTTGGCAATATTTCTCGTCCCAAGCCGGTGATTTGTCTCTCGTCGCACAGCCATCTTCCTCAGTACAATCTTTTTCTCTTTCGCATCCTGAACTTGGCAAGTCATGTCTCGTTTCGCTCTCCTCGCCGGCCTCATGGCAGCCAGCGTAGCAGCCCAAGCCGAATTCACCGCCCCCAGCTTCAAATACATTGGCTGCGTCGAAGCGGAACCGCCCGTCTTCAACTTCAAAGCCGATGTACCTGCCCCCTTCAGCGTCCAGCAGTGCCAATATGCGTGCCATGCCAAGGGCAAATACGCCGCCATGGACGGTAGCTGTAACTGTTATGACTCGTCGTCAAAAGCCGAGCCAGCTTACAACATTATTGATGAATCTGTCTGCTCGGTGCCGTGCATTGGGGGCAACGCAACGGCGGGCATATGCGGAGGCCCGCAGTGTCCGGTGACGGGGAAGAAGCGATACTCACTGTACAAGAAGGAAACGGAGCATCATGATGACGATGACTGTGAAGAGGAGGAGAAGACCAAGAGCAAGGACACTGGCGTCTGGACCAAGTACATCTCCACCACGGTCGCGACCATCACAGCTTGCCCTCCCGAAGTCACAGACTGTCCCCTCTCTCCTTCAAAGGCCACTGCCACTCCACACTGCCCAGGAGAAGGCTGCCATGTCCCCACGACATCAGCCGAGCCCACTCAACCACCGTGTCCTGAGAAGTGCGGCCCTCCATGCCCTCCTGAAGGCTGCCCAGTTTGTCCTCCTGGCGGATGCCTCCCTTCCTGTCCTCCAGGCTGTCCCATTTGGGCTTCTATCCCCCACTCCACTCCTCCGCCACCAGTTCCAGCGTGCGATGGAGAGCATTGCAAGTTGGGTCCTCTTCCTCCAGCAACACTAGCCTGTCCTTCTGGAGGATGCTTTCACCCTCATCCCACAATAATTGTTAGCAAAGGCACCAGGTACCAATCCGGCGTGTCAATAGCAGTTGCGGCGTTGGCGTTGGCTGTTGGTTGGCTGTAGGAGTGGATATTGGTTGCGATGGCTTTGAGGCGGAACTTTGTACTATTGAGAGGAAGAATAATACAAGGTTGTAAAAAACAGAGGGTTATAATCAGAGCAAACGACGAAATAAAGACTTTTTGAGGCGTTAGGTCGGGATGAGATACTTGTTGCATCTTTCGTATAATACATTAGCTACAAGAATCAGAGATGCCTGAATACTCGGTTTCTGCTTGATTCATAGTTTCGAGCCAAATCTCACCAAATCGAGAGGGTCGAGTCCATCATGAACTCCAAAAATTAGTCCTCGTCTTGCGAGGCGAGGTGGAGGCTCCTCTCAAAGTCAATTCCGCCGCGAAAAGCTACCTCTTTGGCGCATCCGTTAACGGAACATAACGCACGCCAAACAGCTTCTTCCGCGTTATCTTGCCCTCCTTGTCCTTTTCGATACGCCACACGCTTTGGCTCCACCCGCTGGAGTCGTCGTCTACAGGAATAAACATGCTACAGTCCCCGTCAGCGTGCCTATGCGTAATGGGAAGATCGTGACGACAAAAACTCACCATCCTGGCGCCTTGAGCTGCTCCAGTAGCGGAGCGTGTACTTCCTTCGCAGCAGCCCCGACGTGAATCACATCCCATGCCGTGCCATATTCCTCTTCGCCCTGTCGTGCCTCTTCAACCCAGCCCAGCCTCCCGTCTCCAACCACAAACCTCGCCTTTCCCGAGTCCAGCAATCGCTTCCCCTCTGGACTCTTTCCCATGTTCGCTTCGCCCAAGTCTCGCAGTTCCCGGATATGCTCCAGCCCTACCACAAGCCCCCGGTCCCCAACAAGCTCGGCAAAGACGTGCGTGAGGTAGCCAGAGCCAGAGCCAATGTCCAGGACTCGTGGGGCCGGGGATGTCTCTGAGGGGAGAAGACGAGGCAGGACATGCTCCACGGCGGAGGCGTGCATGTGCGGCGCGGAAATGGTGGCATCGTAGCCGATGGGCTGTGGAGAGTCTTGGTATGGCATGGCAGGGGCGTAATGCCCTCGGTCAACCTATGGCGAGTTAGAGACAATGATGACGAGAAGCATCTTCAGCCATTCTCTCTCTCTCTTCTCTCTTCGACTGTCTGCTCCTTGTGATATTCAAGAGCTTGCCTTTAGAAACGCCTCCTTGACCAGCGGATCGCTAATGAGGCCGTTGGTCCACATGTTTGCAATGAGCCCGGCATTGGAGCTCCCTGAACACCGCCACGCCATGTTGATGCCTCTGCGAGCTTGAAGACCTCCTGCGATGAGAAAGCAGACTCCGGCGGATTTGAGCAAGAGCTTGCACGATCTGGACAGTCTGGCTCCAGAGACAGTGGCGAGAGCTCGAGGCGCCAGCTTTTTAGTTGTTTTCCAGCTGCCGGCTCAGCCGAAAGTAGCACCAGAATAAGATTCTTTTTTTTTTTTTTAACTCTTTGATACTGTAGAAGCACGCGACAGGTAAGCAAGAATCTGGCAATGACTTCTGGAAATTAGCTGTATGGCGAGGATTAGCTACCTGTCATGCCCGTGCTGACGACTGGATATAAAATCACGCGTATCACCTCAGCGGTAAAATGGCCGGATTCAGACGTCGAGAGAAAACGTTGAGTGAGGATTTGATATTGTTTTATTTGCAAAAAAGTATCGCCGCCCATATGATGTATGAAAGACGTCAAAGGCACCGCGGATGAGCTGAGGACGAGCTTGTCCAGGTCGCGGGCACTAAACCGCGATTCTAGGCTCATGCCACAGCGGTTAGCGGGGCGGAATAGCGCTGCAAGCTCAGGACCCCGCACCCGGGGGCTAAATAGCGCGCGTTAGCGGCCGTTGTAGGCCCTGCGGTGTGCCTGTACAGTGGCCAGTGGCCTGTAGATTGTAAATTGCAAGCTCTAATGCTGTGCAGCGATCTGCATGAGGATCTAGATGGGAAGGATGAACATGAACCCATAGACCTTTTCGGGCTTGGGTAGATCTGCTGATTGGTAGACAGATAGCTTATCAGATTGGTAGATTTGGAGGAAATATTAGAACGGCGTTCAAGTGTACTCATGAGACGGTTTAAGCCAGGACAAGTAAAATAGGTATAGATGGTTGGTTATTCCATTCTTTGACATAGGAAACAAGAGAAGCGTGCTACGCGTTATACCTCGGACCTAGTAATGCATACGTCCATAACGCCTGAAATCCATCCGACGGGGAAAACAGAACAAGATAAACAGAGACAGAAGAAAAAACAGCATGAAAAGAAAAAGAAAAACGCTGACTAGCGTAGTGGTATCGATGACCACTTGCCTCTAATTAAAAACGATCCAAGGCAGTGGCAATTGCAAAAGATTCAAATCTACAACGGGAGAACCAAAAATTTCTATACCACGTGCTCCACGCTCTCGCCCTCGGCAATAATGGGGACGTTGAGTCCACGCTCGGGGCTCTGCAGGACGAGTTGTTCGTGTCGCCGGGCTCTCATGAATTGAGCCACGCTCTTGATGAGAATGAACCAGCCCACGACCATCAGGATATATGCCATCCAGTCACTGCCAGAAATACTGCCGCCGGGGCCGTCAGTCACATCACTGGCCTGGAAGTCGTGCGAGTTGGGATCTGGGGGCGCAGCGTATCCGTCGGGACCAGTCATCTTTGGCGGGTCGTCGGGTGATCCTTTCATGTAGAAGCCATATTGGATAAGGGTGATGCCAAGGCCGGCTCGCGATCCGTTTTTGGCGGCGTGGGTGGAGTGGAGAAGGTAGGTGAGCAGGAAGCCGACGAGCTGGAATGAGGTAGAAATCATGCCGTTCCAAATGAAGGAAAACACAGACCCAACGGGCATGCCGTCGACGTAAACTTCATCGCCGCCACCGTAGCCGGGCGCAAGAATCGTTGTTTCCCAGTATGGCGGAGCAGCGTCAGCAGCGGCTTGTTCGTAAGTCTGTTGGTTGCATTGCAATTAGTAAAGATTCGTAACAAATGCTTTGGCAGATTCAGTCCAAGGGTAGACAAACAGGTGGTTGCTCCTCCTTCTCCGCAGTGCCGTCCGTCCGCTCCGGCCGGGCTGACATATTCGCAAACACGCCATCGGAGCCAAATCCGCCGCCCATCACTCGGGGTCGTGAACCGGATGAAGCCGCATCCGACGTGGCCGGAATGGAAGTCGGTGCTGTCGGTGCAGAGAGTCGCGCAGAGTCGTTGGTTGATCTGATGGTTGGTGTAGAGTCCTGTCGGACTAGTCTCGCTCTATCGTCTGTTTCATCGTCGCTCGCATCGTCATCATCAAACGCATCGGCGAGGTCGTTGTTGACTCGGCCATTTCGTGTTGGCGAAGAGGCGCGGGAATGGAAGGACGGAGGCGGCGAATTGGGGACCTGGGCTCGTCGCTGCGGAACATCCTCGTGGTCCTCATCATCGTGGGCATTTACCTGCGGAAAGCCATCAAATGTCAGTATCGGATCAGCGTCCAAAATCATCGCGATGCGCGCCCACGTACCCTCTCGTAACGCCCAGACATGGCTGCTTCTGTATTCTGCTCAAGTCGCGCAGTGCCGTAGACTCGGAGAAAGGGTACAATGTCGTAATCGGCTGGTCACGAGCGCCCGGGGGAAGAAAGGAGCGCAGTCGGGATCAAGGGGATACAAGAAGCGACAAAAGGAGAAAATCAAAAGACACGGGTTGGCAGAGTCGTGGCGGCGAGGAGAGAGCGGCGAGAAAAGAAACACAAAATCGAACAGCGGCACAAAGGTTGAGGAGGCGGAGATGAGACGAGAATCAAGAGCGAAAATGAAGATGGACGGGAAAGGGCTGCGCCTGCGCCAAACGTAAAACCGCAGGTCGATGGAGCTGGGCGGTCGGATTGGGACTAAGGCCAGGCCAGATGATGCGTCCACTGATGACCAATGCGAGGGGGAGGCAACCTGCTGATGCAGAAGAGGTACCTGCGAGTCTGCTGCACCCGACGGGATGAGCCAAGTACCGGCGGTTACTGGGCAAGGTACCTCGCCATCTGGAACAATCTAGGGTCTGCTGGGGGGACTTTTGCTGGGGTCGGAGGCCGCTATTTGTCGCTGTTACTGGGCGGGCGAGGCCTAAAGGGGAGGGCCTCAGGCAACAGAGCCCCTCTAAGCGCTGTCAATGATGAGTGCAGGTGTTTTGCATGACTTTAGCACCTGGGCCGTGCGCGGCATCCGAAGGTAGCCAGAACCTTGGTTTTGCGCAAGAGATGCCTCTATCCTAAAGTATCCCCTACTTGTGCATACAATCTGCTCATCGAGGTATGAGAAGCCACATGCACCGTGCATTCACACCGTATCCGGAAACTTTAGCTCTAGCAGAAATTCAATATTTTGTATCCAGGCGAGACAAAGTGGCGGCCTTGCATTGCGCAGCACGCGCATAGCAGAGTCTGGGAATCTTTCGACAATGTCGCGATCGCTGGCGGTGAGTGCTACTGAATCATTTTACTCCATTCCACCAAGCATACGGGGATCCTCGAGTTGCCAGCTAACTTTTTGCTTCGCCGCAGCGCCGTATCTACTCCGACGTCTTCGCCAAATGGCCTAAGCAGGACCTCCGGCCGGACTACCAGTTCCAGGATGTCCTGGCCAAGGTTGTCGACGAGCGATTCAAGACGTACAGCCCTTCTACCGAGTCCGAGGAGCTGCTAAAGGCCCGCGCGCTTCAGTTCCTGGTGCAAAATAAGTTTAAAGATAGGGTTCGCAACTACAACCTTTGTGAGGGGGGGCCAGCAAATTTCGCTAACAAGCAATGTCATTATAGTACAAACTCAAGGGTCCAATGCTGGAGCCCAAGAGCCAGCCGACGTATTTCGAGGATCTGGTCAGGGAGATTGAGGAGGCGCCCAAGAGGACATGGCTGGAGAGGCTGGGCAAGAGATTGTCTGGCATGATCAGACTGCAATGATTCACGAACAAAAACGGTAACATCGGTGTTTAACAGGAGGGACGAGGAACAAAACAAAAAGTGCTTTTCACACCACAATGGACATGAAGGGAACAAGGAAATCGAAAAAACGTTTTACGATACATTGCTGTATACCACCCGTATATATATATATACACTTGTACAACTAGTTGCTGTATGAATAGGTTGCATAAAACCCCCATTCTAAATCCTAAACGCCAGGCCTGTCTGCTTCTTATCTTTTTGACTCCTTCTTCTCCTGCAAATCCTCTTCTCCTTAGATGTACTTCATTTCAGGGTCCATCTTGTTCATCAGGTCCATGCTCTTCTCATACAAGGTAAACACAATGCCTCCGCTCAGTACCAATCTCGCTAGCCGGGGCAGCGCTCCGCTCCAGAATGTAAGGACGCCCTCTTGCTTGAAGATCATGGCCGCGCATCTAAATGTGTTGCCATACATGCTCTTGGCCTCGATGCTCTGCATGCGCGTCTTGACTGTGTCCAGAGGCTGCGTCACATACACCGTGACCAGGCCAGCAAGGCCGCCCATGGCAAAGGTGCCGACAGCGCCGAGCTTCTCTCCTGGCGCGGTGTAAGACTCGGCAATCTGCTTGAAGAAGTTGTAAGCGCCGAAGCGGGTTGCGCTGTTGGCGGCTTGGCGGGCTGTTGTAGGGACGAAGCCTTGGAAGAAGCCGCGGATACCACGCTCACGGGCGATGATGGGAACGGCGTGGAGGAAGCCGCGCATGCGAGGTTTGGCAGATTTGCGGTCGTCGATACTAGAAGAAGAGGCCTATATTAGCGTTTGTGCTATGAAGCAGGTTTTTTGAAAGGAAATATGAGTAAGAGGACATACAGAGTAGTCTTGATACTCTCGGTTGGAGTTACAGCAAGCAGCGACTCTGTAACACCAGCACCGAAGCCGGCCAGGACGGTTCGTGGGCCAGAAAGCTTGCCATTTTCATCAGCCAGCAGACTCTTGAATTGGTCAAAGGCAACGAATCCTAGACCTTGTATTAGCGCTTTCCGTCCCGAACCCCAATTCCACCAATTGTGCCGTTATGCGTACGGATTCCTGCTTTGGCAGAGTTGCCAATGATGAGCGTGGTGCATCCCGCGTACCACTGCGCTCCAAACGGCGGCCATGGCAGCTTCTGTCCCTCGGCTAGCCGCCTGTTGAGCTGCGACCTTGTCTTTGCAACTGCATGTATCTGATTAGTTCGCCGCTCGTAGATGTGGAATCATGTCCAGTTATTGTTGCAGTATGATATCGACTCAGACATACACTCGGCAGGGTAGGTAATGGCTATCGTCGGCGAAACGTTGTCAGCTCCAGTTCGAAAATCTTCAAATCCAAGCACGTGCGGACTCATCGCTCGGCGCAATGCAGCAAACAGCAACTTACCGATTTCAATCGCGCCGGCTGTCGAGCCAGCAATGACGGATCGCAGAGCGCTGGGGCGCTGCTTCTTCTCAGAAGCTACCGGCTCCTTGGCTACCGTTGCCATTGTGAATATTCCTTTGCGCTTTTGGCAAAAGATTGGACGCCTGGCGGGGTGATGGCATTTGGCTGTCGCGCAAACAATTATAGCGGGCAGATTTGAATGTCTGGAGCCGGAAGATGGGTTCCGATGTCGCCGATGGACCTACCCGAGCCGCACCCAGCTAGAGCTAAGTCGGGAAAATTACTGATTTCATGTTAGCACCAGCACCAGATTGATGGGTGCCATATATATATGAACAAATGGGTTTGTCTCTACTTGTTTGGATTGCTAGAGCTTTTAGCATATTTCCCCTTGTGAAAACTCTTTTTGCTTACACTCTATGGTCACAGCTTAATACCAACTATTGATGTATTGAGGGGGACCCTTGTGGCTCTCAATTCTTTGACATGGTGAAATAATAGCCAATCACCGAGAAATTAGCACATGAGTACGGACATACTCCACATCTTCAACGACAAACCCTTCAAGACATTCACTCTTCAGGCAGGGAGACCGCTTTCTCGGAATATGGATTACGAATGCCAGCAGCTGTCTATGAAATATGTGTCACTGGGCTTGTCCATGTCTCAGGTGTGGATGCAAGTGCGTACCCTAAAGCTCGAAACAGCGGTCAAAGTTCAAGATGGATGTTTGTCTGAGACGAGTATGGCGATGCTTTTATCTGCCAGAGTATCAGTACACTGTTATACATTTAAAGCTCGGTCTAAGAACGACTGATTATTCCAGATTGTAAAATCGTGGCGGCAGATGCTTCTCCAAGTATCAATTGTGTAGGTGATGGCTGCAGTAGAGCTTAATGCAATTCACTAGAGTTGATATCTGCGAGAGCTAAACTAAAATAGCAAATGTACCATCACTTCACAGTACAAGTTGTGAAACAAAGTACCCTAGAGTTGCAGGACTTTTGTGACTGCTGGAACGTTTACAAGCGCGGTTTGATACGGATCGTTCCCAATAAGCAGCTCAACTCATGAACACACCCACCTTCTGGTACATGCCTTAGCTTTGAGTCATAACCTGGGGAGGGTGGGCTAAGCATGTGTAAAGGACTACATGTATCTAACCATCAGTTGGCTAAAATATCTCGGACAAGTACATGCAATTAGCAATGTATGGCCAACTCTTAGAATTCCCACTGGTAACACAGGCGATCTGGACCTTGTACAGTAATGGACTTGCCATGTCGCAAGTCCCTGCTGCTCCCCTGGCCGATGAGGTGCATATTCTACATGTAGAGCCTTGTTTCACTTTCATGGACCAATTCCGCCAGGATTCTACCGAGGGTCAGATTTTAACGGCTCTCGCAATGCGACGCAGTTATTGCCCATTGCCTTGCTCCTGTTTTGGGCTAGTCTTTATGCTTTCAATTTCCACCTGCATGCAGCTTGATGCCGAGTGACGTTGCTGTTTAGGAACTTCTGGCTGTTAAAAAAAAAAAAAAGAATATTTCCCGACGGTGAGTCATTTTACTGCATGGACACAGGACTAGCATCTTGGCCCTCCATGTCTCAACAATTTCCAGGCAAAGACGCAATTTAATGTCGGGTGCCAAATCATCAGGCTGTAGCGCGACGGTTAGTGCGGGTAAAATTGGAGACGGGCAGCGGGAAGGGCGCCATGGCCGATGAGCGTAATGGCCTGACGTCCACTGAAGCGTAGCACGGTCTGTTCCCGGCTTGGTTCGTTCAGGGGCCTCGGGCTGTGGAAAGTAGAAAACTTGCATCGATCGCCGAGGTTGCATCCAAGCTGAGGCTGCAAGGGCTGGAGGCGTTCTTTGCGTAACCCCAGCAGTTGATCATGGCGGAATCAGCGGTCGGATGCTGTGCAACTCGACTAGGCTGAGAAGTGCTGGCTGCACTGCCTGCAAACATTTGATCGGCGTGTGACAGCGAGCTGCAGGAGGCGGCAGCAGCGCCTGAGCGTATCGGGATCTGCTCAGCCCGTCGTTTTGATATCGATCCCTGGAGACGGCATGGGTCTTGCTACCCACTCGACACGACTAATCGTTGCTAAATTACGGAGAATACACAATGTGACTTTATGACTTTTTTTGGTCCTCCCTTCTTCTTTTCTCGTGGCATCTTGCTCTGAGACAAGACTGATTCACGCTTAGTAAAAACAGACGTCTCTGTTGGCAGACTTCGCCTTTGACTAACTCCATGTAGCTCTTTGTTCTACGACAAACAAACTCACGTAAAGATCATGTAAGCCTACGGGATATTCGCATTAGTCACCGACGCTCGACGTGCCGCGCTTCTTTCAGCCGTAGCCATCATGCCGTCTCAGCCATGCCATGCCATCCATCCTTTGCTCGCATAGCCCGCTAATTTTAGTTGCCCAACCTGGCCATGTGACGGTGATCATGCCAGCCGGCGGGAGGCTGCTGGGCAGCGTCTACGGGGGTTTTGTGGACTTGAATAGCGGAACTTGGTGGGCCGTTGGCCGCTGCCTGTCGCTGGTTTTGATCTTATCTGATCCGAGACTCGTACGGTACGAAGCTCTCATAAGAATAAAGCGCTCACGCCCCCCCGGTGCAATTTCCCCATGCGCCCTCTCTCTTCCCTTTCTGTTTATGAGCTTTTGTTCTTTTTCATCGTTTCTTCCAAGATGAGGTAAAAGGAACAGTGTAATAAAACAGCTCTGTTTTATTATTTCCATACCCGAACCCTCTTCTCTGCGCTGTCCAGTCGCCGGTGGCGCTTAGGCTCGGCGATGGCTGCCTCACGCGAAGAGGCCCCGTTGCTCGGCTCGGAATCCCGCTCAATACCCGAGCCCCATGAATATTCAAGCATCTCGACGCAAAACCACAGTAACAGCCGTGTCGACGACGAGTATGCCGAATCCACGACGCCGGGGCGATCTGGCAGACGGGCTGCGGGCGTGGCTCGCATGGAGGCCGTCTCGGCCCAGCTGTCTCGCTCTGAGCGCTTCTGGATCTTCTCGGGCATCTTTCTGATAGGCTATGCGTACGGCCTCGAGAGCCAGGTCCGGTCAACCTACATGCCGTATGCAACGTCCAGCTTCTCGCTGCACTCGTACCTGGCCACGATCAACCTGCTGCGGAGCGTTGTTGCGGTTGCGGTCCAGCCCACGGCGGCCAAGATTGCCGATGTCTTTGGCCGCTTCGAGGTCGTGGCGGCGTCGACCTTGTTCTACACCGTCGGCATGGCCATCGAGTCGACGTCCAGCTCCGTCTACGCCTTCTGCGCCGGCACCATCCTGTACCAGGTCGGCTACACCTGCATCGTGCTGCTGCTGGAGATCCTCGTCGCCGACTTCTCGTCGATGCGGGCCCGCGTCTTCTTCAGCTACATCCCCGCGCTGCCTTTCATCGTCAACACGTGGATCAGCGGCAGCATTACGTCGGCGGTGCTGCGCGTCACCACGTGGCGCTGGGGAATCGGCATGTGGTGCATCGTCTACCCTGTCGCCTCTCTCCCGCTGCTCATCACACTATACTCGATTGATCGCCGCTCGGCGCGGGGACCTCGCAAGGACGAGCTGGTCGACGCCTCCAGCGGCCTCGACAGCCTGCGCAAGTGGAGTGCCCAGCTCTTCGACCAGGTGGACGGCATCGGCCTCATCACGCTCGTCACGGCCTTCAGCCTCGTCCTGACGCCTCTCACGATTGCCGGCGGGACCGTGTCGCACTGGAGGAACCCGCAGGTCGTGCTTCCGCTGGTCATTGGGCTGATTTGCGTTCCCGCCTTTGTCTTGTGGGAGAAGAACGGTGCCAGAAACCCGCTTGTCCCGTTCCATCTGCTCAAGGATCGCGGCGTCTGGGCGGCTCTCGCGGTGCGCAGCCTGCTGAACTTTGCCTGGTATGTCCAGGGCAACTATCTCTATACGGTCCTCATCGTTGCGTTCGACTTCTCCATTGAGAACGCGACCCGGATCCTCTCCTTCTTTTCCTTCTTTGGTGTTGTAAGTGGCGTTGCTGTAGGTCTTGTCATTTACAGATTCCGACGCCTCAAGCAAATCATTGTGCTAGGCACGATAGTCTTCATGATCGCCTTGGGCGTTTTGATTAAATTTCCCGGAGGTGCGAGTCTCAACTCCAAATCGGGACTCATCGGCGGCCAAATCCTTCTGGGCCTCTCCAGCGGCTTGTTTGCGTATCCCACCCAAGCCTCGATCCAAGCCTCGGCATCGCGAGACCACGTTGCCATCCTGACGGGGCTCTACCTCTCCTTTTACAACGTTGGCAGTGCACTTGGCACTTGCATCTCTGGGGCCATCTGGACCCAGACTCTATACCCCACGCTGGAGGCGAGCTTGGCTTTCCAGCCTAACGCTACTCTGGCACGAGCTATTTACGAGAATCCATTTTCCATTGTTTCGCAATACCCCGTCGGAACTGAAATCCGAAGTGCCATTATTCACAGTTATCAGAGCATTCAGCGCTTGCTTTGCATCACGGCCATGTGTATTTGTCTGCCCATGATTGGCTTTGCCTTGGCTCTCCGAAATCCAAAACTATCAGACCAACAGGTCCAAGAAGATGCGGAGGACGAGCGACCAAACGACGTATGACATAAGAATGATGCATTTTTAGAGTGTTTTTGAGCAGTCTTGTTTTTTTTAACCTCTTCAAACCGAGTGAGAGTAACAGTGGAGGAACACATTAGCAAGCGAGTTTTGTTATGCAAGAGATACCATATAGATTATATTCAACGGCTGTTTTCTCATCTACGCAAGAATTGAACGTCTCTGGCTTTTATGAGCGTATACATGTGCAATGCATTGTTATGAACCTGATGTGAATACATGTAAGCATTGACCCAGCTATACATACCTACCATGTATACGAAACAAAACGAGCTGGAGCTTAAAACGACATTCACTCTACACCAATCATCCAATATTCTCCAAATAGTATTAAGCAGGGCTCGCAATCTGACCGCCACAGACCGTTGAACCAAGGTCTCGGTCAAGGGAGACTTGTCAGCTGAAAATAGAGCTGGCGCATCCGAAAGACTAGTGCCGGGCCTAGCCCGTCGATCTAGATTCTAGATTCTTTTGTGATTCCCAGCTGAATGTTTTACGAGATGGCGCGGTGGCTTAGCTCCAATTGTATGACATTATCGAAAACGGGCGGCCCCGATGTCTCGCTTGGAATGAGAGGCGGTGATTCTTGGAAGCGGTAAAGAAAAAAATGTTATAAGTAGGACAGGGCACAGAGCATGACCAATACTACCACTCTCACTCATCTTCTCTAGTTGTTACTCGTGCATTGAATAGTGCGGCTCTCAGCTGCTCAAATCTCACCCGCCGCCATGATGTTGCTACAAACCATATCGACGCTCTCCCTTCTCGTCGCCTCGGCCATCGCTGCACCGCAAAAAGCCCCTGCGACATTCGACGTCATGGCTCTTCGGTCTGCCAGCCCTATCCACTTTGCTCAAGTCAGTGCCGCAAAGGGCGGTCTGTTTCTCAACCTGCCTCATTCGAATGCCACGTGCGAGGGCAAATCCAGCGGCCACGCGACCTTGTACATTGAGGGCGAGGAGCTAGTCTTGTACTCTTGCAAGGGGGAGAAGCAAAAGGTCTTTGTAGATCGATCTGGCATGGGTGCGTTTTGATTTCTTCTTCTTCTTTTTCTTGTATCTCAATCTACTCGAGTTACGATACGCTGACTCTCGTGTACGTCAAACAGGGCAGGGCGTCGTACGCTACGTTACAGGGGAGCAAGCCCTCCCACGATATGCCGAGCTCAAGGGCTGGGCCACGGATAAAAACAAAAATCTGAATTTCAAGGGCACGGGCTTCGTTGCTTGCCCGCACAGCATCGACGACTCGTGGAGCCTCTGGCTGGATGTGGGACTGGGCCAGCCCGGCGGCAACAAGGGCTGCTTGGGGTTTACGGCACGCGAGTTGGAGAATAAAAAGCCGGTGGGCTGCAGGTATACGCAATGAGACGCTGATTTGTTAAATGTTTGATGTATGGGACCCTCTTTGGCGGATGACTGAGACACTTGACCCATGATGTGGCACTTATACCAACGTCAACTCGCCGGGGTTTGGGTCTCACAGCACGGATTGCAGACTTGTTTCTTCGTAATTGATCATTAATATTAGAGCCAAAAAAAAGAACAAACGCGAGCATTTCTTCAGCCATATCAGTTTTTTCCAACACCCGTACTCATTCCTTGTTGAAAGGGTCGTCCGTGGGGTCCTTATTCCTAGTAAACTCCGACGCTGCGGCTATCCAATCTGCCTTTTCTTCTCCATATTGATCCGCAATAAAGGCATACATCATGTCGATGCCTGCCGTTAATCCCGACGAAGTCCAGACGTTGCCCTCGCATACCCAGCGTGCACGGCGAGCCCACTTGACATTTGGGCCTTGAGTTATCACCTGTGGTTGGGCAGAGACGTTAGCTAGGCATGTTACGGTGAGGACTTTGTAACTCCGTCGCTTTTTGGTTTTCTTACCCAATCAAAAGCCATCTTGTTCGTTGTAGCATTTTTGCCGTCGAGGACCCCGGATCTCGCTGCAATGCTGGCTCCCGTGCAAATGGTGAGCAGGTAACGTAGTTTCGGGAATCGCTCTTTGATGAAGTCGGCAACGTGCTGTGTGCGTGGCAGATTTCGAGTCCCGCGGCCTCCTGGCACAAGAAGGACCTCGATGTCTTCTGGGGCGTTCTTGTACGTATGTGATGGCACGACGCTCTCCCCGATTACACCAACGGCCGGTAGATTTGGGATTGGGCTGTCGGCTGGAAGTCGCTCGGGGACGGTTGATACGGGATCCAACGTTTCAGCAAGTATACACAGTTCCAATGGCTTGGAAAACGAGAGTAAGTTGAGCGCATCGATGGGGCCGAATACATCGAGTGCTTGAAAGCCATGGAACAGCGCAATGGCGAATTTTTTGGGCGGCTCGGTTTTTAACATGTTGGAAAGCTGTGAATTGACTGTAATTGCAGGTAGGTATGAGTCTTTTCGTCGATTTCTCTCCTTATGATTTTTTTTTTCGAACTGGAATGCGAGCTGCGGGGATTATGTTTCCCACGCCTTTGTTATAAGTGCATGTATCCTAATGGCTCATCAGCGACTAAATTCCGCTTTATACTGTGCTCGGCAGCCACAATCGAAGACTCAGCAGCCATAGAAAGAAGATTGAGTTTTTGGGCGGCATTACAAATCAAAAGCAGAGAAGAGCAAGATTGCGCAGGATACCAGGAACTCTGCAGTATCGACAATCAAGTGGCCAGAAGGAGGCAGTAGTAGTAAAGTATCACACGTCTACGAGCGAGATCGATTGGCGTGCACGTGTGGAGGGGCAAACAAAAGCAAGAGACTAAAAAAAAAAATCATATGTAGATAAGACACAAAGAACGAGGTTTAAAACAAAAACGTCTACGCTTTGAAGATATATATAGTTTGTGCAGGGCTCTTTATCAATCTGCGGGTAAGACTACGGGGGACCACCCCCGGTGTGAATCTTGCTTTCCCGCAAAACTTTTTTATCTCTCTCTCTCTCTCTTTTAACTTCGGCGTCTGGCCCGTATAATCCGGAGCACGAAAGGCTTCCTCTTCTCTCCACCATGAGGCAGATTAATCCGAGTCACCGAGACCGGCGGCATCTCGGGGACCCCACAAAGCGATCCTGTCTGACGCGGGATTAGGGACACTTTACTTGTTTCGAGGCGTCTCAACTGCATTCTCAGATTTGGACCTCCTAACACCCACGATGAATCATCTTTTTTATCCGGCTCCTCAAGAAGCAGTAGTAATTCGAAATGGCGGTGGGAGAGAGAGGAGCATGGGGAAATACCTGTACGTAGCGAATGGTGTTTCAGTCCACATTTTTCCAGCCAGTCTGAAGCTCTCGCTCGAGTGCATTTTCGTAAGCCACGTCTCTCAAATGTCTCAAGCGGCGGGTATCACTGCGTCAGATTTTCCGATTTGCTTGGCAGGGTGCGAAGCTGTGCGCATGTACGCTACGTACATGTACATACGTACTCCGTACTCAGGCATCAAAATGTCAGGGTGGCAATGCTAGGAATCATGGTGGGGGAGCGTAGCATTCAGGCATAATTTGGTCCGTCAGCATCCGGAGTAATACGTGCGTTGCATGTAAGAAAGATGCAGCCCGATGGCAGCGATCCTCCGAGCATAGGCCCCTGATCTGCCCGGTAGGCAAGAAGTTTGCAATGACAGTACTAGTAGTACATAGTGTGTAGTTGGATTATTACAAGCAAGTGTGTTCACGGAGAATGGCATTCTATACCGTACATGTCTTGGAGACGGGAAGCTGGCAGCTTCTGTTTATGAAGAGGGGTATTTACAAGCTTTACACCGCTCGACGCAACATGTGCTTGAATATAGCATAATAATAGAAATCGCCAAGGATAAATCCAAATAAAGAAGAGGTTGGAAGAACTGGGTTATGTAAATAGAGGAGAATGAGGTTGTGCTGCCGTCAAAAGTTCTGTCGCAAGGATACGTATATTTTTAACTGATATAAATCCCTACCCACGTATTCGTTGGTCCATCTTTCAGAACCAACCAGTACTATTATACACTAACATAAATAGGTACAGTCTTTACAATGAGCACAGCAAGTTAACCAACGGGCCGCGCCGTGCCCGCCTCCAGCTTTTAGTCGCTTCAGAAGAACAGCACAGAATTGATAGTCCACTTCTTGTGCTGAGTTAAGCGAGTCATGCTCGGCACCAGTTTTGTCAAAGCCGCCATTGGCTTTAATTGCTAATACTGCGATGCCATCATCTTTTGTCACTTATATCAATAACATGTCCAGGGGATAAGTGACGAATACTACCCCGATAGCTAAATCAGGGGCCAACAGCAGTGGCTCAGGAACATGGCTTTCGGTGTCCCTGAACCAACAAGCGGAACCTGGTCCGACTCAAAATAACCGTCGATGGTTCCAAGTACTGCGACATGACTATCCTTGACGATGCTCATTTGACCGTCCATATTGTAACACAGAGTAAAGTTTGGAGTAACGGATACTGCCTAATAATTATTCTATCCTCATGGCAGATGATGATATCGACAGCGCCCAACACCAAGATGGCCCTGTCTAGGCAACTATTTTTACTGAAACAGCAATAAACCAACAGATCAGCATGCGGCTTAGCAGCCTTGGTAGCAGTTTGTAGGGCGCTAAGAATGAGGCGAAGAGTCACTTGAGGCTGTAGAACCCTTGTCATTGGCGCGACTCTTCCCCGCCACTTGAGCCGCAGTAACTAAAACGCTGGTGTAGCAGATGATGACTGAGTATTTAAACGCCTGGCTATTCTCCTCATACGAAAATCACTGGCAGAAGAAGCATCATGACAAAAATGGCGGATCCAGAGAAGAAGACTATGAAGAATCCAAAGGGGGTGGAGGCACAGTTTGCGACCATTCTTGCGGATGCTACGAAGCTCTACAACGATTCATCTGACAAGGACCCGACGCTCAAGGAATTTCTCACGCCGCCGATGAAGTCTGTTTCCGACCTAACACTTCAGTTGACGATTCAAAATGACCAGTTCAGCCACTTTCGAGAAAGACGCCAGAAGATCTTCGACGCTGTTGGGGCTGCTCTGCGGCCGGTGGAGCTGATAGGAGACATCGTGGCCGAGGGAGCTTCGGAGGTTTTCCCGCCGACGCAGGGCATCTTTGCCGCAGTCATGTACCTTATCAATGCTGCGCACGATGTTTCTGCCATGTACGATTCAATATTGGACCTATTTGACAAACTAAAAGTAGGCAGATTTTATTAGTCCCGCCTATGCCCTTGATCCCGAAATTAACGTGCAATAGGATTTCACGTCGAGGTTGGACGTGTACTTGAACCACACGCTGAGTCCTGCGCTGTACGAGAAACTCGTCACCATTCTGGCAACATTATTTCAAGTGCTTGTCATTGCTACCAAAGCCGCACACAATGGCAGGCTGAAGGCGTACTTCAAGAAGCTCATAGGCATTGAGAGTCCTGTCCAGGCGGCGCTTCAGAAGCTGAACGACTTGACGCTGGGAGAGGAGCGGCAGGCTATTGCAGAGACGCATGGGGGTGTTGCAGAGCTCAACATCAAATCAGACAGAGTAGAGGATATGATTGCTCAGATGAGTCAGAATATCCTGGACTTGCGGCTGGGGCAGCAGCGAAACAGCGGCCTTGTCTATCGAGAAAAGCTGCGGGAAATTCTAGAGCCTACTCCATATGCAGAAGACTCCTACGCGGCATTCTCCAAGCACAGAGTCCAAGGAACTGGAGACTGGCTACTGGAAGATGAGGGTATGAAGACTTGGCTTCAAGGGGAATCTCAGTATCTGTGGATATGTGGCAATCCTGGTAAGAAGGCTTTTATATCCCGACTATACCATGAGATGTGTTTGATCTTATTAATGTCTTACTAGGTACTGGAAAGTCTTTCTTAACATCGCGAATCATCACTTGGGGCCTTGAAAACCTTCCGCATTTGGGCTACTTCTTCTTTTCCGCCAACGACCCGGAGACGCGATCTGTACTGCAGGCACTACGAGACGTCGCCTATCAGCTTAGCGAAAACGATGCCATCTATGCTGAGAAACTTTCAAGACAGCTTCGCAGCAGTGACGAAATCAAGACCATCCCCAGTGCATTTAGGAGGCTGTTTGTGCAGCCATTACAGGAAGACAACCGCGACACAACTTTGTACATATTCTTCGACGGCATAGATGAAGCAGAGCAGAGCGATGTGGAACAACTCTTGTCTCTTCTTGCACCTGGAGATGATGCAGAATCAGAACCACGGCTCAAGCTGCAGTTTGCTTTTACTGGAAGGAGTTATTTGGCTGAAACGGTGTCTGCTGCATTGGACCCAAACTCAGCCGGTCAGGTGTTTACAACCATTTATGTGACACCAGAGTGCATTGCAGACGATGTGAGCGCCTTCATTACCGACGGCGTGCGACGCTCAAGAATCCTCAGCCGGTCTCCAGAAGATTTCAAGCAGGAAGTCATTGAATCGATGAAGAAGCAAGTCGACGGCCTCTTCATCTTGGCCAAGTTCATGTTGAATGAGATCAACCAGAAGCGGCACCCCAGTTCAATTCTTCGAAGCCTCAAGTCGTTTCCGAAAGAAATCAACGGCATGCTCAACGAAACACTTGCCAATCTCTCCGTCACCATCTCAGAGGAGGATGCTCGTGACCTCACCGAGATGCTGCGATGGGTTTCTTGTGCCGAAGAATCGCTCACGCTCGAACAACTGGAGGCTGCGCTCATCATGAGATTTGGGGACCCTCCTTTGCGGCTTGAGGAATCACTCCGAGGCCAATATGCGTGCTTTTTCGCGCTTGAACGGGAAGACGGCTTAACCACAGATGACCTGGTCAAGGACTTTGTCAGAACGCAGCGAGAGGCGCACCCAGAAGGAAGCCACAGTCCGAGTCCAAGTCCGCGTCTTCGTGCCCTCAGCGGCTCTAGTACAAGTAGTCCCAGACGCGGAATGAGTCCTATGGGCCGAGATTCAGGTATCCTGGGCACCAGTCCGCCTACAACTGAATTGCCTAGTCCGCGACATTTCAGCCCAGCGCGGAGCCCTGGAATCCTTGACACGTCCAACGAGATTGAGTTCCGATCGAACCCCTCGACGACGTATGTGGTTTTCTGTCATGCATCAGTACGGCAGTTCTTTCGTGAGAGCAACGCAAACATTACCCATGCTACAAAGGGAGGCGTTGCGATTGGCTATGATCTCAAGACGGCACGCATCAATATTTTGAAGACTTGTCTGCGCATCTTCAATGATAAAGCGTGGTTCGATAAGATGGAATTGGATCACGGGAAAGAAGCTATAAAGCAATATGCTGCTTGGTACTGGCAAGAACATTTGGCGGCGCTTGACCCGGCGACTGTTCCATTGGAAGACAAGAAAGAATTGGGCATGCGCATATTCAACATGTTGACGATGGAGAGTGTCATATATGACTGGAGTATCATGTATGAGAAAAATGACGAAGGATTAGAGGTGCTCACCGACTCTAATATGCAAGCTCTTCATAAATGGCTCAATGACCCTGAAATTCTCATGGGCCTTACAGCGGAAGCAAAAGATTTTGTCACAAACCAGGCGAAAGAGGATCTCGGGATTTGCCAGGCAATTGGTAGATTCTATGCGAAACAGTGGCTGTCCAAAGACTTCATCAGCTACGTTCCAACTCTATTCTGCTTCAACATTGTCCAGAACGTGGCTTTCATGAGTGACGGACATCCCTGGTCTCAGGCGCAGATTCGTTGGTCCGAGATGCCAATCCAAGACAGAGTGCGAAGAGCCATTGACTGGGCAAACTATCCTCCAACGGCTCACTCGCATCGACGCCTAGGGAGCACGTATCTGATGCTAGAGCGCTACAGCGACGCCTTGACGCAATACAACAAGGCGCTGGAACTGGATCCCAATAATGTCGGGACTGCAGGCCGCATTGCCTACTGCTTATCCAAATATGGGCATTACAGCGAGGCTTTGACCCAGGCCCTCCAGTGTGCTGAGATTGAAGAGAAGAGTATTCGTGATGGAGGTCTGCAGGGGTTTGCTTTGACCAGCTGCAATTGGCGTCTCTACAAAGACTATCTTCTCATTGCACGATGCTCGTATCTGACGGGGAAAATGGAGGCTGCGCTCCAGTATTTCCGCAAGGCAATTGATAGCGCACCTAACGCACATCTCAAGCTCTTTGAGCGTTTTGAAGCCGAAGTCGAATATTTGGGAGTGCTGGCAAACGCAAATCTACATTCTGAGATGATGAGTCTGCTTCAAGAGATGGCAAGTAAAGCTGATGGCAAAGGTAAAGAGCCAGACTACTTGACAGACCTTCTTCTTCAGAACTGCGATAAGCCGCTTGTCATGGATTGGATCCCCAAGGCAGCCTGTAAGACGGGTAAAGTAGAGCTCATACTGAATCACTTTGACAAAGCCATCGAGACTGCTCGCGGTAGCAATCAAATGGGTATGCTCTACTTGCGTCTGGCATATGGAACCACTCTGGCATATAACCGTGACCTGGATGGCTCAATCGAGATTTTTGAGCGGATTTCCTTGATCGAGTACAGGCCAAGAGGCAATGTTCCGACACGCCATGGACATGCGACATCGTTCCAAAAGCTCTCTGCTCTCTATAAACAAAAGATTCTCCAAACTGACCTCGAGTCGTCCGAAGCCATGGAGTGGATACGGAAGCTGGAGCAGATCCAAGAGAAGCAGAGCAAGAACCAGAATTTCGATGTGCCTGCGGACAAGTACGGCTCAGACGTCAACATAGCATCCGTTTACTTGGCACTGTTTTATCGCCTTCTAAAGGACGAGCCGAAAGCAAGGCAGCTCCTGGGGAATCTGATCATTAACAGCCTCGACCTTTTACTAGATGATGAGCCACGGAATGACCAGTATGCCGTTGAAAACCTGTTGCAAGCATTCATCGCAGCCAACGACACTGAGGACGCGCAGGCGCTGGCTCGATCCATGAGAAAGGTCAATCGCGCGGTTGCAATGGCGACTCCTCTGGCCTCTCCGACGCTCACGCGGATGGAGCCGAAGCTTCCCGACATCCAGTCTGTTGACAAGTGGTGTGCGCAGTGTCTGAACAACATCTCCACGACTGAAAACATGTACCTGTGTCGGTTCTGCGTAGACGCCTACTGTGAAAGGTGCTTGAAGGGAACGATCCGGCAGCCTGGGAACAAGACTTGCGACCGCAGGACGGATATTGTTTGCCGCAGCGATCACGATTGGTTTACGATACAGCCATTGAACCAGTTCCTGCATACGGGGGAGATTCTCTGGGGCGACGGTATGGTGAAGGATTTTAGGGACTGGGAGAATGCTTTGAGGGAGAGATGGCATGATGCTGGCTTAAGAAGCGGGACTGCGTTCTGAAGCATGTTAGCGAGTTGCTTTTTGAGCGTTTGATACCAGATAGATGATATAGATTGTGTGTATGATGGCGAATAGACCAAGTTTTGTTTCCGTAAAAAAAAAAATGAGACAGAGACGTCTTGTTATACATGGATGGAAGTGAAATCGTGCAAAAGGCAAAAAAGAATACCCTTTGAAAGGGTGGCGCTCTCCCGCCGGGAATTGAACCCGGGTCTCAAGCGTGACAAGCTTGCATACTGACCACTATACTACGGAAGATTAACGGCTTGAAGCCGTTGTAGCAGGTTCTGATGGAGACGTGCGGTAATTTGCTTTATATAGGCTAGAGCTAGTCGGATCCTAGTTCGAGAGTTTTCCCGATCGATATGCGCCTCGAGGTTCAAAGTTCCGCTGTGTTCGAGATAGTAGTTGATAGCTTCATATCGCGCAGAAGCAATGATAGATAGATACATATATACAGAGCCTAGGATAACACCTGCACACTCAGAATAGTCGTCATGTGTGATATTTGCCTAAACTGAGACGCGCATGGTGTCATGGCATCTGCAGTCAGCTGGATCAGGCAACGTCATCCATCGAAATAGGGCACTGGATACCTTTGTCGCGATGTGAATTGATCAAGTTCCGCTTATTAATGATATCCGGGCTCCATGGATGGTTTCTACCTTTGCTTGTTACTTGTACTTGAGTAAAGCTGTGTGAAGCCGCCCTGCTCATTCATTGGCTTTGTGTAAACCAATAGGACAGCCATCTAGGATGGTCGAATTAATAGTTCCATTACTCAGATGCTAGTGCTAATTGTCAATACAATAGCATTGGTGCGATTCAAATATAATTACCCCATACGGAGTAGTTTTGTATTTGCGGGCTGGAGTCTGTAGGGGTGGTATTCTTTGGGGGCTGAGTCCCTGCTGCCCTGCACACACGGGATACTTATTTGGAGTAGCTTCGCTCGACTCAGGGAATCATCAAAGAGACGGGCTAGGGTGCTCATGAGTTCGACCAACAAATTCCGCACGTACGTTGCATAGACCTCGGGATATATAATGGTAGCCTGGAAGAAATGCGCTGGGGTCAAGGATGGAGAGTTGCAGAATTTATAAAGATGAGAGCTGTGTGCAGTGGGAGGACATTGGTTGTCTCTATTCATGCTGCTACCAGCTAGCTCTTGACTTGAAGAAACCTACAGTTTTGCTCGGCTAACTCGCTAATTTACCATGATATACTCGCATCCAAGGCGATTGGAGTATCCAAATGTGGATCTTCTCACATTTTTGTTTGGTATGTCTACATTGTGCTTCTCCACGTGATGGCATCTCTGTCTTCTCTCAGCGCTAAGATTTTTACCCGTGGCTTGTATAACTAACATGACTTTTTCCAGACTACAAAGGGTGCCAAGCAAAAGAAGACACTCCAATCTTCGCTGAAGCCAAATATCCTACTCAAGTCATCACCAAAGCCAAAGCTCGCGATCTAACTCGTCAGATTGCTTACTTTCTTCGCCACCAATACGGAATCGGTAAAGACGGCCCTGACAAAGACATAGTTGTTACGATATCCACTGGACAGTCTGCACTTGGCTGCATCTTTTACGCTGTCCTTGCTGCTGAAGGCATCTACTCAGCCGCATCACCATCTTCTACGGCGTCAGATCTGACAAGGCAGATTCATGATGGACCTGCTAGCCTTGTTATATGCAGCGAAGATCTAAAAGATGTTGTTTTGAGCAGCACCCACGATGCCGGAATCCCTGCCAGAAATGTTCTGGTGCTCAGTTCGTATCCAGAGATTCAGCTGAAGAGCGCAGATGGGACAGTGGAATGTGATTTTGAGGGTTCTCTAGATTGGAGGCGTATTACTGATCAAAAAGAGCTAGAGTACAGCAAAGCGTGTATTCTGTACTCATCAGGGACCACTGGATTGCCCAAAGGTAGACAAGAGTATCACATGAAATACCGGTGCAATAGCTGACCATATCCTGATCCGTATAGGTGTTCTCATATCTCATCAAAATCTGGTTTCTGTGTGTTATTTCCCCGCTCTTTTGGACCTGGAAGGTTGGAAAAGAGTAGGCCATAATTTTCACAGATCCACTCTCGGTCACTTGCCTGCAGCGCACATTGCCGGCATACTCAGTTACTTCCTAAAATGTTTTTATGATGGAGGAATCGTTTACTGGATGCCAAGGTTCAACATTGACGATTTCATTCGGCATACTGCAGAACTCAAAGTGACCTACTTCTTTACTGTACCGCCTGTATACATGGCTATTGCAAAGAACCCAGCGGTGACGGATCAGTTCAAGAGCGTTGAATACGGCGTTGCTGGTGCTGCTCCCATGAGCTACGATCTACAACAATCAGCTACCAACAAGTTAAAGGGCGAGGTTACTCAAGTATGGGGAATGAGCGAATCGACTGGTGTTGTAACGTATACTCCCCCGGATCGTCATGATACAGTGGGAAGTCTGAGTCCATTGATGCCCAACGTCGACATGAGGCAGGTAACATTGATGGAAGATTTTATAGAAAGCTGTTGCTAACCTACTTCCAAGACTAGTAGATGAAAACGACAATGATGTTGAGATTGGGCAGCCAGGCGAGGCGCTATTGAAAGGCCCAATGATCACCAAAGGTTACCACAACAATCCTGAAGCTACCGAATCATCTTTCACCGCGGATGGATATCTACGAACTGGGGATATCCTAAGAGTAGAAGGAGATTTGCTCTACATAGTAGACAGGAAGAAGGCGAGTAACTCACTGAAATGTAACATGGTGGAACATGGTGGAATATGGTGGAATATGGTTGAAATGACGCAAATCTGACTTTTGACATTACAGGAGCTTATCAAATACAAAGGGATGCAAGTTGCGCCAGCCGAGCTAGAAGGTGTTCTTATTGCGCACCCATCCGTCTTTGATGCTGGCGTGATTGCAACGCAGCGAGGGGAGGAAGAGGTACCGATGGCATATGTGGTACTTGTGCCTGGGGAAAAAGGGAATGTATCAGAAACCGAGCTGGTCGACTATGTTGCGGGCAAGGTCGCTAATCACAAGCGCTTGCGAGGCGGTGTTGCCTTTACCGATGTTATACCCAGGAATCCAACAGGCAAGATCCTGAGAAGAGAGTTGAGAGCATTACACAATCGTCGGTCAAAGCTCTAAATGTCCTTGGCCTATCGAGAGGAAGGTTTCGCCAAGTTAACGCAGGAATTGATTTAATATTCATAATCTCTTTGACGTGCTTGCTGCCAAGGTTTAGTATTATGCATGATTTACACGGATTTGATGCCGTTTGAAAATTGAACAATAGCGTCCCCAACTTGATTAGGCGACTCAATGCAGTACCAGTGGCCGGTTTTATCCAGAACTTGCAAATGTTTATCCGTCGATCCCCAGCTTTAATATATAATGAGTAAGCGATGGGTTCGCAACACGGTGATTATGAGAAACGTAAAAATAGTAGCACATACCTATCGTGGATTTTCTGCGAGAGCTCTATCGGACAAACCATATCCTCAGCACCAGCGACCAGCAAGAGTGGAGACTTGATCTTGTCATAAGCTGGCACCGAAGCATTTATAATTGCCCTACAATTTGCAATGTAGCCTTCAGGACTTTGAGCAAGGAGAAGAGTGCGAATGAATGCTCGTTGAAGTGCGGTGGCGGTAGATGCTGTTGCAGCCTTGGGTATGATATCCGCTAGGCCGTCCATGCCGTCTTAGAGCAGTCAGTATTTCATTTGACTTTTCAATGTTGGCTTGCGCGTTTGTCTATGCTTACTCTGTTGGACCTTTTGAATCCTGTCTTCCATAGCCTTTCCAAGACCCTCATTAGGATACACGGGGCCTAAGAGAACAGTGCCGGCGAATTGGTATCGAAGTGTCGCTTCAGGAGCGACAATACCGCCCATGGAGTGTCCTACTATAATCGTATGGCTAGGAGATATTTTGAGTGCTGATACGGCGGCGCCTATATCCTGAATTATTGTTTCCAGGTCGCCGCCCTGGCCAGTCAATTTGGTCAAGGCAGAGCCTTGAATTTTAAATTATGTCAGCCAGAATGTACAAGGGAAAAGCAAGAACATGAACTGGGGGCATAAAGACGGACCATGAGAATCAAGAGCCAAACAAGAATATCCTGCATCTACGAGCTTGGGGATGACAGGTGCATAATAAGAACTGGAAGATCCCAGGCCATGGATAAGAACAATAGTTGTTATCTTGGAAGATGTTGTCGCTGTTGGCGAAGTCAAGGTATAGTAAAGCTGCCGGTCTCGGTCTTCTAGCTTGAGGAATGGCATGGCTGAGTGGCTTATCGGATTGTACTACCTATCGAAATCGTCCTCTTTCCGTCAAATGCATGAACCGTCTGCATAAACTGAGCTAGTTGGCGCCTCAATTCAATTCACCACCCAGGATCAGGATAGTTGGGCTTCTAGGTAAGACACAGAAGACACGGACCTGGCCGGATAGATGCGGTATAATGAGGATTCCATCACAAGACTTCGCAGCAAGCTTTAAATGAGGGGAGATGCAAGTGATGTCAGACAAGAGGGCGTCGGTTAAGGGCGCGGCCCCACTGTCGGAGGCCGGGGCTTGGGAATCGGATGTGGGCGGGATGGACCCGAGTCGGGATCTGGTATGAGAAGATTGAGCGGCAATTATTCACATCCGTACCCGGTATATTCCAGATGATTTAAAATCATTTGTCTAGATTGCTATAATCTGCGTCCTTCGGAGTTTGGATTGGGTTGCCGATTTATGAGTAGGCTATGCAGGCAGTTTTGCATTAAAACGACCCAAAGCCGACCTGAACGATTGTATAAAGTCTTGAGAACAGATATAGCTTGACCGTTCAACTATTCCGGAATTATAACATCATATCGCCTATAATGGACAGCAAACCAGCCACCACATATTCCTCCAAAGAGGAGGCTCATAAGATTTTGCAATATCTCTGCAATGCGTTTGATTCCATATCGCTGCCATGCGGAGTAGCAAGCCGAGCCGATCATGTTCAATTCGTCGCAGAACGCGACCAACCATACTTTCCTATTCCATTCAAGGAGACGGAAACAACAGCAGCATTAAAAGCTGTCGAGGCATCAATTGCGTCTCTCCTCTCAGATACGAAGCAGGGAGATGCGCCTTCACCGGCACAGAGGGAAATCGTGATCAATCTTGAAAAGACGACAGCGTTTCTATTTCAAGCATACTTGGCTCGAGTTGGCGGATATGGAAAGCTCGATAAACAAGTTAAAAGCCTGTTAAAAGGTTTGTATAGCTTACAATTGACAATTTCTTTCTTCATATACTAATGGCGCACGTATAGATACGGATCTACTTCACGCGCAGTCTGATCCTTATCGCCGCATGTCTGCAAATTTATATGCCACGAAAACGCCCAATGAGTACTATCATATCCATGGATCGTTAGAAGCGTCAACAACGCTGAAAATGATTGGGCTAGAGCCGTTTCGACCAGATCTAGCAACACATGAACAGATTGTGGAGACTATTGGATCTGCTGTCAAGAAATTTACGGTGGCAGACTTGGAAAAGTTGAATGCGCAGCACAGACAAGCAGGCGTTCAAGCCTTTCCGCACACCGAGTTTCTGAAAACACCTCATGTAAGTCAAAGGACGGAAAACCGACCGTATAGTAACAAGCGTCGCATTGGCTGACACAATTGGCAGGGAAAAGCAAACATTGGACTTTCGCCTTGGTCAGTTGAGAATATAGAAGATAAATCGCCAAAGGTCCCTCTTCCAAGCCACAACGACAATCGATTACTCTCCGGTATCAAGGTTCTCGAGCTATGTCGCATCATTGCTGGCCCTACAGTTACCAGGATTCTAGGCGAATATGGCGCCGAAGTCATCAAAGTGACAAGTCCAAATCTTAGCGATGTGCCGTTCTTCCAAGTAGACGGCAACATGGGAAAACGAGCGACGGATCTAGACCTCAAGACACCGGAAGGAAGGGAAACGTTTGAGAAGCTCTTGGCCGAAGCTGATGTCGTGGTTGATGGGTATCGTCCCGAGGCTATTGCAAAATTGGGATATGGTCCCCAGCAGCTTGCAGAGCTAGCTTCTAAGAGGGGCAAAGGGTTCGTCTACGTCAACGAGAACTGTTTTGGATATGAAGGCGAGTGGTCAAGACGAGCCGGATGGCAGCAAATTGCAGACTGCGTAAGAATCCCATGGTCCGAAATGGATCATCCATCAATCTTCATTCACTAATAGGGCAACTTCAGGTGACGGGCGTTGCTTGGGAGCAAGGCAAGTTCATGGGCCTCGACGAGCCTATGGTGCCACCGTTCCCCATTTCAGACTACGGCACCGGCTGCATCGGTGCAATCACAGCTCTGGTCGGGCTCTATCACCGGGCAACTCGCGGTGGGTCTTGGCACGGCAAAGCCAGCCTCTTGCACTACGATCTTTTACTGTTCAAGGTCGGTTTACTGCCCGAACATGTCCAGCAGAATCTCCGGGAAACAATGGGTCCTGAGGTTCTGGCGCTACGGTACCATAACAGCGTGGATCAGATTTCGGGAACCGTGCTGCGTCGTATGCGAGAAGTATTTCCTGAATTCGTGGATAACCCGAAATACGTGGATAAGTGGTATTCGGATAAGTACAAGGCTGAAGTATGTGCGGTCAAGCCGGTGGCAGAGATTGAAGGTTTGGAGATTGGATTTCGGAGAGCAAGCCGGCCAAACGGCTCGGATGAGGCAAAGTGGGAATTGGATGAGGAAAAGGATTATCGGCTGGAATAGATAGACTGAGGCTGGGTTTAGCAACTCTATAGAAGATTTCATATGTCGAAAGTCAATTGACTGTACGTTATTTTGCTACTTTTTAGGAAGTAAAGCATCATGAGTGGTGCCTCCAGGTTTTTACTAGGCTGAGATCTAATAGAACGGCCCCAGGTTTCATCGGAGGTTATATTTGACATTCCGCTACACTTTGTAAACCGACTACCCGACTGAACAACCTCGTTATGATGGACTAAATCGCCCTAGCAGCATAATTTGGTCCACTACAAGCCGTCAGTGCCAACATCTTCGCGGCGAAATCGTACATGGGCTACCTATCCATCATAAGGCGTCGGGATCGGGATCTATTCCGACGATGCAGCCACTTTCGGATCTGCGGGGACCCCGCGGGCGGATAACGCACCACGGCATCGACGGAGCGAAGGAATCGAATGATACAGCCCACCATTTTTGGCTTATCCATTCATGAATAATCGTCTTTTATTAATTGGATGAGTACCGAGGAAGTTCTTGGGCTCCAAGATATAAGACTGCCGTTACGGTATATTAGTCTACCAGAAGAAGCCTTGAAATTCGCAAGACAAGCTTTCCCACGCTCTACCAACGACCAACTCTTATATCTACTCTCTCGGATATCTCAAGATTACAAATTAAATCTATCAGAATCACTACCTCGACTTAATCGAAACATCCAAGATGGGTTCTTTGTCTAATGGCGACGTCCTCGGCCAGGAGTTCACCGACCATGTTGTCCGAGCCATGGGCCCAGAGACCACCCCCAGAATGCGGACAGTCATGACTGCTCTCATTCAGCACGTTCACGATTTTGCACGAGAGGTCAACTTGACGACGGAAGAGTGGTTAGCAGGCGTTGCCATGCTCAACTGGGCAGGACAGATGAGCAACGACAAGCGCAATGAGGGGCAGCTGGTATGCGACGTTATCGGTCTGGAGTCGTACGTTACTCTCTTTCTCGTTTGGCCTCATATACATGAAAGGCTAATAAGACGTCAATCATAGACTTGTGGATGATATCACATACAGAGAAGCCAGCAAGGCTGATAAACCTCCTACATCATCCGCCATTCTTGGACCGTTTTGGCGAGCTGACGCGCCAATTCGAGAGAACGGCACTACCATCACATTCAACACCCCAAAAGATGCGGTTGTAGCTTATATGCACGGCCAAGTTACATCCGCTGAGACAGGAAAGCCCCTTGCAAATGCTACGGTAGATGTCTGGCAAGCCTCTACAAATGGTAAGCTACTTTGAGCATTCTGAACGCGAATGGCCGCTGATCTTGAGCGTATTAGGCTTGTATGAGCAACAGGACGATGATCAGATTGACTGCAATCTACGAGGCAAATTTGTTACTGACGCAGAGGGTCGGTATTCGTTCTACTGTCTCCGCCCAACACCATATCCTGTAAGGAAGCTCTGATTACGATTTTCTTTTCCCCCAAACGCTTCCCTGGGTAGGCTATTAGATGCTAATTTTTGTTGCTAGATTCCATTCGACGGTCCTGCAGGAAAGCTATTGAAACTTATGGATCGCCACGAGTACCGACCAGCACATATCCATCTAATTGTAAGTATTCCATTACTTCTTTTACTGCCACCCCAATGCTAACGCACAACAACAGGTCGAATCAGAGGGTCACAGGTCTTTGACTACTCAAATTTTCGATAAAGACTCAAAATATCTTGAAGACGATAGTGTGTTCGCGGTGAAGGATGGGTTGACTGTTGAGTTCAAGCCTCGCAAGGGAGACACGCAAGCCGAATGGGATTTGGAGTACAATGTGACTCTGGCAAAGAAGCAGTAATGAGCCAAGATTGCGAAATATCTTGAATGTAATGACAAATTAGCCGTAACGGTGGTTTATGTATAACTAGAATAGCTGATGTAAACAAATTGAATGCGTACTTTTATCTATCAATTAAAGCGTCGTTGAAAGCACATAGAAGCGACGCATATGACTGCTTGTTGCCGTGCAGCGCGCCAAAGAGTGCTTCAATTAGTGCGTTTTCACAGTAACATATCCATATTCTTGGGGAGGGAATACTCTGAATTCCCAAACATTGATGGTCTGGATTAAGAATGCTTTACACGTGTAAACTTCCATCACGCGATGGCAATATCTGTTTTCACAAGCCTGGATAGCATTATAACTATTAAAACGCTAAATTGGCATGCCCGCTTCTTATTTTTACTCTTTTTACGCCTCCTGTCCAATAATTATTCCGCTTGGGAGCTCCAATCCAACCGGCAGTCCGTGAATGAACTTTTCCCGAAATACGGCTCCTCGCTTCTCTGCAAGTGCCTGCTCAATATCTTTGTACATGTCATACCTATCTCGATTGTTAGCCTATTGTCAGACACCACAACACTTGCAAGTTTGACTCACGCATTCATTTCTTCAATGGTAAGCTTCTTCTTCTCATCCTCTACTTTGTATGTGGAGATGTTTTTGTTCTGTGAAAAGCCTATACACAAACCACGGTTAAGACTTGGTTTTCAATGGCCATCGCCCAGTTCAACTCACCAATTCGCTCATTAATGTTGTAGGCAGCTTTTGCCGCTGCGGACTGCACTCTTGTCACCCTTGGCAGTCGAACGGCATCGTAGACAGCCAAGGCCTCTTGGACGTCTCCGCTGAAATAATTTTCGCTAAAGAGGATGCCAAGCGCAGCGGCATCTTCTATTGCCATGCACGCGCCTTGGCTTTGATGGGGCATCATCTTGTTTTGTGTCAGCTCGGCCAGTATTGAATAGTCAATTAAGCGCATAAGCATACCGGGTGTCCTGCATCGCCTAACAAACAGACATTGTTCTTGTGAATATAAGGATAAGGGTCACTGTGATATTGTAGTCAGCGAGGTGATAGTGATATCGCATCATCGTTTCTTTACTCACTGTACCCATAGCCGCCATGGCTGAATCTCTTTTCCAATCTTCAAGTGTGACAAGACTTGCGAGTCTAGGTTTGGATATGGCGCCAGTAACTCTTCCACCGGTCTATTTTCATGTCCCCATGTATGTGTAGAGTAATCGCCCACTGAGCGAGGGAAGAAGCAGTAGTATGACAACAGCTTGCCTCCGTTGCATGGCGACAGAACAATCTTGTCCCACTTGCCCTCTTGGCCTCCCCAATACTCAAGCGCGCTGTGTTGCGAGTAATCCATCAGACCTAGCTTGACGGCTTCTTCTGTGGTAACGTTTGCGTGAAGGCAGCTTTGCTCGGATGGCCGTTTTGCTGGATGTATGCCAATCTCGCTGCGAACAACTGAACCGATGCCGTCTGCGCCAATGATGAGGTCGTGCTGGGCAACAACACCATTCGTAAATGTGATCTTTCCAGCACTAACGTCAATCTCTTGACACTTTGCGGTATAGAATTAGCACTTTGTTACTCTGTGGTGTATACGTGATTTGTTTACTTACTTGGTGATTCACTTCCATCTTCGCTGGCGTCCCCTCCCCCTCTTCTCCCAGCGCAGAATCCTTCAACATGGCATGCATGTGCTGTCGGTGAAACATATTGTAGACATACCCCCACCTCTGTTCATAATCGTCCAAGTCATAGACACTGACCGGCTCGCCCGTCTTCCAGTCGCGGTTGATCAACTTCTTGAGCACGACAGGATCCCCCTTTGCTATATCAACGCCCCATTCGTGAAGCCATCGCGTGCCATTTGCAGCGCATGAGACTGAAGCGCCTACTTCGCCGGCAAAATCGTGCTTTTCATAGATTGTGACCTCATGGCCGGCGCGACGAAGAGCAATGGCAACAGACATGCCACCGATGCCACCTCCGACGACTCCCACGTTGAGGCGTCTCCAACCTGAAGGGAAATCTGACCTCATTTTGGAAGAGAAAGATAGCTTGAAGATTATGTCAAGTTGGTTGCGTTTGCTTGTGCAAGCTACGTTTAATAGTTTCGAATCACAAAAGGAAAGCTAGTGCTGGGCAAAGCTGAAGTTTATCTATCTCGTGTCTCTACATATACAGCTATCCGTGGAGCGGTTAATCACTCTACGCCGATGATTGCGATCCTATACGCCCGTCAGCGAATCCGTCATCGCTATCTCTCTCCTTGCAGCGCCATTCACGTCACCCCTTACACGGCCACCGAAGTGGGAAAAGTTGGCAGGCTTATCACGGTTGCTGGCGGCTATGGCCCCTGGACGCGTAGATTAGGTGCAATAGCCGCCACAAGGTTGCAAAAGCCGCAGCTTGGCATTTCACGTCTTATCTGTCTCAACATGTCACTCGTCATTAATCAAATATACTAGCTGACGTATAACGCACAGTTATGCCTCTTATGCAGCTACATTAGGCAGATGCTATTTCTGATTGCGGCTGAGTTTTTAATAGTATAGTTACTCAAGACTGCAAACTCACATATCATGTGTTGCGTATATGTCATCCACACTACTTCCTAATCGGGTTCTGTATTCGTAGTATAAACTCGAATCAAAAACTATCACTTCTGAATAAATCTAACCCCACAGCCCTATGCTTAGGTATGTAAACGTAACAAAAACAAGATTTCGAATCCAGTTGTCTATCAAAATATCGCCATCCAACGCCGCCAATGCAAGATCAGTCTGATCCAAAAACTCTTGGGCTATAGAAAGGAAAGCTATCCCACTGAGACAAGTCGAGGATGTCCCACCCCCGCAACATATCTCCATCCATCTCGGTGGGTTGACCCGAAATGTCTGTCATCCAAAGCCCACCAATGTCCCCACTTGCTGGCGCTGTATTATTGTGAGGCAGAGCCACATCATCGCCATCATTACTGTTCAGGTTGTTACTGTCTTGACCAGTGTCCCCTTCCTTGCTAAAGGAGATTAATTTTCCGACATATCTGCTCCGAGGCCGTGTAGGCGTCTTCATCCGCTGCTTCACAACTGCATCAGATAGTAAGGTTAGGATCCCCGAGTAATGAGCAGCCTGGGGGCTTTGAATGCCCAAGAAATCGAGAACATCTTTCGCGCTACGAAAAGTCGTTTCAACCTCGTAATCGAGCTCCTTTTTCGCAAACATGTCGAAGCCGAGGATGAGGCCAGCAGCAAAAATAAGTGCCCTGAATCCATGATTAGCCATAGTTCTTTTAACCTCGCATGTAAATACCTTACTTCATTATACACATATTGCCGAGAAGAAGCCCTGATTTGTGTGCGTCTGAGCACGTCTGCACCAGATACACTGCTGCATCAATACATGCGGACGCCAGAGGTGAAGAAGAAGGTGACGCAACACCCTGGCGAGAAGTCAGGTTAGATATTAATACTGGTCGAGTAACCAAGGTAATAGCGAAGTAGTAGAGACAGGCGATATGTATGCTGTCCGTTGCCACTTTTCGTGATGAAGAGCCTTTTTTAGAAGTAAGAGGATTGCGCAGAAAGTTGGGAAGCTTTTGACTCCAATCTTCAATTTTGCTCAAAAATTGTTCCACAATAGCGGTAGATGTGACTTTCTTCCCATACAGTGCATCAACGCTCTCATTAATAATGGTGAGTATGTTATACGACGCAAATAAGCTTTGACAGCTTCTCGTATCTAGAGACGTAGATGAGCCAATAGCGGTGGTATCGAGCTCTGCCCTTAGACCAGCTGTTGCGGGTGGTCTTCCAAGGATGGAGCATACAAGCATGTCTAGCACACAGAGGCTCATCCATGTTCGCAGTCTGTTGAATTCATGAGCTCAAGTCAGGGGAAATTTTACAAACAACTACTCCTCCAACATACCTCAGCTGGCAGAATGGATTTGTCAGATCTGCATATGAATGGCGGCTATGCATCCCAAGAGCAACTGCAGCCCTTGACGCAATCCCCAAGTACATGAATGCTGTGTTTCTTCGGCAATGCCCAAGCATATAAAAAGCCATGAGAAGAAAGGCGCGCACCATGTCAATGGTAGGATCCTCCAACATGCCGGAAAATGCGCGTTTCTGTGCTTGCCGAAAATATACTGATCCGACTTGCTGCGCGTCCATTGGAGAATTGCACTGCGCGCCAATGGCTACCACAAGATCAATTGAGGCATGCTTATACGAGCTTATCGACTGAGGTCCATCAGTTCGGGTTTTCACAAGGATATCTTCAACTTCGAGTGGTCCAAAAATATCCAGCAGTCCTCCAGTCTTCGTATGTAATTAGCATTGTAATGATGAGAGAGCAAAGATTGGACGCCATGCTTACAGCAGCTTCGTAGATGCGAGCATATAGTAAACTACTTTCCACATCAAGATTATAAGTAGTTGGCTCCAAGTCATTCGAGTCCACCGCAGCAGAAGGCTCCGTCTCTAGCATACTATGGCGCTTATCACTCTGCGAGAATTGCGAGGGCCCGATTTGAGCTGTCACTGTATCTCTAATGAGCTGAAGAAACGAGAGAGAGGCTGCTTCGCCGATATAAACTGTAGTTATTCCATTAGATGAATACAGTCTTAGTATATCGGCTTGTGAGCAGCTTACCTTGCTCTCCTCGTAGGTTGAGGAGCATACGAGCATGAGACTCCGGTCCTTGAGTTGGAGATCCAGAATTTGCAGACAGCTGCGGCGGCTCTGGCGCGGATCTGGAGATGGTCTCATCTGGAAAGCTTATTCGAGAATCAGATGGAGTGGGAGGATGATATTCCCCATCAGCATCATTGTTCATTGAAGTCGAATCGGTCTCCGGACCCCAATCTGGTGGTACAATATTGGTTAAGCCATCTCGGCCCCACGCAAACTCATCATCCGGATTATGGTCTCCACCATCCGGCGACGACCGGGCCTCCTCCGGCGCAGAGGCTCTTGACCGAGGCGGGGGCTTCTTCCTCCAGCCTCGAGGCTGATGAGTCAGAACACACGATGCCCCAATGCCGCGTCTCTGGCAAGCGGTGCAAGGCACCGTGGCACTACAACGCTTCTTAGAAGCGCGGCAAAAGTTGCACGCCTCTGCAGCGCGCTGGCGCTGGCTTGGATGGACCTTTGGCCGTGGCATCTTCAGACAATCAAAAGACCAAGACAAACGGCTAGGGGATATCCGCCCAAGCCGCTCTAGCTTGAATGCGAAGGAATTGTTTGAAGGATGGGTAACAGCGGCTTCCAGGTGCACCAAGCGCGGCTCGGTTTGTCTCAGGGGCCATCCCCAGATATCACCTGTTGAATACACACCCCTGGGCGGCGATGACGAGGTTTGTCTAACGAATTCGGTGAATAGATGGAGCTGAGATATTACCAACTCCTTTGTCTTGTGACCGGCATTGGCTACGTATGACCGTATCCGCCTACAGTATTATCTCATTATGTACTGTGCGGCAAACTCCCTGGTCATCTTCCCCGCTTCCTCCATCGGCTCCAGGCCGTTAGTTTGTATCTGCCGTTGATACCCACCGCCATCTGCTCAATCGTCTCCAATAGACCGCGGGGAAGGCCTCCGCTAGAACGGAAGTCCTCTATAGCCCCTCTGATATCTGCTAGCCTCGATCTGTATGGAGCTTCTAGATGAAACGTCTTGCGTCAGAAAGCAATTATTGGTCCTCAGCCGACATCATGCGCAAGAGGGGGAGCATGTTGGAGGAGCGGCTATGAGCTTGAAGTGCGCGCGAATGCAGCTGTAAATATAACACTCCCCTAGCATTGACAAATAAATAAGAATTGAGATCTTATTTATACTTGTAGCAGCCACATCGCTTGCTTGACTCGAGTATTAACAATTCCATCATTGTCACAAAAGCTTCTTTCCTTTCCTTACACTGCATATCGTGAGATATCCACGTCAATCCGCAAAAAGAAAATACTACGATAAACACAATGCTCGGCAAAGTAGCTCTAGAAGAGGCGTTCGCCTTACCTCGCATGCAGGAAAAGACGAGATGGTGGGCTTCACTTTTCGCCGTCGACCCTGAAAAGCACGCGCATGAAATGACAGATCTTACCAATACGCGCATCGCATATATGGATAAACATGGCGTCGGCTACACATTGCTTTCATATACAGCACCAGGCGTACAGGACATATGGGACGCAAAAGAGGCACAGGCCTTTGCCGTTGAGATCAACGACTACATTGCGGGCGCAATCAAAGATCACCCAGATCGATTCGGTGCTTTAGCGTAAGTATATGGCGTATCTCAGTCTCTTACCTATTCCGTCGCCTCGATAATAAAGCTGAATCCCAATACCAGTACACTTTCTATGCATGATCCCAAAGAGGCAGCCACCGAGTTAAAACGATGCGTGACGCAGCTGGGCTTCAAGGGTGCGCTTGTCAATGATACGCAGCGCGCTGGTGCAGATGGGGATGATATGGTCTTCTATGATGGGCCTGAATGGGATGTTTTCTGGTCCACTGTCACGGAACTGGACGTTCCATTCTATCTGCACCCTCGAAATCCCACAGGAACCATCTACGAGAAACTATGGGCCAAACGAAAGTGGCTCATCGGACCTCCGCTCAGCTTCGCCCAGGGCGTCAGCCTGCATCTCCTAGGAATGGTCACAAACGGCGTCTTCGATAGACACCCCAAGCTCCAAATCATTATTGGCCACTTGGGAGAGCATATTCCTTTTGATCTCTGGAGAATCAATCACTGGTTCGAAGATGTGAAGAAGCCGTTGGGTCTTTCATGTAAGAAGACGATTCGAGAATACTTTGCACAGAACATCTGGATCACCACAAGTGGCCACTTTTCAACGCCGACGTTGGAGTACTGCATTACAGAGCTGGGTGCGGACCGGATTCTTTTCTCCATTGATTACCCATTCGAGTCTTTCGGCGATGCTTGTGATTGGTACGATGGTGTATCGTTGAAGAATGCGGAAGATGTGAGGAAGATTGGAAAGGATAACGCAAAGAAGCTTTTCAAGCTGGGAGCATTCAAAGATTCAGCGTAATATACTTGAGTAGTAGATATGATAAACATGTCATCATGATCTAAGCTATTCCCTCTTCTCAAATACTTTGTGAGCGCAGCATAACGAATCTATATCCAATCGTATCTATGGAAAACTATATCCGACGTAGCCAGCTTCGTCACTTTTACCCGTGCAGCATACTTCAGTATTTAGGGTTTTAAATACGCCTCACGACATATATTTAATTGATTAGGTCCTTACAATTCTGAATGAATGAACAAGAACGATTGGTTTTGTAAGAGACTGCAAGTTACATTCGAAGGGCTGCTCGCGCTAGGCGTTTGTATAGTTTATATATAAGTTTAAGGCTCATCCTGGTATGAAATGGCGAGATGGCCGAGTTGGTTATGGCGTCAGGTTAAGGCTACCTTAACAGCAATTCCTGGTGGAGCAATCCGCGTGGGTTCGAGTCCCACTCTCGTCAGCTTCTATTTTTGCCATTCCTATGACAAAATTGCATGTCTTATTTTTCTTCTTTTTTTTTTTCCATTTCAAGATTGTTTTTCTTCCTTTGAAGAAATTCTGGTTCAGAGGATAGTTTATATTTATCTATAATGGCGATGGTCATGTTGATCAATAACCGTCTGCAATACGGATGCAGTGTATTTTACAGAGCTGTTCATCAATCTGGTTGGTTTATTCTATCATGCAAGGCACCGACACAATACTGGCCTTCGAGCTATGCCATTATACTCGTGTGTATATCATTTTATCAGTGATGAAGATTGATAATCAACGTTGGCTATCTATGTACGCTTACGCTCGTATACCGAAATACTTCGGCTATATGTCTTATATAGATTGCATATTCTTTGATGCATCTCTCCAGCTAATACATCATCTGCCATAAAGTATGTCCATGTTGTGTAATCTTTTTTGGAGTTGAAACCCCTTTGATGCTATTTTGGGTGAAAGTAGATCATCACAAGCAACTCGGAAACCGATGTCGCAGCCGAGCATCTGTTGATGCACGCGGAGATTGTCTCGGCTTTGAGGGAACTTTTGACAAAAAAATGCTCGTGTGCTCTAATAGATAATATTCCATTTCCGATTTCTGATTTATGATGGAAAGAATGTTACGTTTCCCCGGCCGCGAAAAAATTCCCCTGTTGCTGTTTACTCTTGTTCACAGGGTAGGCTTAGTAGAATCCAACTAAGGCTGAGAATGAACATTTTTGTGGGCACTGTATTGCAGTCTTATGTCAACGAAAGACAATTTTCTAAACAGGTCATTATTAATTATAAAGAACCAAGTCTGGCAGTAAAATTCCTATCCTAGGCCCTATTATGACGTCTTCGTAAGGGAGAATAAGCTCACAAGGTTGCTTGCAGCCTTATCAACCGAGACCCGAGAACCAGGCTATTAAAGGGGATGTACTGAGTGCTCCGTAGGGTGGGAGCTAACTCCCCGCTGTCTATCGGACAAGGCCCCTAGCTTCCTGATTTTGAAGTCACTAAAATAATGGGCATCTTTGTCCTTGTTGCAAGCCGTTGGTAATCCTAACGCTATTGTTAAGGGTGTGGTAAATGTTTGCGACAGAATTAGGAATATGCTCGTTGTAATTCAGATTGACTCACGTTCATTGTTTTTCATCATAATCACGGAGACTTTAACTCGCCTTTCACCATCATCACGGAAACTTTCAAACAACAACCTTGATGGCACGGCTCTACCGAAACTAGCCCCGGAATACGGGAATATCGTACCTGACAGAACGGCTTCTAGATAGCATCCGCCTTGACAAAACCCACTTAATGACTAATAGCAACGAATGGCAGCCATCAGCATATAGCCTACTGGCATCGGCGCCGTCCTCGGCTCGCGTCTTCATCTTTCGCCGGTCCTTGCGCGTTCGAATCGGCCGTTGACGTCAGCAGAAGCCCCTAACAATCGGCACAGTTGAGCCGGGTTGTGGATCGGAGTCAATCGACGGCAGATATCGAATGTGACCGGGTTTATTTTCCACTTACCAATTGCTGGCCTTGCTTTTCTGTCGAGTTCGATTTAGCGGTCGACCAGTGTGGAAAAATTTGTTCCGACTTTCGGCTGTGTTGGTTGTCGCTCGTGCAATAGTTATTTATATATGGATGATGCCGCTCCCACGATGGGTCGTGATTCGGGATTTGAAGATGCGCTCAAGATATTGACGTGACTTTTCAATGCACCTCACGTGCTATAATCATCAAGATGCCGGACGAAGAGAGCATATCCAGGGAGAGTACCTCAAGTAGCCACAGCATAAATCACAGAGAAAAAGATGACCAGCCAGATGGCCACCGTCCAGCCCTCCACGAGACTCTGTCAAATGTGTCTCAGAATAACAAGAATCGACCTCGACCTCAGTCGGCGAGTAGCTCAAGTTTGAACCGACCCTTATCAAGAGCTCTATCAAGACGAGAGACAGTCTTGTCAAGAATCCGTTCCCGACCAGATGTTCAGTTTACACATCCTCTTGCGCACATCAAGACGACAGAAGACGAGATTGTCACCTTCGATGGACCCGACGACCCCTACCACCCTCTAAACTGGCCCACACACAAAAAAGTGCTCACGACAGCTCTTTATGGACTCGTTACCATGACGGCCACCTGGGCTTCATCATCATATTCCGCTGGTACGAAACTGGTCGCCAAAGAGTTTCATGTAGGATCTCAGGTCGCTGTACTTGGCACAACTCTATTTCTCTGTGGCTTCGGAGTGGGACCGCTACTGTGGGCACCGCTGAGCGAAGTATATGGCCGACGGACTGCGGTAATGGTTCCGATGTTCATCTCCATCGCCTTTAGTTTCGGCACTGCGACAGCCAAGGACCTCCAGACCATTATGCTGACTCGGTTCTTTGGAGCTTTCTTTGCCTCTGCACCCGTAACGAATACTGGAGGCGTTTTGGGTGATCTTTACACCCCGGCCCATCGTGGTATCGCCATGGCTGGGTACGCCATGGCTGTTGTTGGTGGACCGGCATTGGGTACGTAAATGATCTTTTCCTAATCTATACAAGAACTCATCTTGCTAACGAAGATTCTAGGCCCCATCGTCTCTGCCGCCATGGCTGAACAGCCATCTCTAGGTTGGCGCTGGACTGAATACCTCACGGGAATTCTGCAGGCCTTCATTCTCCTTATAGCAGTCATATTCATCGATGAAAGCTATCCCCCGAAACTCCTAGTCTACAAAGCCCGCCGACTGCGCCATGAGAGCGGAAACTGGGCTCTTCACGCCAAATTCGAAGAATGGGATGTCAGCGTGAAAGAGCTCTGCAAGAAGTTTTTGTTACGGCCGGTGCAGCTGCTTCTCACGCCTATTTGCTTCCTTGTGGCCTTGTATGCCAGTTTCTGCTACGGTATCTTGTATATGCAGCTGGGAGCAATCCCTATTATATTCGGAGAAATTCGCGGCTGGAATCCCTTGGTCTCAACGCTGCCTTTTTCGTGCATCTTTCTGGGAGCAATCTTTGGATGTGCTGCTAATGTTTACAACCAACTCCTCTACAATAAAGCATATCACGCCGCCGGTAACCGCGCTGTCCCGGAAAAAAGACTTCCGCCCATGATGTTCGGCTCTATTCTCTTTAGTGGCGGGCAGTTTATGCTAGGCTGGACTGGTGGCCGACGCGATATTCACTGGATTGTTCCTTGCATCGGACTCGTGCTTCTAGGAACCGGCTTTTTTACCATTTTTCAGGCTGCACTCAATTACTTGGTGGATACCTTCCAAGCTTACGCTGCGTCAGCTATTGCGGCCAATACGTTTCTTCGATCTTGCTTTGCTGCTGCCTTTCCCCTGGTGGTTGGTCCCTTGTTCCATAACATTGGCGTTGGACCAGGCTCCAGCATCACGGGTGGGTTTGCAGCATTGCTGATCCCAGTCCCGTTTTTCTTTTACAAATATGGAAAGAGAATTCGAGCTGGCTCCAAGTGGTCAAAGGCTTCGGTATACGACTAGACTGCAAGCTACGACATTTTGATGCTACTATTTTTGAACGAACTCGGTGGATGAGAGACACAGAAGGGAAGAAGAGTTAAATTGTCCATTTTTTCTTCCATTTTAGCGTGCAAAAAAGGTTTATTTTCACCCATTGATGGCGATATTGAATACATGTATGTTATGAGCAGCGATTCTTTACCAGATAGACTTATCCTTTAGGTAATACGGAGATTTCGGGGAGCCGTAGTAATAATGATAGTTTTTGATACCCCATGTCAGCTATGGATGCATAATATTTACTGTTATAACTAAAATCTCAAATGACCAGCTTGGAATAAATATGTCTGTGCGTGTTCCGAGAAGAGCAATGTCAAGTATTGTGTTAACAGTCGCGAAACGACGGTAGCTCATAAACGAGTGAACTGTTGTAAGAAGTCATTGGGAGCCGTTGCAAGTCTTTTGTGTCTCGCGCAGCGTTGAGGTAAAAGACTTCATAATAGCTAAGAAACACGCCATGTAGGAGGCTTCGCGTGTATATCAACGTGCATGCAATATTTATCTGACATAGAGAAGAGGTTGACAAGGTTGACAAGGTTGATTAGGAGATAAGCTTTATGGAAGCCTGACCCTTCCCAAGAGCGGGGCCCTTGTTCTGAGACTTGATAGAAATTGTGATAGCTACGACTACGCATAATAACGTAGCAAGGATCATATCGTCTGCCGATGGATCGGATCATAGTAGTGGGGTTGGCGTGGCTGTGTGCATGTATTTGCCTCTAAGCCCACCAACCTCAAGGCATCCATCGACTCCGCCTTGCAGAGCCTCAATCGCTCAATTGGCGGTGCACAGAAAGGGGGATAACAGGATCCCCCCTCCAAAAATACGATTCTGGGGTCTTGCAGGCGATCGAGCCGAGAAGCCCAAGTCGCCCACGTTTTACTTTGTCCTGTTGGTGCACGGTGCTGGACACCCTCAATTGTTAGCCATTGTTAGTTCACGGCACTTTCTCAATGATCCCATCGGCACTTTACAGCATATTCAGATTCATGTAGCATGGCTCTGAACTGAATTACACTTGGAGTTCACAGTCAGGTTGCTTGCTTCTGTCAATTGCACCGGATAAGGCTAAATAAGTCAACTATTGCTGGCATTCTTTTGCGACAAAGTAACATTAAGAGAGTACATGTAGAAATGTTATGGCATGCCGGGAGAAATGCAGGCCTCTGTAGCTCTTCCTAGACGGAGCATGGCCAATTGTTTGGCTTGGATGTAGCTTCACGCTATCAAACATGATCTCATATTTCATGGCTGCACATCGTTAATCCCACTAATCATCCATGCAGATAGTCCTACGCTTTACGGAAAACGAAATAGCAGGAGCCAGCTCATCAAGCTCTTACATGAAAACCAGCACCGATCTGAGAAAATAAAAGTAGTTCTAAAATATTATCGGGTGGTTGCCTGGGTTCTTGCAAGACCCATGCGAGTTAATTGGCTGAGGCCTCTCAATCTCACGGTGGCTGCCTTGCAGCTGCCTAGTTGCTGCGGCGTGAGTCACGACTTCACTAAGAGGGAGGCTCATGGCTTATACGAGCAGTCTGATGAGTGGTATTAATATGTCGACTTCTTCTCATCAAATAATCCTTTTACTCCATACTCACTCAACCTCTCTCACAACCCCCCATTTTCCATTTCCAACTACCATCTTATAATTCTCAAAAGCCAGACTCAACAATGGCTCGCACAAAGCAGACCACCAGAAAGCCTATCCCCAGACGGGGCGGTGGCCGATTTGGTGGTAATAACGGCAATGGCAATGGCAATGGCCGTTCGGCACGCACATATGGCCCTCATGACCTCGATTTTATTGCACTCCAAGAGGAGGCGGAGCGCCGCGAGCGCATCCTTGCTGATCAACGTCGAGTTGCGGCCAAGTGGCGCCCTAAGATCCCTGAAATCCGCAAAGTCAACTTCGAAAACTTCAAGAACCGTTTCCAGGGCGAAAACGAGCCTGACTATGCTGTCGATGTCCTCATGGCTGGTCCTGGACTTCAAGGTCAGATCCGCCGCGAGCGTGCTATCCGCCGTAGCGAGGAGACGGCTCGAGTGCGCAAGAGCTTCTACAGCCTCTATGATGCTGGAGCCGACCGCCGCAAGAAGATCGATCCCCTCGACAAAGTGAAGCGAGAAAAGAGAAATGAACTTCTCTCAACTGATACAGAGATTCAGCGCATTCGTGTGCAGTCACAGCCCATCCTGGGACATCTGACGTCCCTGTTGAACGACACAGAGTCGAGATCTACCCCTCGCACATTTATGCGCCCGTTCAAGGCTCTTGTGTACTTCCAGCCCAAGATGAAAGAAATTCTTGCCACTCTGGAAGAGAAATGGGCCGACTATGAAGAGCTTGATGAGCACTCTGATGCTGCAGATGCGGCTAGTGAAGAGGCCGAGGTCATCGTGGAGATTGACAGCAAAAACGATACTGATACTGACGCCAAGTCTGACGCAGAGGGTGACGAAGAGGACAAGGATGATGTCGAGTCGCTCGCATCGGTTGATTCAAACGTCGATGAAGACTTTGACGGCCTCATGGACAGCCCCGAGGCTCTGAGGGACATGCGATGCTACGTCAAATTCATTGACGAGGAAATCATGCCTCTCTACCAACGCTTCGAGGGCAGCACCGCCGAGAAAGTCAAGTTTGACGACTTGTGGTCTCTTTTCCGGGTGGGAGACCTGGTCCACATGCCAGCCGCTGTTGAAGCTGGCGGACGATACCACGAGGTTTGGCGCATCTACAAGATCCAGGCACCGCAGCCTGAGACGTCCTACCCTAAAAACGGCTGGGGATTCTTCGACGAGTTTGACGACATTGATGACCAAAACAAGTTCAAGATCTCAGCCTACTACGTGGACTACGATGGTACTGCCTTTGGCGCCGTGAAGACCAAGTTTGAGATTGAAGGCTTCTCGGGCGAACGATCCATCGACTCGCTGCCCTGTTATCCAATGCGCTACCAGTCCGGCTATGAGGAGCTGATCAGTGGTTTGAAGGACCAGGGCCGCAAGTTCCTGCATTACTTGGATGATCGCCACCAGCAACACAACGCGTGGACCTTGACGAGGAACCCGCCCTCGCACCGCAATGACCCCGACCAGGAGATCTTGGACAACGAGTACTACGAAAAGATGCGCCACCCGGAGTTTGTGGAGAGTGATGTGATTGTTGACATGACTGAGGCGTACCAGAAGATGCCCAACTGGCGACCTGACTTCCACCAGTTGGCAGTCAACAAGGCTGTGCGCTGTGAGATTGCCGATGACGAGATTCCGATCCAGAAATGGTTTGACGGCGTCCGCCAGAACAGGTCATATGTGCAAAAGGAGATTATCCAAAAGGCCGATGGCATCGAGAGCCGCCAGCGCCGAGACAATCTCGCCGTTGATACCTTTTTGCGCAACCGCCTTAGGGGATCTCGAAACTTTGAGGCAAACGCGCAGGCTCAGAAGCTACGCGATGAGGATCTTGTCTTGCTCCCCAAGCGTATGTTTGCGTATGCCCTACGTGAGCGTCGCTTCATGCCTGTCGACTTGAACCTCCTCAAACCTATCAAGCGCGAGGTTGGAGTGTTTGAGAACCTCCGCATTCATGGCGACTACAAGGATGTTGTCCGCAGTCTAGTCATGTCTCACTTCCGGAAGAAGGAGCTGGAGCGGCGATATGTTGACGCTGCCACAGAAGGCCCAGGACAGGATCTGATCCAGGGCAAGGGCCGTGGTCTGGTCGTTCTACTGCACGGTGTGCCCGGTGTGGGTAAGACTGCGACTGCTGAAGCCGTCGCTATGGAGAACAAGAAGCCGCTGTTTGTGATTACGTGCGGTGATCTTGGTCTCTCGCCTCACGAGGTTGAATCTTCTCTGAAGAATGTCTTCCGCCTTGCGCACTTGTGGGACTGCGTGCTCCTTCTTGATGAGGCAGATGTTTTCCTTTCGCAACGATCCAAGCTCGACATGAAGCGAAATGCGCTTGTGTCTGTGTTCCTCCGTGTCCTTGAGTACTACAACGGTCTCTTGTTCTTGACAACCAACCGTGTGGGTACTATTGATGAGGCGTTCAAGTCACGAATCCACCTGTCTCTGTACTACCCCCCTCTCGATAAGACTCAGACAACTGAGATCTTCCGTCTTAACGTCGCCAAGCTCAGAGTGATGGAGTCTGAGCGACAGAAGATGACTGGTGAGCCCTCAATGATCATCAAAGACGACGAGATCCTTGAATTTGCTGCGAAACATTACGAGGATCTCGCTCGATCCACCGGTTGCTGGAATGGTCGACAGATCAGGAACGCCTTCCAGATTGCATCAAGCCTGGCACTGCACAACTACACCAAGCAAGCGGATATCGCTCGTGCCAAGGGTCAGCTGCCGCCTGCAGCTCCAGTTTTGGATAAAACGCTGTTTAACAAGGTGCAGATGTCGACACAGAGCTTTGACAAGCATATGAAGAAGGAAGAGGGCAAGTACGATGAGGAGATTCCGATGAGGGGAACATTCGATGATTAAGTGAGGACGAAGCTATAAATTGCGCTTGAGTGGGATTATATTTTGGGAAACTTTGTATTGAGCATATAGTTATGATCTGAACGCTACGAATTTATTTGCACGTTGATTCTAAATAGCCCCCTGAACCTCGTGGTGCAGTGCAAGTAATCACTTTCTTTTGGTTAGGGTGTTTGACGTAACATGAAGTTTCGTTAGAATCGCTGAACCGTAAAACTGTACACATGCATATACGCGTCGAAACTGGAAGCCTAAACTAATGGAGCCCTTGTGAGGTAGACTCGAGCAAGCTCTTGCAACTGTACACCAAGGCATGATATTCAAGAGCCACGTATATTAAGCTTAACTATATTCCGAAGCATGATACTATTCGAGAGCCTAGTAAACTAGGCTTAACAAAAACGAAATAGGGCTTCGCGAGACGAATACAAGACGCGAAAAGCCGGAACTAGAACTCATGGGGTATTTCCATTGCGAGCGGGCCGATTTCCCGCATGGGAGTTGAAAAATGCGGGGTGAAGCAGCCAGGGGTCTTCTTCATGTTGATAAAGGAGCCCCTTAGCGAGGCCGATGCTAAGACTTTATCGCCTAGGGTTAAATATGGAAGGATGCAAGAATTTTACCGTCATCCCACGATGATACGAGGTTGCTGTGGTAGAATCAAGTTAAATCACGGAGCAAATCTAGTCCATTTGGCCGAGATGTTTTGGCACGGCTGCACAAGATGTGCCGAGTTGAGTATATATACTCATCCTTTCGCTTTCTTCTAAAGTCGATACATTTAACTCGCAGACGACGTCGTCTATTAGGAGCACTTGTCTGTCAATCGTTTGCTTCGCTGTCTAGCGTTCTCTTGGCACCATGGGGGCGCTACGTTCCTTTGTTATTTTCGGAAGTATTGCGTCTTCGGCTCTTTCGACGGCGGTTCCGCCTCTACAGCCCCGAGCGGTGGCAGGCCAAGGTTGGTCACTGCAGTCGGCATCATGTCCTGCCAACGCCAAATCTTGCGGCAACGGGTCTTGCTGCCCTTCGACGTCAAACTGCCAAGCCACCGGGAATGGTGAAGTGGAAGCCTGCTGTCCTTCAAGTAAGCGAATACTGGGTTTCCAGTCTGAAATACATCCGCTGATAATTATTCACAATTTCTAGCAAGTAATTGCCGAGGCAGTGTTGAAGGTGCGCCAAGTTGTGCAGACGTCGCGTGGTCGTTATGGACGGGAAGTTTTGGGAATGGGTTCTGCTGCGAGGTCGGGTTAACTGGAGCCTTTGTTAATGGGGGATCAGTTGCCGGTATTTGCGCAACCTCTGTTCCCTCCGGATACTCTACGGCTTCGCTGGTAAGAAAGCTGGATCTTACTTTGAGAAAAGAAACCGACATCTAACTGTAATTTCCAGGTCAGCAAAGGAACGGGAACTCCGGTTACTTCTACCCCTCCAACGTCTTCAACTTCATCATCTGCGCACACGACAACTAAAGCAAGTTCTACAAAGTCGAGTGGCTCTGGACCAACATCAACTACAGTGCCGAGAGCGGTGTAAGAAGCCCTGTTTTGAGCGTCGCTGCAAATACAAGTCAACCTGTGCGTACTGAACTAATTAAATGATAGATTTGCCCACTACATGGTCGGATCTATGAACGCAACAGACGCTGTGCAGGATATTACAGACGCAAAGGCAGTAGGGTTTGATGCTTTTGCGCTCAACACCCACGACATCACGGATTCCTGGGCTCTAGAAGCATTGGGATACTTGTTCGATGCAGCTGACCAAAATGGCTTTAAGCTATTTATGTCGTTTGACATGAGTTGGCAAACCACCATTGCTCCATCTCAGATCCCATCATTTCTGCTCAACTATATTTCTCGCCCTTCATATTACACCGTCTCCGGCAGGCCTCTCGTTAGCACCTATGATGGTGGCTTCATTGCAAACTCTGACTGGCTCTCAGGCTTTAAGCAGCCACTACAGGCCCAAGGCATTAACCCGTACTTTATTCCCAACTTTGGCGACTGGAGCGGCTGGCCGAATAACTTCTTTTCAACTTATACTGTCGCCGATGGCGTCTTCAGCTGGGAGTCTGCGTGGCCTGCTACAAACACCGGCAAATCCAATGTTTCCGATAGTGTTGATCAGAACCTGCTCCAGCAAGCGCGGGCCGCTGGTAAAGTTTATCTGATGCGTAAGAATCCTCTTTGCACACTCTCTTCTTCATCTTTTCAGTACAAGTGCTAACGAGACACTTGTTATATAGCTTTATCAAGTTTCCAGTTCAAATATCAAGGTGCAAACCAAGACTGGTACCGCATTGGAGAAGTCAACTTGCCACAGCGATTCGAACAAGTGTTGGATTTGCAGCCAGACTTGGTAGAGCTAATCACCTGGAATGACGCAGGAGAAGGGCATTATATAGGCAATTTCTTCCAGCAACAAATCGATGGCACGAATATTGGAGACTACGCCAACGGGTTCGATCATACAGGTTGGCAACAGCTAGTGTCGCCCTTCATTAAAGCATACAAAAGCGGCACAGCTACCAGCGGCAGCCAGATTCTGCCTCCCGGATCGGCTCCCGTGGGTTCATTATGGTATCGTACCCTGCTGACCAGCGCCAGCTGCTCATCCACGATTGCAAACTCCGAACAGGCCCAAGACACGGTTAACTTTGCTGTGCTTCTGCCCTCAAGTGACTACACGATCAAAGTGTTCAGCAATAACGGGCTGATTGGCAGCTTCACTGGCACTGCTGGGCTCAATTATCGCGCTGTGCCTGGGCTGAGCGTTGGTGGGGGACAATATATCCAAATCGTGAATAGCGCTGGCTCTGTGGTTGCATCGGCCACGGGCACGAAGCAGGTAACGGCGCAGAGTTCCAACGCCACCTGCAACTGGAACTACGAGGTCGTGGGCCTCTCATAGGCCATTTTGCTTCTCAGTAGGATAAAGCCGAGTGTTGAGAGATAGAAGACTTGTGAACATTCATGGCTTGTTAATTCGAAAGAGTAATATTTTGTCGTCAGTTTATCCTGATGCGGGCTTGGTGTTATTATTATATGTGGCATTCTGAAAATGGGAGTTGTGCAGCTGTTCCTAGACACACTTGTCGCGTCTTGAAGGTCATGAAAGAGTTGATAAACACCCGAGATTTCCATTTATACTAAATTAAGTCGTGCCAATAGTTACCACCTTTGGGTTAATAGTTGCATATTTCGGCTTGTTTTGGACCTTTTCCTGCCTACTTGGAAGCAGAATATCTAGATTCATAGACGGGCGGAGAGCGAATATATGTTGGTGGACATGCTAAAAGCTGCTCTTGAATGGACGAATCATGTCGCAGATTATTACTGCATTGTTTAGCAATGGAACAAAGACGGTGAGCCTCTCAACGTTATTTTAAGCTGGATTTATGCTTCTATACCAAAATGGAGTAGATCAACAGAACACATACACGAGGGGCTTGATCAAGAAAGCGACGATAGACAGGTCCTGGCGGAAATACGCGACGTGTCATAATAGCCTGAAAACGAATAGCATCATGCGGCATGTACTACTATAACTTTTCGTTCTCATTCGGGCGACCGGCCGGTCATTGTGGAACCCGTGTATAGAGACTTCCGCTATTATTAACGAGCATAAGTGATGATAAAGTACATGGATAGATGTAATTCATTATACGTCTTTCATTACCAATTCGCAAAAGGAACACTACGAGGAGTAGATGCTTAGATTTCGCTTTCCATGTTCCGTCATTGACATCAAGCATAAGCCAAATACATATTGAAGCGGCTAAGCCGGAATGCAAGCAGCGAGTGTGACCCTCCAACGTCGCCTTGTTGCCTCACTATTGGCATTGATCAGGAAGGTCGCAATTGTGAAGCGAGCGGGGTTAGACTTAGGCTGCTTTTTTATAAGTCGATATTATAATGTTTTCAACAAAATTCTGTTTCACGTGTCAGGGATCATCAAGTAACTGCCGACGTCCGTCTTGCTTGGCATTGCCCCGCTCGGATCTCGAGTCAACAGGTAAAGAGTAGCCTTAAAACAGCTCCCAAATGTTTGGGTAACGATATATCCATCATAATCTTAGCCTTGAATATCTACAGCGATTTGAGTATTCGAGAAGAGCATCAAGTCAGCTGTATACGTATTTTCTATTCCTAGATTGAACTAGTCGCCTGACAAAAATATCGTAGACATCAGATCTCTCCCGCTCTCGTACGAAAGATCTTCAGCAGCGACGGCCCGACGGATAGATGACCTGGCTAGCATGACGTGGATACCGGTGGCCGTTGATGGCACCCAAATTACCTAACGGAAATAATAGTAGGAATGCGGAGAGCGTTACTTTGAGGAATAATTCATGACCCCTACAGTTCAAAAGAGATCGAGTTCCCGTGAGTCTTACCGCTTCAGTCTTCATGTCCGTCTGGGGTGCATGAATAACGATTGAGGATACGACTTCAGAATGCGGGGATATATGTAATTCGATTCAAATGCGGGGGAGAAATATAATTGCGTTGAGAATATACTGAGATGGCCAAAGATGAGAAAGCACATGCTTACAGAAAGGAATCACCCTCGGCATTCTGCCTTGCCTATGAACTATAAAGCCAAGTGCTGCCTGCCTTCGAGTTCATCCCACAATTCGTTGACAAAGATCTTCAAACACTTATACCTGCAACTACGAAACGGCTGTTCTCGTCTTTAAAGTCTATCCTATCCACTCTCCAAAATGAAGTTCACTCTTGCTCTTGCTACCTTTGTTGCCGCCGTCTACGGCCAGACCGTTGCTGACATCCCCGCATGCGCTGTTCCTTGCATCGAAAGCGCAATTGCGAGTCAGACTACCTGCTCAGACACTGACTTGGCATGCGTTTGCGAAAGCGCAAATTTTGATGCCATCGAGGCGGCTTCTACTTCATGTGTAATTGCTGCTTGTGGTGCCGATGTTGCTATCAGTACGCATATATCTTTTAAGTTCAAGAGACGTGAAACATAATTATCCCTACCAATACTGACTCTCTTTACTTATAGACCAGGTTCTCCCTGCCGTTCAGGCTCTCTGCGCCGCACAGTAAAACGTTTACTGGCGAGTATCAAAAGCGAAGGTGAAAGGCTGAATGTCCAGTATATGTATATAACAGAATTAAAAGGCTGGATAATATATACAATTGGCCAATTTCGGTTATATCATGGTTCCAAAAGACTATATTCCGTGACACAATGTTGTGGGTTCCATTTGCAGGTGCATTAATATGTATATTGTTCTAAATCTACAGGACCTATTAGCTTAGCCTTTATTCAGTCTGTCAAGGACTTGAGCGATGTAGTATTTCTTATCCCAGATAAACTACGGCGTAGATAAAGTATTTCAGTTGCCAAATACCGCCTGTACGATAAAATATGTGTTGAAATAAACAACAGGCCCGCCCTTACTGAGCGAGGTTACTATGCTTATAAGGGTCTCTTCCGACAATATGAGTGATGACGTTCCTGAATCTTGCTTAATTAGTCTTCCGAGGCAAAAATAGTTCTTATTACATAGTAATGCGATATTAGCGGCGTAGAGTCGTAGGTAGCTTCCTCAAACTTGCGCAATGTCTCTTTATGTCGAGAGACTAGCTGATGACGGACAATACAAAGGCTAGCTTCTTTTTCCAGGGAATTCAGGACAACTTTTCTGGGCATAAGAGTTTAGTCACTCGTTCTTAGTTATGAAATAGCATTTATCATAATTTTAGCAGATTCCCCTCGAGATCACTTAAAAGTAATCTACTGGTAGTATAAGACCACAAAAGTCGAATTGATTGCTTTATGACTGACAAATATCTACATTAATCGCCATACAAGGTAGTCACAAGCTGGTATATAAAGAAAAATCCTACCTAAAACCTCGTTCCTATTTAAAGATCACGACGTATACGCCTGAACTTGGCTGTCAGACACGTAGTGGCTCCTGCCCTTACATCTATAGCCACTTCCCTCTCTGACCCAATCAAATCCCGCCTCGCATTGGCCAATGGACTGCAAAGCTTGCTGTACAGACTTGACTTTGTTCACCTGCTCGTCATATGCACAGTATTCCTCCTCTTTAACAATAGGAGGCTCTTCTACTTTGTCAGTCTGCATGCATGTCGCTTGCTCGTTGAAACATGCTTGTGGCTTGTTCTCTGACATATGGTAGCTGATTGACATTTGAGCCGACTCTGTTTGGCGGAAAGCTTCCATTATGTTGTTCGAATCGTTCATTTGCATGGAAAACTTCATCTGGAACATCTTGTGGAAAAAGTAATTCGCCCGTTCCACCGAGAGATACAATCCACTTCCCATTTGACCAGCAGGTATAATATTCGTGAGAACATCTGTTACCATCCAATCTGATAACGATCGTACGTCATTAGCGTTTCTCCAATGGCTAATGCTGCAAAGTATTTCGAACTGGTTCACGAAGTAATTCACAATTTGATCGCCAAAGATGCTGCTGCTAACTCCATTTTCTGCTAGTAGTCGTTTGAGGAGGACCAGGCATTCTGAAGCGGTGAGTTTTTCGAAGGTGATTTCTTTGAATACAGAGCCGCCGATGCCATGCGCTTTAGCAATGAGTGCTTCAATCTCGTGAGATGGACCCGCCAAGATCATAACGATATTCTGACTATGCTTTTGTAGAAGTCGAACGAGCTCGTTGATTGCTTCGGTAGCGTATCCACCTTCCATAAGCTGGTGGGCGTTGTCGATATACAGAACGCCCCCGAGACCTTTCATAAACTGTGATCTAGTCTTGGGAGCAGTGTGGCCCACATGTTCACCAATGAAATCTGCCGCTGAGCACTCAACAAATATCTTGTCGGTAGACAGAACTCCTAGATCGTACAATAAGGTATTCATATAGCGAGCAACTGTAGTCTTTCCGGTACCTATTACGGTCAGCATCTAGCTCATCTCAATAGCAAGGGCATATCCACTTGTAAATGGCCAAGGCACGAACCTGAGGGCCCTTTAAAGATAAAGGATTTTGGGACGACCGGCGTAATACCAAGTCTCCGTGACTTTGTTACTTGAAGTAAGTTTTGATACTGCTCCAGTTGGAATATAACATTGTTCGATACTTTGTTTTGTAGAACAGCTCTACAATTAGCAGATGCGTGTTGTGCACGGCCATGGTTCGGGTCGAAATCCTCTTGGCTTAGGATCATGTCATGGCCATAGTTAGATGCGGCTGCCTTTGACTGCCTTTGCAAGCTATTTTCCATGGCAGCTGAGATGAGATTGTCAACTTCTCTCCCATTGCTAAAATCCTGTCGCATTCGGGCTCGGTTCAAGACTTCCAAGGCGGCTCTCAAGCCTTCTGGTGTTGATTTCAAGTTTCGAGACCCTAGTTTCCGCTGCAATATTTCCCAGAGTTGAGCGTCGTTGAAGTCTTTGAAACGAAATGGTTTGTCGGCGGCAAACCTCCCCGAGAGCCCGGGGTTGGCATTACGGAACATCTCCATCAGTCTTTCTTCGTAGCCAAGCAGGATCACGCAGCGGTCTTCTCCAGGAACGCTTTGTACTTCGGCAACAAGTGTGTCGAGCACAGCGCCTCGGTATGAATCGCCGCGATTAGCTTCGCCAGGATCTAGCATATAAGCTTCATCGATGATCAACACCTTCCCGACTGTTGCCGAAAGTATGGATTTCGTCTGTGCTTCCGATTTCCCGACAGCCTCGCCTATAAAGTCTGCAGGATTCTTTGTAACCACTTTTCGTATGTTAGTCATACAGGTATTTCATCAGTAGAAAGAAGATACAAGAGACCGGAGAGGTATGTATACGCACCCTCACCATTGCTGAGGAAGCCCAAATCGACCAGTATCTGCCCGTACAACTTGGCCACAGTTGTTTTACCAGTGCCCGGTGACCCGACAAATATTCGATTCAAAGAGAAGCTCAAAGGCGCCAACTCGGCCATTTCTCGTCGATAGTTCATCTCAAGTGCTTCAAACATGTTATTAATCGATTTCTTCACCTCTTCCAGTCCGGTGAGCTGTTGAAGCTTTGCCCAAGCCGAGCTTGTCAATCTAACATCTGCAGGGTTTGGTCCTAAAATATCTTCCTTCGTGAAGGTAAAGACTTCGTTGTTCGCCATATTTTTGCGCTTATAAAGTCGCTTGGCTTGGCGTTGCCAAATTTTGAGCAATACATTTTCCACAGCGCGGGCGTTACCGAATCCTTTTTTCCCTCGGCTGCAAGCTAATCGACGGATAGCCACGCGCATGTATTTTCCATGCATTCCATCCTCGACTCTCATCTTGCCTTTGTATTTCCTTTCAATTTGACTGACGAGAGTTTGTAAGAGCTCTTGGTCAGTAAAGTCGGCAAACTGAAGAGTGTGAGGGATTCGGCTTTTTAACCCAGGGTTATGTCCAAAGAAGGATTCGAGCTCTTCTTTATATCCCGCAAAAATTACAACCAAGTTTCCAACATTGTTCTCAATCTCTGTAAGAATAATATCGAGAACTTGACGACCGGAGTTGGGCACATGTGGAGCAGTTAGCTGGTAGGCCTCGTCCACAAACAAAACTCCGCCATCTTTTAAACAGCCAGGCTCGAGGGAAGAAGTCGCGCGGACAAATGCTGTAGGATCATTTGAATAATCGTCTTCGTCATCGTCGTCACGAGACGGCTGTTGAACTCTTGTTCCCAACAGACTCTGAAGTGGGTTACCCCCAGATACGTTGAACAACTCCTTGACTTCTTTCGGCCCCATGCATACTAGCTGTGCACCAGATGTTTCTTTATATGTTTTGGATTTTACAATATCGATGCACCGTAAGAATCTAGCATATAGTCTGGCCACTGTAGTTTTTCCTGTCAAGACTCTGTGAGTAATTTGCTCTCACGGAAGATGGCAGAACGAAAGCTTACCTGTTCCAGGATTTCCTTGGAAAACAGTATGCCATCGCTCTGTTCGGGGGTTCGTTCCTTGGAGAGAGCAGATACGGACACAGCCCTCTATGTTATCGAACTGCTCTTTGACTTCTTTCAGCCCAACCAACTTGTTCAACTCTGCGAGGACCTTGGTCTTAGGCGTTTCGCGTTTTCTTCGATTTACAGAACCCATTGTTTCTTGGTCCTTGCGCTATTTTTATAGACCATTCCAGTATTGCATCTTCGTAACTCGGTCGTTAAAAGGCGGGGTTTGGATGAAAGGGCGCGGACGTTGTCACACAAGTGGCCGTGTCGAAATTTGGAAAACGTTTAATCTCGGAGTCGGATCCTAGCGATTGCCCACGGGGAGGAACAATGGAAACAAATGGAGCTGTCGTAGTATTAAGAATGAGAAAACTAGAATATAACAAGCTCTCAAGAGATCAAGCAAAAATGACATTTACTGAGTGCTGAGGTTTCACGTGCGGAAAGAGTAAGACACATTGTACAACCATCTATCTATCGAGAAGTCGCCCTGCTTTCCATCATGTAGCCGCAGTTATTCCAGCCAATGTATATTAAATGTACATGCATGTGTATCTGGCTAGACTTCGAAGTCTTGGGCATGAAAAGTAGTTGGGCCTAATGGCTGATCGCGATACTCATATTCGGTGACATGGTCATCAGCATGCTGGTACCTTTTCTCATGCTGCAACTTGTATTCAAATGACATATATGAGTCATGCAACCCCGCGGTGCCAACATCGGACCATTCAAACGCTGCCAGCTCTTTGTGTAACAATGCAAACTGCAAGCCACTTGCCCTCGCTTTCGACCAGTCGAAAGCATTGACTCCATGCAATGACCGAATGCCACGGCCACCGCACATTCGATGTCATTGGCAGATAAAGCAGTGGATATTCTCTATCCAATGCTCTTGCAAAGCACACGTCATCAAGGCAGGCAGCGTGTCGCAGCCAAGACATGCGGCTCTTATAATTCGGTGCTGTGAATGGTCGCTCGATGCTATGTCGGTACAAAATACCATGTGCTGCCGCCCTTGCATCATCCTTCTATGTTACATGTTGGTAACTTATTTGCGACTTAGCGTTCGAAAGTTACATTGCCGTCTTCCATGGACCTTATCATCTTTTGCTACCACCAACGCACAATTGCGTTAGCTGGAATGCACCTATTCCTTTCTTTTCACCCATCTTCCTTCCTTTCTTTTAGGTACAGAATTAATATTCGGTCAATTTTCTCATTTCTATTGATCATAAACCGCATGCTTATTGCTGCTCAAAAAACGGGTGGTGTGGGAAGCACTTAATGGGACTAATCAGGTTGTACGTGCCAGCAGGGAGCCCGGTCTCACACCGAGTGGCCAGAAATGAAGGTTGACAGGGCTTTCCGTAATAGAGTAGCATTTACCAGCCCCCTCCTCATCCCACAAACTTCACGTGCATAAACCCCTAAAGTCGTCCTTTGATGGAGCCGTATATGTATCCACAAACCTCTCGTCCTCCGCCACGCGAGGAAGCAGCTATATTGGAGCGGCATCTATTTATGCATCACACTGGCTTCAAGAGACGCGGACCCTCCCGAATGTAATAGTCTCGGCGACAGAGTACAGAACAGTGGATTTGGTATAAGGGATTGTGCCTATTGTTTCTCTTCATACCGCGCTTACATAGACTATTGTTTGTCCAATTGATTCCCCATGAGCATTTCCGACATGGCTGAAATTACTCCCCGTCGCCTATCGCAATAACCATATTAACGATATCATGCTTGCCTTTGTTCAGCGCCCATTCTAGGATATTCTGCCCGTGAAAGTTTTTCGCCTCAACGTTCGCACCCTTCTCAAGAAGTATTTGGATAACATTGCGTTTCCCAATGCCCACGGCAAGCCACAGAGGTGTACGACCAAACTCATCAGTTATCTCCAAACTGGTACCGTTCTTTAGCTCTCTTTGGATCGTGGGGATATCTCCTTTCTCAACTGCATTGAAGAAAGCTTCAGGATCCGTGTTGGGGAAAGTATGAACTCGGTCTTCTTTTGTAAGGAAGACAGGCTGTGTTACAACCCTCTCTGAGTTCGTACGTCGAACCCTAGCAATATCTTCTGGCTGACCATGATTGGCGGGTATTCTCTGTTCAGTAGCCTGTTTTCCTCTAGGCTCTGAATTAGCCGTGCTTAGAAGATTGCTGCGGTAATTTGCGCCTGGCCATTCGATCATATGAGGAGCAGATGCTGCAGGTTCCTCAGGTTCCTCAGGTTCCCCAGTGACTGCCAAAACCATGAAAACATCAGTAAAAGTCAGATAGGTTATGCAAATAACGACGTACCGAGCGGAGGAGAACTGGTCGCGTGATATTGCATGCCATATTCTCTTGGTGTCCTAATACTGCTAGAGGCGACTGTATCTGAATGAAGTAATTCATCTTAGCATCAGATCGATAGTAGAGTGATGTCCTTTAAAACCACCAGACCTTACCTTGTACCGACTGGAGCCTGCGGACTTCGCGCTCAGGGACCACTCCCAAGAGTGTTTTTGTACATGCTGCTGCAACTGCAGCGGCATAGTTTTGCCATTCTTTGCCTGCGTGCGAGTCTGCGTAGTCGCATATCCCTCGAATGACAACACAGGGAAAATTGTTCATAAGCCCTGCGGCTTCCATCTCTATACAATAGAGATTGTTTTTATACCTCTTGCAGAGTTCGTCTCGAAGTTTGGCATCTTTGACCTTTGTATTGCCTGATGCGATCAACCCGTAGTGAATCTTAAAATCGGCACGTCTGGGTGCCCTTGCCTTTACCCTCTTCTTATCGCAGTTGCGGCAATCTCCGCCCACGTCCACATGGCTGTAATCAGACTCAAATAAAACATCTTTGAGAGAATCCGACTTCAGATAGCTTTCATCAACGTAAGGCATTGTTGCCATATCATCCAGATGACTGCGCATCTGGCCTGGAGTCAGTGGGTCAGCTTGGAACTTTGCCAAAGCTGTAAGCACAGCTGTCGGTGGGCCACTGAGAAACCCTCTTGTTTCAAATTGACCACCAGCACGAGTGCCCATATCATGCTGAACAACACCAGCATTTGTACCGAGAGCGGAGCAAATGACCACATCTCCAAGTCGTGTTTTCTCAGGAATACCTCCCCCAACTCCTACCATCATACCGAACTTGATGTTGGGAAAAGTAGATGCCATTCTAGTGATAACCGCTGCTGAGTCATTGGTACCAATTCTGCCCTTGGGTAAGCCGACAATAACAATATTGTGTCCTCCAATTCTTCCAAGGGTGTAGGTATTTTCATCACTCAACGGGTTCTGGAGATCTTTATGCCTCTCATCAAGCATGTACATTGCTGCTGTTTGCTCAAGTGGTAGCGCACAGATCCACCCAATGGTATACTCCCCGTGCTGCAGTTGTTTCAGGCCCATGGTCACTTGATCTTTTCAAATGTTTTGGTTAGAGAAAGACTGTGATTCTGTAGATCTGAGATGTGAGTATTGCGCTGCGGTTGCTCTATAAATACATGTAGTGTGAACGGGGACACCGTTAATTCTGCTACTATACATTTTTCGGAATCCAAACTCGCTCAATATTGGGCACTCCTACTTGCAGCGAAGCTTTCAATAACTCTAGAATGAGCGGGGTTGGGAGTAGAAAAGTAGTCACATTACTTGTGCGTGGCATTGCAATATTCCACCTGCATGAATAGTTTCGACTCGAGCATAATGCCCAGCTACCTAACTACTCAATCTTGCCAATTGTATCAAGCCCGGCCATTAGAGGTGTATTAAAATGAACACGTGGATCAAATAGAACATTGTAACTAATTAATTGCACTCATTCCTTGGAACTAGCAAATCAATACGTGGACCAAGGAGAACTTCTGAACTAATCAGGCGAACTCACACCGTTAAACTATTGATAGCCGCCCCAGCATTGGGCTCGGATATACGTTGAACGTGGCAGCATGCTGCAAGCATTATTGTCCATCCGACCATGTTTAAAGTTAGAACGATTAGAATAAATGCCTTGCGTCGGTGATGCGCTGGACATTCACATTCACAATACATCTGGCTCTGCAGCACACCAAACTCGAGCAGTGTTTGTCATTGGCAGTGATGCCCCATAATGGGCGTACATGCATTTAACTTGTCTTCCTCCACACAAAAAATGCTGCCTTTATATTAAATGCGCAGAGACCTAGCGCTATGTTTAACCAAGGCGGTTATCAGTACGAAGCAACCATCTAGTTACCGAGTTACTCAGGACCTTTCGTCATTTCATTCGTGTGGTATTTAGCAAGCTCAACCACACCAATGCAAGCCTATGCTTCTACTTTAACTTACTCTCGCCTTCTTGTAAGGACGTCCAACTACGCATTGTATACATAGACTATGGTTTATCACAGCGATATTGTAGATGTACTCAGATGCTCAAACCTCACCTCTTTGAGTGGCTTAGCTTCTTTTGAGGGCACAGCTTGCAATATCCGACTTCATCATCCGTATAGCGATATATTCTTCTACTGATGTAGAGCATCATATGGTAAGCCTGTAAATCTTCCACTGTCTACTCCAAACGACGGCATTTTTTGTGTTCCAAGAAGCTAGAGTACAGCAAGTCATGGAGCTGGATCAGGTTTTTTGCAACCCGTGAGCATATCTCTGGTGAGCTGGCAATGCAGCAGGTCCGCTATTAAGTGCTCATATATGTGTGAGTGCCCGAGCCTTATGCATGTTATGTCCATAGCCTGCTTTGCCCAGCATCATCGTGGTGACCCACCCTATTCAGAAAACTACTTGTACCATCGTTACAATTTGAATGGATGTTTGCACTGCTAGGTTGCTTCAGTCATGGGTTGCTATACCTCTAATCCCATTAAATCTATTGTAACTGGAAAACAAAATGGTAACTGAGATGGACGACTATTTTTCTCTCTTTTTAAAGCATGGTACGAGATATATAGATTTCTCTTGTACATGCTGGATCCAGTCCGAGACTGCTTAGGTATCCGTGACACAAAATTGATCTCTACCCATTGAATGATTGCTCGAATAAGGTAGGCAGTATCACATGTAGATGAATACGTAGAGACCTATGCTATCTTAATGTTACGCGTTTGGCTGAAGTGAGATGGTCACCACTGAACTTTGGTATTCAATGAAATAGATGCCTGTATTCTGTACTTTGCCTACAGTGTTCACTCTTTAGAAGTAGCAGTTTTAGTGAATGTACATGTACACATGGCGGGGAAAGGGGCGATTTGTCATACTGTAGCTCGCCAGATCGTTTGAACTTGGTAGACGTTCCCCGAAAGCTTTACAAACTTGGTAAAATCGCAATGCTAATACATCAAACATGGCCTATAAGTACGTGCAGAACATGCCGCTTGGTAGCTTTGCGAGGAGCTGCAACATTTGCAGCTGCTTTCCAACAAGCTAGACTCAGATTCGCAATTTTAGGCTTCAGCGCGTGCGAAATAAAACCGCTGGAGACGTCCCCTGTTCCCCGTTCACTGGGTCTTATCTCTGGGGTACGGGATCCGGCTCATTGGCCTGACAACTCCGCCCTGAGAAGTGGAGTCTGAGACCATCTTAGCTTCACGGCCTCATCAAACAAACGCACGACTCCAACTTGACATCCCAATCATCAGCTGCCAGGAACTCTTCCATCACCGTATCCGCGCTGTCATCGCACTTTATTGATTCTAATACTGTATCAAGGGTCGTAGCGCGACTGCCTGTCTGTCACTATGCTCAAGTCAATCTGTACCAGCTCGCTGCTCCTACTGAGCACGGGCTTGATCTCCACCAGCTCTGCGTCCCAGGAGGCGCAAGTCCACCTCACCGCTGGAGCCAAGCAGCATCAAGTCGACCCGGCCATTCTTGCTGCCTTGGAGAAGTACCCAGACCCTGTTGATGCGTTTATTGCGCTGCATCCTGAGGCTGCTGAACAGCTGGCGGAGCCACGCTTGCTGCGCGTTTTTGGCGAATCAAGCGCCCAATGGATGACAGAAGGAGACAAGATGCGCCTCAAACGCCAGGGAAAGCAATTCACCGATATTACTGGCCACGAGGACTTTTACAAGGAGCAAGTCAACACACTGGCTGGCAAAGCTCGTAAGTTGGAATGCTTGATGATGTACATGTGTATAGTTGATTTGGCAATTACTAATAATACTACGCAGACTTGCCCAAGCTCAGCCATCATGGACTAGTGAAGCCCTTGTTGCCTCTTGTCTCTACTGATAAGATGCACGATGTCCTGAAGCATATGACAAGCTATTATACACGATACTTTAACAGTGTCACTGGCGAGCGAAGCTCGCAATGGCTTTACGATCATATTGCCGAGGTATGAGTCGTCTGAACCATTATCATTTTATTGCTCGATCGCACCAACGTACTAATGACCTTGCTTAGATCATCAAGAATGCCCCGTTCCATACTCACATATCTCTCGAATTCTTTACCCATACATTCCCCCAGTCTTCAATTATTGCTCGATTTGAGCCCAAAGTGAAAGATTTCTCGCAGCCGTTGACCATTATCGGCGCACACCAGGATTCCATGAACTATTTGTTTCCGCTACTTCCTGCTCCGGGCGCAGATGATGACTGCTCCGGTACAGTGAGCATTCTCGAAGCTTTCCGTGTTCTCGCAGAGAGCGGATTCGTTCCCACCACTGGACCGGTTGAGTTCCATTGGTATGCTGCCGAGGAAGGCGGCTTGCTGGGCAGCCAGGCCGTTGCGCGATATAAGAAGGAGTCGGGAGCTAAAATCGGCGCCATGATGGAGTTTGTAAGTACATCTGGATCCATGTGGCTAAAGATTCAGAATATTAATTCTTCCCTTAGGATATGACCGCATTCATCGCAAAGAATGCTACCGAATCCATTGGATTCATCGAGACCGAGGCGGATGCGCCTTTGACGAAGTGGGCGGCGGCTCTGGCCAATGAATACATTTCCATCCCTGCCGAAATATTCACGCTACCTGCGTAAGACTCTTTCCCATGATTGACTTCCTACGATGTATCATTGTTATTAACGAGACCAGTGGTGCTGGTTCGGACTACATGTCTTACACACAGCTTGGCTATCCCGCTGCCTTTGCGTCGGAAGGCAACCCGGCTGCTGGTGAATACGACTCGTATATCCATACTGACAAGGACACAATGAACGTCGATGATGAGACTGGCATCTTCTCTATTGAGGTGAGTAATCTCCGAATGCGTTCGTAAAGGAAATTGCTAATGCCACCCTAGCATATGGCACGGTTTTCTGAGCTTGCTATTGCATTCGTCATCGAACAGGCTGGCTGGAACAACAAGTGGAGGTAGAGAGGGCCTGGCTACATGTAGCTATTTTGCTTCATCAAGTTGAATTCTTAGCACGCTTTATCAAGCCATCTCTTTGAATAAATTGTCATGTTCGAGCTGCCTTATCGGCCGATTTATCATTATTGGCTTTGTGATATTGTAAGCTTGGAAAGTGGCAGGATATGTGCCCGCTTCATATTTGTTTTCTTGTAATATTCAGTATGATTGCAGGCGTAGCATTCCAAAAAGCTCGCTTGAAATGAGAGCCGATAGATGTGTGAAGCTTTATGGACTGGTGCTGAGAAAGTCGATCACTGTCACAAAGTGAATAATTTACCGAGAGGTGGCCGAGGCGCGGGAAAAGGTGGACATTCCCATCATTTTGTAAGCCACAATCGCAAACATAGAAACTTTTAATCCAACTTCTACGCCGGTAAAGTTGTATCAATCTAAAGCCATGGTAACGGTGCCACTATTCGCTTAGGCAACAGGACAGAAAATGCGACCGATGACCGGCTCATATGCCTCAAACAGCATCTCGGGGGATCCGTGACTTATGGGAGCGTGATTAGCGCGCCGGAAACATTCAAAGTCGCGTGGAACTGGAGACCTTCCTAATTAGTGCTTTGTATTTTGAAGCATATCTGCGCAATGGTAGCGGCTCGTTAAGAGACGATGGCCCTTGGCTAACACGTGAATATGGCAAGCGCCTTGGTTTATAAACCTTTAAATTGCCTCAGGATCCATGTAGAATCCACGTCGACATACTGTGGAAGTTATAAACTTTTATCAGAGTGAGATCTCCTGCTAGCGCTATCGATCTGCAGTCACTTACATACACTCAGGTACTCAAAATGAAAGTTACAAGCATCAGCTTACTCGGCCTATTCGCGACCTACGCGTCAGCTTCCTCCCATTACACTGGGGGCGATACATCTGGTTGCGGAAAGAGTCACTGGTTCAACGGCATCCCGCAGATCCGCACTCTCACATCGAGCGGCGTGGATCGCAGCTATGGAATACACCTACCGTCGAATTACTCTGAGAATAACCAGTATCCAACCATCCTAGGCTTCCATGGCTCAAGCAGTATTGGATTCTTCTTCGAGGCCGACACTGGCCTCGATGACTCCGAATATACGGGAGACAAGATCATGGTGTATCCGAATGGGCTCGGGGGAGCATGGGCTGGCGCAAATTATTCCGCAGCCTCAGTCCAAGAAGACCTACAGTTCGTCTGGGATGTGTTGGTAGACCTGAGGAAAAATTGGTGCATTGACAGTGCCAGGATTTATGCGACTGGCCTGTCTATTGGCGGAGGCTTTGTTGACACCATTGCTTGCAACGCCACTGTTGGCGGCGAGTTTGCGGCTTTCGCACCTGCGTCTGGGTCTTTCTATACCAATAACGATGATAACCATGAAAACTGCGAACCTGCTCGTGTGCCTATGCCAATTCTCGAATTCCATGGCGGTGCCGACACAGACGTCAAATATGATGGTGGTGAAGGCGAAGGTGGCATTGAGCCCGCCATTCCAGATTGGTGAGTCGTTACATACTCTCAGTACTGTGTTACATTATTTCTCTATACTAATATTTGCATATGTAGGCTGAGCTGGTGGGCGCAACGAAACGAGTGCGATGAGCAATACGAGCAAGTGGACTTGTTTAATGACGATGTCCACCACCTAAGCTGGACGTGTAATGGTCAGACCGGCGTCGTGCAGCACTACAAGACCGATGATCAGAGTATGGACCTCTATTACCTTCTATTTCCATATTTGTAGGCTTATTGAACTGACACAATAACCCTTAGAGCACGACTGGGCTTCAACAGGCATCAACTTTTCACAACTAGCAGCTGGAGACTTGCCAACGCACATCTCGGCCAGTGCTCTTATTCAGAGTTTTTTCATGAAGTTTACTCGTCCGGAGGCTTAGATGTTTAATAAATATTCGGAATTTTACACTTGGTAAAATGACTGATATTTGCTGTTGCTATATGAAATGAAGTCGCAAAGTCGTTTGCAATAATTATCTATAATCCATTCTCCAGATCACTATTATGTGCAGCTTTCCTAAATTAATCCACGCATGTGAGGGAGCCGTGGACTCGTGTTTATCACAGTAATTGATATGGTAATCAAGGAAATTTATGGCGCTATTATAGCTAGCAGTGCAACGCTGTAATTAAACTGAGCTTTCATAACGAGGACTCCGCTAACGAGAGAATACGGGAAGAAAAGGCAATGCCATTCCAATCATTTTGGTTTATCATAAAAATGCTACAAATTACTTACCATTTCGTAATATTATCAGGTTCGTCTTTGGGGTTGCCAACGAAGCTTACAAGAGTTGTCGGAGGTCTTTAGGGAAACCCTGGCACTGGGTCGGAGCTGCCTGGAAGGGAAAAGATTCCCTTTTAAGAACAAATCCAGGGCTAATTAGTCTTTGAGGATAAACTTAAGTTAAATACTGGGCAACTTAAGATTTGTATTAGTAAACAGCTATTGGATCACGGTACACTTATGACTTTGTGACAATGTGGTGGCTGCTGAGGTCAGACGCTGTGAAACCAGAAGATGTTTATAAAATCTTCTTATAATATGAAGTGAATCCCCAGATTCTGTTTTAAAAAATGGAATCTCCAAACACTTTTGATTGAGAAATATCTTCTAGACGTATTTTAACTGACATTGGCTTCCTTGGTCTTTTCTACTGTTTGCCTCAGCCTTCGGATCTTTACAACGCACGACAAAGGGAGCAAATATGCCTTCTGAGCATGTTATGGACCCTGTCAAAAAGGCTGTATGTCTAGTTCTACTTATCTGATACCAACACAGCTAATAAGTTGAGAATTGCAGACCTTGATCCTTTGCGAAAAGCTAGGTGTCGATAAGGTGATCTTTCCTGACAATGGCCAAGATACTCATTGGAACTCCTATATGTTTGCTCAAGCGGCAGAGATCACTCCTGCTTGCAGTATTCTCCCAGCTGATACTGAAGATGTGGTATTAGCAATTAATATTATACGGGAAGCTGGAGCTACATTTGCTGTCAAGTCTGGTGGCCACAGCACTTATAGTACTGGTTCAAATGTTGAAAATGGTATCATTATTAATTTAAGTCAACTAAAAAACATTAGTATTTCTCAAGATCAAAAGTCTGTTACTGTTGGAAGCGGCTGCAGATTTGGCGATGTTTATAGAAAGCTGGAAGACTTGAAGCTTGGCTGTGTTGGAGGCAGGGTTTTGAGCGTTGGGGTCGGAGGGCTTCTTTTGGGAGGTATGGTGCATAATTCCGGGCCTTCAACCTACTTTTGAATGTCACGCTAATTGACCAATGAACTATAGGTGGTATTTCTTTCTTTTCTTCCGAAAGAGGCCTTGCGTGCGATAACATCATAAGCTACGAGGTGAGAATTTGCTCCTTTGACCGTAATTGGCACTGGCTTACAAGTAAAGCTCGTTCTCATCACCGGCAAAGTACTAAAAGTTACTCGGGAATCATATCCTAACTTATTCTGGGCTATGAGAGGCGCCGGCTCATGTTTTGGAATTGTCACCCGTTTCGAGCTCAGAACTTTCGAAATGGGAAAGATTTGGGGAGGCACTCGAACATACGCTCATGAGCATGAGTCGGCAGTCCTTGACGGCTTTGACAAATTTGTTCAAACTGGAGCCGCAACCGATCCTCTGGCACAGGCCTACATCGTTGGAACCGATGCTGCAAAAGATGGTAATTGCATTTATAGTGTGATTATGTCGCATGGAAGTCCCGAAGAACCGCCGGTTTTTGATGACTTTAAGCAGATTATACCGCTTGAAACCACGACTCAAACTCGTACCCTGCAAGACCTTTGCGACGAGCTTGATACCCACATGAAACCCGGTATCAGGTATTTAAACATTGATGAACAAAACAAGTATCCAATGAGCAGAGAGCTGATGAACTTTCCCAGGTATTATATCTTCGCTTTGTCCATCAAGAATGATCGGGACACATTGAAGGAAATTATCAATCTTTATACCGAAGGAGCGTTGCTTTTAAAAGACCAACACGACTTCGCACCAGCATTCGTATGCCAACCCCTGCTTCCAAGCATGCTGCCAAAGGATGACATCGGTAATGCAATGGGAATTAAGCCTGAAGATGGGCCATTGATTCGTGAGTTAGAATATGGTCGTTAACACCTAAGTAGCTGCTTGCTAAAATTTTAACTAACAGTATTCACTCCTGTTTGGAGGTGGACCGAAAAAGAGCACGATGATTCAATCCACAAGGCAGCAAATATATTCATGGAAAAGGCTGAAAAGGCTGCTCGAGCCCGTGGCACATTCCACAGATATAAAGTTCTCAACTATTCTACCGGGCATCAGGATGTTTATGGTGGATATGGCGAAGAAAACAGGAAGCGCCTTCTGGAGATAAGAAACAAATATGACCCGGACGATATTATGTCAAAGCTTCGTCCCGGTATCATACAGCTTCTCCCTAACAATAACGCTGGTAAACATGGGAGAAATATGTAACTTGTCTTTACATGACTTTTACGCTACTTCTGTATCGTCATGTGATCCCTTTCAGAAGTACATAGCTATACGTAGGTATCTGCTATTCTATGCCCTGCTACTTCTTGTATCTGTCGATTGCCATGGATACTCTTGCGCTTGAGGACTGCCTTCATGGCCTTCAACCCTATCAGAGATTGTTTGAGTAATAACGGTGGACACCGGAATAACATTTCTGTCATCCCTCTGCGACCCTTCCCATCCGATTGGTTGCGGCGATGATGTGACAATTTCCGGTAGCTTATACTGATACTGTTCTCGGTGGCTCCACGTAGGACTATTTTCTCGTTCTTTTAAAGCGTAGTCTCTTGGTGGAACTGAAAAGCTTCTTGGGCGGAGAAGCGACATGGATCGAAGAGAAGAGTATAATCTGCTCTGTGAAAAGATTTTGAGCCACCAACTGTACACACCTGGTGCGCAGCTAACGATGATTGTTCCAAAAGTGTCTACATATCTGTAGCGATCTTAGTATTAAGCCTTGCATCGTGATCACGTAACATTATAAGTGCAAACTTACGCGGTAATGGATACATTCGCTCCATTCCAGGTTGGATCGTCAGTGCTGTTCATGACAATAATTCTGTACGCGAGCCCAACAGTACTTGTAACAATGATGCTACACATGATATGTCGTTGTTAGTATGTAGACTCGAGGTTTCCAGCAAGTAGATGATGGAATGCGGAAGAACGAAACTTACGCAAAGCCGATTAGAAACACGATGAATAGGCCGCGTTTCTTATTCTTGTCCATATTGAGACTTGAAATAATAGGGAAAGGTAGGATGAAAATGGCAATGTCAATCAGCAGTATGCAAACGCCCACAGCTACAGTCACCGGCGCACCGGTACCGCATCTCATCATAAGCTTGAAATCCCAAATCTCGTGTCCATGCGGAACACACAGCACTGCGAATAGGCCTATATGCGTAATTGCTCCCATGGAAAGCAAGACGAAGAGGGCATAGCAGGCAATTCGAACCCATCGAAGGCTGCCAAATACGCGGATAAAAAATGCCAAGATGGAGGCTTTAGAAAGCCAGTTGCCGGTGGCACCAAAGAATTGAGATACTACATGCCTCTGCAGAAATTCGGGAAAAGGAGACATCGTTAGCTTTTCTTATGATGCTTTGTTGGGGAAACTTACCTTTAACACCCATGATGAGACAACGCTTACGGGCAGATCCGAAGCGTGTCTTCCAATACCTCTTCCCAGTTCTTTTAGTGAAGCATACGGAGATAAGCATCATGGCAATCATCATTGAACGATGGAAAAGCTCATTCTATGGAGAAAAGTTGGCTTACCGGCAGTCAGCAGTCCCCAATACACCAATACTACTATCTCTGATCCAAGACAAAAGCCTAACATTGTTAGATGGTTATTATTATGTTCAAATATAGAACAGAGCATAACTCTCTACTCACAATCATCTAGAGAGAGACGCCCGATGTGTTTGTAGGAAGCATAGAGACGCAAGGTGACAATGATTGCGCTCAAAGCAATGATGATGGATCCGATAGCTACATTTACGGGCGCCAACGAGGGGCCACTCATAAAGTCTGGCGGGCTACCATCTGGGTTTGGAGCAAGCGGCATTATTGAAGGATCCATGTTGCGATTAAAAAAAAATCGGGTTATCAGACAGCTAGCGAGCAATTGAATGCCTTTTTCTGTGAGAATGGAGCGATGCGAGGCATGAAAGGTTCGTCGGCAGAACGATTATATCCAAATGGAGAACGATTTCATTAGGGATGCGTGGACGGGCCGAAGCACCACATTTTTGTCTTAACAGAAATCAATCACCACAATCCCATTTGCCCCCATGACACATGAAGGAATCTTGGCGCGGGTAACACAAGGAAGATAGCCACAGCGCTGCGCCATGCCACATCGAGTCGAGCGCGATAGGGATGTCGGTGAACTGACACATTTCTATTTGGATTTTGTGTCGCCAGAATCCAATGCGAGGTAATACGAGGTCAGCCTGATCCAGATCCTAATGCGACTCCGTTATGTAAGGGAGATATACGTGTATGGCTGGAAGTGCTAGCGACGTTTATTTTCGGATGGAAGATCTTACTCCGTGAAAGGAAGTGATCTTCCCGCTGCAAAAGGACCATCAGGGGGATTCGAGTTACAGCCTTCGACATATCTCTGCAGTACATGGTGTGGAAGATGAACATCAGACGGAGAAGCAGACGGATTTAGTAACGAGCTACCGAATGTGATTCAAGTCCCGAATGATATCTCTTTATGCCTTGGTAGGGGCTTTGAGACGGACGCGTGTTGCTGGCTATGCGAGGATTCATCCGTCGGAATAGGAACAGATGTGTTCTTGCCTCTCATAGGATGACAGAGCTCAGCCTTGCTCGACTTAGACATCTTGGGCGCATTTTGATCAATATACTGTACTGTTTATATAAAAGCGATGAAGCTTCAAGAGTGTATATATGTTGACAGAGCACAAATTTCGTCCGCTACATTTAGATTAGGCCAGTTTTACATTTCTTCTCTGTGAATACAGATTTATCCATCTTCGCATCAATATTTCTTGCCAACTATGGATCAGTTAATCTCTTTTATCTTTGGCAGTTTTTGTCTCTGCCTACTCTTCATGCCTATTTCACCAAAGAAATATGACTATTCATGGAGTTCAGCCAAATCAGGCACTCTGGCATACATGCCAAGCCTATTTTCCGCAGTAAAACGGCATTTCGACGCCTGGATGTTTCTGTTTAGAGGTCCGAGTATGATTCAAGAGGCATATGAAAAAGTAATTGTCTTCTTTTGATCCTAATTTGTTCCATCTTGACCTACATCTCTAACTCAAATAATAGGCCGCGGGAAGCCCATTTTGGATTCAAGCTCCTGAGAATCGGTATCTCGTAGTCTCGTCATGGGACCACATCAAGGAAATTGATGCTGCCTCAGAGGACGTGCTCTCCCTTCAGGCCGCCGCCAAAGAGATCTTGCAGCCACGATATACGATGCAAAACTTTAATTGGTTTGACAAGAAAGGAGCGGACGGAATGCCGCTTATCAGAACGCTCAGAACTCTTCTCACGAATCACCTCCCCGACATCTTGCCAGATATTCGCCGGTCCATGTCCGTTCTCCTTGATCGCGCACAAGATTCACAGCCGATTGTAAACGGTAAGATATTACGTAGATATTGTACTGGGATGTCCTGTTAACAGTGAAAAAGGATCTTACACCTCGCCAGTATTTCCAATCATAATTGAAGCAATCTCTCTCACGAACGCAGCCGCCTTCTTTGGGAGCGAGATCAGTAAGTTGTCAAATCATACATACAATCTTGAGTATAACTGTTTCAGTGGCTAATTCTCCATGATCAGGTCACGATAAAAAATTTATGGCCGCGGCGATTGGCTTCATTGAACAAACACTTTTGGCTGCAGAAGCCATACGCGTGCTCCCCAAAGCCATCGCACCGTAAGAAAGATTTCGTATGTTGGCAGAGCATTTCTAACATTGACAAAACAGGTTAATTGGCAACATGATAGCAAAGAATCTCGGTTCTGGTAAGGCCATATACGATGCATTGATACCTATTGCCGAGGAACGACTAGAAGAGAGAGCGCAAAAGAAACTTGGACATGGTGTGCCCGAACACGTATGTACCTATCTCCTGGATGCAGACCTGCCATAATGTTTCATGCTGACAAGTATGACAGCATGACTGCATACAATGGGTCATGGAATGTTCGCCGCGATCAAGCCCATGGTCTGCGGAGAGGATAGTCCATGAGCTCATGGCACTTTGGTTCGGCTCAGTGCATATCACGTCCACGGTAACAAATGCCTTCATCCTATTCATGATCGTTGAAGCTAAAGATAGGATTATGTTAGACCGCTTGTATTGCTCTACATCATCTATGTCTTCACTCGGAATATATTGAACCTCTAAGAAACGAAATTGAGAGTACTGGATGGGCCCAGTTCGAACAATCAGGCGGCAAAGCCTTCCCTCTGCTGGACAGCTTCATGAAAGAATCCGCCCGGATCAATCCTGTAGAATCAGGTAAGCCGCATCAAACCCCCAAGAATATCCCAACAGCAATGAACACCGAGTAACAAGTATTTTAGTGAGCTCTCGTCGCATGGCTCTGAAACCGTTTGAGTTGTCCGACGGCACTAGAGTCGAGGCGGGCGAATGGATCTGCGCTGCTGCTCGAGGCATGATGTTGGATGCTCGCTATTACACGGCTCCGCATGAGTTTCAAGGCTTTCGATTCGTCGATCCCAGCATCCTAAAGACTCAGCTTGCAGACGATATTGTTTCACAAGTGCAAGGGACGCCATCCAACTTTACAGACATTGGTGACTGGCAGCTATGGGGCACGGGACGTTCTGCATGGTAAGCATTTCATGTATATTTTTATACGGCATCATCATCCCAAGACTGAGACAACCAGGCTGACACTGGGAACTAATGCACCCAGCCCTGGCCGATTCTATGCGACCGCAGTCATGAAGACGCTCCTTGCGTTGTTCATTACCAAGTACGATATGCAGCTTGAAGAGAAGGCCGCGGGCCGATACTTTGCTTGGCGCACTTTCATCTACCCGTATGCAAGTACCAAAGTGCTTCTCCGCCCTCGTGCTGCTCTATAGTTTTTTTGCCCGAAGAAAAAGAAGGGTTAGATAGATGTATCTGCTTAGTAGAGTTGGATGTTTTTTTCTTTTCTTATTTTGTATCGCTATAGACTAGAATGTTTAAATCACGTATCCATTGAATAAGCTTATCTCCCATTGAATTGCATCTTGCTTCTCTGACACAATCACATGGCTCCTTGTAAGCGACATACCAGAGGCGGAGTAGGTGACACAGCCGCCGGCTTCTCCAAGACATGTGCATCAGCCAGAGGATGCGATGATCATACACAAAACCAACAGCACGAGTGTGTCCATGCAGCCTGTTGGAGACAGTGTGAGGAGCTCGACGCGAATTTAAGGGAGCGATTTCTTCTCATTTCCGACCACGAATCCATCCATCGGGCTCCCATCCAGCCAACATTTCCCTCTACTAGTTCACGAACTCTACTTTGCATTATTGAACAACCTGCAAAGATTTACCCGATACCTACTTTTCTCGCCACCATGTTTGAACAGTTTGCTTGGCGCCATATCGTGCCTTTATTCGTCGCATCGGCTACGACATTCGGCGGCCTCTGGCCTTTTTGGGCACCGCGAGATGCCATGCTCGAATTCGGCCTGCCAGCGCGCATCGCCGACTCGCCCACTGCGCAGCCCGTCATGGTGGTTTCCTCGGCCCGTACCACCGCCCTGGGACTGCTGATGTTCATCTTCTACCAGCAAGGAAAGCTCGCTGACGTGGATACCATCATGACGGTAATGGGCGCCTATCTGGGCGTGGTTGACGGCTACGTGTGCTGGAAGGAGGGAATGCCCGACAAAGCTGTGTTTCGCTGTGTCTCGGGCATGGTGATTGCCGGCTGCGGGATGGTTGGATTGACGGAAGGATTCTGAAGGGAGGGGAGGAATAAGGGACCAACGAAGGATCCGAACCCCATGTCCGGAATAGAATTGCAATTCGAGAAACGGTTGGATGGCCAAGTTAGCTTAGACGCACGGTCACACAACCAGCTCCTGTGTCTCGCCGAGGGCCCTGGAGGATTGGTCCATGATGTGAGACATGGTTCAAAGATCGACAGAGTGCAGCGTAGCAATGGACAACTGAAAACAAATGACTGCCGGGTGAACATGCAGAGGAATGAGTGGCACTGGTTGCATCGTAAGGAAAGTCATGTTGGGGCAATGCAGGTAGTCGGACAGTTCACTAAGCCAACTCGCACACGCTGCGTAACATTGCGTCAAATGTATCGCAAATAGGATGATTACCAACAGCTTTCAAGTCTAAAGGTTGCCCTGCCGAGCGCGTCTGGATGGGTTAACGGCATATGGGCCTTCGTTCATTGCATACGAATTGGCCGTAGTAATCCTACCTGTCCGCGCCACCGAAGAAGTCGCGATATCGAATCAGCTATTTTCTATATACTGCAAAGCCACATACTTTCTTTGAACCAGGAGCCAAAAAGGGCAAAACATCGTATCCTGCGTATCGCAGCCGTTCTCCGCAAGCTACGAAGATGGCCGAGTCCGGTGGAATCATGAGCTCAGATGCTCCTGTTGACCAAGCCCAACTATCAGCAACAGAAAAGCACGAGGAAGAAATTCAGGTTGCCCAGCCGGAGACGTTCAAGCACTCATGGCGAGTGTGGTGTGTCTTCCTTGTTCTATGTCTGCTATCCTTCATTTCTGCCATCGATGCCACCATCGTCACCACTTCCCTACCAACCATCACGCGCGACATTGGCGGTAGTAAAGAGTACGTTTGGATCGTCAATTCATTTCTCTTTACGTCGACGGTGCCGCAGCCACTCTTTGGACAAATCTCCGACATATTTGGCCGGAAGAATCCCATGATCTTTGCCATCGCTCTATTTGCCATAGGCAGTGGGCTCGCCGGTGGTGCCCAGAGTCCTGGGATGCTTATCGCTGCTCGAACCATCCAGGGTCTCGGCTCAGGAGGGCTTTATGTGCTCTCCGACATCATTGTTTGCGACATGGTCCCTCCCAGGCATCGCGGCCCTTACCTGAGTGCCATCCTTTCCACTGCAGCCATTGGAACGACTATTGGGCCTATCATTGGTGGTGCGCTGGCATTGAAGAATTGGAGATGGATATTTTGGTTGAACCTCCCAGCATCGGGACTTGGTTTTCTCGCCATTGTCCTCATTCTCAACGTCAAATATAAGCGCAGCCCAACCTGGCGCCATGCTCTCGCTCGAGTTGACTTCCTCGGCAACGCCATCTTCGTCCCGTCCATGGTAAGCATATTCTTTGGGCTGATTATGGGCGGCACGCGTGGCTATCCGTGGAAATCTTGGAGGATAATCTTGCCACTTGTCCTTGGAGTCCTTGGCTGGATCACATTCCATATACATCAAGCCTCGTCAATTTGTCGAGAACCAAGCATGCCGCCTCGGCTATTCAAGCACCGAACATCGTCTGGGGGGTTCATCATCATCTTTCTAGGAGCAGTTATCCTCCAAGCCGTCAACTATTTCTTACCCGTCTATTTCCAGGGAGTGAAGGGAGTAACGCCTTTGATGTCAGGTGTTTATTTCTTGGCTTTTGCTCTCGCCATCATGCCGTTTGGTGGAATGGCCGGAGTCTTCATGTCCAAGACTGGTCTATATATACCTCTGCATTGGTTAGGATTCGCACTCAGTGCCATCGGCATTGGCTTGTTCTCGACATTGGATGAAAATTCCTCTCGAGCGGCGTGTATTGGCTATCAAGTAATTGCTTCGGGTGGTACTGGCATCATCTTCACAGCCACATTGCCTTCTACACTGGCGGCGCTTCCCGAGTCAGATGTGGCCGTTGCGACCGGTACCTATTCCTTTGTGCGGTCATTTGGGCTTGTTTGGGGTGCTACCATGGCTTCTATCGCTTTCAATGGAGAAATCAACTCTCACATCGATTCTGTCAGCGACCAAACAATACGCAATTTGCTTATAGATGGTGGTGCATACGCGTATGCTGCGGTACAACATGGTGGCATATCCGACTTACCAGAGCCTAGCCGAGATCAGGTAATTAATATTTATGTAAGGGCTCTCAGGGTAGTCTGGTGGATTGTCACATCTATTTCTGTATTGGGATTTTTATGCACCTTTATTGAGAAACATGTTGAACTTCGCAAAAGCCATTCCACAGAATATGGGCTCGCGGACAAGGAATCTACCACGAATAGTCTGGAAAAAGGCGGGGAGCAAGTGGTATCAACTGTATCTGAAAACACCTGAATAAACAGCAGGATGACAGATCGACATACTTTCAGCATTACTTCTCGAAATAGAGTCTCTTTTGATGACCGAATAATATAATTTCTGGTAATCTATAAGCTTGATATATATTTGTGTGTCTTATAACTATCTTATTGTTGCACCATTTTGGGAACGATCTCTAGGCTACCACGATATATGCCGCTTTATCTCTTTCGTTTGACTTTTACTTTTACACGATTCCGGGTACTCGCCGATAAGTCGTCAGAATTGAAAGACGTTGAGGGACTGTGGCTGTCGTGGGTCAGGCAACAATAGATGACAGGTTCTAAAGCCATTAATGCTAGTGAGAGACCTTTTAGTGCTGATAGGCTCAATGTGGATTCCTAGTTCTGGCAGTTGTTTGGACAATGGGCGGGCACATGTAGTTGCAGAGCATTAGAGCCTTGGAAATAGGCTTTTTACAGTGAGTTATTTAGTATTTGCCCCTAAGCGCTCTAAATCCTGCGAAATACATAGTTGGCGAATTCCTTAGTTGCAGATCTAGTGCAAGGCGTATATTCCTAGCAAGCCAGATATAACAACGATATCATCTAGTAACGAATTTAGCATCGCGAGTTTGTCATAAAAGGTAATGATGAACAGCAATTATTAAAGAGAAGGAGGAATTGTTCTTGATACTGGTTACCTATCCACTTACACAAGTAATCAACGCACTGCCGAATCTCTTCGAGAATAATATTTAACCTTCATTCGGAGATTAATACCAAAACACTAAATAGCGTCACGTCACTGGCGCATACCAAAACGAGTAATCGTTTCGATTGGCATGTACCCCGCAATATGTGCCGCTTGATCCGCGTAAGAGCTTCGCCGCGAACTATTTACGCGTGTAGACAAGAAGGATTCGAACATAGCCACTCCTATTTAAGGTATCGGATTCTGTCAATCATTCAGCCACTTCCTATTTGTCTTGAAATAAAGGGGTCGTTGATCGAATATTTGATGTTAACAAATCCAAATCCAAGGTTTATGATAATTGCGGATAACCAACAAACATGTCGGGCAATGATGATTACAATGGGTGTGTATAAGTGGACTGAGGATCAAAGTATAACTATATCACGAGATAATTCTAATTCTCCATTAGGTATCTGCAACCCAGAGGTAGAAGAGGAAGAGCCTATCGGGGCCAATATGACGATGATGGAAATGGGAATTTATCGCCATCGAGCTCTCACTCCCAGAACGGTAGACCTAGAGGGCTGGTGAGCGGCCTTGTCAGAGGCGTGGCGGCGGGTATAGGTCTGGCCTCTGAGAGCTACCATAATCACAAAGAGAAGAAGAAAGCCCAAGAAGCTGCTGCCACAGCTGGAGAAAGCTCAAGGTCGGCCGAGAATGATGGAGAGCAGCCGCAGCGCCACAGCTCTCACCAAAGCGAGGAGTATGACTCTTCAGATAGCGATGAACATGATGGACCCATAAAGGTTGACCCTGAGACATCTCGAGATTTGGAAGAGGCAGCGTGGAACCTTGATGCTGCTCAATCACAGCTGGAGCCACCGCCCGACTATGCTACCGTCATGGAACAAGACATTGACGCCAATACGATGGCTGAAGGCTTTGTACGGAATCATATGCTGCCACCAGGCCACTATCAGAAACTACCAATGCTTGTGATCCTTCCGCAACGGCGGCCAGGAGACCGCGCTCGTGGATTCATACATGCTTATGCACCGCTACTACAGAGCGTGGGCATTGACCAGACGACATTCATGGACTTTATGAAAGAGCTCAATCTGGCAACTGCCCCATCGCCATGGATCAACGCCATCAATCTTGCAGCTGTTGCCGTACAGCACGTTCCCGAACCCATCACAATTGCCGTTTCCATCGCCGCACAGGTAACCACCCAAGTGAGCCTCCAAGCACACAGCCGCTCCAAGACGAACGCCTTTCTGAACAAAGTGAACGCCGAATTCTTCCGTCCGCTTGGACTGATAGCCATCATCTTGACCTGGAAGCCGAGCAAGCCTGGCGAGGTCGTCACGCAGGTCACCTTTGACGCAACCATTGATCAAGCTGCACAGAATGTTTCAGGGTCAGGGTCAGGAGGAAGCAGCGGAATCCGTAACAAAATGCAAGCTTCGCACGGAACCACAAACTTTGAGTGGCCCGAGTCGGCACCGTTGGTGTTTCCAACTCTGGACAAGCTCTCTGCCACTCCTGAAGGACGACAGGCTGTGGAAGATGCTGAAAAGAAGCAACCCAACGGCATGAAGCGCAGCATGCTGTTTGCGATGGACTACATGGATAAAAGAGCTCAGGCTCAATGGGCCAACGATCATCCAGAGAGCCAGCTTGCTCAGTTGGGCGTCAAGCCCGAGTTTCACTCGCGCTACGCGGATCCCAACCATCCGGCTAGCAGTGGCAGCCTCTTCGCTTTGCTGACGGGCGGCGCCATTGGCGGCGGCGTGAGCGATCGGAGACTAGGCAAACGTGCTAGAAGAGACGCTCGACGCGAACGGAGAACAGACAGGAGAGAGGCAAGAGGGCCGACTATCTTGGGGACCGTTGGACCTGGGGCTCTGATTCGCGGTATCAAGAAGTTTATAAACGAGGTTCGTTCTGACGTGTTCGATCTATTGCTTTTTTGAATTAGATTTTTTTTTAATTTCGTTCAAAACATTTATGAGAACATTTTGCTAATATCTTATAGGATGTTTTGTATCTCATGATCACCAACTTGCCGTCAGCTGAGGAGATGAGGGCGGCTGAACAATTCTTGCAGGCACACCCTCTACAGGGTTGAGTTATGGAAGAACAGAAATACATGGTATTAGCATTAAATTGTAGTCTCATCTTACAAGCTCTCAATGGAGCTTTCTTAATATCTTCTTCTCTTCTGATTCGCCATTTTACGCATTCGGCACAATGATTAAAGATGTTAAATCGTAAAGCAAAGAAGCGCCTAGCGAGGTTGAAATGATGTCGTTATCTCGGCTGTTGGCGAGATTATTCAAAGCTATCTTACGATCAAGCGAAGACTCTCGTAGGGTCATAAGAGATAGCCGATATTGACTACCGCCAACATACGCATTTAAGCCAGGGATGGCGTAGCTATTTCCCAGATCGTATACTCCGTACTCCGCAGAGACCGGCGTACTCCGCAAATATGCCAATTCGAGCAGTGCAAAGGCCGCTAGCCATGGGAATTTCGCTTCTCTTGAGAGAAATGTTGTACAGGGATATGTCTCCATCTTGGAGCGCAGAGCAGCAAGCGGAGGCCGAGTTATTGGTAACATTTTGATATGTAGAATAGAGCAGCGTCTTGTATCAAATGTGAAAATAATAATGGTTTATTACTGTAAGTGTATAGATACATTATCACTAGGGCTTCGTTCTACAGTTCATCTGGAATATAATCCAAGTTATCTTTCTACCACTATAGAAGGCTAGAGCTTCGGCAAATAGCTAGATTGCGCAATCCCGTCCTGCTGATCAATCCCATTATGTAATTGTTTTAGATACGGTCATCTGATCCAATGCTTCTTGTACGGAGGTTAACTTGCCCACTTATGTGCCAGAGATGTTGGTGATAGCGATGCAGACGGACAGACATGCAGGCTGCTCCAGTAACGTAAGAAGGAAATACATTTACTAATGGCTTCTTCTTTAGAGATATGTATACTTGCTCATTGCTTTCCCTTCGATTTGGTCCCTCTTACTATATTGGGGAAACCGAGCCTGTCAATGAGTGACAGCCAACATAGACTTCTGATTGAAACAAAGAAACTTGTGAATTTCATGATTGATCCAATGAAACTGTTATCGGAACATGTTCTACGTGTACTCGTCTATATTCACTTCAACTCATTGTAAGCCTACAACCCCTCTCTTGTTAAGGAATGAACCGGCACCTCATCGAAGCACCCAGCATCGTACACCATCTCAGCTCCAGCCTCACCATAAGCTGCACTCTCCACCACACATACAGTCGCCGCTCAGGTCCAGCACATCCCTGCTTGATCCAAGGCGCTGGCGAAGATAAGCAGCTCTTCTCCGCAGGAGGCCGCACATATCCTTGGCGGCGCTTGAGTACGCCAGCTGCATTCGTGCATGGGCGGACTTGCCGCTCTCGCCTGTTCCCATGACCCTCAACGCCTCTGCATAAACCTGTTCGCGCTCTTCGTGATCGAGATGGGCTGTGCGGACTCGCTTAGGTCGGGGCAGCTCTTGACACCGCCGCCTCACCGAATCCCTCAGAGCCAGCAGGTCAGCCGCATCGTCGGGGCGAATCCGACGGTCGCGGCACAGGTTGGAGAGCAGACCCATGGCCTCGCACGAGTCCGGCGAACTCGTCTCATCGCCCGAGCACGCACACAAGTCTCCGCCAGACCGCTCAAAGGTGGCACAGGCACTGCCGGCGACGCAGCCGATATCAATCGTCCCGCGCGTATCGCGGAGCACGACTGCTTCGAGCGCATCGCACAAGATGTCCATGCAGGCCGCGACACCCTCGTATCCAGCCACGGCGCCCACCGCAAAGTAGCAGTTGTCCGTAGAGCCCAGCCGGGTGTCTGCGCAGAGATCACCCACGTCGTGGCCGAGAGCTGCTGCGACGCACATCCACGGCGGGAGCTTCTCCTGCCAGTCCTCCTCGCTGCCAAGCTCGTAGTGCATGAAGACATCCCACTGAACTCCAAACGCCCAAGAGCGCAGCTCCAGGCCTCGCATCAGGCCCAGCGTCGAGATGCATCCGGCGTGCCAGTCCAGGATGGACGGTCCAAAGTGGACAAGCAGCTCGATGAAGGAAAAGGTGAAGCGCCCCAGGTTTGCATGGCGCGCAAGGTCGCCGGCAAAGTCCGTGAAGTCGCTGTCCCGGACAAGGCCGTGGTCCAGGGCCGTGAGATAGACGCCGAGCAGCAACAGCTCCAGGCCTTGCTCCAGCGTGTTGACGTGGTTGTTCAAGAAGAAATAGTGCAGCAGCACCGTCTCGACAGAGCCACGCGCGCCCTTGGCGATTTCCTTGCTGGCCTGGCCGCCTTCTTTAGCGATGTGACTGCGGCCCGGCCCGGCCAGCCACATTATATCCGCGAAGATTTCCGGCGTCGCTCCCGACCACATGGCGCGCTCATATGCAAAGTCGATTTTTTCCTTTGTGAGAGCTCGAGATGATTCCTTCTCTGGCTTTGGAGCGCCATTTGAAGTGCCATTTGCAGCTCCAGGCTGGCTCTTGGATGCTTTAATCCGTCTGGTGGCCGACCTCAGTTGTCTCGCCGTCTCAACGGGCTGGTTCTTCAACGATCTGCGCTTCTTGGCCGATGCTCTGAGCTGGCTTGCAGACGCCTCCTCGGGTTGGCCCGTCAACTTGGCAATGGCCACCTCGATCAGCACCGCCTGCGACTGGCCGCTCGATTCGTGCTTCCGATTGCCGCAGGAACACCAGTGTCTCATAGGCCCGGCGTCGTCTTCGATGGGCTGCTGGCGCTTATACGCACCAATGGCAGCAGCATCTGACCCTTCGGGCTCGCGCAACTGCTTCGCAGCATTGTCAAGCGCCCAGGATGCCCAACCGTTTTTCAAGGCGTACAGCGAGATGGTGTCGCACAGATCAGCCCTGCGGGACTTGTCTTCACACCTTCCGGGCCGCTCCACCCCTCCGTGATGCACGACTCGTCCACTTCCATCCAAGGACCGCAGTGCTACGGTGTCGTCACGGCACGCAAGCTCTTCGCGCAGCTTCCTCAAGAACTTGCTGGGGAGGGGCCTTTGAAGCCCGGAGGCACATCCAACACAGACCCCCACGCCCTCCCAGCAGACACTGATCTTGCATGACTGGCATACCGCGAGGTTGGCATCATCCAGTGTGACACCGCTCCAAGACTGGCCCTTGGGAGGCCAAAGAGCAACACGATTTCTTGACTTGGACATTCTTTTATATAATTAGACTTGAGTGAATATGATTTAAAAAAAAGTAATGTTTCTGCCTGCTCTGCGCATTAATGCGGGCAACTGCGGGCTACTTATATAACGCTTGAATAGTGGCATGACGGCGGGGAACCGTCTCTGCCGGCGGCTTCTCTCGATCACACCGCGGCAGACGGGTTATGGACATCGTTGTTTAGCAAGATGGATCAGTAGCACTTCCAAGTTCGCCATTGGCCAGCTAGCCTTGCGTTATCAGCAATGCAAACGCATGTTGGTTGACCCTCGTAACTCGTTCTCCATCCATGATTACTAGTTCTCCATACGGGTCGGACAACATCTGCGGGGTCAAGTACGCCCAGAGGCTCGGAAGGACTCTGCTCACCGGACATCTACAGCTTGAAGATGGATTCATGAAGCCGAAATCAACAGGATTGCTCTGTGATAGCCTCGAGCTAGATCAGGTGAGAACCAAGGCATAGTAGTGTATCGTACAAGTAACATTTCTCGTGGTCAGTTGATGTGACGGCACATGTACCTGGTTCATATGGAACGACATGATTGGCCTCTGGCTAGATATTCATGTGTCCCGAAAACCCCAAAGAACCGAAATGTCATCACCGAAGGGTGGCTGTACAATTACGATATCTTTTCATGGCTTTTCGGAGCCATTGTGGAGGGCCTGGTCCTTCTGATTGGCTTCCAGCTGCATGCCTGTGAGTAAATATTGGCGCACCTTCTGCACGATTTTTCGTTTTGGTCATGCATGCATGTAACCATGCCTAGGCAGGGTAAGTTTCATGCATGGACGGGTCGCATTCAAGTAGAGAACACGTTTATAAACGATTTCCATAGATTAGCTACGTATTATCGCGGTTCGAGAGCTGAAGGCTGCATTAGCGCTGGCCAAGCCAAGGCTGTCATAAATAAAATCCCGCTTTGCTGAAAACCCCCGGCTCAGCATGGTTTCTGTGATATCACCAACTCTGTGCTTTCCTTTTTGCGACGGTGGCACGTGTGATAGACCTCTACAAAAAGCTTCTTCGATTCACCCAGGTGAACAAGATCTGCGCAACTACACGTCCGTATCGGGCAGTTTATACACCCTCAAACCCGCGATAATCAGGCCACTTTTTCGGTTTCTTGCAGTTGGCTACCCAACAGGCCGTCATTGTTGACACGCATAGAATTCGAGAGTTATACGGCAACGCCATCGTCGTGATGGAGGATATACTCCGTCTCTGGGTTGCCATCGCAGCTTTGGGCGCTTATATCAGCATCAAGACCATCTATCGCCTTTACTTCCACCCGCTGTCCCATATTCCCGGCCCAAAGCTGGCGGCATGCTCACATCTCTATGAATTCTACTACAATGTCATTCTTTCGGGCAAATATTTATTTGAAATGGAGAAGATGCACCAGAAATACGGTTAGGCGCGTTCTGCAGCTCTCTTCAAGTGACTCTACTAAAGGGCGGATGACATAGGACCCATAATTCGCATCAACCCTCGTGAGATTCACATTAGCGATCCCACCTTCTATGATGAAATCTATGCTTCAAGTAGCCGAAAGAGGGAGAAGGACCCCCAGTTCGTGCCTACGTATGCTTTGCCTGGCTCCATGGTGGCATGTGTGAGCCATGAGCTTCACCACCTCCGTCGAGGTATTTTGAAGGATTTTTTTTCGCGGCGTTCCGTCTTGGAGCTTTCAGAAATGATGAATGAGCGAGTCCAGGCCCTCATGAAACGCCTGGATGGATTTCGGATTGCCCAAGCTACAGTACCCATTGATGATGCTTTCTCGGCGCTAACATCCGATGTTATCACGTCCTACTGCTGTGGCAAGCACTGGGGATTCATAGAGGACCCTGATTTCCGCAACGATGTCCGCTTAGCCACTGCGGATGCGGCGAGCTTTACTCACGTTTCCCGATTTTTCCCCTGGCTAGTAACCCTATCGACTCATCTCTCGCCACGGACACTGTCTATCCTTATGCCGGGAAAAGCGGGACTATTTGAATTCCTCGAATCCTTCTTAGAGTATGCGCGGAAGGGCATTGCGACAGGGAAGAGGAAGTCGATGCTTGCCACCCTGGCGGATCCGAGCATCCCGCCGCAAGAAAGAACTTTCCATCGGCAGAGAGATGAAGCGTTTGGCATCATTGGTGCCGGAACGGAAACAACAGCGACTGTGCTAACTGTGGCTTTCTACCACCTCGCCCGGGATAATGCGGTGAGGGACAAGCTGCAGGCGGAGCTGAAACAGCTGATGCCTACGCCGGACAGCACACCGACCTGGATTGAGCTCGAGCGCCTACCTTATCTAGTATGTGAAAAGAATATCCCCCCCCCTGGCCGGAAGAAATAGTTGCTTATAACTATACCACTAGGATGCTTTCATCAGCGAATCCCTGCGTATGGGCTCCCCAGTACTAGGCAGGTACACGCGCGTTGCGCCGACAGAGACTCTAACATACAAGAACTATGTTATTCCACCAGGAGTAAGCGATAAACGCCTAATAACCCTCCCCTCTCATCTCGGTATGCTTGATTTGTCTAATATTATGCCGAAGACTCCAATGAGCAGTGCCTCCTATTTCGTCCACAAGGACGAGACACTCTTCCCGGACCCCGACGCCTTCCGCCCCGAGAGATGGATTGAAGCGGCCGAGAGAGGTCAGAATCTCAAAAAGCATCTAGCGTCTTTCACCAAAGGAAGCAGAAACTGCATAGGAATCAAGTAATTATAACTTCACCCATGTGATGCCGAGTGATATAGCCTGCTCTGCCCTTTGCTGACCACAGCTCTAGTCTTGCTTACATGGAATTGTTTCTCACCGTTGCAGCTTTTGTACGCCGGTTTAATCTAGAGTTGGTTGATACAACGCCAGATGATGTTCGTGTTGTCCGAGAATTCTTGATAGGTTTTACGAACAAGGGCAGCATGAAGGTCAAAGGGAGGTTGACGCTTGTTGATGACGAATAGAGAGATAACACAACATGAGCCATACATACGCAGAACGTGCCCCTAACTCAATGTATGCTAGCCCTGTCCCCAGTACCCAGTACCCGTCACAGAGTAAAACGCAATCTGGTAAAAAGTCATCGCAAGCCACAAGCAGATGAGAGCCGTCTTAGGTAATTCACCATCCCAATTTCTCGGGTTACAGTCCACACTTGTGCATCTGTGACATGTGCCAACAGGACGCTGACAGTCTCTCATTGGTTACCAATCTGAAGGATTAGCCCCTTTAACAGCACTCCAGCGGTGTAAAATTGCTTGGTGCCATTGCCAGAGTGGAGTCTCTCGGCGGCGGGAGTCTGATGTAAAGCCGATCGACCCCTGCTCAGCGGATGCGCTATCCAAGCACCCAATTGCGGGTGAGCATCATCTTCCAGACACCACGCCGCCGTTGGCTCTCAGTTGGCGATGTGAACAGCCCCAATTCGCCACTGCCGGTGCGGACAATGCAATACCGCTGGAAGAACTAGACGCCAGGAGACTTTGCCGAGGGCAATGACTAGAGCCGATCCGTCTTTCTTTGAGCCTTAGGCCTCGAGAACAAGTAGCGGGCGCCATCTTTCGACTAGCCTCTCTCCCTAGTGGAGTTAAGTCTTCGATCCTGGCCTGGGTACTTTGCTAGCCGGCTTTCAGCTCGACTGGTTTAAAGGACCGTCCTTGCGGCGGCTTCCGTTGACCCTCATCGCAACGTCTGAATCAACCACACACCTCGAACCTCGCAAGAAAAGATGGGAGTGCCGCCCAACTCTCTACGTAGACATGGCGAGCGCAATGCTCTGCCGGATCTCAGGGACTTCCAGTTCACCTTTGACTTCCACGATGCCATTGAGCCGGATGTAGGTTGCCGCGCCGCCAGATCCCGCCACGCTGCCATATGCTCGAGCATTCATGTACTGACTCTCTGCCGCAGCAGTTCGCCATGAGAATGATGTAAGCGTCTTGTGAGACATTCAGTTGCGCTGCTGGACTCTGACTTACCCGCGTGTCCCGTGCGCAGAGACGACGATGAATCTCTATCAAGCAGCGTGCTGGACTATCCCGAAGAATTCGGCCGCACCTATCACGCTTACCATGCGGGCTGTAAGACACCTCGCCCTTATCCTGGCAGCTCGACTCCGGATCAAACTGACAACGGCTGTTTGTGATGCTCAGCATACGTTTATCCTAATGACCTCACGGAACAAGAGCGCCTGGCGCTTCAAGGGCCCATCATCAAGAGACTATTCGACGATAGGCTCTATTTTGCCCCGCTCTCGCCATCGGATCCTCCGCAATTCATTCTCGACATCGCTACCGGTGTGGGGGACTGGGCCGTCGAGATGGGCGACTTATTTCCTTCATCGCGGGTTGTTGGCACGGACCTGTCCCCGATCCAACCAGACATGGTACCTCCAAACGTTGAATTCTACGTTGAAGACTCGTAAGTGGCCCAACCAACCAACAGACGCGCCATGAAACTCGCCCCCCCTCCCCACTAACCCGATGCTCAATCTTGTAGATCGGAGCCGTGGAGTTACTCGGATAAGTTTGGCTATATACACACTCGGCTCACGGCCGGCTGCTGGAGCTCCTTCGAGGAGCAAGTTGCCCAGCAGGCCTTTGACGCGCTCGAACCTGGCGGCTGGTTCGAGGCACAGGAAACCGAAGCCTTTTTCTGCTGCGATGACGGCACCATGGACCCCGACGGCCCCATGTGTACATGGTTCCAGGAAATGAGAGATGCCTGCGAGAAACTGAATCGTCCTGCAACGTTGGGCTCCAGCCTAAAGGAAATGTTCGAGAGGGTAGGCTTCGTCGACGTGGAACAGCTTGTCTTTAGACTACCGCTCAACGCGTGGCCAAGGGATGAGCGGCTCAAGGACCTGGGCTGGATGTGGGGACAAAATTTCTCGCAGGGGTTGAACGGGTTTTCCACCCAACTCATGAATAGAGCGTATGGCCGTACTCAAGACGAAATTGAGGTTTGTAGACTCGGAATCCCCTCACTTCACCATTATTATGCTGACTTATTGCCCTACCTAGCTATCACTCGTCAGAGTCCGGGAAGAAATTCTCGACCCACGTGTACACGCTTATATGCCCATTTTCGTGGTGTTTGGAAGAAAGCCCTTTATTGGAGAGATGGTTGAGTGAAAGCTGCAACAAACACAAGCATACTCATGAAAAAAAGGAAAGAAAAAAAAAAGAAAGAACACGTGCTCGTATATATGTATATTTTGTTTCGTTGAGGATGCTGATTTTCCTGCTCCTCTGATTTAATAGCTTTTTATAATAGGTTCAGGGTTGAACCAGGTCTCGGCTGGATGGAAAAGGACGGTTAGGATAAATAGGTATATAGATAGGGTTTTTAATTGTTCATACGGAAAACCACTTACATCGTGAAGCGACTAATAGATTCCACAAGTACCAAGTGATAATCTTTTTCGTTAGGAAAAGGCTGCCATAGCTAACAACCAGGTATTTAGCCGCTGAATTGCTACGTGACCTTTTTGAGAAAGGCCGTCTTATTTCTTATGTAATGCGTTCTGGTCTCGTATCAAAGTCGCTTCATCCATAAATCTGCGTGATTCGGGCTACTTATCCTTTTCCTCCGGAATCTGTAGAAAACAAGAGAGAAAACGATTTACTACGTCTATCAATAGACGATTCCGGTTTGAGTTTTTGCTTAAGTGGTAGGCTTCAGTTGAAATAGTAGCAATTCATCAGGATGAGGCTCCGAACCAACTGTCCCTTGTAGTCAGCCGCCTTAATTTTACCTATACCAGCACTGTAATATTATGAACTTGCTTTCATCAGCCACACTTGAGGGCCCGCTCCCTTGATATTCCGGGAAGTGATATAGAGCTGCTGATACACGTGTCAGTCACCAAGATGAAAGAAATCTTCAGCAATTAGACTCACAATGTCCTAACGGGATCAAGCTATGTGACCGTGAATCATTATCCCATTTTAAAACGCCACTTGTACATAGCACTGGCGACCATACCCCCGAAAGCCCCTTTGCATCTCGGATAGCCAGTACCCAATCTGCAATGGGCCAACTATCGACTCTGGTGGAATGGAACTTCTTTTGTGCCTCCAGTTTCTCTTCATTCGATACCATGATATCCTCCTGCATCTGCACACTCCAAAAGCATCCTTGGCTTGAAGCTGAATTACGAGGCTATATCCAAACTCATAATCAAGCTCTATTAGAGGCACAGGAATCGTCTTTGATTCTCCTGGCTCAACTCCGAAAATGGTATGCTCGTTGATTTTTCTGTCGTCTGATTGGTATATTCCCACTGGGAGAGGCATTCTGAAGTAGATGATTTAAAAAATCCATCTTAGTAAAGACGAATCACCCTATTCACCGGGGATGAGAGCATCATTAGCCTCCATTTCATACACGGCTGGATCAGGCTCATAAGTAATGTGGCCAGAGTCAGGCATGCCGAAGAGATTGGGTAGCAATTTTTCATCCTTGGTAGAGTCTTCGTCGGATCCCTCGTCATTCATATCCAACGACACACCAATCTTACCAAGCTCAATGTGTGAGGGCCAATCACTGCCTCTGCAATACCAATCATGTAGCTGTTGAATTGTCCAGTGAAATGTTCGTGGTGAATCGAAATGACCGACTGCAAGAGACACAACAAGCTCGACCAAGGGTTGCTTGTTGGATATGAACAATTGCTTTATAACCGCCTTTAGAACCTTGAGACCGGCTTGACGTTACATCTTCATATTTAAATTTGGACAGAGGATGGAATAAACGCGAATTCGCTCCTTCAACGCCAAGAGATCTGTGCAAGGTCCAACGTTCCATAGAATTCCTCTTGTCATAAGCTTACCATTGATGATGAAGGAAGGATTCTCAATACTGGCAGATCTTCCGCGCAGTGCATTTATAGTGTACCCATCACTGCAGCGGGAATAAACAGAATCATTACCTGATGACAGCCAAAACACCTCATTTGGCCGAGGAGTGAAGATGTTCAAAGTCCTGTTAGTGACCAGGCTGAGGTCTCCATTTGCAAATGTCAATGCGATGAAGCATGCAGTGAAGCTTATATCAGGATGCTCCTCAATAAGCTTGGCCACGCCGAGGTGGTAGGTATAGCGTGATATATTGGCCAGAATGCTCAGCCTATCCAAAGTCATGAGATTGCGCTTCTTGTCTAATAACAAAAAAGCACCAATCATTCCCACCGTGTGGTGATCAGTTCGAGGCCGCTCAGTGAGGGAATATCTGTAGCTCGAATAATCCCTATCGCAATCTCCAGAGGTTCGGCTTTCCTGCATGGGATCGTTGTCTGCGTCATGTAATTCATGAATCGGCATACTGCTTGCTCACGCATCAGTCGTCGGCGATTCCAACGCCCACATCGACTGCATTAATATTAGCCACTGTTCCCAGATTGGTGACGGCTTCAATAATAGCGGTCGCTGTAATAATGGTCTGGAGACTTACGTTGATTAAGCGGGGTCAGATCATTTGTTGCTCCTGCCGATGAGATTGAGCCCTGATGCGAAGGCCCTTTATTCGGAGCTTGTTGTGCCATTGTGCCCAATATTCACAGGTATAAAGCCATGCTTCAGTCCGAAATGGAATAAGGACAATTGAAGCCGCGTCTTCATTCTGGAAGCCTTTTTATTGTTGAAGTCTTCCATGGGGTGTGTGCCTTGTAGCGGGGTCGCAACTACACCAATTTTCATATGCTATGATGTGCCAAGGCATCATCCAAAGTGCCATATAAGGGCCCATTGATTGACAATTAAGTGGCTGTTTAGAGCAGCTCTGCATGTTGCGTAGCAGCTACCCGATTCCCAAACAATCCTCTCCCAAATGAGCATCAGCTGCCTCTACAATGTTGGAAGGAACGACATTGGGACGTTTGCTTATTAGAGTTCCATTACCTAGGTAGGTCTGTAAACAGACTTACATACCTGTAGTTCGTACGTAACACGGGCAACGTAATGATTTCTATCTCCATGTTCAACATATTCATTCCCATCATTTTGTTCAACGTAGAAGCCCCTACGAGGGAGGTTGATGCATCGAGCTCCCCTTGAAGTCATCCAGTTCTATCAAAACTTCTTTAATCGAGCAAGCAAACATGCCTGTCACAGTGACAATCACTAATCACGCAGCTGAGAACTGGACAGCCCCCAAAGTGACGACAGACAGCGAGCTTCTGAAGGAAGCCCATCCAAAACAACATGAGACTATGAAACGTATTTAGCAAAGCTCTTTCAGTTCCAGTCTCTTCAGTGGATCCCACATCTCAGCGTCGCCCAACGGATTTGTTTATTCTGCTTACATCGCATATACCAAACACCATCACCTTACCATCAGGCCTGATGATGTCTGGTTCGCGATACTTTCGCAATTTGGATTCTATGTCAAGAGGAATTCAAAGGAGCTCCGTAGCTTGATGGTTGCAGACGAGGGGGCAAAGCCAGTAAATCACAGTTCCGTTGGGTTCAAAAGCGTGTCTGGAAGCGATCGGACCCTTATTCATGTGGTACACAATTCAGCCGTCCGCGCCGCCAAGGATCCAAAACTACTCGAATGGGCTATGCCATCGTTCTCGACCACGACCGATACTGACCGCGCTGTTGCTACAGTGCTGCTTATGGGAACGATGCAAAAATACTACAGATGTGATTTAGTAACAAATTGCGGACTGCCTTCTGTGACGCTTCTGGGAGAAATCGAGGACTGGCGAGAAATCCGTGACAGACTAGATTACCTGTGTCAGTTTGGTGACCAGCCGTCAGAGTTCGCCGATATGTTACGTCCAATATTGCGGCACATGATCCATTCGTTTACCCATCCGACCACTGAAGAGATCATCACTTTTTGGAAGGCTATTGCAACGGATTTCTCACTCGGTGTCATTGGTGAAAATACGAAAATAACTGGTTGGATCACAGCATTTTGCTTCTGGGACGAAGAGGGAAAAGTGGAACTTCGAAGGCCTTGGAACACTCTGCTAGATGGAGAGAATTACCCAGCAATTCCAGTGAACAGGATACCCGCAGGCTCAGCTTGTGTTCCAATGAAAGCAATAATACATGGCAATACGATCGAATGCACAATGATTGCAGGTTCTGTTGGAATCCAAGCCTCCTCTCTGGCGCAACAGGAAGTCCCAGAAGCAATACCCAGCAGATCCACAGAAGATGAAGTATCATCATCAAAGCCAGACACAGATGGTCTACAAGTCATCCAGCCAGTATCAGGGTGGTGGGTCTTCATGAAATAACATCTCTGAAAGGGTCGAGATGTCAGCAAAAGAGGCAACGGGAATATTGAATTTGGTCATGAGGGCTATCATTGCCTGGGTATTAACTAAGCTTTTAATCTCGGCACGGAAACAAATCGGCGCTCAGCATAATAGATATACCTTCCAATACAAGTATTGTCCAGTTCCAAGTTCACTTGCCTCTCCCGATGCATTCTGTTTATTCAGCATGAAAATACACTCCTCAAAAGTATGAATACCGTGCTACACATGCAACCGTAGGAAGTGGAAATTCCGGATTCCCGTCAAGCTCTCTTCGTGAGTTGGGTGTCTTTCATTTTTTGCATCACTCGGTTTGCTTCTTTAGGTGGTACAACCTCCGTGCGGTGGAGTAAGCACTAAGGTCTAGGCCAGGGGCTGAAGTTAGGTTGGAATATTCCATCAGCCGATTCCGACTTCAATATTTCACTTCACAACCAGATGAATCTGAAGTTGTGCTTTCGTCCGGCAAGATCCCAACAAAGTGCACTCTGTGACCACTTAAGATGGATGTGAACATCTATCCACAGCCTCTATATCTTCTACTCGGCGCCGTTGCCATCTTTGAAGCCTCTCTCTTCTATCTCCCGCCGCATTCCTTGTACCGCGCCGCAGCTATCGCTCTACTCGCGGCCGTAACCTACAGCTTCCAGCTCAGCCTCCTGGAATACGTCCCAAATCGTGCCTTTATATCTCTCACGCTGGGCGCAACTTGGACTACATTCTTGAACGCCTTTGAGATCCTTATCGTGTCAAATGTCGGCCCTCAAGACTCCGGCCTTCAATTAGGCGGCCCTGGAAAGCCCATCGGCCAGGCATTTCGGGCAGCCGCATTGCCATTCAACTGGCGGCGCATCGGAACCAAGTGGCAGATCAAGGTCTCAACCTCGACGGAAGACGGCTCCATATCTGGGCGTGTGCGTTTCCTTCTCAAGAGACTGGGCGTCCTTATGGCCTGCTATCTTTTTATAGACCTCTGCGCCGCTGGTCCTCCACCAGACCCAGACATGTTTACAAGAGAGAAGCAAACTATCTCGTATCTGCTCGCTGGCAATGGGGCAACCTCAGAAGACGTTGGTTTTCGAGTGATCACCACCATAGTCTTTCTAATCAACGCAGCCCTCGGCGTAATCGGAGTCTACAACCTTTTAGCAATTGTTGCTGTTCTTTGTGGCGACCAGCCACAGAGCTGGCCTCCCATCTGGCAGGGCTGGCCGAGTCAAGCGTATTCCGTAAGAAGATTCTGGGGGTATGTTCTTGCACTTTCTAAGATGTCATGTATTACTAGCAGCTAATCGAGTATCTAGTAATTACTATCACCAAGGTCTTCGCAAGGCGCTTACCGGACCTGCTGACTGGATTATTGATTCGGTTGTTCCTCGTGGGAGCTTAATCTCGCGATACTCGCGGCTTGCTCTCGCATTCTCGCTATCTGCAATGCTACACCACCAGTCTGAGGGATCTGAAACTGGACAATTGATCTTCTTCAGCAGTCAGGCACTTGGTATCATACTAGAAGATACAGCCCACAAGCTGTATAGCTTCAGCCCCATACAGCTCCCTCGACGCATCGAGCACGCCTTTGGGTACCTCTGGGTGCTGGTATGGTTGGTTTGCCTCGTGCCATACTGGTCTTATTCTACAATGCGCACAATGGACGACCCTGTGAGGGACCAAGCGACCTTTGGGGTTTTCAAGAAGATCTTATCCAAGTAGGAATATTACAATCATGATTACATGTAGCTGGGTCCCACCGATAGGATTTCTTCTTACAAGTAAAGAGAAAAAATGGTTTCAAAGGCAGCTCTCATAAGAAAGGCAAGAGAGCCATAATAATTAAGTCCCTTAGATATTGGATATTGATGTAGCAACTTGGATTACTTGCTATAGAATGAGCTATAGAAGTAATTGTGCATGTAAAAGCTATATTATAAAGCCGAACAAGCAGAATTCGTGATAAGGGAAGGACCTGATTTGCCTGTAAATTTCCTGTTCCAGTCTAGTCATTTGAAGCAGGTTGGCCCTTGGAAAGAGTCGGTTCCTTTACAATTGTTGCGATAATTGCGGTTACCAGCCTGATCCTTTGCCCTATTGGTCTGACATACAATGGATCGTCACAGGTGCTACTAATTATAGGTTTAGAAAAGGCTACCTAAATGTACACGTAGGGATGATATTTTTGAGGGGGCAGTAGATGCATATAGGATTTGTCCTCTATAAGCCTGCTGATGTCTGCATAGGTAGGCAAACGAAAAAGCGCCGCGACATACATACATATGTAGGCTGTCCCTCATTTGATGCTGTTGGTCAGACGCGCAGATTCTCAAACCTCGGGATCGAAGTGGATTGGTTACTACTGCCATATTCCCAGCGCTAACTGAGTTAACCTGGTCCGATCTGCTAAATTCTATTTCGATGCTTGGAGACTATTCGCCTACCGACACGTCAAGTACCGCCCAAACTCGACGCGGCAATGAATTCATTTTAGTTTTCCTGTGGAATTAGCTTCTTTGGCCACAAACCAAGCGGATCAAAGTGTGGCGGCGACCCAAAGCCTCGCTCCCGTGTCACGTCGACTGATTGAGATGGAGCCTTTATTCGCGTCTGATCGCACCACCCGCATTTTGAGCTTCAACGTTTTAAAACAGCACAACGCCCGTTTCATGTTTGAGGCGCCTTTGGGGCGAAAGCACTGGGAAGATGTGCTCCTCCATCATTGGATCACCCTGGGGAGAAGACCCAAGATAGCCGCCGCAATCCCGAAGGAAGCTGGTTTCAGATTGACGCTGTGCAAGCCCGGCTCAGCCTGGTCCAAAATACATAGTCTGGGCGCTTCCTGCAGCGATATGATTGCACACACACACACAGCAACAGCGCAGTACAAACAAAAATAAATTTGTTTTCTTCCCCGCGTGCTATAAGTACCGCCTCGCGTGCCATACCACCTTCATGATCGTCATTCACTATCAACTTAATAATTATTGTTAATTCTTAGAGGCTGCGCTTCTATGTTTACACTTATCGTCCGCATTTACAGTTATCCACTCTTCTATCGAAATACGTTTCTCTCTGTTGTGGTTCCACGAACTCTCGGACCGTCTGTTATCTAAATACATAGCCATCAGCTACTGAGCGAAAGATGCCTCTGTTTTTTCGCCATGCAAATCATCAAGCTGGAACGAGTTTGGAAAAAAAGCCAAAGGTGATACAATCATCAAATTGTCCCCTTTATGTTACACGCAAGTTGACTTTGCTTCCAATTCAGTCATCTGCAAGGATGAAACTCGAGGCTTTTTTGCGGCTAAAGCCCGTGTCTGCCATTAGCCAAGCTCAAAGGGGCACTGACGAGGGCTATGCAACAGACGGATCATCGGTGCCTGTTGAATCTAGAAAGGGGTCGTATACGGGCTCACACTCTGTTACTTCTCGGCTCTCTGGAAAAGAGGTGAGTTTTACAGTAATTCTTTTGCTTGAGGGCGAGCAATCTGTCATCTTGTCCTAATCCTGGATGTTACTGTTGCGCTGACACCAACGGACCAGAAATACGACCAAGAGCCGAGGCAGACACCAATAGTTGTAAGCTGTGATGGCAGCAGCTGTGATGGCAGCAACTGTGATGCCGCAAGTACCGATAGTCCTAACTCTGAAGCAAGCGGTTCAGATATATCGGACTCTGCCTACCACAAAGCTTGGTCTTTACTAAGTGAAGATAAAAGGAAGCAATTGACAGAAGAAGAGGAGATTAGAAAACTCTTTGACCAACTGAAACAGACTGATCAAAAGCATCAAGACCAATGTCTTCTTCGGAAAGGACTGAAGGTCATGACTCCGTATCTAGAGCGACTTCGCATCACCATCGACTTTATCAGCCCTTTCGCCAGCGTGGAACCGGCTGCTGGGACCGCGCTTGGGGTCATCAAAGGCGTCAATTCTGTGAGTCAAGGTTTCTTTCTGATGGTTGTTGTTTGGACTTGACTATTCCTTGTTATTTCCAAACTTGTTCGTTGAACATGTCGCTGATACTTGGTGGACTTGTAGATCGCCATTGCCATCTGCGGCGCTGCCGATGATATCACAGGCCACATTGAATCATTTTTTGAACGTGTCCCAGCCATCGAGCGGTGCAATGAGGTTGTCACCGGACACAGTGGAATGGTCGAAATACACAATGTCAGTTACCATGGGACTTGTAGGTACTTCCGCTGATTTCTCGCAGGCTTTGGTCAATGTGTACAAAGACCTCTTGGAATTTTATTTCGAAAGCATTGTCATGTTTAAGAAATCTGGATTCGCTATAAAGATGGCTATGAACCTCTTGAAACCAGAAATCCCTGGAATAATCTCTTCGTTCAATGCCCACGCAGATGTTTTGTCCAAGCTACTCGACTCCGAGACATTTGCCAGTGTTCAGGAAATTAAGAATGAGCAAGTAGACACTTTGAGTAAGTAATTGACTCCTCAACAGGTGCTGTGATCTCCTAGGCTGAGAATATTGGCAGTTCGTGATACCCTTGACATCAACAGAGTAAATGAAATCGCGTATCATAATGAACTCAAGCGACGCTCCGACGAAGCGTGCAGCTGGATTACGTTCAACGAGCATTTCTCTTACTGGAAATTGAATTCGCGTGATTCGAACCTCTTGGCCTTGTTCGGAGACATGGGTTGCGGGAAAACAACAACTACTGCCTACGTCGTGGACAATTTGTCACAGGGAAATCTTGTCTGTGCCTATTATTGCAAGGACGATCAAGAAACCACAAAGCTTGGGAACATCTACCGCAGCCTCCTATGGCAGCTGCTCAAACGGAAGCCCGACCTGAAGTACCGCTTCTTGGACTGGTATCGGAAGCCGGATACAAAAAGCCAGGTCAATCCAACGCAGTGCGACGATAAATTGCGCGACTTCTTAAAGGACGCTCTTTCTTCATCAAAGCAGTGGATCTTCATTGCTTTAGACGGCCTGGACGAATGCGAGATTTATTCCCAGAAGCAGCTACTTTCCCTCTTTCATGACCTCTTCGAACACAACGCTCGACTGAAAGTTTTTATTTCTTCCAGGTACGACGATGACATTGAAAGTGCTTTGCCGCCAGGCGCTAGTCGAATCGAGCTAGGCTCGTCGAAGGAAAGAGACCGTGTTATTGCAAGCTACCTTGCTAGAGAGATCAATATCCCCGAGAGTATTCACGAAAAAGCTGTGGACGAGCTTTCCGAAAAAGCCAACGGCTGTGCGATTTGGCTACGAATATCGCTAGAGTACATTCGAAAATCTCGCATACAAAGCCAGAAAGGCTTAGAGAACGCGTTGAGTCGCCTTCCTTCGTCCAAGGGCCTGGCCGAACTGTATTGGACACTGTTCGACAAGATTTGCTCGGACTTGCCCGAGAATGGGGATATCCTACAGCGAGCTCTGGAGACGCTCGCCGTTGCCCGGCGACCTTTGACGGCCGACGAGCTTGCTTTCGCGGTCTTTATTGACATAGAAGACGACAATCGTACAACTTTGCGTGAACTGGAACAGAATGCCCATTCTATGAACCTGCTTGATCTCATCCGGCCATTCGTCAGCACCATAAGCGTGGAAAACAGAAATCATCTTCAACTGCGTCTTGTTCATCAGTCTCTCAAAGAGCTCATATTGCATGATCCGCCATCAAGCTGGAATTTGGTTCGGGAAACAAAATGGCAAAACCAAGCTGTTCAACGCAGGGGGCCGGAGCTAAATGGATCTCTGCTCAGACGTTGTATAAGATATCTCCTACTTGACGAGTGTCAGGAAATCAACCTTTCCTCAAGCTTCAGAGATGGGCCTGATTTCAATCTTCTCGGTATTGGACGCGTATTAGACGATGACGATGACGACTTTCCAACTGAATCGCTCTGGTCAAAATCGCCCCAGGACTTTGATCCGTCTGATCTTGGGCTCGGGAGCTTTTTCACTTACGCTGCCTCGTACTGGACGGCCCATTTCTCCGATGCATCACAAGAACTGTGGCCAGATCCAACGGACTTGATAGATTTATGCAGCGCAGGCTCTCAGCGCCTTGAGAACTGGGTAGAACAGTGGAAACGGCCGAACTGCTCCTACACTGCAGAACTTGACTTCCCCGAAGCCATGCCACGCCTTGATCCTCTCGTCGTGGCGGCGGGGTTCGGTCCGGAAGCGTACATGGCTGGCTTGCTCAAGTGCAATCTCCAGACTCCAGCCTTCTTGCCCGACTCCATTTGGATCGTTCTCCGGCTCCTTCTTAACCAAAACAGTATCTCAGCGATCGAAAATCTTCTCAAGGACAAGAGCGTTAGGTCGACGCTGTGCTGTATTAGCTTCTTCTATCAAGTGTTAAACGGCTGGTCAGTGACTTACAGATTGTGTGGCAGCGCTGCAAAGGAATGGGAAGATATATTTGATTTCCTAGTCACTGAACTGCGTGACAGTCTCCTGGACGAGGGGAACGAAATTCTTTGTCGAGCAGCAAGCAATGGGTGCTTTGTGCTGGTCAAAAAACTCTTCGACGCAGCTGAGCGCGATCCAGATTTGAGAAGAGCAATCTTGGTGGAGAACCGTATAGACCTCGGAGAGGGCCGGAATCCCATAGTTCAACACCAGTCAATTGGTGAGGCCGCTTGGGAAGGCCATGCGAACATAGTTTCCTTTCTTTGTCAACAAGCCGGGATTGAGCCTCATCTGCGACACATAAACCAGCGGGGACGAACCGTGTTCCACCAGGCGGCGCGGATGGGCTGTCCGGAAATCTTTCAAAGTCTCATCCAACACTGGCCTGAAGGGGTCAACCTTGCGAATGATACAAATGATACCCCTCTTAGTGAACTCATCTCCATGAATCCTGTCAACACAATCAAGACAGTCAGGGTCCTTTTATCCATGGGCAAGGCTGATGCCACCGGCTTAAATGATGACGCTTATTTCTCGCCCCTGTGTGCAACTATTCGAAGCGGCAACTTCGCGCTGTGTAAGATACTCATTGAAGAAGGCTCAGCTGATATATCAGACGCAGTGGGTCTTGAGGAAGAGACTGGGAAACCTTTTCTTTCAAAGGACGTGAAAAATGAGGAGAAGCTTGACGAACAGGAACATATGCTGAAGGAGCTTTGTTCCTTATTTCCTCTTGCTGTGTCAACAGATTATTTGTTCAGAATGTAAACAGCGAAATGGTTGGGCAGATGATGCTACTAGGGGAGTCTCAAAAACGACCAATTCCCCGTGCTTGAGACCCCCCTAGTATTATTATGAATGGTGATGCCTTGTCGTACTATACTCCTTCCAGCTCATGTTCAGCTTGCCTACCACTTTAACTCAGAAAAGATACATAGTCAATTTATCAACCAGCATCTCTTGACGTGCTGGTCATGTCACTGGGTTCCTAAATAGTTCATATTCTTCACATTCTTTTCATGCTCGTGAAAGCTGTATGATAACCTATATATTGTCTCATAGATGTAGATCATCATCGGTAAACACACTCCATGATAGGACACCGCTATAATTACACTGGGCAATGCCAGTCGGGGTCTAGAGCACCAGATATAGCAAGCTGTAAGAGGCACCTTGAGAGTTAGCATGAGACAAATACCAGCCAAACAAGCATTCACAGTGTAATCGCATGTATTAACACTGGACTGGGCCTTTCCGTGGATAGGTAAAGAATGGCGGTAGCTCCCGTCAACTTGTCTGAAACGACAGAATCACACGATGAGAAATTCTCAAGTATCGCCAACCGGTAATTGTCTCATAGCCCAATCGCGTGTTCTCTATCTGTGATGTCTTGCCAGGCTGCTGGCGCCGCAAGAAGCGCACAGAGTTACTCTGGTGTTTCAACTGCTCAGCTGCTGGATTCTGCTTTGGGAACCTGAAGAGGAATTGGAGAATCGTCGTCATCGTGGCGCTATTCCAATCTGATTTGCGCCCATCTGTTTCCACTCATATTCCTTTATCAACAGCTTCCAAAGAGTTGGGGTTTTTCTTGATCACAAATCCGTAGTAGTCAAAGGAGCCCCCGTCTCCGAGCACCTGCATGTCCATGTCCCACAAATCATCTGGGTTTAACAGTGGCTTTATGAAGTGGGGTTGTCTGAAGGTGATGTATAGAAACATCCCATGATCCTGCAGGACTCGGTGGACCTTGAAGGGTTGTCAGAAAGACATGGCCTGCTATGTTCCGCTGGAGAGAGAAGCCTACCTCTTTCATATATTTACTCGTGTTCTCCTTGACTTCGCTGGGAGGGCTCCAGGGACTACCGTGTATCATGGCATCCAGTGTTCCCTTGTCGAAGGCAACATCGATGGACTTGTCGGGAATATCCATATTTCGTACGTCCATGTGTTTCCATTCTATCCCTTCTACCTTGCTGTGGCGTTCCGTCATAAGTTCAACAACGACAGGGGAGAAATCGATGCATAGCTGTCGTCTGTAGCCGCGAGACGCTAGTTCGGCGGGGATAACCTGCGCAGAGGACGTGTTAGCAGTTGAACAACTTGTTTGGGATTGGCGACGGCAGACACTGTCTCCAGACCCAAGATGCAGAATCAGCGGGCCATCTTCTGCCTTGAAGCTCTGCAGGCCAAAAAGATTATTGCGGAAAAAAGGCTCCAGGTCCGAGAAGGAGCGAAACCACTCGTGCGTCGGCGCCTCTCCGTCGGACTTGGAATAACGGCTATCCCAATATTCGGCACGGCCAAGGGCCTGATCTTCTTCAGCTGTCATCGAAAGGCGGAAGTGCAGGTTGACGTTGTGCGAGGACTTGAAACTGGCTTGGAGTTGAGAGCCGGCCGGTTTTGCACGGATATCGGTTTGTGATCCGTCCAGATGCTTCCACGTGACCTAGCCGCCGACTAAGAGTGGTATCGAGAGGACGGGACTTGGAGTAGCTCGAGATTATAAAAATCCATAAACAACGAGAATCAAATTTTGATCAACACTCAAATATAGAACCTAAACACTCTGTTGAAATGGCTGTAATGGCCTCTGTAAGTTATCAGCGTTGATTTAACACCCGTGGAGGCCCACTCGTAGTCACAAGCTAGAACATCCCGCCAACGTTGAGAACAAGCCACAGCTCCACGAGGGGTAAACGACCGCATTGTTACTGACAAGGGTGTGAAGAGGGGTTGTATTGCAACAACTAGAAAAGAGAGACTACTATCAACGAGGCAGGGAAATCACGCCCTGGCCAAGAGCAAGCTAGATTTTGTGCTATCAGCCGCCTAAAAACATCTACTTCCAGTCAAATTGGATGCCAACTATTATTACCTTACTTGTAGCCCATGCTATCTTCGCCAATTGGGGTTTTATTCAAAAGGACTGCTGTAGACTAATATTCATCAGTGCTATCATGTATTATAACAGCTATTTCTATTAATATCTAGCTAATTATTTCTAAATTGATTCGTCCACAATCTACGTGTAAGCTTTGCAGTAGCGCGTTTGTAATTGATCGTTATTTAAGCAGCTATTCATCGGAATGGGAGCTAACAGCACGGTAACGATTCATCACGTATAGCTTTCATATAGCGAAGCCAGCTACTTTATTCCATGCACAGAGCTTGTAAATGCGCCTATGTTATCATTGGAATCGTCAATTCGAACGTCTGGCTCTTATTGAGCGAAAGGGGATGGACAGCTACATGTCACAAGGCTATTAGGCAACTAAGCTATATAATCCATTTTCCTTCAAGCTTGTTGTTAAGGGGTGGGAGATCCTTAGATTAATTACTGAAAATAAACTATAAGAGCTCCTATCTACCAGGCACCTATGCTCCTATAACAAGAAAGGAACCTTTGTATTAAAACTCGATAAAGTTGTTGTCTCTTGAGAAGAAGAAGAAGAAGAAGAAGAAGAGGCCTTCTGCCAGCCCGAATTAGCGGAACTCAGAATAGAAGAATTACATGACATCTGATTTAATCCTTTACCACAGGTTGTTCCCGCTAAATACCAATTTCTTTTCCTTCTATTCTCTACCTATACTTGTGTAGCTCGATATGCTTATATGCAAAGGTCACATAATAGCACAGCTGCAATTGTCTCATTTTAGAAGATGACAGAAAGGCTGCATGTGACAGATAATAATGCCTTGGGCAAAAGTCGAGTTAGCCTAAGGCTATGAGTAGACCCGCTTGGGCTTTTGGCTACATGTACGCACATAAGCACCTGAGTCCAGTCTTCAGCTTTCTGCTGCTGATTCGTACCATTTTTTCCACTTGGGATTATTGTCAGCATTTTCAACAAGCCTGATTTCACTGCTGACCCGCGCAATACCGCCTAAGTTAGTTGAATGTGCTTCGCAAAGATGGCGGGGGCTGGGTCTTCCAGGACCGGAGCATCGATAGTATACGAGCGGGAGGAGGGTGAGCCCATCGTTGAGTGTGTCATGCCCGCTGTAAGCCCTTCATACGGCCTTCTAACAACCCCCGCAGTATTGTTCTCGTCCATGGACTGCAGGGACATCCCTTCAAAACTTGGACTTATGTCCATAAATTTGAAGCAGAGCCTAAGACGCAAAATTCTGAACAGGTGATTTCTGATAGCCAAACTCGGATGACAAATGGCCCATTGAAGGTGTCTTGGCTGGGGCAATTATTCCAAAAATTAAAGGACGACAAAAACCAAGACAACGTGAAGCGAAATCCCAAGGCTAGCACTTTTTGGCCACGAGATCTCCTACCTTCTAATTGCCCCAAAGCCAGAATTATTGTTCTAGGGTATGACACTGTGGTCGTCAAATTACCGTCCGGTGGAAAGACAAATCGGAACAATATTTTCATGCATGGCAAAGACCTTTTGAATGAGCTTTCACGAACACGTCCTTTGGGTCGAAGAGTTATCTTTGTCGCCCATTCATTGGGAGGCATCTTAGTCAAAGAGGTGTGTATTGCAGACTATTTACGTGCCGTTTTTCGTATTCGCATCTAAGATCATCATCATTAGATGCTTTCTAACTGCTCCACTTCGAACTCTCACGAGCTCCAAGATATTCTTGCTTCAACCTCCGCCGTCATATTCCTGGGCACGCCTCACAGGGGAAGTTCAGTAGCGTCGCTTGGGGCTGTCGCTCGAAAAGCAGCAAGTTTCTTCTTGCTAGATACAAACCCTAGCATTATTAACAGTCTAGCTCTCAAGGATGCTGATCTCTCCCGCTGCCAAGATGTCTTTTCCTCTCTCTGGGCCAAACATGACTTTCAAGTAAAGACATTCCAAGAGGCATTGGAGTTCAAGTTCAAGTTCAAAGGCCTACCATTCGTAACCGTGAGAGCAAAGGTAAGATCGCGCACACTGCAAGGAATGAGGCGGCGGCAGTATCTTACAGCGATAGGTTGTCCCTGATTACTCCTCTTGTATTGGAGATCCCCGTGAGAGGGCTGAGACGTTACATGGCGACCACCGAGAGATTTGCCGATTTGACAGTGCGAATTGTCCCAATTATAAAAAGGTGTCAGGCGAGCTTAAAAAGATTTACATACAGCTTGAGGCAGTGGATTATGCGCTCGAAATTCCAAAGCTCGATTATGCAAGCTCTGCCAGGATCGAACGATTTCTTCGCTTTCCAGGAATGCAAAATCGCTTAAAGGCCATCAACAGTCCACTTCTAAACACCTGCGGGTGGCTACACCGAGTGCAAGCTTATGCAGACTGGATCGCTCGAGAGAAGATCGAGGAGCATCATGGTCTATTGCAAATTGTAGGAAAGCCAGGGTCAGGTAAGTCAACAATTATGAAGCGAATATTCGAGCAAGTCCTTTCAAAGTTTCATGGGACAACGACCTGTGTTGCCGGTTTCTTCTTCAACCAGCGCGGTAGCTTATTGGAGCACTCGTCCCTGGGTATGTTTCGCTCATTGCTGTATCAGATCCTGCGATTTCATCCCCAGAAGTTTCCAGCTCTTTTGAAGCTACAGGAACAGGAATTGCAGGAGTACGATGAACATCAGATCTCGGAATTATACCTATCTAACCTCCGAGACATGTTTCAAGACTTGTTTCTTGACCAACAAAGTGATACTAGAACTATTATCTTTGTGGATGCTCTTGATGAGTGCGACGAGCCAGGTAGTCGAGAGATAGCCTACTTTTTTCGCCATCTCACAGATGCAGCGTACAGCGTTGGGGTCCGGCTTGATGTGTGTCTGTCCAGGAGGGACTTTCCAAACGTGCTCCTCAGAGATTGTCCTGAAGTCAGATTGGAGAAGTTTACTCGTTGTGACATTGAATACTACATCTCAAGGCAGCTCGAAATCGCCGGGTTCGGTGATAACCAGACTATGAAGCTCATCCAGCGCGAAATTGCTGACAAGGCTGACGGAATTTTTCTCTGGGTAATATTGGTCATCGAAAAAACCATCAAAGAGAGAGATAATGGGCGTAATGAAAAGTATCTCCTTAGAGAAATACGTCGCCTGCCAGCTCAGCTCAACGAGCTTTTCACAGAGTTATTGGATCCAAGTAAAATGTCGAAATCAGAACTGCGAATGACCTTGCGACTATATCAATGGGCAGTATTGTCTACGAGCCCATTACGTCTTCGCGAATGGCATCATATACTTGCCTTCATTCAAGACGAACCTCCAACGTCGCTTGCCGAGTGGAAGGATTCCATATACTACACAGCCACTGATGAACAACTGGTGAAACAACTTAGGGTTATTTCACGTGGCCTCGTTGAAGTCAAAACGCATCACTATGATAACCCTGATAACCCTTCAGATGTCGAGGACATGAGGTCTGCAGGTGCTGGAGCAGGCTCCCTCGATAGTTCATCTGGAGAGAGCAGAATTGTACAGCCTATTCATGAGTCAGTCCGTGCATTCTTCGTTGAAGGTGGAGAGTGGCTATCAAAAGCTTCAGAAATTGCAGGATACACGATGAATGACATCGTATCGTTTTGTGCCCAGGGACATATTACCCTGATGAAATGTTGTTTCCAATATCTCGCCATCAAGGAACTTCAAGAACTCTGCGATGCCCGTTTCAAGACGGCAAAACTGATCAAATTTAAAGAAACCCCGGAACTGGCCATGGGAGCTCAGCTGCAGTCGGCATGGTCTGCTTTCACTCCAGAGCTCGAACAAATCCCAGAACCAACCATGAAAACTCGACCACAGTCATCATCTTCTTCCTACGTTTCCAAAAAGGATGATCACATGTTCTCATTCAATTCGAGGTTTTTATATGAGCACGACTATATAAAAAATTGGGTAATGCGTATTAAGTCCCGTTTGGAGAAAAGAGGTTTTCGTTCAAGATCTCCCAGCGAAAAAGACTTAGATGCTGCTCTTAATTATTCTTTACCACACGCTAGTTCGAGGTCCCCTTTGGGTGAATTTCATCCCTCGCCATCTGGTATTCAAGAGTTGACTCAGGAAGACTTTTTGGGTTCTAATGATTCTTTACGATCCGCTAGTTTTGGGTCCTCGGCCAGCAGCCATAACATAAATGATGTCTCTCGTTTTCAAGACGACGCGAAGAGAAATTCGGCCGATCATATTATAGACTCGGACTTTTCAGACTTCATATCTGAGCCTATAGATTTTCACTCATTATCGGCAAAGTCTAAAACTCTCGATGAGTATCTGGCTCTTGAGTCGTACGCCATCAATAGAGTCTTTCTTCATGCCCGATTGGCTCAAAATGCTGGAGCGAATCCAATGCCAATCATTCGCCTTCTCCACGGTGGATGCTATTGGCAGAGATGGCTGAACTTGCAGGAAAACATCACGACGACAACCTCATTGCTGTCATTGGCGGTAAAACAGGGATTAAATACGTGGGTGGATTGCATTATGGAATGTGATTCATTGCGACCACCTGTCAAAAAAATCAACGCTGCACTCTTTTCCGCAATACTTCGCCGCCAAGCCCAATCCATTCGCATCCTTGTGGTTCATGATGCGCAGCTTGTTGGGAAAAAAAATCTAAGAAAAGCACTGAGCAAAAAGAAAGTTCGTCAGACATTCTTGGCAGCCCTGGAAGAGAGCCACGCTGGAGATAAGACCAATGAGACAATCTTAAGCGCAGTTGTTCCTGATTACCTGTCGATACTCTACCAAGCACTCGGGACTGGGGACTTTGAATTAGTACAAGACTTTCTCAATTTCGATGTCAGTGTCAAGCACAAGCTTTGCGATGGCATTCACAACTTTATCAAGGAAAAATATTGCGAAAAAGAGCACCTTTCTGCCGCATTGAAACTCTTCGCAGACAGCGGTGCGAATATCAATGAACGGAACGCTTCCGGTGAAAGTCTTGTTCATATTGCTGTCAAGTCTCTCGATGCCGACCTTCTCCATGCGCTAATCGATGCTGGCGCAGATGTGAATGCTACAGGTCCTTCCAATTGGACGTCGCTCCACTACATATGCCACGGATATGGCAGAGAGGGTTTCATTCAGCATCTCGTTCGCGCCGGTGCAAATATTAATGCGAAAGACATTGCAGGCCAAACTCCACTTCACTGCAGTGTTCATAAAAATTGGTCTACGAAGTTGGTGGAAGAGTTGATAGCCAATGGTGCTTCTGTTGATATTCAGGATACGGACCATCGAACTCCGATAGATATTCTACTTGAAGAATTGGGAAGAGAAGGCCCCTATTATAAGGCAATCTATCAAATCAATGCACTCATGTCTGCTGGTGCTCACTTTGATGTTACTCACCGAGACTCGTGCGGCCGGACACTACTATACAAAGCGATACTTTCAAGCGACAAGGAACTTACTGAACTTCTCGTTAAACGCGGCGCAGATATAAACGAGAAGGATGAAGAAGGCCGAACAGCTCTTCATATTGCTGTTGCACTTGCTACGGACAACGAACTGATATCCGCCTTCTGGAAACCACCAGACAAGAGCCGCATCGTTGCTCATCTCTGGTTACGAAAGAACCTTTGCGGGGTACTACTAGGCCTAGGAGCAGATGCTTCAGCAAAAACAACAAATGGCCTCACTGTGCTGCATATTGCCGCCGACGCTGGGATTTATAGACTGATCGAAAGATTAGTAGCGCTAGGGGTTGGGCTAGATGAACGTGATCATCTCGGTCGAACCCCTTTATATCTCGCTGCGGCTCAAGGTTACAAGTACGCGGTTCGTGCACTTCTCAAATCTGGAGCAAATGCTCGCATTCGAGATCAAGCAGGTATCTCGCCTTTGAGACGTGCTTCCAAAGGAACGCACGCAACGAGTAATTCTACAGCGAGAATACTTTGCGCTCATCTGCAAGGAGATGATTTATTATCAGAATGCTCGTGCGAATATGGAAAGCTTCACATCAGTGACTCTTAAATAATCAGGCGCACATGAACGAATGGGATAGATGCAGATATTAGCATTGATACCAGTTACTGATCGAGACTACTAGTTCAAGTTGTTGTAGTTTTAAAATACACGCAATAAGACTTGGAGATATCGATATAACCTAGCATGAATAATAAGGAGAGAATATGAGCAGAAATTAAGCACTTGAACACGCTTGTTGGGCCATATTCAAGCGAACGTAAGGTCTATTAATCTCCGGACGAGACTGTTCACGTTGGATTAGCTATTCGCTTGGTAATGTAGCAGGCAACCTGCAATCAAGGTTGTCGATTTCCAAATCACCAAATCATCATTATCCTACTTATTACTACTATGATATAAAGACATCTAACAGTTTGGGAAATTCGGGGTCCCGTCAAGCTTTTTTCTTGAGTTTAATAACTTCCATTTTCGGCGGCCTAGGCTTCCGTTTTCAGAGTCATGTAATTCTGGTTTTAGCAGACAATGTGATAATGAGAAGAGCTTGGCGCCAGGTGGCTGCTTGACCCGTCTTTTGCCCATTTTGGGACGGAATTCATTGATGAGCGATAAGCAGCGCTTGTACCTTATTACTCCGTACGTACCTTTGCATAAGCTGAGTTTGCACTAGAAGCTTCTTATATTCGAAGCTTTCGACGCATATTTGCTATGTACCTTTAATATGAAGGAGCTGCATGTACTTAGCACGCCGAAACAAGATAAAATATTATATAGGCTGTCAAAGAGACCTCGTATTTTATCGAATAGAAAAGTAATTTTTGCCATCGCGTAATGGGAGCTTTGGTCGGCTATAGCTTCAGGAGGCGCCATTTTCACTCTCGTGCATGTCGGCCCTTTACCTGAAACTTAAAACTCGTTCCGGATTCAACATCTATATTAAGTGAACGAACCCCCATTATCCATCCCTTAGAAGGATGACGGGTTTCCCCATCTACACTGGCAGGAAGCTATATGTCAAGCTTCGGCATTGCATTTCTCTTCATTGAGAGTGCTTTTACAAAAGGGTGACACAAAATTCTTCAATGATGAAACGCTCCAAACGCAACAAAAGATCCCTTTGGGATATGATAATGGTTCTTGGAACCAGCGTTCTTGAGAGCTCCTCTGAGACGTAGAATAGCTCATCACTGAATCGTATCCCTGGTTGAACGATGCAGTCAAGTACTCGTCTGCCGCTGGTAGATAGTTGAATCAAATTGCCTCGTTGTATTTATCGATCGATTTCGATTCGTGCACATATGGCAGACTGGGCCAGTGGAAATAAAAAAAAGCTTTGAATCACTACATACATGTACCTACATACGCCATAGACCTTAGGGCAGATTGAAAAATGAAAGCAACAGAGACGCCGAACCTTCATTGTGATGCCCCTTTCTTCCAACCCAAATGCAAGCTGCTGAAGACCAAACATCTCCCACAGCTCTCCGCTCTGTTTGTTTGTACATGTAGTCAACAACAAAGTTCATACATGACATCATGTAGAAAACATACTTTTGAACTCGGAGCAGGGTGTCGCCCTTGAAACTCAAAAGCGGAGTCATCGATCGGTTGTGGAGGGTCTGGCTGTTGGAAAGCTGGCTGTTGGGAAGCTGGTTATTGAGAGAAAACCTCAAACATGTTTTTTTTCCTTTGTCAGCCCTCGCTAATGTCACGAGTCGGCTGGTAGGGTGCGGCGTCAAGGAAACTCCGAAGAGAAAGCATGAACCCGACCCCCTCTCACCCCTTTCATCCCTCAGAAGGATGACACAGATCGTCAAGAGCATGGTGTAGCCATGCTTCGGTTCTGATTTATCTTCACTGGGACTCCGGGGGATCATTTCAGGGGTCCCTACCTAGAAGCCCGTCAATGATGACAGTCCCCTCCAAACGCGACGAGGATCTCGAAGGATCTGATGACGTCCCTTGGAGCCAGCGTACTGGAGAGTTGCTCTGAGACGGATCGACACTCGTTGAATAGACACTGCATAAGCAAATGTGTCAAGATGGTATTTGGTTGCGACAGTATGAAAGGTCATCGTTTCATCCAAGCGGTAGTGAAGATTTTGACCGAAAAAATAACAAACGGCATGGCAAATGTGCAGAGCGTTGAGAAGAAGCTGACAAGATTGATGGAAAGGGGACGAAAGGGGACGAAAAAGATCGGAGGTGCAGCTTTGATGGTTTTTATCTCAGCATCTCCAGCCGCAACTTCCTGTCGCGGCTCGCCTGCTGTTGGTCTAAATGCAAGAGCGGTTGGAGTCGCATGATACAGTTGAGTGCCAACCCACCATGTCTACCTTGCAGATTATGTTTTGACAAATAATCCGACAGGAGCTGTGATATCAACTTCCTTGGTAGCGTACGATGCTCGGATTTGGACGGCAGTGACCAACGATAGCAATAGACGAGATTTTCTTTCCTGCTGCCGGTGACCCCGTTTCTGGAGGAGTTGGGGAGGGAAAGGGCTCTTTTATTCTGCAAAAATATGCCCAACGGGTCTGGGAAAGTGTTGTTGTGAGTACGCTATCGAATAGTACCTTGAAATGCTCAATGAAAACAACTTAACGTGAATCTTGACATCTGTGACTATCAGAAGAGAAGTAGCAAACAGGCTTGATCAGGATGCCTCCTTCATGTCTTTCATTGAGTGACTAGAGTGATTAGGTGAACACTATATTGTATTTATGAAATCATTAAATGGTTCACCCCACTATTTGAATTGATATCAACGGAACAATCTCTTTTAATGAAACGAATCACCATATCCAGGGTCAAGAAAAATCTGTAAAGAGTTGGCATTTCCAATCCGGGGTATGCAAGCCGCAAAAACACTCCAATATCAAATGTTTATATGAGACACCCCCCCCCCCCCCCCCCCTCCTTTAGAAAAAAAAATCTCATTCCAAGCGAGTTCTGCTACAGTCATCTGGAGTAGTTGAATTCATGACCTATTGGATGAAATGTTTCCATATGTGAGAAGCATTTAAAACAGAGATCAAAATCGTCGCAAAATCGTCGCAAAATCGCCACAAAGATCTTGTACTGTAAATTTTCTAAATTATATTACTTTCTGTTAGAAAATTTGAATAAGCCAGAGATAGTTTTGGGACAATATTACATGCTTACAGCTCTGCAGAAATCACAACATACTCCATGTCTATACCTTATTCTCTGAGAAGAATTCAATCTGTACTCATTAATAGATAGTTCCATAAGTAACTATATCACTTCATCCCAGTGTCGTGATAAATGGCTATATCAAGTGGCGTCCAGATTTTATCTCTATCACCCTGAACTCTTATAGCCTTATCAGCTCCATCTTCAAGGAGGACGTGTGCCTATGATTTAGAATTAAAAGATGATGCTGGTATTGGTCCCCGGGCTGGCCAGCATAGCGCTGGCCAGCTGTCGAGATCAGCTTCATTTGGGTGCATAAAAAATACCCGAAATGACTTGCATTGTCAGGCAATTTTCTGTAGCGAGCTGGTCCGCTGTAAGTGAATAGTACTAATGCGTATACCTAATTGAAGAAATACTAGTAAGACGCAACAAATACAAGCAATGAGAGTCTTTTCGGCTCTTAGATGAAACCATATTTATAGAGTCACATGGGATCATGTCTAGTCTTCATCAGACTTCAATATCTCAAAGGCTACCTGCTGACAATCGGAAAGAGCTGAAAACTCCTCAAAATTACAAACTCCGCATTTTGTGCATAGGTATTTCCGCAAACCAGCCATGGTTGACTCGCTGGCCTCACTTACACAAATACATGTTTATCTCAAGACATTTTTCACATATAGGTAGGCCAACAAAGCAAAAGCTTTCACCCAAACAATGGGGCAATGTCCTCGACGCTGGAATTAGTGCACTTGCTACTCGTAGCGTATTTGAAGTCCAATTCCTTACCTATCATTGATACTAATCGTGAGCATTAGATGAAGTCTACATCGTTGTGATATGCTTAATTGCTTGCCTCAAGTCGGAATTATTTACAATTAAGAATATATTCCGCGGGCAATTGGCCTGGAGCGTGTGGAGATGCGGGACCTGCGGAGATGGCGTTTGGCGTATCAAGCGTTTCCAAAATTCAATGTAATGCCCTTTCGGGACCAGCCGTTGAACCCACTCTACGTATGAATTGCCAATTGGGGACACTAGATGCCCTTTTAGCCTAGAATTAGCATGAAGAATGTGGTTTGTATGCGATTTATGATACTTAGATATTGGTAATTGCGCTCGGCAAGGCGGATATGATTCAGCAAAGGAGCAGCGAAGTAGAAAACATTGCTTGTAAACTCCGCATCATCGAAGTATAAGTCGTTTGCAATGTCTTTATATCATTGCGATTTCGACCTGCAACTCATCACCTTCAGGATCTAGACGCTGCGAAGAAAGCAACTCCAACTCAGTTGTGCTCAATAGCATATACGATCATCTGTTCTTTTTTACTCTAGCAATGACGATGAAGGAAGCACTCGCCTACCCAGGCCCAAAGGTCGACATTGTTGACTCACCAATACCGACAGCGGGAGCCTATCAGATGATTATCAAGGTAGTCTGCGTAGGACTGAACCCGAAAGATTGGAAAGTTGCCGACGGCGTCGTACCTGGAGTGACGCGCACCAACGAAGGAGACGATTTTTCAGGAGTTGTCCATCAAGTCGGACAACATGTGACCGAATTCAAAGTTGGCGACCGAGTCGGTGTTTTCCATAAAACATTGAGTCCAGGAGGAGGCTGGGCCGAGTATGCTATTGCATACGAGAGCATGACATTCCACTTGGCGGATCACGTCTCGTTCGAAGGTTTGCCTTGGTCACTGTTAGCTACCACTGCTAGATTCACTAATCTTTCTTAACAGAGGCTGCAACTATACCCCTCGCGGCCATAACTTCATGCTTGGGAATGTACCGCCGCCTTCCACTTCCATATCCATGGGATCCATGCGATAGGCTGCAGCCGTTTCTTATTTACGGCGCCGCATCTGCGGTAGGCGCTTACGCATTGAAGCTGGCGGTGTTGTCAAATATTCACCCCATTATTGCAGTTGCTGGACGAGGACTCGACTTTGTAGAGACATTGATCGACCGGTCTCGTGGCGATACCATTATTGACTATCGCCAAGGAGATGATGCAGTGGTCGAAGCGATAAAAACAGCTCTAGGAGGCCAGAAACTCGAATTTGCGTTTGATGCTGTGAGCGAAAAGAGCACCATTAGGAACGTTTGCAAAATAATAGACAGAGATGTTGGAAAGATGGCCGTTGTGCTGCCGGTTCCAACCGATGAGATTTCCGAAGGAATACCGCGAAATAACACAGCCGTTGAGATGTCCCAATGTGAACTGGGGAATGAAGCGCTTCTCAAATCTAGTTCCAAGAGCAAAGGGCTAGGGATACTCCAGTTTACAACTGTGATGCTGAAGTTTATCGGGAGGGGGTTGAACGAAGGATGGTTCAGCGCGCATCCTCACGAAGTTGTGCCCAGCGGACTATACGGATTAGAAAGCGCGCTTCAACGACTCAAGAGTGGATCAGTCAGTGCAAGGAAGCTTGTTGTCCGAATCTCGGATACAGACGGGGTGGAGCAGTGAACTTGATATAGGTTTGAGGGTTGATGTCTACGGATAGGTTTCGTTGACAAATCTATGGGCATTGATAGCCTTTGTTAGGCTAGCACATATTACACGCATTGATGGTTACTTGCCTGCAGTGAATATACAACTCAACAGAAATATCTCAATTTAAGCCGCTTCCGGGTATGTATTTTACCAAGTTCTTGTTCTGTGCTAGCTCTCGACTTCGTGCCCAGCATTCCCCTCACTCTCCATTAAACTCGCAGGTTCGCTTATGGTCCTACTACCTAATTTAATGCACGCTTCCTCTTGGGGAAATTTTTGGCTGACAGTGGCCCACAGCTAAAGGTATACGAATAAGCTTGATACTACTATATGTAAGTAATGACGCTTCTCAACATGCGCGTAGGCAAACTGATGTGCCACGGCAAAACCCTTGCAATTCAATATTTACTCTACATGTCTCCATTCGGTGGCCAAGGCAAATGGGGCTCCGTACCACGCTCCTAGACGGTGTAAAAAGCCTTGGTGGGGAAATTCGCCCTCAAAAGAACATGGGCGGCAGCTATATACCTATATATAACAGGAATCGCGAATAGATACTAGTTTATAGAGAAAAATTGTTTTGGAATCACGGTAGCAGTTATGTGCGTGTAGTTATCATCTTGTGTGTTCAAAACTCTTAGATTCCCTGCTTCTTTGATCCCCGCTTGGTAGTCCATGTAAGTGGGCAGTAAGTTGGGCAGTAAGTCGGGCCCCGCCGCGTAATTGGAGGAATAATATGGCAAAACATATGCATAACGACTAATATTGCCGTTCGAAGATGTCATGTAACAGGGGTCACCGATTATGTACTTGCTCCGCTCTATAGTCACACCCCAGATACATGCAACCCAATAGACCATATGATAAGGCAAACTCTTTAATTCTAACGAGATTCACCGCTTTGTAATATTTGACTAGAGCTTTGGGTTGTACAAAGCTGCTCTTGCGCATGCCAGGAGCCATCTCAATTCAGGTCTAAACTCGCTTCTTCTTCCACTCGTAGCTTGCAACGCCATCAGTGTGTTCAGTGTCCTTCTTCCACTCATAGCTAGCAACGCCATCAGTGTGCTCGGTATCTTTCTTCCACTCATAGCTGGCAACGCCATCAGTGTGTTCAGTGTCCTTCTTCCACTCATAGCTAGCAACACCGTCTGTGCTTTCAGTGTCTCTCTTTCTCTTCCACTCGTAGCTAGCAACACCGTCTGTGCTTTCAGTGTCCCTCTTCCACTCGTAGCTGGCCACACCATCAGTGGTTTGAGTGTCCTTCTTCCATTGGTAGCTGGCAACAGTATCAGAGTCCTAAAAAAAGTAGTAAGCAGTTGAGCCATTTAAACAGGTGGATTGACAGCTCATACAGGAACAGGAGCAGCAGCGACTGAAGTCGCGATTGCAATGCAACCAAGGAATAGAGATGTCTTCATTTTCACGAAATCTTTATCAACGTATCGCCAGGAGTGAGGTAGATAGCTAGTCAAAGAGACAAAGAAGATTGTCAAGGCGGCATTACGCTCCCCTTAAAATATACAAATACCACCATGTTGACCACTAGGAAAATAACATGCGTTGTCCTCGAAGCTTTTCACTCATGGTATCCACACTTTTCTGAATGTGGGTAGTGATAAGCTACTGCTCCTCATTCTCCAACGGGCTTTTGATCATTAGAAGATGTCATGTACTACCAAGCCCGAAGAGGCCTTCATTCCGTATATCTATTCGCCCTAGACCCAAAATATTACATGAAATATTGCAATCTCAACACCAAGATGGGGATAATTCGTCACACCTTGTAACGAGTCTAAAATAGCTCTAGAACTTTTGTATACCACACGAGAAGCCCGCCTTAGCTTGTCAATCCTTACGTTTACGGGTTGTCACCGCCTCTGAACAACGTCTTATAATTTGCGTTGAGGAAGAGAAGACACTTCCCTGTGGCTGTCGCATTAATTCGCAAGTTTACCAGCAAAGACATGGAGAAAGACAGAGACGATAGCTCTACTGAGGAATTCGACCCGTTTCTGGGCTCTTCTGCAAGTTCAAAATATGAGGCTCGGAGCCATCGCAGGCGTGATATCCTGCTATACTGCTTGGCTATCTTGCTCGGTATCTCTCTAGGCTCACACGTTTTGACTTACATCTACATTCATCGAGCATCATATCTTGATGCAGCTTGTGTACGGCACACACAGCAGAACCGTATGCTTACTTTGTCTTGTTTGCCTTGTTCGGCTCCAAAAACATGAGTTACTGACGTTTTTCTTTTTAGCTACACCGATTAATATTCCAATTCATTATCGTTCAGTTCATTACGACGGGACATTTCTTGCCAATTCAACTTCCCTCTACCGCCTTCCCCCATCTCCTGAAGTTGATGCGGCATGGGAAGGCCTCGGAACCACGTCAAAGCCTCTTCTACTCTCCGAGTCGCAAGCAGCTCGCGCCGGAATCAGCCTCGACCATCTCAAAACTCCGTCGGGCGAGTTTCCAGTTTTATTCGAGTTCAATCACCACTTACATTGCCTCAACCTGATCCGCAAGGCCCTCTTTTACAACTACGATTACTATTCGAGCCCTAATTACCCGGGACATCATCTTGGCAAAGATGAGCAGACTATTAGCAAGCACGTAACACACTGCGTCGATATGCTGCGGCAAGTGATCCAGTGTAAGCCCGACCTAGGAGTTTTCGGACAGTATTGGGTCAAGGACAAGGAGCAGGGAGTGGACGGATCCTTTGTGGACTTCAATACGGACCACAAATGTGTCGATTGGGAACCAATACGAGAGTGGGTTCACGCACATCAGACGCTTGACGATATAGTAGTGGAGTTGAAAGAGGGTGATAAGGTCCTAGATATTGCACCCTAGGATGTCACATTAATGCAGTCATGCATGCATAGTTAGTCGATTATCAACTACCCTTATAGATCTAATAGCTCAACTATAGATGCTGCAAGGTTAAATCGAATAGTTAATTTGTATTTAAACCATGTTTATTGTACGTTGTAGGCAAAGCGGTTTGGGTAAGATTAAATGAACTTTTGCTAGTTCCGCGCAAAATCTTTCTTCGCCAGATGAGGGCATCGCACTGCGATTTCCTGATCCAGACATCCATGGCCGCCACTAGTGCTGATATCAACACAACACGTAAAAACATCCGAACTGTACGATTGCAGGGTGCGGGCCAGTGACTTTTTACCCCTCAGTGTTGCTAACCAGCTTCCCGTCTGAGTGCGCTTAAATCAACCACTTACACAGCTCTTCCGACGGCTATCAACCCGTAATTATAGACAGAAGACATGACCAGCGTCGAAGGCTTCCGTCTCCTTCGATCTGTTGGCTCTATGCGGAGGCACCATGTCTCGACAAAGCTTCAGCTCTGGAGATGAGGATACGCTTTTGAGTTCCAAGAGCGAAGGCCTTCCTTTGCAAAGCAGGGAAAAGAGAAGAAATAACCATACGTTGATACACTTTTCTCTTGTCGCTCTGCTCAGTTCCATTGTCTCTATCGTTGCGAGTCTTATAGTATGGAGAGCTGTGCTGCCGAAGCCGGGATTTAGGGAGAATGTACAATTACTCCCAGGATTGGATATTCCGCCTCGTAAGAGAATTGATGTCTATTTCTTTATTTTTACTGACAAAGCGTTCAGTCGGCCCAATTCAAAAGGCATTCATGCCTGAAAGGGTGTATGATGATCCACGAACAGAAAAAGGGCGCGCAGCCTGGATGAACCTTTTCCCCAGTACGTGACCCGGCGTGCCCATCAATATCTCATACATGACAGAGAAAATTTGACTAATTATATCACAGAGGGGAAGGGATATGTTTCGATAGATAACATAGAAGCTGCAGGCCCAGTGCCCGACTATATTCGAGACACCAGCAACGATGGTACCGGGCGGTTCTCAATAGCGACTTTCCATCAACTACACTGCCTCGTATGTCATATCATCACTCTCTTATTTTTTCTGTAACATCACGATCACTAGACTAATCATCACGCAGTATCTTCTTCAAGTAGAGCTCTTCGACGCCCTGGCATCAAACATTACCGAACCACACTCCCATGCATTCCACTGTCTGGACTATCTCCGAGAGAGCATCTTGTGTACATCCGACTCTACATTAGAACCATTTAAACCAAAATACGATTTTGCCACGCCTCGAAAAGGCGTGGACGGATATGGAACTCCACACCAATGCCGAGATTTTGGCAAACTCCGCAGCTGGGCTGAGCGATTTCGATACAACGATGATCAAGGATTTGAAACTTATGGAGGATAAGCGATTGGGGTCATAGACAGGGAGGCAATACATGGCATGCAAATATTCCAACATATTTATATGACATTAGAACGGAAGACTAAAAGAAAAAAGAATACAAAGAATACAAAATCATGTAAGGTTACTGTATTATTCGAGACATTGCTTCTTTGGTAAAGTCAATTAAGCTCTGATCAACAGGGCTAATAGCGGGAGCTAAACCACGGTACGGGACTCTTCCTAGCTGCAGCTGCATACCACCTGTCACAGGATATATAAAGTTGCTCACAAAACAATATTTCCTGATCATGAAGCTTCCTTATGCTATAACTAGCTTCCACATGCAAGTTTTCGTTGTGCGCCGCATCAGCATAGCACGACAATAAAGCTTCAATTTGAGCATTGGCGGCTGTTATAGCGTCCATCATTATAACGCCGCTGTATCTGGATTTTGAGAGCAACATTGAGCGCGTCGAGTGATGGGAGACGGCATTCAAGCATTCGCGAGGAATGGACACGACCAAGATGTAATTAAAGCGATATCCGGCCAGCTATCAGATTAAATCCACGGAGAGATTAGCAAAGATTTAATAGACCTGACGTTCATCCATTGCATGTGGTTGGATTCGATATTGATAGCAGCTAATATACTATATAGGGTTCGATTCTTCATAAGGAAGCTCATTGGCAATTTTATTGCTGGCTCATAGAAAGGAACATTATATGTATGTCAGTGACACAAGGGCGTCATGTGAGAGCGATAGTAATAGAAATACTCGCAGAAGAATTGATGTTGGCTCCCACGCATCAGCTGCAGTAGTGAACCCTTCTATCGGAACGTGTTGCCGACGCTCGGCAAACATGTGTATAAGTCCATACCTACATGCATTTGGTGACGCACAGATGAAATGTAATAGGATAGATTCGCAAAGCTGCAGGCAAGCTACAGATCCCTTCACCCAAACATCTCCTCACGCGTGCCAATCGCATTAGAAGTCACGCCACGTCTCCTACTTCACCATACCCTTGAGCCTCAACGTTGCACTAACATTGCACACAATCAAGGGCGCCAAGACTCAATATCTGCAGCCGCGCAGCCAATCCCTGTTAACCACACGTATAAGCTTAAATCCCCATAGTTGGCCTGTGGAGCGGCACGAGCAGGCAGGCACGTTGGGCTGAAAAGACATGCAAATCCGCACAAGGCATGCGGCGAGATGCTCATGTGAACAGATTTGGTTCCAATAGGAAGAATCGGGTAAAAGCATCGTGGGCTCGCTTGGGCTTTGATCAAGGCGGTCTGTTGGCCGCTTTGCATGATGCCAAGACGAGCTGAACGTTGCTGGCTGCAGTAGCGGGACTCGAGGCTTTTTTACCTATATTGCCTAACAATTCGAAGGAAGTGAGTGGCATGATAACCCTTGATTCAGCAGAAAAGTTGAGAAATAGCAAATAAAACATGAATATATATAGAAGAGGCGTACAGCCCTCTATTAATGAAAGTAAATGAGGCTCTTCACCGTCCAGTGTTCACTTTTAGCAACACTCTCAGTCCATGTCAGCCATGAAGGAGTCTACTCATACCCATTCCACCATCACCAACTTTCTCTCTCTCCTCAGTCTCTCATCAATCGCCCTCGCCGCCACAGATCCCATCTCACATAAGCCTCACGCACGACTCATCGCCCAGTTCCCATCCCCCTCTCTCTTCCAAGATGCCTCCATCCAAGTCGGCGCCGCCATCGAGCCATGCCGCCCAGGAGAGCTAGTCTGCAACGACGGCTGCATGCCCCCTCGCGCAGAATGCTGCCCCGACGGCGACGGCTACTGTAAGCAGGGATACGCGTGTGTCACCGACGGCTGCTGTCCCTTTGGCAAAATATGCGACGGCCGGATCGTCTGCGATTTCGGCGAAGTGCCTTGTGGCGATAAGCATTGCATGCCCGAGGGGGCTGTCTGCTGTCCGGGGGGATCGTACTGCCGTGCTGGAGAGACGTGTTTTCAGAACGGCTTTGAACGTTATTGCCAGCATGCGAAAAGTACCACCACCGAGGAATCAAAGACAAATAGCATCGACAAACCAACGAGTTCGCATGACCTGAGCACTACTGAGGCGCTGAGCTCTATTAGAACGAGCCATGAAGAAGCTTCGATTCCAGCATCAACATCGACATCAACATCGACATCAACATCAACCTCCTTGGAGACATCATCTTCTGAGCATGAGACCAGCAAGCCAGTAGTGCTGCCTACGCCTCATCTCCCTGCAGAACCATCAACTTCGTCATCTGTAGAGGCACCGTCAACTACTACTTCGTCAGCACCTGCGTCAACCACTTCTCCGTCGAATGATAATGCCGCGACTGTTGTTAAAGTCCCAGGCCTTGAACTCACACTTGCATTGGCGTTGATATCAATGGCCATTATTCGTCTTTAGATACTTGAAGTGTGGTACTCTTGTTCTGTTATTTAGTTTCTTAGCTTCACTATTGTAACACAATTGAATCAACTAAAAAGATGTACAAAAGCAATGAGATCATGTATTAATTACCAAAAATAACGCTAAGTGGTATTCCAAGCTCCAAACTATTTTTCCAAGATTCCCTAGGTATAACAATAAAACAAAAGAATTACCACATGTCTTTGGATGGGGTATATATGTACAGAAGAATAATACAAAAGAAATTTGAAAGATACGCCACAGTGTATCGATCGACGAAAAGATTGCGTCTCAAATTCCCCCGTCATCTTTGGTATTAACGAGCTTCTCTTTCATCTCTGGCAGACATCATTTCTCTTCATTCACCATTGGTATCTTATAAAATTTTATCTCGTCTTCGTCGAAATTAGAAAAGGGGGAATAAAAAACGTGAAAGTGCAGCACAATGCATCTAATACTCTGACTTTTCATTGTGTGTCGAAAGCTCGCTTACAAAACCATGAGGATGGCCTGCGCTGCTTGTGGAGAGTTGGCTCACGTTGCTCAGCCTGAGTGGATTGACCAAACCCGGGCTTGGCTGGCCCTGCGACCATCGAGGATCATTTGAAGATCCTGAAGCTGGACGATATCCCGGGCTGGGCAGCGGAGACGGGTAGAGGCCAGGAGAAACATGAGGAGGGAAGTCGCCCGGAAGCTCCATGATGACCATTTGTTCCTTGGGCGGAATTGGCGGCGGCGCATACATGCCCTGGTGTTGCTGCTGCTGGTACATGGATTGGCGAGGATCCTGCAGCTGAGGCGTCTGCGAGGGAGCAGGGTAAGCGTGTTGGGGGTATCCTGGCGAGTAGCTTGGTGGCATCTGAGATGCCTGTGCCAGCTGTGGGCTTTGCTGTCCAAAGGGTGGGCTCTGCGCGTAAGCAGATTGCCGTCTGGGATCTTGCATCGAGCCCACTGCGGGCGTGATGGAGCGATCCATCGGGTTGACTGTCTTGAGCTTGCCGTCCTCCATCATGGCTTGAAGAACGCCGGCGTCAAGAAGTTCGGCCTTTTTGATGATGCGCTGGACCATCTCTCGGTTGGCAGCCTTGAGCTGGGCTCTGACAAAGGTAACCATGGCGATGTTGCACTTGAACTCGATGTCTTCGCGCAGGTAGAGGCCGTCGGCGGGGGCTCCCAGGCTCTCCAGGCCAATCTCGCGAGTCTCTGGCGGCTCGATGCCGGGCTGGTTGCCGCAAATGCGATACTTGTTGCGCAGGTCAATGTTCATGGGCGCATAGATGTGAGTCTGCAGGCCCCAGGGCATGTCGTGGAAGCAGCCGTTGAACTTGATCTTGCCGGCGCCCATCTTGCCCATTCCGGGGATGACCTGGATGCGCTCCTCGATTTCGTACCAGGTGCTGTAGAACTCGTCGGCGGCGGCATTGCGAGGCGCTGGGATGGGCTTGTGGCCGAGGACGAGCGGGTTGAGAGTGAGGACCTCGCTGTGAGAGTGCAGGATGTCGATGGCCAGCTGTCGCGGGATGAAGCCCGGGATTGGCGTCACCAGCGTAAACGCCTCTTTCTTGCGAAGCATTTCGGGCATTTAATCTGACCAGAAACGGTAACCAGAAAAAAAGAGGAAAGGAAGAAGAGAAATAGAAAAGTTCCCCTGTCGGGCAATTTCTAGCCACCACAGACGGACGGGATAGAGTACGAGTACGGGGCCGGCCGGCTTTGCAAGCGAACGTATGGGTTGATTGACAACAGTTGAAGCGACAGGATTCAGCCCCGCCGCCAGCCTCGAGTCCCCCGTAATTGGCGCACGTCGGGTGGGTGTGGACGCTGAGAAGCAGAAAGCTTACTTTATTTAGCGGAGGTTGTTGGTGGAATCGTGGTTGATCGAGTCGTGTTGCTGGAATCCGGGCCTGGGGTTGCACAAGGTCGTGATACCTGGACGCCAACAAGCAAAAAAAGAAGAAAATTACTTTTTTCTCCCGGAAGAAATAAGGAAACCAGAAGACGAGGCGGACGCGAAACGGTTTTAAACAGCAGCGCGCGAGCTGTGCAAGGCCCTCCCTGGAACAAAAAGTGCTGCTTCTGGTCAGCATCTACTTGGGCGGGGACGCACTGATCCCAGCTTTTCCTAGAGCCGCATGGCTGGATGGCACTAGTAAGCACTGGTGAGGCTTCAACGTTGGTTCTATCCTGTCAGCAATATCGCTGGCCCACCACCACGGGCTAGCGAGCATGGCTTCGCCCCCCTCCAGTTGCGAGGCACGTTGGGAGTAGTTGTACCGGCCCCAGGGTTGTACAAGCTTGGACGGAGTCTGGCTTAGTTGCAGGGATTTTTGCACGAGACGGACAACTCAGCTGCAGGCGTTGGCTCTGGTGGCGATGCGTTGACTCGCAGGGCTGAGTCTTGTTGGCAGCGGTTGTGCTGTTGACAACTAACAACAGTCGTCAACAACTTCTTCTCGCTTCGTCTAGCGGTGGGAAACAAAATGCCGGCTCTGGGTCCAAGTAAGAGAGCGCGCGATAACTCCAGTGGTTGCGCGTTGGTTGCACCGGTGTAGCGGTACCACTGCGGGTGCTGCGGCGCTCGGCGGGGAGTTTCGGTACTGTACAACGTGAAGTACATAGTTTCTTAGGCCCGGCTGCTTTCAGAGCCGAGCGAGTGTTGCGCGTCGATGATCCAATTGCCCGTGGTGGGTGCTGATCCGGTGGCTTTGGCGCATTGCAGCAGATGCTTCCCGTCAGCTCAGCTCAGCTGTTTTCCTCTCAACTGCTCTGCTCTGGACTGATGCGTGAGGTCATTGATCGGTGGCTTGTGCTACTCGCAGCTGTTAGGCCTCTTGTCACGCCCATGTAGCCCCTGCACCGCCTGCCGGAATCATGGCGATCCGATCCTCCAGCACGGAGGCCATCCGCGGCCGCTGGGGGCTAGCGCAGAGGGCTTAGCGGTGCTCTGGCGCTGGCGACTCGGAGATATAGAAGCTTGACACCTGGACCCGACGATGCTCAGCGGGTGCGAGTACTTCCGGATACCTGAAATAGATCTGGCGGTGGGGCATCCGCTGTTTCGTTTGCGAGCTGCAACCCTGACGCAACTGCTTTTGCCTCTTGGAGCTCGAACCTTGCTTCGCATGGAGCGGTGTCTTGGGCCCTTGCAGATGGGATGCCTGTCTGTTCTTCCTCCATCATCACCGCCTGGAGCGTTTCTGATGGTGCATACGAGACATTGCTCTGCGCCGCTCTAGACAGCTACAGCTACAGCTACAGCTACAGCCGCAGCAGGATCCTGCTGGACGGAACCTGATATTGCCCGCCTGACACAAACCACATACCACACACATCAATATCCACCACAATGGCCAAGCTCACTGTCCTGGCGCTGTCGCTGGCCGCCATAGCCCGCGCGCTGGTGCTGCCCGAGGCAGCCGTGAATCAGGCACCGCTGGGCGCAACTCGTGACGACGGCCCAGACGAGGCCTCGGACCTGCACAATGTCATGTTCGGCTCGCACCACCTGGACAACGACGACGACGGCCGCAGCGCCGCCGAGAGCTTCTTCAACGCCGTGTCCAGCATCCGCGGCCACATCCACGAGGACTTTAGCCAGGCCGTGGCCGATCTCGTCGGGCTGGGCTACACGGGCGACCACTTCGGCAGCCCCGCCGGCCACGGCCACCACGACGAGAGCAGCCACACGATATACGAGCTAATCTCCAAGAGCAAGTACACGACAAAGTTCGCCCGGCTGGTCGACGACCATCCCGGCGTGGTGGAGCTGCTCAACAGCACCGACAGCAACTACACCCTCTTTGTGCCGCTGGACAAGGCCTTTGACGACATCCCCGACGACCACAAGAAGCCCAGCAAGAAGGTGGTCGAGGACGCGCTGCGCTACCACATTGGCCTCGGCGAGTATCCCGCCAAGAGGATCCTGCACACCTACACGCTGCCGACCGCCCACGACGAGGAATTGCTGGGCGGTGAACCGCAGCGCCTTCGTACCTCTGTTGGCCTTGGCGGCGTAAAGATCAACTTCTACAGCAAGGTTGTCGCTGCTGACATAGTGAGTGCTCCCCCGCTGATCAAGCAGGCTATTAATAGCCAACCCGATCCTATTGTCGCACTTATACGAGCGGGCCCTCTCGATTACTTTTGCGCTGTGTTCCTAAATTGCGATGCTCACAACTCACAACCCTCTAGGTTGCCAAGAATGGTATTATCCATGCCGTGAACCATATCCTAGTCCCGCCCCCTTATCTCGGCCGAATCATCACGCTGTTCCCTGATCGCTTCTCAACTCTGCTGTTGGCGTACGAGAAGACCGACTTTGTCAAGTTTATTCATGGCGTCAACTTGAAGGGTAGCACCGTTTTCGTCCCCACCAACCGGGCCTTTAATTGGCTGGGTCCAAGAGCCAACGCCTTTCTGTTCAACACTAGCAAGGGTCGCAAGTATCTCAAGGCCATTCTCAAGTACAGCATTGTGCCCAACGCCACACTGTACACTGATGCATTCTACGATAAGAGAGACGACAAGGACGAGAAATCCGACGTTGAGCCACTTTCGCACGAGACCTTTGATCTGCCAACCCTGCTTGGCGATGCGCACATCAGCGTTGATATTGCCCGCGTTTTTGGCTTTGCCTCGATCAAGGTGAATGGCTATTCCCGCGTGGTTGTGCCCAACGGCGTGGGGAAGAATGGCGTTATCCAGGTTGTCAACCGAGTTCCTATCCCCCCACACAAAGGCCATCGCCACCATCATTCCGAGGAGCATGGTGAAATTGAAGTCAGCGACTTGATCAAAAGACTTGAGCCCTATGTTTGATCTGATGCGCACCTGCGACTACAAAATGCATCCAGCAGTCAATTGGAGAATTGCCCCGAGCAGAATACGAAATGTGGTAAGAATGAGTGAAAATGTCATGATGTGCTTATGATTAAACAACCGAGTCATGACTATAAAAGGTAGAAAAAAAATTGTTTGAAATGAATGACTGCACGCGATACATCTGAGACAACAGTATCGAGTGGTTTGGATAAAATGTAACTATTGCAATCTTACTCTTCTCTCGCTAATCACGGAAACGGAAACTGGGTAGCATTAGCTCTGTCATCTTATACAAGTGGGTGGCACCACGATCGTTAACAGCAGTTGGTACCGCAGTTCTTGGCTGCCATGTAAGACTAAAGCAGGTATCCCATAGATACTCTCTACTTCGTAAGCATCTGAATACACTTTTTATATTAAGCTATCCTAGTGCCATCTCACTCTCAACCTCGATAGGCGAAATTACGCCCACTTGTGTCTATTCTTCTCCACAAATTCTTTCCAAGTCGTCGGCCTCTCCTCCAGCAGGCCCAGACTACACTCCAGGGACTCGCCGGCATAGTAGCCCGGGTCTTCCAGCAGTTTCATATTCTCCAACAGCTCTTGTGCCGCGGCTGGCGACAGGAACGATTTGAACTTGTCGTCTGAAATCTGGACTGCCTGCGCGGGCTTGCCGATCACTTGGGAGAACTCGGAGATGAGTCGGTCGATTGTATAATAATCTGCCGCGGCCAGAATACGCTTTCCAGTTTGAGCAGGAAAGTTTTTTATAGCTGCTTTTACAAATTTGCCTGGGATGCCTCTGTCAATATAAAAAACAATCATACCAGAATTTGTTTTCAGGAATTGCTCATGCACCACTTACCCATGTCTGCCGCGGCGTCAAAAAGCGGCGATATGGCCTTGTGCGGATCAACTGGCAATGCCAGCGTATAACCTGCCGGCTCCGACTCCGGGTTCTTCTGAATCATGGTCTCGAAGCCGCTCATAAACATGCCCGGCAGGACAAAAGTGCCGGCCAGGCCGCTGTGGCGGATATACTCTTCAATGGCCGCCTTGCCGTCGAAATGCGAAATGTTGGGCAGCCGGCCCCCGCTGGCCTTTGTGACGTTTATCAGCGACGAGAAGATGATGTGCTGCACGCCCGCGGCCTTTGAGGCGTCGACGACGGCTTTTCCCTGGGAGATTTCAATGTCGGCCGACATGCTCTCCCAGAAGTTGGTTACGAGGAAGACGGTGTGGGCGCCCTGGACGGCGGGGGCGACTGATTGGGCGGACGACATGTCGGCCTGTTTTCCATTGAATTACACGTTCCATATTAGAAGCATGTTTGATAATGATTCGAGTACGTTGTAGGTCTTTGTGGTTTTTGTATTATACAGTCTAAGAAAACATGGTAGGAGCAAGGTTGAAGCGCACCGTGACCAGCTCGACGCCCATGGACGCGAGCTTTTGGGCATTTGGCTTGTTCACATCACGAGTGACGCCGCGGACTTTGAATTCCTTTGAGAGCACTGCATCTGCGAGGATGGCTTGGACAACGGAGCCTCCTTGATTTCCAGTCGCGCCAAACACGGTGATGGTCTTGGACATGACGCGGTTGTAAATGGGCACAGCGGTGTAAACGGAGTTGGAACACGATATTGAGCTTATTGAATTGGATCAAGTAAAATGATTGAGATGGACTAAAACGAGTGCAGACTTCTCAATTGCTTCCAATCGAGTATTAATCCAATGCTAGGAACGCGCATGTAGTTATGACGTATAAGCTCAAACAAACATGAGGAGAAGCGCTTGGGCTGAAGGATTCATTCCATCCTCCCAGGATTTTTGGATATGCACCTGTGGCCTTTCATAGGTTCAAATCGAAAATAGTTTCTGTTCTAGTTCCCGATTTGAGCAGCTGCTAGATAGCTTTGGCGGAGAGTGATGTAATGGCCCAGAGTCTAACTTGTTCGTGCATGCTGGCCAATCCTTCAAAGTTGTGAGCTACAAGGTATGCATGTCTCTAGTGCGCCTCAGCTTTGCGCCATTTCAATAAGAATGTGTAGCTGCTAGTTACAATGTAGATTCGCAATAACTGAGCTGCTGCACTTTGCACTTTACTCTCGTGATGCCCTCTCAAGTCACAGAAACGACTTCAAGCTATCCGACACTCCCTTCACGTCTGCGTATACATGCCACTGGGCAACATTCGGCAGCACTGCTGTTTCTGCCCCCTTGATCTTGCTGGCATACTCCTCCGCCGAAGCGACCTTGTCCTCACTTCCCGTCACAATCATGGCCTGCACATCGAGATGCTCAACAGGCAGTGGTGCTTCATCCCTGGCAAAGGCTTGCAGTGCTTTTGCAAATGCCTCTGGTTCTTGCCCAAGCAGGCTGAGTCGAATTGCTGAAATCGCAAGAGGATTCGTCGTCTTCGTATGCTCAGACGTGCTGCTCTGTACAATCGTATCAACCACGGCTCCCATTCCTGATGTGCGAATGAGCTCCCCGCGCTCCTGCAAAGTTCTCCTAGCAGCCTCGGAGAGTGGGAAAGACGGCGGACCGAAAAGCACAAGCTTCTTTACCAGGCCAGGGTTATTAAGAGCGAACTTCAAGGCAACGATGCAGCCCATTGCTTGTGCAATGAGTGTTCCGGGATTCGATTCGGTGATGCCCGCGTGCGAAAATACGCCAGCGACATCAGCTGCCAAAGAATCCACCGTCAAAACGCTCAATGGGTGCGTAGGACTAAGACCCTGGCCTTCAAAGTCAAACAGGTGCAGCGATGCCACGTCTTGGAGGCCCATTTCCGAAATCAGAGGTGAAAAGTATTCACAAGTGCCGCCCAGGCCGTGAACAAAGACGATGCTGTTGTCCCCGGAACCAAGGTGCTTGTAATGCAGAAGCTTGCCGTTGATGTTGGTCAATCCCGCTGTAGCGCCCACGGAGCGTGTTGCGTTACTGAGACTGAAGACGGACTGAGAAGCGAGACGCTCAGTGGTTGCGTTGTAAGATGTGACTTTGTTATGCAGTGTGCCGATACCAGGGATAGTGACTGCGATTTCGTCTCCGTCTTTGAGAAAAATGGGTGGGTTTCGTCCAATGCCAACACCAGCAGGCTAATGGGATATCTTGTCAGAGTGGCTGGAAGTAGATGGGTAGAAGGCAGCGTACCGTTCCAGTAGCAATTACATCGCCGGGCAGTAATGTCTGGCCCTCAGAAAGGGTGCTTATCAACGTGGGAATGTCGAAAATCAAATCATCCGTCGTTGCATCTTGTCGCAGCTCGCCATTGACATGGGTCTGGACTCGCAGCACCAAAGGGAGATGCTCTTTAGGAACCGCAGCAGGACCCTATCAGAGTTAAGAAACTGAATGATTCAAATGCACTCTGAGTCATCTTACTCACCATTGGACAAAACGTATCGGCCGACTTGCCGATATAAAATTGCTTATGATCTCTCTGTCTCTCCCGCGCCGTCATGTCGTTGATAATAGTATATCCCCAGACATACTCCATAGCCCTCTCTTTAGGAATCCGGAATCCCGCCTTGCCAACAATAACTCCAATCTCGCCTTCATAGTCCACACTCTTCGAAAACTCCGGGTGAAGAAAGATGTCCTCGCCATCCGCAATGATGGATGTTGCGCGCTTCGTGAAGATGACCGGGTGGCTTGGCCGGTCAACCTTGTCCGAGCTGTCGTATCCCGAGGCGTTAAACTCCTTTGCATGTTCCATGTAGTTTTTGCCTACGGCCAACACATCACGGCCCGAAATTGGCGCCAGGAGTTTGACTGATGAGAGGGGCAGGGCGGAGCCAGAAGCGGTGATTTGCAAAGGCCCTGCTTCAATGACCTGGTAGAGGTCTTGTAGGGGGTATCCGGAGAGGAGGCTTAGTGGCTGGATCGTGCCTTGTTCTACGTCTAGATGGCCGATCTGGCTGATGCCAGTGTCGGGACGAGTAAAGGCGGCATAGTTTGACAGGCGTGACGAACTCATTGCGGTATTTGTAAAGTGTTTCTTTATGGCGCTCTTATTGGCTAATAGACTGGCAGATGCAAAAACAATGCCAAGAGCCGAATTTGCCAATACCTAATGCAGAAAGTATCAATTTCGGGAGGTTAAAGGTAGACAATCCTCGTCTGCTCGGGTTGAATAAGCCCTAGAGTGATCAAGTGCAGACCAATTCATGCGACGTATGAGAATTCATGGCGCCGATAGTGTGTGGAGTTGCAAGTCGCAGGCAAAGAACATGACAGTGCACGTATTACGCCGTCTCCCAGGCTTGACAAATACTTCTATTTCGCTTTTAATTAAGTTACACCTAGAATTTAACAATTTTGTTGCAATTCGATCAACTCTCAAAGCCAGTCCACAGAATCTTATATCTTTTCATCTTAATGAATCAGCCGTGAGCCGAGAAGACACTAACATCCCCAGGAGAGGGGAAGGGAACCATCTCAAGATCCCTGCGGAGAAGGATACATGTAATCACAAACCGGAGTTGAGAGCGCCAATCATTAGTAATTGACATTTTACAATCTTGGGGAGTCGAAACTTGTATCCCATGAAAATGTATTTTCTAGCTCTTAATAACCGGGCGTTTCTATTCTTACACAATTAATACAAACATAGGGTAGCTACTAATTCGACAACGCAGAGGAGCATCCTTAACAGGTAATAAAAGCGGCACATATTCGACAATCGGAAAGAACGAGCCTCGCGGAAGGAATCAAGAGCCCATTACTCCAGTATACGACCAAGAAGGATCATCTATTTCCGACCCAGCGTGCAACTGCCCCCGCCATCTTCACCCACCCAACCAGAAACTCTGTCGTTTGCAGCCACTAATATTATAAATTGTCGCTTAGAAATCACGTACACCCTCCACCCTATTGCATGATATTCTGCTTCAACACGCAATAGCGAAGGAGTATAAGAGAGTTTAAAAAGAGTATATATACGTGACTATAGATAAGATGAAACTTTTTCGAAATCAGTTCAGAGGCAGTAGTACAGAACAACAAATTACACAACGCTATCCGTCATCATGGCACCTATTCGCACCGCCATCATCGGCCTCTCAGGGTCCGCAACCACATCATGGGCCAGCTCTGCCCATCTGCCGTATCTCCTCTCTGCCCGCGGCCGAGAAAAATATCAAATCGTAGCCCTCTGCAACAGCAGCGTCGAAGCTGCGAAACGCGCCATTGAGGCGTTCAAGCTGCCTCCCGACACAAAAGCCTATGGCGACCCTCAGGCCGTCGCAAACGACAAAGACATTGACCTGGTCGTTGTAAGCACCCGCGTCGACGTACACCACTCCAGTGCTCTGCCCAGCGTCAAAGCTGGAAAGGATGTGTATGTGGAATGGCCACTAGCCCACAACGCGTCTCATGCAAAAGAACTTGCGGAAGCAGCAAAAGCCAGCGGTAGCCGGACTCTGGTTGGCAATCAAGGGCGAGGGGCGCCTCCTATTGTCAAGCTCCGTGAGCTGCTTCAACAAGGAAAGGTTGGAAAGGTCCTCAGCAGTGAGATTAGGGCCAATGGCGGATCCGTTGATCGGGAGGCCTTGCTGCCCGGGATTAAGTATTTTACTGATCTGGCTATTGGCGGCAATATCGTGACAATTGGCGTTGGACATTGTAAGTTTACACCAACACAAATTCATCATTGACTTATTTCTCCATGTCTAACATCTATCAGTGTTTGACCAAGTCCAGCACGTCCTCGGAGACCTCCAAGACCTCCAATCACGGCTACAGCTCCAGCGCCCCAACGTCCTCCTTCGCAACCCCTCAACCAAGGAAGTCGTCGAGACAGTCAAGTCAAACGTCCCTGATCTCGTCATCATCGACGGCGCTCTTGCCGCTTCGCAAATCGCCACCGAGGGAGCCAGCGTGCTCTTCCGCTTCCGTCGAGGACAGCCCTTCCTCGGCGAGCCCCCTCTTTCATGGACAATCAACGGCGAGAAGGGCGAGATTCGACTTCAAGCATTTGGCGGATCTTCCCTGCACGCCAACTCGTATGATGCTCCCGTGACCATTGAGGTCCATGACTTTGCCACAAATGAGGTTCAGAAGATTGAATGGAGTTGGCAGAGCTGGCAGGAAGAGCTTCCAGTCGTAGCGAGAAGTGTCGGCCTTTTGTATGAAAAGTTTGCGGATGGTGTGGCGGAAGGACAACCGACATTCGAGACGGCCTTGGCTCGCCATGAGCAGCTAGCAAAAGTTCTTGCTGGTTGGGAGGGGAAATAGAACTAATGTATGGTAGCGAAGCGGTATGTGAGACTTGAAACAGAATGAGCTTAATTTCTTGAAGTTTCTGCTCCCCATTGCCTAGAAATATCTAAGACTTGGTGATGAAGCCCTCCAAGTCTGGACAAGCTTGCAAAACGCTGGCCAATTCATCATCAGTCAAGCCCTTTGTCTCCTGGCCATTCTTGCGGGAGCTTCCCGACGCCTTCTGCTTTGGCTTTGGCTTTGAAGTTTTCCACTGAACGCTACACGCTTCGTCGCCGATGAGCTGGGGAAGATCGTGCAACGTAAAGTCTCCCTTTAACGGGCCGGTGCTTCCATCGTCGAGCAATCCCTTTTTGAACAGATCAGACAGCTCCTTTTCTTCGAGCGAACAGGATGTCTCGTCGAATCTTTTTCGTTTCTCGTCGATATCTAATCGGCCTTCAATGTAGCTTTCATCCGTTGATTCTTGTTCAACCAAGTCAGCAGCAGGTTCGTTGCTTTGTGGTAAAGACGGGCTTTGCTGTGGGACAGCGTGTGACTGTGTCACTTCAGCTGGTGTGCTAATTGGTTCCATGACTTTGTGACTTTCTAGTTGTCTCGCTTCGATGGGAATCGCTCTTATCTCGGCCGGTTTCAAGATCAAAGGAATGCACTTGTTTGGTGAAAACTATGGTTTCTACATGCGATTTCCAAACATGCGTATCTTCTCCTTTAATAGCCATGTTTGATCAGATGTCGATTCACCACTCTGCTGCAATCGAATTCCAGTCATTCCCACATGCGCACATGAGTCACAGACTGCTTACACACGTCACACCGTATGACAGCTTGTCTGAATTGCTGCTAAATATGGCTGATTGCGGGCATTGTAGAAGCAAAGAAGCCTATCACTGCATATCTGTTGACTCATTTGTATATCTCATTTGTCCTACAAACAGATAAACAGTCCTCAGTTCCGCGGCCACATATCGTAGAGAACAGGAATTCCGCAAGTACACAGGTACCTGCGTAGCGTCCGCTAGATCCTCTTTTCCCACGTGGTGTGCCTTTTCGGGAATAACACTGAAAAGCGCGGCATAACACAGAAGACGTCAGCGTGACATGTCGATGCTGTTTCAAGGGCCTTCTTATCATCTACTATTGCATCAACAATTCTCGAGCCCGACGAAGCGAGAATTCGATGTAAGACAGTGAAGGTAACATCAGGAGACAACTCGCGTGTTCGCTACCTCGTACGTCATGCAGCATGATTCGGAACCCGCGGTGGTATGGCCGCCTTTCTGGAGCTTTGTTGGAATCTGGCCATCTAGATAGAGCTAGGCTTTACCGCCTCTAGGCCGGCAGAGCACAGTCTGGGGTACCAGATCTTGGAGTACAGCGACTCCGGGCTGCGGATGCCAGTGCCAGCCCGACCAGCTCCCGACCAGAGCCGCCAAGGTACCGCCGGAGCATGTGCTTGTGCCTAAACAATGCCTAACAATGCAGGACGCTGCAGAGAGTCCCAAAAGTGCGCCTTTTCATTGCTGCTCTGGCATGTGAAGATTGACATGTCGATCGCCGGCATCTGCAAACCCCCAAAGTCAGCGCGCTGCGGGCAACAGCACAGCGGCCTTACAGCACGTGGACGCGCTGCGGGAGATGAGGGTGGCCTGCAGCAGTGCTTGCATGGTACGTGGCCGTAAAGGCGGTTGCTATCAGACGCAGGTATACAGTACCTGCAGCCGGCTCGGTTGGGGCAAACTCACGCGATACTTGGGCGTATTTAGCGCACTGTGGCCAACTCCCGGCCGGCACAAGTACGTACAAGTACCGCTGCGGCAGTACCAGACGGCGGCCACCAAAGTCTAGCTGGCTCCATGCCACTATAACGTCCCCACGCAGATGCCATCAGCGGGTGTGGCAGCGGTCAGATGCTCCAACCAAGTGTTGTGCTGCATCCCCAGCCCGGCATCGCTTCCCCAGATTCAACAATTTCCACGACAGATTCCCTGCCTCCCTGCCTCTCACATCTCCTGGCTCCTACCACCGATATTTCCTTCTGGATCGCATCGCTCTATACCGCCTATTTACCTGATCATCTTCTTTATTGTGTCCTTGCACCTGCGAAAGCACCCTGGAATGAGACTAAAGCCGCACCGAACCCTCCTATTGCCGACCTGAACGTCCTCGCTTCTGGATGCCCTTGTAAACGCAGGATAGCCTTGTCATGGCCGATCTGCTTCTCGGTACATCCCCGATACGCCCGATACACAGCAGCAGCAACTCTCCGACATCACCCAAGCGACCAAAGAGCTCGTCGTCTTCTCAGCCTCTGCCGTATGTCGACCGGACGCTCCTGAGGACCGTCTCCAAGACGGTCAAGGGGGCGGCCAACCTCTTGCGATCTTGGAAAGATGGCATGAGTAACGATGAGAGGGAGCAGGCGAGGCTGGTCGAGGAAAGGAAAAAGATACTCTACGTGCGCATGAAGAGTGTACGTGCCTATTGATCCCCTTGGCGTGGCCAGATTTAGAACTAACGAGACAGGCTGAAACATTGAAACAATGGCAAGCTGCGGCGCAGGAACTCGACGCTCTCGAAGGCAACGATGATTGGAAACAGGATCCAGATAGCGGAGACTACAACCCCAAGCTCATTGAGGAGCGACTTCGAGCGCTCGACGAGGCCCGAGAGAGCCACGATATCCGCACCATGATGCACCTCATCCGAACCTCCCTGTCACGCGATCTCGGCGGGATGGGAAACGTCGATCTCTACCGACATTCTTACCTTGGCACAAAGACGTTGATCGAACGCTACGTCGAATCGACAATCGAAACCATAGATGCCGCCATTGTCCACAATGCGACGGACCAGGGCATCGCACACAAGGATCTGCTCGAGGGCATGTTGCTTGCGCGCCAGAGCTTTGGGCGAAGTGCTCTGTTATTATCTGGGGGCGGGACGTTTGGCATGGCGCACGTCGGCGTCCTCAAATCTTTATTTGAAAACCAACTTCTTCCCAGGATTATATCTGGCGCCAGCGCTGGGAGCATCGTCTGCGCCGTCATGTGTACGAGAACGGACGAAGAGCTTCCACAGCTAATCAAAGAGTTCCCATATGGAGATTTGGCTGTTTTCGAAGCTCAAGATAACCAAGATGGCCTCCTGGACCACTTTCGCCGCCTATTGACGGAAGGCTGCTGGTCAGACATTGCCCACCTTAGGAGAGTCATGAGGGGAATGATGGGCGACATTACGTTCCAAGAGGCGTACAATCGCACACGCCGCATCCTCAACATCTGTGTCTCCAGCGCATCTGTATACGAGCTGCCGCGGCTACTCAACTACGTCACTTCGCCCAATGTCATGATCTGGTCTGCCGTGGCAGCATCTTGCTCGGTGCCTCTCATCTTTAACGCATCGCCATTGCTCGTCAAAGACCCCATTACAGGTGAGCACCGTCAGTGGAATCCGACGCCACAAAGGTTTATTGATGGCTCGGTGGACAACGATCTTCCCATGACACGTCTCGCGGAAATGTTCAACGTCAATCACTTCATCGTATCTCAAGTGAATCCTCACGTCACTCCGTTTCTCTCCAAGGATGATCACCTATCACCCGAAAACAAGCCTGCCATCAAGAGTGCCAGTACTGGCGATGACACGGACTGGCTATATACGTGCACGTCGCTGGCCAGAGACGAGGCTCTCCATCGATTACAGTTCATGGCCGAGATGGGCTTTTTCCCAACCATGATGACAAAGTTCCGAAGTGTCCTCAGTCAAAAGTACTCTGGGAATATCAACATTCTCCCCGACATGTCGCTCGACAACCTTCCGGTGCTTCTTAGCAACCCCTCTGTTGATTTCATGTTAAAGTGTTGTCTTGCTGGTGAAAGAGCAACTTGGCCAAAGCTTTCCAGGATACGTGACAGCTGTGCCATAGAGCTGGCGCTAGATCGCGCAGTGCACCGACTTCGGACAAGAGTCGTCTTTTCAGAGAGCCAGAGTAATCTGAGAAGTCTTGTTTCATACATGGGTAGCCTGCGGCAGCATAAGCATGACCAGGCATTCGATCAGCCCAATCTTGGATTGCCGGTTGCCAGCCATGGCCAGAAGCGTCAGCGGCGACGTTCTGGTGGCAGCCTTCGCATGCTGCCAGGAGCTGGGCTGGCTCTGGAAAGTGACATTACAGACTCGGATACAGCTGAAGAGGAGCGCCTTGAGATTGCCTCGAGAGGCCGAGGATTCTTGGCTCCTAATCCTCTTCGCAAGCCGCAGTTGAAAAGGTCAAGTATGAGTCAAACCCATGTGCCTCAGCTCGCTGCCGCTCAATCTCGCTCCCAGCCAAATCCAATATTCAGCTTTTCCAAGCCCTTGACTCCTCCACAAAGCGTGAATGGAGAACTGGATACTGCTAAATCCGCAAATCACGTTCCTCTCAAACCAAGGGAGCCGGTACCATTTGACGACAGCAGGGGTGACCTGGCAGTACCATTGTTGGGCACTGTGATATCTCCAGTCGATGAAATGGAGACGAGCGAACCAAACCACACAAGCGACACAGAGGTGGAGTTGGTGACGGAAGAAAGTGATCCAGATGATAATCAGCCCGCATTCATCGAAGGAGTTGCCAAACCGGCTGATTACGGCGCATTTGGCCCTGTAGGGCAAGTTGTTGGAGGTCTCTGATGTGACGATCATATGCCCCACCGGATGACGGAAGGGGAAGGACGGCATTGGTTGACATACCAAGGCTGCACGGAATACAAGCATACAATGGCGTTATCACATACTTGTTTAACCGGAGGAAGCCCTGTCTTTTTTGTTTCGTTTCGTTTCGTTTCGTTTCGTTTCGTTTTGCCTTTTTTGTTTATAGAAGCGACTTTGTCAATAGTGGTTTTCATTCTTGGATAGCTCATCACCGGTATAGAGGATAACTGGAGGTTAAGCTACTGAATTTCAGGGCGGCGAGGGGTTGCGGTATTACTTTTTGATGTGTAAGCATCAGGTATAAGAGAAGGGGATATGCGTTTCTGAATAGTCAGATGAATCAAAAACAATAACTTCAATCAGCTATTCAATATTCTTTGCCGCTTACCATAATGGGCAAATACCAGAATAGGCAATTCACACAGCGCTAGCTCCTGGGCGCCGTTTTGCCGCCCGCGATGAGGAAGGAACGACCGTATCGCCTGCCTGCCTAGTAGAAAGTTTCTGGCGTTTACATCCTCCTGTGCCAGCAAAATTGACTGAATCTTCGTTTATAGATTGCAAAAAGACCGTTCAAGTCAATAACAGCTCCCGGCCGCGTGGCCTAATGGCTAAGGCGCTAGATTTCGGTCTTTCTCATCTCTAGAGATTCCAGGTTCGACTCCTGGCGTGGTCGATTTTTTGGCTTTTCAGCACTCATGATGCTTTTTTCTTTTTGGACGACTTCATTTCTGCTTTCTACTACAAGTAGGTGGTGAGTGAGCTGCGTTTCGTTTATACTGTTGTGCCGCGAAGTGATTCAAGCGGATATCGGGCTGTCGGTGGTCTAGGATCTCGGGTGAGCATGTATTAATCGCACACCAGACTAACATGCGCGCGCGGCGGCTGAGTGGCCACTTTAGACTCGTGAGGTAGAATTGGTATGGGGTGATTTCGACGAGCAAGTAACTTTGGCTGTTTATAGTGGACTGGCTAGTTGCTTTCAACTTGGAGATTGGTAAGCGATGGAAGCCGAGGCGTGGGTAAGGCTGATGTTCTGCGTTATACAAGTTCTCTTTTGGCTACATGTGCCATCTACTGTACAGGATATTTCCTAAATAGACAATGATGGCGTAGTTTGAAAAAGGAGAGAGGATGGATTGGCTCTGGCGGTACATCGTGGTCAGCGTGGTATCAACAGAAAACTGCTCATTCCCACAAATCCACCAGCCAAATGACTCTGTACAGCTCGCCTACTCCTTCCTGAGTGAGATGACAAGTGGATCGTGATTCCAATAGCTCCGGATCCGAGTGGTAATTACTTGGATAACCGACAACTTGAGACTGGTTCTCAATGGATAGCATAAAGTAAGCAAATAAGCCAACTCGTAGAGAGAATGAGGTCGACTTGGCCCCAAAGGTTCGAGACCTATTAGTCTCGACGAGTTCACCTAATCAACTGGATATGTACCTACCTACATTCTACTAAGTAAAGGCTTACTTTAGACCAAGTCAAAATGGCTTATTAGAGCTCGTTCCGTGGCTATTTGCCTCATTCAACCGCCAAATTCCCATTGCCCCTCCTCCCGGCCCATCGGCGGCAGTGGCCCCATCGCCGACCACCCGTAAGCTGCATGCCTGTTCATTTCCCTTTGCTCCAAAAGAGCTTGCAGCAATCGCATGAATAAACAGAAGCAGAAAGAAAGAAAAGACCCCACGGGAGCTAGTCGCAAAGCGCCCCATTGCGTCAGAGAGACTCGAATTGCAAAATGCGCACGGCCGGCCAATGAGGCGACGAGCTCAGCACGCAATCGCGGCGCCTTGCCGCTTCGAGGACCACCTTAGACCAGGCACTTGGCGCGGATCGTGGGGTTCGCTGCTGTAGATGGCTTAACTTGGAGGATGGGTTGGGGACAATATGGCTGGATGAGGGGGTTCCGCACCTCCAGCTCATCATGCCTAGCTCCGTAAGCAAACAGGCAATAGATATGTGTGTTTTTTAGGAACAGAGAGGAGAGAAACATGTGTGTTTAGAAAAAAAAGGAGGGGCAGCAGCTAAATCAGATAGGAATGAATGATGAGCTGGAGGAGGGGGGAGGGGCGGCTGGAGTGAAATTGGGTGATTTGGTTGCGTTGATGGACCCCTCGATTACGTTTTGTCGATGGAGCGCGAGATATATAAAGTAGCCTGTCGAGAAACTCTCTTTTGTTTTTCCCCCTTCTCTCTCTTGAACTGCTCTTGATCTAAACACCCGCAAGCTTATACAAAAAAAAAACACACAACTACCCCAATCACAATGGCTGCCGTCCTCCGTCTGGGCTCAGAGGCCCCCAACTTCAAGGCCGAGACCACCCAGGGTCCCATTGACTTCCACGAGTTCATTGGCAACGACTGGGTCGTCTTCTTCTCCCACCCCGAGGACTTCACCCCCGTCTGCACCACCGAGCTGGGCGCCTTTGCCAAGCTGCAGCCCGAGTTCACCAAGCGTGGCGTCAAGCTGATTGGCCTCTCTGCCAACACCGTCGACTCTCACCACACCTGGATCTCCGACATCAAGGAGGTCACTGGCGGCCATGTCACTTTCCCCATCATTGGTGACAAGTCTCGCCAGGTTTCCCTGCTCTACGACATGTAAGCTATATATGTGAAAGAAGGGAAGCTTTTGATATTAACGAAACATCTGCAGGATCGACCACCAGGACGCCACCAACGTCGACGAAAAGGGCATCGCCTTCACCATCCGCTCCGTCTTCTTCATCGACCCCAAGAAGAAGATCCGCACCATCCTCTCCTACCCTGCCTCCACCGGCCGCAACGCCGCCGAGGTCCTCCGCATCGTCGACTCCCTCCAGACCGGCGACAAGTACCGCGTCACCACCCCCATTGACTGGCAGCCCGGCCAGGACGTCATCGTCGCCCCCGTCATCAAGGACGACGAGGCTAGGAAGCTGTTCCCCAACTTCAAGACCATCAAGCCTTACCTGCGCATGACTGCCCTGCCTGAGGTCTCATAGAGGGCCATAGAAGCAAATAAATACTAAAAATACCACAAAGCTATAAAAAAAGGAGGGTTGAGAGGGGGAGATATCAGACTTTGCCAAAAAGTTAAATGCATGGCGCTTTTGGAAAGGTCGTTTCCCGTAGCCTGTGCTACGAAAAGCCAGAGATGACATGAATCTTTCATCACAACCCGCGAAGGGAGTTAGGATTAGTTTACCTAAGCGCTGGGCAAATAGCCATGATGTTAGATAATGAAGAGATACCACTAAATTTTACAAACATTTTTCCCAATATAATTTATTTGCAGTGAAGACTAGAAAATGCCCTGGTCTTGGGGGCCCATAGTACATGGCCTTGGGGAAGCTTAAGAATACTATGAAATCTCTGTGATTAGGCTATAAGCTTGCCCCTTACCATGGACTTTATAGTGCAAGGCCTTGGGGAAGCTTGAAAATGCTGTGAAATGGTTGTGAAGGTTAACACCAGAGCGCTACAGGTGGAATTTATAATGCAAGGCCTCGGGGGAGCTTGAAAATGCTGTGAAATCGCTCTGGTTGGTCTGCTTAATGCTCAGCCCCTTCACGGGTGGTGTGTCGCATGCACGGTCTGGAATCTAGCTGCATGTGATTTTGAAGACCCCTATATACAGTAGGTATATACAGTGCAAAGCCTGGCTTGAAGATGCTGCGAAATCGCCATGGTTTGCCAAAATGCTGCCTCGTTAACAAAGTGCATCACGTCTACTGGTACATGCATTTGCAGCTTACATCTCTTTCTCTTATCCATCTCCAGCATGACCTTTGATAGGAAATTGTGGAACACGTGGATACAGCGTTAGTGAGATCGCTGATTAGATCGTAATGGAAAGCTTTTAATATGAAATTCCAAAAATGCAGGCTAGCTCAGCGAAAATTGCAAGTTGATGCATACATACAAGTGCTACATCTCGAGCGCCTCAATGTTTCGTCACCTTCTCAAACTCCCACAAGGTCGTCCCATGAGGCCTCCTGACAAGGCTGCGGCCGTCATCCGCAACAGACACCATCTTCAACGTGCTCTCATAGTATGGCGTCAACAGCTGATATCCGCCATCAGGATGGCTTCTCGGCGTGAAACACTCCCAACCCTTAAACTTCACGGCAGATGCATATATCTCGTCTCGTTTACCGTTGTGGCCTAGATATGTGCCCGACTTGGGATTGAAGAAGCCAAAGTAGCCGTATGCTTCGACGCAGAGCCAGAGATCATATCCGTTGTGGCTCTCTGCCACGTCGCGCAAGCAGAGACTCTGGGCCTTGAGGGCGATTACGTTGTCGGTGCCTTTTTCGAAGATTCTATAGACGCCGCCGGGCCAGGGCACGGAGTAGTTGCGGCCATCCCAGGTGTCATGGATGGTGGTCTCGCTTGGCGTATCCATCGAGCGGCTGGAGCTGGCGTCTTCGGGATATCTTATCTTGGACATTTAGTGGATAAGGCTGGGGTGGAAGAATAGAGCTGCGCTACTCAGACTGATGTTAAATTCACGTCAACTCGTATTTGATGATTATTGTAGTTGTAATGGTTTGATGTTGCAAAGTGAAGAGGGGTAGCTGCTCGCAGTCACTATGACTGCATTACGCGTTAAGGTTTCGGCAAACGATTGCATCTGCAGTGTCCCGTCTTACCCTACAGCCTTTTTGAAGCTCTTGGCGCTTCATTGGATTGGACTTGATTAATTGCGGTTTTTGGTTACATAAGCATTCCCGTGAGTGAGCTTAACGTGGTGGTATATACAAATTTTCTCAAATTCTGTCAAGTGCTGGCTTCTTGAGGAGGAAGCTCACAAGAATAGAGCAAGCGGTTTATATCTGTAAGTGGAATCGACAATATAGCACGCTAGGCCACTGTTTGCGGTAGAGCCACTTATACGAACGTTTTAGGGCAGCAAAGCAACTCGGAGCACCACGGCTGATACGAATCATGGCAGTGCAGAGAGACTGTGCCTTGAATTGGAAAGGAGAGTGCCCTTCCACATAGCTCGGTAAAAAGGAGAGAAAGGAGCAAAGTCAATTGGAGTTGCGGCTCACGGATAGTATCGTACAATCTAGTTTAGATGCTCCAAAGTGGCATCATGATCGACAAAAATGCATCAGCGGTACGTAACAGAATACGCGACTATCGGTTGTCAAAGAATAGTCTTTATGCTGATGCTTGCAAGCGGGCTTCATTTCAAGCCTCCTTAAGCGTCCTCGTACAAGTAGACGGGATGCAAATACATGCAAGTCTGCGTCCATGTCATTTCCCACGAGATAATGCTCAGCGCAGGCCAATTTCCATCCACTTAATGCAGCGGTAACTCCTTCTGGAAAAAAGGGCTTTTAAGCAAAAACGCAAACGTCGGAAATCACGTAATCAGGCAATCCCGAAGCCGGTCAGGGGTTTTCTGTTGTCGAGCACTGACGTCTGCCATTGCCATGCTCTAAACGGGGCCGATTGTTTCATGGCGAGTCAAAGCGGTTTAGCCCGGACGCATCTCCATTCTCCCACGTGCGAATATGCCCGGCTGGACAAGTGACAAGAATTGAACCCTGGACCGTCCATTGTCCGGCAGCGGTGCGCCAGAATGAGTCTGGAAGGATTCTCGGCAAAAAGTCCGCTGAGAAGACGGCACGAAGGTGCATGTAGCATGAATGACGGACAAGACCCGAGACCTCTAGACAACAAGGAGTAAGAGAGTGTGGAGCCGAGACGGCAGCGAGCCGATGGCACGATTCCCTCTCTGCTGCCCTCGTGCTCATCTCATTGCCATCAATTCAGATTATTGACGCATTTGCCAAGCCAGAGTTTCTTTCTTTATCTCTGCAAAAAGAGCGCGGGCCCCTGCGGCACCAGTGACCACAAGACGGGGGGATGCTTGGAGCCAGTATCCACGCGGACGGGGCGATCTCAGCCCAACAAACAGCTTGGACACCGAGAATCAAAACATGATGCCTGCTCAGCGAGATACGCAGAGAGAAAAAAGTAAAAAAGGGTTTTCCAGCCCCCTCTCTTTGTTGCTGCCGAGCTGTTTCCACTCCGTCTCCGCGCTTGTCAAGCTGCTGCTGAGCCTACAGATGCAGAAAGGTCTGGTGCTCCGTAGCCCGGATCACAACCCCTATTGAGATTGAGTCGCAGCAAAAGGAGGCGCCAATTCCACCGGCTAGTACACTCTGATTGCTGCACTCCATCTCATAATCATAAGATTGTGGTGGTCGACGGTGAGGGGGAGCAATGGCTGGACCCGGTGCTAGCAGCAGCGTCTAGCTGGGAAGAAGCTTAGCGGACAATCTAGAAGCCTGTTCGACTCGAGGCTCCAATCAATGGAATGGGTCTGAGGACGAAGATCAGCGTGGCCCTGTGGGGTTCCCACGCGAGAAATTCTACTGTAAGTATTGAGACTATGCGCTGCGAAAGTGCCAGCAACAATGGCCGCGCGGAGCTGCTTCAGGTGACGGGATTCCAGTCAACGGAGTAGTACTAGCAGCATGAGATCAGTAACGCAAACAAGAGAGTTTGAACAAAACAAAACAAAAAAGACAAGGTTTCTTTGTTTGTGTCCAGGATCAATATCGGACGGTTTGCATTATACGTGCATGTACAGCCTCAATCTTTCTCCTCGCCTTCTCCTCATTTGGAACCACCACGCTTCCCCTGCAGGGCCCCTGACGTCGCCTGCATGCTGGCAGCCAACAGCGAGTCTTTGTTTGCCCTGTGCTGCCCAGCTGCCCCAAATGCTCCTTTACATCATCAGCTGCCCTCATATCCATAATTACGTGCAGGCTGCGAATACGGCGTGCGGTTTGGCGCCGTGCCTGCAGGTTGCAGGTTGCAGGTTGCAGCAGGGACCTTGTACCTATAGATAGGTCGCGACGGGGGTCTGGGCGTTGCGACTGCTGCACGACAGGTAGCGGCTTATCGCGAGGATAAGAGACTTGGAGTAGCGCCCACTCTTCAGGAAGCGCCGGATGCTTCTCCAGCTGGAGCAGAGTAAGAGTACATGTACCCATTGCCGCCGTTGTGGTACCTGTTTCTTTGTCTTGTTTCTTGTTCTTCTCTTTCTGTTGTAATTCTCTCTCTAGCTCCAACGTCAACGTCAACTTGATCTCTTCTTTGCTGCTTCAATACGCCAAAACTCTCCCGCCACCGATCCCGTCGCCCCATTGCCTGCTCGGAACAGCCTATCAGAGCCCGCCTGTCACTGTTACCTCCAGCCTGTAGCGCCGGCTCCAGCGTGCTGTTCCGCCATTGAGCCACTGTAGGTGCCTGTAGGGTCTTCCCAGTCCACTAACAGCGCCCCCCCCTTCTTCGCGTCTGTGCGCCCGTCTTGCTGGAGACCTATTTTTTTTTGTTGCTCGAACTCCCTCCGAGCCCACATCGTCAGCTCCATCGCGCGAGCCAAACGGGCAGCGCACATCTCCAGAGCGAACAACGAGTGCGACGTTGGCCCTTTCAGACAGTCCCGGCCGCCGCCTTTGAATGGTACGTCATGCCCTCTCTCCCAGCCCTCGTGCCCGTCCCGTCTGCGACTCGACTCGCCTCGCCTTGGCCGCCAGCTGAGGCCTCATTTCATGCCATGGTGGCCATCGCGCTCTTTTCTCGCTCGTCGAGGCGAAGCCCCTGTGCTGTGTCGTGTTGCATCTCGCTCCAGTCCTCTGCCCTGCGCTCAGCCGCTCGAGATTCCTCGGCTGCCGGATCACCGCTGCCCCGGGGCTCCTGAAGATCTTCCCGGCTGCTCGCTGCCAGCACGAGACGCAGAGACGAGCAGAGTGCTGTGGCGAGGACCGTCTTGCAATCTCGACCACGGTGCGGTCAGAAAAGATCCCCCCCTGCCCTGCCTGCTGTCCGGCGCAAGTGGTCATATTACATGCCAGTATCCCCCATACTTGCTTTGGCCAGGAACGGGCTGATCCCATCTGACAAGCTTGCCGGAAGGGGACTGTCATTGTCATCTTTCATCTTTTCTTTCTTGCTTCCTTCTTTCGCCTCCCCCCTAATACTCCTCCTCCACCTGCGCTCGTGATCCCGCAGACGGCCCTCAACCGCCGTCTTCTTCTTTTCTTTTGCGCCTCTCGACGCATTGGTCGACGCCATGGCCGAATATGCACCACTGACTGGTTTACAGAGCCCTCCGCCGAATAGCTTTTATACTTACTCCGACTCTGGGGCCAATGATCCCCGTGCGCATACCGATCACTACAACAGCAATACCAACGGCGCACATCGAGGGCCTGTTCACAACTCTTCCGCCAGACTCGCTCGAAGACCTTCAACCCAGGCACAGGGCCACGCGACTTCGGCGTCCCAAGGAGGATCTTCGTCCCAATCCAGAGCATCATCCATATCCAGGGCTCAGCAGCAGCATGCGAGACAGCTGAGTCTACAACACAGCCTCGAGAAACCATTGCCAGAGCCGCCGGCTCAAACAAATCCCACGCCCGTCGCCCCGACGACTACACCCGCTACCTTTGAGAGCGTTTCCAAGAGCTTCACTCCCGTAGATACGCCTCAAAGTCGCTTTTTAGAGTCCCGATTGGATAATCGACTAGACGTTATGGATTCGAACAACTCGGCCGCTGGCCACCAGATGTATGGCGCCTCTGGACAGGATAATTCGTATGGCCAAGACAATATGGCTACGCTGAGTTCGGCGAGATATGGTGGCGGTGGTGGTGGTGGTGGTGGAGATGAATACAGAGACGGACACAGGGAAGGATTGACTCCACGGAGCAATGGCTCTGTATCAGCAGGCATGTCGCCTGCAATCGGGCAGCCTCAAGCGCAAACCCCATCTGCCGGTACCCCAGTTGGCGGCCCTTCGCAAGGGTCTTCAGCGCATCTATCGGGCTTAATGTGCAACGTACACAGGACGACTGGACAGGAGCCCCCGCCGCTTGTAGGAGCTACGACAACTATTCTGGGCGATAGCCTGTATGTGTTTGGCGGCAGGATCCTTTCTCGAAGCCGCCCCGCGCCTCTTACCTCTGACCTCTACGAGCTGGACCTCATACGCCGGCATTGGACGAGACTCGCAGTGTCTGGCGACATTCCGCCTCCGCGATACTTCCATTCCATGTGCCCTCTCGGCGGCACCAAGATGGTTTGCTACGGTGGCATGTCTCCCGCGCCCAATCAGCCCATGGGAGCCGATCAGCAACAGCCCGAAGTTACCGTCATGTCCGACATTCACATCTACGACGCCCCGACAAAGACATGGTCTTACGTGCCGGCACAAGATCCCCCTCAGGGACGCTATGCCCACTGCGCCACCATTCTCTCTTCATCGGCCACATTTTCCTCAAAGGCCGCCCCTCTTTCTGCTCTCCAGCACAACCCATCCAACGGCAACCCCAACGAAGGCCGTATTGGCATCAACATTGACGGATCTGGAGGCGCTCAGTTGATTGTTGTCGGTGGACAGGATGGCGCGAACCACTACATTGAACAAATCAGCGTATTCAATCTCCGAAGCCTCAAGTGGACGACGAACCAGCCTTTGGGCAAGAGCTGCGGCGCCTATAGGAGTGTCGCCGCGTCTTTGCCCCCGGCGGTAAGCGCAAGGATTGGAATGAACGCCCAGAATGGCCAGCAGCGTACCGAGAGCACTGCCGGCCAAGAACCCGGGTCATCTATGCTCATCTACTCCAACTATAATTTCTTGGATGTCAAGTTGGAGCTGCAGATCAGGGGTCCCGATGGAACTTTAACCGAAAGGGCCATGTCGGGAACTTATTCTCCGCCTGGCCTTCGCTTCCCCAATGGTGGTGTCATTGATACTCATTTTGTGGTCAGCGGTACATATCTCACGTCATCGAAGCAGGAATATGCGCTCTGGGCCCTGGATCTTCGATCTCTCACCTGGAGTCGGATCGACGCCGGAGGCAGCGTCTTCAGCCAAGGCAGCTGGAACAGAGGTGTTTTGTGGAATCGACGAAATACATTTGTCATTCTGGGCAACAGGAAGAGGAGCCTGGTTGACGACTACAACCACCGCCGTATCAACTTTTCCAACGTCTGCATGGTAGAGCTTGAGGCCTTTGGCTTCTACGATAACCCGCGCAAGGTGGACCCCATGTCGGGCTTCGTCTCGGCTAGCAGCCCGTACTCTGGGATGAACCTAAGCCTTGCGCGCAAAGCTGGTGCTACTGCCGGCGGCCGATTCCACTCTCGGGCAAGCGAAGATCTGGGAGAGAAGATACTGGCGTTCCGGGAGCTGTCCGACATGGACATCCTGTGCATTGGCGGGGAGCGGATACCAGTCAACTCTCGAATTGTTGCCCGCAGATGGGGCCCATACTTTGTCCAGCTCCTGCGAGAAGGCACAGCTACGCAAGACGGAAGTGATGCTGTAACACTGCGATCTGGTCTATCTAGCAATCCACTGCGGGCATCGGCCTTGACCATTACGCCGAATAATAGGAACTTCGACGACTCAGCGACGCTGGTAGGGTCCATTGGCGGATCTGTCTCGGGACCATCTGGTCTCTCAGGACCTATCCATCACGGAGGAGGCGGCGCAGCGCACAGCAACGGAGATGAAGCGGCGGCGGCTGTTAACACAGCGCCAACACCACGCAGTCTGATGCCTAGCTCAAGGCCTCGATGCCTTTACCTACCGCACACGTACTTGACCATTCAATCCTTGCTGCACTTTTTGTACACTAGCTCTCTACCTTCACCCGCCTCTTCACTGTGCACGCCGCAGATCCTCTGCTCACTCTTACAAATAGCGCGGCCATACAGAGTTGACGGTCTTTTAGAAGCTGTTGTCGAGCGTCTACATGCCCTTCTCGATAGTAGGAATGCGGCGGCGGTGTTCAACGCGACGGCCATGGCTGCTGGTGGTGGCCGCGGCATCGATGGATCCCTCAATCCCAACTTTTTCGTTGGCAGTCTTGATCCGGTGGGATCTCCAGTCTCTACATCCGACTTCTCTCTCAGTACCACCACCACCAACGATTCTTCTTTCGGCTCAGACCTGAATTCACGTACAGCAAGCCTGAGTCTAAACTCAACTCTCAACACATCCTACGCCTCAAGCGGCGATGTTTCTGCTGCAACAAGCGCGAGTGGATCTGAGTGGGGATCTGAGATTGGCGATAATGACCGTGACGGCGTCATCTGGAATGGAGAGCTTAGCAGCGTCATTGGCCTACAAAAGCGAGGCCTTCGAGGTCTGATGGAAGGCCGAAGAATGAGAGAGAGGACTGGCACGGGAACTGGTGGCGCGGCAGGCATGGGAGCGAGTGGGATCGCTGCAAACTATGGAGGTCAAGCCGGCGGCCAGCGAGTGGGATTGGGAATCGCAGGCCCATGAGAGGTGTGATTGGGATGGCCTCCATTGTACAGAATTGAATTGAGTTGAAAAAAAACGAGAGAGGGGAAAGCAAAGAGGGGGGCAGTTGGGAAAACTCTGATGTTTATATCATGAGCGATTTCATTTATGTAGATATCTCTTTTTTTTTTGATGGAGGAAATGTTTGGTTTCTTTTCTTTTGTCAAGATTTGGGAAGATGTTCCAGGTATATACAAATGAGGTTTACGAAGCATCGGCGGGCCATGTTGAAATGCATTGGCTGATAAAATGGGCCACGATTTGATGCAGCGTTGCCTGGAGCCAAAGTAATGGGGAAACTTGCGCTTTTTTTTTTATCCTTGCTTGAGCTTTTGCATTTTACATGTTGCATATTGCATTGTATTCTTTCGTTTCTTGGTTTGCATATTACAGCGGTGGACGCATGTGGACTGAGATAAGACTGAGTCTGTAGTATATACTAACTACCTATGTAATAGATGTATGAATCAAGTTGTTACATGGTCTCAAAGCCACCAAGGTATGAGAGCGCGCTGTGCTGAGTAGCAGTTGCAAAGACTAACATGGGAAATAGTCGCCGTAGATATATCATCGTCATCATGGCTTCGTTCATTGACAGAAACTGGCTACAACTTGACTCTTCCGCCCTCGAGCTCCCTCCACTCCTTTTCCCTAAAGGGCACATACGTATTACCTTTGAGCCAGTATATGTCAGCATCCTCCTCTTCCTTGCTAGCATCGCCGCTGCCGTCCTCGGCCTCCGTCACCGTCTTCAACTTTGGCTTCACCCCGGCGGCCCGCAAGCTGGTCTTCTGCTGCTTGTTCGTCCCCGTCGTCTGGCTCCCCACGCCCACCTCCCTGACCAGTCGGAGGAACAAGGGGCGAGCATAGCGCGGCAGCGACGCCTTGACGTGATCGGCCAGACTCCGCAGCGTCGTCTCGTCCGGCACGGGCGTGTCGAAGCAGATGGCGGCGCATCCCGCGCGGCCGTCGTGATGCGGCAGCTGCACGCCGTAGACGTTGGCCTCGCGCACCGCCGGGTGGAGCCCGACGGCCTGGCTGACCTCGGCGGTGGAGACGTTCTCCGACTTCCAGCGGAAGGTGTCGCCGATGCGGTCGCTGAAGAAGGTGAAGCCGCTGGGGTCGCGGCGCAGGATGTCGCCGGACCGGAACCAGGCGTCGCCGGGGGCGAAGACGTCGCGCAGGATCTTGGAGCTGGAGGCGCCCGGGTTGTTGAAGTAGCCCTGGAAGCGCTCCTGGACGTCCTCGGGCGGCAGGCGGTACAGCATCTCGCCGGGCTCGCCGGGCTGGACGCGGCGGCACCGGTTCGTCACGGGGTCGCGCCAGGGGGCGTCGGTGTCGTGGTCGACCTCGACGAGGGCCGCGGCGCTGTTGGTGATGAGCGAGTACAGCCAGCCTGCCCGGCCGATGGCGCCGCGGCCTAGGTCGTTGCTGCTGACGTTCCACGCGGAGCCGGGCGACTCGGTGGCGGCGTAGAACTCGGCGACGGTCTCGATGCCGAAGCGCTCCTTGACGCGGTCCCAGACGTCCGGGCGCAGGCCGTTGCCAAAGGCGATGCGCACGCTGTGCTTGCGGTCGAGGTTCTCGCCGGTGACGGGGTCCATCTGCGGAGGCGCGGCGAGCAGGTAGCGCAGCGTCTCGCCGACGTACTGGATCGTGGTGGCCTTTGAGGCGCGGCAGTCGTCCCAGAAGGTCTTTGTGGAGAATTTGCGGCCCAGGGCCTGCGTGGAGCCGGCGACGAGGGTTGAGCAGAGGGAGAGGATGGCGGCGGAGGAGTGGTATAGGGGCATGCACTGGGACATGATCAACTGACTGACTTCTTTCAATGGAAGAGAGAACGAGGCTTACCGTGTACATGATGTCGCCGCCACCGCGGTTCAGGAGCGTCTCGACTATGCTCCCGCCATATATGCATTTCCCCCATGCCACGACCGCCGCCTTGGGCAGACCCGTGGTGCCCGAGGTGTAGATGAGCATTGCCATGTTGGACATGGCATCGTCGGACCTGTCCACGTTTGGGCTCCTCGTGGGGGCTGTAGATGCAGCCTCGGCTTCGGCCTCTGGAGTGAAGACGACAAAATTCACATTCGGCAGACTCTTGACACTCTCCTCATCGACATTTGCGGCCACGGCCGGATCAACCAGACAGAGCTTGGTGCTCGCCGCCTCGATACAATGCGCCAGGGGCTTCCCCGTCAGATTGTAATTGATAAACGCCGGCTTCGCGCCAATGGCCCACAGCGCAAACCACACAAACACAAAGGTGTCCGAGTTCTCAAAGTCCATAGCCACGACATCCTTGGGCTTGACGCCAAACTTGGTCTTGATCCAGTGGCCGTAGCGGAGGACTCTGTCGTACGTCTGCGAATACGAGTGCGTCTTGCCGTCAAAGATGAGGAACGCCTTGTTGGCGTAGCGGGCGCTTTGGGCATGGCTCTCCAGGGCGTAGAAGAGGTTGATTGTGTCGGTCCTGAGGCCGCGGCGGACGCGGATAGACGCCTTGACGATGGATTTGATGAGGGCGTAGTCGTACCAGAAGCCGGATTTGGCGTTGAGGTAGGCCAAGGAGGCGGCTGCGGCGGGGAGGACGATGGGGAGGGGGACTGGCATGGGGATGTTAGTTGTGGGTTTGTTTTACTATGTGGCAAGAGTATGTATAAAGAGAAGAGATTCAAGTAAAAAAAGTATAGATACTCGGAGGGTAAAGAACTCACCTGGCATTTTGGCGTAGAGGATAAAGTATGTAGTTGTAAGTGAGGACAATGTGAGATGAGATGGGAGTTGGCGATCAAACACTCATGAGAGAGTCCAGTGTTGGCCCGACTCTCCTCCCTTGCCTGAACCGCACGGGACGAAACTCCCACCCCCTCCTCTCAGCTCTCCTCTCATACAGACCGGTCCTTGTCTCGTCGTCCTTTTCCGTTCCTCTATTCACTAACATGGATGTGATCTCATACTGCTCATGGCCAGAAAGGGATTACCGTCGACAGGGAGCCTCGGCATTTAGGCGGGCTTTTGGCCCAACAGCAATCAATGCCTTTTCTCGGAGCTGAAGTGGCTTGTACGTATACATGTGTTTGTGAATTTTGGGGTACCTTGGGGGACACATGCATGGAATCGCACAACAATGGAAATTACATGTAACTTGAGCGGAATGGGGATTGTATTTACTGATGAATGCCACTTTCCAGAGGAACAGAAAAAAGAGACGACAGGACCAGGACGAATTAAATAGCATGCGAAATATCTAAAAGGAAAATGAGGAAAAATGAATACAAGACTAATAGAAACTTCTCCACTGATGTTTTACTTTTGTGCGGAGGTGCTGGAATTGCGGCGTCATGCATATTGCCTGCGTACCTGTAGCTTTGTGCGCGCCAGGACAATAGAGTAGATCCCATGTGGAGAGAAAAGAAGAAGCTAGAGAGCGGCTGAACGTGGCCGCGGGGAAAGCGTGGTTAGGCTTGCGAGAGAGTTTGATCCCTGCTTTTTAAAGTGACCGGATGGCTCTTTTTCTCTTTTTTTCCTCAATTTGCGGTGATGAGATGGTGTAAGTGCTAATTACGTGCTGCTGTCTAGCTGTGATGAGCAACTCGTACAAACAATAGTCGCGTCAGCCTTTTCTGTACAGTTGACCTATATATCGCCATGTCCTCAACGCTGATTGTACTCCATCCTCAACATCTCGTCACCGCAACCAAACTCACAACTCAACTTTCAAATAGTAGCAGTACCCCCAGCAATCGGAGTCTCAACCCGACGCCGCGACTCACATCCCCGCGAATCAGTTACTCTTTACAGCCAAAAGAAACCACAGGCGGGGAAAAAAAGAAACCACATCGTCACTGCGGCTTCACGATTCGGGCTCGCGTTGGTCCTAGCGGCGAGCTCTTGAGAGCGATGCCTCGGCTCATCGACTGCCCGTGCCGCTAGGCTTTAGGGGAAAGAGGGAAATGGAGCATTTCGTCCCTTTTTTTTTTGTTCCATCTTTGCTTCTGGGCGTGCGGGGTTTCGGTTCGTCCACAGTGGATCGAGCAAGGGAGGTGTTGGTAAAAAAAAAAACAAAGGCTGGGATTCCTGGCCTGTCACGATGCATGCGTATATACGCTCGACGCGGCCCAGCCCACATTCAGCAATCACGGCGACGTCTTGAATCCGGCAAGTTGAGAAGATTGCCAATGCTGTTCCTCAGATACAGTGCGCTTTGAAAAGGACTTTAATGTCGTGGAAGGGGTTTGTCGCGTGGTCGGTTGCGCTGTGTTGCGGAAGCTTGGCTTGACCTGTGCTTCGCAGCTAACACTGCTTAACCGAACTTGTGGTGACTAGGATTATATGATGTTGATGAATGTTTGGCATCGAGGCCAAGTCTGGGATGTTGAGCACCTGACGCTGGGTGTTGTGGGCAATATGCATGGAAGATGTCACCATCAGCTCGTCACAATGCTTATAATCTAATGCAGAGATGCAGCAGTGAAAACGGACCTTTAACAGCAAAGAATTTTATTTTGATAAATCAAACTATTGACTTGACGTAAGCTGTGTAAATACATATACTTTCCATGTACTTCATTACGCAACTTGGCACTGAATAGCTGCTGCTCAACAAACTCTTCCATATGCTCTCGTCTATCCACCATCCCTCGTATCGCCATTCACCATTTAAAAGCCCCGGCCGCCGTCCGCACAGTGCTCGGAGCTGAGTCGATTTATTGCTGAGACACCTCTCGGCAAGGGTAATTGAATTCCGACGTCGCAGTGTTATTCATTCGGTGCCACTTACCGTTACTCTGTGCGAGGTGATGTATCAATAAGTTTTGAACCTCTTCTGCTTATAGAATATACGCTATGCGAAATAAAAAACGGTGGATATCGCGACACAGCCAACTGGCTGGTACACGCATCTATAATACCCACAATCACTCATATCCAACAGTATTATGTTGTTGTGAGATATTTACAAGGATCGCTCATATACCAACCACAGTCCTCGGGCGAGCAAGCCATCCTTGTCCCATCTTTCGCCATCCATAATACCATGTTGTCTTCGCATGGCAAACGTAGCGATATCACCTCTGGGCAAGAACGACTGACATGTGTAAGGCCCGGGATAAGCGCAATAACGCCTCCAGCTTCTGCTATATCCGGAAGCAGCCCGATTGCGCTACTGTCTGTAACGATTAACCGCTCCTTTCGGCAACATGTCTTACAAGTAAAATTTTGATCCGGGCATCCTTGTTGAGAGCTAGAACTGACTGCAGTGCTGCAGATGGCTGATCTGAAGGCATCCTGCAAGTGCATATGTTTTGATGGCTTCGTACCATGGCCAGAATGATGAACGAGGCTCTCCATACTCGTCCTCTTCTTCAGAACTATGATACTCCAGAGGCGTGTCACGCAAATCATACCATCTACTCTCATCCTCATCACCTTGTTCGTCCCCGTATCCAACACAAGTTGCAAGATCAACCCAGCCCGCAAAGATCCAACAGCCGCATGTACATCATCAGCAATATCCTCAAGGTTCCACCAATCATTCGCTTCCACAGCAAGGCCGTCCCAAACAAACCTCCTCGTCAATGACCGACTTTTGCCGGCCCTTCATCGACAGCGGTTGTCCAACCCGCCGTACCGAATCAACAACGGATCCTTGCACCTCAATACGAAGTGTCGCTTCTAAAAAAGGTCCAACTTCGAAGCGGACAGTCCACTAGCCCTGAATGGCTTCTTTGTAACCGTCGCACGGGCGGCGTTGCTTTGCTGGGCCAGGCTGGGTCTCCCCAGTCTACCGCCCTTGAAGGCAGTCCAGCTCGCCTGCTATCCGAGGGGACGTTGTAGAAGAATTCCATGGAAGAGTCGTTTGTGGAACATGCCACAGTGGCAGTTGCGTAGATGCGGCTCAAAGGGTCTGAGTAGTCTGGGCTTGGGACCGTAATGTCCAGTTCCTGGGAAATGCCAAACAGGGTAAAGATTCGGTCTCTTGGATCTGTACAATTCTTTTCCTGCCGTGAAGCAAAAATATCCAACAGCCTCGGCCAACTTGCACTCCCTTCCCTCTTCTCTGTCAAGATCTACTCAGATACGCCTGTAATTGCATAGCAGAGTGTCACTTCCCCACCGGTAGTCCGATGCTCTCAGCATATCTAGTGCAATAACCAAATACCAAAGGTAGCAAGAAACCTCCACAAAGGACCTGAACCCGATGTTGCAGTAGCAACGCCACTTCTTGAATCGTCCACATGCGAGAGAACCAAAATCGCTGAAACAGAGGTCCAATCGAGTCGTCCGAGTCTTTCTTCACTTACAAGCCTGCCAAAAGAGGCAGACATCTTTCCATCCACCCCTTGTCCACGCCCATCAGCGTAATGTCTTTTAGATACTGAATGGCCGTCTTACTCGTCTCATCTTCCTCACTAAGCCAGACGACCACCTCCGCGCCTTGCTTGCAAATGTCTCGCATGAGTGCGACCTGGGCGCTACGTTCGGCTGTGGACGTTGATCGATGCAGATTCCATCAATCTACAAAGTGAGATCGCTCATGCTTCTTAGCCGGCGCAACGCAGCCATGCAATTCTGTGTGATACGTAGCGTGGCGCCATTGCATTCAGTGGGATGTGACGGCGTTTGTGCATTCCAGGATGATGCTGGATTCGCGGCAAGAGAAATTTCAGTCAACCTGCATTGTAGCGGATCTGATAGCAGAGCTGCAGCTTCAAGATGGATTAGCCTGATAGATCTAGACAGAATAAGGGGAGTATGAGTATACGTCGTCGTGTTTTACTATATGCATAGATAAGACTGCTCGGTTGGGTGGATCTATAGAATCGCCAGTATAATCTGATTCAAGGATGCATGTCAAATGCAGGCGAAGGGGCTAGCCGATCGATGCATGCGATTCACCATAAAAAGATTTGAACACCTGATGGGATGTCCAGATCCATACATTTCTGGAAGATCATTTCGATGCTACTATGATGTATATGCAATGCCTTTTCCCACCATTTTCAAAATGCTGGAGAACGTGTATTGGCATAAAAGTCAAGAAAACTTTCCTAAGTCTATATGGTGAGTAGCGTCTGCGTCTGTTGTTCCTTTCTCTCTCCCTTGCTTTGTCAAATGTCCAAGCGATAGTGTTTTACACGTATCGGTATGTTTCATAGTTAGCAACACCTCTATCGAATCATACAACTGCGACTTGCAGCTTAATGCCGATATAGCCCGACAAAGATGGCCACCTGAAAGTCTTCGCCACAGCCCAGAGTCGACATGATTCGAAGCCTCTCATATTAGCTTGAATCTGCCCCAGAGAGGCATCTTGATCTGCTGCGCCTACAACATCAACTCACCGAAGCTAAAAGCATAGCTTCTATGCTTGCCCTGGAGCAAACGACTAACAGCCAGCTAGGCGTGGCTGCGCTCTTGATATTCAAGACAGCTATACTGTCTTCATTACAGCTTCGCCACACCCGTTCTCCCGCTCCCAGGAGCCATGCCATAAATCGCCTGAATTATCTGGTGAACTGAGTAGCCAAGTACAAATTAGGCAAGACGATGTTGCTGTGCCTGGACGATCGTCGCCAGTATTGGGTTAGCTGTCTCAATAGTCTGCCATTACCGCCACATTATTTACGCGCTATCGTCGCAGCTGAAAATTAGGCTGGAGCTGTATTGAGGCATCCAACACTGCTAGAGATATATCAAGAAATTGTAGGAGCAATAGTAGATATTTAAATGCCAGGGTCTTGGCGTTAAAATTCCCGTTTTCATGAAATGTTGCCATAGGTCAAAAGCGTTGAATAAAGAAGCATCCTCAAGTCACAATGTCGGCTCAAAACAAGTTTACAACCTGCGAGTTTGTGCTAGAGAAATGCGATTTCTCCAATGCACAGCTCGCACCGAGTCAGTAATTCCACAGTTGACACGCCTTGTACCGGGGTCTCACTGCTAACACACTCATCAACCAGCATGTGTTAAGAACTTCTGCCAAGGAGAGCCATACGGCTTTGGCTCCTGCACAGTCGACTTCACTGGCATGCCGACCCAGTGCTGCTCGCAAAGCACGGTTGGCGACGTTGCGCAGTGCATGGCCGAGTTCCAGCAGCAAAATGGATTTGGCGTCTTTCACGATGCTTGTCTTGCCGTTGAGCGTTACGTCGCCAGCTGCGAGAAGGCCATCTCCAACTTTGATAGCTCGTCCTACAAGAAGCAGGCTAGCTGTCTTTGCTATGATGGCAACAACAACTACGACCCAGACACGTGGGACAATGCGGTAGCAACCTGTGTGAGCACGGGGCAAAGCGCTCATCCGACCATCTGGAGCGCATTGGAGAAGAACTCTGGGGCGATTGGCCTCTGCACCAAGTTTGCAGATGCTGCCGCCACCGGCCCTGCAACGACCGGCCCTGCTCCAACAGAGGCAGCGAGCTTCACCGCCACTGGTGATGCCTCTCCGGGAACAACGGCGGGTGGTGGCTCATCGACCCCAACCGAGACAGGCTCAGCAGTGAGCAGCCCGACTGGTTCCAGCAAGCAGTCATCAACTGCAACTCGCAGCTCAGCGGCAGCGGCCACCACGAGCAGCGCAGCAGCTCCTAGCATTGGAGAGGTAAGCCGTACCGGATCGAATCTCTTCTATGCATAACAATTAGGCAGTATGCTAACAAGATTGGCGATAGATGGGCCATGTTCGCATGAAGTGGATAGCTGTAGGCCTCGGACTGGCGCTGCCTGCGTTTATGGCGACGCTGTAGGTGGTGAATGGCTAGGCAATACACAGAGCCTGACCAGTGCGTGTGTTAATGATGATATGACGAATGACTGGGACAAGATGGGCGTTTTGGTTGATTTCGATGTATTCTGGTTCACATTTGGACCAAGCTGCCTGTGGCTTGAATCTGAGTTCAGCTGGCGGCCGTAGCAGCGTGGTTCATGTTCCCCGATATGTTAGCCATAGATTCAAGGCAGTAATTAATGGCAGTTGCTCATGTAGAGAAAAAGAAGCGAGGAATGAAATGAGCAAACACGATGCCAGAATCTCAAAGATGCATCGATGCAATGTTGTTGAGTACTCATCGAAATAGAGAGCGAGCACGTGACTGCGCCGCAGCTGAGTTCCCGTTCCTGGACAGGCAATGTCATTAATGCCACTTAGCTCCAGACCCATCAGGGTCCAGATAGCATCCATTCATTACAACGTATACTGGAGCATCAAGGCATTGACTCTGCGCAATAGCCGATCCAGGACCAGCCGCTCTCTTTCATCTCCCCAGGACGGCAATCATGGCGTCTGGAGAATCAGAGCCGCTGCAGGCGCCCAGCGATTCTGCGCCTGCGCCTACTCTGCCTCCTCCTGAGAAGCGATCGGCCGTCAAACAGCGATCCTATGTCGTCTTGTCTTTCTGGCTAGTCGTGCTTCTGCTTGGCGTGCCGTTTTGGTGGAAGACAACAGCCATATATCGCGCTGATTTGCCTCTGGATAGCATGCTGAAATGGGCTGACGGCAAGGTATGGCTATCCGATGCCCCCAGGACATTGCCTTGTCGAACCCCAGCTGACTTTACATGGTTATTAGGCCTGTCGACCTGTCTTCCCCCTCCAGATCTCGATACAGGCGGATTCCCTGCAAGACCAAGAAGCGCAGAATCTCATCCGCCTGACCCAGCATGCGCTGGACGATCTGAACGACTTCTCCGGCCACCATCTGCGCCTGGAGCTTGCGCCGCGGAACGCGCCTATTCGGAGAGACGATTTCCAAACCGCCCTGACGATTCGACTCAAGCCGGGGACGAGCAGCTCCGCATCGCTGAACCAAGAATCTGCCGTACTCGACATCACCTACCCTCCAAACCATGTTCCGTCTCTTACGTCGTCATCATCGCCGCTTGCCTCCTACATTACAAACGAACTCCGCGCCACTTTTGCCGAGGAACAGTCCATTATTTCATATCTTCTCTCTACATCATCCATGTCCACCGGTGTACGTCCCCAGGGCCTGAGCGCGGAAGCTGCGGAGGCACTCTCGAAGAGAACGACTCGATCACTACGATACGCTCCAACTTACCACCTTACTTTCTCTCTCTTTACCGATAGAGGGCTACCCAATACTTGGGATATTGAGGCTGCGTTGGACGAGTATATCCGGCCGATGCTAGAAGTTTTGCGTCCGATTCACAACTTCACCATCGACACACAGGTTCAGCTATACGCCGTGCCTGGCGTGCAATCCCAAGTGCTCAACAAAGAGCATCTGTCCTCGTTTATCAATGCCGCCGAGTGGCCGCTGTCGCCATCTATTGGTAAGGCGCCGACAGTCAACTTTGTCATATACATTGGAAATCAGACGGTTGGACTGGACGCCGAGACAGAAACCTCGCAGTCATGGATGATTCCCCAATGGGGCACCGTGTACCTGCTATCTCAGCCAGACACGGAAAGCCACGTATCTACTGCAACGCTGAAGCAGCCAATGCTTACCTTTGGCGGCCATCTTCTTTCGCTCTTGGGCACACCTCAGTCTGGGTCTCTACCCTTGAGGCTTTCTACTCTCGGTCGCATCCGATCTACTGATCTCTTGCTTCGTGCATCGTCCACGCTAGGGTCGCTTGCAAGGCTATCACTCGCGCTGCCTTCCATCTCGATCCCTCGGAACGTTGCAGATGGCGTCTCCAAGACGATGCATCACCTGGAACTGGCTTGCGCAGATCTTGGCGGGCCCGAAGGGTTGAAGCATGCGAGAATTGCAGAGGAAGAGGCAGAGAGGGCCTTTTTCGAGAAGAGCATGGTAGGACAGCTGTACTTCCCAGACGAGCACAAGATTGCCGTCTATCTTCCGCTGCTTGGGCCGATTTTTGTACCGCTTATCATGGGACTTATCAATGAGACCAAGAGAATTATTAAGGAGTTGAAGCAGAAGGCACTGGATGCCAAGAATAAGAAGAAGCAATAAGCAGAAACAAATGTTGATTGGAAAGATTATCTAGAAAGGAATGTTGTAGAAAAAAAAAAAATAGAAAGATACCCATGGAAGCTTGAAAAGTTGCACAATTCTTCACATTGTCATTCTTTACGTACCGTACTTTAAATTCTTCACAGCATCGCATCACAAAAATCATGTGCCTCGGCCGTCCAATCGCCGCAAACGATCATCTGGGAAAGTGACGTCGCGCCCAAAGCTAAGGCGAAGCCAAGATTAGGAAGCTTAGGGAGGTGAATAACTGGAGCCCCATTTTCCACAGCAAAACCTCCATTCTGCGACAAACGACGACCCACCAGCCGCGGGCATCAGCATCGCCAGCTTCATCCTCCGTGTCGCTCAAAATGCGAAAGAGAAGAAGATGCTGCCCGAGCCTTCATTCACGCTGAGCATCCCCAGCATCCACGATGGGACCGCGCTGGACTGTCGGGTCTATCACCCAGACTCGTTCTACACAGAGGGCGCCGCGCCTTGGAAGCGCCACGCCGTTGTGTTTGCGCATCCTTATGCTCCGATGGGCGGCAGCTTTGATGATCCGTTGATGGACATTGCGGCCGAGCAGCTGCTCCGGAAAGGATACTTGCTGGGGACGTTTAACTTTCGGTACGCGTGTGTGAACAACACCGAATAAGAGGACGTGAGCCGCTAATGAGATTCATGTGAGATGCAGAGGTGCTGGTCGGTCTGCCGGAACAACGTCATGGACGGCAAAGCCGGAATGCGGCGATTACACCAGCTTCGTTGGCTTCATGGCGCACTATCTTCATCGTCTGGATCCGTTTGGCCACCGCGTGGCAGAGCCGCCATCAGAAAAGGCCGTGCCGCCCGTCTTGATGATGGCAGGCTACTCGTATGGAGCCATGATAACTACTCAACTGCCGCCCCTGAACGAGGTCCTTGAGCCATTCAGCTCTCCAGACTGTGGATCTCATGCTGCCCAAATACGCCTGCGGGCTGAAAGCTGGGCTGAAAGGCAAACCCAAGCGGTGCAGGAGGCTCGCGCCGCCGTGGCACGCGGACAGCAGAAAGCCTCCCGCAAGACTCCTACAGGCAGTTCCGAGAAATCATCTAGTCCGCCTGCAGCAGCAACACCGGCAAAGGGCAAGCTCTCACCAGCAAGCGGCTTCATCATGCCCCGGCCGGCCTATCTGCTCGTGTCTCCACTGCAAGGCCTCGTTACGCATCTCGCAACCATGTCGTTGGTCCCGTCGGTGTTTGCAAGGCAGAAGCCCCGTCAAGAAGACGACGCGGAGGCTAAGTTGGTGCGGAATCCCACCCTGGCCGTCTTCGGAGACAAGGACATCTTTGTGCCTGTTGGCAAGCTGCGTGCTTGGGTGGGACGGCTGAGCTCGCAGCCGGGATCGCAGTTCCAGGGACACGAGATTGGATCGGCAGGGCACTTTTGGGCGGAGGAGGGAGTGCTGCATGCTATGCTGGACTTGGTTTGTGATTTTGCGGGCAAGCTGTACGATGGCAATTAGACTAATGGATGGAGGAGGCAGCCTTTCGTGTGATGGATGGACAGGAGGCAATAACAGGCTCCTTTTTACGGTAGCACAAGTTTAGAATTGCTTTTTTATTTGGCGTCGAATGCTCATTCATCATATCATTTTACCATTATTGCTATTCTCTCAAGTAGTAATATCTGAGTTACTAGCCAATATCTTCTTTGCACGAGCCTAAATAAGTGCACATATGCAACTTCAAAACTCGCACAGAATTATGTATAGAAAGTAAAACCTCCAAGCTCGATATTCTTCATATGTACTTTTTTAAGCAAGAAACTTGGACAGAATTAACAAATAAAAACAAAAGCCCATAACTCCGCTACAAATCAAAACCGTACAGTTCTTATTTAGCATCCGCTGATAAATCTACGTGGACGTTTTGCTCATCATACGAGAGCTCACGCACCGCTTCACCCATCAACTCTTCATCCATTTGCATGAATGAGACCCGGCCTTTGACAAACCAGAAGCCAATGGCAGCGACGAGCATGACGCCAAACACGGCAATGGCGTAGTTCATGTCGGCCGGCGCAGGGTTAGGGTCGCCAGGGAAGAGGAAGAATACTGTTGTGATGACACAGTATATAACGGAGACGACGTTGAGAGGCATGCCGAATTTTCCCAGCTTGAACTCTCCCGGTGGCAGCTTGTCACGGCCTACCATGAGTAGGACAACGATGGGCATGCCATATGAGACGGTCAGAGCAATCGTGCTGACGCTGAGAATGGCTTCCAGGACAGTGTTTGCAAAGAGGTATAAGATGCCAACGAGGCTGATGATGAATGCTTGGAGCCACAGAGCACGAACTGGAACCTTCCAGGTAGGGTCGACGTGAGAAAAGTATGCGGCATAGGGAATACCGCCATCGCGGGAGAAACTCCACGTAAGACGAGAAGCAGAGGTCAGGACACTGACTCCTTGGCCCATGCCATTGAAGATGAAGAGGGCAACCAAAACAGCAGCGCCGTTGAGTCCAACCGTTTCCTGCAAGAGTTCCACAAACGGGAGACCTGTAGGAGGGTCCAGAACATTGTCCAAGTTCTGAATGGTGAAGAGGCACATGACCATGAAGATGAATCCAGAAATGGCGCCGCAGAGGACGGACAAGTACATGGTCTTTGGTCCATTCTTGCGAGGCGCGGGAATCTCCTCAACCATGTGGATGACAGAGTCAAAGGCCGTGAGACCATAGGCGCCCTGCACAAGCCCGATGAACCAAGTAACGCCGTCAGGCCAGCCGCTCTGGTTGATCCAAGTGGCAAACACAAACTTGGCCGACTGGTACTTGAGGTCGTCTTTGATGCCGACAGAGATGAGCAGCGCAAGGCCAAGCACGAAGAACAAGCCGACGTACCAGATGCCGACAAAGTTGTTGAAGCCGGGCAGAAACTTTTCATTGCGGCAGCCAACGTGGTTAATGGCCGTAAAGGCAATAGTGATGCCGACATAGACGAGGAACTGCACCCAGCCCTTGTTCGCGCCATCCCAGTCGGGATCAAACATGACCTTCATGCCCAGCACAAACTCCGTCATGAAGGCATTCTGCGACGCCGTCAACGTCCACCACCCAAAGGTATTGATCCACGCACACATGTACGCGGCGAACCGTCCCAGCGGCGTCTGGCTCAGCTGCGAGATCCAAAAGGCCTGCCCCAGCGCGGTGGGCATGCTGCTGCAGAGCTCGCCCATGGACACGGCAACGCACAGGTTGAAGATTGTCACGACGGCGAGGCCCCAGAGCACGGCAACGGGGCCACCGTTGGTGAGGCCGCTGGAGAGGTCCTGGGCCTCGGTGGAGTAGGTGCCCAGGACGCAGAAGGCGAGGGCGAGCATGCTCCAGATGTCGAACTTGCGCGAGAGGGCCTGGCTGTGGCCCAGGGCGGCGAGGTCGACGGCGTCGCGGGTGGCTTGGTCGACGGAGTCGTCGAGGTCGCGCGGGTCGATGAACTTCATCGTGTTGGCGTCTTTCTTGGTGCTGCCGCCGCTGTTGCTGTTGCTCCTGTTGCGGGACATGGTGGATGAGATTGTCTTATTAATCTGTGGGAGTTGTTGAAAGGAGTATGTAGTGATGGGTAGAGAGGCTCTGTCACAACAGAATATCCCGTCGAGACAAGTATATCGTAGCTCGATGCTGCATTCCCAAAAACACAGCGTATAAGTAGGTTGGTTGTCTCAGAATATCAAATTACCGCGTGATAATGTGAGACTCTGTGCCAGACTTATATCGGGGAGACAGCGGGCATTGTCCCAATTATAATCAGAAGAGAGATCGAAATAGGGAAGAAAGAAGACAGCCCTCTGCCGGACAAGGGCGCGCGTGATGCGTTTATGAGGTACTCGAACGTCTTTCTCTCTTCGGCCTTCTCCTCATCTTAGATCTTCAATCCCTCCACGCTAAGGTTACACTCAACTCGCAACACACACACACCACACCCTGCACTGCACCCAGTGCTTATCTCCCATCGTTCCTACAGCCCCGATCGCTCGCTCTAGGCGATAAGCAGCCTAGACAAGGGGCTCCAGTTTGGTATCAAATGGCAAAAGACTCAAGTTGCCACAGTGCGCTACGTACGTAACCCAGGGCAGCTGATAACGACGGGGAACTGATAGGACGGCGTCAAGGGCGGGCTTTGATAACAAAACGAGCCGGACGAGCTAAAAGGGCCTGCTTGAGATATGCTAAGGCCGGTGCTAGGCTAGGGGGACCCCGGACTTCCCCAGATTTCTCCAAGGCCAGCGCGGTTTTGTCGCGGCTCCGAGAGGCGTCAAGAGCGTGGATCGGCGCGGAACTCTCCCCTCCTTTGTTGTTCGAGATGGCTGTTTTAGCAGGTGGTGATACTGGTTTATGCCCGTTATTAGTTAGCACGTCCTAAGCCACCCGCCGTGTTTCGGTCAGTTGGTGCTTCATACGATCTGTAAGAGAACAAAAATCCATGAGGTTGTTCCACGCCGATAAAGCGGTACCCTGGCCCGACCGCCCGGAAGCCCCCCGCTGAGAATCCACTGACCATGGAATATGACTTTTTTTTACACGTATCTGCCTATCTATGGAGAAGAGCATTGACAGGTCTGACACGCCCTTTTGATATCTGTTATCCTTTCTGATTGAGACTCTGAACAATCTTTTTGGCTGGTGATTTCTCGGTAGGGCTAAGCTAACCTCAGCTAAACCGCCCTCGCCCCCTCTGTTATCTCGTGCGCCCAACTGGGAAACTCAGCGAGAGGCCAGCTCGCTAGTAAATCTAGATGATGTGCATGCGCATGTGCTCCGTTCAGACCGTTCAAATGACTAATAGCTTGGTGCCGGAGAGGGCTGTAATTGCCGGCTCCCGGCGTTAGGCATTGAGAATATGACTTCGCTTAACTTGCGAATGCAATGCAAATGCTATATATTAACACTGATCCCTTTTCGTAGGTCCACAAATGACAAGATTTACTACTCCTTAGTATGCGGGGAAGGAAAGCTCGTGGGAAATGTCGGATTCTTTTCGATCATAGCCAGTTCATTCAATTGGCTTTCCCCGCCATCGTCATAGTGGCGATGATCCACCGTTGCAAAGCGCTGCGGCGAAGATGGTTTGGGCGGCGTTGATTGGGGGGCGTCAAAGGCGATATCCGCTTGTATCGCCTTGGCGGGATCTAACGGGTTATATAACGAAAGACAGAAGCTGATGGCTGAAAGAGAGCTGCTTAACCATTATTACCCTAAATTAACTTTTCAATAATTGAGGCTCTTGCAATGAGTTAGATTACGCTAATAGTAGTTTTTGTAAAGCATGCAAGTCTGCACGTATCTATTGATGAAGAGCACATCAATAGTTACTGTCGGTCCAAAGGATCTTCAGAAATTCACTGATATTTCTCGGTACTGCCTTGGGGCTACCTCCACCAAGTTGAAGGAAACAAAAGTCTCTTCAGCTCAGCCATCCCAGCAAAATCCCCCGCCGCGGTCCCTGCTACGTCTTTGTCGACCCATCCTTCAGTATAACCTCCCCCAAAATCAATCAGCCAAGCATTATTCTTCTCATCAATCAAAATATTTTCTGCCTTTACGTCTCCCCAAACTATATCGCTTGCGTGTAGCGCCGATAAGGCAGCCTCTATCTGACCCATCCACCGTTCTCTAACTGCAGGTAGAGGGTCATTGGGTTCTTCAGGGCTGACAATGTTGGACAATGGTCGACCACGTTCAATATGGGTTAATAAGAGCCCAAGGATAAAGTTATTGTCATCCATCACAATGCCGTACATGTGACATAGATTCACTTGAGAGTCTAAGCCGGCCGCATGAATCTTTTTGTATGTTTTGAGCTCTTGGATGATTTGTACACTGCCATGGCAGCGCTTCAAGAAGCATGCGATTTGGCCCTTTTCAATCAGAACCTTTTTTGGTGGCTTGAAGAGTGCATCTTCAGGCTTCTCATGACTCGTGACGATTCCAGCTGGATCGTAGAAGGCTGTCCAAGTTTCAAGATCATCCAAGAAATCGTCATCAAAGCAAACATATGATGGCCAATGGGGCGATCTCTCGGTCAGCACACGGCGCGGCTGCAGCTTTTCATCAATGATGTCGAGTATAATCACGAAGAATTCAGGATAGAAATATTCTTTCAACGTAACTCGAATGTTTTCAACAGACTCCATTGGTGGATCAGGCGCGAGCTCAATGAGCAAGGGCTCAAATGGCGCCATAACCCAATCATAGACGTCGATATCGTATATTTCATTTAATACCTCTTCACCAGACTGCAGAACCTCCAAGTAAGACTTGTATTTGTGTGTTGCGGCAGGCGAATTGACAAAGTTCAAGGGTGAAGTCTCAATGTAAAAAATCTTGCCATTTCTGCGGGCCGTAAAGGTTGCATCATCGTCGCCTTCCAACATGCTGGTGATGTGGTATTCCATCTCGTATCGTGGAAGAGCCGCCATTGCAATCGCGGAGCAGTAGCCAAAATGATAAAAGTTGTTTCATAGACTCTGAAACGTAAAGTTCCACTACAGACTCGACTCTAACGAAGAGGCGAAAGCCGAGGTAGACTCTATGACAGGATTTTCCTCACGCGATGATATAGGATTTTGCAAATTCGTAGCAAGACCTTGAAGAACAAGCTCAGGTTCGACATGAGATTCTGATGCTCAACGTTCAGCGGAAGCTCTACTTACCCGGTAGATATAATATTGCCCTTTGTATCGATATAGAATGTAGACTTGTAAATTTACATGACCATGGAGATGTAAAGTCCACACATGTTTGCTTCTAAAATTTACAACACAGAGTTTTGTGTAGCGAGAACGATGCAGAAGTGTGCAGTAAAGCCACAAGACATGTGTTTTTTTTGCAATTCAATAGTAAACGAGCGTTTCCCTCCAAAGAGTATTACAATCGCGTCCGAGCATTCAGGTAACTACCCATCGCTTACCCACTCGTTTCTTTTCAGCGGAGGAAAAAATAGACAAAAGAGGAAAGAGATTCCATTGACAGCAAAGATACATCCAAGAATATGACAAAGTCCCAAAAAAAGCGCTCCATCAATTTCGTGCGTCGCGGCAAGCTATGCCTGGAATGCTACCTTGCTAAAAATGGAATCATGACGTGATTCCCCAATGACTATAATTAACCACTTGAAGAAAAAAAGAGCCTTCAACATGAAAGAGCCAACAGCAGATTACGCGCTTTTGTAGCTGTTGGCCCAACACATAATCCAGCCACAACTAACACCCCTAGACTAAAACTACGAGTAACAAGACCACTGAGGTCCTGCTGAAACGTTTCCGTCGCCCTCATGACCCGCGATCCGCAAAGGCCAATTTCCGCGACCAATGTCTAGTTCCGTGGAGACTGCTCCATCTCAATTGCTTTTTTCCTGTTCATGGATCTGGCCTCTGCTGGCCTCGCCACGGCCGTTATGACGAGGTACCGTAGCACCGCTTCCCAGGCGAGGAGGTACCTGGAGAATACCCGCCGCAGTCGGCCAATCAGACCAGCGCGGTAAGATCCTAGCGCGGCGCTTCTGGCAAGCCGTCCAAAGATAGAAGGCACTTAACCCGTATCTGGTCTAGTAAATATGGATCCATACCTTGACGCGCGCTTGAGGCTACAAACCAGCCAATGGCGCACCTCCCGCTAGTGGGGCCCATTCCCGCGTTCTGCTACCAACGCTCCCCACCAGCTTCATTCAATATCGCCAACCTCCAGACTTACACTGAAAAGAACCCGCCCACAGCTGGATCGCCAAGGGCAAGGCAGCGCGGCAAAACCCCTGGAAAGACATGCATCTTGCCATGTGCAAACTGGGCCGCGCAGGGGGCTCTCGGGTCCTCAACCGCCATGCGCCGTCGCATGATCCGAGCGCTGAGCGTGTGTCTTGCACCTCCATCGGCGTTTTGCGCGGCTGGCAGGCCCATCATCAACATCCTTTCCGAGCGATCCCCAAAAAAAATCTGCAATGCAATGATCCCGCTCATTTCCTGTTCGCGCCCATCGTTCGTGGGCCTTGCGCTGTTTCTGGAAAGGTATGGCCCTTGATGTCATTGCCGGCCAGGCTCTGGGACCATAAGCACAGCCGCGTTTCTGCAGTTCATCGCGAAGAGTGGATCGTGGACCGTGGACATGCCCTTTTTTTCTGCAAGGCAGCGAGTTCTCCATACCACGTTGACGGCTGCATGATCCACCTCGGATGGATGTAGAGAAGCTTGTGGAGTTTTGAGAAGAAGAACTTTTTTTTTAAATAGTGTCGAGACATGTTTTTGATGCTTGTCGTGGTCATCTCACTCGTGTTAGCCGCCTTGCAAATCAGGGCGAAGCGCTTCCTTACACGGTCTCTACCCTCCCCCCTTTTAGCACGCAACATGGAAATTTCCTTTCCCATTCCTGCTTTTTTTTATGCAAGACCCCAGCGTGAGTTACTCGGACAAGTAGTGCCATGGCAAGCCTTCCCAGTCAAGATAGCCGCCTTTCCTAAAAAAGGCTCCCCTTAACCGCCCGTGGCTCGATCGTAGTGCCAGCCCGACCAATATCAGCGAGCCATTCTCGGCAGACTGAGCTTTTCAGATACACGCGCGCCGTTTCATGTACATGTCCAATTGGGCTTAGTCCGTCTTGTTTCATCCGGACAGCCGCCCAAGGCCCATGATGGTTTCTCGTTTCTAGCCTCTTGACAGATGATGCATCGCAAAGCTTAAAGCAGGCCTATATCCTCCCCCGGCAGCCTGCTCTTCTCTTCTTTTTCTCTCCAGAGTCAATTTTTGTTTTTGTGTGTTAATTTGTTTTTTTTCCCATCCAAGTTTACTCATTTTTTTGTTACTTTTTGTTGTTTACTTGCTTCTTCATTCTTTCATTTGCTGGCCATCACCACTATTTTTTGAGTTTCTCCCCCTGCAGACGACTCGCCGCTGTTCCCCCTCTTACAAGGACCAGACCCTCAAGGAGACCGCATTGCAGGCCAATTCGGTCAGGACCGCGAGGACCTCCGCCAGTCGATCACTCTTAATACCTAATTGTTTCATTTTTCCTTGTCAACGAGCCGGTCTCGTATCACCTCATCCAAACACCAATCTCTTTTCAACACTTGCACTCTCTTCCATCATTTTTGCATATCATCCGCCACAACCATCGTCATCTTTTTCCCTCCCGAATCAAAACTGCTCGACAACTCCTTCGCAATGCCCAGACAGACCAAGAACTCCGGCGAGCAGGGCTACGGCGGCCTCCCCGCTGGCCTACCGCCATCTTCCATGTACCCTCAGCCACGCATGATGCCCGACTCCTACTATGTCGCTCCTCCCTCTTCAGCCATGCCGATTCCCTCGCCGCTTCAGACGTCTCAACAACCACCATACGGACCATACTCTACCAGTGCCCCTTCGCCAACCCTCCCCATGGTATCTTCTCAGCCATCCCAGCATCGGCCCAGCTCTGGAGCCTGGAGTCCACAAGACGACCAGCAGCTCCTCCAGGCCCGCATGCAAGGGCTCAACTGGAATCAGATCAAGGAGCAATACTTTCCATCCAAGACACCCAACGCCTGCCGCAAGCGCCATGAGCGACTGATGGAGAGGAGAGGATCCGACGACTGGGATGCTCGCAAGATGCAGATCCTGGCCAAGGAGTACATGAGCATGCGCAAGGAGATTTGGAGCGGTCTGGCAGCTCGAACTGGAGAGAAGTGGAACGTTGTGGAAGCCAAGGTAAGCCCAAAGTCATTCTTCTATCCTATGTTCTTCTCTTTACTCTCTCTGTATTGCATGCCTCCTATCTGTGTTATACACCATCATAGCATGGGAGAACTATTTGTTATCATCACTATTCCCTCTCTTTTGCCTCCATCATCACCAGCAACTGCTAACATCATGCGTCCTTCTCCCTCTAGTGCATGTCCAACGGCCTCAAGAACCTCCAGAGCGCAGCCCGTGCCGCTTCGCGCCGTGACCGTCTCGAGACGGGAGCACTCACAGGGTATGACGACGATAGCGGCATTTCCGGCATCGGCCTGACTCCCGTTGATGAACTAGACGCTTCCTACAGTAGCCCCGCGACGAGCTCGTCCGGCACTCACTCCTACTCCAGCTCCGCCAGCTACCACCACCAGCAGCAGCATCTCCAGCCTCACCCCCAGTCTCACCTCCACCCTCAGCACCACCAGACCTCCTACGGAATGGGAGCAACAGCGCCTTACTACGGTGGCCACGGCTACTCCTCGAGCGTCAGCTCTACCGCAAGCATGAGCCACGGATACGTGTCCCGCGGGGGCACCGGCACCAGCCAAGACAGCAGCCCATATCTCGATAGCCAGCGCCTTTCTGCCGAGAGGGGCATGGAGTCTCTTGTCCACCGTCCTCACGGAAACAAATACTGAGACGTCTCTCGCACATACACTCTTTTTATAACTACACTATCCTTCTTCCCCCCCCTTCACCCCCTTTCCCCTTATTTTTGTGTTGTTACATCACCTCCTTTCATTCGTTTCACTTTGACTCTTCGCCGCCTCGGCACACACAAAACTTTGCATTTATCAATGCATGTCACTACACATGAGCTACGGCTCCATTCCTTAATTGTCTTTGTACAGTTGTTTGCATTCATGGCACAGTAAAGGCGTTCATATGGCGTTGTTGACATTACTTAATCCCCGATATGCCCAGTTCAGGGAGAAAAAAACAGAAGTAAAGGAGAAAAAAGAAGGAGAAAAAAACACGCACGGGATATACAGATTGTTTGATGGATCTTTCGATTGACCACTAATATTTACGAGCATTTTTGGGTCAGATTGCAAAAGGGGAAATATCATGGGATGAAAACAGCGTTTTCATCATGTATAATAGTGACAGAAGGAACATTTGCATGGGAATTCGGCGGAACAGAATTATAAATGTTTTTTTTTCTTTCTCTTTTCATGACTTTGCTCATCACTTTTTGACGACTGTACCCAATCTCGTCTATTTATTGTACAAACAGTGTTGCGTGATGCCTCTAATGTCTCTAATGTACACGTGCCACCCAGACACTATATCAAAACATATGCATTTCTCCTTTTTTTTTGCTTCCTTTTCCCGTTGTACAAAGAGATCATCAAATATTCCTACAATGGGTGGTGGTAAATCACCGTCTTGACTTTGTCGTCTCTCCATTTTCAACTGCCGTCGCGGCTGCCATGCCTGCCATTTCTCCAAGTTCCTCCTCTTCCCATTCTCCATCCTCATCCTCCCCAAAGACGCTCCTCCAGGCTCGACTCCACATATCCTTTTTGTGCAGCAGTGCAAGTATCATCACACCAGGGAGATGCCACACGCTGGCCCAGAACAGACCCCGTGCGCTTCCTTTGTGGCCCTCGTATTTCCAAAACCGGTATGCCTCACGGGCCTGCCAGAGGTTGAGGGGCGTGCTGGTCAAAGCAAAATACCAATCCGTCACGCCAGCTGCACAAAGACCGAAGCACAGGGGGAAGAAGACAAGGCTGTATCGCAATGCAACGCGCCCGTTTCGCGCCGGATTGGTCCACGCAAGCATGCGCAGGCCCGCAGCCTTGTACTCTTCGCGGACGCCCCAGCTCAAAGCCATGAAATGTGGGAACTGCCAAGCGAAAAGAAGTCCTCCGAGCAGCCATCCACCAATGGAAGATCCATCACTGGCCAGGAGCAGCTCCTTCCAGGACCCGTCCTTTGTGGCAGCTTCGCCAGCAGCGGCAGCCCAGCCCATTAGTGGTGGAATTCCGCCAACAACAGCACCGACCCATGTGTTGAATGAAGTTACCGCTTTCAGCGGAGTATAAATGCCGGCATAAATGACAATGTTGGAAAGACCCAAGAACGAGACAGTGGGGTTGACGCCAAAATAAAGGGCGCTCACGCCGGCTGCTCCGCAAAGGGCAGCAAACAAAGCTGCCGCGCGATTCGAAATGAGGCCTCGCACCAACGGTCGGTTCCTTGTTCTTGTCATCTTGGCATCAGTAGACGGCTCGTAGAGCATGTTGAGAGTGTTGGCGCTCGCAGAACAAAGCGCAGTTCCAGTTGTCAAAAATAGAAGCGTCAGTGGGCTTAGACTCGGCGTCTCAGTCATTGTGGGCATCAGCATTTCGGGAACCGGATACAGCGCATAGGGTGCCATGGCTGACAGAACAACGAGGACGGTTAGGCGGGGCTTTGTGAGCGACAAGTATGCAGAAAATCTTCGGCGAAAGGAATCCTTCGGCTGCGACGCCGCGGCGGATGTGAGGAGCGAGGAGGCATCGGGAGGCAGAGGAGCTTCGGACGACGAGGAGTGAAGAAGAGCTTGCTTTCGGGCCTGTCGCTGGCGGTGGGGAGCGAGATCTGAGATGGATTGAGGTGTTTGCGACGCAGGCTTTTGTGGTGGGGTTGGCGAGGTTGAAGTTGAGGTGGAGGTCGCTCTGGAATTGCGCCTCGATATTATAGACTCAAGACATCTCGATCGTTCGAAGAGTCTGTTCTGAAGGAAAAACGAGCCACCCAGTGACGTAGCAGAGCATCGAGGAGCTTTCAGGCCCGGACTAGTAGAGAGCCATCGTCGTGTTGTTGCTGTTCGAATGCTGCTCTTGGACAGCAATTGAAGCTCCGGCGCAAGAGCTATGACCAATGGTGACCGCATAATCGCCGAGTATCAGAGCGCATGGCGTCCCACAGGCCTCAATCCATTCTCTGATACTCACAGCGGGCTTTTGTCGTTTTGCAGCTCGGCGGCGTTGGCGATCTAGCGCAGATCTGCTGATAATCTGGAGTTTTCTCTGCATTCGGATGTCGGGCTGGTGCACGTGACTGGGCACGTGCAGCTCCAGTGCGGTTGTCTTGAGGCAATATCGAAGAGAGTCGATTTGCAATTATCAGTTGATGGGATTATAAATACTTCAAAATTTGAGAAAAGTTCTTTTATTAGTATTTTTGATATAGCTTTATACTTTTTGAAGTTCCATATTAAGCTTTGTTCATATTGTTGAAAGCGACGCCCTCATCAAAGTGTGGTGAAATACTGCTGCCTACGGCAATAGCGGTACTCCTCATTCAACTCAGCATTGTCTAAACCGAGTATTATCATTGCTTGAAGATTCTGCTTCCGAATTACAATTCTGATTATTTTTACTCCGCCCAGTCTCTTTTGGAAACTGTTTCAGCGGCCACTCACAAAAATGCCGTCTCTACTGGATGCTCTCCGACAACGGAGCGTTGTCGACTGCGATACACTGGACAGCGAAGGTACGAAAAACAGTTGAACTTGATGATAGACCTGACTTATGGCTTATACAACTCTCAAGTGGCCAAAACCCTGGGACCTTTCGTTGATTGCACTTCAAACCAGGTAGCCAATGAAGCCCATGCCATCTATCCCGTAATTTGCCACTAACCACCTACATGCACTCACATGTACAATAGGCTATCGCATACTTTGAGATCACCAAGCTTTCCGCGAGTGGAATTGGCCTATATCATGAGTCGTTGATAAGAGAAAGCATTGACCAGTCCATGGGCAACCTGGGCGAGATCCGAGGCCAAGTAGCCTTGAAGGAATTCGTCGTCGAAGTTATGGTGAGCAAAACTCTACCCTACGAGCGTTAGATGCTTATGCTAATGGTCTCAGATGGTCAAATTGCAGCTGTTGATTGCTCCTCATGTTACAGGATATCTGCATGTGCAGACAAACCCGAAGCTCTCATACTCACAAACGGGTACTGTGAATAATGCCAAAAGTATGTACGAATCTTCAGAAACGTGGCGAAGAAAGATCAAAGCTCACATTCACACAAAGGGATAATTGCCATATTTCAAGCACTGGCACCTAATTTCGACATCAAGCGTATCTGCATAAAGATACCTGCTACCTGGGAAGGTCTAAGCGCATGTCGTGCGTTGGAAGCAGAAGGGATAGCCACTCTCGCGACAACCATGTTCTGCATGGAGCAAGCAGCACTTGCATCCGATGCAAATTGCACGTACATTGCTCCGTATATCAACGAGCTGAAAGTGCATTTTGAGACGGGGTATGTGTTTTAATGCTTCTCTTTGAATAAACTAACTCTTTGTAGGTACATTGATCTTCACAAGGCCTTTTCTTTCTGCCGTGAAGCACAGGCCTATTACGATGCCAACAATCAACGCACCCGGGTCCTTGCTGCATCTCTTACGTCTGTTGAAGAAGTCTTGCAACTTGCAGGCGTTCATCATGTAACCATTTCACCCATCTTGTTGAGTGAATTATCTCGTCTTGATGCTACTGCCGTGAAAAACAGTTTGGGAGAGTATTTTGCAGTCACACAGCCCCCAGAGAACTTGGATCCAACGAAATATTCCACTATTCTGGAAAATGAGAGCTCCTGGAGGCTTGCCTTCACTAGAAGCGGCTTCGGAACGAGCGAGGGCAAAATAATCCAAGCGATTAATTATTTTTCGGACTTTCAGGAAAAGCTGGAAGAGATTGCAGGGAGTTACACAATCTAAAGCGTTGGCAGGCATCAGTTGAGATTCGCCGCTTTTGTAAACTGGCTTTTGCGGAGATGTGTGTAAGTCGCCTTGTTTTACTACAAAGGAAAATGGCGATAAAAGCCTTTATGTATGTTTATCGGAGATATCAACGTCTCGAAAACGACCAAAAATAATATAAAGGTTCTCAAACATCCGTGCGTTGGCCAAGTAAATAAAGAGATTCTATGTGCACGTAGGTGCCAATTAGTGAAGCCGACAAAAATCGCCCAATGCGAGGCCGATGAAAGAAGCAAAAGCGTGGATGAAGGTACAACATAAGGCGACACCTATCTAAAAATTTGTATTTATCGAGTCTTTATAGACAAAGCATGCCAATTGTAGAGTTATCACAGTCAAACAGCATGCGTCCGAGGCTAAACAAAGACCCTTTGAGATGTTCTTCGCAATTGCTTTGAGACGTCGGCATTTGTGCTCAAGGCCACTGGATCTATAGTTGGACATATATTACTTGAAGTTGTTGTCTAAATGAATATTAAATCACCTTTTTTTTTTTGGCAATATTATAACGGCTTTTCGATCTTTTCTTGTATAATACGCTCTACTTGCCTTTTCATTTTCATGAGCGCTGTTCGTCTTACTTACATTAATACCTTTGCGCAGTCGTTGACAGCAAATTGCGCAACTCTTCATTCTCTACTGTCTTGATATAATTTCGTCAATCGCTACGACAAGCAAGCCGTGGCCTTCCACTTGAGCACCAATACGACATGGATACAAGTGGCGACACTAAATGGACTTCGACTGTCACCGAGAGCGAGGCCCAGGAGCGGATCGATCTCGGCGTTTCACCTAGTGACGAGAGGTGGAGTGTCACGTATCGGATGTTTGAACATCTCTTTGCAGATGAAGATACGCCGATTGGTGAAATTTTAGCCTCCAAGTTCACACAACATGAGATCCGTCTATTCATGCTATCTGCGTCCAAAGTCTTGAAGGCTATACAAGACGATAACACAGCTCGATTCAACGCACTGCTACAGACAAGACTTCAAGATGCTGCACCTGAAATCATCACAAAATTGACGATGTTGTATTTTGGACTTCCCATTGAGCCAATCGACTTCTCATTGACCGACATGACCTATAAAATGGAGATTCGAGAGCCAGATTCTCCGCAAAGTGTCGGTGATCGGCCTCTACAGTTCTTAACAGCACACAAGCAACGTAATTGGGGAGGCGAGAGTCTTCTAAGTGAGTTTAATATTTCTATATCTACTTAATACGTTACTCGCTAACATTCGGTTAGAGAAAGAAGATCAGTCACATCCTCTAACCACCCAGCTACCGCAAAAACTGCTATCGAGTCTCTTCGCCGACATTTTCAGCTATGCACCGCTTCAGAGAGGCATACTTAAGCAAGAGAGCGAAAATACAATGTTGCGCCTTAGAGGAGGTGAATTAGACGAGGATAACGATTGGGAACTTCCTGGCGATAACAGCGACTGGGAAGAAGATGATGGTGACGACAGCTACGTCGCAAGCAGCAGTGGAGATGGCAGTGAAGATGTTGACGCAAAAGAAGGCAAAGCGAAGAAGGCACAAAGCCGTCAAACAAGCAAAGTAAATGACAAAGTTGACAGCGATACGGCAAGCGACGATGAAGCAGGCGACAATGAAGCAGGAGGCGATGAAAAAGGTGACGCTGAATGTAATGGAGATTCTGCACGTGTACTTCCAGACTCTGAGCGGGACAACTTCATAACTCTTTATGGCTACCAGGGATCTGTGGCTTTTGTCCCAGGAAGTCAACCGACATATGAGGAAGCCATTAGGAGATTGCTATCCCTCGGACCTCAGGATACAACAACATTTTACATTCTGCATTTTGCCAAGAATGGCAGCTTCGTCCACGATATTTCCGACACTTTTCCTTTGAACGCCGGCAGCGCATCTCTGAAATACATCTCTAAACAGGATCTCACATTACAACCTTCATTCTTCATCAAGTTGGGAGATGAAGATTTTCCTGACCACTGGGAGCCTAGCGAGGCACAATTGACCTGCGAAGTCTCCAGAGTCATATGGAATCATCATGATGGTGATGCTCTAGAGCCAGCTCCAGAGTCAACTGGTCCCATGTCATGTTGTTACCTGGAGTTTCCGACGCCTGACTATTTCCCTACATCTCGAGGAAAAGTGAACAGTTGGAATTTCGATCAATACAGCGCTTATGTCAGAGCAGCCTTTGAAGTTGTATTGGGCCCTCCTCCGGGCCCATTTCATCACGCTCTTTTCCACATGTACCACCCGAGTATTGGCTACAGCACCTCTCCAGAATATGGGTTTCCAGCAATCAAGAATTCGGACATGAATAAAGTGTCTAGCTTCCTCGGCGAAGATACGTTGGAACTGAGATGCACGAGACTTGATGACAAAAACGATATTGCCTTTTTTCTGCCGAGCTATTACAACAACGACAGTCGCCTAGGACGCATCTCGCGCAGCAAAGACAACATCGGCGAGGCACTTGAAATCATCCAGCAGATAATGTCGTGCGCTTTTGGTGAAGAAACGCAGCGTCTGCGACATGTCCGCTTGCTGCACGGCGGCGATACATTCGGACCAGAGACCAACAGGAACCAGAAGCCTTATTCTATTCAGCTGCATGATGACGGCTCTGAGAATTCCAAGACTAACAATGCTTCTGTCTTATCCGATTTCTTTGCTGATGGAGGTGCTTTTGCCCTTCTATATCCAGAGTGGGAGGAAGACACCACTTCTCTCTCTATTGTAGAGCCTAATGGACACAGTGAAGCCGAATCCTGCGTTCAGATACCTCCGTTATCTTCCACGGTGGAAGAATTTAGGAACCGAGTGTTTGAGCTCATGCAACTCACAGGATATGCGCAAAGCCACGTCATGCGTGTGAAGAATGGTAAATCCTTTATAAGCATTCAGCCTTTACCAGAGTATGGGTCTATACTTGGCGAGGAAAATGCTCCGTGTTTGTTCATCGGATCCAACACCACAGACGAAGAGTGGTTCAAAATTCGCGCCAGAATTGCTACCCCTAAAGCAACCGTCAGAATCATGTATTCTGGGAAGTGGAACTGGAATTGGGGAGCTGAGGGCCAAAAGACTTGCGTCTGGGGCCCGCGATATGGACGCATGGCAGAGCTTCAAGCTACGAAGCAGCAAAAGAAGGTCAGCTGGGCTGAGGAGGCGGAAGTAATCCCAGACAGCGTTACTCCCGAATCGCTTGATTCAGATCATACAATGGCATCATTAGAAGACGATGAGCCTGTGGAAACTACCCAGTTAGACTGGGCTCAACTTCAGTCTCGCAAGACAAAAGCAGCAAGCGAAAGTGAAAATCGGCAAAAGACATACGCAACACAGCCCAGCATCTTCGATCGTTACGGATTGGTCCCTTGGCCGGCCAACTCAGGTATTCAAATTCCAACAAACGCACCACCCTTGGAACCCATGCTCCGTACAGGACCTCGAATGCCTCTGGTGAGCAAAGCCATATTGACACCCACAGAGCAAGGAGAGCTCCAACGGGTCACTTGGGACTTACGAAACCTCTGCTTAAATCGGGCATTGAGATGTCCGTATGATGGCTGCACTTTCGCCTACACACTGAATGACGAAGATGCCATGAGGAAGCATCTAAAGTCATGCCATACAGCACGGAAGTGTATGTGGTGTGACGAAACGCTATACGAACACTGGGACACGGCAAGAATTAATCTTCATATCAGAGAGAAGCATAAAGATGAGCTCATGGAAGCACTCGGAGTCAGCCAAGCAGCAATCCGGCGATTTGACAAGGAAGGAACCATCTCCATACCGCTCAGAAGGGTCCAAAAGTGCCTTGGGCGTTCAGCCTTGGCTTTGGCGTCTGGACATGCAGTTTGCGAGACACACATTTCCCCAGAAGCTCCAAGTGACAAAATTTGGGGATTCTGTGATCGTTGTGGCCGTAACAGAACCTACTACAACAACATTGAACGAATATACCACTACGCTCACTGTTTGCCGGGCATTTTCAATGGCGCAAACTGCACATTCTGTACCGTCTGCGGCAAATCCGTCTGGCCAAGCGCAGCAGAAGCCCACAAGAGCGGCAAATCCAACGGACAGTTATCCCATTGCTCGCATAATGCGGATGACACAAACGGCCCTCACTGTTCTGGCTGCGGATTTAACATGTCTCGTTTGCCACAGAATGGACGCGACCAACATCAGAAAAGATGCAGGGGCTTTAGTGCCTTGTCTGGTCGATTTTGTCTCTATTGTGGTGAAGAGTTCAGAAATACAGAGACTCAGGTGGATTGGAATCGGAACAAAGATCATATGATTGCCTGCTACAGAGGGAACCCGAAGGCGATAAGCATGCTCGAAGATCCAGAAGAGGCAGCTTTCAAGCAGCAACAGAATAATCTTCGATTCCAGATAAACACAGCCGCTCTTGCCTATGAAGAAGAGCAAGGACAAAATGGAAAAGACGGAGGCCTAGATCGTGATGAGGATGAACAGCCAAGCCAAAATGAACCAGTAACAGGGTCCCAGGCGACAAAACATGATCAAGAGATGGCGGATTCTTCAGCTGAAAACACTAGCACCGTACTGGAAGAAACAGTTCAAGAGACAGCAGCTAGTCAAGATGCTCCTCAGCTTCCGATTCCTGGCTCAGACACTTATCGTCATAGCCAAGAAACTCTCAGAACCATTCTCCGCCAAAGTATTTCTGACACTCCAGATGACGAACAATCTCTTAGACCTTCTACGGAAGCCCCTGATAACACACTGCAACGAAAGTCTTTGAGTATTAGTCCAACTCGGCAGCCAAGCCCGGCTCAGCCAGCGGAAGAAAACGAAAAGGAGCCTGAATTTGAAACTGGCGCTGAATCTCCTCTCTTTGTAAGTTCCAGCTCTTCAGAAGCCGGTTCAGACAACGGATCGGTTTTTGGCGAGGACAATGACAAAGACGCACATGACTCTGCCGACGGAGAGTCTGAAGACGAGCTTTTGTCCGATCCCTCAAAATCGAAACGCCGAAAGCCAAGAGGAAGGACACGCACAAGAGAGGGCGACCGCAACTACCAGGCTGAGAGAGATGACGATGATGACAGCGAGATTGACGAAGAGGAGCTTTTATCAGACCCTTCAAAGTCAAAACGCCGAAAGCCGAGAGGGAGAAAGCGCACAAGAGAGGACGATCGCAACTATCAGGCTGAGAGCGACGACGACGATGACGACGATAGCGAGATTGACGAAGATGGCCGACGTTCCAGGCTTCCTCAACGCTTACCATCACCTGATTGGAGTAAGATACTTCCCAATGACCCGGATTTTGTGCCGTCGGAAGAGTATTACTGCTCAAAGTGTTTCCGCAAAGCTCCCAAGAACCACAAACGAGACAGGTCCCCGCTCGGAAGAAAGAATGAAATTGAGGTATGAGAGAGCTTCCCCTTACATCACTTGTTAACACCTTATTATTATTTTCACATCTTGCTAATCAATAAATCTTCTTCTAGCTTCATCACGACCCTGGCCGATGCTGTGGCATCCGCCGTGGAATCGGCTCAATTGAAAGACTCCCCAACCGCAGCGGCTGGATCCCAGCAAACCTCATGCCAAAGCCCCTTTCCACTCTCCGCAAAAGGTTCCTGCGGCGATACCCCGTGTATGCGCGCACAATTTACCCCCTCAACGCCACAAACGCCAACGGCACCTACTGGCGGTCAGATCCAAACAATGAAAGCAACAGTGCCTGGTGGAACATCCCCTGGCCGGCATTCAGAGGGCCGGCTCCTTTACCGAACGGCTGGGAAGCACCCGATGTACTCGATGTTCCTGCTGCTGGGAGAGCTCGCCAGCAGTTTCAACTGAAACCGGTGTCGGATCCGACATATCGCCAGGGGGGTGATGTCCAATACTCGGATGAGGAGGATGTGGATGACGTGGAATCGGACAAGGATGACAATGGCAAGAGAAAGAGAAAGCGTAAAACGACTATGGCGAAGAAAGTGCGGAAAATCACTGCTAATGTCGAGCCTGCCAATGTTGAGCCTGCCAATGTTGAGCCTGCCAATGTTGAGAAAGCAACAGGGCCTCGACCAGTGAAGAAGAAGATGCCGGATCCGACATATCGGCAAGATGACGTCCAGTACTCAGATGACGAGAATATGGACGATATAGAGTCGGACAAGGACACTAACGGGAAGAGAAAGAGAAAGCGTAAAGTTACTACTGCGCCAGATCCGACATATCGCCAGGGGAACAATGTCCAGTACTCAGATGATGATGTCGAGGGAGTAGAGTCGGACAAGGACACTAATGGGAAGAGAAAGAGAAAGGCTAAAGCTACTACTGCGAAGAAAAGGCAGAAAACTGCTCTCAATGTTGACACAGCAGCTGTGCCTCGGCCAGTGAAGAAGAGGATGCCGAAGAAAGCGAAGTCGCAAGCAGCTTTATTGAACAAAGACGAGCCGCAAGGTCAAGAGGGGGGAGTTGTCACTCGACGATCGACGAGGAAGCGGCAAAAGACTACTAAGGAGTAGTGTTTTGGTTGTATGGTTTTGAATTCTGGTTGAATGGTTTTGCATTTTGTCCTCGATGTGTTCATTGTATTACTTGAGATGGAAATGTTATATGTTTATTAAATTACAGCACAGTTTTGGATTGATTGGTTTGTCACAAACATGGATTCTTGCAGCTACTTTGATCATTATTCCATTCATAGAGAAAAATACGTATCTTGTGTCTTTGTTGCTACTTTCATGATGCATCTATGCGCCCTGTACGCCCCGACTTTTTATATCCTCTTGCTGATGATCCACAAATCCATAGAACAATGGCCTATATACACCAGTCCGAAACTCTGGGATGAATGTACCGCTCTAAATGCCGCAATGCTAGAAAGTGCAAAGATTTTACAAGCTTTCAATGGCTTTGAGCAAAACGTCTACTCCCTCCACCCCAACGTCGCCCTTGTTCCCTAGCAAGGAACCGATATCGCTGAGAATGCCCAAGGGAATGTAGCATCCTGTCTTGGCCTTGTCCAAGCTGTCTTTTAGTCGGCTGGTATGTTCCCATTCCTTGGCTGCCACTTCAGCTCTCTTAATGACGCGGTCTGAGATGCCACACATGGCGGCACAATGCATACCGAAACTACCCTCTGCAACCCCGTCTTCGAGCTTATACAAGAACGTGATTCTACGCTCTTCGTCATCAACATGAATTTGCATGCGACGAGCACGAATCTCTGGGTGATTCTCAAATTCAGTAGCAAGAGAGTGGTAGTGTGTTGCGAAGAAACCGATACAGCCGATATGAGTCGCCACATGATGCAGCACAGCTTGCGCGACAGCTACACCATCGTATGAGCTCGTTCCTCGGCCAAGCTCATCAAGAATCACGAGGGAGCGGGGCGTGGCCTCGGAGAGAATCTTTTTGGTTTCAGAGAGCTCCACGAAGAAGGTGGATTGCGCGGCAAAAATATTGTCGTTGGCTCCCAGGCGAGACATGATTCGATCAACAGGAGTGAGACGAGCCGACTTGGCCGGGACAAAACAGCCAACTTGAGCCATGATGACGGCAATGCAAGACTGTGAGAATGTCAGAATTGGTACGCACAGGAAAGCATTCAGGTGAGCGTTAATGAAGAAGACTTACCATTCTGAGAACCGTAGACTTACCAGCCGCGTTGGCACCAGTAAGAAGGTTAATCTTGGCCTGGTCACCGCCGAGCTTGATGTTATTCGGAATAAAGTCGTCCACGGTGTTAATCATGCAAGGATGTCTCAGTTCCTCAAAGTCCATCACGCTACGCTCTTCCTCGACGAACTGAGGTCTGCAGCTTGGCTCTCCGAGTGAAGACGATGCCTTGGCAAGACTCACAAGACAGTCAAGCTGGGCGACAATTTGAATTGACTTGAGCCAAGTCTCGTAGTCAGCATCGAATTTCCGGCAGAAGCGTGACGCAATTTCTCGAATCAGCTGGGAGTGGGTTTCCTCGGCTTCTTGCAGCTCTCGAACCAACGCAGTGAGTTGAGGAAAATACCATCGCTTGACGTCCTTTGTTGCAGACATTTGACGCCAGCTGGAAGGAATCTTGGCAGCTTTCGGGGCTTCTATCTGGTAGATTTCCTTTCCAACATCTGTATATTTGAGCGTTTTGCACTTGAGCTCCCCCTTCTTCTCTATTAATAGATCGTTTAGCTGGTCTTTGATCTCCTGGATTCGAGCCGCGCTAGCGTCAAAATCTTCATCGATACCGCTCTCTGGGATCATCAGCTTCTCTTCTTTAACCCTCTGTCGGTTAAATGCCGTGCTCCAGTACGCCAGCGGTTCTTCCAAGTTGGGCATGGATGAAATGAGCCTGTCGATCAAGCCATTTCCACCTTTGAAGGCAGCAGCAAGAGTCATCGTATACTCAATCTGCTCGAAACCTTCAAGAACACGAACAAAATCTTCTGGCTTGCAAGCACCAGCATGGATGCGTGAAATCAGACGCTCAAGGTCAGGCATCTTGACCAGCTGCGAAGCAAACTGCTCGCGGACGGAAGGATCATCATTCAGCAGCTCAACAGCATCTAAGCGCTCGTTGATACGATCGATATTACACAGTGGATGGGCAACCCACTGGCGGAATAGACGCTTGCCAAACGGAGTTATGCACTTATTGAGCAGACCAAACAGCGTGCCATCGGTATTGCCATTAACAGTGTTGGAAAACAGTTCAAGGTTTGTCAATGTCTGGCCATCCAAAACAAGAGTGCTGTTTTTCTGGATAGGCTTGTAGATTTCGAAACTTCCTTGTGATAACAAGGGACCTTCTAGTTTGAGGAATCGGAGATACGAAGTCAGACCGCCAACAGCAGACATGACAAGATCATCATCTCTGAGTTCCTGGAGCGCTTCCGGCCATACTTCTTCCTCATCTTCTCCTTTGACAAAGTATTTGGCGCAGGACAATTCTTTTCGAGAAGTGTCCGCATCCCAAAACTCTGTTCCGGGTTTTAGATTCGTCCAAATAGTGGTAGGGGAGGTGTTGTTTTTGAGGATGCGAAGAGTTTTTGTTGCTAGTCCAGACTTTTCCAGCAAAAGTTCTCGGGGGCCAATTTGAGCAATGAGAGTCTCGAATCTGGTCCGATCGACATCATCGACAAACCCAGAGAGGAAGAATCGACCAGTTGCAGTATCCGTAAAGGCAATACCGAACGCTGGCAAATCATCCACAATAGATTCTTTGATAGAGACACAGTACGCAGCCATGTCGTCCTGGAGCATGCTGCCATCGACCAAGGTACCGGCAGTTAAAACACATCCTAGCTTTCGAGAGATGACCTTATCCGCTTTTTTACCACTCTTGTCTTCCCGTTCTCGCATCTCTTTGCCAAGATTGGTCTCCATCTGCTCAACACGAGCAACTTTGTATTGTTTGGCAATGAATTGGTTGACCCAGTGGTCCAAAGAACCCTCTGGGACGCCAACCATGCGCATGTTGACTCTATCGGTCATCTTGAAGTCGAATTCTTGGTGACCAATGGTTGCATCTTTTTCATAGAGTTCATAGAACTTGCCCTTTTTGAAAAAGACAATGGTGTCCCAGAGATTTTGCTTGATCTCCCAGTACTGTTTCTCAAATGGTGAAAACTTATTCCACGCACCTGGAGGGATGAAGAGAGTTCGCGGATCATAGTCAGGGTCATCAGGCAAGCGCTTATCTTTGTCTCTGATGGTCGCCAGCCAGGGATACCGCTCGCCGGGCTCCTTCATATATGCTTTCTCCTTCACCTTGGGGTCTTTTGTGCTGACACGGTCAATTGGCCTTACGACAGGCTGCTTTTCAGTAGATTCTGGATCATAAGACCATTGCTTGGCCGTAGACTCGGTAGGCATATCTTCATCCTCCATGTCTATATCGCCAACAGCTGCGAGATAGTCTTCTGTGTCCTCCTGGATAGGAGACGAGACGTTTGTGCGCTTGCGTGCTGATTGAGGTTTTGACGGACGCTTCCTTTTCTTCGGCCGAGAGGCCTCTCCGTCTGAATCGTCGGATACAACAAAGTCGTCAATGTCATCTACAGACTTTGTCAGCCACGTGCTTATATGTGGTGATGATGCAGATTGTGGAACGAACCTTCATCCTCTTGCTCGGCGGTATCGCTTCCACCGTAGTCGTCTTCGTCATTGACGACGTTGCGTGTGACTCTACCACGCCTCCGAGTTTGTGAAGCCGCTCCATAGGCAAAAGGCTCATCATCTTCATCTGAGGACTCGGCATAATTGACAGCCCTTTTCCCCTGCAAAGCGCAAGTCAGCATGTAGAGACCAAAATATTGGAGATGAGGCGATACAAACCTTTCGAATTGGGCTGCTGGGGGCTACTGAGCTCTCCGGCGCTTCGGCAAACTTGACTTTGGACCGCTTGACGGTCGATTCCATATTCTCTTGCGAGCTGGTGGGCTCCAGGGCATCGCTAGAAGGCACCGGAGTGGAGAGCTCGGCAAAGAACTTTGTCTTTGGCAGCGAGTTGGCTTTGGTCTCTTTCAGAGGGGAGGAGTATAGGATGTCGGACGAGGCCTGTTCGCGAGTTGCGGGCGAGCTCGAAACGGGCGAAGACTTCTGGAAGAACGACATTATCGATTTCTGCTTGGTCGCAGAGGCTGCGGCAGCTGGCCGGGTGGCCTTTGCTGGCGTGCGAGCAGCGCTCGCTGCCTTGTCACCTGGCATTGCGGCTCGAGCACAGACGGCAGCTCACGACGGCGTAGAGACAGGAGGCGATTGAATATTCCGGTGAATGGTGGATTGCTGGCTGATTGGAGCTGGGCAGAGCGTGGCATACAACGAACGGGCAACGATGAAAACAAACGCACAATCGCAGGCGGCAATTCTAAAACCAAGACGCTGAGCAGCCAGGCGGCGGCGACTGGGGGCGAGACATGGGTAGGAGAGAACCCATGCATGCAGATTGCAAATGCACCGCGTCGCGATCGCGTCTCGAGTCGCTAAAGTGCTGCGAACTGGCGTATCTCGCGTTAAGTGGGTGTGCGATGGGTGGATACACTGGCTATCAGCACTGTATCAGCTTAACGGCCCGCTGTGCTTAGGTCCCTATTGAACCTTCTTGGCTCCTACGGAACCCCATTCGTCCTCTTATTCAGTCAACATTTTTCTAGAAATAGTTGTAAAATTAGCAAAATCTGTCTTTCTGAAGCATAATGCGAACAAATCATCTGGCGTCTTCTGTGCACATTGTTATTTACAATTGAGCTGTCATCGTTCTAGTCTCCGCATAAATCTGGGTCTCCAAACTGCCGCTTCTCCATAATTCTCCGCGTCTCCGTCTCATGTACTCCGTAATTGCGGCTTCTACAACTCAGCGGCCCATCTTATTCAAGGCCCATCTCACAAACTTGCCAACAAACAACATGCACAAAAGCAGGTAATAGTGCAAACCAGTGTCGTGAGCACCTTTTACTAGTCGTCTGGATCGCTTGACATCCCGCATCGCTCTTGGTACGCTGAGGCTGTCGTACACCTTGACGGCGTCTTCCAGGCTGCTATGCTTGCAAATCTGGTCTGCCAAATCCCATCCGTCCACTAATGCCAGGTTGCCGCCAATGCCTGCAAATGCGCTGAGGGCATGATTGCTATCTCCGAGGAATACAGCCGGTACTTTGGATATGCTGTCATGAGCAAACGGCAGCTTGTCTCGTGAATTCAAGAGCAAAGCTGTCTCGGGATCGGTTCGCCTGACTATGCTTCGAAAGGGCTCAGCGATATGTGATCCAAGATCGAGACTCTGCTCTATGACTGCTTGCAGCTGAGTTGGCGAGCTGCGATCCAGATTGCACACCTGATCTTCATTCCGACCCACGGCCCAGAAGATTCTGTGCTTGTCGACTGGAGCGAAGAAGGCCGAGACGCCGGTGCGAGAGACAACAAACCCCCAATCCTCCCCTGGTAGCTTTGGAAGAGCTTCTTCGAATCTGGCTACTCCTCCTCGGAGAACCGCACCACCATGACACAACGTGTCGCCTGACGAAGGCTCTGTCGCAGCTTACTATTAGCTCCGTCGGCGGCTATGAGGAGGTCACACTCTTGTTCGATCTCGTGGGCATTTTCTCCTTGAACAACTCTCACTCTTAGGCGACCGTCCGGGAGCTGGGTAGTGGATATGCATTTCGAATCCCAGTGGATGCTACACTGATTGCCAAGATCGAATGCATCATGAAGAACTTGACGGATATCTTTTCGCGCAATTCGAACGCTTGTCGACGGGATGCCTGCAGCTGGTTTCCTACGGAAAGCAACTTGCTCGTTCCAGCTTGAATCCCATATCTTGAAAGCACCGGCTCCGTCAAGCCCAGATATGGCGTGTTTCAGCGCATGATCAAGTAAACCGAGGTTCTTCAACGCAACAAGGCCACCTGAATTGTCAAATCCTGTCAGAGACAAAGTGTAAGTCTCCCTCTGATCAGCGATTTCGGGCGCATCGCGCTCAAAGATGATAATAGTTGGCGGGTTGAGTTTTGGGTTCCAGAGCTTTTGGAGGCCAACAACAAATGCAGAGCCAGCGAGACCTGCCCCAGCAATCACTATGGTCTTGTTTTCAAGGAAGTGGCTTGAATGGCCTTTGGTTTCTTCATCTGCCATTGTAACACCTTCTTGACGTTTCGGGCAAATGCTGTAGAAGAATTAAGGGAAGTAAAGGCACGGAAAGATGTAGGAATTACACACCACTTTATAATTTACCTAGTGTACGACACCAAGTGATGTAATGGTGCAGCGCGGTCAATTGCTTGGGGCGCATGACGTTCTTAGGCTTTGTACGACTTACTCAGACAACTTACTCAGACAACTTGACAAATGATCAAAAGACTAGGATGTAAGACATCTAGGCCGCACTAGATTCAATCTTCCTACCTATCCCTTTTATTATGCAGCGTGAGCGAGGCTGTGGTGGGCTCTTTCTCTCTCCCTGCATACAGTCGGCTCAGCAGGGTCATGATATTGGAAGAAAATAACAGGAAATAGAATAGATAAATTAAAAAGAAAAAAAATAGGGGAGACCATAACCAGGCTCAAAAATCTTAGGGAAACCAAGTATAAAGCCGACCATCTCTCCCGACTTCAGTTCAACTTTTATCATCCTCATCAGCTTCTTTCACAGCAATCATCACCACACTTCCACGTTTACCGTCATCTTGTTGTAAATCAACATTACCACTACCTACAAAATGCAGTTCTCCATCGTTGCTCTCTTCGCTACCGGCGCTCTCGCCGCTGTCTGCCCTACTGGCATTTATTCAAACCCTCTCTGTTGTGTTACCGATGTTTTCGGTGTTATTGGTCAGAACTGCGAAGCTCGTATGTACTTGAAATATTCAAATATGAATCTTTTGTTTACTGATTTAAACAGCCAAATCGGCCATTTTTGATGGCCTGTCTTTCCAGAACGCCTGTGCTGCCGTGGGCCTAGACCCCCTGTGCTGCGTTGCTCCCGTTGTAAGTATTCCAAGATTAACTTCCATAATTATGAAGGAAGATGATTGCTGATGGATTCGTGTATGGATGCAGGCCGACCAGGGTATCCTTTGCCAGATACCCGTTGGAACCCAGTGAGACAAGCTGGTATTCAGTGGATTTTTCTTGGATGTAGCGCGGAGTTCAGCTCCTTCCCTGCATAACACTAGAAAACGACACGGTCACATTTTGGCAGCGCAGCACTCTCAACGCATTTGCACATGTTTTGTGCTTAGATAGGCGTCTTTTTACCGAGTTTGTGGGCTTTATATATAGATTTAGATCATATAAGAGGACATTTCTGTTACTAATTTAGATGGAACAAGTCTCACAACACTGCTTCAGCATCTAAAAATGAGATGTATCTCAACTTTTGCTTATTGTGACATGGGGTAGAAGACAAGTAGACAGTATAGCGAGTCCAGACATGCTACTTAGTAAATCATGCTCAATGTTTGACATACCTGGCCTTGCACATGAATAGAATTGAGGGAATGGTTTAACAAGCGTCTTTGATACGAAAGTCTAGGTAAGAAATCGCAGTGCCTAATTTACACCCGCCCTTCTGCTAACTGACGGCCAATTTGGCACGCTTACCCCACCATTGCACAGGGCCGATTGCCCCTCCAACTTTTTGTGCTAGCAGCTATTTGTGATGACCTGAGATTCTAAAATTTCTTTTCAGCTATTCGTCCTACAAGTCTTGAGCTCTGTGTCAAGGCAGAATCGCTAGGCTTGGATGCTATTAGCTTGCATAAAACAGATAAATAAGCAATCATGAGTGAGCTCGCTTCAGCGCCCGTGCTGTCCACTCCAGACGACCACATCCTCGAAATCCCGGCGCAAACCGAGACCAAATCAACGCTCTCTCCCGATGCGCTCAGAACGACCTACGAGATTCCGCGCACTGCGGCAGAGATCCTCCAAGGCGGATGGAAAAGAGTGGCGCTTCAGTTCCCGGATCACATGCTAGTGGACGCACCGAGAGTGGTTGAAGTGCTGAAACAGGAGCTCGCAGACACAGGCACGCAAGAAGGAGTCAAGGATTGGAGAATATGCATCTTGGCAGACACGAGCTACAGCGCCTGCTGCGTCGACGAGATTGCGGCCGAGCACGCGAATTCGGATGTCGTGGTCCACTACGGAAGAACGTGTCTGAGCCCGACGAGTCGACTGCCTGTCATATACGTATACACATCGCATGAGTTGGACCACGATGCGGTGGTTGCGCAGTTCACAAAAGAGTTTGCCGATAAGGATACAAAGGCCGTAATCATGGCAGACCTGGTATATCAAGACCATGTGGAATCGATAACAAAGGCCCTCAGAGACTTGGGCTACAGCAACGTAATAGCGACAGAAGTTGTCAGAGACCCTGCCGGAATAATACCAAACAGAAGAATAGCCGGCGTCTCAATAGACGAAGAGCTGCTAAAGTCGCATTCACTATTCCACATTTCAGATCCGCCTGCGTCTCTACTCCTCGCCCTCCAATCCCGATTCGCTTCTCTACACGTCCTCTCCGTACCTTCGCCGACTTCTCCCACCCTCGATAATCCAACCTTCCGAACAGCAGGCCTTTTGCGCCGTCGCTTCGCTCGCGTCCTCACCCTTGCCTCGGCCGGCGTCGTCGGCATCCTCGTTAATACGCTCTCCGTGTCCAACTACCTCTCATCAATCGAACTGCTACGAAAGAAAATCGCTGCTGCTGGAAAGAAGAGCTATACCGTTGTCGTGGGCAAGCTGAATCCCGCCAAGCTGGCCAACTTTGCAGAGATTGAGGGCTGGGTTGTCGTGGGATGCTGGGAAAGCGGCCTCATTGAAGACGACGTAGGCTACTGGCGACCTGTTATCACACCGTTTGAGATGGAAGTCGCTCTGATGAGCGAGGAAGAGAGAATATGGGGCGAGGAATGGTGGGGGGGTATCGAGAAGCTGACGCTGGAGTCACCGAATAGCAACGCAAAGAAGGAGGGGGAAATAAAGGAAGAAAAGATTGAAGCGGATGAGACGGCAGAAGAAAGGGTTGAAGATGGCGTGGATGGAGAGGAATCACTACCCCCAGTCTTCGACTTGAGAACGGGAAAACTCGTCAGCCACAGCAGACCAATGCGACTCACTGCCGGCAGCTCGAATACTAAGGCACAAACGATTAACGGTAGTAGCGAACAGCGGTCATCAGACGCCGTGATCAAGAGGACGGTGGGTGAACTGGCAAGCATCAACGGCGTAGCCAGCCCTGGAGCGGAGTATCTCAGAACACAGCGGACGTGGCAGGGACTAGGCAGTGATTTTGATAATGAAGCCAGCACAGTGATAGAGGAGGGACGGAGTGGAATTGCAAGGGGCTACCACGTCGGCGAAGAGTCGGAAAAGCACTAATGTGGCTGCTGGGTGTCAAGATACCACAAAGATGACAACTACATGAAAGAACACTGCGGGAATAAAGCAAACAAGGAATCTGAGGCATCAACCATTCATTCATAGCATAGAAATGCTGTTAGATATCATCATGGGCGTTATCTAGATAGCCCTCACAGTATGTACAAATCATGAACAAGGAATATAGTATATATCGCCAACGCGAGCTTGCGCAGAAAAAAAGACATCAATCAAATGTACCCCGTACAGAAGAAGAGTATTATCCAGGCAATCATGCCGCCCTTTCCAAGTCATTAATCATCAGCGCTGCGCCAAACTGATTTTTTGCCCAGCCCTCGCTCATAGAAGAAGTATAAAATTCATTTAATCCGCCAGTCATCTAATCGTCCAGCCGTCGTCCAAGTAAATCGCATGTTTGCCACATTCTCTCTAAATCCGAGAAAGAAAGAAAAAAGCCAAAATTCCCCTCCCCCTTTTTTTCCATTATCCATTTATACGTATCCTCGGCGCGAAGAGTAGTAGCTCTGCGAGTTGGAACGGCTTCGACGACGACGATGGCTATGATGCGAGCTGCGATGGCGCACGACGCGCTCCTCGACAACGACGCTGTCCCCGTGGCTCCAGGCCGCCAGCGCCGTGACGGCAAAGAAGACGGTGTTCATGATGGCAAACGCCCACGAGGCCTTGAGCATGGCGCACGGCTTGCGGACGGGCCACGAGTAGCCCGGGATGCCGACGTTGTGGATGTGGTTGTACCAGATGCTGTCGACGGACGGGTCCTGGCAGTCGGCGTACTGGATCTTGCGCAGGTAGACGATGCCAGCGATGAGGCCGCCGAGGAAGCACAGGTCGACAAAGGAGATGAACATGCCGTTGTGGGAGGATCGCGAGTAGTAGAGCAGCGTGAGGAGGGCCCAGCCGAGCGCGAGGACGGTGACGATGAAGAGCACGAGGATGTCGTCGGGGGTGAGGATGTTTGCGTCGTTGAACTTTTTGACGAACCAGCTGAGCATGCCGACTGGGGGTATCTAAGAGAAATCAGTATCGAGGCGCAAGAGCCATGAGAGGAAGGGGATTTAAGCTTACCAGAGTGATAATCTGCGAGATGCGAGTGCATATGAAGATGAGTCCGAAAAGCATCTTGGGCGATGGGGCTGTCGCAAGATGCGACAAGCGGCGATGCGACGATATGGAACCTCAGGCGCAAAGAATCTGGCAGTGGTAAATTCAGGATGCTACAGCTAGCAATCAAGCTTTCAAAGAGATGACGATATGTCGTGCCTTTGAATCACTGGCAATGACGTGCCTCAAAGAGAGAAAGTGGATGAAGGGGAAAAAAGGGTAAGAAGCGCGAAAGAAAAAACGTGGGCGATATGCGCCTCAACTCCGCTTTATTATATAGAAGCAGAAGCTACTGCTACGAAACCATGTTAATGTTCAAGATGAGCTGCAGATGAAGGGGGGGCCAATAGCGAGTGTGTGCGCAAGGCGTTCAGGGATTGCTCAGCTAGAAAAAAATATCGAGGTGGTTGGGACAGACAGAGAGAGCTAAACATTATACGGGAAACCAAAGCTTCTAGATTTTACCTATTGGAGGTCAACAAAGGATTTTTGCGCGCTTTTCTTTTAGCCGGATTGGATTTGAACAAGACAAAGAAGCCAAGGAATGGTTAAAAGCTAGTTTTCAAGAGATGGTTGCACACGGATGACTGAGAAGCTCTTTTTTCGCCTTGTACCTTACATACAGCTTACTGACAACAAAAAGCGCAACACACAAAGAAAATAGTTGTTAGTACCCAGGCAACGGAGTGGAGACCTAGAAAGCAGGGGTGCATTTTCACTTGCTTGGCAAAAACAAAGTGGCTGGGCCCTGTTTTGTTCTTTGAGAGGCTGATGGCTTGCCAGGGGTATTTTACCTGTGGCTTAAACAACGTGGTTTAACTGGGTGGCTGGAAAGAATAAAGGTCAGCCACCAGCCACTGAAATATGATGGTGGGGGGGCTAAATTAATGAAAAGCTGTCACGAGAAGCTCTCTAGTTTCTATTAATCATTTATACCTCCTTTGGAGTCTTTTCGGGGTAAAGAAACAAAAGTGGGAAGAATCAAGAGCAAAAAAAAAAAACCCCTGCCATCGATGGGCTTCAATCGGCCTTGGACACGCACGAAGCTAATGCGGCAGCGATTATGCAAAAAAAAAAACATAGCACACCGCTCTCATCAGCAATAGATCAAGTCTTCTTCCAGCAATTACAGTAAAGTGCTGTTGACCAGCAGCCTCTGCCACGTGTTTCGCCGCCAATGCTCGCCATCGCACAAACGCTTATCAAGCCCCCCTCGCCAATTAATCGCTTTTTAACTTGTTTCCTGTCCACGTACAAGTATATTTGCCCCTCTGAGAACACATCAATGATCCCGTCCCGTCACCGCTCCGCTTTAGGTGGGGTCGGCACTCAGGGACCGACGCGGCGGCATCAGCACAGACCCGAGCAAAAATCGGCTGATGATGCCATGCGAGATTCCGCAGAACAGACAGCAGTTCCAGTCAAGGAATAAACAAGAGATTCATCGTCGATGAGCAAGCATCACTGGCTTTTTTGTTTGCACAAGGCCGTCACAGTATGCAGCAAGTAATCGTCTTATGCCTCATGAATTCATACTTTATTTCATACTTAAATCATACTTGTACTTAAATCATACTGTCGCCGTTTTGACATGCCTGTCTCCAAATGCCTCGGGCAAAAAGAAATCCAAACATCAACCTATCAAATAGTAATAACCACTCATGAAATCAGGAATCAAGGTAGCATTAGGGTATCATCCCTCCAATCCCACGCAATAAGCATAAACCAAAAATCAGCCTGGGTCCCGCAAACCCACATCGACACATCATCCATCGCATCTCATTGCATCGTTTCGCTTGTCGCATCGTTGTCGCATGTAAATCAGCGTCCACTTGCCACTTAGACGTTGGAGGGGGTGGTCTTGTCAGCCCGCGCATGGCCCCTCATGGTAGTCAAGCCCTCAAGAACGGTGAGCGCCAGGAAGCCAGCCCACAAGAAGAATGCAAAGGCAACGCCGGCTTCATTGGTCTGGCACCAGCCGTTTCCGTGGCAGGCTGGCGCGCCAACGAAGCACGCAAAGGCAATGGCACCTGCAAACCAGAAAATCGTCGTAAGGACCAGAAGGACAAAGGCGCCAAGAGCGTGGTAGAGGCGAGCAAGGTAGATGGGCGTAATGGCCAGATAGATGAGAACGAACAAGCTCCAGATTGAGTCGAACAGCAGGAATGCATATGTGGCCGGCGATGAGGCGAGCCAGCCGTCTGTCTTGTTAACAACTGTGAAGAAGACATGTTAGTTGTGAACAGAAGAAGATTAAGATTGTAAAGATGCAGCTGCACGATGAGACTTACGGTATCCTGTAATGCCCAGCTCGATGATTACGAGGACGGCAAGGACAATGTGGATGATGGTAATCATTCCGAGAGCCATGTTGGGTGGTGTTGACGGCAAGCTGCCCTTTTTTTCTGATGATATTTGAGATGACTGTCTTCTCGACGAGACAAAGCGCCGGATATCGCTAAAGAATTCTATTGCTATCGAAAGAAACCGACAAAGGCCTGGAGGCGGGAGGAGAGACGGGTTTTTATCAGTGGCCGAGCTGCCTGGAGCGTCTCAGCGAAAGCGGGTGGCGTCGAATTAGGTGGTTAAAGATGCGGAGCTGGCTGGCTCAAAGGTGTGTCGACTAAGGATGGCGTGTGGTGGCTGTCCAGTCACCGAAGAGCACTTGGCCAAGGGGGGGATCGAATTCGGGCTAGTTGGGCTGCGATGCGATGCGCCGACTTTTGCAAAGACTGCTGTGGTTGTTGGGGATGGATGGCGATGCTACGCTGCAGCTGATGGAGCTCTCTTTTGGGCGATACAGAAGCAGTTGCGGAGGGACTCGATGCGAAGAGACGAAGATGGAGATGCGACAAGAAGAAGAGCGCAGGACACAGACAAGAGAAGCGCAGGCTTTAATAGTACAGATCCAAGGCTCTCTTTGAGTCTGTCTCGCACCTTGAACAGCGGCCATCCAACCATTCCTTGGCCAAGCAAGAGCTGCAGCCAAGGGCGTGATGTCATTCGCCGTGGCTTGTCGCTACGTCACCAGCCGCTACAGGACCTCGCAAGAACTCGCAGCACAAAGGAATTTAAGCGCCAGCGGCCTGTTTCACGATCATCGCCCGCCAGGTATCGCGCAAGTACCCGCCAGCACCGATCCTCGTCCTCAGCCCCAGCAGCTAATCGCAGCCGAAAAGTGGCAGATGATCAGACAGTACCGATGGCTCTCCGCACTGATGATGCACCCATTACCACCTCGCCTCGCCGGCTGCAGAAAAATTTGCTAATGCCCTGCTACTAATTGCTCGTCTCGTGGAGTCTTGCGCGAGGGCAGCATCCACTGCGAAAAGAAGGACTGGCGATTCATCTACGCGCAAGCCCTGATTGGCCGGGGTGGCTGAGCGATTCCGTCCTCTTCTACAGCGTGGAATAGCGCCATCATCCATGTGCCTACGCACCTATGACGGCGTGCAGTGGCTTGGTCTAGCCGCGTTCTTGTGGAATTCGTCAACCATGTAAGCAGGAAGAAAAAAAAGACCTGTACTTCATGTAAACATTGGCGGATGCTTCATGAAGATGGAATCACGGCGTATGCTATTTTCAGATCAACGAGCTTCTTTGGCGCTTCGCACGCTGTGTTGGCTCTTCTTTGGCGTGCGACGTCGTGGCAGTATTCTTATTCTGGGCTGTGAGAAGCCTTGGGTACACAGGCTCCATTGGCTGGTTTGGCATCAGGCTTGATACCCAAGTTGCGGCCACGCAGGGGTTGCAGCCATAGGGCGCGCGTATTCGGACCCGTTGGTGTCTCATAGGCCAAACTTGATTGACTGCGACACAAGCCGCACTATGCGGGATGCTGAGCTGCCGTGGAGGAGCCAGATGCCGGTCCAAGGTTGTGACATGATGTGCTGTAACACCTCATCGAGCTTCGATATCACCACACCTGTTTGGCTCCAGGCTGAGTCATTCACGCTTGTCTCCCAACAGGAGCTCCACTGCATTTACTGAAGAGATTCTTTTCTGGGACGATGGAGCAACTCCCAACAGACGAATAGCTAGCAGTTCTGGTAGAGCAAATGCAGGCACCCAAGGTAGGTAGTAGCGAGATTTCAGCAACCAAGGTTCCAAATGGCCAACAATAGGGTGATGGTGTAGACATGGCAATAAGAAGATGACGAAACAAACTCATGCTTCCTGTTTTTTCTTTTCTTTTCTCAGTTTTAATCGATCGCTTAATAGCAAATAGCTTCTTCTCGCTTTTGAAGAAGACGGTGTTTCTTACATCGGTAAAGTACAGGGCCTGCATCTGCCAAATTCAACACTTGCAGAACATGGCCTCGCTCTGCTTTCCACAACAAGTTAAAGTCTTCCCTCCTTCACATGCACGCAAAAAAAGCATCCTTCGTCCTCGATTCAAGGACCGGAGGCCTTTACAGCAAAAAATGAATATGAAGCACGATCCAGCCAGGGCTCGAACCTGGAACCTCTGCCACCGGAAAGCAACGCGCTGCCATTGCGCCACTAGACCAACTGCATGACACTGTCGCGAGCCAAAGTGACTCTTCAGGACGCACCGCTTGGTGGGAAATGGTGCGCTGAAAGGATGCGTCAGGATGAAATCGGTCAAGGCAGTTGGAAGCGGTTGGTTCCAGAGCTTGCGATTCAATTGTTGCATGGTAATGAACATGTCAAATCCACAGACTTATATTCTTTTTTCGTTCATGTCAAACGTATGAAGCCAGCTCATAAGCATCGCATTCATGCGGACTTGGCGGAGATGGAACGCTCTATGAGTGTATTGACACTTATAGCATACACATCTCTTCTCAAATGAAGGAGTCACACTCCCAGATTTATAAGCCAGCTCGTTCTAGGCGATCAAATCACTTGCAAACTCCCTAACTATAGGCAATATTATCCAAAATCATCGGCATCAGCATCGCATCAGCTCAGCATCCCAGGTTGCTCGCATAAGCAAATGTGGGCTTGGCTATGGCGGCCGACCGCGGCCGCCAACTAATCATGGCCAAAGCCGCCAATCTCCCCAAAGTCCGATATGGATCGCAATAATACTCCGTACGGGGTACAGAAGCGCTCACTCATGGCTTGCTTCTGATCGAACACTTTGTGCTCTGCGCACTTGTCCTGTCGCTGTGATTCAACTGTTCAGAGCCTTTGATATGCAGCCATGGCTTCCACTCCTTTGAATGCCGAAAGACCCACATCGCGAGCAGACAATGTCTGTCTGTCTTGCCGGCGGAAGAAAAAGAAGTGCGACAAGGCGCTGCCCAAGTGCCTCCAGTGTCAGAAGTGAGTAGTTAATTTAGAATCGCGCCCGATTCTAGTCTCCTGATGCGGTGCTGGATCTAGGCTCATTGCTTTAGGTTGCATATACAATGCGTATACGAGGAAGACGCCGATACTGTGCCCATGTTGGAGGAGTTCCGCCAGCTGCGGAAAAGACTAAAGACGTTTGAGGGACTGCTCATTCCTGGAACGTCCAAAATCTCTAATTCGACTCCTTTGGATGCCAGTGCGTCGTCTGCTGAGCGAATAAGTCGGCTGGGCTCGACTGACGACTGTGCAGACTTCGTTTCGCGTCTCGAGGCAGTGGCCACAACGCTGGACGTGGGTGATGAAGTCTACCAACTCCTTCAGTCGCACCCGGGAGAGATATACGGGGCATCTCATTGTTACTTTGACAACATCCACAAATGGATGCCCATCATGTCGCGGAAGCTATTCTACCGCAGGTTGACGGAATTTAGCAAAACGAAGCGTCCGGATTTTGCGATCCTACTGCTGTGCATTCTCCTATCAATCCACTATCCTACAAGTAGTACAGCACAGGAACCGTTATACAGGGCAGTGCGCTCCATCTACTGGTACTTGAATGCAACTGTAGATGCGTCTCTGGAGATGATCCAGGCAGGGATTCTGCTTTCATGCTACGAGTATGGCTTTGGCATGCACAAGGAATGCTACAAGACTATTGGCTTATGCGTACGCATGGGTCATTGGATGGACCTGCACAACGAAAAGCCCCCATCTGATATTCCTCAAAGCAGCGACGAATGGACCGAGACAGCCGAGAGATGCAACATTTGGTGGGCACTGGTCATACGCGATAGGTTTGGACATCATCTTGAGCATATAACCTGGCCGCATACTTACCCCATGAGCCAGGTCGACTTTACTGCCCGAGGCCACATTGACTAAGCCGTTTGCACACTACCAAGAATCAATGCCGAAGCACCTTCCCTTTGAAGCCGCCGATCTCGATTCTTCATTCACGGGAGTTGGCGAAGATGGCGTTGCTCGTGACAAAAGAGCGCTTGGTGGGTTTGGCTACCAAGCAGAGGCGTGGCGATTGTTTGACCGGACAATCTCCTTTCGTCAACGCTTGGCGATGGCTTCAGAGTCAGATTTTCTGGGTGATGACAAGTTTCAACTAGACGCTGAGCTCCAAGACCTGATGCGCACTCTTGTCGATCTGAACAAGGGTGCTAAATGTGGCTTCTGTGAACCTTCTGCTATAGTGCTCGTGTAAGTCACCGCCTCCATGTCCGCAATATCATTGTAAGCAATACTAACAAGAGGAAATCCAACGGCCAAAGGTCCCTCCTCCTACTTCACACTCGACATCCGTATGTCACGGCAGAAGCTCTAAGTAAAGGCGAAGTGGGACGGTTTCCAGCCCATTGCACTGTAGCATCGTCTCTGGCTGTCCAGACTATAGTCCGCATGATTGTTGACATATCACGGACAATAAATCACCACTACTTTGACATTAACGTGCTGTCTTTTCCTCCATCGTATAGCCATGTCGTCTATCGTGCTACTTTGGAGCTGATATCTTTCCATGGCGACATGGATAACGCGGAGTGGACCACGGCATTAGAAACGCTGCGCGAGGCCACCTGGAACTACGGCAGGAGATGGCAGGCTGCAGGTACGTAATATCTAATTCCCCATCATAGTGGTATTGAATGCAGTATATGGCTAATACTTTGGTCCATTTGTGTAGCCAAGAATCTCCAATCGGTGGACAGTATACTTACAAGTATGCTATCGGCACCATCCACCTTCAACTCCTTTCAGCCCATGGAAAATGACCCATGTTTGGTCGCTTTACTCTCCAAGTAGGCGATGTATGTTGAAATACTAGGAGTTATACACGCATGTAATTATAATAGAGATGAACATCAAGGGAACAAGTAAATAGAGCATCTGGATTTACACTATTTCAAAGCCAAGAATTGATAATTCTAGAGTCTCATAATAGCATACAACTTCCTTTCATTTAATAGCAATGTAGACCCCTGAATAAATCGATTGATTAGTCTAGAGACAGTTTTATACAGGGCATCATTTGCCATTTGTCGTCAACGCCCCCACCAGCCGATGGGGCCGCCATTGTGACCCGCGCGGCCGCCGTCGGCCGCCATGGCAGCGGAGCTGAAGGTGGATCAACACTATTTGCCCTTGTTGTAGACTCGACAAGACGGACAATTTCAAAGCTGTTTTGTAAAGACGGTAGCATCAATCTTTGGTGAAACCAGACAATGGAAGCGTCTAGGCTCCTGGAAATGGAGAACGAGACATATAAAGGCGAGTATCGTCCTCCCATCAGGACAAAAGCCATCTTCCTCATAGACACACACACACACACTTCTATACTATACACGAGATACAAATCTTTCCTTTTCATTTAACCCGCAAACCCTTTCTTCATTGCCAAAATGGTCACCGTCGCAGTCGCTGGAGGTAATTCCACCATTGCCTCAAACATCATCAACGCCATCCTCGCATCCAAGAAGCATCGCCTCGTCGTCCTCTCTCGCTCCCCCCAGCCCGACCTAGAGACAAGAGGCGCCGTCGTCAAAGTTGTAGACTATGAATCTCACGAGCAGCTCACAAAAGCCCTCGAGGGCGTTCACACCGTCCTGAGCTGCATCTGGGCCTATGGTCCCGTCATTGCCACTTCACAGCTCGCTCTGCTAGAAGCAGCCAAGGAAGCCAAAGTGAAGCGCTTTGTCCCATCGGAATGGGCAGTCCCCGCATACGATAAAGTCACCTACTACAAAATCAAAGAGAGCGTTTGGGAAGCAGTCAAGAAGTCCGGGCTGGAATACACGCGCTTCATCGTCGGTCTCTGGTTGAACATCTGGGCTGCAGAAGCGCCACGCGAAGAGGCCGTCGGACGTTCTGGCTACCTGGGACCGCCGTTGATCATCGATATCAAGGCCGGCACCGCCTCAATTCCCGGAGATGGCTCGCGCAAGGTAGCTTTCACAGACATGAGAGACATTGGCAAGTACGTCACCGCTGCTCTCGACTTTGAGAAATGGGACGAGGACAGCGTCATTGTCGGGGGAAAGGTTTCGGTCAACGAGTTTATTGAAAAGGTGGAGCGCATCACCGGCAAGTCTCTGACCAAGACTTACTTCTCTCTGGAGCAGCTCGATGGCTTGATTGCGGGAAATAAGGAACCCATGATGACGATGATTTATGAGTTCTTGAAGCTTATTGAAGTGGGAGACGTTGACCTTACGGCAACGGTGAACCAGAAAGTTCCAGAGGTGAAGCCGATTACGCTTGACGAGTTTTTAGCTAGACACTGGGGTAGTGAGTAGTTTAGCAGAACAGTTTCAAATGCATTTAGTGATGATGGTCGCAGAAATTAGATATTAGTCTAGGTAGCTTTTGAGTCTAATGACTACCTCGACTTACTTCTTTACCCCATAGCAAAAACTCATCTCTTGTCATTTAATTTTTCCTTCCCGTCTCATCATTCACTACCAAGCTTAAAAAACAGTACCCAAATAATATATTCCTTATATATTTATATACCCAATTGCCCAACATTTAAAACCCCCTAGATACAAGCGCGGTTTATACAAATTATTTCACAGCTATATACACCAGGCATTCAAGAACGGTAGAGTATCCAAAAATCTGCGTCTTGGTACATTTATACATTTACACAACCAAGCAAGCCTTCCACAGAGTCGTAGAAGCAGAAAAGATCTTGGTCAAGTTGGGCTCGTCAGTAGCTCCTCCGAATCCACCAAAGGCATCGAGCTCAACACCGGCATCAATCTCGACCGAGACCTCGGCAGTGCTGTTTCCGCAAGCAGTCTCGCCAGCAGTGCTCGCAGCTCCGGCAAAGTTGGCAGTCAGCTGCGGGGCCTTGAGGGCGATGCCGCCGACGAGACCCTCGTCGAAGAAGGTGGCGGCGAGCTGCAGAGTGGCGGTGGGCACGATGCTGGCGGCGATGGAGACCTGGCCGCTCAGCCCAAGGCCCTTGGCCTGGATGACGGGGCTGATGTTGACGCCCTGGCCGAGGGTGAAGCCAGAGCCGTCGGGGAGGGTCGCCTCGACGCCGACGGTGGCCGTGGCGGATGCGGTGAAGCTGGAGATGGAGGCGTCGGCGACGAGCTGCAGCTGCGGCCCGATGGTGACGACGTCGGCGATGGTGAAGCCGGCCAGGGCGGTGCTGAAGATGGGGATGTTGGTGGACAGCGGCGACGAGAGGCCGCCGCTGGCCGTGAGGCTGACCTCGAAGGTGGCGCCGAGGCTGTTGGACGTCGTGACCGAGGCCTCGAAGCCGTCGGACAGCGAGAGCGTGATGTCGGCGTTGAGCGTGCCCTGCGTGTTGCACGTCGAGCACGAGATGCCCAGCGTGACGCCGTCGATGGTGGTGCTGTAGATGGGGCCCGAGAAGTCGTGGCTCACGTCAATGGCCACGTCCTTGCTGACGGATCGCGCGCTGGTGCCCGTGGCCGGCGTGCCGCTGATTCGGATGCTGGCGTCCTGGGCGAAGCTCTTCCACGCGGCCTTGGTGGCGGCCAGCGTGGCCGTGTTGGCCGTGGTGTCGTAGGCGATGGACTCGACGGAGAAGGGCTGGCGGCCGCTGTCGCCGGCGCAAGTGTCCCCTTCGGCGATGTAGATGATGGTGTTGGCGGGCGCCTGGTTGACCCAGGCCCAGGCCGTCTGGGCAGCCTTCAGGGAGGTGGCGCTGTCGAACTTGACGGTGACGTCCTGGGAGCTGCAATCGACTGATTCCACGACGTTTTGGAAGCTGAGGGCGCTGAGGAGACGGACGCCCTGGTTGGCCGTGACGGTCAAGTTGGCATAGATGCCTGCAGTTTGGAGAGACAAGTGTTAGATCTCTGCTCCAGACACTCTCTTATAACACACAAGATAGGATGGAGTCACATACCTTGGTCTTCGTGGGTCCAGATGAAGTTGTCCTGGGTAGCAAGCTTCAAGTCCGATCCACCGTTACCGGCCGGAGACAAAACCAAGTTGGCCGGCGCGGCGGGCTCCCTCTTCAAGAGCACCGGGCTCGCAGACGCATAGCTGAACAGCGCGACCAAAAGGCCGGCCGAGGCAGAGCTCTTGACAAACATGATGACGATGCTGGTGGAGCTTCAAGCTTTCTCACAACAGATTCAATTGCTTGAGAAGAAAAGGGGGCAGTCTCAAGAGTAGTAGCTCCGGGCTTATAAGACTGTTTGCGATTGGGGGGGAACAGACAAGTGATTGTTGCTGAACATCAGTCCCATGAGTGAGGCCATCATCGTTCTAATATAGTTTCGGCCGAGAGAATCAATCTTCACAAGGAACAGATAAGGCCGAGCAAAGAGGGCAGCATTCGGCTACCATCATCGCCGTCAAAGCGCAAAAAAAGCCTCCATCCTGGAGTCGCTGTCTGTCAGCAAAGACCCCCCGGACTGAAACACCACCTGCCTTTACGGAGCCATCCGAAACTCACAGGGCAGCTGGGCAGACTCGTTTAAGGACGGGGGGGGGGCCGCAAAACAGCCAGTCACGCCATTACCCCCAAAAAATCCTTCCAGAAGAGACAAGAGATGGGGTTTCAACGCCTAGCTTCATGTGCCTGATCCTTACCGTACTCAGACACGCGCAGAGCAGCATTTGGCCTCGGCCATCGCCGTGAAGCTGCGCAGCCATCACAAAGTTCTGGGTATTAGGTAATCCCTAGTGTTTCGCCATTTTAATTTTCTTGCTTTGTTTACTTGTCTGCCTAAGCTTAAACGGTTAGGTTACAGATATTGAAGCCGATCCTTTTATTAGAAGGTGATTTTGGCTCTGTGGAGAAGCTGTTTGGGAACTTTGCTAAAACCGGCAAGCGGATGATCATAAAAGTCCCCACCACTCGGTGAGTTCGCAAAGATGCATCCACATACAGGTACGAACCCATACAGGATAATAGGGCTATTGGTGTAGATACGAGATATTTCTGCAATGCTTCGTCGATGCGAATGACGAGATTTGGCCTGGGAGGCCCAATGGGGGAGTTGCATTCGGTACTGACGGCAAACGCCAACATGGGACAGACGCACTGCCGATGGCACTTATAAGACTACGGACCCTAGTTAAATGGCCAGGGATGCTCTAAAACAAAAGATGGTTCTCGACTTTTTCCGAGGAGGCAGCGATAAATCGGCATGTGAAATCTGATACCGGTAGCCATTCCTCCCGCTTAGCCCAGTTTTGGCCAAGAACTTTGTCTAGTTTCTCTGTTATCCTCTCACTTTCTCCCTCCTTTTTCTTCTTTTGGCCCTTTTGCCCAAAATGGCAGGGTCAAAAGCCCCCGGACGCCGGCCCCGAATATTTTGCTCCACTCTACGAATGGGCAGCCCCCGGCTCGGAACGCGCAGCCCCGGACAAACCGGCAGTTTTTTGTTGGAAGAAGAAGAGGGGAAAATCGCCCGTTAAGCGAGAGAGAAGAGATGCATGTCATTGATGCTAGTGACTTTGTTCTTTCTTGCAATTGATATCGTGAGTGGATCCAACAGAGCCCAGTGAGTATCATGTCCGGCATCGGGCTGAATATGCTTTTCATCCATGATGCCCAGCCTTAATAATACCAGATGTGAAAGCGCAAAATCTTCGGAGAGTTACTATTGTAAAGTTCTAGGGCTAGAAAGACATTTTGTAGGTTCAGTCTCTCTGAATGTACTTTTGATAAAAGAAAGCTACTCAATCTTTAATCGCTACTTTGTGAGGCGCATTGCCCCGAAATAGACAACATTACCGCAATGATGCAAAACGAAGCAATCCATGTTATCTCATTCGTGGAAATTATATTCCACGCTTTAACCAACTGCGAGTTGACTCAGTTTCGCCAACCACAACTAGACAGGACGTGGTTTAAACTCTAGCAAGGTTAAATATAGATGCATAAATCCTTGCTTCGAAGGACGATTTGATACGCGTTATATTCTCCGCTGCAAATCCAAAAGAGGCACTCGCCCACACGATGGATGCACTCGCGCAATATACGAGGGGCTTCTTCCTCCTCCCTCATTTACTCATGCACGAGTGCGGAGCTTCATCGGGCGTCTTCGTCTCTTCCATGCAAGTTCCTGATTCGGAATGTCTTTAACAACGTGGGTTTGCCTGCGGCTCGCCCTTCTTCTGGAATTGGACTGCAGGGCTCTGTTGAGCAGGGCTTAATCGGCCATTTGTTCTTCTCTAGTCTCCATGTTGCAACTCTGTTTTCATCAGCTGTACTGTATTGGTCAGAAATGTTGATATTGCAACATTGCAATCGTGCTCCCTATTTCGTTCGATGCCTCATTTCAGTAAAATTATGTGCTACAAGCACTTTACAAATTCAGGCATATCAAAGACCAGATAGTTGTAAAAGCCGAATGCTACGTCACGCTGAGCCGCTTGAATAACTACTACTCTTGGGTTTGAAGTCCTACCATGCTGTATCTTCAACCTGCAGACGTCCATGTTAACGGATTGACCCGTGCGCAATGCATGCAACTCTTCGCTTCATAGTATCACTCGCCACAGACATTTCTCATCTTTCGTCTCCATAGGCCAGAAATTCTGTAATGATTTCACATCATGCTTTATCGAGCGCCATTTCACCTCCCTTGTAATGCTAAAGTCGGCAGTACTACGCTGTAATCAGTAGACTACAAGCCCCCAAATGAAGATGATATTTTTTCTAACCAGATTGATGATCTAGGAATGCAGAAGCATTGTGTGACGCAACGAAAATTCTCATGTACTTTTGTTCCCAAATTAATTACCTTCAGCCTTGAGGTCTTTCTCGACCTGGCTCTTAACAAGCTCCCGCACCTTCTCCCATGAGTTCTCCACAAGTGTAACGCGCTTCTCTTTCGTTGAGAGAGCCTTGAACTCATCAGGAAGCACCTGCTCCTCAAAGTTGAATTTGGGCTCGTCTGCCAACGCCTTGGTGACGACGTCTGAGAACTTGGCAGGGTGGGCTGTTGAGAGCGAGATGTGGTGCGCGTTTGAGTCGGTACGTGCAATAGATCTCTCTGATGCCGTGACTCCGACAGCCGAGTGGGGGTCCAGGACGTAGTTGATCTTGTTGTAGCTAGACTTGATCGTCTCCACAGTCTGTGCATCGCTTACACGCTCGCTTTCAAATGTGCGGCGTCCGTTGTCCATGAGCTCGTCATGTACAGGTCCGAAACCGCCCGTGGTTTTCAGGGACTTGTACCACGCAGAGACCTCTTGACCAGCTTGCTTTCTGTTGAACTCCTCATCCATGCCAACAGTTGCAGCGAAATCTACACAAAGAGTTAGCTTTTGACCATGAAATCGGACCGAGTAAGGGAGCCTACCCCTGGCTAGGAACCACATTAATCTCTCAAAGTTACTGGAGACCAAAATGTCCATAGCTGGGCTCAAAGTTTCCTTGCAGTTTTCGGCTTTTGAGCTGCTCTCGTCTTGAACAGGGCTCTTTACATATCGGCCAGTCTGCCAAAAGCGATGCAAGATGTCGTTCCTACGGGGATAGTATTAGTAAATGTTGATTATAAAACAGCTTCCATACGAATATCGCCATTGTCAAGATGAATGACACAATCGTACGAACCAAGATTGGTATCTTCAGCTCGGCTACTTACTCATTTGTTGCCACTTATTACGTACGAGTCAGATTTGGTCTTTAGGCTTGAGGGGATTGGTGGAGAATACATACCGACAAGCTTGGCTACGGGAAGACCCATCTGCTTCGCAAAGTATCCGGCGAGGATATTGCCAAAGTTGCCGGTGGGGGTCACAAATCTAACCTCATCTCCAACATTGAAAGAAGAAGATTGTCTGGCGAGTGAGAAGTATGCGTGGAAGTAGTAGACAATTTGAGCGAGGATTCTGGAAAAGTTGATCGAGTTGACGGCGCCCAGCTGCAACGCCTCGTTTGCATCGGCATCGCCAAACATGGCTTTGACAATATCCTGTCATATTGTTAGCTGGTCTCTTATCCTTTTCTTTTCTTCCAACAATGTTCGATACTCACTTGGCAGTCGTCAAATGTTCCTTCAATGGCAAGATTGTGCACATTCGCATCTGTGCAAGTTGTCATCTGCAGCTCCTGAATGGGGCTGATGCGGCCCTTGGGATGCAAGATGAAGACGGAAACATCCTTTTTGCCCTTGAGACCGTAAATGGCAGCAGATCCGGTCTAATCAGTGTTAGAGCTATCATCGTATAGTATGGCGAGTATGAGCTTACATCGCCGCTTGTTGCGCCCACAACCGTCAAATGATGTCTGTCTACTAAGCAGTCAGCACATGCACACAATCCGGTTGTGCCAAGAACTGCTCCATCTATTAACCTACCTTTTCCTTCTTTGCCGTGGTTCTTTCGAACGAGAAAGTATTCAAAGAGATTGCCCAAAAATTGCAGTGCGCCTTGAAAAATGTCAGATCAATGATGTCACCCTATCCGCATTCGTGGAGCATACAGTCTTTGAAGGAGTAGCTTGGACCGTGGAACAGCTCAAGCAGATATAGATTGTTCTCTAGATGCACCAGCGGGGCAACATCTTTCGAGCGGAAGGTCGAATAGCTTCGATCGATGATGGCTTTCAGGTCGTCTGCGGGAATCTCGGATCGCGAAATGTAGAGGCTGAGAATCTCAAAGGCCAGCTCGGGGTAGGAGAGGTCTTTCCACTCGCGCTGAAGTCTGTCTTAGCCATTGGCCCACATAGAATTGCAGAATGCGACATGGAAAATCGGATTGTTGCGCACATACCCATTTGTCTGCGGATGGAATCTGATGCGGCAGGAAAAGACCCCCATCGGCTGCGAGTCCCTTGAGAACAACGGTCTCGAATGACAACTTCAAAGTGTTAGCATGCCATTGCGATTATTGCCTAGCAGAAAGAAGAATGGAACACCAACATCGTAGTCGCCACCTCTGGTAGAGAGATAGACTTGCGACTCGGTATGAGTCTTGTTCTCTGCGCCGTTGGCCATCTTTTCGCAACTTTTACAGCGTTGATGTTTGTCTGGAGATGCATCAATTGCCCCTCCGATCTGAGGTGGGTAGGTTTTGACGACAGCCCGGAGGATAAATCGGCCGGCCGAAACCGGATAGACTTTGAACAGTCACTGGCGCCAATAAAGCTTGCGCTATATTAAGCTTGCAGGCGCTATTTACAAGATTTACAGTGGAGGCATAAGGTTTTTGTCTCAGCTTCTATCTCATCTGTAGAAAAATATGAACAAGAGTTCCATGTATTCCGTGTTTTATCAATTCCGATGTCCATCTCTTCATGGCAGCTCTATCATATTCAGAGGTATTCCTGCAACTTCAATCTTGCGCTAGTTTATGAGTCTACCCCACAGCTACGCAATTTGCTCTGGGTTAGACCAATAAATACTCGGCAAAAGTAAAATAATTAAAATAAAAACAAGATAACATGCCCTTTCGTTATCCGGAAAGTCTTGACGGGCTGGCATCACTTATTTACATGTACGCGCCAACTTGCTCTATTCTAGCATTCGCCTAAATAACATTACTAATATATTGAAATAAAACAGTAAAGCAAGTAGAAAAATAAGAAAAAAGCAGACTTCAGACGATCGCTGTTTCCTATATATATATATATGTGTGTGTGTGTGTGTGTGTGTAGTGCCACATTACCGCAAAGAAATATAGTACATTCAAGAGTGGGCAGCCACTCCTGGTTTTCTTTAGAGGAATCAGTACGTGGAAGTTAGAACTACTAGTAGAGAGAACCATCAACTCATTCAAAAATCTTTCCGTTGTACTACACTCAAGCCCAGCAGTACCAGAATCGAACATTAATACATTGAAAACTCTATATCAACTAGCTATTTACACGTAAAAAAAGCAATAAAGTAGAAGATTTTGTAACCAGCTGTTTAAACTGGGTTTTAAGGTATCTGTCAAGATGGTTTATTGCAGGTTAGTTGATCAGGCTGAAGAAGAAGTATCCTATCAACTTATCGTGTGAAAGCTTGGCTACGACCATAAAAGTCGAATTGTAAAATTTAGGCGCTCAGATTTCAGGGAGAACCACCACAGCAGTAGCCGTGACCAGCTCCAAAGGCGCCCTGGAAGTCAATGTTGAAACATCCATCGCTAGTCACTCAGACAGAAGCGTTCCAGCTATAGTCACCATCGCTGGTATCAACGAAGCTATTTTCAGGTGAGCCATTTTTGCTGCTGGTATAAAAGATTGACCTCTAAGATTTTAAGATCCGATTCAAAGTGATGGCGATGGCTGTCTGTGGTGATTTACATTCTTTTACATGGAGACATGACGATCCTTATATAGCTGAACAGTTACGCTGAATAGCCTTCTTGAAAGACAATGCCACCTTCCTTTTCTATAGTATGCCATGTTATTCTGAGATTTACCCGCTTATGCGTGAGATTTAAGCTGATAGAGTTGTCTAGGCTTTGTTGTACAAGACCGAGAATGAAGTATTCTGCAAAGACATCAGACCAACACAAAAGTCTCGACGCATAAGCTGGACTGGAGCAAGCGCTAACTGTAACTGGTGAATTGCTTAACTGTCCGCTGCAGCAGGGGGTAAATCGCCCCTTGTAAAAAGGGTTTTAGTGTTACCCGCTCACACCAGTTTCAGCAGCTAAATGCATATACTTGTGCAAGCTTAACGTGAAACTGATAGCCATCTATGCTTTGGAAATACTATGAACAGGAGGTGTGGCCGGAAACTTGATACATTTCACGAGTGTACAAGGAGTCTACTTTCATCTAGCAAGTAGGAGGCCACTAGTTTTCGTTTTAACTAGGTAAACAATTGGCCCACTTACTTTAATTTGTTCCTGTATGGAATTGCAAGGTAATCAATCGGGATTTACCCTGCATGGCACTCAATGAGTAAGGAATTGGACGGAATGAATCAAATGAATCCATTCAAGTGTATTGTAGTAGTACTAATAAGCAGCCTAGATACATGTGATGACGTCTTCAGCCTTTGTAGCAATTAGGTATAGGTAGAGAATAACATAGCTGCAACTGGTTATCGCACAATTGACTGTTAGCTAAAACAAATATTGCGTGTGATATCTTCAGCTCCTCTCTGGCTATAATGCAACGTTGTTAAGAATGAGCAATGGTATAGATGCAGATTTTCGGAAACTTGTTGGAGGTTAATGTTAAGAGTCATCCTTGAAGTAACGTAATAAAATACAGGACACTAACAATTATGATATTATGCAGTAGAAGCCAAGGACTATGGCATAGAATAGTGACACATACTAGCTCTGCTGTTTACTACATTAGACGTTGTTTAAATGACTGCCGAGATCAATCCAACTCAGAGTCATGGCGCCTTGTACCTCGGCATAGACCGAAACGCCACGTTGAAATTACAGAAGCTCATTTGATTAAAAGAATGCATCCATATCAGATCATATTTGCAAGGAGTAAATGCTCCGCCCGCATGCAATAATACCTGCATTACCTACTGGCAGCCAACCAAAGCCGCCCTACCTCGGCTATTATTGTCGCCGCTGCAAAGCAGAGACAGCCCTACGGGCTGTGCAGGCTAGTAGTGACTATTAGGAGCAGATCTGCCATTGGGGGTGGCCAAACTGTAGCATCTGGTTAGACACACCGGCGCATTTCCTCCTCTTCTACGGAGCTTGCCGAGGAGGCGAAGAGAGCTGTTGTATGCAGCATTCGTCTGGCTACATGGGTGCACATTCTCCAGTATCCAACTTGGCCTTGCCTCCAACATGTACCATGATGCTTTGTCCTTGGTGACATAATTTTGCTCTGTTACATTTCCTATTGCAGCTCCGCCCGCCGTACAATTGGGCCATTGTCAGGTACTAAGGTATGCTTCAGTATATGGCTCCGCGGTAATAGTTTTCTACCTACACTATTGACTGCATAAGAATCGCCCAAAATGCAATTGTCCAAATTTTGCACCCCATTGCAATTATCGCCACTCTGTACCCCGGTTCTATCAGAAATCATCGTCCAAGCACCTCATTCGCTCCCAACAAGATTGCACTGTCCGAACATGTAGATCATCGCCCCCTTCGGCTCCGGCCCGGCCTTCTGGAACTTGTTCTCCAAGGGTCCGCCGCAAGCCCGCCACGCTGCATGCACTAATAAATGCTGTCGGTCACTAGGATGCTGTTTCTCCCTCAAAGTTATGGAGAAATCGAAGAATTGCATCCCACATTTTCGCCACATCTGCCGCCAAATTTGTCAACTTAGATGGGAACAGGGGCAGGACCTTTTCTATTAAAAGCATTGCTTTGTTTGGTATTTCACATAACGGAACAGGTACAATCACTTTTCTCCATCTGACCCCGGACAATTAGCCATGATATCGACTCGGACTGGCAGTCCTAATCAGAAAGCGCCTCGTTCACCAGCCTCTCAAACCTCTCAAACCTCTCAAACCTCTCGTGTCTCTCAAACCTCTCGAGTCTCTCAAGGCTCTCACGGCTCTCACGGCTCTCGAGGATCTCACGGCTCTCAAGGATCTCAAGGATCTCAAGGATCTCAAGGATCTCAAGGATCTCGCAACTCCCACCACTCCCATCACTCCCATCACTCCCACCACTCCCACCACTCTGAGCGCTCTCGCGCTCTTCGTCGTCGTTCCCGTCGTCGTCGTCGTCGCAGCCGTCACTCCTCCGCCACTCCAAAGCCTGATGCGCCTCGAGTCGTGCTCGGCCACGGCACCATCTCTCGTCTACCGACGGAGCTCAACAGGCTCTGCCTTTCCCACCCGCTCATCATCTACAGCCCGTCTCGCCTTTCGCTCGCGGATAGCATCCGCGCTCTGTTGCCCAATCTCGACGCCTACATCATTGACTCAGACACGCGCCCCGGCTCGGCCATGATGTTTGGCCGCGACTCTGTAATCAGCGTTGGAGGGCCCCGAGCCGTCGAGATGGCGAGACGAATCAGCTCCAAGATGAGCATTCCACACATTTGCATTCCGACGACGTATAGCGGTGCGGCTGGGGATCTTTCGCCGTGGAGAGACCAGCAGGTGGCTTCCGATAGCCCTACAAGTTTTGAAGAGGAGGAGGCGGAGGAGGGACAGGGGGACAGCGATGTCTGCGGTCATGGTAAGAACAAGATGCTGCCGACGGTGATTATATACGACGAACGATTCACGGAGAGCCGCACAAGGAGATTTTCTGCCCCATCAGGCGTCTTTGTCGACACTGACGGCGATGTCGATAATAAATCCGAGTCCGGTACTGGTGCAGCCTGCAACAATGCAGCTGTTGACATAGCAGACAAAAATACATCAGAACGGAGATCTGCCAAGAGCAGCACGGCTCAGTGGAGTTATATTCACCTGCCAGGCGTCTGAAGGACAACAACAATTGTGCGGATTTTCATTTTCTCAGCTTCATCAATAATCGAATGCACAAGGACGATACGGCAGGCTAAAGCCGGCAGCCTCTTGATCTGATCCATTTGGATCGGCGCCATGAGCTCTTCGCACGCGCATTTTATGAGACCATCAGATAATTGGCAAAAAGCGCAATGTAAGTCCACATCCCTTTCAGATTGAGTGGAACAAGTAGCAATAAAGAAAGAGCTAGGTGCGATTGGCGGTTCATCGCCATATAACGGCTGTTAAGTCAGCCGTATCAAAATCAGCTTAGATAGCAAAACGAAAAGACAGAGTAGATAAAGAAGACGAAACTTGACCTGTCCTCAAAATGCTCTTTGGCCATGCGAATGCCCTCATTAATAAAACTTTATCTATGTGTTCAGTTGCCTGCTTCTTGAACACCTCCATAGTATCTCAAACAGAGGTATCACGAACCTCTTGTACATCACAAGTCTCTGGTATATCCTCGCTAGCAGTAACATACCTGCTCTTAATCCAAACCGTCAAAACCCATAATTCCATGGGCGCCCATCGGACCTAGTTTGTGTTGCTGCATTTCTTTTCGTCTCTTAGCCCGTTGCTTCATCTCCTCAACCCCGTCGTCGCTATCGTCGTCGCTGTCGCTTTCAGCAGCCCGCTTGCCATTTGCTGCCTTTTCATCATCCGAATCATCCTCGTCGTCATCATCATCATCATCATTCTCGCTATCGCTCTGGTCGCCTTGAAGTTCGGATAATTCCTCCCAGACTTTGACTGTTCGACCACCAGCACTGATCAGACGGTTCTCCGAGTCGAATGCCAGCGATACCACGCCCTCCATGTCGTCGTGCCGCAGATTGATCGACGTATTCACCTCTCTCCGTACCAGATCGACGATTCTCAGGCTACCATCGCCAACGCCGCAGACAACCTTCTTGCCCACTCCCAGTTCTTTAGGTATCAGCGCAATTGCGTCTATGCTGTCTCCGCCGGCCTTTGGCGGATCTACAATGATGCGCTCTTGCTGGTCATCCCAAGCCCCTTTGTCCCACATGGTCAATACGCCGGATCCGGACCCAACAACGACAACGCCATTGTTTCGATTCTTCTTGGGTCCCAGACCAGGCACGAAGCAAGAGCTTAGAAGCTCATCTTCTTGATCTTCGCTTCGCACCAAGACTCCTCGTCGTACGTCCGTAACAGCCAAAGTTGTTCCTCCCGTGCTGACCCATTGCTTGGGGAAGCCGCTGGTGCTTTCTTCTGATGGCGGGAGTGGCATGATGGACGAGACGTAGTCGGAATGAGGGTAATGTGTTTGCGCCGGCTTTTTACCCACAGCGCCATCACGTAAGTCTATGATATGTAGAGCACCAGTATCGGTCGCCAGAAGGAGATTCATTGGGTTGAGCACGTGGAGCAGCGCTGGGCCATCAGGCTTGGAGGTGTTCGTCGGGATCGCAAGCTTCGAGATCACACGGCCTGTTTCGGTGTCGTAGTGCTTGATCATCGCATCCGTGCCAGCAGAATATTGGTCTATGAAGTTGAGCTGTTAGTAACGGCGAGGCCACATAGCAGTAAGAGGCAAATGGGCTTTCAAGAGCCAAGAGAGCACCCACATTGTCCATCATGGGAATTGGCTAGACAGCGACAGCTTCCCTTGTGTCTCTTGGTGCGCCAGACCGAGTCAATTGTCGATCTCCCATCGCTCAGCACGCTCGCGTCTCCGTCAACGCTATCATCCGAAGAGTTACCCGGGGGCAATCGAAAAGTTTCGACAACGCCATTGGACAGTCCAACGCTCAGCAGAGGTGCTGTTGGGTGCAGCGCAGTGGTGAAGATATCCGCGTGAAGCGGAAGCGTGCAGGTGTTTTCAAACATGGTTCGTCTGGGCGAGGTCGATTCGATTCAGCGACGCAGTTGCGGTAATGAGCGCAAAAGAATTGGCAATTTGGCTGCGGATTTTAAGTGATGGTTTTGTACAAAATGTTTGCATCGTTCACCAAGCCGAGCAGAGGATAATCATCGCAAGTTCTCGTCACTTTATTCTTTGATCAGCTGATGCTCTGTTCGAGATTCTACAGCCCAAGAAAAAAAAAAGTTACGCACTGATAGATTAGATAACCGTATCGATTGAGCTTATGCACTGTGCACCGTACGCATCAGTACATGTACTGTACGCATGGCTCTGTCCCACAGCGATTACTTGCCCTCTTCGTCTACGCCAGACAATAGATTCAGCTCGAATAATGAAGCCGATTGGTCACTGATTAACTTGGTGTATCTACTGGGTAGCAAAGGACCGATCTTCACCTCGCATGACCGTTGAATGTGGCGCAATTCTAGTACTTGAATGGCCTGGCCAAGCTTATAGAACAATCGAGACGAATTGAACACCACTATCAAAATCCAAATTATGCGGTTTTCAATCATACATGTGGCTTTATGGCTGGCCATGGCGGCCGGTTCATTTACAGCTAACGCTTACGGAGCTGTTCGATGCGTCATGTATCTCACAGGGTGAGCTTCTAGTTCGGCCTGATCTCTACCTGGTTTACGGAATGGCTAACACTTTCGTAGGCAACACGTGGTAGTCCCTTCAGAACCTCATCTCGTGGATTCCATAACCCATTTGATACTGGCTTTTATGCGCTCTGATGTCTTCAATGTGGACAAAACGCCTGCTGAATTCCCGCTCTTCGCATCAGTTGCTGAGACGCGCGAGAAGTTCAACGCAAATACCAAGATCATGGTCGCAATCGGCGGTTGGGGAGACGCAGGATTTGAAGAAGCTGCGCGTGACGATTCATCGAGAAAGCGGTGGGCTGGCCACGTCAAGGCCATGGTTGACCAGACAGGAGCCGATGGCATTGACATTGACTGGGAATATCCGGGGTAAGTGAATGGTTAACCACAGCACCTACTTCAGAGCAATGGTTGTCTAACATTATTTGTAGAGGGAACCGTGACGATTATAAACTCATTCCGAACTCTCAGCGGGAATGGGAGATTCAGGCATTCGTGCTCCTTCTTCAAGAATTGCGTTCCGCCTTGGGACAAACGAAACTGCTCTCAATTGCGGTGCCAGCGCTGGAACGAGATTTGATGGCCTTCACAAACTCGACTATTCCGTCCATTGTGGATCAAGTTGACTTTATCAGTGTAATGACTTACGACATGATGAACCGACGCGACAACGTTGTCAAGCACCACAGCGGCGTGGCTGACTCCTGGGAAGCAATGAAGCGATATATAGATCGCGGCGTCCCTCCGCACAAGCTGAACTTTGGACTTGGTTACTATGCCAAATGGTTCATGACTGAACAATGCGATGTACAGCACCCATTAGGATGCCGCACTCAACTGCTAGAAGACCCCGCCAATGGAGCCGATCTTGGCAAGACTGCAGCTTTTAGCTGGCACGACGAGGTTCCCGCAGAAATGGCCAATTCCTTTGGCAAAGCCCATGCTCATGGCCGCTACTATGAAGATGGAAGCTACGGCTATTGGGACGATGAAGAGAAGAGATGGTGGTCCTACGACACGCCTCTCACCATCAAAGCCAAAGTGCCTCGGCTTCTCGGCGAGCTGCAGCTGGGCGGGGTGTTTGCCTGGGGGCTGGGCGAGGACGCTCCGCAGTTTCTGCACCTGAAGGCGACTGTTGACGGCATTCGGGTTCTGCGCGGAGATGACGATGCTGTGAAGGATGAGCTGTAACAAGCAGCGGCGTGTGTACGTCTGGAGTTTGGCGACATCATTGAAGGCGTGGGATGCAATTCAAGCCATTGATACTGCAGATAAGTTGAAGCAGCAACAGCCAAAACTCTGCACGTGGCCCGAGACTTCCGTCTTATAGCAGGGAACAGACAGGATGGTGCTGACGGAATATGCAGAGCTCGAGCTCAACCGGTAGGCTAGCTTGAAAACCCCATGAGCTAGCAGTTAACCTTGCAGTTAAGGGTAACCAGAGCTTAAACACGCTGATTTGGTGCAATGAATACAGGCTGCAAATCAAGCGAATCAAAGACCCAAGTCTAACCACGCAGTCATTATGACAGCTGTTTGTGGGGAGATATCGTGGGGGCCTGGCCCTTTTCCCCTGAGCCCATCAATGCTCTTTTCGCCGATACCCCATATAATGAAGCCATCTCCACTTCCGGTGCCATTACGCAGCTGTCAGACACAACGCAGCTCCTGAATATCCTCTTGGCTGTGTTGTTTTCCCTTTTCTCGGCACAGAAGCCCGTAAAAGAGACGCCCACTTATACATTCCCAGATCCCACGTGTAGAGAAGCGCATAGCGTTAGATTCCCAACCTTGATTCAGAATCATGAGATGTATAATTGCCCAACGTATACGGCACCCGGAAGAGGTCCGAGTCTTACCCATTTATTCTAAATCATAGCAAGTCCATATGATAGGCATGCAACTAATCTGTTATTCGAGATCCTTGTAATATTACTCAATTGGATCTCTGCTAGAGCCTTGGCTTCATGGTTTTATCCACCGCTGCATACCATTGTATCCGCTCGCCGTGCAGATTTCTGACCGATTCGAAAAGATGCGGTTTTGCCTGGACTATATGAAGGGCTCTGATTCCTCCTTTGCCGGTTTGTTCATGGCTTCAGCAGCAATTACTTGGTTATTCGACAAGGTATCTGTTAGAGTAAAATAACCATCGTTGTCATTCAGCCCACTTTGGTCCGCTCTCCATCCCAATTCAAGATGCACTTCACGGCCTCTCTCGCTGCCGCCGTTGGCTTTACAGCCATTGACCATGTCCTGGCCAAGCCGTTCCCTGCTCCCGCCGATAACCTCAGGCCCATCACGCAGATCGAGCTCGGCCCGCGGCCCTACTACCTCGTCGACAACATGGACGACGGCCCCCTCAAGAGCAAGCTGGAATCCTGCCAAAACATGAAAATGAGGCCCTCGTCCTTCTCCATCGCTCACCGCGGCGGTGGCCCCCTCCAGTTCCCCGAGCACTCCAAAGAGTCCAACCTCGCCGGAGCCAGAATGGGCGCCGGCATCCTCGAATGCGACGTCGCATTCACCAAAGACCTCGAGCTCGTGTGCCGCCACAGCCAATGCGACCTGCACACCACCACCAACATCGTCAACATCCCAGAATTAAACGCAAAGTGCTCCACGCCCTTTCAAGCAGCAGCAAATGGCAAACCAGCGAATGCGAAATGCTGCACCAGCGACATCACCCTCGCCGAGTTCAAGTCCCTGTGCGGCAAGATGGACGGCTTCAATGCCAGCGCCACTACCCCTGAAGACTACCTCCACGGCACCCTCAGCTGGAGAACTGATCTTTACAGCACCTGCGGCACTACGCTCTCGCTAAAAGAGCATATCGCCATGACCAAGGCTCTGGGCCTGCAGTTCACACCAGAGCTCAAGACGCCGCAGGTGACCATGCCGTTCCATGGCAACTACACACAGCAAGACTACGCCCAGCAATTCATCGACACCTTCAAAAAAGCCGGCATCCCACCATCCCGCGTCTGGCCTCAGAGCTTCCTCTACGACGATCTGCTCTACTGGCTGAAAGCAGAGCCCCAATTCGCCAAACAAGCAATGTATCTCGACGAAAACGCCGACGTCGCCGGCATCCAGGCAGCCACCCACAACCTCACGCGCTACAAGGCCGACGGCATCAAAATCGTCGCTCCTCCGCTGTCCTATCTCGTAAGCAGCCAGGACGGCAAGATTGTCCCCAGCGAATATGCCAAGAGGGCGAACACGCTGGGCCTCAAGATCATCACTTGGAGCTTGGAGCGTTCGGGCCCCATTGCCGGCGTGCACGCCAATGGCGATTACTACTACTCTTCCATTCAGGACGTCGTGAAGAAGGATGGCGATATATACAACTTGGTTGATGTGCTGGCGCGACAGGTTGGTGTCTTGGGCATGTTTTCTGATTGGAGCGCCACGGTGACTTATTACGCCAATTGCTTTGGCCTTGGAGTATAGACTGGATTGGTTATAGATGTACGGATAGAAGGAAGAAGTCTATATGTTTGTTCATATAAGAAGTGGCGAAAATGGAATAAAGTCAATATTAGAGCTGTTTAGAATAGAAATAGAAAAGAAATAACATAATTACAGACGACAGCCTCGTAGGCTCTCACATCTCCGAATGCTGATTAGCATCTTAGAGCTTGTTGCTTCGCACAATAGTAACATTGGCGAAGTTGTGAGGAATAGCCTGTAGAGGCTGCTTCTTTCCATCAAAGAGGAGATCAAAGTATGCCGTCAAGATTCCATTCAGATCCTTGTCCAATTGATGCGGGTCAATGCTCCCCAACACCCCCTGAAGGGCCTCCTTGACTTCAGCAGTAAAGTTCATCGTGCTAAGAAGCATCAAGTCATCCTTGAAAGCACCGTGCTGCGTGTTGGCAATAGCAATCTCCATGCTTTTGCCCTTGAGATGAGGCCAAAACTGGTTCCACGAGGGGTCTTCGGCATCGTGGCCCTTGCGGCCGGCCAGGATGAAAGGCTTGGTGATGTCGGTGCTTAGGATGGGGTCGACCAGCATGCCGTCGAGATCGAGGCCGCCGACAACTCGCTTGTCGGAGTGGATGACGGCGGCAGCGGTGGCGCCGCCAAAGGAGTGGCCCCAGATGGCAAGCTGCTTGTAGTTTATTTTGCCGGGAAAGTCTGCGAGAAGAGGCTTCATGATCTTTGGGTCCTCGAGTTGGCTGATGATGAAACGAATATCGTCATTGCGCACCTGCTACTGTTAGATGTTTCATTTCTTTCTATAAGGGTAAAGAGCACATACCTTGAGAACTTTCTGAAGGACCGAAAGATTGGAGTCGTCGAGGTCAGCTCCCTCAATGACTGTTCCGTCAGGGAACTGCACTGCAGGGGCATCAAAGGGGTGGTCGACAGAGACAACGACATAGCCATGGCTGGCCAGAGATCGAGCCATGGCACTGTAAACGAGCCTCGACTCTCCAAATCCGGGGTCAAAGAAGATGAAAGGGTATTCCTTGTTCTTATTGGAAGCTTGGCCGCAAGGAGAGAGCTTTTTTAGATTACAAAATTCCATCTGGAATTCATTGTACAACGTATCAGGAAGACCAAACTGAGCGGCCTGCTGTCCGTAAGAGGCTGCCACGGGCGGAGTCATGTATGGCACTGTCATGGTAGGACATGACCGTCTTGATGTATCGACTGGCAGGTACAGAGAGACCAAAAGGCGGCGGGATTTGCTTTTGCCTGTAGGATCCAAAGGATCGGCGCGGCTCGTGTCAGTCAGAGGCTGCTCCTTCATGGCCACGGCATAGGGGCCAGTAGGGCCGGGAACAAGCACAGCTCCCGAGATGGAGAAGAACAGGGAAATTGGAGTGACAAAACGCATCGTGCTGGCGTCGGAGGTGTGTATTAGTCAAGTATAGTTGAAAGCGAGCGAGGCTTCTTAATTGTGAAGAGATAAGGTGAGTTGAATTCGTAAATAAAGACTTTGGACGGCAGAGGGTGACCATCCGTAATTTATATATCTATCTCTCGACCTCTTCTCATCCTCTAGAGATACATGACGGCTTCGTCCCACAGCCAAGCCGTATAAGTCTTCAAGAGCCATTCCCAAATAGTATACAATGCCACGAGGGCCACGAGGGCCAACTAGCCAGCTTTGCAAGGCCATTGGTCGAGAGTGCAAGGCTCGACTCCTCTTTGCAGCTGCGCAGGATTCTTTGGATGCCGTTTGACAAGGCGCAGCTGCGAACCGAATCTGCAATTGCGAATGCCACACTTGCGTAGCCGCAGTAGGCATGGCGTCGCGACATGATTTCCATTTTGGGCAAAGCATGATGATGTCGGCAGATCCGCACTAGCAGGATGGAGTCCAAGTAGGGAGGTTTATGCACACACACGCTATTCGGAGGCCTGGTCTGCGTTAAAGCAGATACCCCCACTAGCGGAAGGACGACCAGCCAGCCAATCGAGTAGTAGATGATAAGTAGGTAGGCAGTAAATGATATTCCAGCCCAGCTGTCCGTGTTAGATTGCTTCCTCAGATGCCTTCAACATTGCGCCCAGACACTGTGGTTCTTGGAGCTCCGGTTCAATTCTTCTTGGGCTTGTGGTTATTGATAAAGGCCTCGGTGTTGGCATAGAATTGGCCTTCACGCAGTTTACGTTGGATAAAGAAGATGTCGGCCTCAGTGATGCTGACGGTGGGGCGTTCGCCGCATATTTCACGAGCAATGCTACTCGTCGTGGCTCCCTCGGCCTGCAGCCGCGTCTCAACCAGCGAGAACAGATCCTGGATGCCAAAGGGCCGCGGCACCTTGTTCTGCAGCTCCTCCATCTCGGCGGGCTCGTGGTTGTGCTGGCACGACCGCGCAGAGATGATGTAGTCGGCCATGCGCGTGCGGCGCGCGACGATGAAGAAGAACGGACAGTCGGTCTTTCGGGTCGAGGTGATGTATTTGTTGCGGCTCAGGTGATACTGGCGATAGATGCCGCTGTGCCGACACCGCACTTCGCCGCGCACCACGACGCCATTGCGGCGGTTGACCCGCTCCTTGATGGTGATGAAGCCCTGCGAGTACTCGACCCTCTGGATGGCGTCGTAGGCCTCTTCGAACGAGAGAAACGTCTGCCCGATGAGGGAGGCCATGGCAGCTACGATGACGATGTGGGAGGAGAAGAAGAAGAAGCGGTGGGCAGGGCAGATGCGGCGGCAAAGGCAGAAGCAGAGACAGACGCTGGGGAAGCGAGAAATTGGCCCAAGCCGGCGAGGACAATGCGGAGACTGGAAAGGCGTGGAGTCGACGCGATTTCTTGTTTACGAAGCGATTTGCAGCAGATAACGCCACGTGATGAAGCTGTGCGGAGGAGGACGTCTAGAAGTTGGGAAGGGTGGGGTACAAGGCCGCATGCGGTTAGCGGTGCTTGAGATTGTGTGCGCGTGCGCTAGTGAGAGATGACTAATCGTCGTCTGCACATACAAGGAAAGCTGTTGATACCATAAGTATTGGTAGATTGGTTATTGGCATTTTCTGATAATTTTACCAAGGAACCTAGATGCAATATAACTCATTTATGGGTGAAACAAAACATGCTAAAATATAGACTGACAGTCTTGTTGAGCTACAGCTAGGTTGGTGAATAACGTTTCTCTTCAATTAATTACAGCCAGTTGCCGCAGGCGCCTACCCGGTAATATCTGCCACCATTCCGCAGTCATGCTAGTATTCAGCTCTTGCAAACAGATCAATGTTTTAGCAACAGCAAGTGCTGCCTTGATAACCATCAACGTAAATTAATTGGTTAGGGTGCGCCGGTACGCAATATATTCTTGTGCGGCGCACTTCAAACCTCAAAGCGTCTCGCCGAGAAGACGCTGACTCATACCTTGGCAGTCGCTAAATGTGCTTACCATAACGCTTTAAACGCTCCACTGCAGACTGAAGAGCGGATTAACTCCAGCTCTTACACTCAATCCAGCACCAAACCCCATTGACCTGTATCTTGGGCAAATTCGTACATGCAGGTTGCCATTCTACGTGTCTACCCTGACTGTCCTTCATTACTCGTATTATTCAGCGTCAAATGGCTAGATCATCACCAACAACATAGCAGCTAGCTTTCATCTCCTGCGTTCAGCTAGTATATAAATACTTCAACAGTCCAACATGTTTGTTGGCCCCTTTGACGGCCGCAAGAAGCGTTCGCGTTGCCAAGCATGCTCCACGAGCCACTTAAAGGTGACATACACCTCTTACTCTTTGATCTGAGTATCTTATTTACATTTGTGCACATCAGTGTTCTGGCCAATTTCCTTGTACCAATTGTGAGCGCCGGCATATAACCTGCATATTTGGGCCCACTACTCCAAGGAAAAGCTCCAACATCATCTTGGTTGAAAGAGGCCTGCAAAAGACCCCTGCTACCTTCAAGCTCCATGTTGGAACAGGAAAGAAGCAGTCTCCTTCTAGCAGCGCGAGTTCATTAGTTTCTTCTCCATCGAGGCTTGCAGACAATGCCCTGTCGTATCTTTACTATTTTGATGTTTTTGCCAAGCGGAATAACTTTACGGGAAAACAACACCTATTTGCTGACGAGGTGAAGCAACTCTCCGGCCTTCATTCCCACCCATATCTCATGGATGCCATGCTATCTATTGGCGCCATACAAGCAGTCAAATTAAATGCTCCCGACGTCCCTCCGCGAAATGAATGCTTGACGACTGCCCTTGAACACTACTCGAAATCCATAATTGGGCTGCGTGATGCTATCAACAGTCCTCGTAAACGGGATGATAGCCGACAGAACACGGTGCTTTGGACAACGCTCCTACTTGGCTTATTTGAAGTATGAATATACTTGTTTAGCGTCTTTCAATTTGCTTTTATAAAGAACTAACATTGGCCAGCTAATAAATGACGAGACCGGCAATGGTTGGCAGCAGCACATGACCCATGGAACGGCAAAGGCTCTTGAAGCCAGCGGTCCGATAACTTGCCGTGCAGGCCCAAGCCGAAAATTCTTTGTTCAAGCGCGCATTTTCGAAGTATCACGTACCATTCTCGAAAACGAATCGACATTCCTCACACAGCCCGAATGGATGGACCTGTCTCGGCAGATGTGGACTGGCGAGCATGGGGATGAGTGGCACCCCTTGGACTCTTTGCTGGATATCATGGTTACGGTATCTAAGCTACGAGTTCGGTGAGTAATGCCTCTTGGCATATTGAGCGTATTTATTTTTGAACTCACAACCCTTAGGACGGCAAAATTTATCGAGATGCAAGACGAATGCGCCAACGAGGAACTCGCTCCAAGAGGCACATCTATATGCTCCGACGCCTGTACGCTGAAAGAAGCTTTGGGAAGTTGGTACGCATCATATGTACAGCCCAAAAATAAATTGGCTACCTGCAACATGGCCGAAGAAAACGATGGCATGCTACTCGCGAGGGTATTCTTCGCCGCCATCAGTATCTATCTGTCAGGCATATTTGACTATGAAATCACCAATTGGCATAACATTGGTCTCATACCGCCGACCCTGGATGAAGAAACAGTCCAAATGCATACAAACACGATACTTGGGCTTTCTAATGTTGCTCTTGATACTACAAACCTCTCGCCGCTGCTGTTCTTGTTTCCACTACGGATAGCAGGAGCTAGATCTAGAACACGCTGGCAGCGAGACTGGGTAGCGAAGTTGGTAACTAGGATTGGCAATGGATTTGCTGTGGCAGCTGCTATTTCAACGGAATTGAGCCACGTTTGGGAAATGTTTAGTCTTGCCGAGACACACGATAAACCTGAAGAATTGGAGATGACATACGATAATGTATTTTGAGGTAGTCAACTGGTGTTTCAAAAGATGATGACGGAATATACCCGACCTAGAGATGCTCTTACAACTAGCGGCATGAGATATGGGCATAATCTTGGCATTTGGCTTTTCTTAGTTAAATAGATATAGACGCTTCACGACCCATAATCGGATGTTTTTTGCAAGCAGATAGTATTCTGAACAAAAATCTGCATGCTTTGCTGAAAATATTTTGAGCAGCCACCTAGATCTGGAGATGTTCTTGATTATCCTGACGGTAGCCATATAGAGTCACCACTGCTTAGTGAAGATTGCCATCCCATCATCTGCCTGCCCCTCGCAAAGCCTACACCTGCACCTAAACCCATAACACAAATATAGGGCCAGTCGGCTCAGATTCTTCCCATATGAAATCGTGAGTTCTTGCCCAGCAGCAATATCTTCGCGTACCATCATAACAAGATTGTTGTCCTGGTCCACTTGGTAATCAACATTGTTTTCGGGCCAGCAAGTATGGTTGAATCGAGCAGCAATTGGGTACAAGCCAGCTGTTTGGCTACCGACAGAAAAGCTGTATCCTCTTCATCAACAATCTGGACATTCTCGAATATTCGGTAAAGAGAGATGGTGATGGGAATTTACCAATTGGTATGCCAGATTCCGAGGATTATGGGCGTGCCTCCCTTTATATACTCATGCGAATGGAGGCTCAGGGCAATATTCATATCGTTGCTGTCAAGATTGTAGAATTCGTCAAACAGATCCTCGTTTGTGGCCACGAAGAGGGGAATTTCTCTCAAAATGACATCTCCCTTTGCAAGATCTTTTGCCGCGAATGCGCCCCAGCCAGCAACGGCAGACTTGTCAACTCTGAAGAAGTCGTTTTTGAACTCTGCAGCAGGCGAATCTTTGCGCGTGAGATGGTTGTCTGGATTATCGAGCGATGTATTGTTTATTTCCTCTGCAGGCGGTGACGCTTCGTCAATCTTTGGTGTATCTGAGGTAGCTGAGAAGCAAGGTGTGTCTGAGATAGCTGAGAGGCAAGGCGTTTCTGAGATAACTGAGAGGCAAGATGTGTCTGACATGACTGAGAGGCAGTCCATGGCTTGGCTTGGCAAATATAAGGCGCGTCGAGTTTCCTGAAAAGACTGAGATTAAAATGACATGGTATTAAATTTGTAGATAAGATGAATATGTAATTGGAATTGAATGGAGTAGAAGAATGAATTAGAAGAAGATTAGAATAGAGTAGAAAGAGAAAGGGAAGCAAGAGAAGGCCATGTAAAATAGATCTCTGGGCGGTCAAGGCGGCAGAAAAAGGTAGTACAAAGGCCTATTCGATGCAAACATGGAAAAGTCAAAGCGAGGTGAATAGACGAAAGTGAAACCGCCAAAGTGAGAGGAGTATAAATCTCTTTTCACGTTCTGCAGAGCATTGATGCTATTCTCCAGAGTTGGATAATCTCCAACAATGTGTAAGCCATGAGACGCCTTGACAAGCCGATTGGAGAATCAGAGAAGCCAAAGTCCTCGGACTTAACCATATCTCTCCTGAACAAGAGATACTCTATTACACTATACAAAATCATGTGCTGCTTGTTCAAGTATAATAAAGGGACATTAGAGTCTAGTAATAACTCTTACTGCTCCCAAACCATGGCCCCGTAATAACGAGACTCTTGATGGACCCACTTGGACCATCTTGCGCAACTCGATCGTGACAATAGAGCAGCATCCGAGAATGTTATATAAAATAGTATTTTGTAATGTAAATAGCTTCCTAGGTAGCTATACACCAAGATTGAGAGATGCCAATAAGCAACAGTCAGCCGCGGAGACTGCCGGTCTTTTATCGTACATGTCGGCCACCTGCTATCTGCTATCAGCGACCTGAACCCCATGCAATCCGCAATCAAGCCCCCCCGCAAGACTAGACTTATCTCTACGGAGTATACCTGGAGATGGAGCCGTAATCCCTGCGACGTCCCCCACAGGCCCATGATCTCTTATTCAAAGACGATTCGATGGATGCGACGCCCGTGCGGGTGGCATCACCACTGACGCAAAGTCCTTCCCTACGGGCTGCATCCAAGACAACTGCGGCGGCCGCCGACGAGGCGAGCGATGGAATCTGCTGTACGGGCATCAATGCACTAATACCCCAGACTGGCGACGCAAGACGCTCGTCCGAATAGCCGGCCGGGCAATATCTGCTGCAGATGCTCCGCATGGGACGCTGATCCTAGCGTCATGCCCTTTATCTTCAGCAGTGTCTATCCTTTTTCTTGTTTTCTCTATTTCCCTTTGGCAGCGCCGATTTCGCATTCGCAATCTTTGGGATGAGTACCTATGCTGTTCCTTATAGGACAATACTGTGACATTGCCTCATTTCACTTTCGGCAACATTCTCCGACATCACCAGATACAAGGATAAAAAAAACATGCAAGAATAATAGCCATCTCTTTTCTCCGATAACCTGGCAGCAGCTAGTCCAGGCATTAACCGTTCCATCCACTCCTCGCAATACCGGCAAAAGATAAGCCAAAACAGCGCAAGGGCCCATCCCTCCATCCCACACACCATCAGCCAACCGCTGTCACAAAAAAAGAAGGGCGCATTGATTGAATCGTATTATCACTTACTACTATTAAATACGAATGCTACGCACGCCCCCTTGCGATTGCTTATCGCATCTCGAAAAAAAAAAGTGGAAAAAAAGATGGGAAAAATCCAGTGTATATATCGCCCATGATCGGTCATTTATCTATTTCCTCTCCCCTCTCTCCAGGGGGTTTAATTCGATTGACGGGAGTCCAACGTAACGCTCGCATGCAGCTTTTTGACGTAGTGTGACCTAAATTCTTCTCTTTTTCATCCCATCACTTCTCTTTCATCCATCTCGGTATTAGATGAGAAGTGTGACCTGATCCCCAATTGCTCATGACGAGCATAGAGCCACTTGATCACCAACTGCCGAGACAGAATCACAACCCGCACTCTCAACATCTCATCTCACCTCACATCGTCTAATATAATCCGTTTAAAAACCAAAAGACCTCGTCTCTTCCATCACCATGGACGAAGGCACCGGCCCTTCAACCCTCACCCCCGAAACGGCCCCCCGCCGCTCCCTCTCCCGCCGTCTTCGCTCCCTCCGCCGCGCCTTCACAACCCGCCAAGGCCTCCTCGGCGACTACGACTATGGCTTCCTCTTCCGGCCCAATATCCCCTTTCTACCAAAACCTCAAGGATCAGCAAGGAGAAAATCCCCCTTCTTCGGCCTCAATGACCGCATGCCCGTGTTTCTCGGCCTGTTGCTGGGACTGCAGCATGCGCTGGCCATGTTGGCCGGCATCATCACGCCGCCGTTGATTCTCGCGGGATCGGGCGGCGTCAATCTGCCCGTCGAGCAGCAGCAGTATCTCGTTTCGACGGCGTTGATCGTGTCGGGCATTTTGTCGAGTATACAGATTACACGATTCCACATCTATAAGACTCCGTAAGTTGTTTGTATAACAAATCTAATTTCACAGTCCATGAATCTCATCATGGGTAATGAAACAGTTATTACATCGGAACGGGCCTCATTTCCGTCGTTGGCATCAGCTTCAGCATCATCCCCGTCGCCCAAGGCGCCATCTCCCAAATGTACGCCAACGGCTTCTGTCCTTCTGACGCCGCCGGCAACCCTCTGCCCTGTCCTCGAGGATACGGCGCTCTGCTGGGAACCTGTGCAGTCTGCGCCCTGCTCGAAATCCTGCTGTCCTTCATCCCGCCTCGAATCCTGCTCCGCATGTTCCCTCCCATCGTTACGGGCCCGACCGTCATGCTCATCGGCATCAATCTCATCGAGAGCGGTTTCCAGGACTGGATGGGAGGAAGCGGCTGTACCACCCAGAGCCTGTGTCCCAGCCCCGGAGCACCACACGCCCTGCCCTGGGGCTCGGCCGAGTTTCTTGGCCTGGGCTTCAGCGTCTTCGTCACAATCATCCTGTGTGAGCGCTTCGGCTCGCCCATCATGAAGTCCACCTCTGTAATCATCGGCCTGCTGGTGGGCTGCATCATCGCCGCGGCCTGCGGCTACTTTGACCGATCCGGCATCGACTCTGCCCCCGTCGCCTCCTTCATCTGGGTACACACCTTCCCCCTGACCGTCTACGGCCCGTTGGTGCTGCCCGTCCTGGCCGTCTTCATCGTGTGCCTGACCGAGTCCATCGGCGACATCACCGCCACCTGCGACGTCTCCCACCTCGAAGTCGACGGCATCATATTCGAGTCCCGCGTCCAGGGAGGCGTCCTGGCCGATGGCCTCAACGGCTGTCTCGCCGCCCTCATGACCATAACGCCCATGAGCACCTTTGCGCAGAACAACGGCGTCATCGCCCTCACCCGCTGCGCCAACCGCAGAGCCGGCTATGCCTGCTGCTTCTTCCTCCTCGTCATGGGCATCTTTGCAAAGTTCGCCGCTGCCCTCGTCGCCATCCCCTCATCCGTCCTGGGCGGCATGACCACGTTCCTCTTTTGCTCAGTGGCCGTCTCTGGCATCGCAATCGTATCGCGAGGCGTGCCCTTTACTCGCCGGAACCGCTTCATCCTCACCGCCGGTCTGGCCCTCGGTTACGGCGCAACCTTGGTGCCGACGTATTTCAGCCACGTCTTTACTTATTCGGGCGGAAACAAGTCGCTCCAGGGCTTTCTCGATGCCATTGTTCTCGTGATGGAGACTGGCTTTGCCGTTACGGCTGCCATGTGCATGATTCTAAACTTGATTCTCGAGGAAGAGATGGAAGACGACATTGATGCGGACGGAGACGACGATGATATTGGCCTTGATGTTGTTCGCAGCACTGGCCCTTTCCCTGCTAAAAAGTATGAGCAGAATAATGACAGTGATGAGATTCAAGACATAGGAGAGGGCGGCTCCAGTATTAGAGGAGGAGAGAAACAAGCCTGAATATACCCCTAGTTATTTGAAATACAAGATTTATCAAGGAGAGAATAAGAGACAGAAGAGAAAGAAGCTTGATACATAAAATTAGCTACATTTGTGGTGTATTACGGATACCCCAACTCACAATCACCACATATCACGAGATCATGAAGAAACAAATAGTTCCAGTGCTATTATGTGCAAATAAATATAATATATGTATATATATAGAGAGATGTTTCACCTCACCATCAGAATCGTTTGATCAACTATCGGGGTATGTCTGTCTGCCTTTTCTTGCCTGCGAATCCAAGCCAGCTCCCATCGCCGCACCTCTTCTCAAACCCAAGTAATCAATGAATTTTGAATAATTTTTACCGAAATATGCGCCGCGCTCCCTTCTCTTCTCTTCCTCCCCTCCACCTTCATTTTCGTAACCCATATGAATCCTAATACCCGTAGAAAGAAGAGAAAAGCAAAGCAATGATCTACCTATGTGAAAAAAAGTGAAAAAAAAGGGGGCAAGGAAAATCCTTGGCACCAAACCTGGAGCACCAACTTGAAGAAGAATGGTAAATAATAGACAAAAAAAAAAAAGAAGCCCGAACCATGCATCCCTAGCACATTCCTTTATTTCCAATATAGGGAACTTGATATCCCGCTGTTAACCGTCCAAAAAGAGCGACAAAGGCGGGAACAAGGGGTAGGATAAGAGATACCCAATCGTCCGCGCCAGAATTTCAAAAAGTGAAGCCGATTTAGATGGCTCATTATTAATTAAATTCTTTGGCTTTTCGTGCCAACACTCGCACGTTGTCCACAAATCCTTCCACAAACTCTTGGTATCTATGAGGCGCTCCACTCAGGGCTTTCCGCCCCTGGTCAATGAGCACCTGAGGGTTCATCTCGATTTCGAGCTCGTGCTCTTTGTCCATGCGCTGTGAGTTCTGTACACAGGATGTTAGCTTATCAGAAAAAAAAAGAGAGCATAAAAATAACGTACCCCTGGGCCATTCACAGCGTGGGTGACTTGTGTGAGGTCGACTTGATAGCTCCCGTGTGTGTAGCTCAATCGGTCTTTACTGCGATCTGGCTGCTGGTTTGCCTTGTTGGCGGACATCTGCTCCAGCTCCTCCACCGATCCATCCCAGTTTGCTTCGAGGTTGATGCTTATGCGACAGTCCATGGGACACATGGGCATGTGCAGGTCAATGTCTGCAACGCGCGCCTTGATGATTTTATTCAACACTTCATTGGTCTTTTGGTCATATGTTACTCGCACTCGCACGTTTCGGCTACGATGGCCAAGACGGGCTCGCACGCATCCTGGGAGATGGCCCTGCATTTCTTGCGGCAGCTCAAAAAAGCGATCCCTCTCTCTTCTGTGCTTGTATATCACGGGAACTCGATTGGCAGTGGGATTCCGCGGGTCGCTCTGGATAACGATGTGGTTCAGGAAATCGTTGTAAGATTTGTGTTGCGCCTGCATCAGGTTAGAAAACTCGTATTCTTTCGGATAGATATGATCAAAAATATATATATATATGTATAGATGCACTTACTTCAGTCATGCTACTTTTAAATGCAACCCGGCCATTGTCGTCGAGAATACATTCCGTAGCGACGAATCGATCCACGCGCTGGTTGGTGTCCTTGTCGATGAGTGTGCCTAATTTAGCCTCAATCTCGAATTGTATTCCCCGACTCGTAATTTCCTGCATATCTTGGTTGTTGATGACATGAATGAAGAGAAAATCGGCCACGTTCTTGGAAAGCTCTTCCGAGGGCTTGACACCTGTGATGCTGGCTTCCCATGGACCCAGCTGGTCTTGGGGGTTCGGCGGATTGACGGCGGATGGCTGCTGGCTAACGCTGGCATGCTGATTTCGTCTTGTTTCAGGCGAAGCCTGGCGGCTGGCGTGCTCTGTCTTGACCGTAGATTCATGTCTGCCGTTGACGGCTGGTTGTATGTGGGAGTGGACTCTTTCCTGGAGAACGTAGTTGGGTTTGGATGGCAGATTTTTCCCGAGCGTGTGGATGCTCAGTGCCCAGACAGGTGGCTGACTGCGTCGAATCCGCGTTTTTCGTGGCATCACAGGAGACGCCGATTTTTTGATCCGCTCTGCATACCCTCCGTTCACTTCGCCAGGGGGTGGCTTCGATTCCTTGTACTCTAGCTCCCCAGGGCTCATGTTGAGATCTTCCAGCTTGCGCTTCGCCGGCGTGATGGCTCGATCCGAGTCAATCGCCATGGAGTGGACACTGAGTGAAGATCTCGCGGCTCTATCCGCCGCCGCCGGGGTAACGTCGGGGTTGCTGGGGATTGAGCCAAGTCTAGTCTTGGGACTAACTGACAGACTTTGCTCCCGGTCGTTTGGAGGTCGTGGATGCTGAGCCGACTCTGCAACGGGCGATGCGTAGGCGGATTGAGAGCTCGACTGGCGATGGGCAGGGGGTGGAGGCGGCGGCGGCGCTGGCTTGGGAGAAGGCTGAGTTTGACTCTGCGCTGGCGGCGGCTGTACCTGAGTGGTGTGGAGCGGAGTCTGGGTTGGAGTTTGCACCCGAGCGTGAGGCGGAGCCTGGGGTTGGTGCTGGGCGTGCACCTGTGCCTGTGCCTGTGCCTGTGTATGTGATTGTGATTGTGCCGGTGGTGTTGTTTGTGTGGGCGTAGATGCATGTGCCGGAGCCGGTGCCGGTGCGTGTGCTATGGAAGACATGCGCTGCTGGTATGGGCTGGACGGTTGAGCAAAAGCTCCTGGAGCAGAGGGCTGCCGCTGCACGCTAGGCTGGGGAGGGCCCAAAGGGGTGACTTGCGAAGGGTGGCGGCTGTAATCCGCGAGTGGAGGCTGCGCTGCAAGGACTGGGCTGCCCTGTGCGTATTGGGGCCCATACTGCTGATGCTGGGTCTGGATCTGGATCGAGGCTGGTGCCGGTGCGTGCTGCGGTGGTTGATGGAGGTATGGGTGCGATGCGCTGCTCGACGTCCTCACCGGCGATGCTTGTGGCATGGCCTGCTGCTGCTGCTGTTGTTGCTGCAAGTATTGCGCGGGACCATGTGCTGGCGGTGCGGCGCCCGGGCTCTGCACGTAGCTGTCTCTTCTCGGGTCCTGGTATTGGGGGCCCGGTGGGTACGGCTGGCGCTGGATTGGGCTCGCCATCTCTGGAGGAGGCTGCAGAGGAAACGGATAGCCTGCATTGCCCCCCGGCGTCGAGGCCGATGTGGGCGATGGCCGGTAGGGCGAGGCCATCACGGGCCCCGAGTTTGACCTGGAGCTGGCCGGCGAGCGCGCATCGTGGTATACATTCGTCGGCGTGTGGAGCGGCGGCGGCGCAGGTCGTGTCTGGTACGGGCTTGGGGCTTGGTAGGGCGACTGCTGCGGATAGGCGTTTGGTGGGAGCTGCGGCGGCTGTTGGTGCTGCGGGTAGTGGTGAGGATGGTTCTGAGGAGGGGAATATTCGTGGGCGGGAGGCTTGGTCGGCGAGCCCTGGGGCAGCGGCTGTTGGGGATAGTCGCGATAGCCATACTGGGCTGGGATGTGAGTCGGGCGAGGCTGCTGGCTGTGCTGGCTGTGCTGTCGCTGATGCTGCTGTTGCTGCTGCTGCTGCTGCTGCTGCTGGTGAGGGGTCGGCGGCGCCTGTGCCTTTGAGGGCGCGCGGTCGCCATTGTCAGACGTGTTAAGGACCGACCGGAGATCCATGGCTGCTACTGGAGGCTGTCACACGCTCGTGTATCTTTTTTCCCTGGGGGGGAACCGGTGCGGCGCGAGACGATGGCTCAGACGATGGGCTCAATTGTCCAGCATCCAGAGCCGCGCTCTCGTGCGCCTGGAGGAGCGACGGCACCGCTGCGTCGGCTGTTCGCCTGCTCGATTAGATAGCTGCCAAGTGCGCAAGGGATGCAGAGTCGTCCGAGTCGCAAGCGGACATTCTCGAGCTTGCACGGATGACGGGGTTCGAGGCTGAAGAGGCTGAGGCGTCGCGATGCGTTTTTGGTGGGGGTTGAACGCAGGCGCGCAGGAAATTCAGCCGGGACTCTCTTTTTTCGCCTGCTTCTTTGTTCACGATGGCCGCACGGCCTGGACGCTCTGGGGGATGCGCGTCGAGTCGGAGGCGTCCGGCAGTTGAGGCTGCTATGGGGGGTGGATTGATTTTATGAAGCCCACGAGTGGTTCGCGCAGGGATGGTTTGGATGGGACAGTTGGATGCGCCTAGGACGCTTTTTTTTTTCCCTTCCGTGATGGCCTTGGCCGGCGCTCTAAAGTAGGTCGATCGGGGGCCCTACAGGCGCACGCAAGCGCTGTCCATCTAGAGTGGCTTGGCCTATGGCTCTGGTTCCGGCGCTGCGTTCGACCTACTCTGGCAGGCTCTAGCTGAGTTGAGTCATGGGCACTTGGCAGGCAGACACTCTTAGACGGGCGTCGAGGCGCAGAGCAGCAGTATAAAAGGCAGGCGGAAGTCACAGCACTACTTGATTTAGAAGCTACAGCTCGTCCCCAGAACTGGCCACAAACATCCTTTTAATGCTTTCGCTCCCCCGTTGTCTCCTCAGTCCTCCTTGCATCGCTGCTGCATCCGAAACCTGAGGCCATGCTGCCCAGCGCGCAAGGCCCATCAACCCATTCAGCGAGAACCAGGTGGAGCAGGTACCCCGACATTGCCTCAGCCGCACGCGTCCATGCCTGCAGCCGTACCTCTACCTGGACGCCCATCACAACCGCCCGGCACCACGGCTTAATGCCGCTTTCTTGCTCTCCTGCCTGCCACCGCGCCGCAGTAGTTCGTTGAGTGGCTTAAGCAGGGAGACCCGTGCACGCTTATCGTGCCGTGTCCAGTGTGATGAGTGCGACGCCAGCCCAGGTTGCGCCATAGCAATGCTAGCCTTGTGCTTTCACTAGTGCCGTCTCCTGCATGCCCAGCCCTCGGCCAACTGGCTGGCTCAGCCTTCTGTCTCGAATTGCTGGATAAAATCGGGGCGCTAGATCGCTTGTGGTATGGCGTGTCGCAGCCTGACTTGCGGCTTGGTGCTTTGCCTTGCAGCCTGACAAAAAAGGTGCATGATATCACGTGGCAGTATTGCCATCACCGGCAGTGAGGAGCAGTCGAGAGCTTGTGAGGCGCATTACTAAGCGGTGAGTGCCGGGCAGCAAGGTGACAGAATTACGAGTAGCTCGTCGGTGAAGCTTTGCTGCTGTTATAGCTGCCCGTCACTGTAATTGGGGAAAACCTTTGCCCTCAATATGAATGCTTTAGAGTACCGGTAGCACAGCTATCAGAATCCCCGTCGCCTTGTAGTCATAACACCTGTCCATTCTGCTCTTATCATTGTGTGCTCCGCCCAACTGAGACACAACGTCTCTGCTGCGTGTCTCTGTTATTTTGTCCTTCAATTAGCTGTACCCCACCATCCAACCACCAGGTCTGTGCACCCACCTCGAGGTACGTACCGCGCAAGGCAGGCAGAGCTGTGCCTGACGTGGACATGGAACTCGGTGCTTGTTTGTACACGCTGAGAGCATCATCACGTAGCATCAGCTAAACCTCGCTCAACACACCACCCGCCACCACTCTGCTGCGCTGCTCTGCACTGCAGCTCCTTGTTCTATTCTTTCTTTTGTTAATTGCCTATCGGCGGGGTGCAGATTCCGCCTTTGACAGCCCTCGAATTGAAGGCCTTTCGCTGCCTTCTTTTTCCTTCCATCTTCGAATCTCGCCCCTCGATCCGACCCTGAAAAGTCTCGCCATCACAACAACATCTCCGCTGTCCTCGCCTGCAGCGCTTCAAGATGCCTGGCTTGGTATCAGCAACCGGCGTGCTCGCCTTCCTGGCCGATGAGGAGCCCGAGCTCCGAGTCTTCGCCTTGCAGACGCTCAACGACGACATCGACACCGTCTGGACCGAGGTCGCCGGCAGCTTGAGCCAGATGTATGTTTCACCGCAATCTCGAGAGCTGCGTTGGGTCCTTTGTCACTAACTATTCGCGATTTCAGCGAGGCCCTCTACGAAGACGAGTCCTTCTCCGAGCGTCAGCTTGCAGCTCTTGTGCTTGCCAAGGTGTACTACCATTTGCAGGCGTACAATGACAGCATGGTCTTTGCCCTGGCCGCAGGGGACCTGTTCAAGATTGAAGCTCCCGGAGAGTTCGAGGAGACCATCATCTCCAAGTGCGTGGACCAGTACATCGCCGCCACGTCCGCCAAGCATACCGCTCCCAAAACCGCCAAGCCGTCAGACCTGCCTGAGCTGTCAACCACCTTTGCCAGCTCCACCGAAGGCGCCGTCCTGTCTCCCACGACTCCCTTCTCCCAGACTACCCTGCCGCCGAAATCTCTACTTTCTCGCGCTTCCATCGACAACACCATACTAGACGCAACCTTCCAGCCTGTGACAAAGGAAGGCCGCGCGGGATCTATTACTCAGCTGCCCAACAATGTGGCCGAGGCTTCTCTGCAGAGAATCATCGACCGCCTGTTCGAGAGCTGCTTAAAGCAGGGCCGGTACAGGCAAGTCGTTGGTATTGCTGTTGAGGCCAAGAATCTCGATATCCTAAGGCGAATTATCAAGCGCGCCAGCGAGGATGAGAAATTGTCCAAGGCCAAGGGAACTGATGGCCAGCCCGGTCCCGCCGAAGAGCTGATGGAGTACATTCTGGGCATATGCATGGATGTCGTTCAAGAGAGAGCCTTCCGCACAGAGATCTTGCGGTTAATTCTTGATCTGTTAAGCGACATCCCGAACCCCGACTACTTCGCCATCGCCAGATGCGTCGTCTACCTCAACGCAGACGAGGAGGCATCACGAATGCTCCGGAACCTTGTTGCCAAGGACGACCGCACTGCGACCGCCAACGCATATCAAATCGCATTTGATCTTTACGACAACGGCACACAGGAATTCCTCGGCAAGGTCTTGACTTCTCTTCCCTCTGGGGAGCCCCCAAAGAAGGAGGAGGGAGCTGAGGGCGGTGACAAGGCCGAGGAGAGCGAATCGCTTTTGGCGAACCAACAGAGCGCACCTGAAGATGAGCTTCCCGAAGAGGTGGCCAAGGTTTACCGCAACATTCGGTCTATCCTCGACGGCTCCAAGACTATCCGCCTGAACCTCGAATTCCTCTACCGCAACAACCACACGGATCTGAGCATTCTCAACAAGGTCCGAGACAGCCTGGAGGGTCGTAATTCCATCTTCCACACTGCTGTCACCTTTTGCAATGCTTTCATGAACCAGGGCACGACAAATGACAAGTTCTTCCGAGACAACCTCGAGTGGCTCGGAAAGGCTGTCAACTGGTCCAAGTTCACTGCTACAGCTGCCCTCGGAGTTATCCACCGTGGTAATCTGTCGCAGTCTCGAAAGCTTCTCGAGCCGTATCTTCCCAAGCAAGGTGGCCTCAGCAATGGGTCCATCTTTAGCCAAGGAGGTGCTCTGTATGCCTATGGCCTCATCCACGCCAATCACGGTGCAGGAGCCCTGGAGTATTTGAAGATGCAATTCAGCCAAGCTGAAGAGGAAGTCGTCCAGCATGGTGGCGCCCTGGGCTTGGGTATTGCTGGTATGGGCACCGGTGACAGCGAGATTTTCGAGAAGCTTAAGGATGTTCTCTTCCAAGACTCTGCTCTCAATGGCGAAGCTGTTGGTCTGGCCATGGGTTTGATCATGCTTGGCACCGGAAACGTCAAGGCCCTGGAGGACATGATTACGTATGCTCACGAGACAACCCATGAAAAGATTGTCCGCGGTGTGGCTATTGGTATGGCTCTGATCATGTACGGCCGCCAAGAGGGCGCCGATGTCTTGATCGAGGGCCTGCTCAACGACCCTGATCCCACTCTGCGCTATGGTGGTATCATGACCGTTGCTCTGGCCTACTGCGGCACTGGCAGCAACAAGGCTATTCGAAAGCTGCTTCACACTGCTGTGAGCGATGTCAACGATGATGTTCGCCGAATTGCCGTCATGAGTCTGGGCTTCATTCTCTTCCGCAAGCCCGGCAGCGTCCCCCGTATGGTTGAGCTCCTGTCTGAATCTTACAACCCGCACGTCCGGTACGGTTCCGCCATGGCACTGGGTATTTCTTGCGCTGGCACCGGACTCGACGAGGCCATTGACCTTCTCGAGCCCATGATGAAGGATCCGACCGACTTTGTCCGACAGGGTGCCCTCATCTCACTTGCCATGATCATGGCACAGCAAAATGAAGTCATGAACCCCAAGGTGTCTTCCATTCGAAAAACGCTTAAGAAGGTGGTTGGTGACCGACACGAGGATGCCATGACCAAGTTTGGCGCTGCCCTTGCTTTGGGTATCATCGACGCTGGTGGTCGCAACTGCACCATTGGCCTGCAAACCCAGACCGGCAACTTGAACATGGCCGGTATCGTTGGTATGGCGGTCTTCACCCAGTACTGGTACTGGTTCCCTTTCACCCACTTCCTGTCTCTCAGCTTTTCGCCGACCGCCATTATCGGCCTTGATCACGACCTGGAGATGCCAGACTTCAAGTTCCACTGCGCCACTCGCCAGAGCCTGTTTGATTATCCCCCGGAGCAAGAGGTCAAGACAGAAGAGGGACCAGCTCTTATTGCGACTGCCATTTTGTCCACCACAGCTCAGGCTAAGAGGAGAGCCCAGAAGAAGGAACGGGCTCAGCGTCGTGAAAGCATGGACATCGACAGTGCCCCAGCTAAGAGTGGAGACAAGATGGAAGTCGACGACGACAAGGTCAAGGAAGAGACAAAGGACAAGAAGGAGTCTGACGACAAGGATACGGCATCCACCGACGCCAAGAAGAAGCCCGAGAAAGAAAAGGTTGGCTACGAAATTGAAAACATGAGCAGAGTCCTGCCTGGCCAACTGAAGTATATCAGCTTCCCAGCTGGTCGCTACAAGCCAGTCAAGAAGGTAAACATCCCTCATATGACAACATGATATAATAATGCTAACAATATTTTTTTCCAAAGCCAACTGGTGGCCCTCTCCTTCTTGATGATACCCAGCCTGACCAACCCAAGTCTCTTCTTGAAGAGAAGCTGAAGAAGGTGACCACCGAACGCGCCCCTGTAGCCGGACAACAGCCTAGCAGAGGTGGCGCAGGTCGCACCGCGGGCTCTGGCAGATCTATTCTCGAGGGCATCGTCGACCCTAATAGCAGAGGCGTCAACCCCCTCATGGAGCAGCTTCTACGGAGCCAGGGACGCTCTCCCTTTGGCGGTCTTGTAGACCCCAGCACTCCTGGTGGTGATATTGGCTCAGGGGCGGCGGCGGCAGCTGGCGTGCTCACTGCCGTAGATGAAGATGGCGAAGGTGATGAGGAAGCTGGTGTGCCCAACGCATTCGACTACTTCTCCGACGGAGACGACGAAGATGAAGAGTAGGTGGTCTTGTTCTAATGTCGTGGCGACGAATGCTAGGCGGGGAATGCGGTAGCTTTACAGATTTGTATCAATATACATACGAATTAGAAGGGGGCGGCTGGCTGGCTAGATTTATTTCGGGCGAGTCTTTTGAAAATCAAGGACGATGAGCAGCGGACAAGAGAGGGCGTTGAAGGGATTGAACGGAACGAAGAGATAAACCAAAAAAGTGATAATACAACATTTAGTCTTCTATATGCTGTTGAAGCAAGTGTGTATGATGTATAACATCAAGACAAAAGATTGGTTAATTAACTCTATTGTCATGTAGCCTAGTAGCTTGTCGATTCTAATCTGTCCAAAGGGTATAAGATGTACAAATAAAAAGAAAGAAAAAAGGAGACAAAGAAAAGACATCGAACTCCTGCCCTTATGACCCGGCTCTGTCTACGCTATGCTAATTCGTACATCCGTGATTGGATTGAACGAAGCGCACTTACGATTTTAAACCAAAGAGAAAAGGTAAAGACAAAAAAAAAAAAGGGAAGAACAAGTGACAAAGAAGAAGAATATCATTCTCATTCTTTTCCATCTTGAGAATCATCGCTCTTCTTCTTCTTCTTCACAATGATTGCATTGGGGGAACAATCAGTGCAGACCTGGACTCGATGCCAGGCAGTCGCGAGATTGCCTCGAAAGTTCCACGTCGCAGCATGGCTCTCGGGCTGAGTATTGTAAACCTCATCTGTTGCCTTGATAGCAACCATAGTACACTTCTTGTTGTTTTTCGTAGTTACAGCGTTCTCGTTGGCGCCCCTTGTCGCAGCACCTCTTCTAATGGTGTTCTTGTCCTCGTCGCTCTCCTGGTTGGACGTTGCGTCTTGTGGACTTTTGAATGCTTCCAAGGGTATATCTCCGTTGAATTTCCACTGTTTCCAGCTCCAGGCCTTGCCATCTACCTTTGGCGCTTGGTCGGGGAGCAGATTCGCTTGTGACCATGTCTTGCCATCGTCCAGTGAGACGTCGACTCGGATGACTGCTCGACCGCCGCCAGAATAGGCGTATCCGTTGAGAGTGACCTCTTTTGATGGCCTAGCTGAGTTGCTTGATGCTGACTGACCTGAAAGTGTCCAGTCGCCCAGTTTGACACCGGTGATGGCGCTCTGGACGGGCAGCTCCTGAATTGCCGGAGCTGCTTCCCAGTCAACTTTTGTCTGATTCGGGCCAAAACACTTGTAATCCTTTCGTTGCCACTGGCTAGGGCTCTCTTCGTCACTCAATGTGATGTGTCTCAACCACTTGACAGACCGAGCAGCGACGTGCCCAGGCACGATGGATCGTAACGGGTAGCCGTGATCTCTTGGCAATGGCTTGCCATTCATACCGTATGCCAACAATACATCGCCCTGGGGATCTACAGCCTTCTTTATGGGTATCGACGAGCCGTATGCTTCCATGCCAGAGAATTGCACGTGCTGTGCCTCGCTGGTGCCATCCCTGACAGCGCTGGCATCGAAGCCGGCATCAGCAAGGACATCGGCCAGTGAAACACCCTCCCATGAGGCATTGGAAATAGCCCCAGCTTCCCACTGCAAGCCATTCGTAGCTCGGCCGGATCCCTTGCTCATATGGCTTCGGCGGTTTCCAGAGCATTGTAGCACGGCAGTCACTTTTCTCTCGGGGAACTTTGTCTTGAGATCGCGCAGCGTATACTCCTTTGTGGTGCCGTCGGGGAGTTCAACGGTTAGGATGTGTGCTTCGGCCTCGTCTTGTGTGAGATTGGGAACCCACATGTGATTTCGAACGTAGAACAGTTCAGTGGGGGTGATGAACTGGGCGCTGAGCGCTTGCTCAGGGGTCTCGGCATTGCGAGGCTTCAAGGTCCGGGTAATGAGATCCGGATGCCTTATCGGGTCGTCGGCGAATGGGTCTTCAATTGCCTCCTGGGGCGGCTTGCCGTCTACCAAATCAGCTTGGTCAATGTAGCCGATAAGATACTGATTGAGGATATCGTAAACATATTGGTTCTTGTGAATGGTGAATATGTTCCAGTAGGATTCAATTGCACCGCCGGCTGCTCGCAAAATGACGGGTCCACCGGGGTGAGCCGAGATCCAGTCGGTGATGTCGTAGACTTTGTCGCCGTGCGTGACCCATGGGCGCTCTGACTTGCCGTCATGCTTGCGAATCTCGGACATTCGAAATCGGGGAAGGTTCGGGTCGCGGCCGTCGAGGATAGTCACTGGCGCGTATCTTTCATGTTCGGAGTGTAGCGCTGCCGCGGCATCAAAGGCGGCGGGGGGCGTTCGATAGAGAGCATAAGCAAACGACAGAAAGCCAATGCTGGCTAGTAAAGCGACGGCCCGAGGGGAAATCTGCTGGGAAGGTGGCGCTTTGGATTTGGCTGCCTCGGGGCTGTTCCTGGCAGCGGTTGGTCTAACAAATGAACGAGTCTGAATCCTAGACGTTGATGTTGGCACCGATAGGATTTTGTTCGGGCGGAGTGTCTGGTGCAGTTGCCGCGCGAGGCAGGCCGACGATCTAGAAGTCATTGTCGCGGTGATGCAAACAGAAAGGCATCAAGGGGAAAGAAGGCAGTGTACGAGGCACGTTCTCTATGCTCATGCCAATCTGATTGTTCTTATTGATTGACGGTGTAGGTACGAGGAAGGAGAGAAAAATCGGTTAAAAGAGCAGACGCAAGGTGCAGAGGCGATTATGGCTTGAAGCCTGCTGACGATTAACACCACCGCTATTGGAAGCAGATGGGGACAGGAGGCTGCTTACCTGGATAGAGGAACGAGATAAGCAGCAGCTTGTCGTGGCAGCAAAAGGAGTGCAATCCCGGCCCTCGTCGCAGCGGCTCGGTCCGAGAGATGTGGCGGTGATGCTTTTGCGGAGGCAGAGATGGAAGAGATGAAGATCAGATGCTGGCCAAGACAGCGAGACGGGCGAATGAATCGTGGGCAGCGGAGGAGGCATCAATGCCGTGGCAATGCCGAATCGTGTCCATGGCCAGGAGCAGATCAGAGCAGGGAGAAGACACAACACCAGAGTGATGGAAACCGACGATTACCGACGACAGGGTGCCGGAACGTCGTCACGCGCTGAGTCTGTCGGATCGCCGCGGTGGATTTGGCAGTACGTAAGAAGCAATGGCAAACGCATCACAGCTGCGGGCTTGCAGCACCCCAGGCACGCCGGCGGGGCATTTGGCGAGGGCGCGGCGCTGATTGGGCGACGCTCCAGCGGTCGGGAAGCCCTACAGCGCTCCAGGCATTAAATTCGGCTGTGCTGCCGCTGACCCTCTTTTCCAGCCCTTGTGGCAGCCCCTCGTTAGGGGTGTTGACCGACTCTGATTTCTGGGAGCTTGGCGGGCAATCTGTTATCTCGGCAGGATGCTGTATCTGATGATTCCATCGCTGTGTCCTCAGTTGTACTCTCTACCGCCAGTCGAGACGGCTGATGCCAATGAAAAGGGCGCGATGCGACTACTATAAAAAGGCCCATGAAACGGATGGAGATGCGCATCTCGACCTACATTAGCCTCATCTGCACCCTCCACTTCCATCGTCAAACATCGGCTGTCGGCCATCAGCTTCGGGTCGTCGGTGGTCGGACCGTCGTTATGCGCACAGCAAAAGACCCTGCTCGACCGACCAGCCGACTGCGAGGGCCCGAGAGAGTCTCTTGAAGCTTGTGATTGCAGAGCATTGTTACACGGCGGAGAAACGAGTACAGAGTTACACCAGCCCAGGTCATCACGGCACTTTGAGACAGCGCCCTTGCTTTGAAGTTCAGCATTCCATTTTTATTACCAAGTAGCATCTCAACTTTTTTTTTCATCTTCGAAAACATTTGTAAAATCCCAGCGCCAAACTCCATTCCGAGCTCATGCCCAATTAACTGTGCCTTAATTCACCAAACTCCTTGCTCACGATCCCAATTTCCAAACTCCAGCCGCTATTTCTTCAAGACGCTTCCCAGCGGCTATCGGTGACCAACCAACCTTTTTTTTCGACCTTGTTTTCTTCTTCATCGAGGCCCCACGAATCTCTCTCTAATCAAAGGCCGGCTGCTCCACTGCCGCCCGCATCATCGCTCTTGGGAGTGCCATCTTTGACGGCAGTATCCACAGCGGCACCATCTCTAAGAAACGGCATATCCAAGGGCGTGACCCTGACTTCAATGCCCGCCATCGGCCCGGCGCTCTTCTCCTCAGCCTCGGCGCCTTCCACCATGGTTGGAGCCTTTTCGGCAGCAGGCTTGGCCGCAAGCCTATCGATAATCTTTTGAGAGTCAAACGTCCTCTGAGTCGCCACTGCATTCTCTAGATCGAGCCTCTGCTTTTTCCGGACAAACAGTCTGTTAAGCGTGTCTTTGCAAACATAGTATCCGCCCTTTGCCTTGTCAAACTTGCGCTTGTACCAGACACGTTCGCCCGGCGTCGGCTTGGGCCCGTGCTTGGCATATACATCCACACAGATGAGGACGACAAAGGCGACTCCAACGGCTGCTAAGAAGGCATAAGAGAAGCCGAGTTCTGTTGGGCCTTCTGGGGTCTTGTCGAAGTAGTGGTGAGCCGGTGCGACTTCGATGGCCACAAGGCCAGGGACAAGCCTGATAACAGGGCCTGAAGAGGAATTTAGAACAGGAGCCATTGGTGGGAGAGGAGCGTCCTTTGAGGGAAAAAAAAGGCAGGGAAAAAGAAATTATAAAAGATGCAAGATAGATATATGGCAAGGTTGGCAGAGATCTTTATGGAGAGGTGAAGGGGCAGATTTCCGAAAGCCGTTGCAGTGAGCAATAAAGAGCAATATCACCAGATAAAGATGTAGAACGGGGGGTGATGAGCAGCTTGCTCTTACGAACAGACGAAGAAAAATACAGAGAAAAAGTAATGGAAACCGTGGAATCAACCCAAGCATTCGCATTATATACCAGAAAGCTGCAGAGCACGCAATAAATGCCTCAGAAACAAGAAATCTTGTTTCCAAAGAGCCTTAAAAGATGGGCATTCTTTAGCATTCGTGGAGGCGTTCTCAGCCACATCAGAACACGAGCTTTATGTGTATCATAAGCTTGTACCTACCTAGTATCGCATGGAAATAAAATCAGGGGTGTATACCTACGAATACCCAATTACATATGTAGAGGATCTAAACACCATAGCCGCAACCCTGATGGACAATTCGATATCACCAAGCCTGGTGGGTCAAGAGACATGTAGCGATACCAGAGGAACTGAGTTTGCACCTATACAGGTATGCTGGCGATAAGGTTAGAGATATGGCCCGCCAAAGAGAGACTCCGGTTTATTTCTGATGAGGTGGCCTTTTGAATGCATTCGTCTGAGAGATGTACTGCTGTTGGCTACCTCCACAGATACCGTGATTCACGTCGGATATACCTACGGTAGTGGAAATATGAATTCGTCAACACCACAGTGAAATCGTAGCCTGGGTCTGGAATTGCTGGCAACGAGAAATAAAAAAGAAAATAAGAACTAGTATTACTCCTTCTCTCTTTTTTTGAGAAAAAAAAAGTGGTGACATCCTTCTAGAAAGAATCATAGGCTTGTTGGCGTTTGAAGGGTGGAACTGGAGTCACTGGAAAAGTTTGATATCCCGTTTTCGAACGACGAGAGAATTCTAGAAAAGCTTCGTGCCCCAAAAATAGCTCAGATACATGTACTTACCTAGTCCGTAACAGCTTATCTGGAACCAATGTACTGCGTTACGAGTCAAAGGCAAGGTATGTAGTCAAGTATATGGGTTATATGTCCTACTTGTCTCATGTTTTACCGTATCCTGCTACTTGTACTGCTTCAATTGTTATATAGACCAATGTACGGACTGGCTGCCTCCGTAGACCGCAACAACAGTGCTAAATAACAATTGTTGTTATGTTATAGACTTTTCCAACGTCCATTTGCGACTCGGGGGAGCAGCTCATCAACGGCCTCATGCCCAAACAACGTCGACACAACTTCCGATGACTCCAGACTACATTAACAAAGTCCCGCGTTGAGATGGCATGGATGATATGAAAAAAGGTGCCATCGGCCCACTCAGCGTCCGACAACTCCTCGTAGGCAACGATTCACATTTCAAAGCCGCCACTCCAAGAGTCTACGACTGCAGCGCGTGACGGCAATTTCGGATGACCCATTGGACTGAAAAGCAGAATTGAAATGAACCTTGCCCGGCATGATCCTTTTGACAGTAGGAAAGGTCAAAGATACATGGACCTCGTAAACATGGAGCACTGCCGATTGTGGCACAAAGCCCATGGGCCCGCATTGCTATTGTATGGTCACAAACTACGTAAATAGACGTCAGTTGTTATCCACTTAGGCAAATTTATAACCACAGGTCCATTGAGTGCAAGTCTCTCGCTTTTCATGCAACTTACTTGAATGGTCATCACCGTCTAGGTAGCTACCACGGCTCGTAACACCTAGAATAAAAATGGCAAGAATCTGGGCGTTGCGGCATGCCATCTCTCCCACTCAGCCCCAAACGTGGCCTTTAGCATCTTCTCCTCCTCTCTCACCCGCTTCCATATTAGCCAACAATGAAGGCCAGACAGCATAAAGGCATTGGCAAACACCCCCATGCACGTAAGCTTGCTGTACAGCCACGGCGGCAACCAGCAGCTGAGGACGCCGTCCAATCGAAGCAGCCAGAATGCAGCGCTGCATCCCAAAATCGCCGCACCCGTGTAGCTTGGATGCTGCACGTAGCCATGGAGACCGGTTGTAATCAAGCGCTCCGGCTTGGTGAGCTGAAAGGTAAAGTTCTTGCCTAGAGATCTATACGCATAGAGCCGTAGAGGGATGCCGGCACACAGAACAAGGGCCAGCGGGATGGCGGTGTCCGGTGACCATCTCAAGAGGTTCACATCCAGGCCGTTTTGAGGACCGTGACCGAGGAGCGAAGGGGGCATGTTGGGATACACATAGGCCAAGGAGGCGGTATGCAGAGCGATAATCGCAATGGGGGACATTGCCACCTTGGCTACGTGTCTCCCAGTGAGGTTCAAAGAGGTCAGGGAGTCTTTGGACGCGGGAACCAACTTGGTGTTGGGGTTGGGGGGGCTAACCGCAGCATAAGTGCCAGCAGTTGCAGCCAGTGTAGCTGCGGCCAGTGATGCTTGGGCAAAGGACGGCATTAGAGACATGGCTGAAGTTGGCGATACTGGCCGTGGTGTTGTTCCATCGTAGATGATTTGAGTTCGTGACGTGGACAGGTAAGAAAAGGCAGGCTGTATTATGTAAGAAATCTTAATTAAAATTAGAGCGTCAGAACGAATCCTAGCCCTAGAGATCGTCACTGTCCGGTTAATTAGGCGTAGATTATGGAATTCCAGGACGCCCACTTTGACAAGTAAGGCCAGCACGAAAAACCTCAAGAATTCGATTCATAGTAAAATATGAGAATCGCCTTACAAGGCGATTTTCGAATTTTTGACATGACATCAATAACAACCAACATTATACAGGTTCTCCAACGTCATGTTGTTCTTGATATGCAAAATGCCTCTATAAACGGTCGTCAACATAATGGACGAGTGGTGCATGGAGGAAGAGATTCAACTGCAGACAACAAGAGGCTCAGAGTGATGCTCTTTTCTTGTCTCAGTTAAAAGACTCAGCGACAAAGTCCAGGACCAGTAGTGTCGTAAAAGCTAGATGCTGTGTGATTATGGCATCTCTCCCGTGTATCTACCAATAAGGCAGTGTCGTGTTATTATGCCGTCTGCTTCGTCATCTCAAGAGTGACTGAGTGCCGCCGGTGCCGTGGCCGCGAGACCCAAGAAGCCGCTTCCGCTAGTACCTTGAAGCCAAAGCATGATCAATGAGCCCTCGCCAGGTGCTCGCTGGAAGTCGAGGGCAAAGGACGTCGTTTTGTAAGTTCAAATCCATAGTCACAGACAGACGCGCTTATGCAAGCGAGCGTACTTCTGCATGCTTTGTGCCACATCGTTCACGCTACTTTGCACAAGCAGATTTCATTGTTGGAGATCTCATTGTTGCATAGATACGCGGCCCAGGAGGCGCAGTACATGTCCCAGTCTCGCGTCCATGTACTCTTCATTTCCGGTACTTTGTTCGGCCGTACTTTTTACATCGTCGCAGATTCGCCGTGGCCCAATCACATGGACGGCTCCGGGCTGGTTTCGTCAACCATGTCGCCACCAGTGCGCGCCACCAAGCATGGGCGAAGTTTGGATTTGTTGTGTGTTTGGGGGCAATTCAGGCAAATTGCTGGCCAACGTTGCAGCAGGGCCCGGACCCCCGGTTTGCATGTGCTGATGGAGGGCGAGGAATGGCGCAACGAGGTGCGTTGGCGCTGATTGAGGGGTTTCGCCTGGTTTGGTTGGTGCCTGTGCCTGTTTCTGTTTCTGCAATTGTCAGCTGCAAACCAGCAGCTCTCTTGTTGCTATTCTTCTTTGCTGTCTGCTCTTTTTTTCGAGATTCTGTCGGGCAGTTCTCTCGGGAGCATCAGTGCTTTTTGCTGACAGACTCCCTGAGCGACTGCCTCGACTCGACTCCGCCTCGGTGAGCACGGAAGAGGAAGGACACACGCCAACAGCACGATCGGCCAACGGCAAAGAGGGCGAGACTGACGCGGTGGATACGAAGACAGCAGAGAGGATCGTGTGCCGTCTGGGGAAGTGGGCCGGGGGAGACTGGCGGTGGGCCTGGAGCTGTAGCGCTGTCTGGGGGCGGGGCCGCGAAGGAAGGGATGGGAAGGGATGGGAATTGAGGAAATGCCGGAAGCGGAGAGAAACAGCAAAAGGAGGACGGAAAGATGGGAAAAGAAGAGGTCAAGCAAGGCAGGAAAACGAGGCTCGAGATGCTGCCGTTTTGAGTAATGCCCCAGGGCCAGCGGGAGTCGCTCGTCTGTGGCCTGTTCCTGTCGCTGCACGAAGAGGGTGTGGTGTGATGCTGATGAAGCGCTGCTGTTTGCGTTGCAGTGCATTGCATTGGCTGGGGGGTGGCTTGTTGTCGCGTAACTCTGTCATCTGCAGTATCCGACATTAGGCACGCAAGTACTGCTTCACTCGCGGCATTGCAAAAGAGACTTGTCAGCGTATCAAACTCGACGCCCACCCCTTCGCAGGCTTCTCCGCACGAACGCCTGAAGCCACCCTCGCCCGTCCATTCAGCGACCGTCTGAGGCGTGCAACGCAGTGACTTCCAGCAGCAGACTCGATACCTGTCCCCTATTCACGGCGAGGTCACTGCTGGCCTACCCCGCCCGCTGCCAACTTGGCGCCCAGGTACTGCCTACTCGGGCGTATTTCCCGCCTCGTTTCTGGACCGCGTGAGGGTGGTGTCATCCCTGATTGCTGAGGGGAAGCTGGCCGAGAATACCTCAGGTATATAAGGCATGGCATCTGGCTTTCTTGTCTCTTTTTGTGCTCTTTTCATCATCCATCCATCCATCCATTGTTTGAGACAGGGATATCACTCCAACAGTGTACGACTGCGAATCATACAAACTCATCCATTTGTACGTCATCTTGCTCCTCGCCATCCCTATTTCGCCCTTTTTCGTTTTTTATCGCCTTCAGACAGCTAACTAGCCGCTTTTTGCCCACCAATAGACAGCTCCAGTCTTGAGTTCCAACTCAACCTCTTTCTTCTAAACTCATCAACCACCACACACGCAACACCAAACAACACCAAACAACCTTCGCAATGGCTCCTCGCGTTCCTCGTCTCCCCAAGGCCAGACCCACCGAGATGTTCTGCATCTCCGCCGCCGGCGTCGGTGTCCTCGCGCCGCTGTACATGGCCATGCCCGGTGCCGAAGAGAAGCTCGCCAAGCAGACCACCAAATGGGCTCCTCGCTGGGAGCGCAACATCAACTACTTCACCAACCCTGCCGAGCGCACCGCCCAGCGCATCGAGCCTCCCATCTCCAAGGTGGTCAAGAAGCTGGACGAGAAGCTGCCGCTGGAGAGAATGGCCAAGGGCATGGAGAGGGGCATCCGCAAGTCGATTGATCGCTTCGGCGGCCCCAAGTCAGAATAAGTCGCTGCTTGGCGGATGTGCTTTGATGTCTTTTTTTTTAATTCGTATGCCTATATGACCTTTTCTTTCTTTTGTTTCATTGTCATGGCTTCTTCTGGGCATGGACAGACGGTTTCTGGAGACGGCTGGAGCCTATGAAATCATGGGGCTCGCCATGCGGCGTTGGTGACTTCACTTATATCTTTAGGTATTTGATAAAGATGCCTGCATGCACTTCGTTTCGATTAGCGAAGCTGTATAAACAAATACAAATAAATTTGAATCATGCTCAAGTCTTGTACTGGATACTTCTCGTGAAGCCTTTGTCCACTCACAGATCTCTCCAACTCACGTAGTTACTGTGCCATCTGCGTCTGCTTGGTAAGCTCCAGCCATATGCATCACGCAGTTCATGGCCATCTGTTGCGTGGCCTCAATAGTCACAACACCATGATCTAGCATCTGCCGCCACACACAAAAAAAAACCGTTGCAATCTCAAAACAAGCCAGTTCCATTAGATTAGATCTGGATCTCTCGGCGGAGTCCCAGCTGACACATCCTCGGCGTACGGAGCACTAGCCCAGTGGGCCAAGTTCACGATCTGGACCTAATGGATCTTTATCTTAGCACCCTTGGGGTCTTTATTCCGAAGGTGCCCTCTTGATAGGTAGAGACGCCAACAAAAGACACGTAGACTGAAAATCACACAATAAATTGAATTGTAATCAACATCGGGGGACGCCCAAAAAGGGCCAAGCGGACTGCCGAGCACATAATCGAGCATGACAAACGCAACAAGAATCGCTCGTGGCTCTAGCTCCCATCACGAAGCGCAGAATCCACCACCTCGGCTTCGGATCGAGCTATAAAACCCGTTGGGATTGCCAATCTATTTTTTTTTCTTCACCTCCGCTGGGAACTCCCCCCCTGGCTCTATCTCCTTTTCTGTAATAATCGCTTCTCCCGTGTGAAATAGCCATCGTGGATTTTCAGCTCACAGCTGCCATCTGACTTGACGATGGCTTCGCTGCTTCAAGGTTCAGCCTTTGTGACCGGCGCCGCCTCCGGTAAGTCCAAGCTCAAAAGCCGCGCCACCAAAATTTCCTGCTCCCAAATCTCTGATAGTGGATCCGCTCCACAGGTCTCGGTGAGCATACAGCCTATGCTTTTGCCAGGCATGGCATTTCCAAGCTGGCCATTGCAGACATCAACCTGGACGGCCTGAACAGGGTGGCTGCCGGCATCCAGAAAGAATGGCCCGGCGTCGAGGTTCTGGTGCTGCAGATGGACGTGCGCAAGGCTGAAGAGGTCAAGGCTGCGTTATCCCAGATTGTCGCCCAGTTTGGTCGCTTAGACATTGCCGTCAACAATGCCGGTGTCGCCGGCAGGTCGGCGCAGATACACGAGCTGGACGAAGCCGACTGGGAGCGGGTGCTGGGCGTCAACCTGCACGGCGTCCATCGGTGCCAGAAGGAGGAGCTCGGCATCTTGGTGAAGCAAGAGTACGTATAGACTTGGACAAGACTACGTGTGCCATCATTTTGCTGATGATGCCCAACTACAGAGATCTCGGCCCACGACGAGGGCGAGGCACCATCATCAACGTCTCATCCATGTATGGCATCATTGGGCCTCTGTCGCCCATCCATGTCACGGCATACACTACAGCCAAGCACGGTAAGATTTCAAGACTTTTTTGCTTTGACACTTGTACTTTACGCACGCCACAACACAATCGGGAATAAAACACCCTCTCTCGTATAATTGATTAGTATGCTGACTTGAACAGCCGTCATGGGAATGACCAAGGCCGACGCCGCCTCCTACGCCGGCTCCAACATCCGCATCAACGCAATCTGTCCCGGCTACATCAAGACGCCCATGGTCAACGACGGCCAGGGCGCCGAGAACCAAGCCCATCCGCTGCACCACCATGCCCAGAAGACGCCGTTGCGACGGCTGGGCCTGCCTGAGGAGATTGCAGATAGCATCGTCTTTCTGGCGTCGCCAATGAGCAGCTATGTTAATGGCTTTGGGCTGGTGGCTGACGGTGGGTATAGTTGTTGTTAACTGATTGTTTATTAGACTGTGTGTTTATTGTTTAGAAGCAGCAAAGAAGAGGTGAAGAAGATGTATGTATATAGCATTAGCATAATTATCAGACTTTAATATGAACCATACTCTGAGCGAAACTCATTGTTTATCTAATTATATAACTGAACTCCATCTTATTCACACAATTGTAAATAATCCCCGTCTCGTGATTAATACTCAACTTCATCTAGACAGAAACTTCAAGCAGGAGGCGGGCCCCCATTTCGCCATTTCCGTCTTCATCTGCTTCAACACAGTCTCTCTCGACATTTCTCGCCACATTTCCAGAGACAATCGCTGCTGGACGAGCCGTGGTCGCTGATGGTTCCATTTCACCACCACAGGCTCTCCCAACGAGCCATCCCTGACGCTACAGATAAAATTCTGTTCAACTGTGTATCGCCTGTAAAGTTGAATCTGATTCGTAGAGAAGCGTAAAGTTGTGCGGCATGGCGGAAACCTGCTCAACAAACACCACGACATTTGCCGATGCCATCTTCTGCGCCAAGAGTCAACGGCCTCTAACAAGCTCATTCGGCAGCTTAATCAAGAAGGACTTTTGCTTGTCTCGGCCACCCCGCTATCCAACAATCTCAGGGATACTCAGAGATATTTGAGAGTTCTATGGGATCCCTCTTGGCCTTTCAGCTATATCCAGAAGGGGGATGGAACACAGGATGTGCTGTTTTTTCAACCTGACACCTACAAGGAGGCTCTAGAGGCGCAAGAGGACAGCGCCGTTCAAGCAGATGTCACCCTTGCAAGACTTTTGAGAGGAAGAGCAAATCCCTTGGGTCGGCTGACAGAAAGGCAAGTTCTCAGATCTGAAGAGTACAAGAGCTTTGTTAAAACAGGGAGGGGGTCGGTCTTTCTCCTAAACCCATCGTTGTTCAAGTCTTTCGCTTCATCAAACAATTGGAATACCCAAGTCTCAGTGCAAGCGGTCCAGCCTATTTTCAAGACGCCCCCCATCCGGAGAGGAATGCTAACAAAAAATGAAAATGCCCAATGGGCGATTCACCTACATGGGTCAAGGGATTACAGGACTGAACACTGAGACAGTCGAGCTAGATTATCTCTTGGATGTCAGGCGAACTCTACAAACACACATCTCGAAGCTGGTGGATAAGCTCCCGTCTCCACAGGACTCAGAGTTGCCGGAGGTGCTCCCTGGGGGTCACATTATAGAGAAAGCGGGAGTCATGATGAATGGAGCTGTCTATCGACGCCTGGCTATGGCGTCGACTGATGTGAATAACATGGCCCTGACAACCCCTTCTAGTCGAGTATCGACGACAGTGACACCCCCGAAACTAAGGCACGGGAATAAGAGCGAAAAGCGCGCTCAAAGCCAGTTCCCGCTGCTGGCACTCAAAATGTTAACCAGATCTCGGTCTATTCAACACCCCAACTGTAGCATAATAGAGCAGCCAGTTTATATATTAAATATACAGCTGCCAAATACTTATTAAAATAGCAACAGTAGTAGCAGTAGTAGCAGTAGTAGCAGCAGCAGCCTAAGCTACTGCTGGAGTGCTAAATAACATAATCGGGGTGCTAGATAACTTCTCTCTTTATTTTTGGGGTGTTGGATAACAGAACTAGGGTGCTGGACAATGGTATAAGTATGTAGTCCACATTTCAACAAGCAATAAATCGTAGCCCCCATCGTTGAGTTGTCCCTTGAAGTGTAAAAACTTGTTTAGTATTATTCACTTAGTACACGAGCTCCAGGAAGCACCTATTTAAACAATGCACTCAATTGAGAAAGCAATACCATAGCATCCAAGCTGGTCTACCTCTTTACCTGTGCGCCCATCTCACCAATGACATTCCGATACAAAAAAGTCAAAACCTGATTCGGATATTGTTTCCTATTAAAGACGCTGACTGCCGTAGATACTTTTGGCACATACAGCGCCAATGCTTAGAGGCTCATATCTAGCTTGAAAGCTTCCACTTTCTTTATTCCAGCTCCTCTCTCCCACTCTCATCTCTCCCACTCTCATCTCAACTCGACGTGATCTCAGCTCACCAATTGATAAGCAATCCACTCATTCAACCAACCAACCACCAACCAACCAAGCCCCCTAATTAGAAACTCGCTATTCCTCCTGTTTTTGGCCATGCAGGCTTCCCCTCTCTCCGCTCCCAAGGTCCTGCACCCCACACTTTCAATGGCGGGGACTGTGAACTAGCAGCAAGCATGAAGAAGAAAAAAAGTGGCCATCGGGACAATCTCTGCCGTGGGAATAAGAGACGACGCAACATGGCTCGAAAAAACGGCGTATAAAACCCCCGGTTGGCAGTCAGTATGTATTTCCTATTCTGCTCCCCCCATGTATATATATATTTTTTTGCTTCTCCTTCTTTCGGCTCCAGTTTGGCCAAATCCGTCTTTTTAAACGAGCTTAAAACGTCGTGGGATTTGCATCTCCCCGAGCTAACCTCGCACAAAAAAAGGGTACCTCGGCTCGTCTGCCGTCCCCGCGGATATTTTCCTAACCTGGGGGGAATAGGCAATCAATCGTCTGGCCCAAAGAGGGAAACAGCTTTACCGCCTCGAAATATCTAACCGTCAATTTTGCCTTGGTATAAAAGAAGAAAAGGGAAATTCATTCTATTATTAAAGCTGTTTTTTTCCATCATTGCATTTTTTCTTCATTGTGTCACCCCTCTCCCCCATCCCAAGAAAGGAAAAAAAAAAAAACTCACCATCCACAATGCCTTTCAAGTCGGTATACGAGCACATCGACATCCCGCAAAGCAATGTCCTGACTTACATCTTTGGCAACGGCTCATTGCTCTCCAACGAGCCCATCTGGATTGATGCCAAAAACCCTCAAAAGAGCCTCTCACCACATCAGCTGCTGCAATGGGTTCGGCGGCTGGGCCTCGGCCTGCAGCGCCTGGGCTTGAAGCGAGGCGACGTCGTCATGATCTGCACGCCGAACCACATCTTTGTGCCTGTGGCGTATCTGGGCATTGCGGGCTCGGGACACATTTTCAGCGGTGCCAATCCGATTTCTACGGTTCCGGGTATGTCTTGTCATCAGGCTGGGAAAGAAAAAGAGCCTTTTCCATGCTTTCTTTCTCCAAGTATCGTGTAAGTGGAACGGGGCTAACCTCGTATCACAGAACTGGTCCATCAGCTTTCCAACACTGGGGCAAAAGCAGTGCTTGCCCATCCCACCGTCCTCTCCAACATTGTCGAGGCCGCAGCCAAAGTCGGCATCCCCAGAAACCGCATCTTCCAGTTCTCAGACGAGGAAACCCCCGTCCGCGACGGCATCCCAGACTGGCGAGCCCTCCTCGCAGCCCACGCAGACGCCTTCCGCTGGCAATGGCCCGAGTTGACGCCCCAAGAGGCGCGCAACACCATCGCCACCATCAACTTCAGCTCGGGAACCACGGGCCTGCCCAAGGGCGTCTGCGTGCCTCATGCAAGCCTCATCGCCAATCTCGCCCAGGCCGTGCACCTGCGCCACGTCCACCGCAAGCCCGAGTGGGATCTGCTGCCGCGCAACCGCTGGATCGGCTTCCTGCCGCTGTACCACGCCTACGGCCAGCTCTACGCCTGCCTGATGGCGGGCAAGACGCTGACGCCGCTGTACATCATGGCCAAGTTCCAGTACGAGGAGTTCCTGTCCAACATTGAAAAGTACCAAATCACCCAGCTGCAGGTCGCGCCGCCCATTGTCGTCATGCTCACCAAGCGCCCCGAGACGAGCCGCTACAACCTCTCGAGCGTGCGCCACATCACCTGCGGAGCCGCGCCGCTGTCCCGCGAGCTGCAGACGGCGTGCGAGGAGAAATTCAACCTGCGCATCACGCAGGGCTACGGCATGACGGAGCTGACGTGCACCGGCATCTCCTGGTCCGAGGGCCTGGCCGGCGACAGCGCAGGGTCTGTGGGCCGGCTGCTGCCCAACTGCGAGTGCAAGCTGCTCGACGATGATGGCAAGGAGGTGGCGGCTGGAGAGCGCGGAGAGCTGCACATTCGGGGTCCAAACGTGTGCTTGGGATACTGGAAGAACGAGGCGGCAACGCGCGAGTGTTTGGACAAGGACGGGTGGTTTAGGACCGGCGATGTTGCCGTTTGCAATAAGGAGGGGCTGTTTTGGATTGTTGACCGGAAAAAGGTCAGTACAAGACCAAGAATAACAATCCATCAAAATTGCAAGTCAGTCAGTCATTAACACCGCGCATCTAGGAACTCATCAAGGTCAACGGCCTGCAAGTCGCCCCCGCAGAACTAGAAGCCGTGCTTTTAGAAAACGAGCACGTCGCCGACGCAGCTGTTGTCGAAATCAAATTGTACGTTATTCCCGAGGGAAAAAAAAAAGAAGGAAATGGAAATGTTCCCTTCAGTCATTGTCCATGCTGACCAAGGTCCTTGCAGCAACGAGGAAGAGTGGCCACGAGCATACGTCGTCATCCAGCCCACGTCAAAGGGCAAAGTGACTCCCCAGGACATCCAGGACTGGACCGCCGCGCGAGTGGCTAAGCATAAGCGGCTTGTAGGCGGCGTCACGTTTATCGATGAGGTGCCGAAGCTGGCGAGCGGCAAAATCATCCGGAAGCTGATGAAGCAGTGGTCCAAGAGAGACGCCGAGGAGATGCTCAAGAATGGAACGGCACCTCGAGCGAGGCTGTAAGACGTGAATGTATTTTTGCATAGCAGCTTTTTTTATTATTGGTGGAATATTGTGTAGCATCTGTTTAAAGATACCTATATCCAAGTCTATCTTCTATCTTGTTCGACAAGCACCTTATATATACGAGGACTTTTGTATAGAAATCTGCAGTCTGTATATATGCTCAATTGTGGAAAAAAAAAAAAAAAAAAAGAAAAAAAAAGTTATAGATGAGAGTCTCCTTCAAAAGGCAATCAGTTATTTGGTCCCTTTCCCAAACACATAATCATCGTGGTTCAGCCATCATTGGCCGTTAATTTCTGCATCTCATACTAGGCCCTCATAATCGGCCCAGATTTGTAAAGACGGCTCTTGTGAGCTTGCTCCCTGTACTAATAGCACAAGTTCAAATGTCTGCATACCGAGTATGCAGACAATTTGACCAAAGATTATTCTTTGTGTGAATTGACATCCTCTAATCAGCAGCATCGTCAAAGAAACCCTCAAATCACCCCTCTCACTTCTCCTCCCGGTACTCTTCCAAACTCTTCGGCTGCTTCCCCAACACCACTATCCCCCAAAGTCAGCAAAATCATTCCTTCTCTCAAAACAAATTCTAGGAGCAGCAACAACATACACCTATCAAACAGATAATAGCTCGTCACAAAAAATATCGGCAGCGCTATAATCGACGACACCCACTTCCTCGCCGCCGTATTGTACTTTTTCCTATACTCCCGCGCCTCCTCCCGCTTCTTCGCCGCCTCCTCCTCCCTGTCCTGCTTCTGCGCCTGTCGTCGCATACGGGCCGCCCGCAGCGCGGACTCGCGAGCCTCGGCCGTTCGTAACGCTGCGGTGGACGATCCCTCTGCCACTGCTGCTGCGGCTGTCGTGGTTGAAGAGGTGCCCGATATGCGTGTCGATGCAGATCCGGGAGGAGGCTTGTTTACCGCTTTGGCAGCGCTCTGCGATATCCTGCTGCTTGTCCCTGTCGTTGCCGTGGCATATCCTCGCCCCATCGTTGCGCAACACGCCTTTTGCGCCGCCATTGCAAAGCACCGCTCAGTGCCATTGGCTCTCCGTCCGCAATGCTCTGTGCATATCCGTCTCTCGTATAATAACCGGCCGTGTATCCGTGAGCGAAACATTGTGTCCCCTTTTCCGCTAAATGCAATGCTGTATGCTTCGTCTGAAAATGAGAACCGCAACTTTTTTTTTTGCCCAGTTGTGACGAAGCTACCGGCCAAAACTCGGACCAAGTAATCCCGTAATCTAGCAAGCTCTCTCCAAGCAATAAACTACAGCAACATCATCACTCCAAAATAGCAATACGAAGCCTTCTTATGCAAAGAGATTGTGTCATTAATAATACTTTGGAAAAGAAACTTTTCCCTACTCACTTTTTTATTTTACAGCCACGCGCTTCCTATTGTTCCTTTTGAAGTTGTCTGAGCTAGCCAGATATCCAGCTTGCTCCTTGTCTTTAACTACTAATATTATTGCAGCTCTCGTTCCAAAGAAAGAATGAGAAAAGAAAAGAAAAATTCAAATGTTAAAACGCCATATCCACAATCACAAGAAATCAATGACATCTCCCATTGGCTCTACCACGCCGCTCAATCATCATCCGTGTACCTCGGGCCGCTGGCCGCTGGCGTTTCAGGAGCATACGCAGAAGGTGTTGGCGCCGAGAAGCCTGCGTATCCAGATGCAGATGGCGTCGGCGCGCCTGCTGCTGGAGTCGGTGCCGAGTCCGGACCTCCCCAGCCGCCTTGCCAGCCACCGGCGGGAGTGGGCGCACTGATTCCAGGAGTAGGAGCATTGTAAGCTCCAGGAGTCGGGGCACTCAGAGCGCCAGGAGTAGGGGCCGACATGGCGCCTCCTGGAGTCGGGGCATCGTATGCAGATGAATTTGTGGCCGCGGGCGTGTAGCCCCACGAGTCGTTGCCGCTGGCGCCCGGCGTCGGGGCAGAGGCTCCCCAGGCAGGTGTCTTTGAACCAGAATTCCAGCTGTCACCACCACCAGCATACGCCGGAGTGCGGGAACCAGCACCAAACGCATCTCCCGGCGCTGGCGTCCTAGCACCAGCTTGCCAAGCAGGCGTGCGTGAGCCGGATCCATAGGCGGTTCGGCTTCCATCGTAGGGGTTAACAGTTCTTGATCCATCTGCCCAAGCGGGCGTTCGAGATCCAGAGTAGTCTTGGCCCTTCCATGCCGGTGTACGACCACCTGCAGCAGGCGCTAAATATGCTTGTTAGTATATATATGAACAGTGAAATAGCCGAAATTTGAAATGGCACTTACTTCGTGATCCCCAAGCAGGAACGCGATCTGAGCCGCCGGAGCCCATGGGTGTGCGAGAGCCTCCCTGCCAGCCCGGGACTCTATCCCCAGAGCCGCGCCCAGCTCCACCTGATGCAGATCGCCCTCCTCTGCCATTGATGTCAATGTTCAAACCAGTGTTCTTGTCCTTGAAGTTGAGCGAGTCTCGAGGAACGGTAATGGTCTTGTTTTTGGTGTGGAGCTCCACACGAGCGTGTGAATCCGTGGTATCCTTGACGATGCCGAGAAGGCCCTTGTAGGCTCCCTTTTTGATGATGACTGTTTGATTGATGGCACGGTCTCGGCCAAAGGACTTAGCTATTGGCTTGTTCTCAGTGCCGTTCTTGTGAATCTTCAGGGCTGGATTCATCGTCGTAAGATCAGGTCCCGATGCCGCCGCATTAACACGGCCGCCCTTTGCAGCGATTGTGTTAACCATGCTTGCCTTTGTGACGAAAACACCAGCATTCTCGTTGGTGGCATGTGTATGCAAGAAGACGTATGATCGGTGGATGTGAATAATCTTGCCCTGGCGCTGCTGCCCGGAAAATTCCTTGACCACATCGTCCAGGCGGATTTCTGAGCCTTCTCGATCAGCAGCAACCGCTTGCTTTCTCTTGGGCAGCTTGTTGGGGATTTGAGATGGCATGACTTGGCGGGTGTCTCCGAACTGGTCCAGCACAACCAAGGACTCGCGATCCACCTTGACGATACAGCCAACTGTGGTAGGGTCAAGCTGCACAAGGTCATGAAGTTCGTACTGGCCGAGCGACCCCTGTCCACCAATATCGCTGGCTTCTCGCAGATCCTTGCTGAAGACCGTAACCTCGTTGTTGGTCTGGTCGGTCAACAGCGTGACGCGATCCTCAGAAATCTTGACTACCGTGCCGACTTCGTCTTGGAACTTGCTGCCACCAATCACCTTGACGTGGTCACCAATCTTGAAGCGCTTGCGGAGGCCCTTGATGGGCACTTCGATGCTCTGGCCTTTGAGGTCGCCCTCCGTGACAAACATTGTAACAATGTCGCCCTGCACATTGGTAGCTCTTCCAACAACACCTCTTTGCTCTCCGGCATACACCTCGATGATGTCGCCGGGGAGGTAAGTCACCAGCGTGTTGCTATCCTTCAGACTGGCGGCCAAAGCCTTCAGGTCAAGATTCTCCGTACCATCGTCAGCACCGCTGGCAAATCGAGTAACCTCTTCCAGGGACGGGTTGACATCTGTGACTACGAGTTGCTGAATCTTGACATCCTTGACCTGGAATCCGTTTTCGAATTCTTCGCCATTGTATGTCCAAGTGTTAGTTGTCGGGTTGCCCTGAATGTTACGAGGGTGGCGCTTTCGTGCTTCAATCTCGCTGAAGAGTCTCTGAGGGGGTTTTGGGCCCATTCCCGGTGGCCTCTTCCGCTTGCCATCTGCGCTCACAGCGGACAGAGCTTCATCACGCATTCCATAGTCGAGTCTGGGGATAAATCGAACTCTTGCCTCGAGCCCGTTCTCAGTAACGTCAATAACCTGTGCCAAGTCCCCGTTGTGTTTCTGAGGCCTGCGGAGTCGCACCCATGCGCCGGGCTCCAGCGTCGGTGTCTTCGTGACACGCAGAAGCTCAGGCATATCTTTGATGTCCACCAGCGTCAGCTTGGAGTGAGGATAGACGTTGAGAATGCCATCGAGGGCCACGAGAATGTCCGTCTGCCTCTGAGTCTCAACGTAGACAAAGCTCTTCATAACCGAGTCTGGGCCGCCGCGCTCAAAGGCCGCGGTAATGGCCAGCTCGTCCTTTGTGCCTCGTCGCTCCTCGACTCGCTTCATAATGGACATGACGACTTCGCGTTCTTTGCCCTCTTTACATCGCACGGCCCAGATACTAGGATCATCCACGCTGGGGAGAAGAAGCCGCTTGGGCACGATGGCCGAGTCGCCAAAGCTCTTGCCGGGTCGTCGATTGCCATAGCGCTGGCGTAAGATCTCTGCTTGCTTCTCGGCATCCAGACTAGACTCCATCTCGCGGCGGCGATCAAGTTCGCGGTGTCTTCGGTCATCGTCAAGTCGCGAGCTTTCGACCAAGTCATCGGGGTGAGCGTTGTCGATGATAAAGTCCTCTATCTCCTCACCATCCTTTTCTTCGTCCTCACCCTCGTCCTCGTCGTCGACTTCGGCTTCGATATCGATGAAGGCATTTCGCCTGTCGCGTTGGCGCTTTCTGCGGTGGCCCTATTTTTTCGTCTGCGTTAGCCACTCCGGAGCCAAGGACACATCTTCATTCAAATCGTACCTGTTGAACATCGTCGTCGTCATCTTCCTCTTCTTCTTCCTCGTCATCGTCATCGTCATGGCGACGACGGGTATCCTCTTCTTCCTCTTCCTCCTCCTCCTCCTCTTCGTCTTCATCGTGGGTTCTTCGCGATTTAGCCGGAGTGGGTTCTTCATCATCGTCGGCATCCTGACGGCGATTGGGGCTGCTGTCCCGGGCTCGGCTTGAGCCATCATGGGCATCCTCATCTTCTGACATGTCGGCCGGCGCAGGATTGAAGTCCTCCTCGTCCTCGGATTCGTCGAATCGGTGCCGATCGTTGGACGCCATCTTGAATTGTGGTGTGTGACGCGTCCTACTAGCAATGCGATTGTAGAGACGGGATTAAAAGATGGGAGGTGAAGGAGAGAAGGAAAATAGGGATATCGAGAAGAATGGCTGGCCGCCTCAAAGAGAAAGGCAACTCGGCGAGCGGGTAATTATCGGGCCAAACGCGCTTGGCTGTATATGTGCCAGCTAGGGAGCGGCTGAGCGCTGAGCGCATAGTGTGGATATGGCTGCCTCTGGTCAGAGTTGAGACTAAAAAGCGATGCTTGTTATCCACAATGAAGTTAACTGAAAGTGAATACCCACCTGACTGTCAAATGCCTTGTAATAAAATAGGTATTTTACAGTATTATGCAAGATTACAATTGCGTCTCATTCTCAACTTTCAAAAGATGCCGAGCAAAGCACAGATCCAAACCAGACTTAACCTGTAATCCATCACAGCTATAGGATCATCGAGGCAAGTTTCCTGCAATATAAACGGTTGTCGTGTTGAAACATCTAAATGACTTGATCGATAACCTTGTCTGTAAAACAGTTGTCGACTTCGAGAGAGTTCAAACCGGCAACCCTAGGCCCTCAACAGTGTTGTGAGTATCAAAAGGACTCCAATAGTAATAAACAGTCATGGATGATGCATATACTCGCTATATTTATAAGGCCAGGTCTGCTAGAATCTCGCGGCTTCAAATTGCGACAAACTAAATGTGATAAAGGACCCCCCCGTATGACACGACACACCCCTCGCACTGCGCTACCAATCCCATTTAACCGAAAACTTCCAATCGTTACTCGTCACTGTCTCCATACTCCAAAGTGGCCGGCATCATACAACCTGGGCCGCTGGTACAAAACTCCAATAATTCCCTTTTTCAAGTTTAGGTGATACATATACCCTCCGTTGAGCAGCCAAGTCTATATCAGTTGGCGCCGGTGCATATAGTGAGGATGAGGCAAAAGCACTGGATGGCCTTTTCGTTGTCCTTGTCCTTGTCCTTTAGTCGTTCTTGGACATTTCCCAGCACAAGGCCTCTCACTACACTTTAACGCCCCAAACGCCTCGTCCTGCACCGACACCGAGCCATTCTCCACCATCGGTGCCTTGCAAATGCGGTACCCAGCCTAGGTTTCCAATTTCATAGTCGCAGTCCCAGCACGCAACAGGGCTTCTTTGGTTCTCCTGCTGCTGGGTGCCATTGATGGACGAGGAGTTCATGAGATCCCACAGTAGCACTTGGCAGTCATCTGCTCCCGAGGCCAGTGTGCCTCGCCGTGATGGAGACCACTCTATGCAGTTGACTGGGCCGGAGTGTCCTCGAAGCTCAAGCAGAGCCTGGCCAGGCTGTCGAACGTCTAGGATCCGAATCACGTTTGAGTCCTGAGCAAAGGTTGCGAGAAGATGGGTATCGTGAGGAGATGTAGCTAACCGCAGCAGCGGGGGAGGGTTCGAAAGAGTCTGCTGGGCAGTCGTAGGGCTCATACGGCCTCCTGCTTCTGAATTGTGTATTGGTTAGCATTCAAAATCAACATCAGATATGCAATGTATCTCAAGGCGGGCGACAAACCTGTTCGATCCTCTTTTCCTGTTGGCTCGTAGATGATGGTCGAGTGCTCCAGGCTCCTCAAGTCAAACATGCGTACGCTTCCATCCTGACCGCAGCTGACAAAGACATCCACGCTCTTTGCACAGAATCTTACGTCGTATACCTCCTTGTCATGTGCAATTAGTTGCGTCTTGGCAGTCAATGATGGAATGTCCCATATTGTGCAGGTGGTATCAATGCTGGAGGTGATGATGAGGCTGGGAGAAACGGTATTCCAGTCGAGAGACGTCAGCGGCGCTGTATGGTCGGGCGTCTTGGAGTTTGACAAGAGTGCCAGAGGAGTCAATTTTGTGACAACCGAGTCGCGACCCGGGCGTGTAATTGTGTTTCCCGGGTTCGCAGATGTCTCGGACGGCAGCGACCACAGCCTTAGGTGATCACCAGAGGTGGCCAAGAGATCGGTGGACTGCTTCTGCGAAGAGGGAGGCTCCCACAGCAGCCGCGTTACGGGATACGAATGTGTGGCCTCGGCAACCTTGGTAAACTCGAGATTGTACTTGGACGTGCCGGGGGTGTATACATCTTGAGGGGTCGGGGCAATCTGGCTATCTAAGATTTGGATCTGGGAAACCCCGTCAGCATGCATATTCGGAGAGTTATATAAACCAGAGCGGTGGACCCCCCCAGGAATCTCGGTTGGCTTACAAAGTTGTGGCCGTCTTCGAGATAGCTGCCGACAGCGACCTTGCCAGCGCCATTGCCGCGGGGCGTCCACTTGCACCAGTCAAAGGCGTAGATGGGCCACGGAGCCAGGTAATTGCTTGGGCCAGGCTGTGTGTTGGCAAGCTCGTAGCCAAGCGTGCCGGGAGCCCCATCAGACATGCTGGAGTCGGCGCGCGGCCGGATGTCAGCCAGGCCCAGCGGCGTGTTGGAAAAGGTGCGCTGCGAGCCCGGGGCATTGTACTTTGCGGCATCCTGAGGCGAGATGAACTGCGAGGACGAGCCGCTGGGAGTGGTGGGCGTGTAGGCGTGGTAGGACGACGACGAGGCCGGCGTGTCGTAGTTGGCCGCGGGGCTGGACCGTGAGTAGGTGTGCGACATGTTGAGCACCGGTTTGGGAGGCGACTGGTAGCCGGGAGGAGGGCCTTGCTGGTGTTGAGAGGAGGCTGAAGCGGAGGATGGACCTGGGCCAGAACCAGCGCCGGAGCCAGAGCCAGAGCCAGAGCCAGAGCCCGGGTGCTGCATCGACATCGAGGGCAGGGTCGGGGCCGTCAGGACGGGGCGCGACGACATGCCGCCCGGCTGGAGCACGTTGGGCACCGAGCTGGCTGCGATGCTGGCGGGCGTCTGCTCGAGCTTGATCTGCGGAGCAAAGTCTCGCGATGACAGCGGGCTCATGCCGGACATGTGCAGTTCGTCGTGCTGGGCGCCATAGGGAGCCGTGGCAGTCTGTTGCCGTCGCGGGGGAGGCAGCTGATGTGATTGGTTCATGGCGGCGGGCCAGGCTGGCGGCGCTTTGCTGACCGGTTCTGGAGCTGGTGCGTGCGAGGCGCTGGTTGGAGGCGCTGGTTGGAGGCTGGAGGCTGGATGGCGATAGGTTAGGCGCGCAGAGTCAGCGGCGAGCCTGGATCACGGGGCGCTGGCGACGACGCCCCTCGCACCCGGTGCTGGCGTGGCTGCGGGTCGGCGATGCTGCAGGAGACCAGGGCGGGATTTATGGACAAAACATTCAATGGGATCGTATCAAGAAGCGCAGTGAGCAGCAATACGTAGCAGCAAAGAGACTGCCTGAGTCGATCCCGTTTGCTTTCGTCAGCGTCTGTTCTGGGGCCCCAGATCAGGGTGCTTCCTAGCGAGGCGCCAGAGTACAGCGGCTAGCGGTACTGCTAGGCAAGGGCCTCGTAGTGAATGATTGAGAGCAGTCGAATCGAGGGGTCACGCCTATGCAGCTACTGCTGCAGTAATGGTTGTTAATTCAGGGCACGGGTGATGTCAATACTATCCTATACAGCAGTTTGTGGTATAAGAGACTGACGCGTGGCAAGCAAACCCCGTTGGCGATTAACCCGTGTCAGATGGTTGCCAGGGATGGACAAGAGACACCAATTAGCCCGTTGTAGAGAGACGGGTATTATAGGCAACGTAGGTAGGTTTTGGAGCATGAACGACAGTACTTATCAAGCCTTATCTACTGCCTACCTGCCTATAGTCTATTAGATGCTTGATAGTAGCTCAAGTATAGGTACGGAGGGCAGAATTGTAATTCTCCCTCTAGACAAGAAAGTAGATGCCCAGCCATCAACTGGCAAAGCTCCGTAGTGGGGTACCACGTATCGCCACAGATCCGATGGAGCTCGCAAGCTACTAGTATGTACAAGTAGTAGGTACTCTCTGCAAAGACCCTTCATTCAGCGCATTGGAATACTGCTACAAGTTCTATACGAAACCTAAAATTACTGCTACTCGGCTGCCTTGAAGCATGCGCCTTACCTTTTGCGCGCCAAAGTTAAACGGCCACGTAGAGTTTGAGTGGTGAGTTTAGTGGTGTTATCGGCTAGCAGCCTGATACCTTGATAAGGTGCGCTGCATGAGCACATGCTTCCATTCCACCAGCCAGCGGACCTCGTGAGCAAGGCTGAACTGTCTTCCATGTCTCTCCCACCAGCACTCAACATTCTTTTCTCTACATCTTAGATCTCATGTTGATGCTTCCAATAGACGTATAGCAGCTTTGATTGCCTCTCGTTTGCAGTTTCACTGCCTTTTCAATCGCTTCGAGTCTCTACCTGACATCCCCACGACAACAGCGTCCACCTCTGCCACAACACACCAAGATGGGCCTTTTTGATCGCCGGAATCCCCGCGGCGAACAATCAATCTTGCCTCTGCATAATGGTCCGAAACGGGTGCCTAGTGAGCATCAGCTTAGCACGCTAAATCCTCGACCTGATGACGCCTCATCAGCGGATGGGGGTTTGCCCAAGGCTTGGCAGGATCAGGACGATGAACCGTCAACATCTCGCGGGTTATCACCAATCTCATCACGCAACACCGCTAGTATGGCCATGTCAGCGTTCAATACGAAGCCGCAGCCCATGTTTGCTGGTCCACCACCGCCGATATCAGCGTCGATGTTGATAATGAAGGACCCAATCCGGGTAGACCCTGCTGCTGGTCGCCCAGTCCGATACAGAAATACACCGCACAGTCTCCTCGGAGGGAGTCCTACTGAAGCTAACAGCCTACTCCTTGAGCATAGGCGTCAAGAAATTGAACAAAACTCTGATACGGTCTGGCGAGGCCTCGTTAGCCAAGACAAGGCCCTGGAGAGAGAAGCCCAGGTATTGCTTGATCAGCAGGCTATCGCCTTAGTAGCCGGGTCTAGCATCGAGGATGATGCCTCTAGCACAGGCAGTAGTACGCCCACTGGCCCTTTATTCTCGACCCCGGGTTACCAACAAAGAGCCGGCCTCTCTCTCTACATTACCCCAAGGACAACTCGCGATGGCAATGTGGTTCCTACCCGACAACCGGCAAACGACCGGCCTCAGGGATTGAAGACCACCAGAGAAAGCATGCGAAAGCTAATAGCGTCTATGGCGAGTCTAAAGCATGACCAGAGTGCGTACATAGAAGACGCCTTGGATAAACGAATAGACGCTCTCAAGAACCTACACAAGTTCAGTATTAAAAGAGCCAGATTGGAAGCAGAAATACGAAGCTTGGCGGAAAATAGCGATGAACCGCTGGCGAGGGAATTCAAGGTAATTGACACGGAGCATCATGTCTTGGGCGAAGAAATTCAGCTTCTCGAGGCGAAGTTATCACGCATGCGAAGCAGACACCACCTTCTGAAGGAGAGGATGGATGACATCAAGAATAAACGGGAGGCAGGACTGAGTGGGTACTACGGCGCTCTAAACGAGCTGACCGCCGAAGCGGTAGCATATACACGGCATCCTACGATTCAACCACTGGATCCGGATCTATTGGGCGGGAGCGCGGCTGAAGGAGGCCCAACTACTTCAGGAGGCGCAGAGTTCATGCAACTCATCCCCGAGAGACGAACGCCGCGGCTGGCAGCTTTGTGGTGGCAAGCAGAGGTCGAGATATTGAAACGCCGCAAAGAAAGTACGGAAAAACACCATCGAGCACTGGAAGAAGGGGGTCAAATCTGGGACAACGTCGCGCAGCTCGTTTCGAAATTCGAATCAGATTTACGACAAGCCATGGAAAACGGTACGCCAACTCCTTCGGTCAAAGGGAAAGAAAAGGCGTCATCTGTGGAAGATGTTATATCGGATCAACTCTTGCGGATGAGCGAAGTTCTCGGCGAGTTGCGGGAATATATGCAACAGGCTGAACAAAATAACTGGACTCTTTTGATATGCGCTATTGGCGCAGAACTGGAGGCTTTTGAAAACGGGTATAAAGCCCTCGAAAGCATGGCCAATTCTCCCAAGGCGCCACCACCTCCCAGTGACGACGAGGATGCATCCACAGACGTAGAACTAAGTGGCCCGTCTACGCAGCAAGATAGCCACCCGCCTGACGAAGAAAGCGACAATGAAGTGCCCCCAGATCTATTTGGTGGCCCTCAGCCTGATCATGACCAAGACGAAGATGGCGAGCATAATACTGCCGACAACACTGACGGAGGGACGCTGCGTAGGTACGACAGCGAGAATGAAGTGCCGCCTGAATTTCTGGTAGAGCATGTGTAAAATTACAGTGCCTATCGCCCTGTTTGCCGATATTCGTACTCAGGGCTTTCGTTCTCTTCTTCAGCTTGCTTTGCTTTTACTCTGTTTTGGCGTGGCTTTGGAGGGAAGTGGCAATTATACCCGAGACAGTTTGATGATTACAATGTATAGCGTTTTAATCTTGGTAGCAGCGAATGAATGAATTAGCTTGAGCGATCAATAATACTCTTCTTCGTCTTTTTGTTTCTCTATAATACTATTCTACTTTGTCTTTTGTTTCTCGCCATGTAGCTGCTAAGCTGTCTGCTTGGTTCCATCTTAGTTCACAAGGGAAATAATTCGGGGTGTTTTAACCCAGGGAACCCCGGTAACCTCGGCTATGTGGGAACATTCACGGCTTCTTGTGGAGATACAACCAGGCCAGAACGAAACCCGGGTGGAAGGATAAGAGCAGGAAGCGTCTCGATAAATTTTCTTTATTCTTTTGTATTTTTCTTCTTCTTTTAACACATTGAGTCATTTCATCATATTCCGCATTCAAATAAAATAAGAGTGGAAAAAAGAGGAAGTAAAAAAATCCGGTTGTTTCCCTTCAAACGCCCGCACAAAACATTGACCACAATGCGGTTCATCCATCATCAATAACTCAAAACGAACTATGAATTCGGTGGAGGCATGTCTCTCTTGCCTCTGACCAAGAACGGCTATCAAAAGATCCAGCAAGGTCTCCAAACGCACTTGCACTATTTTTCTGTTTTCTTAAAAAAAAAAAAAAAAAAGCTACCCTGGGAGCTCTCACAGCATCACTCCTGGATTTGAGATGGATAGCTCGGAACTACCCATTGCTGCGATGCTACCAGTTGGATATATTCGACATTTTTTGGCACCTCAAAGAACAGAGATGATGTGATTGGTTCATGAGAGAAAATCATCGCTTGCGCTCAAAGAAGCCGCTGGAGCCGGCAATGGCGACAGACTGATCCATCACCCACTCGCCGACGCCGAGATACTTGTCGATCCACCTGGAGACTTCTTTGTTTTCGCCGGCAACTTTGTCGCTCTTGAAGCTGATTTCGTTGTGTTAATTCGGCGAGTCCAGAAGAGGGAAGAAGAGCCTGAATAACAACTCACGTCAAGCCGGTTGACCGCTTCACACCGGCGAGAAAAGCCGAGACTGGATATCACATGCAAAATTTAGCACACACAAACAAACGGACAAATATGGGACAAGGGAGATTCTCTTACGGAGAACGGCGTCAAAAGCATAGTGTGTCAAACGTCCAACCTTTGACCAGAGTCCCAACGTCAGCAGGTCGAGAAGCTGCGAGCAGTCTTAGAGAAAGGCTAGGCCAGCAGGCGACATCTGGCGCAGCTCCAAAAAAGCGCAGTGTCCACGAGGGAGCGCTGAACCGGGGAGGCGCCAGCACGGAAGCAAGAACCGGGGCAGGGCAGTTTGATTGGGGCGGACGTACCACCATGATGACTGATTTTTTTTTTCGGTGAATCAGACAAGATTTTGAGAAATCGGAATGGGGGCTGTTCGTTTGCGGGAGTGTCACGAAGAAAACGCTCCTGGAGCAGCGCAAAGGGGTGTCGTCGCAACGGTGAGGGAGATGCTTATACAGGCACAGAGCCTCGGGAGGCTGGAGAAAACAGCTGAGGTGTGACGGCACCGCATCGACTCACGTGCTTTCGCATTCCATCCTATCGCGCATCTCGGAGATCGGCGCCCTTTTTTTCCGGATCCAGCTGCAAGAGCTTTTGGATGAGTCAGCAGGAGCACATGCCAGCGAGCTTAGTCATTCGAGGAGCTAGGACAGCTTCAAGCCTTCAACTAGCATCTGGAACTCTAGGCCTGATTAGGATAGAGGGGCAGAAAAAGCAAACAAGGGCCGATTCCTCGATAAGAGTGGGTTGAAGTGCTGAAAGCGGCGAATTATTCGTGTTAGCAAAGCCAACAGTCCTGTCGCCTTGGGGATCTGAGAGAAAAGGGCCTCGTTTTGATTGGAAATACGACATGAAAGAGACGCAAAAAGTGTTATATGCCTCGACCTTGGCGCGGCCTCCATCCCCCGTTTATCCCTCATCGAAGCCACAGGCCTGTCGTCGTTGTCCGAAACTCGCAGCCCATTTCTCTTTTCGCCATGGCCCGCGCTAGAGAGATAGATTTCGCCGCGTGGGGGAGACGGCTGGACGAGAATAGTAGCACCGAATTTAATTTTTTTTTTGTTGAGGGCAGCCGAAACACGGAGCCGTCTGCTACCGGATCACCCTTGCTGCGGCAGATGCAAGGGGCGGTGCTTGGCTTGGGATAAGGGAGAGTTCATCGTCCAGTTGGAACGCAGCAAACGGCGGCTCTGGCGGTATATTCACTTGGGTCAATCGGGTTTACACTCATGCAAGTCGGCGGATGAGATCTGCTACAACATGCCACGAAGCTGAGGCGAGACTGAGAATGCCAATCGACCTAATGCTCTGTAGGTGAGAGACCCTGAATGGGGCTTCTCAGGCTCGGTCAGAAAAGTCCCAGCGATAGGATAGCCGCCGCACTCTTCTTCTGCGCTCCGCCCCGTACAGGTCTAGGCATTACATACTGCGGCCGGTTTCTTTTACTCGCGGCAAATGCCCTGCAGAGATAACGGTGAGACTAGCGGCCGGTGCCTTTTTGTGCCAATTGCCCCTCCATCGCCGCCTTAGTGCCCCTCACCAGCGCCTGCGCGGGGCATCAACTGCAGCCCAGCGCGCGCCCCAAAAAAATGTCCAGCCCTCGCCATTTGCAGCTGCAGCTGGCCAATCCCGAGGCGTACATTCAGACGTGCGTTACTGGTGATACCGCATAGCTCGAAGCAGCTGCATGGTACAGACAGCGAGTAAAAAAAAAAAAATTGGAAAAAAAGCACTGGCAGCTGCCGGCGCTCCCACCCCTCCTCCCACAGGCGACGTAGCATCACCCTCCCATGATCTGATTTAACCTCCATCTCTTCCCATTTTATTTCCCCTCTCGTCCTCATCCCAATCCTAACCTGCCATTTTCTCCGCACCCGTGCATCTCTTTGCTGCAGTCGTCGTCTCCTTCTGACAGGAGCCTTGGCGGTTATATTCTACTCGTGAGCCCCTCCATCCTGTCCCTCTTCCCAACCGACCCTCTCCTCCTACCATCTCGAAAAGCCAACGAACAAACGTTTTTAACAATGTCGCAGCGATTCTACAAGCAGCACTCCCACTCCCGATCCTTCAGCACAATGGCTACCACGGCCCAGGACCACCTGGACATCGGCGGCCGCATCAATTGGCTGGCCTCGCTCAAGACGGAGTTCACGCCTGCCCGCAACTTCCGCCGCACCTCCATCATCTGCACCATCGGCCCCAAGACCAACTCGGTCGAGGCCATCAACAAGCTGCGTGATGCCGGCCTCAACGTGGCCCGCATGAACTTCTCCCACGGCAGCTACGAGTACCACCAGTCTGTCATTGACAATGTGCGCGCCGCCGAGGCTGCCCACGCTGGCCGACCAGTTGCCATTGCCCTGGACACCAAGGGCCCCGAGATCCGGACTGGTAACACCGCCGGTGATGTCGATATTCCCATTTCTGTCGGCACCGTCATGAACTTCACCACCGATGAGAAGTACAGCACATCATGTGATACCAGCAACATGTAAGATGGACACTTTTCTTGCTTTTTTTTTCTTCGATTGGGGAGGAGGTGGTGGTGGAGGTGGAGGGGAGGGGAAATGAGACTCCCCCGCTCTCTATTCTAGCCACGTCCATCTCCGCGGCCTTTTTTTTGTAATGGGCGAGTGGTATTCATTGAATTGATTAATCCCTCGCCTATCACGAAGGAATACGACATAGTCTATTCTTATCTGCTACTGCTGAACGAATGCTGACGACATCATAGGTATGTTGACTACAAGAACATTACCAAGGTCATCCAGCCTGGCCGTATCATCTACGTCGACGATGGTGTTCTTGCTTTCGACGTCCTGAGCATCAAGGATGACAAGACCATCGAGGTCCGCGCCCGAAACAACGGCTTCATCTCCTCCCGAAAGGGTGTCAACTTGCCCAACACCGATGTCGACCTTCCCGCTCTCTCTGAGAAGGACAAGGCCGATCTCCGGTTTGGTGTCAAGAACAACGTCGACATGGTCTTTGCCTCATTTATCCGTCGTGCCCAGGATATCGAGGATATCCGTGAAGTTCTGGGAGAGGAGGGCAAGCGAATCCAGATCATTGCCAAGATTGAGAACCGACAAGGTCTCAACAACTTTGCCGAGATTCTCGAGGCCACTGACGGTGTCATGGTCGCCCGTGGTGATCTCGGTATCGAGATTCCTGCCGCCGAGGTCTTTGCTGCCCAGAAGAAGATGATTGCCATGTGCAACGTCGCCGGCAAGCCAGTCATCTGCGCTACCCAGATGCTGGAGTCCATGATCAAGAACCCTCGTCCTACGCGAGCCGAGATCAGCGACGTCGGCAACGCCGTCACTGATGGCGCTGACTGCGTCATGCTTTCAGGTGAGACTGCCAAGGGTAACTACCCTGCCGAGTCCGTCCACGAGATGCACGAGGCCAGTCTCAAGGCTGAGAACACCATCCCCTACGTCTCCCACTTTGAGGAGCTTTGCACCCTGGTGAAGCGCCCCGTTTCTCCCGTCGAGTCCTGCGCCATGGCTGCTGTCCGCGCGTCTCTCGACCTTGCCGCTGGCGGTATCATTGTCCTGTCCACCTCTGGTGACTCTGCTCGCCTGCTGTCCAAGTACCGCCCGGTCTGCCCCATCTTCATGGTCACCCGAAACCCCACCACCTCTCGATTCAGCCACCTGTATCGTGGCGTCTATCCTTTCCTGTATCCCGAGCAGAAGCCCGACTTTGAGACTGTCAACTGGCAGGAGGACGTTGACAAGCGTATCAAGTGGGCTGTCACCAACGCCATCAAGCTTGGCACCCTGGCTGAGGGCGATACCGTTGTTGTCGTCCAGGGCTGGAAGGGTGGCATGGGCAACACCAACACCCTGCGCATTGTCCGCGCCGACCCGGCCCACCTGGGCATTGGTCAGATGGAGTAGATGGATAGAGAAATTGGGACTCTTTTGACATACACTTGCTTAGGAAAAAAAAACAAGGGATTAAAAATGATGTGTTTCGGAATGGTAGACATGGCCATGAGGGATTAACGCAATACGCTGATACATGAGCTAAATATCAATTAATGACAAGTATGAACTAAATTTTATGTTACAAATGACTGACTGAGCGTGAAGATGACGATATGGCACATGCTGACTATTGAAGATGCTTGATGAATAATATATATTCGCTAAAAAAATGCTTCACTCAAATCTACTGTGAACCATTCCGTGCTTGAGCTATCCGCCGCCGTATTTCTGTGCTGCTAATCTTTGAGGCAAAGCCATTGCTCTGTGCGCCATTGCCCTCCTCCGAGATGTCTTGCGGATCAAGCACATCAATCTCAAAAACATCTAATGGCTTCCACCCTCTCTCGGTCCTCTTGTCGTTAATCGCCTGTCCACCACTGCGTGTCTCGCCAGAGACCACAATGACATCCATGACCTCTTCCGTAATGGTCGGGCCAAAGGGATCGTGAATGTTGACGCAGCGCACCAGCACCGTGCCGTTACGAAACGTCGCGTGAAGCTCATCCTGCGAGGGGGAAGACGTGGGCGGGAGGGAATTGGTGTTTGACGAGGACGCCGAGTTGAAGATTGTGGAGAGGAACTGGAGGACGTTGTTTGCGCGCACGGCCCAGGGCTGGAGGACCTCTGCGTATTTCTTGTTTGTGAGAAGCTCGTCGCCGGAGATTCCGACGATGAGGACGGCTTGTTTGCCAGAGTCGGGAATCTTCATGAGCAAGGCGGTGGCGTGGAGGAGGAGCTTGTGGCCGGGATGGAGGTGGTCGAATGTGCCGCCTAGACAGACGGTGTCGTGGCCCTTGATGAAGTCGCTCTGGGTAGTGGTGGTGGTGGGAGTTTCGCTGCTGATGGACATTGTGATGCCGCCTTCTACGGCGACGAGCTGGGATTGTAAAAAGGTTTGTTTGCCCTGTGAGTAGTCCAGGAATGCGTTGAGGAGCTCATAGCCTGCTTCGGCGCTGGGATGGAAGACGGTCTTCCAGGGATACACCGTTGAGGCGAACGCAGCCAGGTCCAGCACGGGAGTGCAGTTTGCCTCGTATTCCCCGTCATAGTTGCGGTGGTACGTCCTGCGTCGTTCATGGTCGACGAGCACGATGCGGGGATCGAGGCTGGTGCTGGTGCTGCTTGGCTCTCCCGATGTGTTGATGGAGAGCTCGTTGCAAATGACGGAGATGAGGGTGTATGTGCGGGCGAGGAGGGATTGTGCGGCCTTCCAGTTTAGGGACTTGGATCTTGGTGAGGGCCCGGCGAGGATGGGACAGGCGATGGCGATGACGAGGACGTGGTCGGATGCGGTGTCGTTGTTCTTGGTGTGGCCGAGGCGTTTGAGAACTGCTGTGAGAGGGGCTCGGTAGGCGGCGCTGAGGGAGCGAGGGTCGAGGGGGAATGGGGGAGCGGGGAGGAGGAGCAGTGAGGGCGCGTTGGTGGTGGACGGAGCCATGGCGGGCGAAATATTCAAGGTGATGTGATGTGTGAATAATTTGAAGTGAGTGAGGTTTGATGAGATGAGATGCATGAAGCTCAGAACGTGGGGCAGCATGTGCTATCATGCCACTAAATTGCGGGTAGGCGTTTGTTGTGCCACTGAAGCTTTGTATTTGGCATAGCGCGTAAAAGCTTAAAGTGTAAGTCATAAGCACTCTTGTGTTGATACACGGTAGCTCTTGAGTATTGATACTTTATGTCAACTGCCTTTTTACGCTATACACAGACTTGAATGGGAATTTGAATGTGTCTCGTGGAGAAGAAGCCCCTGCCCTTTGAATCCGCAAAATTGAGAGGTGAACTAGCTGTGGCCTTCAATTACGATTTCTGATCCGAAATGTGACTTCAGTCTCGAGTTTTGTAGATGATTAAATGGAAAGTAAAAGTTTTATTAGATCCTTTCTCATGGATATATTACATGTGTTGTCTTCTCTTCCCGCCGGTTGTGTTCCCCCTCCTGTTCATGTCATATGTTGTTCGCTAAAAGAAGTACATTTTTGATAGAAATGCTCAAATTTCTAAATAAATCTTGATGGTATTTAATTTTATTAAAAAAAAATTAAAAAAGAGAGAAGACAAAAAAGAGAAGAGGGAGCCATCTCATAAATTCTTTATTTCAAATCTCTTGCGCAGCGCCTCTCCGTGCCGAAGGAAGAGCCACGCCGCTGGTGTTAGAGCCAGGCCGATGAAGCCAAGGATACTATTGCCCCAGCCCATGCCGAGGCGGTTGTACATTGGCAAGCCGGCGAGGGGGAGGACAGATCCCAGGATGGAACGGGCCACTGCGTTTGCTGCGAGCGCGGAGGCGGCATAGACGTGGAATGTATCGACGAGGTACATTTGCAGAGACTAAGATTGAGGCAAGGTCAGTTCTTCTGAATGCTTTGGCTTGAGAATGAACGAAAACTGATGGGGGTGGAGGATATGCATTACCATAAAAACGATTAGATCGCCGATTCCAATGACAACTGTACCGATAATAGGTGCTATCCAATGGACTTGGTATTCTGCTGTCCACCCATATATGAAGAAGCCGATGGGCAGGATGATGGCACCGGCCGGCAGCGGCGAGAGACGATACTCGGGCTTCATGCCTTCGGGAGCCCGACCTTGGGCCTCTGCCAACACGGCCTCTTCAGCAGCCTTCTTCTTGATATTTCTATCACTTGTCAAAGAAAAGGAAACAACACCAATCATGCTGCCCACGCCTAAACCCAAGAACGCGAGGCCGGCGGTGCTCGTCTTGAAGTGGTAGATTTCCATGAAGAGCGGCGTTAGGCTGGTGAACATGAGATACAGGTACGCATAGGCAATTCCGACGTAGATGCCGCATATGATGCTGATGGGAGACATTATCAGCATCTTGAACGGCCTTTGGATGCTGCGCTTAATGTAGGCCGCGTTTGATAGACCCTTGTCGAGCTTGGATCGCAGCAAAGGATTGCCAGTTTCCTTTCGTAACCGGCTGGTTTTGCGGCCTATCAGCACAGCAGCAAACGACTCGCGGGAAAGGGCCAAGAAGAGCAGCGAAAAGGTCCCCGAGATAATGGCCATGATCCAAAAGACCCAGCGCCACCCCAGCCCAGTCGTGATGAAGCCTCCCACCACGGGCCCGACGACAGGGCCGAGCATGGGGCCGATGGCGAAGCTTGCCATGGCGACACCGCGCTTTTCTTGCGCAATCATGTCGGCAATAACTGCACCGCCTATAGTGATTGGGACGGAGCCGAAGATGCCGCAGAAGAAGCGGAAGGCGATGAGGGCGTTGAGTGAGGGAGCTTCTGCGCAGGCGATGACGAAGACTGGGAGGTGAGATTTCACGTCAGTAGATTGTTGAAGAAACAGACCGGCCGCGGGGGGGATTCCTACCGATGAAGCCAACATTGGTGATGTTGTAGATGATGGACCGGCCGTAAATCTCAGACAAGGGCGCAAAGAACATGGGCCCAGCCGCAAATCCCAGCACGTAGACTGATACGCAAAACGCAGCCAGCTCTTCATTTGTGCTGCGGAATTCTAGCATTAGGTCCGGTACGCCGGGTGCAAACATGGCTAAGGCAAAGAAGACATGATTAGCTGCCTGGAAAACTGTTCCATAGATTGGTTTATCTCATACAAGATGCTAAAGGCGTAATGAATGCCAGACAGCTGATGAGGACGCAGTTGAGAACTTTGCGCCACCTCGGCCAGTTATACGGGTTATCGGGGTCGTTGTCGCCGTCCCACCAGACAATGTTTTCGTCGTCGACGCAAGTTGCATCTTGTACAATGTAGATTTGCTTCTCGGCATCGCTGGTGGTGTTTGGTGCATCGGTGGAATCGCGGGTGTCTCTTGAGATGCTGGCGGAGCGGCGCTCGAGATTGAGTTTCTCGTCGGTGGGGGAATCTAGTCTTTCCGATTCTTCCTTGGAGTTGGATTGTGTCTCCGCGGATGAGGTGGAGGAAGCCATTGCGGCTGTTTGGTATGTCGTGTGCTTGCTGTCAAGTCAGCCAGGCATGTTTTGGTGAAGCTGTATGCATGTGTTGTTGCGTGTAAGTGGTGATGTGCAGTGCCGGCTTGGTGGGGCTGCAAAAACAAAGCAAAGTACCATCTTCTCTCTCTTATTGGGGATGCATGTTTCTCAATAATGATGTGTGCTTTTTTGTTTCTCATTGCTTTTGGGTGTTAATTTTCAATGTGATGGTGTAGGCAGGGCAGCGCATGAAGTAATTGGCCATTGCAGCTAAACGCTGGTCGGGCATAAGCTTGCGGAAATCTTGCGGGCTCGGTATTATGTAGGGATCAAGGAGAATGAGCTGCAGCCACCATGGCACCATCCCGCGACGGATTTTGAGCTAAGTGAGCTTCTTACCTCGAACGCTAAGCCCAATAGCTCTGGCTCTTGGCATGCGGTTGTGAAATAAAGAGATGAAGGACAGTGCTAGCCGAGGCTTGGGCTAGAAACTGTGGTGAGCTCAAGCTCGCTTGATCATGGTAGGCATTCGCGTGAGCTGTGATGAAAGTGAAATGTGCCGTATTCGAGATGGAGATGGAGATGGAAGAGGGGAGGAGAGGAAAACGGATATAGAAAAAGAGACACACCATCTTAAGAGGGGGAGCAGCTAGACCGGGGATCATGAAGATGGCCTTGCAGGCATTCACAGTAGTCTGAGACAGAGCGAGGGTTCTCAACGGAATGGGTCAACGGCGATGGACCCATGGTGGCCGGGACATGGACTCTGCCTTTGCAGCATTGTGCCTTGGGCTGCTACGGCACTTACCGTACCAGATATTACTGCCGTACCCCATTGCGAGCATCGAAATTACAGTGCAATACGCGTTAAGGACGTGACTGGAGCCAGCAAACAAGCATTGACAGGGAGGCCATTACCGGATCGCCATGAGGACTCCAGCGAGCCGGGGAACCTCTCCACACACATGCTCCACGGCACTCTCCCTCTTTTGCTCACCTAATGCTTTCATACTCAGCGGGCTATAGGCGTCGGCTCATTTCCCGATCTACAGTCGGCCGCTACGCACAACGCCGGTCTGTGCTACTCCCAGCGTAACATGTACTCGCATTTCCTTTTTGCGGCGGCCGTCTTACGCATGCGCTTCGCCTTGAAAGACGGGCTCCTAGTACAACGTGCGAGAACAGAGCACAGATCCATTTAGTATATTACAAGTACAGAAAAAGAAACGGTTTATTATGTAAAAGGGGCAAGAGATGCTTACCCCTGGCTCTGGTCGCCCTTAGTGCTGGCTGTATGGTGGTGGCACGCCGTAGTAGCATGCCTATACCTTGCTAATGTGGCGGTCGTTGATGGACTATCGTCACTTTGGCAGGCCAGGCCATGATCCTTGCGGGTGGCTGACTGGGACTTGCACGATGGGCGTTTTAGCGTCTGACGGCTACTTTTGCAAACGAGGATTGATGCAGGATGGATGGCTTTCGGCTTGCTTTGAAGGACTGCTGTGTTTGACGACGGGGTTCTTGGTGGGCTCGTACAAGCACAGGTCTATGGAATACTACCCTCCGCCGTTCTGCTTCCCTGGCATTTGTAGGTCTGTGACGGTCATCTACGTACATGTAGCACCTCTGCTCTTGCAAATAGAGAGGCTCGTGTGTCGGGGACAAAAGGGCTGAAGCTATTGATTGACGCACATGGGGCACCACAACACCGTTGAACTTTGGCTTCACATGTTTTTGAGCTTCCACGCAACGAACAGCAGACATCAGTTCCATGAAAATATCTTATGCTCCGCCCGTATATCCGGCTGCCGCTCCTTGAACTCCGAATCTGATTTTCTGCACCGGCCTTGGTCTGTTATCCTGGGCTCTTTATGCAAGGCAAATCATCGCTGTAACTGTGCGTCTCGTCTATAAGAGCGGAAAATGGCCTCCGTTAAAAGCGGTCCAAGACACACTCAGCCTGTGCAGATGAAGGGTACTTCTCCGAGACAAGTTGCTATTATTGGCGCCATGTCTCGTTAAGTCGTAACGACATACGCCATTACATCTCTGGCACCACCACGTGGCGGCAATCATTCCCTCATCTGCTTTGCCTCTCATTCCACAAAGCTCCCTTGACACGGTCCAAATCCCGCTGTGTGTCGCGAAGGCAAGTTACCCGCCGCAGAGAGCGCTGATTGTCCGCGTAAGCTTGCGACGGGTGCGTTTGGGCGTCTCATAAACGCACTTACAGGTACACGTAGGATAACCTGCAGTATACGATGCCTCTTTCTACCCCTCAGATCGACAAAAATGGATGCCATAGTACGTACACGTTGCACTGGTGCTCCCCGATCTGCAGATGTGAGGCGACGACATTTGGTCTGGGAATGTCTGCTTGGAAATATACCAGGTAGATGCATCTAGACTCTTGTGGCTGATATTTCATGTCGTTAATCGCAATATAGATGTAGGCATACGTGTGTAGAAAGACTACGGATTGAAGACTTGGTGAGATTTATTTGGATATAGCTTATTTTTAGATGTACTCTCCGACAGCTTTGACGAGATATGTTTACAATCACCTAATATATGCAGCGTTTCAGTTTTGCTTAAACTGCTTCTTTCCTAATGACAAACTGTAGTTGTCAATCAGAACGCGTTTCAGAGAGGCTCGATATCGAGTAGCCTTTTGCGCTCAAGGCAAAATTATCCATGTTTAGATTCTGATTGTATAATCAAAACCATCAATACATTTCATATCTACATTAAAACTTCAGTAGTCGCCAAGCATTCAACTCCCACCCGAGTATAGAGCTCTCCAATACAATCATGTCCCTCATCTTAGTAGTCTGGCGCTTACCAACCCCTTCTTGAAATTCGTCAGTTCCCCAAGTGTAGTCTCTGCACGCTCTTGAAGAACTTCGCATTGCAGGCAAACGACTCTTGCTTCTCTGGCTGCTCCTGGACTGTCTCTTACTTGAGCAATCACGCGGCTCATGTCTCTAATCCTGTCCACCAGCAGCGTCTGAAGCTCTAAAAGCACGCCCAGAAGCATCGAGGCCGCCGTGTTGGAGGGAGCAATGAAGGAGCCAACGCGGATTTCTGGAACCGCAAATTTCGGATCGTAGTCCTCCGGGAGGGTGGCCGCCATAAAGGCACACATCCGGCCGTGCTCTGCCAGAGTGTCCATGATATCAAGCAAACGGATATGACAGGCCATGACGAGATTTAACAATGCGTGGTCCAGCTTAGGCAGGGGCCTTGTATGCAAGGATGTGCGATCGTGGTGTATACAGTCCGGAACGGTGCAGAGGGCATCAGACTCGGGAGCTGTCGTGCGTTTGTTGAAAGAGGCCGATGTGGCGTCAGGATAGATGGCTGCGAGATCCTGGGCGTGGTGGAGGAGGCCGTCCAGCGTCGACTGAAGATCGAAATTGTCCCCTACGTTGTCGGCATATTCCCTCAGCTGCTCTCTCGGAACGTGGTGCATCTCAAGAGACGACGGCAGCGCTTGCAGCATGCGATCAAGGCCTGACAGCAGAGCCGCGAGGCGTTCTGAAATGGTCTGGGCTGGTGTCTCGAGCACTTGGCTTGGCGTTTGGTGCCCCTGCTGCTCCAAGATCATGAGATCGGGCCAGTCAAAACCAGCGGCTCCATTGCCATTGTGGCTGGTGGGATATCGGAGAGGCCTTGTTGGCGGACTGAAGACGCACGTCACATTGGCCTTGGTGCAGCGGCTGCAGCACAGAGAGCCCGGCGGTCGAGGACACCTGAGTTTCTTGTCATGGCATCGATCACAAGCCTGCCGGAGATCCATGGCGAATCAGAGCATGACTCTGATACGAGGTTGAGAAGAGCGCCCGAGTGGTTGGTGCCCGGCAGCCTCGTCTCATTGGGAGGCTCTGATAGGCCAAAGTTACAGTATGGGATATCGTGAAGACCAGCATCCAACCCAACGGATACGACCCATATTAGTACTCGTACGTGAACCTTGGCCTACATGGCGCTAAAGTCGAGTCGTCCCGCGAGCAGCGCAGCGGCCGTTGCTATTGGCGCATCGCAGCATCTAGCAATTGGTAGCTTCGATGCTTATTTGGGTGCATAGGCCCTGCAGGCTTTTATTGGGTTTTCCGTCAAAGACTATATGGGAAGAGAATCCGATTAGCTGCTGTTGTCGATGCGTGTAGATGTAGATGCCGAGAATACATCAGGCCATATTGGAACTCTCCCATTTCTGAAGGTTTCCAAGCACGCAATGAAGCCATCACGTCCAGCAAAGCAATTGAACATTCCCGCCACGTACATGACAGCATCGCACCGCTCACCTGCGGAGAGCCCCTCCAGCTCCCCCAAAGTTTTGCGTCTACGGCGGCCACCACTAGGATTACAGGGCTGGACTGGCTTTGATCGCCCCAGCGGCCATTGCGCTGTCGTCATAGCACTTGAGCTTCTAAGCTCCGCCATAACCACCTGCTTCGTTCCGCCACCTACAACTTTCCATCCCACGATCCCAGAACCTTCGAGTCCCTTCCACCCATCGTTTCGACACACGTCCATTGTCGCGGCCATACTTATACTGCCCTGAAACTAGGTAGTCACTTTGCGCATCGCTGGCCGCAGTCGCCATGCTGGCCCATTTCCGCACGACAGACATTCGCACCTTGTCGCCATGTCGTTGATCCCATACCAGCCTCAAGAGGGCCGCGAGATTGTGCTGTGAGTTTGTCGCCCCTCCGCTTTCCTCTTGCTTCGCCTGTGCTCTGCGCATCACATTCTAGAGAGAAGCGGAAAAATGATTGAGGCTGAAGATTACTAACTTTGTATGCCATAGACGACATCGCAATGCGATCGTTGTTCGCGATCCCAGCTCGCAACGCCTAGAGATTCGCGGCCACCCCGAATGCCCTACATGCCACCGTCCGCTGGGGCCAACACCGCCGGAACACTCGTTCGATCACCCGTTTGACGTTGACCCCGAATCATATGTTGACCCGGGCTACTTTCGGATGCTTCGCGCAGGACATGCCGACTCGACCGCACCCGAGCACGCAGCGTCGGGTCTTATCCGCAGACTATTCCGCCCTGCGCCAGCGAGCGAGGGTTCAGCATCTCGGGGTTCGTCCACCGTAGATGATGACGCTGAATTCATATCCAGTTCTCCGGGCGTATCACAATCCGAGGGAAGCAGAATCAAGAGAGAAGCGTTTAGTCCAAACTATTTCAAGACCTTCTTCGTCGAGGAGAAGGTCTTGGGCAAAGGAGGCAAGGGCGTGGTCTTGCTGGTGCGCCACGAGATTGACGGCTGTCAATTGGGCCACTTTGCGTGCAAGAGGGTACCAGTTGGCGACGACCATGACTGGCTTGAGAAAGTCTTGATAGAGGTTGAGCTCCTTGCCAAGCTGTCGCACGCCAACTTGGTATCCTATCGACATGTCTGGCTGGAGGATGTCAGACTAACCATGTTTGGGCCAACCGTTGCATGCGCATTCATTCTCCAGCAATACTGCAATGGAGGCGACCTTCACCAGTATGTCATTGGAAGCGTGCCTAGGGAGGTCACCAAAGAAGAGCTCAAAGAGCGCATCCGCCGACGATCGCGAGGTCAGGTTGACGCTTCGCGAGATGGCCTGCATGAGAAGCCCAGGTTATCAGTGGAAGAGATTTACTCGCTATTTAAAGACATCACATCTGGTGTTGCCTATCTGCATGCAGCAAACTACATTCATCGCGATCTGAAGCCAAGTAACTGCCTCTTGCATCGAGAAGGCGGCAAGTTGCGGTGTCTCATCAGCGATTTCGGCGAAGTCCAGCCGGAGAATGTAGTGCGAAAGTCGACAGGCACAACGGGCACCATTTCGTATTGTGCCCCCGAGGTCATTCGCGTGGATGAAACTGGCAAGTACGGAAACTTTACAACAAAGTCGGATATTTTCTCTCTCGGAATGATTCTCTATTTCATGTGCTTTGGCAGGCTTCCCTACCAAGCAGCTAATGCCGTCCAAGAGGAATTGGAAGACGTCGATCAGCTCAGAGCTGAGATTGCTGATTGGACTGGTTTCCAGGATGAGCGACGTGAAAGACCAGATCTTCCATCAAAGCTCTACATGCTCCTCAAGAAGCTGCTTGCTCTGGATCCAGCCGAGAGACCGAGCGCCAACGAAGTCTTGAATGCCATGAAAAGTGAGAGTTACTTTGATGGGATTACCAGAGACTATGTCTCGAGCCCGTCTGTGGCACTGCGAGGCAACCGAGTTCAGAGCTTGGAGTCTCCAGCGGGGTCCAGCACACCAGTACCGGGTGAGTTCTTTCTAACCTACAATCCTGACAGCACTTGATCTTATAGCTCAATAGATTCACGGCGATACCACTCTCGCAGCCTCAGCGTTCCCCAAAACGACAGCACTGCATGGCCAGCCTCGGCTCAAGATGAGGACGCCTTGCAAGATGGCTCTGTCTTTGATGAAGCTGTACCAGAATCCACCAGTGCAATGGTCAAATCCATCAGCCAAAATGGACACCACAACCACAACAACCATACTCTCCAGCCAGTTGAGCAACGAAACCCTTCTATACACACAAATGGCCATGCACACTCCGATGGGCCTCTCCTCCTAGCGCCACCTCCCTCAGAAATTGCTACAATACCGCGTGGAGCAGCGCTTCTCTTGATACGCTTTTGCACCATTATAGGCGCCGACCCAGACTCTGTAAAGTATGTTGGTCGTCTCAGTCTGTTTCTCATTAAGCTCGCAACCCTAGTTCGCCCATGCTGGCCATACATGGTCAATCTCGAGGTGAGTGCGCCTCTTGTGCTGCTGGCCGTTCTGGACTTGGGGCTCCCAACCAGCACCAGCACGGCCCGCACTCGACGTCCCAGCCACGGCGAACTCGTAACAAGCCTATTTCGCCAGACGGGGCTGAAAACGAGGCTTTTGTTTCTTGCATTGCATCTGGCGGTAATCTGGCTGGCCGGCCGCTGGGAAGCCCTTTGTGTAGTTGTTCCCCATGATGAGTGGGCTCAATGGTAGGGAGAAAAAAAAAAGATAAACAACACATCACTTTCATTTGTTTGTAACTGGGAAAGGGAGTAAAATACCAAAGTGTAGAAAAAAAAATGAACGCGGATAATTAATAATAGATCTAATCTGAGAATGATATAATTCAAACTGAATACGAATAAGAAAATTCAAACAGTAACATGGTGACCGTCTATAATCATACAATTTCATCGCCCCTTAACCCCAAATTGCCGCCTCCTCGCCATTTCAACACTTGCCAGCGAAAAAACCCCCCGGTGATTCTCGTTTCTCTTTGAAGCTGCTGCTGCTGCCATAGCCGCAGCAGACTTGACCCTTCTCCCCCCCGTGATGCTCCCAAAGCCAAAATCAGGATGACCCCCCAAGCTGCCAAATATGTCGCCAATGTAGTTTGTAGGGAGGATGCCCTTTTCAAAGGTGCAGTTCCAGTTGTCGAGGACGCCCCTGACAATCTCGATTCCGGCGTTGTAGAGGTTGGCGATGGCGATGTGGAAGCCGTTTTGGTCTGCGCGGGTGAGATGTTCCCAGTCGGAGAGGGAAGGGGGTGGGCGGTCAAAGTTGGAGCCTATGGGTTTTTTGATATTCTTGCGTGAGTATATGATTCATTTGTATGCTGGAAGAATGTATTTGCCTTGGAAATGCGTAATTGACTTACCTGTTCGCAAAGCAATGATTCTGCTAAAATCGACGAGCCCTTCTATCGCGAACCGCACCAGCACTTCCAGAATGGCATTATCCTCCTGTGCGCTCATACAGTACGCACCCGTGCCGTTGGTCCACAAGGCCGTCGTGTTCTCAAAGGCCCGAGCGAGCTTCTCTCCCGAATAGTACACGTCGCTGGTCGCACCATCGCACTTGACCACGCTGGGCGGCCGCACGGCCATGCGATACGACTCGCCCATGCTGCCGTATAGGGCGCGGTACCTCCGCGGCTCGTCAGCATCTGCGAGTTTGGCGCGGTGGGTAAAGTTGTATGCGGCGTCGCGAAGATTCTCGTTGAGTTCAAAGACCTCGGTGCCGTACGTGATGCAGGGGTATTCAAAGGGGTATGCTCGTCCGTAGGGGATGTATCCCGTGGGCCAGTCTCCGGGGAGAGAGCGAGGGTCGATTTCATATTGCAGAGCCACTTGGACGGCATAACGGGCGAGGGCCACGCTGCCAATGGTTGCGTAGCGAGGATTGACGCCTGCGATGCCGGCGAGGAGGAAGTATGTTTGCGTGAGGTTGAATCTGCTGGAGAGGATGAGGGCTGTCATGGAAACGGCAGAGTTGATTTCGCCTTCACCGACGGTGAGCTGGCAGACGGTGCCGCTTTGAGTGCAGAAGATGGAAGTGTAGAGCATGGAGAGGCCGGGAGTGGTGATGGCCCGGGATGAGAGATTCCCAAGGCCGGACTGAGAGAAGTTGTCGTGCCATACTTGGCCTTCGGGCTCAAACTAGTAGCGAGAATCTTTGGTTAGGGAGAAGAGAAGTACCAGCAGCGTAGATGTCATGATTCAACTTTGAACTTGATGATTCAACTTGACAAAAGGAGATGAAGCCTGGTGATGACAAACCATGGATATGATGAAGACTTTTGGAGAGATGACGCTAGAAGGAGGCTGAGCATAGGCGGTGGGGATATGAGCCATCGCCGTCAACAATTTGGATAAAACGAGCGTGAGAAACATCATGGATACTCTGAGCAGACACTATGACGGCAGCTGAAAGAGTGATATCGCTGCCTGATGGAGTTGATCCACCTGGCGAATCCGTCCGATGGCATAGTTGCATCTTATAAATGAAGCTTATACACAGAGTCACTATGATTAAGAATAAGACATGACGGCGGTGAAGCGAAGACGTTATGCCTGGTGTAATACATCTTTGTTTTCTCTCCGCAAGTTTCATTCATTAGCCTCATTACGGCGAGTTCCATATTCACCAACACCCAAGGTTGGTGTGAGTCCCGATGCCGGGCAATATGAATAAAGGACGGCAACATGCCGCGGAAGATGGCCGAAGCACAGTTCCTGTCAAAGAAAAAGGCTGATGAAACACGTCATAAAGACAAGATCTTCGGATACGCTGGCTTTTTGATGAGTTCTGGCTGCCTCTTTCAATAGTGGCGTGTCCTGTCTGCCTTTTTTCCATGTAACGTTTCTTTGTAAAAAGAAAAGATTTTCTACGTTGGATATGCCGAATTCTAGACCAGAAATGAACATATCTTTCATAGCTCATCCACAGATCTGCAAATGGCATGAGAAAGAGAAGAAACAAAGAGTATCTTTAACCGCACTCGGTTCCGACAAAGAAGACCTCGCCTAGCTTGTATAAGGATCTTTAGACGAAAGCTACATGTTTTGAGCTGAAGTGAACTGAAAAGCGGATGTAAATGAAGCCTATGATTCACGACATCTGTCCCAAAGATTAATGGATGGAACAGTTCTGTATTCAGCTGAAGCTGCTTTCGGCTGACTCTGAAGCATCGCGCCAACTTGACGGGTTGGTCTGAAAGAAGCGAACTTTGTTTGCGGAAAAGCGGCTGTCGTGAAGCAGTACTAGCCGCGAAGATGTAAAAGTCTCTAAACAAGAGAGCGAATCTTTGTCTTGTTTGCCATCACCATGGTCTGTACAACGCTCCTGTGCTTGATCTAGCGACTGTCTCGGGGAAGAAGCGACCGAGATCCTGCAAGAGGCCGCAAAATGGCTCAGCAGGAGCCAAGTTTATCGGCCCCTAGCACTTGATGATCGCATATTGGCTTCGGTATTCGGAGACTATCTAAAGGCTACGTATGTGTTTGCATCAGCATTGAACGATTAGACATGTCCCCGCAAAGGGCAATCGAATCAAGGCAAGGAAGAGAAAGGAGTTACGTACCTGTTGGCAAACCTGCTTTCTCAGCAAAAGACAATTGGTCATTGTTTGTCCAATGATTAGACTTGATCACATGCTTGATGAATTTGTTTAGGGCTAGATGCTTTATGCTGCGGATATGCGGCGAAGGCTGTGTAGGTGCCTAGGAACTCGGCTTTTAAAGTCAAATGCCATTATGGAGCGCCTTCACAGCCTGTCAATGGTAACATTTCAAGCTTCATGCTGGCATCAGTGAGAAACCCCTAATTTCTGGACCGACTAAAGAGGCAATCGTTTTCTTCAAGTCATCGGGGTTTTCTTTGCTGCTTCTGGTGCTAATAATTATACCGATAGGGGTTTCGGGGCAACAAAGAATTGATGCTGTGGATAGCGTGGCCATCATTCCAAAGTTTGAACTTTAAACCATAGAGAATCGTTTCTCCCACATGGACGAATAGAAATCAACGCCGTGGAAATGTCGTTGGAAGCCTGGATGACTCGCCGTCGGCCCTACTGGCAAGCCACAAGAGCGGCTCTGGCCGATCGCACTGCGCCCCGTCGAATGGGGCGCTATTACAAGGCTCATCAAGGTTAAAAAGTTGCGTGCCACTCGGCCGGTAGCTCGTATAACTTAGTTCTTTCGTAGTGCGATAGGCTATGATGTACAGTATGTAGTTTTGCCGATTCCCTTCAGGCGCTGGCACGACACTGCCTGTGATCACGATCAGACGGCTCTCCAGTTAATATCCCTTTCAGGTTTCTAGTCACGGACGATATCCGTCGTTTCGGCACTCGCTGGTGAACGGCGCGACGGGGACGCTGGGAAGAGGACGCTGGAAGACAAGTGATTCGTTCTCGCTCTGGGCCCTGCTGACGGGCGGACGGGTGGCGTACCCAGTACCCAGGAGCTTTTGCCTTTGAAAGCTCATGAACAGACTCGGGGGATCCGTAAAGCCAAGCCTCTAGCATCTGGGATGGAGCTGGCAGGGCGTGGCCATTGGCTGCCCCAGGCCCGATTTTCTCGTCGGCGTCCAAGTTGAGAAAAGCTGCCAAGAGCCTGGAGGTGCAGGCCTGTTCGTTGACGTGCCACGGTGGAGAGCCAGGAGCCGAAAGACCGCTGATGCTCTTACGGAGAATAAGTCTGGAGCCCGCATGATGCAGAAAGGCGTGAGGGAGGAAGAAGATGCAATCTGTGTCGTTGAAGAATTGCTTGAAGAAGAAAAAAAGAAAGAAAAATGAGTCTCTTTTCAGCCAAGAGCATCATTACCCACTTGGGCAATCGCCGACTGCAATAGATGCTGCCAGCACTTCCACAGTGGCTTTTAGAGCCCATTGTGCCAAGCTAGCTTGAGCTTGGACGAGATTAGCGCCCCTCTCCCCCCCCCGGCACTGCTACCTCAGCGCTGTAAATCTCTCCCATGGCGTCGCTCAGTGGATCTCGGATGCCAAAAGAGCCGCCCTTTATTGCTGGCACACGCCCCCAGTCCGGTGGTCGCATGGGATCCAAGTCCTCTGCAACTCCAACTCCGTCTCTCAGCCTGTGAGAAGAGAGGCATTGCTTTGCCTTTGTGTCTGCCCGGCACCGCAGATGATTCCCTCGTTCTTGGCCCCAGCATCAGGGCCGTCTGCCACATGGACGAAATAACGCCCGTTGAGCCGGCTGTCACGCGCCACGACGTCGAAGCCGACAAACAAGCCACGGCGCTGGTCACCGAGGTGCGGGCTGAGGAGCCACTGCCCGCCAACAGCTTTGCCTTTACGCCATCCCAGTTGCACAAGCTGCTGAAGCAGAGGAGCCTTGCGGCGCTCAACGTCTTTGGCGGGCTCCGTGGCCTTGTGCTGGGCCTCCGTACCGACCTCGCAGCCGGTCTCAGCGTCGACGAGTCGAGTCTCGATGGCACCATCAACTTCGACGAAGCAGTTGCGGCTGCTCATGCGAACCGCACGCCCGTCATCTCTCCGGTCGACGCCCCCAACATTCGCCCGGGCTTAACCTTTCACATAGGCAGATCTGACGATGAAGACCGCTTCGTCGACCGGAGGCGGATATTCGGCGCCAACAGGCTGCCCCGACGTCGGCAAAAGTCGTTTCTCAAGCTCATGTGGATTGCATTCAACGACAAGTTGATGATTCTGCTCACAATCGCCGCCACTATATCTCTGGGAATTGGTCTCTACCAGTCTCTGACTGCCGACGAGGATGCTTCCAACATCGAATGGGTTGACGGAGTGACCGTTGTGGCAGCCATCGTCGTCATTGTCCTAGCCAGCGCCGCCACCGATTGGCAAAAGAACTACCGCTTCGAAAAGCTTAATGAGCGACAGCAGCAGCGCGAAGTAACTGTTCTTCGGTCGGGCAGGATCCAGCAAATCTCCGTATACGATGTCATGGTTGGAGATATCATGCACATCGAGGCCGGTGAAGTTGTGGCCGCCGACGGTGTTCTTGTCCAGGGCTCCAGCTTATACATCGATGAGTCGTCCATCACGGGAGAGTCTCAGCTGGTCCGCAAAATGGTGCCGGAAGATTACAGCCGCTCCTGGGCCACCCCGGTCGACCCCTTCATTTTCAGCGGCACCACCGTCTGTCGTGGCGTTGGCCGCATGTTGGTTCTCTCTGTTGGTGAACATTCAAGCTATGGGAGGATGCTCATGTCTCTGCGAGAAGACGTTGAAGAAACCCCTCTTCAGGCCAAGATGGGCAGATTGGGAAAGCAGCTCATCACATTTGGTGCCATTGCTGGCGCCATCTACTTCGTGATCCTCTTTATTCGCTTCTTGGTTCGGCTACCGCATCACAAGCATGCCCGGCCCACTCGTAGGGCCGAACATTTTCTCCATATCCTCATGCTTGCCGTTACCATCGTGGTCATCACTATTCCTGAGGGCCTGGCGCTGAATGTCACCGTCGCGCTTGCGTTTGCAACCACGAGAATGCTCAAAGACAACAATCTCGTTCGCCTCATTCGATCTTGTGAAGTCATGGGCAATGCCACTTCCATCTGTTCAGACAAGACGGGAACCCTCACGCAGAATAAAATGTCTGTTGTTGCCGGCCGCGTTGGGCTCGAGAGCGGCTTTGAAGACAGCGATGTTCCCCTCGCTACCTCCAGCTCGGCTAGTACTTCATCTACATCGCGGCTACCGTCATCGAGGCACTTCATGTCGACCGTTTCTCCAGAGGTACGGAGCCTAATCAAAGATAGCATAGCTCTAAACTCCACCGCTTTTGAGAGAGATGACTCTGCAAGAGCCGACTTTATCGGGTCGAGCACTGAGACAGCCCTGCTCAAGTTTGGTCGGGACCATTTAGGGATGGGCAAGCTTCAGGAAGAACGAGCCAACAGCAACATCATCGCCATGCTACCTTTTGACTCTGCTCGAAAATGGATGGCAGTTCTAGTCAAGCTTCCCAACGGCAGATACCGCCTACTGGTCAAAGGAGCTGCAGAAATCGTGTTTGAATATTGTGCCTTCATCGTTGATGACCCGACCTTTCGATTTACTACCTCTCGGCTCGAGGAGACAGACAGAAGGAGCTTCCGCAAAACCATCCACGAATATGCCACGAATATGCTACGCCCAGTGGCCATCAGTTTTCATGACTTTGATGAGAACGAAGTCTTTGAGAATCCAGGCGATGACCCCACCACTGTCAACCTGGAATGGCTTGCATCTGGCATGGTCTTTATTGGTTTCTTTGGCATCCGTGACCCGCTTCGACCAGAGGTGGTTAATTCCGTACGCCAGTGTCAGGACGCTGGTGTCTTTGTGCGTATGGTTACCGGCGACAACTTCCTGACTGCAAAAGCCGTAGCCACAGAGTGTGGTATATACACTCCCGGCGGCGTTGCTATGGATGGCCCTACGTTCAGAAAGTTGACGCCGTCTCAGCGTGACGCTATCATTCCACGTTTGCAGGTACTGGCGAGATCTAGCCCGGAAGACAAAGTATTACTCGTCACACGTCTGAGAGAAATGAAAGAAATTGTTGCTGTTACCGGTGATGGGACAAATGACGCACTGGCTTTGAAAGCTGCTGATGTTGGCTTTGCGATGGGTATGCAGGGCACTGAAGTGGCCAAAGAAGCTGCCTCTATCATTCTTCTTGACGATAATTTCGCGTCCATTGTGAAAGCCCTTGGTTGGGGCAGGACAGTGAATGACGCGGTCAAGAAATTCATTCAGGTGAGCGCTCTCCTGTTAATTCGACCCAAGCATTACTCTCCTTCTTCTACTAGCGACCAATAAGTGGCTAATATGTTTGTATAGTTTCAATTCACAATCAACATAACAGCTGGTATCACAACAGTCATCTCGGAACTCGTTGGTGATTCCATCTTTACGGTCGTACAGCTCCTCTGGATAGATCTAAGCATGGATATATGTGCTTCTCTCGCATTTGCCACCGACCATCCTACATCAGATTCTCTGATGCGCAAGCCTGAGCCTCGCAATAAAGCCATTGTGAGCATCACCATGTGGAAGATGATTCTTGGCCAAGCCATCTATCAGCTTCTGGTTGTATTTACAGTGCATTACGTCGGTTGGGACATCTTCAACCCTGGCACTAAGCATGAGATCGATAAGCTGCAGACGCTTGTGTTCAATATTTATGTCTTCATGCAGCTGTTCAACCAACACAACTGTCGCAGAGTGGATAATGGGATCGATATCTGGCATCAAGGCTTTTTCACCAATCCTTGGTTTATTGGCGTGCAGCTTTTGACACTTTTAGGCCAGTTCCTCATCGTCTTCAAAGGCGGAGAAGCTTTCGATACCAAACCACTGACTGGTGCCCAGTGGGGATGGAGTTTGCTATTTGGCAGTCTTACCATTCCTCTCGGCGCCTTGATCCGTCAAGTACCTGATCGATACGTTTTGGCATTTTTCCTTGGATTGAAGAGACTCTTCCTTTTTACTACGGCTCCTATTAGGAATTTATGGGCCAAAGTTTTCCAGAAGAAAAAACAGCAAATCGGCGAAGGCTCCCAACAGGAGCTGGGCGCTGTCGGGAACTTGGTCGTTCGCTCCGGCTTATTACTGAGTCCAGCGGGGCTAACAGACACTGGCTCACGACTTGGCCACGCAAATCAACCCATCTCGGATAGCAAGACGCAGCTTGCTCACAGTAGCATAGCTGAGAGCTCCGCCATGGCTTCCATGTCGGTGATTGAAAAGATAGAGATCGATCTACAAGCACTGATCGATGCCGCTAGATTGGGTAGACTCACCGATAAAGAGATGTTGGAGATTCACCCGCGGACGCTGAAGAACGACCCGATTCTAATACCGCGGTCAGACACCAGCATACCGCCTAGTCAAGATCCCAACATTCTCCGATATCTCATTAGAATTGTGAGAAACGATGTCTATGGTCCAACTAGGCCTCCTGTTCAGAGACCTACGGTTCCTAATCGAGTCACCTGGGTTGAGCCGAGACGACCAGACCCGGCTCGAATCCGGCAGCAGCAAACTCGACGCGATTGGCTTTCCTGGGAGGGATGGCTGAGGACCAGAAGACGATAACCCATGAAACGACTCACGAACTTGTCTTTTTTTTTTCTTGGACTACCGCCTTTATCATTAATATGGCTGTTGTTTCTCTCAGTTATTAGCGTGTTCTATGCGATCTATATATTAATTCTCTCTCGTTAAAATAGAGACTTTGGGAATGGAAATTACTAGTTGGAAAGGTCATGGGTACGCACATATACACACACATATTCATCTAGCGAGTTGGAGAATGCAGATATCCTACGAATGGTTGATGAGCATCACACTTTATGTCAATGGTCATGGGGGAAATTAAACGAATGATATTATTATTACCGTGGGGGTGGATGGATCGGCGCTCAAATAGGGGATACATATCTTTGCCTACGTTTTCATCATGACGGGCACTTTACTAGATGGTCAAACGAACAAGCACATATAATGATGCAAGACAAAGCTCTTGGTCAAATTCTAATCATTCATTGACATTGAAGAAAGAGTTGAGGCGTAAATACCATGTAAAGTTTGTAATGCTTTAATTGATTTTAACTCATATTCAATGTTGAAACAAACTCCTTATTACTCGTGTTTCCTTATTCAGCCTACTTCTTTCCACTAACTACTCTCCACCGTGCCATTCGCCTTTGCTAATAAGATGCCCAAAAGGACCCTTGGCTGTCATCAGCTCTTCATAGCTACCCTCTTCGACCTTGACACCACTGTCAATCATGACAATCCTATCACAAATTTTCATCATTTCAGGCGTATGCGTAACCATCACAATGGCCATATCGCTCTCCTTCTGCCTCGCCCGCTCTGTAAGACCGCATATCGTCTCGCGGATCATACTCGTCGACTCGGCGTCAAGAGCACTCGTCGGCTCGTCCAAGATGAGAAGCCGGGGATGGCGGACAAGTGCCCGGGCGATGCTCAGCCGCTGCTCTTGGCCGCCTGAGAGAGCGATTCCACCATCTCCTACAATGGTAGAGTAGCCTTGGGGGAGAGAGGTGATGAAGTCGTGAATGCCGGCTGCTTTTGCTGCGGCTTGTACGTTTTGGCTGTCTCTGAGGGGGGAGTCGCCTGGGAGACTGTAGATTATGTTGTCTGTGACAGTTGCGGGGAAGAGATGTGGCGTTTGGGAGACGTATGCCATTTTTGAGCGGAGGTGTTGTATGTCGAGTTTGGAAAGCGGAATGCTTGCGTAGGTGAGAGATTGAGTGTCATCTGAAGGGCGATGGAGGCCCATGAGGAGAGATATGATTGTGGATTTGCCAGAGCCAGAAGAGCCGACTATGGCGGTGCAAGTTCCCTGTGTGATGTTGAAAGAAACATCATGGAGGACGCGTGGGCTCGACTGCGAATAAGCAAATTGCAGATTTCTAACCTCAACAGGTAGAGGGGTTGAGACCTCAATACCGCTTTGGCTTTCTTTGGATTCTATCGGCATTGTTGCGTAGGCCAGTAGCTGTGTTGCTGTCGCTTTGGCCATGGTCATTTGCGGTATGCTGCCCAATAAAGCGGTTGAAGTTCCGATGCTGAATAGCAGTAAGTTGATCACCTGCAGTATCTTGGCTACTGTGGTGCCATCGTTTTTGGATAGCAAAACTGTGGCATAGTAGAATACCAAGGCGGTCATGGGATAATTCATTGACTGATACAGCCCAAATAGTCCACAGGTATAACCTGCCCTTCTCAGGCCTAAGCTAAAGGTGTGAGAAATCAGTTTTTGGTGCTTTGTGCCAAAGTACTTTTCAAGCATCAGCGCTCGCACTACGCGGATGTTGACAAACGTCTCGCTGAAGACGGCGCTGGCATCCGAGGCTCCTTGATTGCATTTAGCTTCCCACTTGCTGCTGATGATGGTGTAGCCTTTGACTATTCCAAGGACTAAAGGTAGGGCTGAAAGAGTGACGATAGTTAGCCTCCAGGACGTTATGAAAGCCCATATCATGGAAACCGTAATCATCCCGATGACGCTTATGACGACGGGAATGAATCGCCCGGCAATGTTGCGAGTTTCCTCCGAGTTCCTTTCAAGACACTCGTTGATCCTGCTGGCTGAGTTTCCATCTTGATCGAACCATGATTTCGGCTGCCAGAGAATTCTCTTTAGAGCCTCGAGACGAATTGCATTCACCCAGGATTGACCAACTCTCTCAAAAATGTAATGGCTCATGCCAGTCGTGGTACCATCAACAACTGCCGTGATTACCAGATAGATTGCCTTTTGTTTCGCTTCAGCCGTCCTGTTCTCTGGTAGCCACAATACTGCTAGAAGTTGGGAGAGACAAAATGAAAAGACTGGCTTTGCTGCAGAGCTAATCAGACACATTACAACTCCACCGAGGAAGATTGCGCGGTCTTTTGAGGTGAGCACTGGCCAGACGGTTTCTAAGATTGACCATAGCGTGCTCGGTTTTCCCGCCGTTTGTTTTGCAGCTAGATCTTTGATAACGGTTGGAGACTGCTCACGGTTGGAAGCGACTCGCAAGCTGGAGATGTTGCTTCGGCGCTCTGCCTTTCCAAATAAGTAGATTGGGTCCTCGTCGTATTCGTAATGATGAGAAAAGTCCATGGTGAAGTCGCTCTCTGAAGAGGATCTATAGCAAGATTCTGATGCATTGAATCTTCGAGATGGCTCAAAGTATTCGCTAATCGAGCTAGATGATTGTCTCTTGCCAATTTCATAGCAGGATGCATTTTCGGCGGATATTTCTGACCTTTTGTCGGTATTGGGTCTTTCCCAGGCCTTTTCAAAATCTTCGCTTAAGGTAACATCAGTCATCTGTGATTTGCTCGGTGTAGAAGGAGATGATTCAACGGAAGCCTGACGGGCCAGAGACGCAAACGCGCCTGTTGCGATGTTGGCCAGCTGTCGCCGCAATCCCTGTTGTACTAAAGAGGCGTCTTGCATGACATATACGAGTTCATCATCTTCGATTTGGCTAATATCATGTGTGATGATGATGGTTGTTTTGTCTCGCCGCCACGCTCTGATGGCATCTATTATCAGACTCCGGTTTATCTGATCCAGGCTGCTTGTCACTTCGTCAAGGATAAGTACAGCCGGATCTCGAATTCTTGCTCTGGCAAGTGCAACCCTCTGCATTTGGCCTCCGCTCAATTTGTGTCCATTTGAACCGATTCGAGTGTTGAGGCCCTCGGGAAGATTGCTGAGCGTCGATTGTAGTAGCGCAAATTCGCACGCATTGCCAACGGCCTCTCTTGTCGCTGCTTCAGGGTCATTGTGGCCGACTGCTACGTTATTGAAAAGGCTATCGTCGAACACGACGCTCAATTGCTGGATCAAAGCAATGTTGGATCGGACCCAATCGCGATCCAAAGTGGCCAAGGGGTACCCGTCTAAACAAATTAGGCCTGACGAGGGGTCATAGAATTGAGCAATAAGATTTCCGATTGTGCTTTTCCCTGATCCGCTTCTTCCCACGATGAATGTGAGTTGGCCGGCAGGGAAAAAGAATGTTGACTTATTGAGGACGGGCTTTTCGGGGTTGGAAGGATAGGCAAAGGTGACCTGCCACAGGCCATCTGATTAGCTCTCATAAACAAATGGGAAACAGAATTCAGTCAAACATACATCTATTAGATCCACATTGCCAGTGCAAGAGTTGGGTCTAATTTGGCCTCCATTCTCTTTAGCAGCTTCGTCATCACATGCAGTCGATAAAGATGACAAAAAGGCACCCGCAAACATGCCTTTGGATAGAACCAGCCACTGTGGGAGCAACGCTCCAATTCCCTGGAATGCTGAAAGAATTGAGAAAAAGGTGGTAATAACTTGGCCAGGACTCAGTCCTTGGTCGACGAGGATGCTGCCATACCAGAAGCCCGCGACGAATATGCCAACAACCCAGAAGGCAACATATCCCATCTGGAAACAGTTGCATTGAGCTTGTATCAAATACTGTTTGCTGGCTAGCATGATTGCGTCATGGTATTGCCGGAGCTCGCGGTCGAATCCGTTGAATATTTTCACAATCTCTATGGCTTTTATGGATGAGGTGGCAAACTTTGATGCAGTCTCCAAATCGCGCTTCTGAGCTTGGATAGCCGGCTCTAATCGTCGAGTTGCGAGAGACAGTAGTATCAAGGATATGGGCAGGGTTGCGAGTAGCACCAAAGTGAGCTTCCAAGAATAGTAGAAAGCTATCGAGAGGGAAACGATGGAAACAATGCAGTCGGTTACTAGGAAGCCGAATACCTGCGATGTTGCGAGCTGAAGTTCTCGAGTTTGCCTATTGATCTAGTCAGTACTTGTGATTACTCGCCTCGGAAGTCGGATCGTATGTAGACTTGCGTTTGGATTCTAACCAAGAGACTAGAGATACCCTGATCTAAAGAATCGAACCATGCGATATTCTTTGACAGTAAGCTCTTGAAGATATCCTGTCGGACAGACTTGGCTTGAAGCTCTCCAAAGGTGACCCAGAGTGATAGAAAAGCCGAGCCTGAGAGGCAGTTCACAATTCCAAGGCCGATCAATATCTGACTCCAGTGGGATATCTCGTGCAAAGTCTCACTGCCGGAGCGCCGACCGGCACCGAAATCGGATACTATATTGAAGATCTTGCCCAAGAAGATGGGATAGATGGACTTGATGGCAGCAAATGCAGCCGATGCAGCGAGGGCCGCAGTAAGAGGCGCTGCTTGATTCCATCTGGTGAAGGAAAAGAGATGCTTGAAAGATGAGCGAATGGGCTTGTTGACGGGGTTGGCAGATGAGGTAGTATCGAGAACTATGCTCAGATGATCCGTTGAGGCTGGTAGCGATACTGCTTTTTCATCTTTTGCAGCCATTATATCAAGTAGCACGAGGCAATGACTTGAATAAGCATTGGGATCAATGACAAGAAGCGATCATCACAGATGGTGGAGGCATCGCAAGGAAGCCATATCAGTAAGATATTCCTCAGCGACAAGCTGGCCAAAGTGTATAAGCCTATATAAGTGGGTAATGCACAATGGATTGTTCCATCGCTGCTTGATATTGTTTGCGCAGAGTGGCCCAAACGCGCTGCTCACTTTGCGCTGACACGGCGTTGAAGACGAAGATGGGACGAAAAGCTCATAAGCCGTCGCTGTATAGGCTGAAATATTAGAATTCAGAATCTCGTAGATCTGATCAATCTTAATTCAAGAAAGCAGAATTATGCGAGCCGGCGCATCATGGTCAGTCACCACTCGGTGGCTTTTAATACAAGAGTGTCGAGATGGCCAAAGCGCGTCGTTGGAGAAGCCGTGATATGTTCTACTGTTGGTACACGAACAAACAAAATGAGGGATGGTGAACATGTTTGGAGACTTTCCAGGCCTTTGATAAAAGCATTGGCTCGACTTTTGATGCTTGTGGAAGAGCAAAGCAACAGAAGCCATGGAGTAGCATAAAGCCCGCCAAGTAGCGAAGCTCGTATCGCCTACATGCGCCTGCCCTCTGCTACCTCTACTGCCTCTACTACGTACGGTTACTTTATTATTTACTCCAAGGCTCTGCGATATATATTAAAGAATAAAAAGCTATATAGCCGAGATGGGCCGCAGCACTGATAATACTCAAGCTTCAGAAAGAACAACACGAGCGAATACAGAGCATCCAGACGTGCCCTGAAGGGTCCTATTGAAGATTTCCTATCCGAATATATGAACAAGGTAAAATACGCTAGTAAAGGCCTTTGAAGAGTATTAATATCTCGGAATTCCTGAATAGATGGCTACCAAGCGCTTCTCCAAATCCTCTATTTCCCTGTGTGACGCTTTATTCCCCTGCGTTGTGGTATACGTCCTTTGTCTAATCATACTGTTTCGTGGAATCGTTTCTATTCTTGCCGCGCTCCAAAGGCGTACAGTAGTCTTAAATAGTAGTCATGCTATCCTCTACTACAAAGCTTGTCCTATTAACAATTTGTGAAGCTGCTAGCGGACACTCACCGATCTCGCGCTAGAATCTTTGTTCTAGAGGTAAGAGAGTAGAGTCTGGAAAATATGCGTATGTATTAGCAGTCCCATACCCAAAATTGACTTCTTTTTGACCGAATCCACAAAGCCCGCGTAAAGCTAGTTCGAGAGTCTGAAGTTTAATGACATCTCCAAGACAAGAGATTGGCCGATCTGCCGCATGAAGCAACCTCGTATCTGTGGGCAGCTATGACACCCGTCTACATGACAACATTTGGTCCACCAAGACAGTCAAATACATAATACTAGTGTATAGATAGAAGACAATGATGAATCGCCACTTTGCCAATTGATTCCAGTACGATTGCTGCTCTTGTTTATTGGTCAAGGGAGGCTAGCGTTTAGTCGCATGCCCCTTGCAGATGCAGCCATATTGCAGTCATAATATGGTAGAATGGTTGCCATCATGCAGCTCAACTGAGACATGAATTTGGCAGATCTTGCAAATAACCGAGACATAACACCGGAGCGGTGGTAGTAAGGGAGGTAAATCTTGGATTGTCTGGATGCCCGGCAGCGTGGGCACCAGCAGATTGGTAATAACATCATAATATGGCACGTGTAAGTCAATGACGATGGCCGTTTCATATGAAATATATATAATTTAATGCAAGACATGGTGGCTAACCAACAGAGTGATGTTCTCAGGGTATATCAGCTGCAATAAGACAAGACCATCCGTGCGTAGAGTCAAGTAGCTAGATTTTCGCTGATTTGATTAAAAAGTGGCAAGAGTCTTCATATTTTACGTCGCTGCTTGTAATTATACTGACAGTAGTACTGCATCTAGATGGGGCCTGTTATGTCTTGAGTCTCATATCCCATCACCAAAGCGAAGCTTCAATGTCATAATAGCACACAAATGTTGATATTCTCTCCCGTTCATGTTTTATCTGGCCAAAAGTTCATGTGATGAGTTCATGTGATTTTCCAACTTGGCTAATTCAGCGATACTTCTTGACGTCTACTGTGGGCAAGTTGACAAATTGAGTCTAGCCATGCAAGGGAAAAAGAGGCTGGAGCTGGTCACAACACACAGAATCTGCCTGGTTATGCTTGAGCTGTTCCATTGCAGTCTCTGTACTCCGTGCTTTGCCACCGGACCCCTTGCATAACGCAACTAAATAAGGCGTACGGAGATATTTCTACTTTCTACTTGTACTAGCCCCCGGACCCTTTGTAGCCGCCGAGGAAGAGCATGCGCTGTCAATCCTCATTTAAGCGTCCACCACGACTGACCACTAATGCTTCACAATCTCAAGTAGAAGCCGATGGATTCGGAGCCAGAATTGCGCCGACGTTGCTTCGGAGGGCAAAGAAATGAGGATTTCGAACCCAACGTGCATATGCTATATGTAGATGCCTGTTTGCCTGCCATTAACAGCTAGCTTGAGAAGAGAAGCTGAATCGTCTCGGCTCACGTCCGGTTGGAGCCCACCGCTGGGCGATTTAAGCCTAATGCAAGGCCATGTGGGACACAAACTTGGCTTTTCTGGCATCTGAAGATCGGAAGCTTGATTGTGCCTGTGGGACGCGAGGGGGGGTGAGTGTGCGTGCGTCAAGTCTCATCTCATCGTCACTTTGTAGCCCTCGCTTTGGATCTCGATGTGTTTGATCATGGCTGTATATCATTGCATATTGTATCGATTTTAAGAAGCTTGATCCTCCACTACTGCTTGAAAGCACATACAGGTACCAAATTCTTTGCTTCGATCTCGGCGCTATACAGACAGGCCTGTAAGCGACTTCCGAATCGTCCTACCCGTTTGAGACGGGGCAGTCTATCAAACTGCATTTAGTCTCCGCGGGCCACGACTAGGGATTTCCCAGCGACTAAGATTAGCTCGTATTTAGTTTCTTTCCGTCTACCTTTGCTTCTTCTTCTTGTCGTTTGCTCACTGAGTCAATGTCTTGGCTCATGTTGCAACCCGCATCTACCTCAATAAGGTCGTTCCTCTCTCTAGACCCATGTAGGCCAGAAATTAACAAGGCTGGAAGTCTCTTGCTCCTAGCTTTTCGCCCCCATCCGTCTAGCTACACCGGCTATTCGGCCACAACACTGTCTGTCCCCTCGCCTTTAATCGAAAGCCCGAGCTTTCATGGTCACACATCTCCACCATCGGTCAGGCATCAGGCAATTCGTACGAGTCAGAAGGAAAGGTTATCATCGGAAGATGACCCTGAGCATCTCAAATGGCCTGTCATGAACTTTTGAATATGCTCCAGGTGTAATACGCCTGTCCGATGGCCACTGACATGCGCCCCGCTATTCGTGCGTTTTTGTATACTACGTTGCTTACATGTATACGACTCATGTAAGACTCGAACCATGGCGGCAATCCCTGTGTCCGAGGGAAAAGCATCTCCAGCCATGAACCGATGCTAATCGGCCGGGTTGGCTTGGCAATAAAAGAAGGTTAATCTCTCCCTTCCGTAGCGGATCCCCTGCTTGGGGGCGACATCCGGGTCTGGACCCCCGTCTGGCGTAGTATCAATGACGAGATCTGATGAGGCTCAGTGGAGCAGCTTCGGGTCATGGCCCGAATTGAAAATTCTGCCCCGGTGAGCTTGAATACAGCACGATGGCAGACATGTCCGAGCGGTCAATTGGGTGTACGAGAATAGCAATTGCAATTTCTGAGCCCCTGAATGTATCACGGAGCAATGATGCCGCAGGAGCAGGTCTGTGGTTGTACGGCATATGCACGTAAAATGGAGCCCACGGCGGCTCACCGGGGCATCGCTCCAATGCTGTATCACTTTGTTTGACCAAGGCTAAAGCAGGAAAAACAAAAAAAAAAAAAATACGAGAGCTGTGTTGGCGAGATTACTGCCCGTGCAGTTGGCGATCGAACTCATGTCTCAGGCTGTGAGTTGTTGATCCGGGTAGTTGGACGCGGTGCTGGGGACGCACAAGGGCTCGGTGAGTCAAGTAAGCCGAGCTACTTTCTATGACTGAAGGAAGAAGGCGGTGACTCCATGCATACTTGGAGATTGATGTTGTTGGACCCAGCTGAGATGTATTCACTGTGCTGCCTTGTTTATGGCTCTCCCTTGCCGTAGGTGAGTCTCGGATGTTGTATCGCTAGACAAGACATGTAAGTTATTACCTAGTCAGACTTTACGTCTCTGAATTAAACAACACCAGAGGTATTATGCAGTTGCTACTAATTGTGCTGTCTTTACTGTGGCGACAAGTCTGTACATAGCTGTTGTAGTGGCGATCTTCTCTTTATTGATCTTAAAAGATATCCTATCCAAGACTTTCTATTGCGATCTGAACGTCCATGTTAATATGTTATGCCTGCATATGTCTTGATTTAGAAAGATTAATGTCTTAAACATGGTCCCGAAAGTGGCGAATTCTGAGTTATCGCAGTGTTTCATGGCGGTACCAACTTATACCAACGTAATACTCAGACCGTCGAATTATCGGGGCAGAGAAGCAACATTTTCTCCCTCGATGAGCACAGAGAGCGTGTGGTTCTAGTAATACACTGCGATCGAGGGCAAAGATCTACGAGAAGACCAATAATACAAGTAAAAAGTAAACATCGCGATCTGACGGCGATTTGAAGATAAATATCCGCCATCATCTCCTTCCAAATTCTCTTTTTCTCGTCACTCGCAATCACATCTCAGTCTTCAATCCCACAATAACCTACCTTTGCATCACCTTTGATACTACAAACCTCACTCAAGACTCACCTTGATCCACCACTCAAAATGAAGGTCCTCGCCATTGCCACCATTCTCATCGCCGCTGTCAGCGCCGCTCCTACCAAGGAGTTGTGCCCTTCCCCTATCCCACCTATTCCTTCTTATGGACTCCCCAGCCCACCTCTCAACGGTGAAATCCCCCCTCTCAACGGCGGCAACCCACCTTTGAACGGTGTAATTCCTCCTGTTGACAGCGTGATTCCTCCCGTCAACGTTGCGAATCCTCCCGTCGACGATGTTATTCCTCCCGTCAACGTTGCGAATCCTCCCGTCGATGATGTGATCCCCCCCGTCAACGTTGCAACTCCTGTCAGTGGCAGCAACGTATTCGGCCAATTCGAGTGCCCTGCCGGGCTCCTCTACTCCAACCCCCAATGCTGCTCTGTTGATGTCCTCGGCATTGCCGACCTCGACTGCAGCTCCCGTAAGTTATCAACACTCTACACACATCTAAATCCCGTCTCCGAATCTAAACCATAGCTAACGTAAACAAAACTCCATAGCATCGAAAACTCCCAAGGACGCCAGTGATTTCCAGGATATCTGTGACACGGCTGGCAAGAAGGCTCAGTGCTGTGCTGTCCCTATTGTAAGCACTGTACCTTTCCACCTCCTTGTTAACAGGACTAGAATACTAACAAACGAAACTTCAAGGCCGGCCAAGCTGTCCTTTGCCAGGACGTCATTGGCGCCTACTAAAGGCATCACTTATTTTTTTGGGTTGATGCGGCTTTGCCGAGGTGCTTTGTTTAATAATGTGCCGCTGGGCTTTCGGCACACACAACTATATAATTGAACATTCGGACCTGGATGGATATACGCGTGTTGAGATTTTTGTTTCTGGAAATTTGCTAGGAATGTGTATTCATCTGTTCAACTGATGACACAACATATATGCACATTACAGGTAACACCTAGTTTCTCAAGTTAGTAATGTATTATTTTTCTTATATTGCATTGCTTACCTATATTGGCTCTGTGAACCCAACCATGCACCTTTTCATAATGCGATTGTATGTACAAGTCTTGTGTTGATTATTTTCTATGTACTTGCTAGCTTCCTCATAACCAGAGTGCTTGGTATTATACAACCTGTCGTGGGCTTCCTATTCAAGCCAAAAATCCATCCAGTTCAGAAAAGCCCCCCAAAAATGGCCATGTTTCATCATAGCGGGTATCGTTGAAAAAGTTCCTCAATGCGTTGCCCAAAGATTGTAACCTAGATCGACAATGCAAGGTAGGCAGGTAGGTAGGTACTATTGTAAACACTACCCAGCCTCCTCTCCTTCGCCTTCCTTCTCAGGCGCTGTTGTTATTTTTAGGGAGCAAGTAACTGGTCAATGTTGACTCTCTCTAAGAAGCTAATGTGACCGAATCCAACCCAGTGCATTGCGAGCTTGTTCGGGCTGATGAGGATCAGCTGGGTTTCAATGAACTTGTCTAGCACAGCCCTGCCTGTTAGCTTATATTCAAGCTAATATTTTAGCGAGCGCATCTTTCTTGCTTACCTCTGAGAAAGCCCGTCGCGGCAATGTGACCTTCGCTTTTCACTATCCTGGCCCCGGAGAATTGAGCGTCTGTGGCAGTTTCGACGAAGCCGTCCGGGCCCAAGTCATTGGCCACAAAGGTATACTCCCCTCTCGGGATATTTGGATCCCCTGTCAGCTTAATGCCCTCTAAGCGACCTCTGTACATTCTCGCTTCTAGTCTCTTCTTCTCCCATGCCTCGTCACTATCCTGCTCGTCACGGAAAATGCCCAATTCGGCATCCGTGGCGGGTGGGTCATCGGGCTGATGTATCAACAAAAATTCGCAGCCATGTGCGCTGTAGTCGCCAACCCAAATCCCCCTCCACGGCCTTTCTGGCGTTGGGGTGTATAGTGACGGGTCGAGAGTCGAGTATGTGACGAGCTCTTCGCCAATGTGCACGCCAAGGGCACCAGCCCCAGCACCCATTGCCTCTTCCTCCATAATCTCGTCAACTAGAGCCTGGAGGGCTCCGGCGAGGCCTCCCTGCCCCATGAACCTGAGAGGGTTAGGCGTGCCCGTCAACTCCATCCATTGTCGTATCTGGAAAGTCTGGTCAGAAACCTGGGCTCTGCTTCGGGGCCTGTCCTGCATCGAGGGAGCGGCATGGCCTCGACCTGGCTGAGCGCCCGACACATAGTGGTTTGCCGGGACAACAGGCGATGGCCACATGTTTCCATAAGGATATCCCCGTCCCAGCCGTCGGACCGCGTCCTCAGAGTCCATTGGCCTTGTGAGCAGAAAATTGCTAAACATGCCACCCAGTCGTTCGTCCAAGGCCATGGGCATCTCGTCGGCAAAGCGGTTAGCGCCGGGTCTTTTGGAGAAGCCTCCATCCTCCTGCCTATCCTGGACGCGGAACTGCAGCACCGGTTTATCGAGATGGAGCTTCACCACCGGCTCAAAGCCGTGAATAATCACGTCCTGATCTGCCGACCACTGCTCAAAGGTCGACTGGTTGCTGACAGCCACCAGCTGGTAGCCCTCGATGCAGCCGCGCCGGGTGTCATAACGCACCAGAATCAGCTTTCCCGTCAGATCTCGGTCGCAGAACCAAATCTTGAACTTTGGCAGAAACCACAGGCGGTCGTGGGCTGCATACAGCTCCCTGAAGCTCGCGCACGGCCCTGAGGTTGCGACCTGGGTGCCGGGGACATTCTGCTGGACAAGGGCCTGCCACAGCAGGTCAGACAGCGCATGTTCGCGCAAGGAGCGGCATGTGGCTGAGACGGCGGCGAGGTCGCATGCGGCAAGATGCGACAGGATGGTATCGATGAGCTCCGGGGGGATGGCGAGCAGTGGAGCGGTGCTATTTTTGCTTCGAGTTCCGGCCTGGCGGCGCGATCTGATCTGGGCGCCCGGCTCTGGATCTATGGCGGTGCATCGACGGATGCGTTAGTGGCCTGGACTTTGAACTTGGCTTTGGGGATGGACGCAGGGCAAGAGGAGGAGGAGAGGAGAAAAATTGCAAAGTGCGAGGGGATTGCCCAAGTATGTATAGGTTATAGGTAGCTTATAGGCATGGCAGGCAGCACAGAGCTACATTAGTTCTGCTGGCTGCTTGGGGCAATCTGCCGGCAGTGCTGGTGTGGTGGGATGAGGTTGCAGTACCTTGCATAATGGCGGCGTCACGATGCGGTTGGGGTTGGGCGCCGGGCTGGGCCGACGGAGATGGCCTCAGGACTTTTGCGCGACGCTCCGAAGCGCCATGCTCGTCGATGCCGTGGATGAGCTCGAGGTTGTCTTCGTTTGCGGCGTCGACCCGGCCGTAGATGATGGGCACACCGGCTGCTGGAGTTGAAGCTGAGGCCGAAGTCGAAGCTGGCGATGACGACGACGCTGGTGAGTGATAGCGGTCCATCGCCGTAGCCTTGCCGCTAGCAAGCCCCAAGACCATGGCGCAGAGCTGGCGAGACTTGGGGTCTTATGGAAAGCGATGAGGTCAAAGGGACTGAAGGGATGGAGAAAAGGAGCCTCAGAAATAGATATAGATTCGTCAAAAGCCACAAGTCACTGAATCACCGCCCTGGTGTTGCTATTACTGGACAACCTGTCAAGTGCTTTGGGTTCGATTTGTTGGCCGCGTCGGTAAGCTCTGTGCTGCTCGGTCCACTGCAGTATGCTTTGAGGCGCTGTAAGTTCGATTCCACCAAGCATGTACTGCTACTCTTTCCAGAGCTCAAAGCTGTACGTAAACGCAACAACGCAAGGTACAGGTAACCCCTGCACGAAAAAAAAAAGTTCAATTGTCGGTCCCGCTGGCTTCCAGAACCGTCAGGCAATGTGGAAAGTGTGCTGATGCCGGTCGTTTTACTGCGGGCCCGGGCAGCAGAAGATCAGGGCACTTTGCAGGCAACTCGCTTGCTCGCTGCAGGGAGTCTATAATTGGGTCGAGAGCCCAGCCTTTGGGGGACTTTGTCGAGCCAGCGTAGCAGACAAGAGTCGATCAGCGTAGCAGCTGCAAATGATCCGACAAGGAGTGCGCTTTGCAGCGGGCCAAGCGGATGGGCTCTTGAAAACAAAAGAAGAAAAGGGGGGGAGTTGTTGTTGGTTGGAGCTTGTTCGAGGATTTGAAATCCCCCTTCTCTATTGGGGCAGCCTGAGTACCCAATATTTTGGCAGCGAGGCGATTTTCTTATACATGCCGGCCCAGCTCCGCATCATCGGCCGGATGGTGGGCAGAGACTCGCAACTCCAACCACGCGACCGCCGATTGCGCTGGGCCAGCGGTGAGATATACACCGAGCACCATGGCTGCTGCCTGAAGTGAAGCTCAAGTCGTCCAAGCCATCGAGCAAGACGGGGAAATACGGCATGTGAGTGTTTGCACACGTTCCTTGGGTCCAACGCGAGGCCACCCTCTCTGCGGGCCCCGTCCGGCCTTGTCCTCTGCAGCTATCCCGAGAGCGCATCTGCTCCGAGGCCTGGTGGGTTAGACAGCCCTGGGGGAGGCTCTACTAGGTGCTGTTAGTCCCAACGCAGTATTAGCAGCATGTATGTATCTTCGTATTGCTGCTGCCAGGCCCTATCGGCAGCATCATGCTCGTCTCTGGAACCGCACCCCTCCTCCAGAATAGCCGTCGACTTGAGCCGGGACTGGTTAAGTCTCTCGCGGTGACACAATCCTAGCCCGCTCTCTCCACACTTTCCGGCGCCGCCGTATCAACGTCTAGGGCCTCCGGCCTTGTCTTCCGGCACCAGCTTTGCGATATTTTATCGAGAGGGAGGGTGGTGAGGCGGTTGCAGGGGGCCGGCAAGTATTTGCCATCAATGAGATCCGCCGTAGAGACATACTAAATGACGCCTAAAGCGCCTTGTAAGGCGCTGGTGATGCTAGGTTGATACATCGATGTACTAGGTTGGCATCACCAAACGCGCCAAGCGCCTGAAGCAGTCCCCTGACCAGGCAGGTAGCTTCCCAGTTTTATGCAATTGTTACTGTGACGGGTGCAGAAGCTTATGGTACATCTACACACCCAATATAAATGCAGACCAAGCCTTGTAATGAGGCTGTACCAAACAATTATCTTGTACACCCCCTACCTTGCATACATGCATACTTGTATATAGATATAAATATATATTTACGTTTTATTAGGAATCTAGTTGTAATATCCAGCCAAGATCTCCAAGCGACGCCAGAACTACAAAGAGCCCCAGCTCGGCAACCCAAGAGACCACAGAAGAGGCAATTACATATACATCGCCGCCAAGAGCACGTTTCTCGGCGAGATGATCTGATACAAGAAGGCAACAGTTTGCGAGCGATCCATATCAGCCGGGCTTGGGAGCCCTATTCGGTATCTCCCTAGCAGGTTCTTAGCAAGCAGTTATGCAAACTCGAGATGGTTCGGAATTGCAATCTGTCAACTCATTCCGCATTTACGGGGCCAGCTAGCACCAGGCCGCGCCATATCGGGCTGACGTCGTAGGTGTCGTAAGTCGAATGCCGTTACCCGTCAGGACTGCCCGCCCTGTGAGCTCTACCAACAGGCCTCTGAGATCTTAGATCGACACTTTAAGCATCTTACCCACTGTTTCACCCAAAGGGCCGGTGGGCCAGCAGCGTCGGCGAATCTCGAGCCATTGGTGCTAGTGTGTGCATGCTGTAGGTAGGTAGCTGTAGCCTGTAGCTGCTTTGAGCACAGCCAGCCGCGCCCACAGTCGCTGAAGAAGCATCCGCGCCTAGACGCTCACCTCCTCTTCTGGGCCTAACCCAGCTTCCCGTTCCAGCGGGATCGTACACTAGCCGCAGCGCCGTACAGGAGACTTTTCCATGTGCCAGCAGGGGGCCAGCAGCAGCTCTCTCAGGGATCGGGGTCGCAGAGGGCCAATGACGCTGCCGGACGCCAGAGTGTGCATGGCATGGAGTGGTCTGGCTTGCGGCTTGGCTTTGCCGGGGGGGCTGCCTTCAAATGCCCCGACCTACCTATACAAGGAGGTGACAGTACCGTAAGAGCGGATGGGAAAGGATAGTGAGCACGGGGCATTGCTTAATTCGTTGTACTATCGAACCCTTTGCCTTGATTATTGATGCTTGGCCATGCTGATCGGGGAGCAGACGCGGCAAAGCGAGCACGAGCATTTTCGGCTGACCAGTTCCGACGGCACACACCACGGCCTGACGTCGGAGCCCTTCCAGGTAATAATCGCGACACATCATATCAGGTGTGAAGCGCCTTTGCGGTAGCTGTCACAAACCCGCCATCGGAGACGGTTTTGCAGCCTCAGACACTGCATCGCCTGACCCTTGGGGTTTGAGTTGAGGTTCCTTGTGCCAGTGGTCCAACCAAAGCTTCCAGGCCATCTAGCCGCTCGGCGGTACTTGCGATCCTCCAAGGCCGCCGGAGGGAATCTTTGTCGCCATCAGCAGCGAAAGTTCCTCCACTTGTAGAAAGCGGCGGGTTCGCCTTGGAGATTCACCGTAGCACTGTTGACGTCCAGTTGGTCAAAGCTCGTTTTATGCCCTTGTTGGTCGAGGATAGATGTGGGGTGTTTTTTTTTCCTGGAGGAACCCAGGAAGAATCCATTCTTGCCTGCACCGAACGTTTGAGGAAAAAAAAAAAAAAAGGCCTTCTGCTAGCAGCCTCGTATAGATGCTCACCTTTGACCCTTGCTGGAGCGTATTACTAGTAGTACAGTATAAGGCAATAATGCTGGGGGCGGAGAATGATCCTAGAATACAAGGCCTATCCGAGTACTTGCATGTCTTGTTGCTACCTGCACACATTTGGTATTATACTTGTACAAAAGACTTATAGTAATTCTGCATGGGTGCCTAGGTGTGTATATGGATGCTGGATTCTGTTTTAGATACTTTTCTATGGGGAATTTGTAGAGTATTTCTGTAATAGTAGTTAATAGCGGCAGAAGCCCATACTGTTGACGGAATTTACAACCATGTCGTGCTTAGGCTACAAACGGGCAGTCTCCGCAAGCTTTTGCTCTTTCAGACAAGCATCAATCTATCTACGATTTGTATGTATGTTTATTAATTCCCGCATCTTCATTAGTTGCTTTTGCTTCGTGCTAACCTGGCATACAACAATCAGACAAGACGAGAGAACCTGGATGGGCCTGTGCTATTCACAGTTAAGCGGTACCAGGTACCCCTGGCAAGCCTGGTGCTTGTATTGGGAGCCTAAACGGAAAAACACATCCGCCGCAACCAATCACTTGCCATCCACTACTCCCATGTTAGACGCCAGCTTCTCTCCTAAACACTCCAAGTGTTGGGTATCACTCCGTCTCTGCAGCTTGATTTGGCATCATCGCAACGTCGACACGTCAGATTCTCAACCTCGGCCATTATCGAGCCACCTGAACTATATCCTGCTAGCCTTGTCAACTGAGGAACCCACTCAAGTATTAATCAGCTCCCCCTGGTCATTCTCTCTATCAAGTGTCTGGGCACGTTCTCAATCTCCAACTTACATATTCCCATTATTCGCTTCTTCGTCGCTATAGGGTTCCAAATCCGACTCGCACCGCATCACTGGCTCGCCTTCCTAGTTGGGCCTCGTCTTCCACACCCCCCTCCCCAACCTAAAGGGACACGCGCTGCGGGCAACCAGAAGAGGCGTCTACTGCGCTTCGTGACGCTAGGAGGACCTCACTGTTTTGACGCTGTTCCAGGCCGCCAAGAGTCACAGTGATCCCGCATCTGTTGTTGAATGTTTTCGGCCATGTCGTCGCTACTGCCGATCATCTCAGAGATCCTGCCCATGGTGTTGCCGTCCAAAACGGAGACGACGCCTGCAGACCAACTCACTCCCATTTTGGACAATGAGGGACGCCCCATCCGCGAAACTGCC